AACTCGTAATAACCGTTGAACAGGCCTCATGCAACAGTCAACCTGGAAATCCCTACTAAGCCGCGACGGGATATCCATGGTGGAGCAATCCAACACCGTAAATATGTACCTCATACGGAGTACGGTGTGCACCATCAACGCAGGATCTGCGCTTGTTGGAGGCAGGGGTAACAAGAGCCAACCGCTGATCTGCAACGCTATCATCCGTGGCTGGAGGCCAGAACTCACTGACACTCCGAGAACCACATGGACGGCAACAGAGATAGCTGGACGATGGGCAAGCTCGGGAACTCAAACAGATATACGCTGTCAATTGGCCGCACGGAATTTCCGGCGTGCAGAATACTGAGTCGGTCGGGCTCTGAAAGACACAGAGGTTTGTTTCAGAACACGGCAGGACGAAGCACAAAACCCGAGACAGTCTCCATTATACTCTTCAGTCTCGTGATATCACCGAAGGTATTTCCTGTACGGAGGGTTCTGCGTGAGCTGAGCTCCATCTAGACGCCGGCCTAGAGTAGTTTCCTGCGATGTCCGTGAGTCTATGCACGGTACGGAGTAGACGCTGACCATCTCAGTGGTAGGTACGGAGTAGGGAGTACGGAGGACGGTTTTACGATCTCCCCGGAGTAGTCCGCCATCTGCATGTGCCCCGGCGAGATGCAAGATGCCGAGATGGGGCAGAACAAACCCGCGCGATGAGTGTCACCCCAGGCAGAACTCACCCCACGCCGATAGAACTCAGGCTGAAGTGGCTGTGGACTGAGTACGTACTCCGGACGACTCGTCGAGTCTCGTGTACTGTGTCCTTGTCCCGACACGCACCCATCTCATGATCGACTAATGGACTACTCGTACGGAGTGCTCGCAGTGATGACTTCCCTATCAAAGGGAATGTCGGGACTGAAATACAAGCCATTGAAGCGCACGAGCTTTGCACAGCATCACGGAGTATTCACTTTCTCCTCACAAGTGCCTCAACCGCCCCACCAGGATATTACGTCAGAGTGGTTGGAAAGGCGTCCGCACGGTTGCAGGGGCTGTGGAAAAGCAGCCCGGCCGCCCGGGCAAGTGCAAGCTTCTCCATCGCGTGCAGGGAGCGGCGGTTTGTTCGGGACCATCCATCCCACCTCTTCTCAGTCTCTCTCTCTCACGCACTCTTGCTCGTCCACCGCGTATGGTCGCTACTTTACATCCACCTCTCTGACTCTGGTTGTGACAAAAATCAAGGCTCAATCTGAGATCTGATACTCCGTACGGAGTACGCACTGCGAGATTGCCGGACCCATCAGACTTGCATCCACCTTTGGTACAGCACAGTCTGGCAGCCAATTGGTGGCGAGCAAGCTGTAACGCCGTTAGGCGTTGGACGCCCTGTTCCCGTCCTTGCCGCAGCGTAGCGGACTGCACACCGTCGTCATCGAGCTTCAGGAGGCACCAGAAGCGGTTTGTGGCGTGGCCTGGACCGATCGATGGATCCTTCCAGACGCGACCCAAACCACTCTTACCAGCCCCCATCTCTGGTGTCTCCTCTCCCCACTCCTGCCCCTTCACCGCCGTCCTCCGCCAACCACAATCAGGCTCAAGGGGTCAAGTCGCAACGGTTGATCTCGATCTTAAGCGGCCCCTGTCACATCTGCTGCTGGCTCTTTGAGTTTACGATTCCGCAGCTTAGCCTGTTGCAACGATGGCTGTTGGTTCCAACTCACCACACCATATCGGAGCCGCGACATCCAAGGTTGTTGTTCTCAGGCATGCCGTGGACGCCTCTGCAATCCGAGTTTCCTCTTCCCCGGGTACGAGCCTCGAATCTGAAGGGTTCCCCCCCTTTCCTTGGAACTCTACCACTACTCAGTACGGAGTATGTGCATCCTTCTCAAGCGAACAAGCGCCTAATCGTAAACTGCCCCTCCACCACGCTAGTACCTGGGCTGCGCAAACAAGATTGACAAGACCTCCAACGGCACAACATCCCGGACATGGCCTTTTTTTGCCCAGACGACTAGCGTGGCGCTTCGCCTTGTACGACTTACTGTCAACTCGGTTTATCTTCTTGCATTATTCTCACAAGGGACTACGGAATACTCGTATGTGCACATGGCTCATACAGTACGGCACAACGGTGGCCGTCAGCAGCTTGGATCACGGATCCTGCAATATCAAACGCATAGTTTCCAGGTGCGTGCTTCAGAGCAAGCGTCTCTACTACTACACCGTATACGGTAGTCGGAGAACTTCAGTCCCGCCAAAATACCCGCCTTTTATGCTCTCAACTGCACCCACAAATGCTTGTCGCGAATGCTCATGTTTGGCTAAGCGTGATCGAGGATCGCCCTCACCAAGTTGGGTTCTTCGGTTCGACTTGTTGTCTGCGCTCTGTGGCGTTTTACCCGAGATGAGGTTCTTGCGAAGCGAGATGTGAACATCTCGAAGAGGACATAAAGTCGTCCGGTGCCTTCAAAAACGAAGCCGTTGATGTGCCCCCAAGAATAGATATGTCCCCACGTCGCCTTCAGCGACGCGCGGGATACGCCACCCACAAAGCCGCATGCCTACCGTGTACTGTGTACTCTGCTTTGGCGACGGTCCTGTCTCTGTAGCGTCGCTTGCGTCTGGTGTCGGGATCTCTTCCGGGCCATGCCAGTTACTACTCGACGGGGTATGGCAACCTTCCACAATTGTCAAAAAGTCGACTCCGTTAAGCGTAGTCTCCTAATCGAATGATCCCAACCCTATACCGGAAACACAATAACACCACACCAAGACGGCCAATCAGTCCAGAGACTCCACTACATTGGTGTCCTCAGACATGTCCGATTTCAGAGCCGTGCATCTCGCAAGCATCAAGATACCCGGCCACGGCGTCATCACTGTCGCTGCCGGGCCAATGAGCGATCTGTTCGATCAATTTGTCAGGAAGGACTAAATTATTGGCAGCAGCCTCACTAACGACCACTGCTCTGCCGAGCCGACGAGTATTCCAGGTTTGGGATTCGGACCTTCAACCACTATTGATGGCACTTTCATCTGGAGTCGGCGACCCCAAAACGTGGTCCTGGCGGGGGGATGCATACGAATTGAGTCCGAATCGAAGTTGTATGGTTCAAGCTACGTCGCTCGAGATGGGCCAGAGCGTTGAATCACCAGTATTACCACTGATGAATTACTGGCACCCTCATACATCCAGTGCGCCGGCGGTGAGCCTCTAGTCCACGGCTGTCGTTGCCAGACATATTCAGTTCTTGCTTGTTTAGGTAGTGAAGCCGCTAAAGCTGAAGCTCAGCAACCTGCTTCACCTGGCTGACCTGGCTAATCCCTACGGAGTATATCCAAGTCATTCGCAAGTGTGCTTCAACGCAAGCGGTCAATCGCGAACTAGTGGTGACTTGGGTCGTTGATCGGCATAGCAATTCATGTCCAAGTCTCGGCCTCTCCCAAAACTCAAAGCACCGATACTGAAACAGAAACTAATGCGGTCAGAGCGGCTGTCACAAGACTTACTGGTTGATGCTAAACCCGTGCATACTGAGTACGCCTTCTAGCCGATGGGCCATACTAACTATTCTCCATCTATCTGTGAATTCGGTACATATCACGAAATGCGATTGGAGTGAGGCGACAAACCATCATTGCCCTTGGATGAGGAGTCCAGGTCTGATACAGATTGGGGGGTTCGGTAAATGTAATCGATGTCAAGGAGCAGCCATTATTAGGAATGCATACAGAGTACTTCGCCTGCTTGGACTGGTTATTCGCTTCTCTAATTATGCCATTCTCCCTAACGTCTAGGTGCCAAGAGGATCACTATGTGTCGAGTCAGGTACTCGTATTGTGTAATTGCCTCGGCGACACCAAGATTCGCGGGAATGGGGGAGGTCCGCCTGCAGTGACGGTGCTCCAGCTCATCTCGTACCACCGCCTTCAGGCATCCGCCATTGAGAAGTCCTGGTTGGGTGCATCCCTCCTTCCCTCTACTCGAACCGACTGTCATGCGGGCGTCTGTGGAGGGGACAGTCTCAGACTCTAATGTAAGTGCACTTCGCCGTTGGAGCTCTCATGCAATTCAACGCAACGCACGGGTTATCAGGTGCCAGCAAAGCTCGGCTTGACGCCGCCTAACGCAGAGACGGCGGCCTAACAGTCCCACAAATACGCCGATCATACTATCCGGAGACAGTGTCAGATATCTGATTCTTGCCGTCCTACGAGCTTCCTATTATCGTGTCTCCTGGGGTATCCAACACATTGGGCAGTGGGAGTGCAGCGAAATATCTGTCCATCGTGCCTGCCTTATGCGCCGTTGTCGGTCCAACTGCTGCCTTGCTCCATGCTTCAGGAGTTGTGCAGTGGCAGAAACATAGGACTCATTCCTTTGCATTCGAATTGCTGATCACTGGGATCTACAACAAGATGTTGCCTTCAAATATGAAGTCAGAAGGCTCCTAGAGGTCTGCAAAACTTTGAGCCGCGGCCTTCTCATTGTTTGCGATTTGATACTGCCCACATGGCGCCTTTGGTAACCCCCATTTGATTGCTCCTCCAAATTCGCAGGCAAACGTTCGAACGGCCTCGATGGTTCCCACAACCAGCCAGGCGAGACACCTCCCGCGTTTTGCTATACTCTGGCGACGACGATTACTAACACTACAAGCCTGAGAGCCTGTGACTTCCCCTCCACAGCCATGCTCGAGTATCTCAATACACCTACGTGAACCCGTGTCCTACGGATCAGGAGCATGGCAACCACGTACCGCGCTCAATCGGGATGAGTGACGGCCCCTTGCGGGCTTCTCGACAGATGCATCGTTGGCGGCCATTCCCTGTCAAGTCACCGCGAGCCCACAAGTTTCTCGTTCTACGCATGTCAAGATGCGGCCCTCCGCAAGTGCTCATCGTACCGCAGTACGCTTTCGAGCAAGACTTGCGCACCGCGAGCACTAGCAGACCAGTATATCAGCCTTCGTTGGACGATAGACCAGGGTCGGAATCCCTATGGAAACTTACCACTGTTCTGACGACGTGAATTCATCTGGGTGATGCGAGATACCGCCCTTGGATGGCACGAAAATCATGCTCGTCGGGACTCTATCGCCTGTGTGGACGCTGTCATGTCCGGCACCAGCCACCATTTCCTTGACGCCGTCCGTGCCAGCTACGGTTATGGCTGCTTCCCTTACACAGCTGATGCAGTCCGGGTGGAATTGCACAGCAGGGCTGTTCCAGATGTCTTGGATTTCGACAGAACACTTGTTGGCATGGGCGATTCGCGCGAAATCTGAAGTGGTCTCAGCTATCATGGCTTCTCGAACTTCGGTGGAATGGTGGCTCAAGTCGACGCTGAAGACAACTTTATGAGGTACCGTGGCTGGAGACTGGGGCCACGAGTTGATGACCCCCACCGTCGATAGACCATCAGCCGCGACGGCTATCTCCTCAACGCGGGATATCATCCGAGCAGCAGACGTAAGAGCACATGCTCGGCGAGCCATCGGGCAGGTACCTGAATGCTGATTCTCTCCGTGGACCGTCACGATGAGCCATCCCATACTCTGCACGCCGGTTACGACCCCCACTTGCTTCCCCTCGTCTTCCAAGACCGGACCCTGCTCAATATGCAGCTCAAAATGTGCACTCAGTGGGTTGGCCTCGTACGACGCCGGTAACGTGCCCAGAAACCCGATCCGCCTCAGCTCGCTCTTCAAGGTCATTCCCTTGGTCTTGTCCTCCGTGGCAGGGAGTGCATGAGCAAAGTCCAGCGTGTATCGACCGGACCAGACGCCCGAGGACACCATACCTGTGTTGAATCGCGCCCCTTCCTCATTTGTCCAGTCGATGACTGCGATCGGCGCATTCGACTTGTGCCCGTTTTCCTCGAGGACACGCAGTACCTCAACGCCAGCGAGCACACCGAGGATGCCGTCGTAGCGCCCGCCCGCCGGCTGCGTGTCGAGATGACTGCCAATTCCAATCGCAGGGAGCGACAAGGAAGTTCCCGGACGCGTGGCGAAGATGTTGCCCATCTCATCCACTTTCACGCTGCAGCCCAGCGATTTGACCGACGAGACGAGCCACACTCGCACGGCTTTGTCCACATCTGTCAGCGCGAGACGCCGGATACCCCCGTCCGGCGTGGCGCCCCATTGTGCAGTGTGGTGGATTGCATCCCAGAGGCGCTTCTCGTTGACTCTGAACCGGGGAATAACGCCCTTGGCCGCGGCGGCGAACGTACGCACAGATCCTAGCGTGAGCGAAGATGTCCTGTTCGGAGATGAAGAGACACTCGATTTCGTCTTCGTGCATGGGGTGCGAAGCATCCGCGGTTTGCAAAGCGACATTATGATGGTCAGGACTTGTCGAATCCTTGCTGGACTCTGTCCGTCACAGAACAAGAGGCGATATCTTCTCACACTGGCATTTCCTTTTCGCTTTCGCCCAGCGGGTGCTTAGCTCCTTCCTATATCTGCCACTGGTATAGTGCCATTCCCTCTGTAGAAGGATGACGGCGATTACATAACGTGTCTATCGCAACATCCGCGACAAGATCCAAAAACATGTACTCCAACATGGTCGGGAAAGTCCGCCACACGGGATGCATGCATGTGGCACATGCGAACGACCTGCATTAAGCATCCATTTCAGGAAGGAGACGAGGCGGGTGAAGATAACTTCCATCTCCATCGCTCATATTCCGGTGCGGGACAAAGGTACAGTCGATCGGCGGACCTTACCATTCGCCCAAGTGTCTTTTGGGACTGTATCTTCGTGTCAGTAGCGTCGGGACTGTATCTTGTACAATGCGAGGTGGAGACATGCACGCCGATATCTCTAGTCTGTCCGATACCACTATTGGAGTTCAGGGGGGCCGTGTTTGCCAGCATAGGGCACCACTTCATATATGGGGCGGGACGACGGCAGGAACCACTGACATTCGCAACCTCTATCAGGGTTACTTCCCAAGGTGTCGACTTCTTGGGAGTCCTCAGCCATGTCGAAAGACGTCGAGACCATCGCGCACGCGACAAGGCCCGTTGAGCCGCCCATTTTAGAGACCAACGAGAAGCTCGCGATCCACGAGGTAGACGGAGCTCTTGCCTTTCTTCGAAATGAGGTCGACGCATCGATTGCCGACTTGGACGAGAAGGAACTGGTCCGCAGGATCGACTTTCGCATCATGCCCCTCTTGTTTGGAGTGAGTTGTCCAGCCCTGTGAAAGCACTGGGCAGGCTCGCAGCTGCTGACGCAGATCCACAGGTGTACGTCCTGCAGTACATTGACAAGAGCTTGAGTATGTCTCACGAGGTTCTTGTCTAAGGGTGGCCGCTAATGTGTTCGACAGTCAATTATGCCAATGTCATGGGTTTGAGCAAGGACACGAACATGAGCGCGGCAGACTTTTCCTACCTTGCGACCTTCTTCTACGTCACTTTTGCCGTGTTCCAGCCGGTACATGCCTATCTGATGCAGAAGTTCCCAACCGCAAAGTATCTCGCAGTGAACGTCGTGCTATGGGGTGTCATCTTGGCTGGTAGGTTGATATGGCAGACCGGTAACCCTGCCACTTGCTGATACTCGCCGTGAAGTCCACAGTTCCTGTCATAACTTCAGCGGTCTCATTGTCGTGCGTCTGCTTTTAGGCGTCTTTGAGGCATCCAGTGCTCCGTGTCTGATTCTGATTACGGGGATGTGGTACAAGGTGCGTACCGGACGGTTACGCCTCCAAGCTCCTCCGCTGACTCCTTCCAGCGTGAAGAACAGCCTCTGAGAGTGGCGATATGGTACCTTGGAGTCGGTGCAGGGACGATCGTCGGCGCCCTCGCGTCCTTTGGCTTCCAGCACTATACGGATAAGTCGTTCAAGTCGTGGCAGGTTAGTGGCTGACACTTTGGGTTCATGTCGCTCTTGCCGACTGACACATGATCACAGATCATGTTTCTGGTGTTCGGTATCGTTACCGCCGCCTGGGGAATTGTTGTCTTTCTAATCCTGCCCGATTCTCCCATGGCATCGCGCTTCAATCACAACGAAAAAGTCTTTGCCATCGAGAGACTGCGCGAGAACCGAACCGGGATTGAGAACAAGACTTTCAAAAGAGAGCAACTCTCGGAAACCATGCTGGATCCCCGGACATGGCTCATCGTTGTGATCGTCATTGCCGGCAATGTCCCAACCGGGGCTTGCGGAACTTACTCATCGACACTGATCAAAGGATTCGGGTACACGCCGAAGCAGTCAGCCCTGCTGAACATTCCGAGCGGTGCCATCTCGATGATTGCGGTGCTGTCGGCGTCCTGGTACGCCGGCAAGTTCAACAACCGTGGGTACGGGATCGTGGCGCTCTTGCTGCCCGGTGTCCTTGGAGGCGGTCTCATGGCATTCCTGCCCAAGAGCGACAAGGCAGGCAAACTGGCGGGTATCTATCTCACACAAGTGTTTGGGCCCAGTGAGTAAGCTCCTGTTTTTCCCCCTTATGCCCATTCTAACCGTGTCGATAGACCTGTCGATGATGTACTCCTGGGCCGCGGCCAACTATGCGGGCCACACCAAGAAAATCAGTGTCAATGCCACCATCCTGTTCGCGTATGGTGCGTCCAACATCATCGGACCACTGACTTTCACCGGGTACACGGCTCCGGACTATATCCCTGCCAAGGTTGCCATCATGGCTTGTTTGTCCTTGGGCATCGTGACGGCGTTGGTGCTCAGGTACTGGTATTTCTGGGAGAATAAGCGTCGGGACCGCGTGGCAGCTGCCGAAGGATATGTCCACGTCCCAGACGCCGAGTTTATGGACCTGACGGACAAGCAAAACCCCGAGTTTAGATATGCGTTGTAGCGCAGCGGAAGGAGGCGAGCGCGTTGAGCGAGATAGGCCAGCACAAGACTGATGCCCGACCTCTCTACCAGAACGTACAGGTATGTATCTGCGGTAGTATGGATCAGTTGTGCCACTTAACTTCTCACGCTACTGAGGACAATCCAGCCCGCAGAGACACCCCCCATGCCCACACGTGGCCCCCAGGGCAGAAGGAGAATATGTTAAGTTCGCCCTCCTCCCTCTCGCCAGACTTAAACAACTTCTACGCCTTCGCTTCAATTGACCCTGAGAACGTGAACCCGTGCAAGACAATTCTTGACACTCAAGCATCGGTTGTCGGACTGAGGAGCCTCGACGTCTCTCGCCAAGTCATCGCGCTTGCATATTCCCGAAGGCTGCAATCTGGGATAGAAACCCCTCCACACCGTTCCCCCAGACGCCACACACGGTATGCTACACCATGCTTTCACAACCCAATGACTTATATGCCTACCTTGTTCATCCCCCCTACTCTGTATGCTCTACGCGAGTCCTTCTGGGCCGTTTGTTCCTAGCTACATGAGTCGCCCCATGCGCACTGCTGGCCATGGCATCGGCATCCATTCGACATGGGACGACGAGTCGTGTTCTAAGTTTTGAGTCGTCTACCCAAGTCGTGACAACTTGTACCCAATCGATACAGGATCTTGAGAGGAATCTCTCCGAATCCATGGCAGCATCGGCGGAAAATAGATTGAATCTGAAGATGGAACAATTGCCAGCAGACACAGACGCGGACACAGGCACAGACGCAAGCCGAGCGACGGCCCCTGTCCACGACAACACAGACCACGACTACAACTCCACCCTATCGACAGAAGTGCTGATGCCATGCGCCATAGTCTGTGCCATTGATTGATGATGACTATGTGGAAGGGTGTCGTGTGCCTACTTCTGCTAATTCTGAATGGCATCGTGTTGCATCTCTGCTATGTACTCGTGCTGTGGTGAATTGTGCAGCGACTGAATACTCGGGACTCGAGATCAAGTACTGTAGATATATACCTAGGTAGATATATACTCCGTACCTCGCAGACTGACCGACTGCGTTATTGGTTCCCCGGTAGGCCCTCACTACTCGCCGACCCCGGACATCTCCCACGCCTAGCTAATCCGCCAGACGCACCACGTCCTCCGTCCAGTGTTAAGTGAGCGACTCGATCTCTGGTCCGATTAGTAAGACGCCCTGTCATCCCCATCTGGGCCTGGACCTGTGGGGAAGAGTGACCTCGCTCATCAGGAAACAAGACATCACTTCTTACCAGAGCCACAAGCCATGCTTCCTCCCTGCACTCCGCGGACAGCACATTCATAGACGCGGCACCAAAGCGACCCCTCCCGCTTTGAGACGAATTCCTCGTGTTCTGCTCGCCGCTTACTCCCCGAAGCCGGCCTGAAAAGTCTCGAGGCAAACTGTCTTCAGCTCTTCGCCGGCATGATCTAATACAATGGTAGCTTGAGAATTGCTCTCGTCGCCCGCACAGAGATTACCAATGAGCAGCCTGGAAACCTCAGCCACGTCGACCTTGAGCGGCCTGCATTCCACGGAGCGCGTCGTCAAAAAGCGAGCTTCGCAGGCATGCCACCACTGCAGGACGCGGAAGGTCAAGTGCGACCTTGTCAAATCCGGCATCCCGTGCCACAATTGCTCCTCCGACGGCATCGAATGCGTCATTCTCGAGTCGAAGCGGAGCAGGAAGTACCGTCTTCAGAAACGCCAGTTGAGCAGCCTGGTCTCGCTGCCCACAATCTCTCAGGCACAACCCAGATCCACGTCGGACTCCACACTTTCGTGCCCTGGACCAAACGACGTCCACACCATCGACGGCACGACTGCTCCTGCCACGGAAGGGTGGAGGACGGACGTCCGCTCAGTCCACACCACCCCGATCATTCCTTCTTTCATTCCCAACAGCTTCCAGAGTCCTCCCGCGGTTACTCCCGTCGGTGCACAGAGCCAGGTAGGCGCGACTTCGCCCGTCTCGATCCGACAACAGCCGGCGTTCGAGCTTCCAGCGTATATCCGTCCCTCTCGACCAGACGTCCGGCAGGATGACTTGGAGTTTCTGTGTCGCCGGGGCGCGTTGAGCATACCGGTGGGCGAGCTCCGCGATCAACTTCTCCACTGTTTTGTGCTCTACGTTTATCCCTTCATGCCCATCGTCGACCTCGAGGATTTCATGGGCGCCCTGGACGGCAACGACGCCTCACCAAAGATTAGCTTGATTGTGTTCCACGCGGTTTTGTTTTCTGCGACCGCCTACGTGGATCTGCCGCTTCTCCAGGAAGCAGGCTACGAAAACCGTAGAGCCGCGAGAGCCGACTATTATCAGAAGGTCAAGGTGAGTCTTTCCGGAGTGCAACTCTATGGACGCATCAAATTGACACCCGTAGCTCCTGTACGACTTCGACTGGGACGTGGACCGCATCGCTCTGATCCAATCACTGCTGATGATGAATTACTGGTATGTTTCGGAGAACGACCAGAAAGATCCCTGGCATTGGCTAGGGATATGCGTCTCGCTTGCCACAAGCATCGGCTTGAATCAGCCCTTTACCTACACTCAAAAAGACCCCAAGACGGCCGCCCTCTGGCGGCGCGTATGGTGGTGTTGTCTATATCGCGACCGGGTCATCGCCATCAGTATGCGGCGACCCATGCGGATCGGGAATGAAGCCATACGGCTCCCGCTGCTCGGTCTGAGCGATTTCGAAACTAAATCGGTCACGTCGGCCATTCCGTGCTTGAGAGACTGCGACTTCCTCACCAACGCGTATACTAGGACCATGTTGGCCGAGATGTGCGTCGCGAAGATCAAGCTGCTGGTCTTTGTCGGGCAAATCCTGCGAGACTTCTACCACTTGCGTGGCTTTGGCGGCTCAACCGCGGAATCGACCATGCTCTACACTCCGAGACGGTCCGAAGTCAACTCGAAGCAATATCTCGACCTGCAACACGCGCTGGACCAATGGTACCGCGACCTTCCGCCCAGTTGCTGGTTGGTTACAGGCAACACCAACGTCGACCCCGACACGTCCACTGCAGACGCACTCTTGGTACACAGATCAGTATTAAGGATGCTCTACCTGATGGCGACCGAAGCCCTCAACCGTCCGCAGTCCCTATCGAAACCTTCCGGCGGCTCTTCAGGCAACAGTCCGACCTCAAAGGTCAAGGAAGCCGCGGAGAAAATCGCCGAGATGGTAGAGTCGATGCAGGAGAAGGATCTCATCCGATTCCTCCCACCCCTCTCCGTGAGTTTCATGCTCCTCGCGCTTGCATCATTCCTAGTGGATATCAAAGCAAAGGGACAGACCGTGGGAGCTCTACCGGGCCAACAATTCCACGTGTGCGTGCGAGCCCTGTTGCGGCTCCGCGAGATCTGGCCCATCGCGGACGCGGCCTGCTTCCTCATCGGCCAAATGATCACCAAACACCAAGTAGGCAAGATCTCGACCCCAGGAATCCAGCCGATGCCCATGGATGCAAGCGACGCGCCGACAAACGTGTGGCGAAATCCCGGCGAGACCACGCGCTCGAACACAACCCATACTGCCGTGCTACCATACGCGGACTTAGAAGGTCCTGGTCCCACGGCGGTCGCATTCACATCTTCCTTCCAGCCATCAGGGGATCCAGGAACAGTGCCCGGAACGACAGCACCAACACCATCAGCAGCAGCGGCATTAGCCACAGAAGGGTTTGCCATCCCGTATACCTGGACCGGGGAGGATTTCGACTTCGAGGGAGGCGACTACGGCCCCATGATCGAGGCGCACGCCCTGAACATGGATCTCGCCATGCCGGACGCCGACGTGCTCGCGTACTTCGAGGACAGCACGTTTGTCTTCAATTTTGAGCCGTCGCCCAACAACGACCACACTAGTACGAATACTGGAGGTGGAGGTGCTCCTGGCCATAGCGAGGGCATGTTGGCTTCATATCCTTCACAAACACAAGCACATGCAGTGGGGCAGCAGCAGCGGCCGCCGTCTATCGCCTCATCCATGGTGGGTCAGGGTCAGGGGCAGAGCTGGAATCCCGTCGTCGCGAGCCAGTATATGGAGACGTTCCGATCCTCGCAGTCGATATGAGGACCGCTCGATGGACCATGCAAGATATCTATGGTATAGTTGCAGGTAGAGGTGAGCCCGCACAACGATCTCTTCTACAGTAGCTTGGGAGTGCTGTTGAAGATGGAACAAACGAGACGCGAGTCGGAACCAGATTGAGGAATGAGAAGCATAAAAAGAACAAGGACATCATGATGCCTCTCCATGTCATACGCATATACAGACTACGTACCTAGGGGACGCCGCCTACAGAGCGAGTAACTGAAGAGCTGTAGCTGTTTCAGACTTCAACTTGACCTTCCTCTCACCTTATCTTCACCTTTTCTTGGACCGGATGCCTGTAAAAATGCTTACCTGGGTACTGACTTACTTACTTACCACAATACATACTCCATATAGTATATTGCCTTCACCCTTATCCATCGTAGTAAGCGCGAATTAAATGAAAGCTAGATCTCTTGTCTCTTGTCTCTTGTCTGGCGCTACGGTTCTCTCCATGCGGAGTATATATTGAACGTATCTATGCATTCACTGATATAGTATTCTATATATGAGATTCAAAGATTCGTCTCTACTCACGGGACCGGCTAAGTCGCTTCTCGCATAGCGCACATGGCATATATACGATATAGCATAAGTACGTTACCGTGGCATCTACGCAGACCTTAGGCACTACACCGGAGGCCTTGAGAGTTAGGCAGCGAACATGCGGCATTCCATCCGCCCCCCCGCTCAGATTGGCTGACCTGAATAGTTTCGGTCCGTATTGCCTATCCCATCTCGACCCGCCCCGCCGGCGTTACCTGCCATGGATGCACGATATTGTCAGTCCCTGCTGGTGGTGGGGGCGGGGGTCTTGTCGGCGGCGGCGGACTGGCTACATTTTCCGCGCGGGGCTGCGTGATCGAATCGGCACTCCATGGCATGGAGGAAGTATACGAACTGTCAGAGCTCCGGTACGCAGGACCAGGACCGTCCATGGCAGACACGGTCTGGTATGACATGGCGGAAGGGCCCGGCGAGAATACGCTGGGTTGAGATACGCCGGATTTCCTGAGGTTGTAGACGTTACTGGCTACCGTCGCAGAGCGGTTGGGCCTGTCGGTCACGGCTTCTTGCCATCGTCTTGTGACGTCCCTGTACCGGGACGACATGTGTTCGGACTTTGTTCTGGCGGGAGTGGTGTCCATGTTTGCCGAGGATGCAGAAGCGGGTGGTTGTACTGCTGAACGGGCTCTCATGTAATGAGGCATCGGGGGACCTGCATCTGCTTCTGATCTATTCCGACGACTAGCGAGCCCAGGTTCCCCCAGTGGCATTGGAGACACACTATTCGACGGCGGTTGCGGCGGGTCTCCAGACGAGTATTGCGATTCCGATTGTGGTTGCGATGGTTCCTCGTAGGAGAACCGCCGAGATAATTTGGCTGGTCCAGCTCGAGTGGTGGACGACCTCAACTCGACGTGTCTGGGTTGTGTAGCTTGCTCGAGTTCAGTGACGCCACCGTTATCCATATGACCTCGGGGAGGCCGCGCAACCTCGCTCTCCTGTACCAGACGCTCCGTTTCCTCCGCGTTTCGGAGTAGAGCCATCACATGCTCCTTTCGATCCTCGGGGATGGTGACGTTCTGTGCGAAGCCAATCCTGTCTGCGGTAAGATTGAAGCCCCATGTCTGGATGCCTGGGATTGAGGCACCAGCAGCAAGGAGCCTCTCCACCACCTCTGGGTGACCATAGTATGCACCATAGCGCAACGGTTGCCAGGCATGTTCATCCTTTTCTCTCACGGAGGCGCCATAACCAATAAGCAGGTCGACCACGTCAGAATGCCCATTCTTGGCCGCAATGCAAAGAGGAGAGTCCTCGTGAGAAGGGCCGGCAGCGAACTTGGAACGGAGAGAAGCGCCCCGATCCAGCAAAACCTTGACTATCTCTGTATGGCCATGGCTGCTTGCAAGGAGCAGAGCACGATCGCCGTCTGCATTGCGTGCATCGATCATTGCGCCATGCTCAAGAAGCATTGTAACGTTGGAAATGTTCCCTTTAGTTATTGCAAGGTGCAGAGGCCGGTTCTGGGCACTTGCAGTCGCTTCCACATCGGCTCCGGAGCGAAGGAGAAGAAGAACAATGTCGGTATTGTCAAAACCGCAGGCGTAGTGCAGTGGCCTGAATGAATCCTTGCATCGAGCCTCGAGAGCAGCATTCTTGCGCAACAACAACTCGACAACGGCGAAATGCTCTGCCATGACCGCAAGGTGAAGTGGAGTTCTGCCGTCAACATTAACCGCGTTGATCTGCGCCTTCTTTTGCGCAAGAAGGTCGACGACCTCGACGTGACCATTAAAGGCTGCCCAGTGTAGAGCGGTCATATCCCCCGAGCCCTTGCTTTTCAACGAGGCTTTCCGTTTCAGAAGAAAGTCCACTGTGTGTGCGTGACCTGCCGAAGCCGCAGTCATGAGTGGAGTCTTGCCCTCGTTGCCTGGTGTTTCGATATCTACCTTCTTGCTTAGGAGAAGCTCAACAACATTATCGAAGCCTCCATCGCAGGCGTAATGCAAGGCGTCCATGAATTTGGCATCTTTTGCTGAGACGTGTGCGCCGTAATTGATCAGAAGGGCAACCGTGTGGAAGTCTCCGCGCTGGGCTGCGGCGTGCAGCGATGTCAGGTTGCTTTTATCCCGCGCATTCACTTTGGCGCCGTGAACAAGTAGGAGTTCTGCGGCCTCGAGGTGTCCGCCGTCGCAGCTGAGACGTAGGGCACTCTTATCGTGCGGGCCCTTTTCCTCGAGCGGCACATCCTCAGAAACGAGGAGCTGTAGCACACCTACATGACCTCTGCTGGCGGCTAGATGCAGTGGCGTATAATGCAGGTTGTCCTGCTGAGAGATCCTGGCACCATAGCGAAGGAGGAGCTCCACAACCTCTGCATTGCCACAGTGTGCTGCCACCGCCATTGCATTCCGCCCAATCGGCCTGTAGGATTCTTCTATGTCCGCGTGTGCCTCCAGCAAAGATTCAATCTCGTCGATTGAGCCCGTTTGTGCTGCACGCACAATGGGCGGGCATTTCCTCGCGGCAGAGGTCGACAAGTCGACGCTGGTGTGAAATTTGTTCTCAAAACCCTTCTTGCCGCGCTGGGAGCCGGGAATGGGACTCTTGGTCTCTTGTTGCCGGTTGTGCTCCTCAATTGCTGAATCGCTCTTCCGGCGCAAACTGTGCCAAAAGGACTTCTTCCTGTCGAGCGTCTTCACAGTGGGTGACTGCAGAGGTGAGTATGGCAACCGCGAACTCGAATCGAAACGTCCAGTGAGGTTGGCAGTCTGGATCTTATAGACATTGCCGGAATCTGATGCTCGCACGGGGTTCGTTTCGTAGGGTCTGAGGGGCCTCGAGGTGGACCCGCGAGACCATGTAGGGGACACTTGGCAAAGTTAACTCAAGATACTTAGACTGTAGCACCTGAACTCAGACAACGGGCCTAGCAAGCTGATACGTACAGTGACTGGCCGATGGCGCCGAGTCCGACGTCGTCCTGCTCATAGTATCGTAACCTTCATCAACCAGGAGATGGTCCTGAATCTGTATGTTCAACTCAGGTCGGCGAAGGACAGTATCACGACGAGAGTCGGATTTGGATCTTTGGTGGTGAGTAGCATTTAGGTAGGCATCTGTCCTCAAGAGCTCCTCATCGAATGGAAAAGCTCTGCTCGGTATAGTCGAAGGACCGCTTTTGATCGAAGGCGAGATGATCGAAGCACGCTGACTCCGTGCCGCACGGATAGTTGAAGTATCGTCGACGACATCCTGGATTTTCTGCTGATTTTCTGGCGTTCGAAGAAGCCTAGTCTGCTCGGAGATGTTGGTGCTTAAAGCCCAAGCCATTAGCGATACTGAGGGGAGCACATTAAAGACGGCGACATACCACTGTATAGCAGTAAGGAGCAGATGCAGCGCCCCAGTCTGTCGACTGAGTCTCTCCTGGTGATCTTTGAGAGCGCTTTCATGCCAGACAAGTCTCGTTTTATCTCGAAACCCAAGACGTAAGTGCGACTACCGAGATATGGCGCAGTCAGAGACGTACTTCTCCTGCATGGGTGGTACCCACCTGGCCCTGTTCGAGTGTGTTCGAGTGGAGGAGGTCGGCCACATCTTCAGCCAAAACCTCCATTGCAACCCTACATCCCTCAAGTATGGCCCCGAGACCCTCACCCAGCTTGGGCGCTTGGGTCTGGTCTTCTTCCAGGTTGTACTTTGCCCAGTCATGTATACGGTCCAAGGCGCTTTTGATGGCCGTGAGTTCGGACTTAAGCAGTTTTATGTTTGTGTCGGCGACCTGCGCCCGTTAGTTATGTTGCTTGGCACCGTCGCAACAGAGCATGCTCACGGCGAATTTAGCTCTCAGGTCAGCGAGGTCTTTGAGGGTGCCCACTATGCAGGCGGTAATGGCACCCGCAGAGCCCAGCAAGCCCAAGATCGAACCTGGATCCATCTGAGGCTGCGGCTGAAGCTTTTCTCGTAGTACTCCTCAACCAATGACAACGAGTGCTTGATTTCAAAGAGTTCTGCGCCCGACTGAGCGTTTGAACCTGTCGTGTAGTCTTCACCTGCCTGAGGCATCAGAGCAATGGGAGGGTTGGCCGGACCGCATCCAGTGAGGCGGAACATTGTGAATAATATACAGCAGAAGACCTCGTATTGTTTCTCAGGACACCCAAGCTAGTGGATGTGCGTGGGAACACAGGCGAGCAGCGCGCAGCATACGGCCGGTATTCGAAGGTGTCGTGGTAAGGACGAAGCGAGGGTTGGCTGCAGGAAGCCTCCTCACTGGCGCTGCGGCGTGCAACATGACTGGCGGAGAGGTTCAAGGGCCATGAGCCACAGAAGGCGCGGACGATCGCATCCATGGATAACGATGGAAGTTCTGAGGCATCGAGGACGTGCACCTGCCCAGCCCCCTTCGCTCAATTCTGCTCATCTGGTCAGTCTTACAATAGCTGTCCAGATCATCAGACGTAGCTGGGGCCTGGGAGCCTGGAATGCATGTCTCACCCAAAGAGCGAAGGGAGACTTCGAAAACTGGTGCGGAGGCTATGCAGGCCCTGGACAAAGTGAAAGCATCGAGAGTTTACGAGCTTCATATGCACGCCGCGTCTCTTGGCAACGGAGCCGCTTGCGTTTGGTCCAACTGCGGCTCGCTGGTAGACAACCTTGTACCCTCTGTGGCAGCGCAGTCGGGGGCCAAATACGGTGGGGACTCCACGCCTCTTTGGTAAGATGTGATAGAGTGGCTCAGACCTGCGCGAGCGAGATGAGAGGAGAAGTGACGCGTGTCGAGGAACGGGAAGGGTGCATTGTCAGCAGCAATCTACCATCTTGTTAGGAAAGAGCGATGAACGAGTAAATAAAGCTATGAGGGAGACCGTCCGTACCATTGTCTCCCAGGCTGAACAGTGAGCCTAACCAACAGAAGGGGTATCTCTCGATATACAAAGATCAGACCAAAATGCCCACGACTTCAACGCTTACACCAACGCCTCTCAATAACCAAGCAGGCTGTCAAGACATGGTCACTCTGGTGGACTGCTTCTCAATCTCCTCCCACTCCCGAGCGGCCCTACGCTCTGACTGAAGTTCTCCAGTCCGATCCCTGCGGCTGTACTCCTCGTCGCTCTGCCCGCCTTCGTGGTGGGCAACCTGCTCTCCACGACTGCATTGGCAGTGGCATGCCGTTTGAGTGGGGGCTGTTGATGCTCGCTACCGACGCTTTTGCTCAAGTCCAGCAGCACAGGCTTTTCTTCATTCTGCGAGGAGGAAGATGACGCCGAGACAGGCCTGTTGCTGTTAGCGACGTTGATGTCGATTTCCTTGAGCCCTCCCGATTTTGGCTCGTTGGAGACCTTCGTAGAGATCGTGGTCAAGGCCTGTGTTTGCGGTGTTGCTGTCCCTGGCTGGAACACAGGCATTTCCACGTCTGTAAACACCTTCGTTTTGCTCGGACTGGGGATTTTCGATGGCGACCCTGGGCCTTTTCGTGGCGACGCTTGCTTGCGAGGCGATCTGGCAGGAGTCCGTGCTGATGAAGGCGTCTTGGTGACAAGCCCTGGTTCGGGTTGGCCTCTCGCCCTAGCGATGATCGAGTCGTGGTTCTCAGTCCGTGGCAGCTCAGTAGGGTAGTTCCAGTCTCTCTTTTGTGGCGTGTCTCCTGTCGACGTGTATTCGGCCAAGCTGCTGTCTGATACCTCACGCTTCAGCTCCAGCAGTGGTTCCCGTGTATCGTTGCCCAGGGAGCCAATCAATCTGTCAAGATCCATTCTTTGTTGCTTCTGGTCCTCCATGAAGCTTTCAAGCGCGGCTTTGGACTCGTGCGAATCCTTTTCAAGAGTGGCGTACCCACCTTGGGCTCGAGACATGACAGTGCTTAGTTTTTGCAGGCGGTCAGCATGGTGATTGTCGTTCTCTGTCCGTGCTCTTGTCACAAACTCGTCGAGTGCCGCCATTTGGGTGGCGACTTGGGCGACTTGGGCTTCGACAATCTTGACGGTCTCCTCGTGCACCGCTTTGGTGGACTTCTGGATGGCTGTATTTCGCGCATTGATCGACTGGTTCACCATTAGTGACAACAAGATTGCAATGTGCTGCAGTCCACTTACCGTCCAGTCTCCCTTCATCCTGCCCTTCAAATCATCCTTAGACTTCACCACCTTCGTCATCAACTCATTGTGTCGAGAAGTCCACTTCTCCATGCCATCATGGTGGGCTCCATTAGCAGTTTCAAACTGCTCTGTCGCGTCAACAAGATTGGCTTGAACGTTATTCAACCTGCTTGACAACCTTTCCTGTTGTTGATGGTGGGAGGACTCGATCAGTGCAAAGATCTGCTCTTTCAGCTTGTCCTTTTCGTCCTGCGCAACCTGTCTTTCCTCGTCTCGTATAGCCTGTAGCTGAGTTGACGCTGCCAGTGACGCCGCGATGTTCGCGTGACTTGCTTGTTGTAGAGCCAACCTCAAGAAGTCGATTTCATCCTGCTGCTCTGACATTTGTCTGGTGAGATCGTCGAACGTAGCCTTGAAGTCCTTGCCAAGGCCACTGTAAGACGAATGCAGCTGAGTATGAAACTGCTCCAGCTCCGATATCACCTCCGCAGAGATCTTTGCGGCGGCTTGAGACAGACCCTGGAGGCCCTCGCTGACCTTGTCCTTGACCTCTTCTCGCAGATCCTTGATCTCCTCCAGCACGGTGTTCATCGAGTCCCTGGCTTGTGCCGACTGATTCTCAACATCAGTGCAATCTTCCGCCAGCTCAGATGATGCCTCAAGAATTCGCCTTGTGGAACTCTCTAAACGGGCCGTCTCCGCCCCGATGAATGCCTCGATCCGACCAGAGCTTGTAGCAACCATCTCCGAATGTGCTGCCTGAAAATGGCCGATGCAACGATCAAAAATTTCCGAAAGGTTAGAGATTCGATCGACGTGAGACTTCCAAGATTCTCGGTTTCGACGCTGGAGATCGGAACGTCGCCTCAATTTCGCCCGCAGACCGTCGATGTCCTTCAGTGACGCACCGACGGTTGAAACCAATTCGGTACCCATGCCGAATAACCGCTCCTCTGTTGCTTCATGTGCCTCGCGAATAATGGTCTCCTCCATGAGTAGCCTCGTCGTGTCCGCAAGTACCGCTTCAGTCTTTTCGAGCACACCCTTGGTACTTTCTAGAATGACCCTAGTCGCCTCATTGTCTCGTTTAAGCAAGGTGAAGTTGTTGGTCAAGCTGAACAGCTCCTGGACCTTGTTGCGGAGGCTGACCTCCATTGTTTCTATTCGCGCTTTCTGCTCCTCGCTGAGGATCCTCCTTGACTCACTCTCCACCGTGATTCCTTCGTACTGATCGTTGGTGAGATATACTCCATTTCGTTGCCTCGTGGCGATCAGCTCGCTTTTCAACTTCTCGATTTCAGCGGTAAACTCTTTCAACAACGTCTTCTTGGAGACCATTGAGTTGACCTGTGGCTTATTGCGGATGTTCTTGGCCCGAAATGCATAGTCCAGGGTGGAGATCGTCTCTTCCAGGTTGCTTTTCGCTGGTGAGACCGTCGCAATGATGCACGTTTTCGTTCTTCCACCCAGAGAGTCTTGCAGTAGCCTGGTAAGCTTTGACTCTCGATAAGGGATATGAGAACTCTTGTCCACGAGAGCATTGATCACTCGGCCCAAGGTCAGTAAACTTTTGTTAATCAAACCAGCTTCGGCAGCTCTCTTGTTCTCGGCCCCACTTCTTTGGATGTTCTCACTGCCTGCCAGATCGACAAGATTCAGTTTCCCAGAGCAGATATAATCATCGCCTGCTTCGCTGGCTTTCTTGATATAGGTCGTGATGGTAAAGACTGTGTGGCTTCGGGAGCTAAGGTCATTGCATTTCGTGGCCGCAACCTGCCGCCTGTGGCTTCCTTCTCGGAGTAGTTTGATTCCCGCGGCTGCAGTGTTGATGTGTGATTCCTCCATGCCCTGAACCACCGTGGCCGGATGGCTCTTTCTGTTCGCATCATCAAAAATCTTAAGCTTGACAGAGTCATCCGAGGAAAGCAGATCCCTCAGCTCCTCATTGTAGAGCTCGATGAATGAGCATTTCACCGAGCATTCCACCTCATCTGCCTCAAGCTTCTGGAAGAGTGAATATAGCACCCGGGGGATGATTCCCGCAGCATCGGATAGCATCCCTAAACTGTCTGTCATGTCCCCTGACATGGTGTAGGTTTTTCCGGTCCCCGTCTGTCCATATGCAAAGATCGTGCAGTTGTAGCCCGCGAGCACTTCATTAAGAACTGGGGCCACAACATCGTCAAATATGATTGCCTGGTCGGCCGCCGGGGAAAAGACTTTGTCGAAGTGGTAAGCCTTGTTGCTGATAGCATTTGGTCCCATGGACAATTCCACCGTCTTGCCCTTCACTCCACTCGTTGATACCACCACGCCGCTGTTTTCTCTCACTTCTCGCTCACTGCGGCCTCGACAGCGTACCACCACATTGATATTCGTCTCTTCGCCATGGTCCTGGTCGAAATCCCTCTCCTTTCTCTTCGTTCCCGCGTTAGAGGCACCGCTTGAGGATAGCGATTCTGCCGGTGAAGGGGCTCGGCCAGTCATTGAGGCATACTGTGTGGCATGTGGTCGTAGTGGTGGGCGCATCGACGTCCTCGTAGATAGGGTCGCAGTACGCTGCGGTGCCGCCATGCTTCTTGCAGACATGACCGTGCAGTGGTGTCAAGATTCATCGAGGAGATATGATTTGGAGGACAAGGGCCAGGGTGTAACGGGAGCGGGAGTGTGGTATGGCGGTACTGCATCTTCCACGCACCAAAACCAAAGAGGCTGAAAAGTAAACAATGCCAAGCCACTAGTGCACGAGTGGAGAAGTCAGCAGTGCGGCACGAACTGAGCTAGGCACGTGACGAGGTCAGGCTACAGCAAGCGCGAAACTCTATTGGCTGGTCGCGTGTGGCCTTGAACCTCATCATCCCCCTTGACTCCTTGTGACCTGCTTTCTACTTCCGTTGATCACAACAAAAAGGCAGCGCTTCTCGAGATCGCCACGCCTCAATATCTTCCCCAGAACATGCAACCATCATCATGACTGAAGCTCCCTCTGAGGCTGGTTTCCAGATTCAACCAGATAGAGGCATCAGCTGGATAAGTATGCATTGTCGGCTTTCTCACCACGTAACCTAACTAATCGCGACAGCCCTCGGCTCTTCCATCTACAGTGTGATAACGAGGCTGAAGGCGTCCCCGCATATTTACACCGGTCTTGACTTATCCTGTTCTGCTGTGGAACCACTCACCCAGCCGATCATTCTGAGCCTACCATATAATGGTCTGAGACTTCGCTTCGACGGTCCCGATCAACGGCTACGACTGATCGAAGTACTCGACTTCTCGCTGAGCACATTCGTCTATAAGAACACCGCGCTGGTCCGCCGAGCTAAGAGCTCGGATGATGTTAACCAAGATGAGGTCAGTCCAAGCGGGCCAACCTTTCGCCATGTCTATAGTCGTCTGTTCGGACCAACTTATGCGGGAGAATATACCGCCCCAGAAGCCGGCGTCTCCGAAGGGACGTACGTCCTTTCATATCCTGGCTTGGCCTTCACGTTTCCTGTGAAGCACAAAGCGTGGTCAGAAAAGGTGGACTTTGTGTCAATACTGTCCTCGAATGCGACAGGTCCGGCGAAGGCGATGGCTATCTTTTCGGGGTCATCGTGGACTGAAGTGAGGTCTAACCTGTATACTAAACCACCAGTCTATCCACGATCACCGGCACTTATTGGCAAATCCGTGGAGACTGTCCCTGACGAAATCGAGGAGGTAAGAGTGCTTGGAGGCGGTAGGCTGGAATTGATCCGAAGGAGCTCGCCGCCTCTAGCGATCACCCTAAGCGAGACAACTCCGCAAGATCTTGTGGCCGACTTAGGTCCACCCGATGCCATTTACCGTAAGCATGACCGCCGGATATCCATCCATGCGAAAGGCAAGCCTACCAACCGACGACAGTCAAGCGTGTCTCCGGGACTCGACCCCCAAGCACTGGATACCGATCAGTCATCCATGCACAGTTATACAGAAGACTCGGACTTTGATCCGGAACTCGATGAAGATCGCACTGATCCGTCCAGCGATGAATGCTTCTACAACTACTTCAACCATGGATTTGACATATTGATCTCGTTTCCTGCCGCAAGAACACCGCGTTTTCCCGGTTCCGAGCTCGGTGAGATTTCAGCATCGTCCAGCGCGCAACTGGTTGCCACCAAGATCTTATTGCATGGCAACGTACCAGGGTCATTTCCATTCAATCGGCATCGGCGAAGTCGGTGGGTGATACGACTAGATGCAGAGAGCAGAGAGCCATGGTTGACTTCCGAGATGCCGTTCTCTGAGGTATCCGCGGCACTCAAGGACGTCTGGCACGACACGTACAAGGACGAGAACGAGGAGAAGCAGATGCAGCGCGGCATGGTGCTCAACCGAGGATGGGGTGAAAGCCCCGAGAGCTCGATCGAGCTGCTGGGGGATCTCGAGGAAAGCCCAACCCGAGAGAAGGCCGATGAGCATGGTCTGGGAGATGCTATCGGTGTAATGAGCAACACGGAATTGTTCGGGTTCCCGGGCATGTTATTTGAAGTGCTGAAGAATGACGCTGTTAGCTGCTTGACAGTGTTTTAGACAATACCAGGTACTCCGTAGAGTTACAGTTGCTCAGGGCTGCAAGACGCAAGCCCCGCCAGTCACCAGTTGGGCGACCCGACGGCGGAGATGGTGGAGGCCTGCGTGATTCGCCCACCCGCAATGCGATCCGATGCTTGTTTCTCCCTGCGCTTGTCCCGCTTCCAACCTCCGATTCTTCCCTCCCACGCCACACTGCCGACTTATTGCTCATCGTTTGTAGAGGTGCGACTTGTGGCCGCTCACTGCACGACCTTCCGCTGTAAATGATGTATCCCATGAAACTCGCCTATTGCCGTAGCACGGCCTTCACATATTCCTAGCGAAGATGCGTATCTGCACCCGCCACTGCTTCTGCGCCATACACATACCTGGTACTGCGCCTTGAATGCGTTGGATTCACCTCTCTATCATTGTGTTCTGAGGACCTTAACAAACACTAATCCGTTACTGAGATATGCAGTCGTAGCGCCAAGCTACCGCGCCTTTCAGAAGGTGCGCTGATGCGTTGTTGAGTTCGCAAAATCTCTCCATCTATCCATCGAACCACATATCCGAACGACACACCATGTCGAAACAAAATCCCATCCTCTGTCTTGTGGACGACACGGCCTTGACCAGAAATCTTGATGAGATCGAGAGCTGGGTCTCACAAGGCCTCATCATCCTCGTGGTCCCCCTGTACAGTAGGGTTGCCCTTGCCGCGAGAGATTCTCGCCTCCGCTAACTGAGACAGCGCTTTCCCGCCTTCACGTCCTGAAGAAAGACTCGTCGCCCATCGGTATCAGTGCGCGCAAAGCTGTCAAGTTCCTCGACCGCAGCACCTCCTCGCGTGGAGATCTCCCACACGACCCTGTCATCCTGCAAGGTCCCGACGACCAGTATCCGACCTGGGCTGAGGTGGAGGAGCATTACTTGAATGAAAGCCTGAAGAACGCCGGCATAAACGAAGAGGCGGCGCTCCCAGCCATACATAGCATGCCGGAGAAGGGGGTAGAGATGCCGTTGAAGGGCAGCGCCGGCGCTGGAAACGCGCTTTCGCAGCTGTTGCTCGACAAGCTCAACTTTGCAAAAGACCCTGGCACTACCTCGCCCAGTTCGACCCCACCACTGTCACCATCTTCCTCTGGGCCACAAAGTTCCAAGACTAGTCCTGAGGTCAAGTCCGCCACGATGTCGAATCAAGACCAAATCCCTGTGCCACCGTCGCTGAAACCCTTGCTTAATCCGGTGGTCTGGTACGTAAACGAGAAGAAATCATTACCAGACGAGAGTCTCATCTTCTTGACCAACTCGGCCGACACCATGCATCTCGCCCGCGACTTTGGCATCCCTACGAAGAATATCCACCAATTGAGAAGTGCACTCGGCATGGATGAAAATGAGCCCGAGACACTGGAGAGTTCCAAGAAGGACGCACCCAAGACAGTTTTGGCCTCGGAGCCCAAGACTCTTTTCAGCTACAATGATGTAGACAGCGACGAAGAGGAGGTCGTTTTCAAGCCGAGAGGTCGCGGGTCCACCCGAGGCGCACAGCCGTCACGGCTCACGGTGGCTGGGGCGGGCAGTGTGCGTGGAAGAGGAGGAGATACTCGATCTCCACGAACGTCGTTCAGTACTCCCAGCCAAACCCCAGCCAGTAAACCTCAGATCCCGGTCGAAGAGATAGACCCAGATTCCTTCGACCGTGGCAGCTTCGCGCGAGGCAGCACTCCGCTTGCGAACACAAGCAACCACGTCCCCAACCAGTTCAACAGCGGGCGTGGCGCGTACCGGGGCAACTACTTCCGGGGAGGACGAGGAGCCAACTTCAACCGGGGCTACGGCAGTGGATTTGAACGGGGATCGGCCCGCGGAAGAGGTCGGCTGTTCGTGCCTTAGGCAATGGTGGCAGCTGTTGCATGCTTCAGGGTCTGCAGCAGTAGGAACACCTTACCACACCTATCGACAACAGCCACAACTGTTGGTCAACTCCAAACTAGGTTCGCCTATCGTCAGAGGCTGCATCAGTTTCACCAGCCGCAATCCGACACCGTCAACTAATTACCACATACGAGGTATCCGGCACAGGACTTTTGGTGCAGGCGTCAGGTCTCTACACTTGCGGCTTGATTGATCATTCGGCAATTTCCAAGCAACCGCCTTTGTGGCTGGGAAGTGCATGTTGGGGACCGCGTGCTCAACGGCGGTCTCACGGAGCAGGAGACGTGAGAGGAGGATGCAGAAATGCTCTCATTTCTATCCCTATGGTGGATCAAGATTAGAACTGATGTTGTTGCTCTGCTTCCACCCCGTTCACTTGGTGGGCAACTGCCGGCGTCGACATCAGCTGGGTCCAGGGCTCAAATTGATCGAGGAGGAAATGGGAACTTGAGACGCTCTTTTCGAGGCCTGGTAGCGACAGGTCATGTTGCAGGATATCCATGCTCTTCGCATCATATCCATTCTTGGGAAACAGCAACTTATGTCGAGTCCATTCTTTTACATACTGCCAGCATCGATCTTTATTGGCCAGCTGGAATTCCGGATTCTGTCTTCGACGCAACTAGCGCAAGCTAGCCACATTAGCCGCTAACTATGCCCGCTTGTGGAAGGTTTCCATGCACCAAAGAAGACCCTTGCCCGTGATGACAGAACCTGCACGCCCGTGACAATTGAGCTTTCTCTCTTTTTGGCCTCTGCTTCTTTCAATGGCTGCACATCATTCGGCCTGGCACCAGCTTGCCGCGGCTCTAGTTAGTCATCTTCATCTCCAAGAGCATCTCACAAGCTCCGCTGCAATGCAGGGTGTTTTAGTCCGCCGTCGTTGCCGGCTTGCTCCATATCGAATATTAGCTCAGCCGTGGCTTTCTGCTCCATGGAAAGCCCTTTGTCGACGGTCCATCAGCTGTCTACCCGTATAAGTCTATCAGAGAGCTCGCCGCGGTCCGTCATTGCCTTTTAACATATTCCCTCGCGTCTCACAGACACCCGAGATCGAAGAAGTGGCCGTCTCTGAAGAAATATCAAATTCGTCTTACACCGCGGAGAAAGATTATATCGGCTCCGTTCAAGAATCCCACAATCCCGTTTCCGACGTCACAGAGGCCAGTTTGTGACACATATTTACTCCAGTAGTCGCACTTTGCCCGCGAGATGGTAATGCCCGATCCCCAGCCTCGAGAGGCTCGACCAAGGGCCTTGACTCGGAGGATCACCAGCGCCGCCGTCAGTCTGCAGAAGACATTAAGCGGCGGCGCGGACAAGCATGGCGACATTTCAACCTGGAACCCCGCCCTGGGAGAAGCTCATCAAGATCTCACCTCCCTAACACGAGCTCCTATTTCCTCATCCAAACGGAATGGCAAGCAAATGGCGTTGGACCCTAGCAAAAATGGCGAAATTGGTTGGAGGAAATACGTCAAGTACTTCACACCATCGTATGTGGCCATACCCTTGTAAAACGAGAGACAAAGCGCCTGACTTGCTGCTGAAGATGGTTTACCGTGACGATGGGAACAGGCGTAAGTGCCCTCTCTCAATGCCAATATTTGGATGAGCGAGGCTATTAAACCACGAGTTCACCCTTTGATGTGTCTTGGCCTACAGCGCTAATCCAAGACTTCCTAGATCGTCGCGAGCCTGCTGAATCAGTTCCCCTACGGCGCAAGATGGCTGTACTGGCTTTCAGTCATCGTCTTCTGCTTGAACATCGGGCTCTATGTCTTCTTCCTCTTCGTGTCCGTCCTACAGTTCGTCCTGTTCCCACCGATGTGGATTACCTTGCCTGAACGACCGAACCAAGCATTCTTCTTGAGCGCCATACCCATGGTAGGACCACTCGGCCGTTCATGGCGCTCTGCTGATTAGCAACACAGAGTCTTGGGACCATTGTCAATATGATGGTGTTCGTTTGCGTGCCTGCATGGGCAGAATGGGTGATCTATCTATCATGGGGGTTAGCATCTATGCGGAGTAGAGTTCGGCAAGGTCTAACCAATGCAGATTGTGGATGGCAGACGCGGCGCTGTGTCTGATCTGCGCCTTGTTTCTGCCTTTCCTCCTTGTCATCGGCCGACAAGAAGAAACGCCGCTCTCAACAATAACAGCTCTACAGATGTTCCCGGTCATCGGGACAGTCGTCGCATCGGCGACTGCAGCCCTCGTCGCCGATGTTCTACCGAACAATCAACAGGCCCTTGCTACCGTACTGATCGGCTATATCCTCCTTGGCGTCGGCCTCCCGACGGCTATATTCATCCTGATCATGTACTGGCAACGTCTAACAGTCTACAAGCTGCCGCCTCGCGAGGTTATCGTGTCCTGCTTCGTCCCTCTCGGACCCTTCGGCATGGGCAGCTTTTCCATTATGAAACTCGGGGCAGTAGCAATGAAGGTGTTTCCTCAGACGAAGAGCATACATCCTCTGGCTGGCGACTTTGCTTACAATTTTGGGGTGCTCTTTTCGTTAATCATGTGGGGCTTCGCGTTGTTGTGGCTATTTCTTGCAGTCGCCACGATATACCACGCCAAAAGCTTTCCATTTAACATGGGATGGTGGGGGTAAGAAAGGAGACGCGAGCCCCTCGTTGTAGCGGATCGTTGCTTACATTTCACCAGGTTCACTTTTCCCATCGGCACATTCGCCTTAGCATGCAACACGCTCGCGAAAGAGATACCCTCCGAGTTCTTTCGAGTCATTGGCTCCGTAAGAATGCTAAATCCCCCTAAGACACATCGCGTTCACACAGCTAACTCTCGTTCAGATGGTGTCTGTTTCCGTCTTCCTCCTGTGGCTTCTCGTCGCATATGCGACCCTGCGAGATGTCATCACTGGCGGCAAAAAGTTATTCAAGGCGCCTACTCGACAGGTCAGCAAAATCAATGACAAAGCACCTGATAAGTTCGAGGATGGGGAAAAGCTCGTCTGACAGACTGCAATGGTTGGTGTGGACATCCGTCGAGACTTGCGGTAGGCAGAACAGATTCCAGTCTCGACTAATACATTCAGGATCTCCCACAAACCGAAAGCCGCTCACTGGGGTCAAAATACGATTCGAAGGCACCGCTGCTCCACCGCCCTCTTCGCGGTATCTCAAGCAAATTCGATCGTGACGTCCTACTTGGCTGTCGCAACAATAGCACCGACCTTGAGGGGCGATTCGGCCGACGTCTTGGTTCGAAGGCCTGTCCACTTGATCGCGCTGCGCGTCTATCTGGGTGCTGGCATCGCCATCGCTCTGTCCCAGGGCCGTTCTGCGCTCCTCGGTCTGCGAGTCTTGCGACAACGGCAATTCTGGCATGGACACTCGATCGGATGCAAGTTCCGCTTGCTGACCCGACCATCTTAGGGATGTTCTCGCTCGCACACGGGTGCTCACAGATGTGGCATCTCCCGCGGAAGGGAGTCCCTTTAACTGCAGTGCCAGTCGCGTGAGTTGCGGAGCAGAGCGAAGCCCACACAACGACTGGCGCTGGGCTGACTCGCGCCTTTCAAGAATCACACGCGACCTGTGCATAGAGCTCATATTTGGCAGAGTTCCGATTTATCCCGCTGGCTGGGCCTTGATCGTCTAGTTGCTCGCGATTGCTTCCGGGTTGTGCTTGCGTTCTCGTGGGATAACGACGTATCACTGCGACAGATCTTGACACTCTTCTTCTGGACAAGAAATACCGCTCGCTGGCGGCAGCCCAGGCTTCCGGCAACGTCATTCGGTGCGCGCTAGCAGCAACCGCGGCGTCATTCTGGCAGGACTTGGTCGTCCCCATAGAGATCGGCTGGCCATTCACGTTTCATGGGTGCCTTGCCTGTTATTGCTCTGGCTCTCTTTATCGCTGATGACCATTGAGGCACGTGGTGTCGACAGAGGCATACCTCTCCAGCCTCAGGCGACATGTGATAGAGGTCCGGTGTTTAGTGGCCCGGGCCAACGTGTTGAACGAACACAGCTTTGGAAACCGCCGGTTTATTGCTTGGTGCTGCCGTATCTAGTACCTGGTCTTCGAGTCCAGACCTTGGCGCCGACAACGAACTAGGTCATCGGCAGGAGGTGGGCATACTGTACAATCAGGGTGAAGTTGACCAAGACAAGATCATCGATGCTTGTGGGACCGAACTGTCAGTGGGAGTTTCTACTGTAGAAGAGAGTACTATCAAGTACGGAGTACATAGGTAATCAACGACTAGTACCGGGGGGTGTGGACATTAAGAACACGTACCGTATCATGCCTAACCGTAACGAGTGAGAGCCGGGAGCCAGAGTCAGGGAACCCCTCCCCGGATGCCCCTAGGCACTGTATGTAGCATGCTTGACCCCGCGCTCTGGAAGATGCCTGTCATGCTCCTCGCGTGAGGTGTGCGTACTGACGTACAATCCGTAAACAAAAAGCCATTCATTCAACACCCAACACATCAACCTGTCCTCGACTGTCGCATACACTGCATCATCCTGCTTGCCCCAACTACTCTCATACCACGAACTGCACAGTGGTGAAGATCCGCACACAGCCCGCTGACGAGCCCCTCGAGAGCACTCCGTGCAGCACCTCATCCTTTCCACCTGCCTCACCCCAACTACATTAGTACTCCGTAGACGAGTCGCACACAACGCTCCGGACGACGATGACGACCTTCGACCCCTCCCCTTCACCCTCAACAGCGGGTGCAACACCCATCCGCATCCTCATAATCAACCCCAACACCTCACGACACATGACCGACGCCCTGCGCCCCGTGGTGGCCTCCCTACGCCTCCCCCTGGCAGATTACACCTTCTTCACGTGCCCCGCGCCGGGCATTCCAAGCATCAACTCCCCCGCGGACGCCGCCGAGTCGGCGAGGATCTGTCTCCCGCACGTGATCCCCCTCTTGGACACGCACGACTGCGTCCTAGTCGCATGCTACAGTCAACACCCACTCGTGGGGCAGTTGAAGAGAGAGTGCGCGGCGCTGAAGTCGAAATCGAGGTCGGCGCCGAAGAAATACGTTACGGGCATCTTCGAGGCCAGCGTGCTCGCGTCGTTGGCGCTCGTTGATTCGAGCGACGGCGGCGGCGACGGAGACGGTGACGACGTGGCCCCCGCATTCGGGATCGTCTCGACGGGCAAGATCTGGGAAACCGCGCTACAGGGGGCTGTTGAGGAGTTTCTGGGTGTGGATGCGCCGACGCCACACTCGCGCTCGCGCTCGCGCTTCGTAGGCTGCGAAACCACGGGCCTCAATGCGAGCGAGTTACATGATCTTGACGGCGCGGAGGTGCGGGCCAAGATGATGGACGCGACGAAGAGGCTTTTGAGGAGGGGCAAAATTGGTGGTGGTGGTGGTGGTGGTGGCTCAAACTCAGGCTCTACGTCAAACTCCCGCTCTCGCTCCCGAGTTCAGGCGATCTGTCTAGGCTGTGCGGGCATGGTTGGGCTGGATGACGCGGTCAGAAAAGCGTGTGTGGAAGAATTGGGCGATGAGGTGGGTGACGCTGTGTATATTGTTGATGGGGTCAAGGCTGGGGTGGGGATGTTGTATGGTTTTGCTAGGGGCGGGTTCTGAGGGTCTGTATCGCTCGCTGGAAGCTGGTATTTCTACGCCAAAAGTAAGCAGCTGGAGTGTCGTGGTCGAGGGCCCTGGCTCTGGCTCTGGCTCTGGCTCTGGCTCTGGCGCTGGCTCTGGATTCCAAGGGCAGGACCGAATTTCGCTGCTCGATAACGAGATCGGGTCGGAGTGGAGGCAGCATTACCCGGTCCTGGATTAGAAACCGAGAAGATGGCGAACGCGGCTGGACGGTAGCAAAATACTGTAACTGGCTGGAGGTGCCACGATGTGAAGAACCCGGCCTGGCCGAGCATCAGCTGGCAGAAGATTCAGCCTGCAAAGGGCAGAGTTGGAACCTTCGACAGAATGGGAACCTTCGACAGAATGGGAACCTTTCACAATATAGGAAGCTTCTACATTATCACGTCCCCGAGACGAGCAGTTCCAGCACGAGACCGGCAGCGACTCCATCTCTCAGCTATCACAGGCCTGGCTTCAAGTCAGCATACCTCAGTTGGGTGTCTGTCTAGAAAACATCATCGGTGCAGAAACCAGAAAGAGAGCGTTGTGGTGGTCTGCCAGGAAAAGCACGCAAGCACTGTGTATGCAGGGCGAACCGCCCGCCGCCGTCGAGAGCAACACGGTTATGTATTGCTACCTACAGGGACTATACTCAGCATACTATCTGCATCAACGAGGGACACGAGTTGGCCAAATCAGAAATCAAAAACAAACTGTGCAGTCACGGTCAGTCTACAACCCCCCGTTTCGCCGCCGCAATGCAAGAAAAAAGGCAGTCTAGCCACCCATCGCACGCAAAAGCCCGAAAGGCAACTGAGTCCTGTCTGTTTTCTTGCACACCGCCATCCGCCAACGACGTCGTCGCCATCACCATCACCATCACATCACATCATCCCGCACTGCTCTACTGGGTCGGCGTTCCAGGTGGGTCAGAAGAGCTTGTGCTCGAGCGTCATGTCCGACTCGGGCTGTAGTCCGACGCAGGCACGGAAGATGTTGGTCAGGGCGCTGCGCTGCTTGGCGAGGGCATTGACGACGGGGGTGCCGGGTGGGGTGAGCGGGGCCTGGTGGCGTCCAAGTTAGAATCAGTGGGCATACAAAAAAATGCTCGACGTACCTTCAACATGTAGCTGAGAATGCTGAGCACGCTGTGGAAGCCCTTGTACTCCGCAGCACTCTCGGTCTTCCACTGGATGCGGGTCATCATCTCGGCGACGAGCACGAGGTCGATGATCAAGGGCGAGGCCAGCAGTGAGTCCTCGCAGACGTTGAAGATGCTGATGGTCTGGTGGCCGCCCATGAAGATCTGGGCGTAGTACTCGTCCAGGGCGCGCTTGTTGTCCCCCACGGCGGGCATGTACTTGATGACGACGGTGTGGTCCGGGTGCTCGTCCTTGGCGTACAGCACGCTGTTGGCGGCGACCATGTCGTCGACGACGTTAGACTTGGAGATCTCCTTGGAGCGGAACTGCTTCTGCGAGCTCAGGTTCTTGCCGTCGTTGTTGCCCAGGTGGTTGTAGCTGGCAATCGACGTCAACTTGATCCCGGCGTTGATCAAAAAGTCGACGAGCGCGGACTTCATCTTGGTCTGGCCGGACTTGAAGTCGTCGCCGCCGATGAACGAGTCATGCTTTTCGGCGAGTTGGATCGCGCCGGGCACAAAGGTATTTTGCGGCGACCCGTTGATGAAGGCCGTCTTTTCCAGAATGCAGGCCACGGAGAAGACCGTCGAGGGAGATACCTCCTCGTGTCCTTGCTCGATGGCCTTCATTAGGTTGTCGGCCGTGTCGTTGACTCCCGGGATGATGTCCGCGTACCGCTCCGTGTTGGCCGTCCAGAGAACAATGACCTTGTCGAGCTTGTTCTCGGCTTTGAAGGTCCTGCGCACAGATTAGTATAAGAACAGAAACATCTGACGGCTGAATGGCATACCTGATGTCAGTTCGAATTTGCTCCACATGGGCCATGGATGCCTTGCTGCCGGGAAGAACATTGTCGGCCCGGTCTTCCTGGTTGGCCGCGATGAAGTCGGGATAGTAGATGCTTGGCAGGGGCTTCATGAGAGACATTTCCTTGTAGACCAGAGCTTTCAACGTCGGTTCCAGAACCTGGGCACGATCCATAGAAGCTGCAATGTTCATGCTGCTGATGTCCCAACCTCCGACAACAATGTCGTTAGGGTGCACCATAGGCAAGACATCGTGGAATGGAATGTTGATCTCTTCGTTGGTTTCTGCATCAGTTCCCAGCTTGATGGTGGATCCCATAATAACAGAGCCGTAGTAGTTGGCGGCCTGCCGACCTTCCTTGGTATCCCAAACCAGGCCACGTCGATTGGCAATGATTCCTGCCGTGACTGTGGAGCCGTTGTTGCCACCCCACCCGACCAACATCATGCCGACCTTGGGCACTTTCCGGTCAACCTGGAAGTCATAGGTGGTTTCCTTTGGGGTGGCCGTGAATTTTCCGTCGGCTGACTTGCTGACCGCCGTGGTCCGGTAGATATACTTGCTCTTGATGTGGTCGTCGGTATAGACCACGTTGGGCGAGTTAACCGTGAAGAGTTCCTTTGGTGACTGAGCTGAGTCGGCGGTGTGGTGAGTGCTATACCCGTTCATGGAGCCGACGCCTATTTCCGCGTGTGGTGCCATCTTGACTGCAGAGATGTGGCTGATTGAAGAGTTGAAGATTGAGCGGATTTCGAGAGAAGGCGTTTATCGGGTCTTGTATGAATCCGATGCTCCTCCGGGAGGGGAAGAGCGTCGGCTACCGTTGAACGGGTGATGAGACCTTTTAAAGGAACGAGACGTCAGTTACAGGTTCCCAAGGCGGTATGCAGCGGACCATGGAAGGGATGGGAAGCAAATCTCAAAGAAACCAGTGGTACAGGCTCGACTGAATGCGCCATGTTCAAAGGTAAAAAAAAAGACCATCGAGACAATGCCCGCCAACGGTCAGCTGCATGGCGACACAGCTAATCATGATGTTTAAAAGTCGCCAGGTACAAACACTGAAGATTTAGATGCCAGCAGGGCCGAATGCAGGTACCAGGGCTGAAAAGCCAGGCCCAATCGAAACCCTCACGCACAATGGCGATCCGGTGCAACGCAATGCAGGACTGAGATGTCAGATGGGGGAGGAACTTACGAGGGCAGCAGATTGGAAAACGTCTTGGCGGTTTGGCGGATCACTCGGAAGTGATCCTGTGGTAGGAGAAAAGTATGAGAAACGACCACAGCTGGGCGGTGGTCGGGCTCAGATTCGAACAGATCGTTCAGATGTTGTTTGTGGTAGAGACGGACAGATGAAGACTGATCACACACGGGCGAGATCGAAGTCTCTTTGTACTCATGCGGCCGGGATTGTGATTTTGTGCGGTGGAGTGGGTGACTAATGAGAACGCTCGTCTGTGGTTGTCTCCCAATCCGGGCCCAGGCGCTTAGGCGAGGGGCAGGGATGCGACAGGCCAGCCGAGGCAGCCTAGACAGCCTACAGCCTAACCCTAGCCTTGCCTTAGCCTCGCCTGACCGCCTCGACGTTCGACACTCGACACTGGACATTCTCCCACCACGATAACGGTGCACGTCGATTTTGTCATGGTTATTATCGCGTGGTGATTGCCCTCCAGCAGTCTCGCTGTTGGCCGTATCGATGCCGTCGGAGAACGATTGCTCCAGTGCTTATCGACGTTTCACGGTGCTACGAGGAACTGCCGCCCAAGCAACTGCTGTGTCCGCCGGACCAGCTGTCCCTTCTCCTTCCGCACCACTTCCAAGCACAACTCTCGTCTGCGTGTAGTGCCATGTCAGCGTCCGCTTGTGCCCGAATCGATCGATCAACTGCGCAATAGGAGCATGTGCATTTCGACCGCATGAGATGTGCAGACATCGCTGTCACAATTGTGGCCCGGGGCCACTGTTTGCATCTTGGACGTTTGCTTCACCTCCAATCAGTGCGGTACACGCTCAGTAGAGTCTTACCTCATTCTGTCCGCTTTCCTCCGAATCGAGTTGCGATATCCGGCTGACTCCAGTCCAGCACCAGCTCAGAAAGGGTGATCCAGACTCTCGCTGGCTTCATGAACTCGACCCGCGATATCGGTCGATGGGTCACGCGCGCGATCAGTCCAGTTTGCAACTTCCTCTCCTAGGTACCATTTGAAGCGCGACTGCTGCATTTCTTCGCTCGAGGCATCTGGCCCAAAGAGACTCTCAATTCCCTCCTCTGAACTCTCGTCTTCGTCTTTATTCCGCACGGAAGATGATTCCGTGTTACACCATTCTAGAAACCACAACTATCGTCGTCAAAGCAAGCTTCGGGCTGCCTGGTCCCTTCCCGATGCCTGTCATTTCAGAGTTGACAATCTTTTGCCTGTCTCGGGTCTCGTTCACTTCTCTGATTGCTCATTCAAGCATCCACCATTAGCCACCCCGACGCTCCACGCGTATGCCGTGTAACCATATGCAATCGAAGGCTGCTACATACATGACAGGAGCTGGTCTGCAATCGGTAAAGACTGTGCATATCGGCACGCGCAATTGGGAACACACGATGGAAACGTATGGCAATGGGTTTGCAACACACGGTAGCATACACATTATGTATATGGTCATATCTTATTGATCCTCGCGCGGCCAACCGGTAATAAATCGGCAAGAGGGTATCAAATTATCTGCTCAAATTTGGCCCACAATTTGTGTCACTCGAGCGAAACGCGGCCGATGAACTCGTGCCGTAAACGAAGTCGAATAATGTTTTGTGCAGATCCGAAGAGTTGGTACCCAATCCCGACTCTCGCCCGCGAAATCTGAGACTCCGTACCGTCCGACGCCCTGTCGCGGCGCTCCAAATCATATTATCTATGCTTGTCGTAAATTAATCCATGGTCATAAGTCTGGTCGTTCTTCGCTCGGGGAAGTTCCTGCCCTTCACGAGTCCAGGGTCTCCGCTGGAGATGTATTCTCGAACCAAGGGACTCGGACGACTGGGTGCGTTATAGGGTGACTTTGGCGAGCTTGCAAGTCTAAATGCATCTCGTTCGCAGTACACCTTGCCGGAAAGCTCAAAGTAATCGTGATCCAATCGGATTTTGCAAGTCGTACATTTCAAGCAGTCCGGGTGGTGTTTCTCTTTTCCTCGGCCTGCCACATTGGCTGTTTCCATGTATAGGCCTTCTATGCCATTCCCACACGTAGCACACAGAGAATTTTCGAGCTCGTGATAGTGGTGTGCACAGTAAGGGTGATCGTTGTGAACGTAGAACTCGGCAGTCGGGAAGGAAGATTTGCAAGTTTGACAAACAAAGCAGTCTTTGTGGTAACGGCCCGTGAGTCGCCCGTCTGCACTTGACACTGACTTCTGTCCGACGAGGATGAGCTGAGAACAGCCACGGCACACACCCTTGTTTGGTACCGACAGTTTGGCCTTGCTGCGCATTGGTGGCCGAGGCTCTGGAGCCTGCGTTGGTTCTGGGTTCGTCTCTGGCTCCACGTGGATCGAGGGCAAGGCATCGAGGGAATCTTGTGGGTGATACCCTGAGTCCGGGATTGGAGACAGGCGCCCTTTTTGAAATAGAGGATCTGTGGGTGATTCGGCTGACAGCTCTGGTAGCTTTGGTCTCAGTGGTGCAGGTATATCGACGATGCTGTTCTTGAGCAGTGCAAGGTCTGGCGAGCTGAACGGTTCGATTGGGATTGGATCCACCTGAGGCGCAGTCGACCTTGAGCTTGTTGTACGTTCAGTAAAGCCAATGGAGCCATAAGAGGAGGCCGAGTCCATGGAAACACGTCGGAGAGCCTCAATCAGCTCCGACCCTTCAGGGGCAGAGGGAATCTCGGACGTTACGAATGGCTCTGGCGAGTTTGTTACGTCGAGATCGGAAGGTAGTACCTGTCCCGACCTCTTTGATGGCTCGGCGGCAGACTCGACGAACGCAGCTGTTGGGACAGCAGTGGTTGATTCAAGCGCCAGCCCTTCAAGTGCCTTCAAAGACTCTTCATGGCTAGGTGAAGGCTCGGGTGCCCTTAATGGTGAAGTGGCGAGAGGGGAAGGTTCTGCTGTGAAGAACGACCGTTCGCTACCCGGACTGAACACACTCTGGCCTGCAAGACTCTTGTCGAAGGGCTCTGATTCGTCGCTAAGAGCCTGTCGTACAACATCTCGCCGAGAAGTGGCGGATTGGGACCGACGTCGACTGAATAGTCTACCTAAGCTTCGTCCAATGCTACCGCTTGGCGAAGGTTGCGGTGCTGTAGGGGACTTGACCAAGGGGGTAATCTCGTGGAGCGGAGCAGGCCTCCTTGATTTGTAGGCTGGTTCGGTTTCGGCTCGAGCACGCTCACTCAGCCACGGCTCGACAGGGCGTGATTCAGATTCGCTGGATATGGTACCACCGACGTCCGTTCGACTGAGACTGGGATCTGAGCTTGCATCATCTGGAGGCTTAGGTTGCATGTTGCCGGTCGACGATTGAAGGGGCAGGCTGATGCCTGGCAAAGGCTCCGTGGTCGCACCTGAGATTGATACAGGTAACTGGACGTCCGGCAGGTTTTGAGGATTCGCTTGATGACCCTCCAACTTGACCTCATTGCTCAAAGGGCTTGTGGGTCGAGACTGCTTCAACGTCGGCAACGCATCACTCGACTTTGCGCCAGAAGTGTTGGACGATCCTTCTCTTATGAGCCCAGGACGCCTGCTGGTGTGTCCCACGGCTTTGCGGCCTTCCCGAGACCGGGATCTCTTTGTCTCGCTACGCTCCGTCCCAGATCTGTCTCTTCTTCGCGTTGTGGCGCTTCTGCCAGGCAAGGGGAAGGGAGGGAAGGCGCAGTCTAGATTTGTGAGCTCTGGGGAAGGCGGTCTTCGAGGTCCTGGAAGTGATCCTTTGCGCACTGTAGGCCATGGAGATTTCGGGCCGGAGCCTGCGCTCACAGGCGAGATCATGGAGTTATGACCGCTGCTCGCAGGTGTAAATTCTCCTTGATATACCGGAGCTCGAACTGGGCGTAGATCAGTCTCTCTTTCCAGCGAAGAGCGTCAGCGACTTACAACCAACAGAAGGATCGATCTTCGGCAGGGGCGGTCGCTGCGATCGCATACTTCGCAAGCTGTTGGATGAATCTGTTCGTGGAGGAGGCGGAGGCATGATTGAAGCTGAGCCGTTAGTTGATTCAATAAATCTGGGTCCACAACAATGGAATTTACCTGGTGGAGGTGTTGATGCGCACTGATGCACGGCCAGACCAGACATCTGGACGTCCTTTCCACAGCTCGAGCACTTGATGACCGGTAATGTCCTTGGATCCTTGATCGGTACTTCCATCCCTTCCTCAGAATCCTTTGCTCCTGCTTAATCAGATGTCTTTTCCTTCCTTCCAAATCCTTGCCCGGGCAGGTATCAGCAACACATGACAAGTAGACACCTGCTTGAACGTTGAAGTCGTCGAGGCCGCAATGCAGAGTTGGGTCAGTCGCTGCACAAATAGCTCGTATTCAGGTATCTAGAGCTTTGCGACATGGATTGCAGGAAATATGGGTGTAATAAACGACAGGCCCAGGGCCAGAACAACCAAGCCGCTGGTAGGCACAAGCCAGGGTATGTTAGAGTGCTCGAGCGGACGAGATGACCGGCCGCGAAGGAGCACCGTGGGTATGTCTAACCGCCCGGCCATTTTCGTGCAAGACGCCGTGAATTAGCAGACTGGGGCACTGTTTGGCTGGGGTAGGAGATGAGGCTTTAGCAGAGTTTGAGACTAAAATGATTGAACGGTGGAGATAAAGCTACGGCGTCGATCAAAGACAGCAATCGAACCCACTTGGCCTGCGGTTGGCTTATCGAACGCAGGTTAGCACTGATCTCTGGCAAGGGGAACTGCATGCCATTGCACTGGCAGAGACTTCAGCACACGCTCACACCGCTTACGCTCAACGCATACTAGACGACACCTTTGCCGTACACATACGGAATACTCACGCATCGACGGACTACAGGCAGTCGGAGACCTCCGCCTGAGTTGCATGCACACGCGGCACCCACAACAGCGCAGGCAATCTCACGTTGTTGTGCAACAATTCTCAAGAAGTCGGTTCTCAGAAACGAAATTGGAGAGAATGTGCCGACCCATATTTGGAGCCCTCGTCATCAACGGGCCACATACTTCTGCCAAATCAGGACTAAGCGACAGCCACTTTCACAGGGTTCCAGGGGAATTGCGGCACTGGTACGAACTCGATATGGACGCATTGAGTAAAGTCGCAGGTGGCGCCCTGAGACGTAGCATGGAAATTCTCCGAGAAGAAAAGACATTGCACATGCAATCGAAAGCGGTCTGCCAGTGCTGGGCACTGGGCACAACCAACTGCAAGCGTACCAGCTTCTGGAGCTGGGAATGCACCAAGAATCGAAGCCAGATTAGACACATCAGCGGTATATCAGGACAAACGCACACGTGGACCGACAACCATGAGTGGTTTCCAGACGAGATTGACATGGAGATGAGGTTCTCAGTGAAGATTGGCATGCGACTGATAACTGGGCGGCTGGCTCGGCGTCACGGGATAAGCCCCTAATCGTCGAGCTAGACGCGCTACCAAGCCCACACCGAACGCGTCGAGGCGCCTACCGGAGCTCCTCAAGCTTGGCTTTCTCCTGATCTCGCCTTTGCCTCATTTGATGGAAGAGAACCAATAGCAGTGCCTGCTCGATGTTGCAATCGCTGCTCGTTTCCTTCGAATTCCCAGCACCACCAGCTTCCTTGGACATGACTTCGAAAGGTCCGCAACGAAGCCCCCTGGCCCAGCGGCAACTTCAAAGTCCTCAACGGTCTAGTCATTGGGGACGACGACATCATCAGACCTCTTGCCACGACCAAGGCAAGCAACATCCAAGTAACAAGCCTAGGCTGTAGAGGATTGTAGTCAGACGTTTAATCCAGATAGCGACGTCTGGCGCTACGAGATATCAAGCTAGGGAATCAACTCAGTGACCAGGATCGTCCCGGAGTCGACATCTTCCACCGCTGATCGTTTTCCCTCTGCACGAACGGCAGATCCATTTGCATCTCCCGTTATGTGATAACAACGACGGCCTCCGTACTTGTTCTGGCCACGATCGGAAATGGTAAGCTCCATGACCATCCACGCCGACTCTTGCAGAGTGGCGCATGTTGACATCCTACGTGTATCCGGCATATACCGGCGAGATACACGACCTTTCCAGTGCTGGGATAATTAGAGGAGCGCAGCAGCGGGCCATCGCATTTGCAATTTTCCGGATCCAACGGTGTGGAGAGGAGAAGTCTGGCAGCATACCAGTGATAGTGGGACAAAGATTCATTACGTAGACCACCGGAGTACGGAGTACAGCAGGTCTCAGTCCATTGCTCCGGGGCCCCATCGCATGCTTTCACCGCAGAATAGGCTTATCATTCGGCCTCTGCAAACGAGGACTGACTACTCCGTACTTAGTTTGTCTCCGCAATATCAACGGCGACCAGATCGTCGCTGCGCCGAAATCAATTCATGCAGGAAACAACCTCTCCCATCACCAAACCAGTTATAACGGACAGCATTTCACGTCGCCTGCAACCCTGCCGGCCGGAATTCTGTTCTTGCGAAAGGCATCGCGGCCAAGTCTTCGCGCAAAAGCTCCATGCCATCTTTCGTGCCCATGTAACGCGATCGGCTCGGTACCTACCTAGGCACTCAGCTAGGTACTCCGTACATTCAGACTTCGAACCCCTTCGAAACCAGCACGTCAAATGGGCGACTGATCATCCCGGCAACTGTCGTTCCAATTCCATCACCTTGGGCATCCTAACGCCCCCGACCCTGACCTTGCTAAGATCAGGCTCGTACGGCTCTTCCTCAACATCGGGATAAGGCCCCATCGGTGTGATAGCTTTTGGGTTGATATCGTAATGACTCTTTGTATAGTTCTCCTTGATGTGTTTGAAATCCGTCGTCTCCTTGAACCCCTTGACATTCCAGTACAGATTCTTCAACCAGTTGTTCACCTGGGGATAATCATGCCGGATGGCCCCCAAGTTGCACTTGAAATGCTGCACATACACGGTGTCGAAGCGCACGACCGTCGCGTACACCCGGATGTCCACCTCTGTGAGTTCCTTTCCGAGGATGTACGGTCCTCCATTGCCGGCCAGCATCTTCTCGACCTTGTTGAGCGCGGCAAACACACGAGGCACATTCTGGTCATACGTGTCCTGGTCCGGGGCAAAGCCGGCCTTGTACACCCCCGTGTTGAGGTCTCGTTGCATCCATTCGCTCACCTCGTCGATTTTCTGCCTCAGATGCTCCGGGTACAGCGTCACCGTGGCGTACTCCTCCGGTAAGAGCGTGTTGAACCCGACCTGCAGATTCCGCATCAGTTCGGGGCTCTCGTTGTTGACGATCGTGCCGGTTTCGCGGTCCCAGAGCACAGGCACGGAATATCGTCCTTTGTACTCCGGGTCGGCCTTGAAGTATACTTCGTGAAGGAACTTGCTGCCGAACAAGCGGTCGACAGTTGCGTTGGGGTACTCGTCATCCGAGCTCGGAAACTGCCAGCCCGGCCAGCCATGCTCGTCGCCCTTGGGGTATGGTTTCACGATGGAGATGTCAATGATGTCTGTCAGACCTTTCAGGTGCCGGACCAGATTGGCCCGGTGCGCAAACGGGCAGAATAACCCGACGTATAAATGATATCTGCCTCTTTGCGGAGGAAATGGTCCGTCCGGCGTGATTTGGCCGTGCCACGCTTGCGCAGAGCCGGCAACATGCTCGGCTACTGTGCTTGGAGATGGTCGACCTGGGGCGATCGCATTCGTCGAGCCCATTGTCGTCGACATCTGCCGTGGAATTTCCTGGTTGGAAGATAGGATGATCTGCTTCGCTAGCGACTGTAGGCGTTTCATGAATGTGCGTCCATCGGCGGACATATATCAAGCGACGCCGATGGTATACGAACATTGCAGTACGGAGTATTCGTCTCGCGGATGACAAAATGGAGAGCGCCACAATTCCGATACAGTCCTCACGCATGACGTCAATTTGTTCACGCTTTTGTCGCATGGATGCGATGCATCGGGCGCATTTCAATTCGAAACGCATTTGCTAGCTGGCTTTTGACTTGACCTGTATTCAGGCATTTTGGTACAGAAAGGCTTCTCTTGCTCTTGTTTGCTGTTGATCAGAATTTTGTCTCAAGCCATGGACTGCCTCCACGCTGCGTTCAAGCTCCACGCTTCACGTGCTCCTGAGCGAGCTGAGGACGACTACTATGATTTAGCATCAGACTTGGCCTTCTCCTTCAGTTGTTGTCCCTCCTCAACCTTCTGGGAGAGAACCTTCTTGATATCCTCAATCGCACTCTTTATGAGCTTTTCCGCCTCCTGGCCATGCTTCTCGCTGAGTTCCTGTAGCTGCTGCAACTTGGGTCCAATCTCTGTCCCACCGGGAATCATATGCAAGAACTGCTCGATGCCACCGCCAGCGCTGCCCGAAGCTTTCTGTGCTTGGTTTTGAACGAATTTCTGTAAGTCCTCCGTGTTGCCTGATTGTGTCGCCTGTTGCACCTTTTGCCACAACTGGCCTAGATCCCCTCGAAGTAATTTTCCCTTGTTCTCTTCAAAGAGCTTCTTCAACTCTGGTTGCTTGTCCAGCAAAGGCTTGGCCTGTTCCATACCTTTCTGCCATGCCTGGTCGCCAAACTGTTGCACTTGTTGAGTCTTCTCTTGTATCAACTGTTGAAGCTTCTGGGCTGTCTGGAAGCTGACACCGCCGGCGAGAATGTCACGGGCTTGGTTCCACGTGTCGTCGACCACCTTCTTGGCTTCAGGACCGTACTGCTCTCCCATCTGTTGCAGCTGCTGGAACCGTCCGCCGAACTGCTCTTTGAGCTGAGGATGGTTGTCAATGATTTCCTGCCCAGCACTGCCTGCGAGCTTGCCGATGCGCTTGAAGGCATCTTGTAGGATGTCCCAAGCCTGCATTGCTGCTTCCATGCTGAATCCTTTGTTGGTGGTACCCTTGAGTTTACCGTAGGTGTCGTTGATGATCTGATTGACCTCATCTCCATGGTTCTCCTGGATCTTCTCAATGTCCTGGAAAGCTGAGTCAACGTACTTGCTGGCTCCTGGGATCAGCCTTGTGTAGCTTTGCACCGTCTCTTTCAGCCATTGGACCGCTTGACTGGGCTCCGGCGCATTCTCCGTGGTTTTCTTGAACGCACTCTCAACATAGGACTTTGTTGAGTGCACGCTGTTGACTGCAGATTTCATGCCAGAGAAGGAGTACCAGGTGTAACCTAGCAGGAAGGCAAAGGTGCCGCCAGCCAGTCCACCTATCAGGGCGTGGCTTGAGCCAGAGGGTGCATTTGAGCTGGCGTTGGCCGGAGCGTTGGACTGGAATCTGACGTTGCGAGGTTGCAGGGTTTTGGGAGGTTGACAAGGTTTCACTACTCGAGTCGAGCGCAGAGCTGCTCTGGGTGTTCTCGAGAGCATCGTGTCAAGGATGTTGGTGGAAGCACAAAGACAGAGATGTGGATGGGCAAAGTATCAAGGCAGCGCACAAATGGTTGTAGAGCTACGAGCTACTCGTAAGGTGAACGTTAAGGTGAAGGTGAGAGCAAAATGAATAAACAATTGGAAGCTTTCCCTTTCGTCTGAGGAGCTCTTCAGGTGAACCGGGGCAACATGACGCAGCACCCGAATCCTTCCCAGAAATATTCCTCGCGTGAATTCGATTGGTGGGACGTCAAGTCCTGGGGAAGAGGCAAACAAAACGTCATCCTCAACGGAAGGACGTCACGCCGGGGTTTCGAATTCGCAGCGCCGATCCGTGGTCCTTCTTTTCTTTGACGTGCAGTGGGAGTGCCTACGAGGACTTCGCGTCGAGATACTTGCGCAGTTGTCTCAGGGTACTGGCTACGAGTACCGGAGGCACAGAAGGTGTCAATGGAGGGCGGTCAATTAGTTATCTATGCAAGGAACCAGGCACCATCAGACCACTTTTCCCTTCCCCAGTTTCCTTGTACAGGCGAGGGACTCTGAGTGGTCGACCTGGAGACGCCTGTCTTGCCCGAAAAAGCACCTCCGCCCAAACATCAAGGTCTCATGGACTCAGGCTAATCCCTTGTCGAATAAGAGCCTCATCAACCATCTTTGGTACCAAGGGGAGTACTCCGTACCTCGCACAGTACAATGTGGCCAGATCGGAACCCGCCTTATTGTTCCCTTTGACGAAATGTGCGGTTGTTGAAGCTTTGCTCACCTTCCCCCCACATCCTCTCGGTATGTATCATCAACTGCGAGTAATACTGCCAACACAGTGCGTGCATAATCTTATTGTGAATCAAGGAGTATTCAGTTATTCCGCACCGTCGTCTGACTGTCCAGGAGCTCCAAGCCGTCAGATCGGCCACTGACCGTTCTGTAGGACGGTGATCTCTGGCCCGTCCTTCTCGTTGTCTAGATTACATCTCCGCAACTGTTCGAGTCCCTGAGGATGTGCGGGATGACACAGCAGACTCCACCAAAAAGGACGGGAGCTTCCATGGGCACATTGTTGCCGTTGGCGAAGTCCAGCCCGAGATCAGACTGTCCCTTGCACCCCCACAAGCACTCTATCAATGCAACAAAGTTGGTAGCAGGAGCTTTGTGAAAATGAAAAGAAATGGTTACTAGATGAATTTTCAGTCTCGCCTAAGTGTGCCTTGCACTTAACTACTCACTGTGGTAAGAGGGCGCCATTAACAAGACGTCATTGTCCCAAACCGCCCAGTTACGTGCCATGGGGCTACCGTTTGTACTGGGCTCGCTGGTAGAGCCTTCAAAGCCTCAATTTACCCAGTACTCGTGACCTAACTTTTATTTTCCACATCGTGCACGTCTCACCGTGTACAAACGCCAGCATGATTCCCAGAGCCTGCATGCGGTCTCTTCAACGGGCAACGACTCGCATCCGACCTACCTTGAGCTCCCCATCATGCAGAACAATAGCTTGCATATCCCGCTCAAGACGGACGACTAGACTCCGTTCCGTCACATCTCCACATTCATCGCCCTTCCACACTTCTCTCATCCATCCCGCTCAGTCCCCGACAGCCGACGCACTGATGGAAAACCTCAACGAGCTATACTCGACGGCGCGCGACGAATTCGAAATCGCGGCCGAAGAAACCGAGAAGAAAACAGTATACGCGGCTGATGATCGCGAAGCGGCGGCTGATGCCCTGAATATGCTGAAAGAGTCCTTTGCTAAGGCGCTGAAGGAGACGAGTCCAGAAGTATCACGGGAGATCCAGACTAGGGTTGGGTCGAGAATACGGGAATTGGAGAATGCGGTCAAGGCGATGGAGGAGATGGCGATGGAGGATTGAGAGGAGGGAAAGGAACACGATGTACCACGACGTCGCGCTGGAGGACTGGTGTCGCGAACGCGACGAGCAGGATGCACCCGGTCTTAAAGAAGGTGCATGGTAGACTATGGAAGACGAGTCATGTTCAATAGATACAGAGCATCTCGAGATTGGCCCTAACCGCGCGAAAGAGCTGAGACATAAGACAGAGTTGCAACATGCATTGCTGGCATATTAGGAAGCGTTTACACGACACGCGGGTACGAAACAAGTGAAACATTCAAACAAGCCCAATATCGGGCACGGAGGAGAATTCTTAGGTCATGCTATTCTCTGGACCTGGTACAGACAGATCGCGTTGTCCGTACGCCATGCAGACCTTTTCATTTGTTTGCCCATGCAACCTTCATACCGTCACCACCAGGTCATCTTCCACTTCATGCCACGGAACGCTTAGTATCTCTTACCCTCCCGCAGGACGTCACCGTACTCCTCGAGGGGACTTCTGATGAGCTTCGTCTCCTTCCACAGATTGGGGGTCAAGAAGCCGTATGAATTGCTGACCGCCACGAAAGTCGCCTTCAGTGTGTTCTCCAACGTTTTCGTACTTCCAGCAGATGAAGTGTACGCATCCTGCACACCAGCCAATTGCAACAATCTCTTGACGGCAGGGGAAGCGACGAGACCAGTGCCTCGAGGCGCAGGAATCAGTCGGACTGTGACTGAACCGCACTTGCCAGACTCCTTGGTGGGGAGCGAATGTGGCTCACCAAGGTTGGTACCCCAGTAGCCTCGTCGGATGGGAAGAACGGAGAGTTTGGCAATGATGATAGCGGCACGGATGGCGGTCGCGACTTCCTTGGAGGTCTTGATGCCGAGCCCGACATGTCCTTCGCTGTCGCCGATGACCACGATAGCCTTGAAACGGGTGCGTTGACCGGCTCGAGTCTGCTTCTGGACGGGTTTGATCTGTAGAAAAATCCCTGTTAGACACATAGTCTACGCGAGGATCGCCGTCATTCGATTTCTCGACATAATTTCAGCTCACCTTCATGACTTCGTCCTTGAGCTTGGGCAAGAACCAATCGACGATCTGGTATTCCTTGATGGGCAGAGAGTGGAGGTAGATCTGTTCCATGCTCTGGATTTTTCCCGCCTTGACGAGACGGCCGAGCTTGGTGACGGGTTGCCATTCCTTCTCGTCTGATTTTGGGCCACCACGGCGGGGTCCTCGTCGTCCTCGACCACGGTCACCTCGTCCTCTGTCTCCACGACCTCGGTCGCCGAAGCCGCCGCGTCCACGAGGAGCGTCAGCCATATTGAGTGAATGCGCGGATGAGGGATCGTCAGGTTGTGGTGCGCAAGCTGCTCGTTGAACGTCTGCTTGTTTTGACAAGTTCGGTCAATCGCAGCCAAAAGTTTGGGCGAGATACTGCCAAGGATTTGGGGGATTTTGTGGGCTATACCTGATTAGGAAGACGCGGTCCAGGTTCGAAAGCGGCAGCCTCTCCGCTCCACCAGCGCAAGGCTCAAGCCAATGACGCAGTGTCAATCTGGAGGTAGATGAGGAAGGGTCTCTTTGGTTTTCTACAATGGTTGACTATCTCTCGACACTGAGATAACGTTAAACAGTTGTGCAGACTCAGCAATAGATTGTTATGCTGGCCCGCGAACCACATCAGGATTTCTAGACTGATCTTAGAGGAGGAAGGAAAAATGGCTTTACGCTGGTATGCCACCACATGCCCTTGTGCAGTTCCCCGGGTTGACTGTCAGTTAGGTACCAAGCGAAGCTGGCCAAGCGGCCTCTGTTGACTCAGGCTGTCACTACCGCTGTAAGTTGATGCACTCGGAAACCGGTCGAGTATTGGCTGACTACGAAAGGTCCTTTTCGGCGCTGGCGACACGCTCGCCCAACAGGCTGTGGAGAAGAAAGGCTTCGAAAAGCATGACCTAGCGCGGACAGCTCGCATGTGCACATACGGCGGCTGTAAGTAATGGTATCGATGCTGTAGAAATATGTTGACCGTCGCAGTGGTGTTCGGACCGGCAGCAACCAAATGGTACAGCTTCTTGCAGAAGAACATCAACCTGAAGTCACAGAATGCAACCATCGCGGCACGAGTACTGGCAGACCAGACGGTCTTTGCAACGTGCAATCTCGCATTTTTCCTTTCGACAATGTCGGTATTGGAAGGGACCGATCCTAAGGAGAAGCTTGCGAAGAGTTACCTCCCCGGGCTCAAAGCAAACTGGGCGCTTTGGCCGGCAGTCCAGGCAGTGAATTTCAAGTTTGTACCCTTGGAACATCGAGTATTGATTGTCAACATCGTCAGTTTGGGCTGGAACTGTTTTTTGAGTTACTTGAATAGCTCATAACTGGGAAGCGCACGGGGATCGTTTGCTACTAGTACTTGCAGCCATTTCGTTATGCTTTAAACGGGCCAAGATAGAGCATGATACCACAACTGAAGCATTCTTGGAGGCAGTCACATCCAGTACATCGGATGTTTGAATGAAGGAGAAAATGCCACACAATAGGGTCGAGCCGGAGGAAGCCGCGAGTGAAGAACCCATACCAGGCTAACCGGATTTGGACCTAGATTTTTGTTCACTGCGTGAAACGTGAAATACAGAAACAACGAGTGATTGGAAATAACATCCAGTTTTGTACTCTATCCTCGCCTTCTTTCCAGCTCTCGAGGACTTGGGTTCCGCTAGCACTTCGTTCAGCAGATTTTAAATCGGGCAGTCGCGCGAGAGCGTACGAGTAGTCGCCGTCGGGCAGCGCCTGCTTGACCTTGATTGCCACACCTGGCTTCTCCTCACAAACCGATCTCGACTTTTACGCTTGCTCAACCATCAAGCCCGCCTTTCTGCTCCGTCGCATAGCATATTTTACCTTGACTGAGTAAACCAAGCGAAGTAGCGAGACTCCCACCACATCGCCTCCACAATGGCCGAAGTCGAAGTCCCTCAGCCCGTACCAGGTCCAGTTTCAAATGAAAATACAGCACCATCCTCGGACGAGATCAAGACGGTCTTTCATGATGTGAACAACTTTAACGTCAAACATCCTCTTCTGAACAGTTGGAGTCTATGGGTGAGTGGAATACACCGCCACAAGACGGGAACGCCGCTGAATCGAGAATGTTACAGTTCACCAAGCCACCCTCATCCAAAGGCGACAACTGGAACGACCTGCTGAAGGAAGTTATCACGTTCGACACTGTGGAAGAGTTCTGGGGTGTCTACGTATGTCCACAATACCACTGTCATTTCTACGTCTAATTGGCGCGCAGAACAACATTACAGCGACCTCCGATCTTGCAGTGAAGTCCGATTACCATCTGTTCAAGCGAAACGTACGGCCGGAGTGGGAAGACCCGCAGAACAAGCACGGAGGCAAGTGGTCATACACGTTCAAGGACAAGAAATCCGTCAACATTGACGAGCTGTGGCTGCATACACAGCTCGCTGCGATCGGCGAAACCCTTGAAGATGAGGGAGACAACGAGATCATGGGTGTGGTCGTCAACGTGAGAAAGAGCTTCTACCGAATTGGTCTATGGACCCGCACAACAGGGAAGGGGGCGCAGTCACAGGACGTTCTTAAGAAGATTGGTGCCAGATTCAAGCAAGTTCTCCAGATCCCCGACAATGATCAGGTCGAGTTCAGTGGCCACAGCGATGCAGCGCACGCAGGCAGCACACGTGCGAAGACGAAGTACACTGTCTAACCGGCGAATATTGGGCTGTTGTATCAAAAAGCCTTGTGGTTACGACACATCCCTTTAAGCCTCGTTGGTCAGAGACGAGGTCCGAACGGCGTTTTTACGGGAGTCAAAACGGTCATCATACGAGACAGTATACCCTGCATGTTTATTGATGACATGTGCATTGCGGAGGAGCAGGCGCTGAAGGTATGCGAACATACAAGCATGCTTCGGTACTTCAACCACAGCTTTACTGGTCCATAGCTCGTGACGGCTGGCCCAATCCGGTCTTTCACTCTTGTAAAATACAGAAAGAGAGCCATGATACTTGAGACCCTGACTCAGTTTGCAATCTAGCAGCCTGATGCAGCCTACTGCAGCCTGTTCTGCTGCTTGATTTCATGCTTAAGCCAATTATCTGCTGTGACAAGTCCCAGCCTTCCTGATTGCGACGTACAGGTGGCGACCAGATGGACTGATGTACTTAAGCCCGCGGTTTCCCAGACTTCTGCGCCTCTATCTAACTTATTCCCTCTCTAAGCTATATGGAGAGCTATGTCCACTGCAACTTGGCCTCACTTTCACACAATGCAAGTTCTCGGATTCCACTTCCCGTCCTCGAATGCATCTCGCGTGACAGGGTTCGGACAAGTGGGACAACGCTTCCTAGGAATTGACGCTCTCAGTGATCAGGTGGCTTCATCCCCTTCACGCATCAGTTTCAAGTCGCACTGAGCGCACAGGACGTTCTGAAGGTCCAAAAGTTCCTCCGTTAGTGACGGACAAAAGTTACCAAAGAGGGGCCACCGCAGTGATGACACCAGCAACATCTCGGCCAGCTTCGGGCAGCACCTGACATGATCTTCGCTAACCACGGTTGATTCTAGCTTCTCTTGAGGCTCGAGTCACGCGATGCGGTTGGATGATATGGAAACCACCATGCCCAAAGCGCAACCGGTGACCAGGATGGTGTCGCTTGCTCTTTGGCAGGTTTCTGACGTCCATTCCGGCTGATTGGAGCACAGCCCGCTTCTCCCTCTCGCTTTCCCTCAGAAAGCTCCCAGACCATGAGTTGCGTTCGAGATTCGTGAAGCATGGTGCAATCTCAATGCACAATGTGTATCAATCGGCTGTGTCTAACACACACCTCCGCCCGAGAATTGCTTGCGCTGGCACAAATCATGCAATCACGCCCGTTCCCTACCCGGCAGACCCAGGATAGCCCTCGACCATCCAACGCTTCAATGCGAGTTATAGCACGTTCATGCGGTTCTTGCCGCAAGACGGACAACACTTACCGATTCCCATGCAAGTAGAGCCATTCAATTCCAAGGGTCGCGTCTTTCTCGAGTTCGTTCATATACACTGCCTCAGATCGCCTAGTTGCCTAGTTCTCCTCCATCCTTTCCCTCCTGCCTCCACGAAGCTGGCCAAATCACCTTGCAAGCCTGCCTTACTTGCGGCTCCCCGGGCATACTTCCGCCTCTTGGTCTGTGCACGTTCGACAGCCCTGGGAAGAGAAGCACCTTGCTCGTAATTCAGCAGTTGATATTTCGCCTGACCGCAGATGGGGCGTCCTCGTCGGCGGACTGGTCACCTCGCTGGCACCTTCCCACCCCCTGCCATTATATCCAACCAACATCAAGTTCAACACGGTCTGCCCTCGTCACAGCCCCTACAGCAACAATCGCCGTTGCCACAGTTTACCATTCCCATCCGTCAGCCGATTTCGCAGATTTCCTCTCAGGACAGGGCGTTCCCAACTGTCGAGCCGACCTTCACTCCGTCAACGACAGAGGCTCTAAGCCCCGTGACTAGCCGAGCAACGCTTTCACCTGGCTCGACCTCGGCTGATTCTAGCTATACCATAGCATTGGAACATGTCCGTCATATGTCGCCGGAGGCAGCTACTCCCACGAGCTCGACGACAAGTGTATCACGGCACCAGCGTCTTCACAGTTCAGATTATGCAAATGACCAGTTCTTGTATCCGACAGGCTTCAGATCTGAATGCCCGATGACAGGTGGCACCTCTCCTTTCAAAATTTTACTGCCCTCTAGACTGACTCGTTCCACAGAGGGCCTGTTGGGCATCGAAAGTCGTGCGCTATTGCAGGAAACATCGCATCATCTCTACCAGAGTCCTCAATTCATCACGTCGCAGGATCCGTCGCCGACCACATATCAGAGATATCCTGGAACGAGCGGACCATGGAGTACCTATCCGTTGCGGTGCGAGGATCAATACATCAATATGGAAGAAGGCCCGCACGTTTCTATGGAATTCATCCAAGGGTCTTCCCATTCACCACAAGGGCGCGAAAAGGGAGGTGGAAGGATAGGACCTCTTAGTGTGGTCCAGCGGCAACAAGCCAGTGAAGTCCGGAAGCGTGGGGCTTGCCTGCGCTGCACAATAATGAGGGAGAAGGTAGGTTTCGACAGGTCTCACTGACAATGGCTGACTTTTGCAAGTGTGATTGCAACTACCCGTGTACGACCTGCAAGACTAAAGAACGACGAAAATGTCCGAGGAATTGTATCCCCAAAGATTTCGACTGGGGGGCACGCAGGACTAGCCTGTTCCCGGGTATGTATACCATGCTGAGCAGCTTGAATCTTGCTAACAAAGAAGACGAGTTGACGTGTCGGTTACGCAACGACAACGTGCTCAAGCACTTGGCCAGCTGTTCGTTTATCCTGTCGCATCGGCCGCAATTTACGATTTCCCTGGATTTGCACATCGGAATCCCTATGCAAGTTGTGGTCAAAGAATTCTGCCCGCTTCAGTCAGCGCTGGAAGTGCGACATGCGTTCCAAACTGTCTTGAGCGCAAATGGCACAAGGTCGTATGGAAGACAATGGTACTGGAATCCGCCTATCATCATGCTCCTTGGTTGGGGCAAGTCGTACGGGAAGAGCGTTCGCGTGCAAAAAAATATCTGCGACATATTTGACCAACTGCTGGATGATCCAGAGAAGTACAGAAAATGGACGACTGAATACTTCGAGGACCCGGAAGAAGACTTTCAGACAACCATCCTTGGCTTCCTTGGAGCTTACTACAGAAAGGACATTAAAGAACACGCGATCCTCAAGACCGCGCTGAAACTGCTGTGGTTCGAGTATCTCCTCCTGAATAAATTCATCATACCTCCCGAAGCCGTGGGCCATCTTGAGGCTAATCTTGAAGCCACGCGACCTGTTGGAGCTCATAAAGATATCTACGTGATCCCAGAGACCATCAACCGTTTCTTGAAGGCTATCATCCTACCCATGGCCGAGAAGGCCGCGGAGCAGCTGACCAAGGGCCTCCATGACTTGCTGTTCAAGATGGCTGTGAGCCAGAAAGTGTCGACAGCGAACGCAGACCTGGCGCTCTGCATGCTCTTCAGCTTGATGATCTTCCTTGGACGAACTCAGAATGCGCTGCGCCTTCTCACGCAGACCCCTGCCGCAGAGCTTGGTGAGATCTACACCGCTGCAGATGTCGAGGCCAAGATTCGCGACATGGAAGACAAGGTCAGCGACTACTTTGTAGACTTTCACAAGTACACCTTGAACAGAAAGTCATCCAAGTCAACCATGAACTCGACCGATGCCAAGTCACCCTTCGAGAAGCATGCGTTGGAGTTCCAGCTAATAGAACGGCTGCGCAAGGAGATAGAAGAGGAATATGGTAAGCTTGATGCTTGCTCCTCGAATCTACGGCTCTGGTCTGACCATGTCGCAGAGCGCGAACGGCCTGCTAGTCTGAAGGTTAGTGGGTTTCACGTTGATACGTTTCGATACATGAATGTGCGTCGATTATGTTGGATGGTGTTCAAGAGCGTCGAGGATTCGAGTTAGCATACCTATGATTAATGTAGAGGCCATGACAGTTGGCCCAAAGATCAGATGCCTCTAAAGCATAACTCTCGGTGCTCGCTCGGGTCCTCACCTGCCCCTCTTTCCCCTCTGGGCGCCTAGCAAGACTCCAATCCCGCAGCTCCAGCAGGTACGTACCTGTCGCTTCCGGGCGTGCTCCGGCCGTAACGCACGCCCAACTTTCATTTCACTCTTATCAGTACTCCGTACTTCACGTTCCATGCTTTCGCACTGGCCCAATAATTAATGTTTCCTGGTCACAACTTCTACATTCAAAGACTGTCCAAATGGTAAATGCTCCGTTTCCATCCGTGGGATAAATTCAGGTACTCCAATCGAACGCCGCCGATGCGTTAAGCCAGGTGTCCCTGCCCACGCCGCCTTCATGCCTGGTGTTGGTGTTACAAATCCCTGACGTCAGCGAGGAACTGTCCGGTCCAGCTTCCCTCAAATTCTAATGCCGAAACTGCTCGTTCTTCAAAGTATCATCCATCGATCAATGGTTCCTTCCGTCTATTGCAAAGTCTATTGATACAAAGCATGCTGGTAAGTCCGTATTCCTAACAACCCCCTGTTCCCCCCCAAACGCCGTCGCCATTTGTGAAAGAAAGTATGCGTGTGTGTGGATGAACTCGATTGAGATCAACGTTGTCGCACGAAGTGATGAAGGGGTCGCAGCTCTATCGTCGATGTTAGTAGATTTCTTGCCGGTGACAAGAGAAGGGACTTGTACCTCTTCCGTCATTTACATCTCTCCTTGTCATGACTGCTTCGCGCCACAGATCCATTTCAATGCCAACCTGCAATTTTGTAAGTTTTTGGCCATCGCGAGGGAGATTGCTGGGAAATTTACCCTGAGGTTTCCCGGGTTGCCCGGGGGGTGGCTTTGGGCGCACTGGTCTGCCAGAAAACGGAAGTTTCTGTTGTGAGTTGTCGTTAACCGCGGTCCATCCTGAGAAGTGTGAGCTAGAGAGTTTACGACAAGATCCTGGAGCGACATACCGCCGGTAGGTTTGCCGGGCTTTGGGTCCCGAGGCGGCTTTGCGTGCAATGACATGTTGTACGAGTTGTTGCTGCTTGAGCTTTGTGCGTTGGGATAATATCGGTAGTGGTGTCGATGTCGATGTTGTTGGGGTTGTTGTTCGAAGTCTTGCTAGCGGCAGGTGATGTCTGGGTTGGGCTGAAGTACTGGCGACGAGATGAAGTATGGTTGTGCAAGAGCAGGAGACAGGAACGAGGATGGGCAGTCGAAGCTCGAAGTGGAAGCAGAAGGAGATTTAAATCTGACCTTGGATCGACCAACCAAGCAGGGTGGGTCGGGGGCGCCACGATGCTGAGGCAATGAACCAGTACCTTCGTCCTCGTTCGAGAAGTGAGGCAAGACTCACGGAGCCAGGCAGTGCCACCCTCAGGACGAGGAAAGTCTCGGTCCACCCGAAACCTGTGTGTACGCAATCACAGAGCGGTTCAAGCATTGAGATTCCGAAAGACAGAGCGGGGACGAAGGCAGCGGGCAGGCAAACCCGGGTGGCGAAACTTGGATAGCGATGGAATCAACAGGTAAGTAAGCAAGTTGGGACCGTCACATGTGATCCGGGAGAGAAGACGAGCACGCGGAAGGCAGCAACATGCAACGGCAGACGGGTCCGTCAATCTCAACGCCGGGTGAACATTGCATTCAGCAAGCACGGCAAACCCACTGTCGCTTGTGGGCAAAAGAGAGATTTGAAGCAAAACATGACCGGAGTTTCGGGAAGAAATGTGTGTCAATTGCACCAGGGCAGATTTGATCGGGGAATTGACGACAGACAGGGCTTGATTAAGTTGTGTGGAATTGGCGCGGCTGGATATCGACTGGACATGAATGGAAGGGCAGTTCAAGCAGGCGATGTTGTCGAGAGTTGAAAATGCTTGGACACAGAAAATTCAGATGTCAGGCCGGGAATTGTTCAGGCAGGAACTATTGCTTGAGAGGCTAAGAGTCCCCCGCTACCCACAGGGATACCGTCAAAGGCAGGGCTCAAGACGTCAAAGAGCGACAAAGAGCGGCTAAGCGCCAGGCTCCAAGGCTCCAAGGTTGTGGCCTAGACTTTGATATTCGACGTCAGGTCAAAACACAGGAGAGGGCGGGTGACCTGGGGCGTATCAGAGCCTTCGAAGCAACGATAAGGCTCTTGACCGCAGCAATGAACTGCGCCATGCAAGTGGATTTGAGGATGGTTGCCGGTCGAAATGGACGTTGATTGGTACTGTCGAGCGACAAGGCTGGAGAACGGAGCTACAGCAACAGCGAGACGAAAACATTTTTGGCCGTGAGTCACAACGCACAATTGGACGAAGAACAATCATTTCGGAAGCCAAATGCACAGCCGCGTCAGTGCCCCGAGCGTGAAAAAGGGTAAGAGACGAAAGGTAGCCTACTCAAGGCAACGGCCGACGACTAAATGCCTGTTAGGCTGTCATCAGGCTGACCCAGCGTGGTTCGCAAACTCGTTGGTGAGGTCAGACTTCAGGTGACCTCTTACGGAAATCCACTAGAAGGGCGCTAAAGGTTCCAGAAGATTGCACAGCGAAGCGAAGCGACGCAGATTTAGCCGCCCCGTGACGAGGGCAAACCTGGGCTGTTTCTCACGGAAGTTGGGTTCCTAGAAGCCGGGACGCCTTCTAGCGTGAACTTTCGAAGTGTCTTGCACGATTGCGGGCGCAAACGGTGACGGGAATGGGTGGCTTGGGGCCAGACGGAACGGCTAATCGGCTTGGGGGCCAATTCAGATAGCGAGCATTACAGACTTTCCGTGTCTCTCATTTGTGGTGACCTTGCGGAGTGCGGAATGCAAGGTGCTGCGTACACAGTAGCTAAGCGAGATTGGGCAACCTTCTAGAAGGCGCAGAGCAAAGACACACCCGCCGAATGGTGGTCGGGGTGTAATAGAAGCAGGAGAAGGCGGGTTGTGGGGTCCGCGCATCAAAGCAACGAAACAGGACTAACTACGGAGTATCTATGCCACCCGTCACCACCATCTACATATCGCCAGCGCGGTCCCGGGGCAGTGTGATGTGATAGCAGCAGGGGCCGGCGAATGAGAATCTCGTGCCTGGATCCGAGAGAGGCATCATATCTCCCCAGTGCGAAAAGGGAGGTGCGTCACAGATCTGTGATGAATGTGCCAGGTGCGTGCAGGTGCGTGGAGGCGCTGTTGCTGTGCAAGGTCCCAGAGCGCACAGTTATGAGTGGGACACGCTGAACACGCAGCTACACAGTATGTATGCAGCTAATTTTAGCGGGGTTGACACACAGTCACGCAGTGCAATACTGTAGCCAAGGAGGACTGGGTGTTTGAAGGGGGCACTCAGTCGATCGGAGGACGGTCAGATGACTACGGGAGCTCATATGCATGGGACTTAGGGAATCCGTGCCAACCGTTCTCGTAGAGATTGAGAGAAATGGGGGGATCGAACCAGCAAAGCAAGGCGTCGGTGCATAGCTAACATAGGGCTGTCGACGCAGGGACGGGGCCCCGCCTACAGGAAACTCAAATCGCTGCAGAGTTGCAACGGCTTTGTGACGAGAGGCGACAGATGGGGACTTATATGTAGGTTACAGTAGATTGGATTGGCGCTGCGCTGTGGGACGGGCACCATTGAAAGTGTTGCCGGGACATGTGACGACGAAGATGAAGGATGAATACGAGATACGTATGACGATCGATCAGGTGTCGATCCTGTGTAAGTAGATGAGTCGATGCGATGACCACGATGACCCCAATGACCCAATGCGCCACGTGGTTGAGCTTTGTCACTGTTTTCAGAACCAACAAGGGGTGTGATTGTCTCGTCAGGGGTCGTCTACGGAGTACTGTGTACGAGATACGCAGTGCTTGGTGCTATGCTACAGCGGGGACGAGTCATCGTGATAATGGCGCGAACCATGGCACGTAGATGCAGACGAGGGTGAAAGGAGAGGGGTAAACCGCATGTAAGAGGTCTACCCATCGTCACTTCGGCCTGGGCTTGTACACACAGTAAGGGAATGGGTAGGACGGCCAGTCGAGCCGAACTATTTCGGGGGGGTTCGCGTTGTCATGCGCAATTATCGTCCTCGAAAATCGCTATTGCCTTTAGCTGGTTGGGCGGTTAGTCGTGGGCAGGCCCGTTCAAGTCAAGCAAGCGGAGTCGGTGACTTTCTGTCCTGTCCTGTGTACCCGTAGCCCCTGCTATGAGTGCGTACGCAGTGCTGCTTGGTCCACCTTCGGCTGGAGTTGCTTTCGGTCACAGACGCAAGTCGGGGAGAGCAGCCGAGGGACCCGTGTGAATCTTGCTCCAACAGAGGCGTTGCAACCCGCAGAACTTACTCCGTATGTATTTAGGTACTCTGTATGGGTACGGAGTACTTTGGAAGTAATGCATGGGAAGTGATTTCCCGCAAACATCCGAACAAGCCATCAGTGATACGATGCATTACAAGGTAAATAGCACACTCGACCATGTATGTACAGCATACTCCTGAGCGGGAGGATAGGAGTGAATTGCGCCCAAGCGATATCGTTACTTACTGTCCTCCGTACAACTCGCGGGACGGCGAGAATGGTGGAGTCGGCGCCCGCCCTGGGTCCTGCCGGATCATGGGTCCGCAGTGCCGTGTACTGTGTATAGTATGATGTGATGGATCCCCAGCATGTTTTCCGCCCTGCTGTCTAGAACCCTTGCCTACCTAGCTACTGTAAGTTAGAAAAGGAGTGTGACATGAACGGGTCCCAGAGGCCCAGCGCCTCAAGGGGGGCAGGACCAACTTCAGCCACAAACTTACTGGGTACTCCTACGAGGACTCGAGGACGCGGAGTGGTAGCTGAGTATCAACAGCACCCCACCGCCACCAGCCGACAACGCCCAAAACGTTCGAAAGTGAAGCGATCAATTAGATAATGCAACTGACTTCGAGGGACTCGCGGAAGTTCCTCTGGTAGGTCCCGGGGGAGAAGAGATTCCAGGAGCCTTGGACTTGAGACGGCAGCCGTAGCCACTGTATGTACTGTATGTCTGGACCACAATGTGCGCCCATGCCTGGGAACCTGAAGAACAGACCCCTCCCCCCCGGCTTGAACTACTCCGATGATACCTACTGCTTGCATTGGATGCACTGATACGGAGTACAGTCCTCGGTACATGGTACCCGTTGCACAGCATTCAGCTCGTGGGCTTCGAAGCTTGAGGCTCGGATCTGAGGTCATGAATGTGTCACGGCTCTAAAGACACCAAAGCCAGGGTCTCCAGGCACGATGCTGGAAAGCCGGCGTACACAGTAAAGGCTGGATTACCTCGCCCGGAGCATCGCTGGACTCGTTTGCTGGGCCATACGAGAACCACACGGTAACAGGGCCGTGAGACCACCGACTACTGTCCATCTCCTGCTGCTCGTGCTGTATGATACACTAGATGGCTGGCTCGGGGGAGTGGATGGATGGATGGACAAACAAATGGCCTCTGACGAGCCTTCCGTTGCCTCCCCTGCCACCTTGAAAGCAAGGCACAGAAACCTACCCCAATACACCCTTGGACTCATACTCACAGTCAATTTCGACGGCGTCGGCTGGAGTGAAGACTGATAGAATCCGGACTTGAGGGATACATCAACACTTCCATTCCGCCCGAAGTTCTACCTACGGAGCGACTCTGCCACATGATACTGTATATATCGCACACTGTCGCTCCCCGTCCTTCGAGTAGTACTCTATGAGTACCATGAGACGGGAAGGTTAGCTCGTGTTCTCGCCGATGCTGTATGCCACTGCGCTGTGCTGTGCTGTGAGTGCGGTGAAGTGCTGTATCAGGATATCAACAGTCAATGCTCAACGAGACGATTATTCAGTCTCAACCTTCGTATGGTCCTGCGGCCACACACTGTGCACAGTACTGTAGACGAATTCCCCATCAACACGGTCATGAAAACCTCGTGTCGATGGCTAGGAAGTCCATTCCACGACACGCGTGGCCTGCAGCGTTATCTGGGTGGACTCTTATACTCTGTACTCCGTTTCAGTCCGGCACAACTGTGTGGTTTTTAAAAGTGTTGCTGCTTCTCAAGCTCTGAATCGCTGGTGTATATATGCAAGCCGTCGCAAGTGGGTTCTGGCTTGTCTCCACGGCTGGTCACTCATCTAAGCGGCTGCCTGACCAGCTTCGGGGCCAAGCACCTCTTCTATAGGTTGGACACCTCTCTTCTTCTTCTTCTTTTTCTTCTTCACGGCCTCTTCATCCCCACCAGCACGCTCTTCACGCCCGACCTCGGCCTCGACCTCGACCTTGGCTTTCGTTCTCTTTTTCTTCCGTTTGACCACCGTGCCTTCCATGTCCACGCCCTCACCCATCACTGTGCGCTGCCGTTCCTGCTCGCGCTGCATCTCAAGCCGTTTCTTCTCCACTTCCCTCAGGGCCATTTGCATTTCGAGTGCTTCGGCTTCACGACGGAGGATCTCCATCTCAGTGTCGGCTGTCCCACCAGCTTCGAGACTCAAGTTCTCGAGCGTAGAAGAGTCGACGGTGAGGAGTGAGCGAGTAGGACGGCTTGTCGAACGAGATTGGCTTTGGGTTTGGTCGCGAAGACGCGTCGATGGACTGAGAGAGCGAGGTCGTTGCATCTGATCGAGCACGGATTGGTTGGGTGTGTTTGAGAAGGACTGGGAGGTGGGCGTGCTGGTGTCGAGGGTCTCATCGGCGGCAACGACGAAGCGGCGAACTGGCTTCTTCTTGCGCGGTTTGCGGTCTTCCGTCTCAGCTCCAGGGTGGGCCGCTGTGGTTTGGGAGTGGTCGATTTGTAGGTCGATGATAGGGATGGAATCGACGTCGAGGTCATCACCTGCATTAGATTTACTGATGACGTCGTGGAAATGAGAGTCCGCATCTTCCGCAGGAGCGATATAGAAGGGGTCGTCCTTGTTGCGCGCCATCCGCTCTGCTTTGCGTCGCGCTTTGGTTGCAGGTGACTCAGGAGCAGATTGGTACGAGAGTGGTTCTTTCTCGGCAGCTGCCGCGTCGATGTACGAGGCGGCTGTTTGAGGTTGTAGTGATGTGGTTGTCTGCACGGGTTCACGCTCGTGGTAGAAGGAGTGGAAGGCGTCTTCATCGTCGTCATCGTCATCCGCGACCTGGGAGGCTTGCAAGATAGACGATAGGTTGGGGTTGATGGGTTCATCGAGGTCGAGATCTTCGGGTAGAGGGACCTTCTTCTGCGCTGCTGCTGCCACCGGGTTCAATTCAAGGTTTGTGAAGAGATTGGGGATGGCAGAGGTCAGGAGTAGTGGCGCTTGATTGCTGTCCCCGGCTTGTGCAGAAAGCGCCTCCGCGGCAAGCCGGAGCAGTTCGAGGAATTCGACGCTTCTTTCCTGCACCTCGAGGTTGGGGTGCGACGACAACTTCTCCAAGAATTCCGTGGTTCTTGCAAGCAGGAGCGACATGGTGCTGCCCCTGGAAAGATTCCATTCTTGAACGGCCGTTGTGGCAATCTGTGCAATGATTTTGGGGATTGCTTGCACGACTATCGCCAGGGTTGACCACAGGAAGCTCGTGGAAGACTCGTGTATCAATGAGTTGAGAACCTCATAAGGGTTGGATAGGTACATGGCAAACTCTCCGCATATCCAGGCTGCGGACTTGATGACTGGACTTTGTCCCGTACCGTGCTTAGGATAGGCAATGGTTCGGTTAGACAACAAAACCAGCGTTTCGGCTGCCTTGGTCGTCTCTGGGCGTAGTTCTTTGACTCTGACCGCAATATCGCGAAGCTGACCCCCAACACGAGCCCCGATCAAGGTCTCGTCATCAAGTGAAGACCGTGTCGAAGCCGAGTCTTGATGGGCCGGCAGATGTCTGACAAGATGCACTAGAATCTCGATGTACCAGTCAAAGTCGGTAATGTTGGCGTAGGTATTGTGAGAGCACATATCGAGAATCCTGCTGATGATATCATGGCGATATTCGTCCGGCAAGGGCATTTTCTCGGATCCTCGTTTATCTGGGACAAGCCTTTGCTCCATATCTGTCTGCTCTTCCTCAGCGTGGCCGTTAGCCGCGTCAGTGGCTGTTGCCGATCCGGCAAGCTGTTTCATCAGTCGATTAACGACAGCTTGAATGTTGTCGCTGTTGACCATGCCTGACACCAGTTCCAATGCCTGCATTTTGATGGAGATGTCTGGATCGTCTAAACAACCCATGATCACGTCCTGTTGCAACGCAACCAGAGCTGGATGCGAAGCCACGATCTTGTTGAACGCAAGCAACGCAACATATTTCAGATTTGGGTCGCCATCGAGTACAATCATGCCTCTTAGCTTCGATATGCATAGATCGGCCACTTCCTCCACGTCCACACCGCTCTCAGCGCCGTCCAGAATGCCACCTTGGATGATTCCACTGATGCACTCGTAGAGTAAGGACATTGCCGTAGTTTCTTGTATCAATTTGGTGAGTGGCCGCACCAGTTTCTTGACTAGTCTCGGTTCCAGTGGTGTCAGGACTGCGAACAGTTTGATGATCTTGATGCCCATCCAGTTGTTCTTCTGAGCAAGCAAGAGATCGAACAGCCTGGGTGCCAAAGGCAAGAAGTCTTGTGGCCTCCGCCAACCCAGTTCACAGACAACATTGACTGTTGCGGCTGTAACGCTGCTGTCTTCCTGTTCGTCCAAAAGCCTTTCCTTGATTTTCGGCCATGCCACCCTCAACGTCTCAGGATATACCAACGCTAGTCTGTACAAGGTGACAATGGTCTTCTTGCGTACAGCGGGCTGAGAATGTGACAATCGTGGCAGGAGCTCTGTGAGAATGGAGAGAGCCAGAGAAGATGTCACAATATGCGGAAGGGTGACGAGTGGCAGCGACAGTACTGGTATGGAGGGAGAACTGAGATCTTTCTTCAACAGGTTTTCCGCCAGCATGAGAACCTCCATCTCGGGTCGAAAACTCTGGACGGCGGCCAAATACCCAACGCGCTTGTGAACCGGTTTGGGAGATGCCATCACTTCCAGGACATTGAATGCGGCCCATGTCATATCATAGCCAAACATTTCGAGGTAAATGAGCTTGAGTAGCGCGGTGGCCTTGAGATCCAGATCCTGGGAACGAATCTCGCTCCGGCACTCTCTCAGGGCGCCTTGAATGTATTCTGCCTCATTTCCCTTATGGCCGCGCAAACCACGGATGAGATCGACAAGCGACTTCTCGAACATCTTGGATCGGTCGGATCAGGGCGTCATGAAAAATGCGCGGTCAATATCTCGTTACAAAGCCCAGATAGCATCATCTCTCACGCGACACAGCGTGGGCCAGAGGTGCGGATTGAAGGGTTCTTCGCAACTATGCATGGATCAAGCACGCCGGGCCTTCTGGTTAAAGACGAGTTTCTCAAGTGTCCTTGTGTGTTGTGCTCCCTTGGTTGGAGTCTGCAAAGTGATGGCAATAACGGCAGCCAGAAGCGAATGATGCCTCGAGCGTTGTGGAAGTCGATCAACAGAATTGCTCCAGCTGCCGTTTGCTCCGCAGAAATGATGGGTGCCAAGATTACTGCCGAGCAACAGCTTCGAGGCCGCAACTGTCTGCGACCCAAACACCCCATGCAGAGGGACGAGATCTATTATTCTACATCCGTTCTTGTGCATTGGTCTCTTTCCGAAAAACGCAACCTTAACGGCATACGCAATGGCTGCTGTTGCCACCAAAGGCCCGGCCGCTGATCCGGCCTCCGCTTTACAGATAGCGCAAGGTGCTGCCTCGATCCTTGCAAAGTCGTCCTCCGTCAGTACGACGTTTCCTGCATCTATGTTCAACACAGCGGACTCGGCAGAGCTTTGGGACGATCTGGAGCAACTCCTCTATGCATGTCTACGGACGGGTGACGACAAATCTGCTTTCTTGTGCGTGGAGCGACTGAGCCAGAGGTTCGGCGCAACGAACGAAAGAGTAATGGCTTTGCGAGGGCTATACCAGGAGGCTACTGCACCGGATGAAGCTGCTGGGCGAAAGATACTGGAAGACTATGCCAGAATATTACTGGAGAATCCTATGAACGTGCCCATACACAAACGACGGATTGCCCTAATGCGCAGCCTGGGAAAGCCCCAAGATGCCATATCGGACTTGGTCCAGTTTGTCGACTCCTTCCCCACGGACATGGAGGCGTGGTGCGAACTGAGTGACCTGTATCATTCCCAAGCATGCATCCCGCAAGCGATCTTCTGTTTGGAGGAAGCCCTCATCATTGCACCTAATGCGTGGAACCTTCATGCACGACTGGGCGAGTTGGAATACCTGGCAAGCCTGTCCGTGACGGAGTCCGCCGATATCCAGAAACACCTGACGCAGGCAATCCAGCGGTTCAGTCGCAGCATTGAACTTTGTGACGACTATCTGCGGGGGTTCTACGGTCTCAAGATGGCTGCAGATAAGCTTCTGCGGACGAACACGACATCAAAGGGGAACACCGGCTCAACGACGCCCCCAGAAAAGCTGCAGAAGTTGAGTCGGCTGGCCACGTCTAAACTTGAAGCGATCGTAAAGGATCGCACTGCGCGCAGATCATCTGGGGCAGAATCACCCGAAGTTATTGCAGCTCAGGAATTGTTGAACAGATCCAAGGGTTGACCACGTACGCAATTCCGGGAACTTTGGACCGAACGCTGGCGAAAGTCTTTTCCCCGAATGAAACGGCACCTGCGTCCGAATCTGAGTTGTCATCTGAATAAGGGATTGACGGAGCCAAAGTTCCTGCAGACGACCGACTGGTCGCGGAGGAAACAATGGTTCGTGGGCGATCATGTCAGATGCAGGCGTCTCCACTAGCTTCTAGCGTGCTGCGTGGTTGTTTGAGTTGGGCAGCATTTTGGCACCAATCGACGTGGCATTGTTTCTGAGGATGCCTCAGTTGTCACGACACCCAACCGCCGACGAATGAGGCTCGCAGCCAGTCAGCATCCGTGGGTCTTGCTCTCATGTCCTCCGGTTTAGAGTCACTGCAGCCTTGCCTTCCGACAAACTAACAACCACGAGGTGAGGATTGCGACAACTAGCCCGTCCCCAAGTTGAGGTTCTGGTGAGCAGATCACCAAACGAACACTGCTGTTGTCGGTTTGAGGCGAACAGGTCGGGTATCAGTCCAATCGCCCAACCTCATGGGAGAGCAGCCCAGGTGGCGGACTGGGCTGTTGCGGGTTTGCCCTATATAGAACGAGAATGCCATGACGGGTCGAAGGAAGACAATCACCTCCAGCTGTCCTGATATCAACCCAATGTAGGCCTATTTGCGCTTGACTTGCACTTCTCATTACCACGACATAAAGAATACCACACCCGTTGCTCTCTACGTCTCCTTGTAAAGGAGCCCTCGATGTCTCAGAATCACAAATCCAATCGTAATCGAAGAAAGACAGCGCGGAAGAAGCGCTTACCACTACTCGATCCAATCCCGTTCAGATTGCTCGCATCTCGAACAGAATTTTCTGTGTGACACTGCGTCACCTCAGTGCGCACCAAGATCTGCGGGTTGTTGGAGCTCTCTCTTGCTCACACCATCTTACTTCTCCTTTCAGATTTTTGACGGAGGCACGATTGTTTCTCGTTGACTATTACTGTCGTCGTTCCTGCTAGCCAGCATTGGCAAGCGCTGCGGCTCGAAGAGCTCACAAAGCTTTGTCCACCGAAGACAACGTCGAGGCTTACCTGCTGGCGGCACAGTACTGATCGTTGCTGGTCTCTCTCGAGGCCCGGAGCATTATCGCCATTTCAACACCTTCCTCGGACCATCGACGTCGGGACTCATCACCTGCCAAGGAGCACCTATCCGACTGCACCAATTTGGGAACAAAATATACGTTGACATCGACATCGACATCAACCGGGACTTGTTGCGAGGAGGTCGGTCCGGACTTGCACTGGAAACATAGCGGTTTTCATTTTTTGCTCATCGTTGTCATTGAGGGAAAGTTGAGAGACCTGGATCTCAGAGCAAGGGCAAGAGAGCCCGAACCGGCATTAGCCCCACCCTCAAACGCGGCACACCTAACGGTACCCGCACGGCGCCTGCACCTGGCGAATTAGGCGCCGCTTGTGGGTGAGCAATTGGGCATCAGTCTCCAAATTTGAATCCCCGTTTAGGCCGACAGCTGCACACCGAGACACCAAACATCAGGATTGACTGACTGTCACTGACTGTCCACGCGCGCCCTCGACTCACCGTCTCGTTTCCTCTCGCTTCATCTGTCGTCAACAGTTACATACTCCTGATCCTGATCTGCGGCCTCTCCCAAACTCCCTTTACAAACTGCTCTTATCGGATCTACCCATTGCCATCTTGCATACTACAATTATACGTTCCCATACCGTCGGCATCCTCTCGGCACAACGCATATGCAACTACTTGTGCCTCTGGCCGACCCTTCGTTCCTTTCCTCCCCACGGATCCACCTCGTCGGAATTTCACGACGCACCGTCTTCACGACGCTCCCACCACCCGTGGGCGCACCTGAGGGCGGTCACCACATCCCCCGCTGCGCCGTTCAATCTCTCCCACCACGGTCTCTGAAGGGCGGCTATCTCAGATATACTCTGGATCTGGCCCATTTGGATGGTCCTATTGCCTGAAGTCAGCCTCACACCTTGGTTCGGTTAGCATCCCTTGAAACTAACATAACCCTCAAGGCTATCTCGTTCAACCTCCCTCTGGGGCAGGTTGGACGCGGTAATCCCTTGACCTGACTCAGTCTCTCATGGGGTGGGTTGTTTCAGCAACACTTTTTCCATCAGTGCTAACTCGTATTCCCATAGGTCTTCCAGTCGCGAAAGTCACACACATATTGACATTACTCACATCGCTCCCCGCTCTCCCTCCCTGGGCTCGCAAGACGACGAGCTTCACGAAAACGGGGTCCACGTCTCCGCCGGAGTGTCACCTCAATATTCTGTCATTCACCCCACACAGAGCCAAAGTCAGAGTGGCTCTTCCTCGCACCAGGGCGACTTTGTCCATCTGCAATATCCGAATGAACTGGTCGAAGGCGATGGCTCAGATTCTGTGTCAAGAGTAGACCACCGTGACCGAATCCAACACTACGACTCCAGGTCCAATTCAGGACGGCGCGAGGCGGCCCGCCGCCGTGAATCACTTCGTGCTCCAGCGCGTAGTAGGACGCGAGAATTGCAGGAATCATCACCCACAGAGAGCGGAGACTCTACCGAGGAGTTTCTTCGACAAGATCTGGAGTCTCGACGAATGCCTCGTCCTCAATCTTACTATGGGCACAACGGGTATACGATTCACAGCGGTTCATCAGCCCAGTCGTACCCATATCCTCCTGTCCCGCCTCACGCAGGTCAAGTGGTAGCTCTTCAGCCTCAAGCAATGGCTATGCCATATCCTCCTCCCTTTCCTCAGGGTCAGCCTGCCCAATATCCTCCTCACGGCGCATTCCACCCGGGCGCCTTCAACCACCCTGCTTCGTCACAAGTCAGTTCGCCATACACCTCTTCCCCTTACGGACCGCCTACGATCGTCAATTATGGTTCCCCACCGCCTCCCCCCGGAAGCTATTTTCCGGGCCAATACCCCTCCCCTTTCGGCCCACAGCAATATCCATCACAGTACATGCAGTACCCTCAACCGATGCCGTCGCAGTTACACTATCCATATCCATTTCCTCCCATTGCATCATCTCCTCAGCCACCTGCTTCGGCAAGGACTTCGGCTGAAAAGCTTGAACCGAAGAGCGACGAGGATATCGTCAAACGTCTCCAGGCCATGATGAAGGAGGAACAGGCCGCCAAGGATGCGGATGCTGCCGAGAAAGCGGCCGAGAAAGCAGCCGAAAAGGCGAATCTAGCAGCCAGTCTTGCCGAGCAAGAAGCTCGTTTCCGGGAACAGGCTCTTCGACAAGCAGAGGAGAAAGCCCGACAAGACGCTTTACGTGCGGAGGAAGAGAAACGCATTCGAGAGCAGGCCATGCTGCAGGCTGCAGACAAGGCTCGAGCCGAGGCGGCGGCGGCGGCGGCTCGCGCCGAAGAGGAGCGGCGTATTCGTGAAGACGCCATACGGGCTGCAGAGGAGAAGGCTCGTGCTGCTGTAGCCGCAGAAGCGGATCGCCGGGCACAAGAGCAACGGATCCGGGAAGAAGCCAGGCTTGAGGCGATTCGGGCTTATGAGGAGCAGGTCCGCAAAGCCGCAGAGCAGGCTGCACGAGAGCAGCAAATTCGGAAGGAGGCCGCGGAAGCCGCTCTGAGAGCCGCCGCGGAAGAAGCTCAGGCAAAGGCCGAGAAAGCTGCCGCGGAAAAGAAGATTGCTGATGACGCTGCAGCAGCGGCAAAAACGGCAGCCGAACAAGAAGCGGCGGCGGCAGCTGCCGCTCTAAAAGAGGAGGCAAAGGCAGCCAAAGAGGCAGCAGAAGCCAAGCTAAAGGAGGCTGAGGAAGCGGCGGCCAAGGCCAAAGCAGATGCAGAGGAGGCGGAGAAGAAGGCCGCCGCTGCAGCTCCTCCAGCAAAGAAAGCACCAGTCCGGTTCAAGGACGCAATTGGTCGTAACTACAATTTCCCGTGGGAGCGATGTTGCAAATGGAGAGTAAGTTGACCTGATCCTGCAAGTCGGATGGTACACTAACCTGCCGGAAGGATATGGAGGGTCTGATTAATCAAGCCTTTGCACATATCGACAATCTGGCCGAACATGTCATGAATGGCCGCTACGATTTGATCGGCCCTGACAAAGAGATCATCATGCCCAATTACTGGGAATCAACCGTGGAGCCCGATATGCACATCACAATGATGCTCTGGCCCATCCCGGAGCCTAAACCGGTGGAAGAGGAACCACCGCCGCCCCCTGATGTGATACTTGATACGGACGGCATTCTAAATTTGGATGGGATCGACATCATGAATCCACGGAAGGAGAGAAAGGGTATGTGAACTTCTGCGTGTGGTACTTGTTCTGGGCGTCGCTGATCTCTTCTCTTTAGCGGCTCCCAAAAAGAAAAAACCCAGTGGTCTCGCCGGCTGGATGCTGGGGGGAAGTAGGGGGTCGTCGCGGTCTTTAAAAGGTGATAAAAAGCCTGATGTGGCCGCTAAATCTCAGCACGGTGCCACCGACCAAGGTGCATGCATCGTTATGTGAGCGGATTTCCTGACGTCGAAATCGACGAAATGTACAGCCTGGAGGCAATTTTGTTCAGCAGAAGATGTGGGAGATTGGAAACGAGGTGGAAGTTGGGCGGCAGTGTCCATTGCTCATCCATTACAGCATAAGCGCCTGGATGGCGACGACGACTACGACTACATCTCTCGGTTCTCTGCAGCAACTACCAGTTGGCGACATTTCATGAAGTCGGCGAAGGAGGCCCTCTCGCATAGGCCACTTCAGGAGGCATGGCTTTATCCTCTCGAGAATTCGGGATCGGTTTTTCATGCCTCGGGGGACGAGTTCGTGGATGTTTTTCCTTTGTCACATTGACGAATTATGAGGGTGTGCATTTAGCGGGAGTTTTGAGAATACACGTTGGATGGAGCGATCTCATGGTGATCGATTCGATGGCCACGAGCTCGTCTACAAGAGTAGGCGACATATTGGATGTGGATTGAGGCTACTAATGTCATGCTATCTGGTGTTGCTCGCTCGGCGCCCCATATGATACCCAGTTTAGGTCGGCCGCCATACTTGGCCATGTTGCTCATCATCTTGGAAACAAAAGCCTATGTAGCAACAAGACTCAAACAATAGACAAGTATCAAAGACACGTACTTGTTCCTTTTACGTGGCTCCGAATTCGGGAAATAGCGACACGCACAGCGCAACATGTGGTGGCTCCAGTCATGGCTGTCGAAATCTCACTCAGCAGCATGTCACGTGACCAACCGAGACACCTCGACCACCGCACCTTCACTTGGGCCATGCGTCACACTAGTCACCCAAACTCCTTGACGACAACTGCATCAATTCGGTGTATCGGTGGCGTGCTGAACTCGCATCTCCAGCACCCACGAGATTGCAGATCGTCCATTCTGCGCAAGGCCAAGCAAGATAGTGAGCGCTTCCGGGCCTAGACACCGAGACTTCAAACCGCCTCATCACGCGACCGAAGTCCGCATAGGTCGATGACCTCGCCTGCTGGAGGTAATTTTGGCTCAGCCCGGCCATAGACAGAGGGTCCTGATCATCTCGGCAATGAGGTCTCGATTGCGCCTCATCCAGTAACCTTCGCCACGATGTCCATGAGGGTATTGATCCATGACTACCCACATCGAACGGTGGCTCTTGCTACGGATGAACATGTCTTGGTCTTTCGCCATTCACATGCGGCTTCCGACAGCCACAGGAACTCGATCTCTAGCTCATCAAGCCTTCCACTGAGTAATGGTAGCCGACCGGCCTCAACGCCTCGGGCCATGGTCGAGTTTGGGGAGAAGTCTATCGTCAACCTCGAGCATTTCCACCCTGTCACCACAGCTCGAGGCACTCTAGGCCTCGTCACACTCCACAACGATGTATTCCTATGCGTCATCACCGGTTCAGAAGAAGTTGCAACCGTGCGACCCGGGGAGACTGTACAGAAGATCTTTGCTGTCGAATTTTGTAAGTGGTCTACTGCGCGGAAGCATGCGGTGCTAATCTAGCCAAGACTGTCTCAACCGTGCGGACTATGACCACGCCCATGGTCCTTACCCCAATCCTTATCCTGGACAGGTCTTTCACTCGGACGACGTTGACTACACACAAGGCGATGATGTCTCGGAGCATCCTTTTCACGCCTTGAGAAAGCTGTTGAGCAACGGCAACTTCTACTACAGCACTGACTTTGATTTGACACGGAGGCTACAAGACCGGTACGCTGGGAACGATGATGTGGGGAGCAACAACGGCTGACTCGCTTGTAGAGCCGAAGCCGATAGCACCATCGACATTTCCAGCTTCGACCAAGGCCTCCTCTGGAACTCGTACATGATCGACCCACTGATAAAGTTCCGAAGCAGACTTACCGACACTGAGCGATATGCGTTGGACCACAGTCGGCTTCTCACTTCCGTCACACGAGGATTTGTCAAGAGTCTTGTTGTCCCACCTTCGTCGTCGCCGATCCGCGGCACAACACCAGGGCATCCTACAACGTTGACCATCATCTCAAGGCTTTCGTCTCGACGAGCTGGCACGCGCTTCAACTCCCGGGGCGTCGACGACGACGGTAATGTCGCAAACTTTGTAGAGACCGAGACGGTTCTCTGGTCCCCAACCGGACTGTGCTTTTCATACACCCAAGTCCGAGGCAGTATACCAGTATTCTGGGAGAGCTCGAGTAGCCTCATACCAGGGCAGCAAAAGATTCAAATCACTCGCTCACCAGAAGCTACACAGCCGGCCTTTGACAAGCACTTTGCGAATCTAGAAAGGACCTACGGAGCCGTACACATCGTTAATCTTCTAAGTGCTACTAAGCCTGGTGAGGTGGAGCTCACAGAAAGGTACCGACACCATGTGGGCCGGAGTCCCCTGCGACGGCATGAAGAAGGGGAGATGGAGGAACATCACCTCCTCCGCGAGACCGAGTTCGATTTCCACGAACGGACACGAGGCCCCACCGGATACGAGGCTGCGAAGGGGATTCGACCGTATCTCGAAACGAGCGCAGACTCGTTTGTGTACTTCCTTTCGGAGGAAGTCGAGGAAGAGACCATCGTACAAGGCCGAAAGAAATTGACGAGGAGGCCGATTGTTATCATGCAGCAGAATGGTGTCTTCCGCGTCAACTGTCTGGATTGCCTAGACCGAACGAACCTTATCCAGGGTATCATCAGCCAGATGGCCCTCGAACTCTTCTTGTCACATCGCGGCGAGCGAGGAAATTCAGACTTTTGGATGCGACATTCTGCACTCTGGGCAGATAACGGTGACAATCTTTCCAGGATCTATGCCGGTACGGGCGCATTGAAGAGCTCATTCACCAGACACGGGAAGATGAGCCTTGCAGGCGCTCTTGCCGATGCCAGGAAGAGTGCTACTCGTCTTTATGTCAATCATTTCGAGGACAAGAACCGGCAGAATACAGTGGATCTGCTGCTCGGTCGATTGGTTGGTCAGACGAGTGTCGACCTGTTCGATCCGGTCAACGACTGGGTTGTCGCAGAGGTGGCTCGACGGAGAGCGGAGTTTGAGTCGAGAGATCAGCTCAGGCTTGGAATGGGGACATACAACTTGAACGGCAAAACCGCCGGCATCAACGAAGACTTGACCCCTTGGCTCGACGTTCGGGGCAGAAACTTGGATATGGTCGTGGTTGGCTTCCAGGAAATCGTCGAACTGAGTCCTCAGCAGATCATGAGCACGGACCCGAATCGCCGAGTGCTATGGGAAAGAGCAGTCCGAAATTGTCTGAATGGGTACGGTCCTGGTGAGAAGTTTGACGGAGTGCCCACGAAAGGTGACGAATACGTGTTGCTGCGGAGTGGACAATTGGTCGGAGCCGCGTTGATGGTTTTCGTGCGGGCAAGCGTTCTGCCCCGGATCAAGAATGTGGAGGGCGCCATCAAGAAGACCGGCATGAGTGGTATTGCTGGAAACAAAGGTGCAGTGGCGATCAGGATGGACATCGAAAACACCTCGGTGTGTTTTGTCACGGCGCATTTGGCTGCCGGGTTCGCCAACTACGAGGAGAGAAATCGTGATTACACCACCATCACCTCTGGATTGAGATTCCAGCGGAATAGGAGCATCGAAGACCACGAAATCATCGTCTGGGCCGGCGACTTCAACTACCGCATCGGCTTGGGCTACGAGAAGACGAAAGCACTCGTCAATGAAGCGATCATCGGCTCCGAAAAGATCAGAGAGGAAGCACTGGAGAAACTGTACGAGAACGACCAATTGAACATCCAGATGGTGGTGGGCAACTGCTTCAACTACTACCGTGAAGGGCGGGTTAAGTTCCTGCCCACATACAAGTACGATATCGGCAGGGATGACTTTGACTCGAGTGACAAGCAGCGCATCCCAGCCTGGACGGACCGGATTCTGTGGAAGGTCAACCACAGCCGCAACGTGGTGCAAGCGGGCGAGGTCCTCGGCTCACAGATGAAGCAGCTGGAATACGACAGTGTCATGGGCCTACGATTCAGCGACCACAGACCCGTATACGCGATCTTTGAGATGGGCATCCGCGTGGTGGACGAACAGAAGAAAGACGCGCTGACGAAGAAACTGTACGCGAAGAGAGCGCGAGAGACGAGGATCAAAGCAGGCGATTCGACCGAAGGGTTCGAGGACATTGAGACCGACGATGAGACCGAGAGCGTCGTCGACAGCCTGATGGGGTACGAGAGCATCCAGGAGGGGCTGCCGCCCGCGAGCAGCGACAAGCGGAAGTGGTGGCTCGACGGCAACAAGGGCGCGAGAAGTACCCTCCGCCCACCCAGAGAAGGCGCCATGTTGAGTAAAGACCGAGAAGCCAATCCCTGGAGAGAAGGAGGAGGAGGCGAGGACGATTGGGTCGAGGTCGAGAGACCGCCCATCATAGAGTCCAGAAGTCGAAGCCGACTTGAAAGTTTGAGGAAACCGGAACCACCTCCGCCGAGGACAGTGAAGAGGATGGTTCCCCCGCCGTGGGAGGGCGAGAGGGTGGCGACGGGCGGCCAAGAGATGAGACCCGTGCAACGAGGCCCAACACCAACACCACCAGCGCCAAGGAACAGATCCTCCAGCGCGACGACCTCGCCCATCCGTTCGCCCGTCCGCCTGCCAGACGTCCCTGCCAGATCGTCTTCCGCGGCAGGATTCCCCACCAAGAAACGCCCGCCTCCAAAGCCGACCAAGCCGTCGGCCCTGACCAGCTCGTCCAGCCAAGTCGCCGTCCCGCAGTTGAGTCATCTCCCAGGCCCAGCCATGCCGCGCCCCCTGGCGAGCATATCTCGGCCGGACACTGTCTCTCCGGGCCCTGTGGAGGACCGTCCACCGCCCCTCCCTAAGAGACGGGAGACGGCGAGTTCGACGGCGAGTTTCGTCAGCGCGCCGGACTCGATCGGCGCGGGCGCTTCCATGGCGTCTAGCATTAGACCGACGTCCAGAGGCGCAAATCTCATACAAAGGCAACAACAACAACAACAACAACAACAGCAGCAGCAGCAGCAGCAGCAGCAAGTGGCGGCGAGAACAGACGGGATAAGTGAGGTTATTGCCCCGCCGTTGCCCCCGAGACGCGACACCAGCAGCAGTGTGAACAGTGTTTCTTTGCCGATTAGGAACAATGGAGGTGGAGGGAACCCGAGCGCAGCCGGGCTGATGCTGATGGACCAAGATGACCCGTCTGGCCGGGGCGGGCTGGATCGGTATAAGCCGCTTGTGCCCGGTTGAGGATTCAGGGTATCAGAAATCGAGTTTGATACGCCACGCAAGGCAAGGCAGGAAGGGCAAGCGTCAGGCAACGAAAACGGTGGATCGACAAGAGGAAAAGGGGGAACGAGGAAACGTTAAGGACAAAAGGGAGTAGAGTTCTATGGCATCCATCTACGTACGTACAGTACAGTACAAGTAAGACGTACTAACCAACGCTGCTCGACGCGTTGAGTCTGGTTTTGGTACTACATACCTAGGTATGTCCCTAGTCCTTGCTATGGGAACACGTACTATCATCAATGCTTGCTCGATGCCGTTTGGTTCTAGCACCCCCATTCTGGTTTCCCTCGTCCTTGCGATGCCTGGGGCGGTAAAAGACACTCTGTCGCTCTCTCTGTGCATTCATGATTATTGCTACATCTTCGTGATCAACGTGGGATCTAGCGGCTCCTTAAGTTCTTGCGAAGCGGTGTCAGGCATGACATGCCAGATGAGCGGGTGCTACCGTAGGTGTTGACGTGTCTCTCCTCTACTCCGTACCATAAGTAATGTCCCCCGTGAGACGAGACACGTGGATGACAGGGCAAAGACACGCATATCTAATTAACAATGGCGGTCTGGTCCTGTATCATCCGCGGCGGGTACCGGGCGCGGTATCTTCAATTCGTATCGTAGATAAAACATTCTTCTTCAATGTTGCGCGTTAGTTTTCAGACGAGTCCCCGTCCGACACGACAGCGGGGATGGCTTCGTCGATGACGGGAAGCACACCCGCGTTGAAGGGTGGGTTGGTCTCTTCGGGGACAACGATGGTTTTGATGGTCCTGTGAGTGTGAGAGACGAGGTCGGCGAGCGTGCGCGGTTCAGCGACGACGGAGGGTGTTGTTGGGTGAGCCGTGGCGAGTGCGGCCGCGCAGGCGAGAAGAAGGAAGGCCGGGTTGCGCATCGTGAGGTGAGGTGAGGAACTTCAGGGGGTTGTCAGGAGGCCGAGGTCGTGGTCGAGATCGTGGTCTGGATCCAGGTCGAGGATAGAATATTGTAATGCCGGGTCTGAATAGGGATGAGAACGAGGACCGGATTTCCAAGAAGGCAAGGGCTGTCGTCTTTTTATATCGTCGCTGCCTTCTTGTTCGATAGGTCCTCATCATCGCGCGCCTGCGCGGGTCAAAGCGTTCATTGGACTTTGGATTGCCAATGGTTCTGGTGAAGGTCCACGAGGCGTCGATTGGTCCTGATTGCATGCCGTGACTGTGACTTTTTGGCTGAGTGGCCCGAGCGCCCGGCGCTGTCCAGGCTCCTGCTCGGATCCCATGTACCCTTGCTGACCCGTCATGTTACTTCCCAGTCGAGAGCCACATCTCGGCTGCTGTAGAAGAACATCAATAGCACAGAATAGCTTCACGGCGGAAGTGTGCCCCAAGTCAGGTCGTCTGAGAGCATAAGTCGCACGCACCGACTCTGCGGTCTGTCATGTCTCATCGGGGTACATTCCTCTTGCACGCTGTCACCATCACCCAGCGCCCGGTTTATGTCCCTTTCTCCCCTCATCCAACAGTCTGACCTCCTGCTCAAGCGACTTGATCTCCCGGTCCTTCTCGTCCCTGATCGCCTCGGTCTCCAACAACAGCCACGTCCAGTATGTAATCTGATACGTCAGAAACGACAAGGTCACCACCTTCGCAAAGGCGCGGCCGTGGACTTGGTAGAAGTTGACCGGGCGCTCTGGTTGAGTCGGGCCTTGCCGGGTTTGAGGTCGTAGTCGTAGTGGCGTGGAACTGAACGTGCGGAGGTTGTGGCGTTGTGGTCGTCGGAGCTGGAACTGGAACAGTGGGCGTGTAGCTCGCATTGTGGGAGTGAGCGAGAGACGCTGCTTGTGGAACTGGATTTGGGAAGGGAAATGGAGCTGTAGTCGGGATTGAGCTTCGGCTCTGTTGGCTTCAAGTCGCGCTCATCATCTATTTTCCTAAAGTCGAGGAGCAGATCAATGTTTGTTGTGTTTGCCGCGTCTGGCTGCCAGATCAAATGTGGCGTATCATTTCAAGCGCAAGATGAATACTCCGTAGAGTCCCCGGGGCGCGGTGAATGATCGAGCTTTGACGAATTGCATTATACCTGCATCCCCAATCACCTCGAGACAGGCAATTAATTGGCTGAGGGGATCAACACTGATCTATGCTCGATGAGGGGTCGCGTGTTACACAGTCTGTATGCAACACCTCCCAAGCTCCATTCATAACACCCGATGCCCGGCCTAACTCATCCACCGAGCATCGGTGGTAAAAGACATGATGCCCGTACGGAGTACCTGGACCAAGACGACCGTGATTTCACTCGAATGACCGTGGCTGCGTCCTTAACGACACATGCAGCACCAATCGATCGGTGCAATTCGAGGTGCATCCGTTGCCTGCCCTACCATGTCTAGACCTTGCTTTGCTTGGGAACCTAGAGTCCTCGGAGACCAGTTCAAGGGACCCAGAGCGACGTAAGGATAGTTAGCATCTTCGTCCACTAGAGTGGAGACTAGTCTTGAGCTGCTTTGGTACACACTAGACGATACATCCACATACAGTACGAGTTACATCTCTCACCCAAAATGAAGAGCGTACCGATGTCCAAGTCCATCATCACGCAGCAATCGTCCAAGCGTAAGCGCGGACGTAAGCGCGTGCATGCGAGTTCCAGGACGTAGCGTCGTCCATAAGACATGCAAGGCCAGCACCATCTCAACCCTCACTGCGTTCATGTTCTAGGCTCAGTTCTTCACCGTCTCCTTGACGACGTCGTCGGTGTTGTACAGCTCCTCTTCTGCGATGTGGTATTTGGCGGACTTGCGCGCCGGGACGCCATGTTGGAACTGTTGGTTAGAAAATTCGGTCAGCATGATTAGAACTTCGGGACTTCTGGACTCTCATATTGTGCAAGTCCACATGCACACACACGCGCACGCAAATCTACATGCCCATGCATATGGATCAAGCCAACGCGGGTGTAACGTACCATGAAATCCAGCTCGCCAAAGGTGCGGCCCTTGGTCTCGAACAGACGGAAATAGCCCCAGATGAAGGTCAAGGTGGCGAGGCCGGCCCAGAAGAAAGCCTGTAGCAAGCGAGAGTAAGTAAGTTACCATCAGACAGTTGAGATGCGTAATCAGGGGCCCGGAAGTCCGACATACAGTCTTGCCCTTTGCATTCCACGCGCCCGGCGAGATGAGCTGCGGCTGAAGCAGGCCTCCACAGATGATGTTACCCACATAGTACGTGCTGCGGGCCAGGACGACGGTCTGGGTGCGCAGCCGCGTCGAGCCCACCTCGGAGACAAGCACGTAGATGATGGGCCCGACGGACATGGAGTAGGCGCCCAGCCAGACAATGCACAAAATGGACTGGGCCCACGCGAGCCTGAGCGTCTGGCGAGGCAAAGCCAGGAACCCGATCAGCCAAAGCAGCACGACGAGAGACGCAAACCCCCACAGCCAGATGGTCCGCCGGCCGAGCCGGTAGATGTACAGCCAGGAGATGACGGTGCCGACAAAGGCGATGCCCGTGCCGCCCAGGGCGATGCCGTACGCGGCGTTGGCGCCGATGCCCGTCTGCTGGAAGAAGAAGCTGCCGCTGTAGCAGAGCGCGCCGCCGTTGGTGATCTGCGACAGGAAGCCCATGCACGCGATCTCGGTGCGCCGGCGGTTCGTGCCCCGGAAGGCGTCCCACAGCTGCACGCCCGCCCGCTCCGCGATCTCCAGCTTGTTGGTGTGCACCATCATGGCGAGCGTGGCGTCGATGCCGCCGCCGGACTCGTCGGCGCGGTGGTGTTCCGGCTCCGTGAGGCGCTCGAGCGACTTGCGCGCGTCTTCGAGCCGGTCCGTGCGCACAAAGTACCACGGCGATTCCGGCGCGAAGTAGGCCGCCACGAACAGCGGCAGAGGCCACACCCATTGGATCGCGAAGGGGATCTTGTAGCTCCATTTCGTCGGGTTGTTGACCAGGCCCTTCAGCACGCCGGCCGAGATGAACTGCCCGATGCACCAGCACAGGTTGACGTACGCGGTCAAGTAGCCTCGGATCGCCAGGGGAGTGACTTCGGCGGCGTACGAGGGGCCCGTCGTCACGAACACTCCCCAGGGGATGTTGCATAGGAACTGGCCCAAGAGCATGATTTCAATGGTCGGCGCGAAGAAGACGATGAAGATAAATCCCGCGAGCAGGACGAGCGTGCCCATCAAGACCCGTCGGTGGCCCCATCTCGCCGTCGCCCAGCCGTTGAGGAGCGCGCCGATGATGTTGGCCAGCGCGCCGAGACAGTTGAACTTCTGCTGCCAATTCGCCGAAATTTGGTAGCCGCTCTCTTCGTTCAGGTAGGCCCCGTATTTGAGGCGAAAGCTGGGATACCCGAAGAAGGAGCCGAGGAGCGTCACGTCGTAGCCTTCCATGATGACAGTGGTGGAGATGACTTGGTAGTGGCGGGCAAGTCAGTCAAGGGGACAAAATGTTGAGTCACTGAGGTACGGGCCGCCGCGGGGAGAGACGGAGAGTCACGTACCGATCGACCAGAAGGCCGCGCGCTTGTATGTCCTGAGGGCCTGTAGGACGCCCATGCTGTGTTCTTGCGCAGCGCCCTCGAGCGCACCCCCAGCGAGAGCCGCGTCGCGAAGGTCTACATCCTTGAGGCGTTCAAGCCCTCCTTGGGCTTCGAGATGGATGGCGTCGACGGCTGGCTTGTCGGTTGCCATCTTTTATGGACGGCGGCGACACGGGGACCGAGCAGATGCCTGAAGCGTATGCGCTTCCAAGTGGTGGTGTTGTTGTTGTTCTTCAAGGAGAGTTGGTTGAACCCGACTCGTCGAGCACTGACGGCTTGCAGTGGGAAACTGCGGGGGGAGGGATCCATGTATGTTATGTAGACGAATGGAGCATGGGTTCACGGTCGAGCTCGCTCCGAGGACCTTTTCCACGTGGCACCTACCTTCTGCCCATCAGCATGGGAGGTCATTCCATGCCGCTTGGGTGGCCAGAATCCCCGGCTCTTGATAGAGCTTAGCCCTGTGGGATCATCCATGGCAGAAAGTCCTTGCTTGCATTCTCGCACCACGAGACTGGAAATGCGAGGCAATCTGGGACCAGTACTCAACTGGTCATTGAGGCTAATTCCACACACGAGTCGGATAATACAGATGGAGAGATACATGGATAGATATATGAATGGAAAATTGCACTTACTGGATTTTGTAAGCACGGAACGAGCCAGTGCATAGGAGGATCCATTGTGGTTGAAGTCTGGGTATATTGATAGTGCAAAAAAGTCGTGCTTGGGTTTCAAATCTCGATGCTACACCCCTCCGCGGCCACCGGGGTCTTTCCAGAAACCAATGGTGCAGAATGCAACGTTGTGGTCTGCCATCCTTGGATCGTGCTCCAGTACTTACTACTGGGTACTAGGCATGTTGGTCGGAGCTTACCCGTACGAAAACACGGCTGATTCGTTGTGCAACATGTTGGAGCCCCGGTTTATGGGGGGGTGGGGACTCCGTACAGAGTCCGGAGTACACGGTACGGAGTACTCGTAGAGGTTGAGGAAGGAAACGAGGGTTGTGAGTGGCCTACCGTAGCACCTCGTACGGGGTAAGGACCAGTTATAAGCAGCCCGCGGCGGCTCCGCATCGAGGCTGGGGTTTTAGCCTTTCTCTCCATCAATCCTAGAACTGGAAGACTGTCAGCTCCGTGTGTAAGGTGCTTCTGGCACTTCTTTGGCCGATGTGTAGGCTGGAGGAGTCCTCTAGGCCCGGCCGTCTCAGTTCAGATCATCCCGGCCACTCAGCATCCGCCAGCTCCTCTCTGGCCAGGAGCAACTTCGGTAGAGCAAGCTGTTAGCACTGCCGGAATATATCCAAGAACGGTATATACTCATATGCATCATCTCTGAAGTATCTCCGGTGGCATCTCGCCAAGTGCGCATCGGTCCAAGGCGAAATTCTTGTCTCCATGACCATGCCATACGGAGTACGACGTCCAGGACGGCCGGTTGGCTCGCATGCGATTTCAGGTTGACAACATGGTCCTCCGCGCCTCAGCGGTGCTAGTAGGGATAAGTGTTTAGTAGGAAAACTCAGGTTGTTTTGTTTTAACCAGTGTTTTCGTCTGTCCTTGGAAACTGTCGGTCCTATGCAGGCCGAGCGTGGTCTGCATTACAAGCCGGCCATCTTTTCTTGTCGGTGTGTTCTAGCCTTGGCTCAAGTCCACGACCTCGATACCTTGTAGTCCCTTGAGAGCAAGGCTCTCGGTGACGGCAAAAGTCTTCGCCACTTTTGAGACATCGCTCGCTTCCACAAGCTCGACGACCTTCTCACCCTGTAGTGGCCCATTGACCAGTAGTTTCAATCCATTCATGATGTCCCCGTCTGGCTCCTTCAGACTCTCGTTAAAGGGCACAGCCGCTCCAGGTCTGAGAAGGATTGGCATGGTGTCGAAGCTGTGAGTTTCGGTGTACCATCGACCTTCCTCGTAAGTTTTGCAGTGATCGAAGAAGCTCCTCCACATTGCCTGCTTCGCCGTTGCTGCCTCATTGGACGCACTGCCGGCCCGCCCAGAAAACGGCACGTAGAACGTAACTTCTCCTCCCTTATCGAAGACTGGCGCGATCAGCAACTCCTCCCCAAGCATGTATTGCGTGTCCAGATTCCACGAGTTCGGGTCGGATTCTCCAAATTCGAGAAACATGGCCCGCATCACAGGCGTGCCCTTCGCATAACCCTCAAGTGCGGTTCGTAGCAGATAGGGCATTAAGGCGAGTTTCCGCCCTACGCTCTCTCTGAGGACTCTGCTGCAGGCTTCATCCTCGCCCGGATACTGATTGGGGTCATAAATCCAAGGGACGCGATAACTCGAGCTGCCGTGCAAGCGGGAGTGGCTTCCCAACAGACCGAACTGGACCCAGCGCTTGTACAGCGCCGGGTCAGGCAGTCCTTCGAATCCGCCGATATCGTGCGCCCAGAACGCAAAGCCCGACAGTGCAAGAGACAACCCTCCGCGTAGCGTTTCCGCCATAGCTTCAAAGGTACTCTCGCAATCTCCACCCCAGTGCACAGGGAACTGCTGCCCACCAGCCGTCGCGGCTCTTGCAAAGAGACATCCCTTCTTTCCGTGCGCCTCCATGGTCTCGTACACGGTCTTGTTGTACAGGTAGGCGTAGAAATTGTGCATTCGAACAGTGTCTGATCCGTCATGATACTTGACTTGATGCGGGAGGAATGGGATTCGTTCTCCGAAATCCGTCTTGAAGCTGTCGACTCCCATGTCCATCAACCTGGCCAAATGCGCAGAATACCATTCCCGGGCAGCGGGGTTCGTGAAGTCCACACACGCCATACCTGCCTGCCAGTTGTCCCATTGCCAGACAGTCGGCCTGGGGGTATCGGCGCGCATCATGAAGTAGCCCTTCTGCTTCCCCTCGGCAAAGAGAGGTGACGCTTGCGCAATATACGGATTGATCCAGACACACAGTTTCATCCCGCGGTCTTTCAGGCGTTTGAGGTAGCCCGGTGCATCGGAGAAATTTTCGTCGTCAAACTCGAAGTCGCACCACTGAAAGGACTTCATCCAGAAACAGTCAAAGTGGAATACCCTCAAAGGGATCTCTCGCGACTTGAACCCATCCAGGAACGACGTCACCGTCTTCTCGTCGTAGGACGTGGTGAAAGAAGTGGTAAGCCAGAGCCCGTACGACCAGGCTGGAGGTAAGCCAGGCCGGCCAGTCAACGCGGTGTAGCGGTTTAAGATCTCTTTGGGTGAGGGGCCGGCTATTATCATGTATTCGAGACTCTCGCCCTGAACTGCAATATTGACGCGGGTCGTCCGCTCAGACTGGATTTCCAGCATAACCTTGCCCGGGTTGTTGACGAAGACGCCGTAGCCCCGACTCGACATGTAAAGCGGAACGTTCTTGTAGGTCAATTCAGAACTGGTCCCACCGTCCTCGTTCCACACGTCGATCGTTTGGCCGTTCTTCACGAACGGTCCAAAACGCTCACCGAGACCGTAGATTTTCTCCCCTACAGATAGATCCAGCTCGAGGAGGATGTAGTTCTCCTGCTGCGCGTACATGCCTTCCTCGGCCCTATACCTCGGCGTGTCCGAGGAGGATACCACTGCAATGGAGCGATGCGAATGGCCGGTGAGTCTCCTGGACTGATAAGAGTATGTGAAGGCCAGCTCATTGCGGGCAGTTTTGATCGACAAATCCAGCGGGCCACTCGAGTAGTCCAGCGCTTTGCCTTTGGAGTGGTTGATCTTAGGCGCAGTCGGCGACTCAAACAACGGGAAATGTGGCCCCAGGTCTTCTTCACCACTCCAATGTGAGAAACTGGCTGCGACCACTCCTTCTAGCGGAGACCAGATTCGAGTTGAAATGGTGCCGACATTGAGCGTGCCCCCCCGTGTTTTCTGCTGTGTTGTGAGAAGCAAGTTGACGTCGTCCTTGGTGAAAGAAAGCCTCTCCACGTTGCCCATCCAGTTGAAACAGACCCCATTCCTGGTCCGCCACATGCCCTCGGTGAACCTCATGTTTGGCAGTGTTGGTGTGAGGCTCGTGTAGATTTCGGGGCTGCCTTCGTTTACACCTAAGGACTTACCACGCGACGCTATTGCTGGCGCAATCCCAAATTAAGGGATCAGTGAGGCTGAGTGGGTGCACACCGATAGCAAGGCTGCTGGCTTGGCTGCCCATCGTACTCAGATAAGGCACAGCATGACGAAGGAAATGTGCTGATATGAAAGATATGGGATACCAATGAGGATAAAACCCGGCGGGTCACTGACTTGGTTCCAAAGTGCCACCAAAGTGACAGTGACAGAAAAGTGAAATCCTCGCTGGATAAGAGGTTGGCGAAGAAGACACAGTCTGACAGAAACAAAACCCGTCCCAAGTGCATAAAGGTGTGCCAGGCAGAATCTATTGTTGGCCCATTTTAATTAGGCAAAATCCTGCAGCTCACCGGAGCCCAGATGCGCACGCAACCTGCGCTTCCTCTATTTGTAGCTCACAAGATCACATGCCATCAACTATTGCCCTTGAATCCCAAGAAAAGGCCTCCTGGGATCTTGGACTACCAACGCGATTTTGCGTTGAAAGTCCCGATGCCCAGCTTCGCCTTAATCATCCGAACATCATCCAGTCCGTATCTGATCATTCCGCTGACCGATTCGGAGGGTCACTTGGGTCCCTCTGGGAACTTAGACAAAGTATGCAAAGGCGGCTTCGATCGAATGTGAAGCAAGCGAGCTGCGAATGCTCGGTAGGGGACAATGCAGACCGACACCCAGGCGCACCGTGACTGTTCAATATGGAAGGTCATCGTGGGGCACTCTGTAGTCAAGACTTTCTTTCTTGTCAATCTCGGTGTCCGTCCAACCCGCGGCGCGGAGGATGCGTCGGATGAGTGGATTCTTCTTCTGCCCGTACTCAAGAGAGTGCTGTGAGGATGAAGCAAGCTTGATTTTTGTTTGCCCATACTCCTTCTTCAGAGCTTCGTGCTCAGGCATTCTCAATGTGTCGCGGAGTGCTCGATGACATCGCATGATCAAACGTCCGTCCGGGTTTTGCCTGTCAATGATATAACTATTGCAGAGTCAGTCAGAATCCACGATGCTGGATCCCTAGCGAGTGCCAATCTGGCGAGGCTGACGCATGATGCACCCAGTGCCACACTGAGCCCTTCGGAAAATCCTGCAACACAGCGCCAGGCTTAGGGAAACTTACACGCTTTGACCCGGAACTACGCGTTCACCTTGGATTTTCATACTGAGTCTGCCCCTGATACCGCCGTCGCCGATGCATTTGTAGTGTGCTTCTGGTGGTGGCTCGTGGATGAGAGCCTCTTTTGCCAGTTCAACATTGTGAGCGTCCGGCACTTCAATGATGATGTCGATAATAGGCTTCGCTTTCAGACCCGCCACCGCTGTGCTGCCAACGTGTTCGATCACTGGGTACTCCACGCCGCAAAGGCCAAGGTAGTAGCTTAGCTTTTCGGCTATGCGTTCGAAATGCGCCGGCCATGTGGGATCATAGTCGACGACTGAGACGGCAGGCATCGTCGTCGCTATGCTTACGAGAGCGATCTCCATTGGGGGTGTCTCCTGTTGATGCTGGAGATCATGGATATGCATGGCGTACCCACATTCTGAGGAGGCATTTTGGGATATAAGTAGACGAGGTTGGTGTTGGTAGACGTCAGGATACGAACAAAAGGACAAGAAATATCTTGTTGGTAGGTCGCGGGCTCTTTGTGAGGCGCTGAGATCGGTTTGCCGAATGCTCAATGGAATCACTTGGGCAATCGACTTGTGCTCGCTCCCCTTCACTCGCCTTTGTAACTTCCCTACCCTGGACCTTCATTACGAAGCCCTTCGCCACGAGTGACAGCCGCCATAGATTGGAAACGATACTGGGCAGGTATGTTTAAGCTCGGTTGCCGCTCGTCTGACAACGTCGTATGGAGTTAGAAGGTCGTCGCACATGTTGCCTTGTGTCTCTTGGCTGTGCTCCGGTCGATAGTTTCCCCGACTAGGCTGGAACGTTGCTGAGAAGGAGTTTGATAGCTGTTGTCATCATCAGCCAATCTCCTCATCGCGTTCTTTGAGCCTGTCGTGGGTAGGCGCTTTTGCCAAAGCCCGCCTTTTCAGCTTCAATGTCTTCAGGAGTGTCGTCCCAGGATTGAGGCCAAATGCCACCACAAACACAAGCAGGACAAGACATAGTCCAACCACACAGTAGACCCAGAACCCAGGTTTACCAGGCGCATATTCTTCCTCCATGCTAAACAGCTGAGAGGCTAGCCCAAGTGGGATAAATACCATCGCGAGTATGCTGAGCTCCTTCATCCTCATAGTCTCGATGATGCTGACAAGGCCTGTCATAGAGCTGATGACAGCCTGAACTCTGCCGCTCAGCTCACGCAGATCGTGGAGGATATGGATGAAGTCGTCCTCGCCGGGATCGTTGCCCGCTTGTCCAGGGAAACTGCCCAATGTACCGGAGGCCTTGAACTGGCTAATCGACCGGTCGACCTGCTCGCGCCAGCCGGCGACCCGGTCATTCAGATGTTGCACGTCTCGTAACGAGTTTTGGATCAGCGTCGATGATACGCTGGCAAAGAAGCAGGCACGATGATAGGTGTTCTCGTATTTGACCAGGAGATCGAGGTTGTACCGCAATTGAATCATCCAATGCGACGCGACATACCGCTTCAAGACCCCAGTGACTGTCTCCGGTGTGTCGTATCTAGCGACTCCGGGTGGCTCGGCTTGCGTGTAGTAGTAGATTAGATCTTCCAAGGCGCTTTCTCTCCTAGGGCCAGTGCGAGCAGCGTAATTCGGGGCGAGGCTGTCCTGTCGTAGTGGAGAGAAGTCGATGTAACCTCCACGGTACAGGACACTTCTGAGAGTGCACTGTCTCTTTTCGAGTCCAACATAGAACTGGTCACCTACTGGAGGATCCAGCAGAATGATCGCTGTTTCAGACTCATCAGCATCTTGAGATGTGAACACGCATATTGAGGTGAAGACTTACCATCCCATCCTTCTCCTTTTTCTCGTGCTCTGAACCACACGCTTGCGGTTTTCCGGACAATGCCAACGCCATCGAACACCCCATTGAACTTCGATACGCTAACTCTCCGCGGCTGGTCCAACACGCGAAGCTCCCAGTCACCAATAGCATCGGCGAATTCTCGAAGCTCGTGGTATCTGATGCAGAATGACCCTCGCGAAGTCGGATGTGAAGACAGCAGCGGGACATCTCGCATGCTCTTGTTGGTGTGAATGGCCATGCCACTGAGGATCTGGCGAGCAAAGAAATTGGGATCGATGTTGAATGCAGCGCCAAGGGTTTCGATATAGTTTGACGGCAGACCTTGGACGAGGAACAAGCGCCGGCTGCAGGTGTGATGATCGGTTATATACTCCTGGAGCTGAGCTGAGGTGCAGAAGCGTTCTGCTGCCGCAACAGTATCTCGGAGTTCAACCACAGCAGCAGCGCCTTCTTCTGAGGGCTGACACAAGATCCTGGCGAGGCTGGAAAGGTTTGGATGGTTCCTGCTCATTGCACTCACCAGACGGGTATAAGGCCTAACACTTGAGTCAATCGATTCAGCCCCTTGACTGTCGGCATTGCCGTCATATTTCTCCATGGCTACAACTGTTACTCGAGTAGATAGAAAGCGTACAGACCAGAAGCTTGCAGAGCCATAGGAAGCTGTTAATCACTCAGAGAGGGACGAGCCTGCTCCTCTTGATATTTTTACCCGGTCCATTTCGTGACGACCTGACTGTTGCGCCCTGAAGTAACAATCCATTCGGGCGCAGACTTCGGGGTCACTGGACCGAGGCAACAACTCACTGGGACTGTTGGTTGACTGATGCCAGCCGTACCAATTGAAGATCGCCGAGGTCGAATGGATTGTACGGGTACATTGCAATAAGTGAGGCAGAGTTGCCTATCCGGCTTCTTGCTTGCGTATTCGATCAGGTTCGCGAACCACGCGAGCCACGGCATCCATCTGCCGTAGCGGGCTGTGCCAAGTGATAGCGGCCGACCGGACCGAAAGCCGTTAGGCAGAGAAGATACTGCACAGCACACACCCACATCTCTCCTGATTCCAGCAGAGTACGAGCTATCACTAAGACAATTAGTTCAGTGTCAGTGCCAATGACCGAGGCGTCGGTAGTGGGAAATGGCGCGTATGGCCCGGCTACTGCAAGAGTCGTCGTTCCAACCCATATGTACTCCCATGACGACGATGTTGGCAAAGGATATGAACGTCCAGAAGTTACCATCAATACCTAGACACATGTTGGTTGAAATCTCGAGCTCGCTGTGGCAACGACACAATGAGGCACCAGTGTTGGGTCCAGGAACTGATACCGAGTGTTTTTGAATCTCAAGACTTTACATCAGATGAGCAGAGCATTGATACATGCAGGAGGAAGAAACTGTCTAGAGTTGACTTCCATGCCAGCTGGATGCCGAAGTGAAAGATACACTCCCATTAGCATACGCCATTGCATGGAGTTTTTGATGTGAAAGAGAAACGAGACGCGTCGAGCTTAACACGTGGTGCCCGCGCCTGCCAAGAAAATGACGCCCACTCAAACTTCCGTCACCAACCCTCGCCACCCGTCGCTAGCCCTTTCTGCCTTTACTACGGAGTACAAAGCTCTTAATGAAGCATGATGGCAAAGACGCCGGGTGCAAGTTGTGTCCGTGTTAGACTCCATACCCTTCGATGTCATCGCACAGAAATGTCAGTGACCGTTCGTGGTACCTCCAAGTGGCACTCTATCAAAGTTCAGCGTTGAACCCGTCTGCCGATGAGCCCAATACACCTTTGGACATTATCTCAGTGTTGCCGCCTTGTTCGCCTCATTTTGGCATTCGGAAACTGACCTGTCCAACCAGCGACATGCCAGTCCCTCAGCTAAAACCCAGCACGGGAAACGAACGATTCCCTTGAATGAGCAACATTGGTCCGGAACCTCACGATGAAGGAGGCAACATGCGGCTCTGGCGGGTGACAACACAGACTCTGAAATGCACTCTTTGATGCAAAAAGCGGCCACTGTTCCCCGGAATTTGCCCTGAAAGTCACGACATCGGGGCTCCTCTCGTGCTGAACTCAGCACTAAAGGCACCAAGGCTTGATGACTGGAATAAAGTACCAGAGCTGGCGGCAGGCGAGTCCTGTTGAGGTGCTCCCCTGGGCCAATGAAACTTTAGCACAAACCTCGCTAACGTCGTGCACTATTTGTCAGATACACGGTCTATGCAGTTTTGCTCCCGCGGCACACTGCGAGTAGATGCCTCCAGCGAACAACGGACGAATTCCACACGACTCCAGACCGTCTGTCGACCCACTGTGTGGCTGCCCTTCTGGCTAAGCTTCATACGGAGCTGGTTGCAATGGGAACGATCACGTGAGGTCGTCACACACCTGCCGCGGTCGAATACATCGAAAAATTGATCAGCAGGGCCGGTAGGATCCATCCCCCACATCTACTGGGTACTTCGATCGTTCCTTACCAGACCCTCTGGTATACCCTGATGCTCTTTTGTTCTCCCTACAATCGCAAGAAACCATGACACCTCGAGCACTTCTACCGCGTTTCCACTTTGTCGACGAGAATGATCCTGAGAAACGACATAAATCTCGTGCACATCTCGCAAGAGAGCTACACAGGATGAAACGCCAGCGCTGGAAAATGGGCCAGGCCAAACCAGGAACAATCTCCCAAGCACAGTACCAGTTCGATCAGTTCAGATGGCCACTTGAAGTTGCGATTAAGGCAGCTTCTCCCACAGTGGAAATCCCCTCGAACTTGACGACCTCCGACCAGTTTCTTCTCCATCATTGTATGTCCTCCAAACGCTTACCATCAGCTACTGAGCCTCGCTAGATATGGTCATCATGCCAGAGTTATACAAGGCTCGCTGGAGACTTGTTGATGACGCCCCCCCTGTTGCAATGGCCCCCGTCACCGACCTGTTCCAATTGTACTGTCGCGACGAGATATCGTTCCAGGCAATCTTGTTTGACGCAGCAACTCACCGATCAGCCCTCCAGGGCAAACCAGCGCCGCTTGAATACGAAAACCGCCTCTTGCGGGCTATCAGATCCAATCTTCACACACTCAAGATTGGCATTATTCTGGCCACGGCGGTCCTCTGCAACGTCAAGTGCATGGATGGATCAGGCGGCTCCTTGCACTGGCTGGGCCTCAAAGAAATAATAACCATGCGCGGCGGGCTTTGTTCGTTCAAGGATGACCACCTCCTATTCACCAAGCTGATCTGGTCCTTCCTCGCCCTGCCCGGGCCTCTGACAGGATTTGACTTTACTCCGGACCTCGACCGTGGACTCCAGGATCTCAACGATCTAGTTCGGGCCCGTCAGAAAGCCATCATCAACCTGCTACCGACTTCGGAGGAAGACGTGGATCGTTTGACTGACTCCAAGCGGATGAGGACATTCAAGTCCTCGAAGCTGAGAAGTCGCCTGCAGCCACGATCATTGGAGCACCCAACAGAGCGTAACTGTCGTATTGCCGTCATCCTGTTTCTCGCCTCAGCACTCATGCTCTATGGTGACTTTGACACTGGTACCGACCTTTTCATCGAGACCATCGGCCGACACCTACAACAAGTGAATGATAATGCATCACTGTCACCACCGCACCTACTGTGGTTCACGGCTCGGTTAAGTAGCATGCATTCTATTGGCGACAAATACGCTCAAATCTGGACTGGCGTCATACGGATGTCAACTGCGTTCCATCGACTGGCCGCTGCAACGCAAGACAAGGCAGAAATGCTGCTGTTTAGTTCGCTTGAAATGCCTGAAACCCTTGCACATATACCCGGGCGATGGAAGGTGGACGGAGAATTGCGGATCGATGCAGAAGACGTCCACCAATCTATGCAAGATCGCTCCGTCCCTGCAGAATGCTTCTGCGAGCTACTTTGGTTTACTGAGCCGCCAAGTGAATGACGCGGATGTGTCTGCTCAATTGCTCAGCATCTCTCGCGCGAGGACATGCAGCTATGGTTACACTCGTTCAACGCCTGCCTTTTTCTAGGGTTCATGGTACGTGGAAACATGAATGGGACGTGACCCTAAGCACGTCCGTTACGTCCACTACGTCCCGTCACGTCAGCAGCATCTTATGCGGCCTTTCAGGGAAGGCAACATGCCCGTATCAAGAGCGGCGCACCCCGCGGCAGGTATTATACTGCTCTATCACGTACTGAAGAACGGCTCAGATTCCCGCAAATGTACTTGGTGGAAGTCGGAAAAGGTGTCATGAGAACGGGATTTTCCCCATCAAAGTGGATCTCCAGGTACCATGCCTCCTTGGGGCTTGAGCCACACGGTCATAAAGGGGAACCTGGGCAATCCTAGCTCTTGAAGTCAACAGGCATGGGACTTGACTCCATTAACGGTCAGAATTGTGTACTGCGTAAAGAATGGGCCACGGAGAACGGCCGTTCATGGCTTCGGCGATACGCCTACGCACGACTGCAGCCATGTCACAACTCGCGGCAGGAATGGGGCGGCACCACCTTAGATCCCTGTGGTCGGAAGATCGGGCGTATGCCTCATATCTTTTGCCACCTCTTGGTTGCCCGTGGATGGCGACAGTCCACAAGCGGCGGAAAATTACAGACCGTGTCCATTGTGCCGGTACCTGCTGTACAGGAATCGACATTGGCAGAGAGGCGCCTCCGCAGAGAGTTATCAAGCAGCAAGCTATCCCTGACCTCGCCTTCTTGGTTAAACGTCTGTCCTTCGGGTACGAGAAGCCTAGCCACCCACTGGCGGAGTGTGGAGATCAGTGACATAGTTGTTATTTCCTAATCGGGTTCTACAAGGGTGACTAATGCGAGCCGGTTCTTGAACCGACACAAGGCCTTGATCGGCACATATTTTCGGCATGATTACTGACGAAGGACGGCCATATGGCTTTCGGAGCAACACTTGATGGGTCACCTGCATTGCTAAGCACGTTGCGGACGACGGCGCCCTGGGCTCTGGCTTCGAAGCGAACATGGCATACAAAAACTAGAAAGACAAGGCGTGTTACTACCAACCTCGCTGGAGAAGACTTCACGTCAAGGATTGAGACCAGCAATGCATTGACCCGGCGGGCAGCTATTCAACGACATCACTGATCAGAACACGTTGCTGCCCCTGCTCACTTCCCTACCCGTGTGCAACATCAGCCCGAAGATGACTCGGTTTCAAGATTGGGAGACCCAGCTGGTGCCGACAGTGAACGGGAGGATCTTCTTCCGTTACGCTGGCAAAGGTCAACCGATCTTACTCCTTCATGGTGTGCCACAGCATTCGGTGCGGCAGTATGATGCAGGGGTTCACCTCGATGCACGAAGCTGACCGGCTGACAGCTCATGTACCACTCCATCGCGCCGGCCCTGGTGTCGAAGGGCTTCCTCGCGATCGTCCCCGAGCTACCTGGCTTCGGGCAATCCATCGTCAACAAAGGCGCCCCACTGACATCCAAGAATGCCGCTGACGCGCTCCACACGGTCATGAAGTTTCTGGACTTGAAGGAATTGCACATATTCGCGTTCGACAAGGGTACTGGACCTGCCATCCTCTTAGCTCGCGATTATCCCAACATCATCAAGGGTCTCGTCATAGCGGAATACGCCCTCCCAGGCTTCGGTCACGAGATTGCGCAACAACCGAGCCGCGGTCAAACTATCTTTGACCACTGGCATCTCGGTCTCTTTACTCTTCCTGAAGTGGCCGTCTTCCTGATCCGCGGCCGCGAAGAGGAATTTCTCACGTGGTATTACTGGCATACTTCGTACAGTGGCCACAACGCACTACCGGATGAATTGTTCCAGCAATACGTCAAAGAATGGCGCCGACCAGGAGGGGTCGAGGCTGCTGCTGAGTTCCTGGGAGGCTCAGTCTGGGCAGACATGGAAGAGTTTGACTGCTTTAAGAAAGGCACGAGACTTCAGCAAAGACTGCTGGTGATGGGTGGCGAGGCCAGTATGGGCAGAGATGGTATCTTGGAGGCTTCCTGGAATGGGATCAGCGCCGAGCCTCTCGAGACAGTGATTGTCCCCAAGGCGGGTCACTGGATTGACACCGAGAACCCGCACTTCGTGGCTGAAAGAGTGGTAGAGTGGATCGGTCAGCTTGGCAGACCTATCCAAGAAGTGGACTTCAGCTGGTTGGACGCCAATTACAAGGACAGAATTCAGGCTGTTGAAGCCGCTGTGAAAAGAGCGACCATCACCTTTCACGTGGGAATACATTAGTCACGCACAGAATGCAGCTTTGAGCGGATGCAGTACATAACGCCTGTATGTTACCTCCAGGGGTGAATTGCCACAACGAGCCAATTACGCTTGCGCTTCTTAACAGACAAGGTCCAATGGTGCAATGGTGCCATAATACACACACAGAGCTGAACAGGCGGGCGGTGCCTCTTCCCTTTATTGGTTGCGCTTAAATGTGCGTACACACATAAAGACACGACTGGCACAATTGATTGGTGGCCCCAATACTGCACGTAGTACAGATTATGTAGGGACTCTTCTGCCTTGCACTGTATCTCAGCCTGATACATCCCTCCTCCGACTCTATTTCGTCTCTTCTACGTGGGTATAGTAGTGGAAGCAGACACAGTATGAGTGGGCCTGCCGGTTTTATTCTCGGGTTTCTCTCCCCGTAGCCGCAATCCCAGACACTTGCGCAATACTCGACTCTCGGTTGATTTGGTCAGCCCATCTGTAATGTCGAAAGCAACCACAGCCTCGCGAAACGCAAGCCCGAGACTCAGCCACCATCCATCTATCCAGCCGGCGGCATCGACGGACACCAGGCATGACAACACAGCACCCGCACCAGAACCTCGCAGGACGTTCGAAGGCCGCTTGCTCGGCCCAGAATTCCGTATCCTCGAATACCTGCGCTCCGACAACCATGGGGATGTGTACTCAGTGACGCGGACGCCCGCGCGGACCAGGCAAACCACGCAAGCGCGGGCCACGGACCGCGAGTCAACACTACTAGCATCCTCGAACTCGTACGAGGCCAAGGCCGTGGATCTCGCGCTTTGTGGGAGGGAACTCAGAACCCATCGCCAGAAGCATATCAAGAGGTTGAAGGCGACGGCGTCGTACGTGTGCGTTTTGAACGCGTGGGGTCTGAAATGGGTGGTTCGGCGGGTCAAGTGCTCGAATGCCGTTGTCATTGTCAAGGATGCAGGCACAGTCACTGGCACAGGCACAGGTAAAGACGCAATCAAGGGCGCTGTCACGGGGAGCGGTGATGGCACTGGCACTGGCATGGGCAGCAGCAGCAGCAGCAGCGTGGGTACGACGTCGGGCGCAGGTCCGATTGGTGACTATACTCCTCGTGCGAGCTCATTGTTTCCGTTTTTAGACGGAGATGATCCGCCTCAGCAATCTGAATGTGTTGCACTTCGATCACCTTCTCCTTTGCATCATGGTGGTGCCGAGACAGAGCAGGTTCAGGTGGAGGAGGGAGGAGGGCACGACCAGGACGAGGACGGGCACGGGGACGCCATCAATACCAATATCGCAGACGGTCCGTCCGTTGTTGTCGCGGGAGAAGCCGCCGGGCATGCCGCTCCCTCTGCGGGTGCTGAAGCGTGCGAATCAGAGAGCACACGGTCGGAAAATTCGTCTCCAGCACGCGACGGAAGTACCAGACCTCAGAAGCAGAAGGCCCGGTGGCGGGCCAAGCAGAGAGAGACGCGCCGCTTGATCAGGACACGACGTCTGGAGTCCGCCGCCGAGTCGAACGCAGTGCTGCTGCCGCTGCCGCGGCGGAGAGTGCGCATCGCGCTGAGGTTGCCCGGGAGTGGCGGGGAGCTCTGGGTCGATAGCTGGTACTGGTTTACTGCCGGCCAGGGAACCACTACCTCGAGCGATGCCCGCCCTGAAAATCCTTTGTCCAAGGTTCTCGATGGGCTGAATTGCCGCGGCGAAAGCGCGCAGGTTTACCTCCTAATGCGGAGGTCCGTATATGCGCCCAGGCCGTGGCACCATACGAGACTACTGGTTGGGGGAGGTCCCTCGGACTTCTGGAAGCACGGCCACGACACGACTTTCATTACGGTCGATAGGGACGGGCAATGGTCAGTCCCGGCGTACAGATGGGCTTGTGACGGTGAAAGATGTTCAATATGCCATATCGATGACACGAACTATGGGCAGAAATACCCATAGAGGAAAGCCTCATTGACGGCTTCGAATTCGGGTCTCGGCCGGCATTATTCCCCCGCAGCCTATTTGGCACCAGGGATTAGTCATCAACTCTTAAAGTAGCTGGCACTAGGTGGCTGGTGGGTGGCTAGGTAAGACTTCTTAACTAAGAGCTTTAACTATGGATTCCTTATAGTTAAGACTTATAGTTAAGAAGCCTTACCCAGCCACGCCGAAAAATCCCATTACAGACACCTACTCGGTCACTATTCTTATTGCTGCAGCAGTAGTTACTAATACTTAATGTATACTCCAGGTCAGTTACAGCACTGGTTACCACTATTATTGCTGTGTAACTCGCACTTGAGATACAGCCATCTTGGTGAGATTACACACAAAAAGTTGATGACTAATCACTGGTGCCAAATAGGCTTGCGGGTGAGATATCGATCCGGTGCCAGCCTGGCTTAATTTGGTGTCCCATTGCAGGCAGTACCCTGGAATGCATTCATCCTCGACTTCAGTTTCGGTTCTTACGAGCCCTGCATCGGGATACGTGGCACAGTAGCGTTCCAAGGTCGACTAAGTTCTCAGCCGGCTTGCTGTCCCCGAGCGTCCATATCTCGCTTTCCTCAGCGACAGACTCGGGGTGTTTGACATGTCACAGTGGTCACCACACCAGCACGGATACGAGGTAGTAGGCCAAGTGCTTGCATTAGTCCACTTAACCGTGCACGGTGTTCCGTCCTCCTGTGCAAACCAACACTCTCATTTCACTCTTGTTCGCGTTAGTCCTGTGCGTCCTAACCTATCGAGAAGCCCTACAGTGCCCTTTCAACAGGGTGTACCGCAGTATGCAAATGGAGTCTTCCTAGTGGCATATTTGAGTCCACTCCGCGATGCCTTCTTGTCCACAGATCTGTAACCAACCAGCCAACCGTGACCCGGTCGGGTCGACGTGGTGCAATAAAAACGGAAACGCTGAAGCTTATCCAGTTGGATACAATTGCCGCAATAAGGATAAACGAAAGGAAAAATGACCATCCGTATACAATGCTCTGTTACCCAATCTCGGTGATCCATATCTCAAAACCATGCGTGCCCAAACACTCGAACGACCTCTTTCGTGCAGGATAAACTGTCAGCAAACATTCGTCGAACCCTTATTCTCCTCTTGAGCTTTTCATGTCGGGGAATATCGTGTGCACCGCCTCCCGTGCCGTTTGAGGTGATCTTTCCGCTTGTAGGACTTTCCACATGCACAGCGAAAGGAGCACTGGCTCAAGGCGCCGTGAATTGTTCTCATGTGGCGGTCAACCGTGCGTCGATCATCCTTCAGGGAGACCTGGCAGCCCGGAAAGCCACAGATGACGTTTCTGTGTCGAGCCACATGGATTCTAACATTGATCAGTCCTGTGATCTGGGCATATCGAGGTGAAGCCAAGATCACTTACTCGAACCGTCGCGCCTCTAGCCAGCCCGACCCGTAACGGTCATTGCAGTGCGGGCATTGGAGGGCGAGATTTGGGGCAAGACAAGCTGCTGGCATGAGTAATGATTCGCGCTTGACTCTGTCCCTGTTCTGCGGCGGTGCATAAACGAGGGGCATTTCATTCATGAATGCCTTGGACGAAGGTGTTGTGCTCGAGTCGACCGAGCACGCGACATCCTCGACAAGGATGGGACATCCTTCCGGGAGATCACACTGACAGCCAATGCCAGGGATGCCGTTGCAGGTGACACAAGGGTCATCCAAGGGAAATTCTCCATACAGGAACTCTGGGCTTTGCGGTGAGGAATCATAGACGGTCTCGTGCTGATCAAGACTCCTGAGAGAGCTTGAATGCTGAGGGGTGAAGACAAGGCTTGGGGGCTGGGCTGGGTCGTCGAGGGGTTCAACTGCGTAAGATTTGAGGTTATGGCATTCCTGAGACGAGCAGAGAGCATCGTAACCTATTCGGAGGTCATAGTGACTGTTATGGATGACGGGTGCGCGAAGACAAGATGTCTCCGCGCACGTCCGTCACCCGGGCTGCGGGTTGAGTGATTGCCTATCGCCCAGAATAAGTAAAACAAAGCAGGACCACGGAGCACATTGGAGATCACGCACCCTTAGGGCTCTTGCTGGCTTCAACAGCTGCGGTTGTACCTCTTGCGAGGGCCGAAGAGGTCCTAATGTCCACGATGGACAGCAATGGAGCGGAAGAGAGAGATTCCAGGGGAGAAAAGGGCTGAAGATCATTAAAAGAAGTGAACGCAGGACACGCTGCCTCCCACATCAATCGGGCGCTGCTTGCGTGTATCATCGAGTAGGTGAACGCTCCTCTCCCATTCGAAAGGAACGGCACTCCGTGTTGGGGCTCTTCACCAGAGCCAATCGCTTAGACATCTGTGCGCCTCGTCACCCACTCGTTAGGCTGGTAAATTCGTATTTTCTCTTGCTGGCTGTGCTGGTGATAGGCTCAGGCTCAATGACCTGTCAAACAGGCTTAGGTCTCCCGTCGCCAGACTCCCATCCTTCTTTGGGGTTCAGCTTCGTCTCCAATGGTTGTGCTTGTGCTTGCATATGAAGACGGCTGTAGTCTCCACACAAGCACCGAGCTGTGCGGATCAGGGTGAGGTACAGCGTTGGTTGCAGTTCACAAGCCTGACATCTCTAATCATCCCACACATGTCCCCTGTCCCATGTCCCCTGTCCCATGTCCATTGTCCCTTGTCCATTGTCCCTTGTCATCTTACACGGCTGATCTGCGGCGCAGACACCTGCGCACCTCGAGGCCTAGACCAACGCTCCTGGGGCCATCCACAAAACACTGTGAAAAAGAAAGTCCAGGAGCCTGTGCAACCATGAGGCTCACGCCAACAATACACATGTCAAGTTTGCTGGCTTTGGCTTTTTTAGGCCATCAACCGGTTCCATTGAATTGGTAAGTGATTCCCTGACCTCGCCTCCTCGGCAACATGGGGCCTTTGCCACCATCCTCTGGTTCTCGACATCGTTGCCTTCGAGGTCCAAAGCACCGGCACGCGCAAGCAGCCAGGTGAGGCGAGACGATCGGTGACCTTCACAGCGATTGCAGCGTGGATCGTTCGTTAGAGGACACTCGAAGGTATAAAGATGCCGTGCTACTTAAAAAGGTAGGCATGAACGGCTTTGCGCGACGCCTAGGATGGCAGCCGCCATCTGTCCCAGCGAAATATCCGCGAACAAGTGTGAGAAGATGACGAACAGCTTCCAGGAGCGTGGCGGGTTCTTGCCAATGCAGCGCTTCATGGCCGAGGACTCCAGGAAGCAGCCATGGAGCACCGTCCATCTCACGAGCGAGACCAGTTTCCACTGCGTGCACGCGGCAACAACATCAGCATCACGGGCATCTACCTCATTGCCGGACTCATCGAGTGCAGCCACGAACGGCTCGGCGAAGGCGGAAGTAGCAGGAGAAATCAAGCCTTACCAAACATGCTCCGAGTTCAACCACGGGTTCAACAAGATATGTCAGCATGGCAATGGCGCCCACCAGCACAACGGCAAGCGCAACCCAGAGTCCAACGCTCGTTGCAACCGCGCCGATTTGCAGCTACCAGTCCGATGGGCTCAACCTTACGGTAGTCCTTCACAAAGGCAACAACTCCGGCGCCGCGAAGGCTCTACGAACCATGGTCTGCTGTACATCGGATATGTGTTTGCAGACGAAGGGACGGCCGGCGGGAAGTTGTCACGAAGCGAGGGAGGAAAGATCAAGGAACTCGAAGTCCAGGCGCAGATCTAGGCTCGGGGGCTCAGATGGCAGCGGAGAAGGTAGGGTTGAGCTCATAGAGTAGATGTCGGCCTTGGTGGTGGAATTTGAGACATGGGCAGGGGTACAGTACATGAGTCGAGGCAACTGGCACTACAGCGATCCGTGCCGCGCTATAAGTATACGCCTAGAGCTATTCATGCAAAATCATCAAGCCGAAGCTGAAGCTGGTGATTACACAACTGCCAGTGATCTCTCTTTTCACAGGTTATAGTGCCGATGGCGCCAACTCCTGTGATAATTTCACATTCTGCTTGTCGGTTGTGATACTACAATATCCGATGCATCGTAATCTCTTGCTCATCATGTCTATGATCATTGAAGACCCCAATTTGCCAGCCTTGCTCAACAGAGGAGGCTTAGTTGTCCACCCCTATGTGGACGTTCTTCTCACCCTCGGGAATGACTTTCTTCTCCTTCTCACCCTTCAGATCCGGCAACTCCTCCACGGCCTCACCAATAATCTTCAGTGCACGCTCGATTTCGTCCTGAGTAATGACCAACGGTGGGGCGAGGCGGATAATGTTCTGATGCGTTGGTTTGGCCTATATCGTACGTTAGCCAAAATACAGCCCGCCGGAAGGACCATGCTAAGAGCCTGAGCGAACATGCAAACTCCCCCGTTTAACTTACCAGCAACCCCTTTTCTTTCATCAACATGCACAAATCCCACGCACTGTGTCCATTCGTCTTCTCCTCATCGATCACAATAGCATTCAGAAGTCCTTTCCCTCTTATCGTCGTGATGAGGGGAGACTTCAAATCTTTCAACCCATCGCGGAAGATCTGTCCTAATCTCTCGGCTCGCTCGGTCATTTGCTCGTCACGGACGAGCTCGAGAGCGCGGATGGCCACCGCACAGCCCAGTGGATTGCCTCCATAAGTTGACCCGTGTGTGCCTGGCTCGACTGTGAGCATTACATCTCTGCGGCCGAGCACACACGAGACTGGGTACATGCCACCTGAAATGGCCTTGCCGAGTAGAACCATATCTGGCTTGACGCCAGCCCACTCGTGGCAAAGCAGCTTCCCAGTGCGGGCAATACCAGTCTGGATTTCGTCGCAAATGAGGAGAACATTGTGCTTGTCGCATAATTGGCGAATCTCATAAAGGTAGTTGTCGTCAGGAACCACGATACCGGCCTCACCTTGGATAGGCTCAACGAGGAAACCTGCAATCTTGTCTCCATGCGACTCGAAAGCCGTTCGGACAGCCTCGACATCGTTGTAAGGAATCAATTTGCCGGTCTTCGGACACGTGCTACCAACACCAGGAAGGTACGGACCGTAGTTATCCCGGGACTCGGGATCTGTAGACATGGAAATGGCTGAAAAGGTCCGCCCGTGGAAGTTCTCTGCCACGCTGAGGACGATAGCCTCACCCTGAGGTATGCCTTTGGATTTGTAACCCCATTTCCTGGCGATCTTAATGGCTGTTTCCACTGCTTCGGCACCCGTGTTCATTGGCAGGACCATGTCGAAGTTGAAGTAGTTGGTGACGAACTCTGCGAAACGAGGGAAGACATCATTGTAAAATGCTCTCGAGCTTAGTGTTAATGTCGATGCCTGTTCCACTAGAGCCTTGACAAGTTCAGGGTGGCAATGCCCCTGGTTGACGGCAGAATAGGCGGAGAGAAAATCCAGATACTGGCGGCCTTCGGGATCCCATACTGTTGTCCCTAGTGCTCGGGCAAAGACGACAGGCAGAGGGTGGTAGTTGTGTGCAGCATACTCATGCTCGGCATGAATGGCTTTGTCGGAGGACGAGGCGTGGTATTTTGATCGATGGACACCTGCGTTTACGGTGCCAGCGGGTTGGAACACGGGAGCTGTTGCTTTTAACTGGGTGCCATTGGTGGTGCCATTCACACTATCACTAGTCGTTGCGGAGGGCGCCATCCTGCTTGACAGTGTGGTTGTAGAACAGATTTCTCAAACTTTTGGTTTGCACGGTAATGAGGCGAAGCTGATTGGCCAGTAAAAAGGGTTGATATTGAAAGAATGCAGGTGGATTTGTGCTTTTGCGGCAGTGAAATAATCGTTCTGGCCCTGCAAGAGGCTGTGGGCGAAGTCAGAATATGTACTCAATCGCACAGAGTCCACCTTAGGTCATGTGCAGAGATTTCAATTCAACTTACACAATTGGGACTCTTTTCTGATGTGGTATGCTATGCCTCTAAGTGCAGGTGTATCCCTAAAGGAAGGAGACTGATCGCTAAAAGCAAGGTTAAGCGTATGCCGCACGTCTAGCCCGCGTAATGTGGGCGAGAGATAGACTGGGCTCCAGACTGGTTAGGCTTGCTGGTTGGTCTGTTGGGAGGGCGTGATTGAGCGTATGCAAGGGCAAAAGAGAGGGAAGAGGAGGGGGCGCACGAGGGGCAAATGGGAAGCCGCCCCGCTGACGACGCCCTTGGCCTTGCAGGGCATCTGCGGCTACGCGCGGGACAAGCCAAGCCAGGCTCTCTGGACCGTCCGCAGGCGCTTGCATCTAATTCTTGAATACACTGCAAACAGGGTCAGACACACTTCCAGCGGTAGCTTCAACGATGGCCACGCTAAAAGGGCCAGGTGCCGCTCAGAAACACGATGGCTCTGACCTGCGGATCGCCATAGTACACGCCCGGTGGAATACTACCATGATCGATGCCTTGGTCAGTGGTGCAAAGAAAGCCATGCTGGCTCAAGGTGTGAAGGAGGAAAACATCCTCGTCGAATCCGTACCCGGCTCATACGAGCTCCCTCTCGCCGTGCGGGGTATCTACCAGGCATCGCAAATACAGAGCACAGCGAGCACGGTTGCTGGTGGCGTGGGCAACCTCGCAAGCGGAATCGGGGATTTACTCGGCGGAAGCAACTCAACCACAGATTTGCATGGCAGCCTCCAACCAGGACCTCCAGAGCCAGAGAAGAAAGAAGCCAAGGGATTGAGACACACCTTCGACGCGATAATAGCAATTGGTGTGCTGATAAAGGGAGAAACGATGCACTTTGAATATATCGCAGATGCGGTGAGCCATGGCCTCATGAGGGTACAGCTGGACACGGGCGCTCCCGTCATCTTCGGCTTGTTGACAGTGCTGAACGAGGGTCAAGGGCTGGCGAGAGCTGGTCTTGAAGGCGGCACAGGGAAAGAAGCAAAGGGACACAACCATGGAGAAGACTGGGGCAATGCAGCTGTTGAGCTTGGAGTCAAGCGCAAGGGTTGGGGAGAAGGCAAGATTGCTGGAACGTGATACGACGAAATCAGCCACCGTGCCTGCCTCTCCCAAGCGCCGAGGGAAAGGTTTTGGTGTACGCCGAAAGCTTGCAGCAAGCTCCAGGGCCACACTGGTAGACCGCATACAGCCTCTACCTCTGTAGCTCCGAAAGAATCGACCTCTTGACCGTATCGAACGCCAACAATGCTACAATTCCGCGGCGGCAAGACCAATTACTCCTGCATTGCATCCTCTTCCTCATCGTCATCGTCGTCCCCTTCGAGAGTCTTCTTGGCCGTCTTCTCAGCCTCTTCGAGTAACTCTTGTGGCACTTGTTCATGTCGACCCTTTGTCGGTCCATCCAGGCTAGAGATCCAAGTCATTTCGAGCTCGAACTCCTTGTCTTTCGAGTCTTCATGTGCGACATAAATGATCCTGGCGGCTTCCATGACCGCATCTTTGAGGCTGAGCGCGCAGGTAGGTGAACTTAGATCTAGCTTTTCCAACTCGGCCTTTGCAGCTTGTCGTCCTTTGCCAGTTGCAGCACCGTAGTAGCCCTGTAGATTGTCAGTCTGATCCTTTTTCTTTTCTCATCCTCATGTGCGTACCCAATAGAGACCACTCGGCTCCACCATGTAAAGACCAGGACCACCTCGCTGGGTCGTTTCGTCCTCAGACTTGCCTCCTGAACCAGATTTTGGACCTTCTCCGACCTGGCCGTCAACACCCAGCTCGGCTTCTGAGTCCCAGCCTCCCAAGATAGCTGTGATGCCAAACGGGCGGACGCTGGAGTAGAGCGTGTATGCTTGCACATAGCTCCCGATCCTTGATGCTAGAGCGGAGGTAGGAATGGGAGCTTTGTATGTTTGTCTCCAGCTGCTCGCCTCGTCTCTTGCTCTGTTAATGAGATGCCGACCATCTGGTAATAGCCCTGAAGTAACAATGCCTGCATTGCGGTCCACTGTGGATATCCGTTTATTGGCACCGGGCTTCAGTAGCTTCGAGGTGATGATCTTCTCGCAAGCCAGAACAACTCCGTGCTTCGTCCGGATGCCAATGCAGGTACCGCCATTTTCAACTGCTTTTACCGCATACTCCACTTGAAAGTTTCGACCATCGGGTGAAAAGACGGAGTTGGAGAGATCGTAGCCAGTGCCTATCGACGTCTAGACAAAACACCGTTAGCACCGTCCGAAACCAGAACAAGATTAGAATACACACCATTTTGGCGAAGAGCTCTGAAAGAGGGACTCGTTAGGACTACAAGCTGAATATCAGTGAAAGATAGACCAGGGCGCGCTGATTGCACTGCTATGGATGTCGACAGGAATCTCGGTCAGGATGCAACTTTATTGCTGGAAACGCGCGCCTTGCACTGGCAGGCACTCGTGATGCCGCGTTTCTCAGCCTTGTTTGAAGGACTAACGTCTTGGCGCAAGGCTGAAATAGATCGGCGGTTTTAGGTTGGGCACCGACGCAACGTGTCATCACCTTCCTCATGTGTCATAATCCTCGGACAGGCACCAAGGCTTCTCCCTTCGCACTCTCCTCATCTTAGCTTGATCAAATACAAACCTCCTTGCCATCCTTGAAGAATTACATCTCATCCTACGCCAGCTGGTTCTTCACGCTTTAATGTTGAGCTGAGAACCGCCTTGCGTACACCGACGACTTGCAAGAACTCGGTTCGAAGCCACCCTACCCCGCTCCTTCCCTCATCCTTCCCATCCTCTCTCCTCTTGACCCTATCTTCACAAACAGATCAACAGCTCCCTTGTCCAAGGCTTTCAGGACCACACAGCCCCGTGGACTGGACCTCTGGATCCTTGGATATCAGTGTTTGTTCTGGAACTTACGCCCCGCTTGGACCACCTCCCCCGGATCCGGACACCACTGGCCTGGACCTCCTGTAGCAGAGTGTTGTTAGTTAGTACAATACGAATTTGAAGCCTAAATCCACGAATTTTTGCTTCCTCCTCTTCCTGCCTGGTTGTCGTTGTGTTGCAGACAAGGGATCTCTGACCGCTGGTGTTGCCATATCTGAGGTTGTCAGATCTCAGGAGTATGGCTTCTTCCGTCTTCTACAAATGCCACCACTGCGGTCTCGAGACGGATCTCTCGAACCATCTGGCGGCGTTTGAAGAACATCCTCACTGCAGACAGGTTTGTTCACATCCACTCCCGGTTCATGACCTTCTGATTCTTTGTGCTAGTGCGGACTAACGGCCTCTGAGAGCGATATCAAAATGCAAGACGACCTCATCAATATGATGACTCGCAATCTCCAGCTCAGCGCCCCTCAGAACGATGTGTCCATGCCTTCGACCCCGCAAGTCGTCCCGCAGTCAGCCCCCATCACATACATCACTCAACACTATCACCACTCTGCTCATCAAGCACCAAATGATGCCCCGGTCTCGACCTTCCTCGAACGAGCCAACATAAATATGTCGGCCCTCTTACCTTCACAGCTGCAGCTGTTCCAAAATGCTGATCCCGAGCAGAGAGCAAGATTGATAGAGCTTTGGCAGATAGCACCCCCTACTCATGGCAGTCAGATGCACCCTGACCACTTCAGCAACTGGCCAGAGACGAGCATAGAACGAGAAGAGGAGGCTGCCAAGTACCGGATGCAGATGTTCGAACAAGAGAAGTTGAAGAACCTTTGTGCGTTTCCTGGGTACGATACGAAACACAATGCTGAGCCCTATATAGTACATGGCTATGAGGCGTACCCTAACAGCAACGGAGTCACGGATCTTGGAACTGCAATGATGCAGCCGGAAGAGTACACGAAATCAACAGATCCGGTGTACAACAGCCGGGAGTGGTGGCATTTGGCGGATGAGGAGCCCATCGAGCATCAATATGGTATGCTTCAACAAATGTGGGGCTATGGGATCGACTACTCCGCCGCGAAGAGAAGCGATGGTGACTCGGAGATGTCCTGAACGATCTCCTAATCCATAAGGATCAAGTGGTGGAGGTGGCAGCATCCTGTTGGCGTTCGGCATGCTTCTGGGAATATCCTGGTATCAGCTGCATAGATCAGATTGTAGATAGTCTTGGGCTTCCCTTTGTCGGGGAGATGGCAGATATCAATGAGTTGGAGTTCCCGCTCGATCGTTCGAATAGCTATGGCCTTTTATTCCCTCTGTTCGTTGAAGTGCACCTAAAGTTTGTCTCCTCGAAGAACCATTTGCCGGTAACTGTCGTCTATTCGCTAGGGTTGGGCCGAATCGGGATCTCCTACTCCGTCCTGCACCCATGATTGGAGACGAGGACGAACAGAGGATAGCTCGAGCTAGACGATTAGAGTGCGGCGACGGCACATTCGCAATCTGTCTCGAATGGACTGTAGACATGACGAGATATTGACAAGATTCTGTAGCTGTAGCTCAACCATCGGTGGGTGGAGACGGTCGCGATCATCTCGACTCAATCTCGCGAACCGATTCTGCGTCCCCTCCGAATGTCGATTGTCCCGTCCTCATTCTCGCCACAAGGTCGGAGCCACGTTGCAGAGCTCAGGATGGCTTCTTCGATGAGTAAAAGAACGCAGGCGCGAAATGAAAAGGAGCTCCATCAACTACTGTCGGTTGCCGGAAACTCGCAGTGCGCCGATTGTGGTGCGAAGAACCCAGCGTGGGCAAGTTGGAATCTGGGCATATTTCTATGTATGCGATGTGCCTCGTTGCATCGCAAGCTGGGAACGCATATATCCAAAGTCAAGTCCTTGAGCATGGACACGTGGACCTCGGAACAAGTTGAGGTGAGTTTGACGGACTTCACGTTCGAGTGCTCGCGCATTCACTGACGACTCAATAGAGCATGAAACTTAACGGCAACAACGCGGTCAATAAAGCGTACAATCCCAAGAATAAGAAACCCGATATGCCGCTCGATGCCGACGAGGTAGACTCGGCCATGGAAAGATTTATACGGAAAAAGTACCAGGAAAAGAGTCTGGCAGACGGGAAACCACAGCCTCCCCAGCGAGACGAGTATTCACCCACCGCTTACTCTCCGAGACCGCCTCTTGAAGACCCAAATTCGCCCCCGCCTCCTGTTCCTACGAAGAAAGGCAAGATATTTGGATTTGGACTGAGGGCGTCGTCATCGGCGTACCCGTTCTCCAAGTCGGACAAGAAGAAGAAAGCACAAGAACCTCGCGTGGATAGCGCGTTCACTATCCCTACTAGAGGCTTCGATTCCAGAATGGACGATGCGCACTATGAGATGACAGACGCGGAGCTGGAGAAGAAGTTGGCTACCCTGCGAGACATGGGCTTCACCGAGACGGAGCGGAACGCAAGCCTGCTTCGACGGTTGAACGGTAACGTGGAGAGGGTTGTCGAGACTTTAGTTCGACTGGGACCTCGAGAGAATGGAGACACTACTTCGAGGCAGAACACAAGGTCGGCTCCAGCTCAAGCACACCCCTCTACTTCGAGAGCTCCTGAACCATCCTACAACCCTTTCACGCAATCGGCGAGTCAGCCTACTGTTGGCCTGTCATTGGGCAAGCCACAAGAACCCTCGACACCGACAAGCGCGACGACATTCGGCAGCAACAATCCCTTTGCTGCTCCGCCTGACCGGACGACAACTGGGCTTGAGCAATCGTTTCAATCCATGCAGGTATCGCAGCAGCCTCAACAAGCATTGTTTCCCCACAGCACTGGGGGTTATCCTAGTCAACCTGCCCCTATACAGGATCCTCGCTCCCAGTACTCAATGACGCCTCCAGTCCCATCCACGCAGTATCAAGACTTCGTGGCATCTCCGCCAACACTTCCCATGCCCAGCAACCCTTTCTTCCAACCCACCTCACTTTCAGCTCAGTCTACAGGAAACAATCCGTTCCTTCCCCAATCTCAAGTGCCTATGTCTCCACCGACAAATCCATTCCTCAGTCAAGGCTTCATCCAACCACCGCAACCACCACAAAGGCAGGTCTCGCTACCGGCCAGTTTTAATCCTTTTGGCATTCCACCTGCACAGACCTCGCCCGGGCATCAGCAGCAATTCCAACCGCAAGACCCCTTCGCCACGACTTCGCAGCAGACAATCCAGCAACAAAATGACTCTTTCCCGACGCAGGCCGCACAGCAGCAAGCTCAGCCAGCCGGCTACCAGACAGCGCAATCCCAATTCGCATTCCCCAACACCCAGTATGTCCAAGCTCAACCACAGGCGCCGGCCCAACAGCAGGCTCACGCACAAACACCGCAATTTCTACAACAGCACCAGCCTTCTTATCAGCAACAATCAGAACAACAATTTCCGCAACAAGCTCAGCAGCCGTTCCAGCCGTTCCAGCACATGCCTCAACAAAATAGCCGCCAGGACAAAAATTCCATCCTCGCACTCTACAACTATCCCCAACTTACGTCTCAACGCCTGGCATCCATCCCCGAGCCAGCAACTGACCAGCATCAGCAGCAACAACCCCAGCAGCAGCAATCTCAGCAACAGCAGCAGCAATACCAACAACAGTTCCCGCCAATGCCATCAGACCCGTTTGGGAATTTGCCATCACCGAAACGGAGCGTGACCATGCCAGTCAGTTTATCGAACATGCACTCCGCAGGGGGAAGCGGGAACCGGAACCCCTTCATGACGAATACAAATGCTACAACTCAGAATACGAATGCAACTACGAATCCCTTCGGTGGAGGTACGAGTCCATTCGCATCACCTCCGCCCCAGCCTGGTCCGCAGGCACAATCGCAGCCTTCACCATTCGGGCAAGTCCAACCCCAACCCCAAACCCAACAGCCCCAACCACAATACGCACATAGCCAGTCCCAGTCCAACCCGTTCGGCCGGGTCAAGGAGATCGGCCACGGCTTTGTCACGGGCGGCGGATTTCCTGGTTCGATGACAAATTACAGCCAAGGACCAATCTTGTCCACCCAGCAACGACCAGCGCAAGGGATTGCGCCACGGCATGCGAGTAGCGAGAGTATGGCGGTGAACAATCTTGACGCAGGGAGACACAGTCCCGACGCTTTTGCGAGTCTAAGTGCGCGGTACGGATGAGGTGGGAAGCGCGTGGAAAAGTAACGGGACCCTGTTTTGGAAGCTCGCACATGAGCGGACGAGAATATTATGCGATTTTGATGCGATGCGATGCGGCTGGTCAGGGAGAGGCCGAGGCCGGAGATTCGATTTGTATAGTGAGTGACGACTTGCGTGGGCGTGGATATGGATATGGCATGATGGGGAACATGGAGCCTGACAGCGGGCGCGACAATGAGTGCTGTGTCGCAAGTTTTCTCGGCAGTCTGTGCTGAACCCGAAAAATGATGATCTGAATGACCTCTGAACAGCCCGTTTATACAGCCACCTCGTGTACACTTAGCCGAGCAACCTGGAATTAATCCTGACAAGTACAACAATAGTGCGATGTACCCCGTAATGAAGCATGAGATATACATACCGTCGATCCGTGCTATTGCTGCCGTAGCAGGGGATGAGCCTTTCACCTCTGTCCAAACTCTTTCCTCTTCCTTCCTCATTCGTCCCCGACGGGTGCCCAACCGTGTCTTTCACTTTCCATACGGTTCGCGTCCATTCCGCTGTAGAAGTACCCGGCCGCGGGCCAAGTATAAATTATTATCTGGCAATCAACGCCAAAGACCCATGAAGCAACCCCCCCACTCTTCCCCCCCCCACCAAAGCAGCACGTACGGTCACTTAAGGCCGTCGCCGCAACCGCTGGGTCGTATATATGTGGACGATCCGTACGAGGTCAAGATGGAGTCATCATCATCATCGTCAACCCCTCAGGGGACCGTTCCCTCCTGCGAGGTAGTTACGTGCTCTACGCAAACGATGTTCCCATTGCGTCTGGATATAGTGCCTCGTCTCATCAGGTGAACCGAACTCAGACGGCGTCTCCCTCATACCACCCACCGCAGAGACTTGGAGACCTTCAGACTTGCAGACTTGAGCTTGGAGGGCGATACTACCACAGTACCTCGCCTGCTCAGCCGTCTTGATCCTCCTTAGTCGGCTTCTGGTTCTGGCTCTCTGTGTTTCCAGAACGGCTTCTCCACGACCCGTCTGAAAGGTTCGGTGTTGCTGTGGGGGCCCTTTGACATGGAGTCTTCCTTCTGCTTGCTCTTCGCGTTCCTCGTCACGTCTATATTTGCTCCGTCTCTCTTCGCGTGCCCTCGTCCCAGGATTTTCTGCCCACCATTACTGCCCTGTCCATGTCCTCCAGCCCCTTCTTCAGCTTCGACTCCAGCTCCCCCTGCGGGCGCAGCTCCACGCGTGACATGCTTTCGCAAACCCTTATTGCCGTTCTCACCCCACCGCTTCTGCAGAGCGGGATCCAAGCACCAAACGACCACGTCGCCCACCCTCCTCGCATCGTCATGCCAGTGGGAATTAAAAGCCCGCCAACACTCCGCGTACGCACTGCCCCGGAGCGCAGCCTGCATAGTCGGCTCCAAGTGGGCAAAGAAGACGAGATAATCGGGCCAGGGTTTCCGGCCCGTGCACGTGGCCCAGAAGATCTCTTCGCGCTCCCTGGCCAGCACCTCGGCTGGGAGGGTGTCGAGCTTGTGCGCTGAGCGTGGTTCATAGTGATGGTGGCGTAGTGGTGCGTGCCCTCCTCCCATGGCTCGGTCGTCGAGTTGCGAAGAAGCCAATGGCATGTGCCGGCTCATGTGCTTCTTGATCCACATGGTGGGGTTCGCGTAGAATTGGTCTGCCTCGTCCATGTACGTTTGCTTCTCCGTGTGGTTGAGGTCCAGTGGTGGTTCACACGTCAATGCCCAGCCTCGGATGCCTGGGTCGGTTGACGAAGGTGGATATTGCAGGTGAGAGCGCCAGGGCGTGGAGTGGCACGGCATGAGGGTGCCGATTGTCATGTTGGCTTGCCGTCCAAGGTACTGAGATTCGAACTCTCCGCGGAGGTAAGTTGTTAGGGAGATGATGCCGGAGTTGTGCATCTGCGAGGTATAGTATGCGATTGCGACGTTGAGGGCCAGGACGGGCAGTAAGATCGATTGGCGCGCCAAGGCCGGTCGTGTAGAAGGCGACAGAGATAGGAAGAAAGACGATACCGGGAGGGCGGTGATGATGTGCAGAGCCGGGAGAAGCGGGTAGATGAAGCGGACTTCCTTGTGCGAGATGAGTGAGAAGGCGGCGGGCACGAGGAGGGATATTCTCGCGAGCAGCCTCAGCGTGATCTGCCCTGCTGGAGTGGCGTCTTCGGTGGCCACGTCATTGCTCGATTGCCAGCACACACGGTATAGTCCGACCAAAGTGAATGGGAGCGCCGTCGTCAGCAGGAGAGGGTACCCCTGTGTAATGTAATAATGCCAGTCATTGTTCCCGTAGAACGAAGCCAAAGACTGCAGGACGTTGACGCGGAGGAAGTTGACAGGCGGGAATACCCACGCGTTGTAGAAGATCCGATCAACCACGGCGGAGAGCAGCAAGATCGTACTTCCACAGACGACCGTTTCGCGAGCGAACATCTTTTTCTCACCCACCGGACCATTCCGGTTCCAAACGAATGTATACCAGCTGAGGGTCATCCAAATGAGGACGTTCGTGGGTCGCAGAATCACAGCCACCGCCGCGCAAAGCAGGCTTCTTCTAAGCCTGGTGAGTTCGTCTGTGGACTTTTCCGTTCGGGTCGACGTCTCTCGGACGCGGACGCCATGGTCGTCGACGGCGGTGACGGCAGTCTCCTCGCGGTTGGGAAGTGGTACTGCCCAGTGCCATGGCCAATTGTACAGAGCGACGACCGTGAGCGTTGTTTCCAACGAGTTGGAGAAAGTCCGCGTTGAACAGAACCATTGCCACGGACTGGCGACTGTTAGAGCAAGGGCAGCCAGCGGCGCAGGGGACTGGGCGCCGTAGATGTAAGAGGCGAGCTTCCAGGTGTACAAGTCGCTCAGGGTGGCGAAAAGAGCTTGTAGTATCTTCGGCGCAGCAAGAAGAACCTCCGCTCGAGCATGACGCCGCAACCCGAGGAGCTCGGCGAGCAAGTCCGCCAACTGGTAGCATGTCCCAAAGATGGCCGGATGGATTGCTGATCGCAGATGGCGCTTCCACTCCTGTTTGTTCTTCATGAGCTTGAGTCCGCCGTGACATCGGGGGCTTCGTTGGATCCCACCCAAGTTATCCATGCTCCCGCTTCGTTTCCGAACGCCCATGGCCATGCTGGCTCCAAGGCTTGAAAGTACTCATCCGGCTGGAAGAACGTCTGCACAGTCAGAGCATTCACCAGACGAAACGCGAGCAGAAATAACAGCACGTTATGCGACTCCATCTGACGCCACGGTTGCCGCATCGGTCTCGACAGAGTCGACGTGGAGGCACTGGCTGTGGTACCGGCGGCATGCCGTGCGCCATTATTGACAACACTACCGCCCCCAGGAGGCTGGTCTGTCGACATGGCTTCCCGATGGATCACCGTCGTGACAGTCTTAGAACTACAGAAGTCATTTGGGGGGCCAGAGAAGCCTGAGGGGTCGCGAGACGCGACTTCGACTCTGAGCGTCGCGTTCTCCACTTCAGCCTTGTTGATGAGCAGCTCGCGCTAGCCTGAGATTTACAGAGGTGATCGAGGACACCCAAAGACCGCAGACAAACAAATTGCGATTCTCTACTGGGTATTGGCAGCTGATGGTACCTCGACAGTTCTACTCCCGGCCTCGATTGTGCGCCCATTTGCCCCAATGCTTCCGTCAAAATGATTCCCACACCTGCCTGGTTGGCCGGACCAAACACCACCCTTACTCGACAGTAACAGACTTGGCCAGGTTACGCGGGAAGTCAACGTTCAGGCCTTCGGCGACAGCCAGCCAGTACGCAATCAACTGCAGAGGGATGACATTCAACAGGCCTTGCAGAAGGTCCACCGTCTGGGGAACTTCAATGAGCTCGGTCTTCGAAGGAGGAAACTCTGGATCGTCCTTATTGCAGATCACGATGGGCCTACCACCGCGAGCAATGACTGTTGTGATGTTAGAACAGGCACTGAGGAAGGAATAAGTTGTTGCTTACCTTGTTGATACGCATTCAACGACTTAGCGAAGATGTTGTCCCGGGTCAAGATCATGATGATAGGCAAGTTCTCGTCGACAAGCGCCAATACACCATGCTTGAGTTCTCCAGACATCACTGCCTCACAATGCAGATATGAGATCTCTTTGATCTTCAGGGCTCCTTCCAGGGCAGTCGAATACTGGCTGCCACGGCCGAGCAAAAGAAGGGATTTCTGGTTTTGCAGAAATTTGGCGCACATCTCCTTGATCGAGTCGTTGAGCTTGAGGATCTCACGGAACTGATCGCTAACCTTGGCGAGGCCGTCGATGATCTCTGCGCGGCGAGCTGCCTTGGAAGCACGGTCCTCGCTAAGCGACAGAGCGAACATGATCATGGCCACAAATTGCGACGTGTAGGCTTTCGTGGAGGCGACACCGATTTCTGGTCCGGCGTTGATGTGGACACCGCAGTGGGTGAGCATTGAAATGGACGAACCGACCACGTTGACGATTCCAACCGTCAATGCGCCACGTTCCAAGCAGTACCGGAGTGCCATCAACGAATCAGCAGTCTCGCCAGACTGTGACACAAACACGCAGGTGTCGTCCCTGAAGACCGGCGCCTGTCTGTCGAGGAAATCCGAGGCCAACTCGACCGCAATGGGGATTTCTGTCAGCTCCTCAAAGGCACCACGAACAGCCATGCAAGAATGATAACTGGTACCGCAGGCAATGAAGATAAGTCTTCTGCATCTTCTGATGGTGCTCATGTATTGTCTGAGACCACCGAGAGTAACAGTCTTGTTGGCTACGTCCAAGCGACCACGCATGGTGTTGACGACCGACTCCGGTTGCTCGAAGATTTCCTTCTGCATGAAATGGTCGAACTTGCCCTTCATGATCTCTTGAAGCTCGAGCTCAATTGTCTGGATTGCGCGGACATTGCTAGTGCCGTCGTCCTTTGTCAATCTGTGGATGTTGAGCTGACCGTCGTGGATATGAGCAATATCATCATCCTCGAGGTAGAGAACCTTTTTGGTGTGTTCGACCAGGGCCGAAGCGTCAGAGGAGAGGAAGAACTCGGCTGGTTGAGGCATGCCATCGTCTGACAGGAATGCTCGTGATTGAGATCGGTGGAGGAGGGACTTGTCCGGTGGTGCGAGAAGGCCGCCGGGAGCCAACAGTCCGTTTGCGGACTTCTTAACTGCAACATTGTGGTTGGCGACCTCAGCAGCCAAAGCACCGCCTTCTTCACCGTACTCGACATCCACAAAGTCGACCTTCATCTTCTTGGCAGTCTTGACGCCCACCACCAGAGGAGAACCCTTACGGGCGGCAATACATTCGTGGGGGAAGTGGACCGACTTCATAAGCAGGCCAAATGCTCCCTGCAGCTCTTTAATGATGGCCTTTCCGAGGGTGGTGAAGTCAATGTCTGGGTGTTGATCGTAGAGGTATTTGGCGAGCTTCGCAATGCATTCGGTATCGGTGTCCGTTTCGAATTTGAAGCCCTTGCCTTCCAGCAAAGCCTTCAATTCTTTGTAGTTTGTGATGATGCCATTGTGGACAATGGCAAACTCCCACTTGGGGTCAGATCTGGTATCAGTCAGTCACAAGTTGTTGGGCGTGTGGAGGTCCCGCGCTGACCTGTGCGGATGGCAATTGAGTCTGGATGGCTGGCCGTGGGTAGCCCATCGAGTGTGTGCGATACCGCAGTGAGAGTCGAAAACCTTCGTCATGTCGACACCAGACTGGGCAACCAGCTCTCGGAGTTTGGCCACCTTGCCCACCTCTTTGAATGCGAACACCTCATTCTTCTTGTCGCCATCGATCGCTAGGCCTGCCGAGTCGTAACCTCGATACTCCAGACGAGAAAGACCTGGAATGTGGCTGTGAGTGAGCAATCTTGAGATGACCGGTAGACTGGCTGGACATACCATTTAGCAAGGTATCTAGGATGAATTTGCGGTCCTTCTCCACCAAGTAGTTGATGTAGCCGAAGATACCACTATTCCCTATCAGCAGTCTGTGCATGATTCCTGACTGGACATACGAACCACATTTTGTAGATTGGTCAAGTGTGTTTCTGGGTTGTACTCTGCTGAAGAGCCAGAGGAGTGAATGTGAAGAGGCACCGCTCGCCCTGTTTGTGGGCGTCGTGTTCGTCTCAATGGACAAAGGAAAGAATACAAGGTCCGTGAGAATAAAGGAAGGGAGGGGCTCAGGGAGGATCGGGGTCAGCGTAAGTTTCGGTGAGGATAAAGGACGAATTCGAGTAATATCTCAAGGGAAAGTGGAAGGGAAGGAGTCAGCTCTATGAGAAGGATATGGAGGATATGGCCAGGTGGTGGTTGCGCAGGCAAGTTCGTTGGTGTTTACTTATTGCTGACGGTCGGGCTGAAATAATTCGAGCCTCGACTGAACAAAGCTGCAGGTCTCGGGCATCAGCCATGCAGCAGAGGCGCATATGGACTGCCCCTAAAGACGCAACGTTCAGGGTCTTGCCGCCACGGCCTCGCATAGCAGTCCACTTGATAAGCCTGATCAACCCCGTCGGCACGCTCCCATCGCTGCATAGCAACGCCTAACATTCTAGCTTGGCAGGAACACTTGCGGAAAGGAGGAACCAGCTTGCTTCCAGTCCGAATCAGAGGGGCATCCCCAAGACTTTAAGCGGGGCCTTGCAGGCTGTGCGGGCTCCGATCTGAAGCGCGGGCTCCCAATCATCAAGCCCTCTCCCACTGGTAGCGCCGAATGTTCGAGGTGTCGTCGCTGGTGGTGAAACAGAGCTCTGTTGCGCTCCACACTTTTGTGCCACAGTCGTGTTGCAACACCAGGCACTTTGGCAGTGGTTCGTCAGTCCCTCTCAGGTGCACATATAGATTCAACGTCTGCTCAGGTCATTTGTACGGAGTACATCTCCAAGAATACGAGCCTTTACTCTGTATGCATTAACCCTAAGCAAGCCGTAGAGAGAAGCGAAGGTCACATTACTGCCCAGAGAGCTTCATCGCCAACAGAAGTGCCAGCCTGCGTGCTACGTACAAAGGCCTCGCAACATGTCCACCCGAGGGCGAGTCAGTGGCGCAGTCCAAAAATACCAGGTATGGACTTCGTCAGCTCCCCCTGTCTACTCGTAATGTTCTGAGACGTCACCACCATTGCCCTCTCCCGCTTCCTGAAACGGCTTGGCCCCCAAAATCTTGGTGCCCTGTTTCAGCGAGCGGATCAACTTCCACTCTGTGTTAGGCCTGATGGGTTGTCCGAGGTCCTACGAGGTATTGCCCAACAGCCACTTTGGGATAGGGGCTACGAGTCAATGGTCCATATGTTCATCACGCCCTACGACTCGTACAATTCCTCGTGACATATTCTATTCTCGTCGAGCATAAACTAATCATTCGGCTTTATGGTACGTCGCACATAGGCCGTGGTACTTTATGGACCACCACCCATGGCTTTGACCATGTTGGCAAAAATCTCCTGGCGCTTGGTCTCGAAGGCTTCGAATGCTTTTTCGGCTGTCCCGACCGGGACTTGCTCCTTACCACTTGCAAGTCCAGCATAGGCCTAGGGTGCTAGATCAGCCGTGCGAAAGCCTCGTCGGACGGAAAAGAACATACCTTGTCGATGAATTCATCAAGAGGCATCCCGATCTGTCGACCATTCTTGATATCGGGTTGATGCTTCTCATCATGAAGTTCTGTCTGCACTGCGGGAGGAAACAGCTCGACCACCTTGATATTCGATCCCTTCAGCTGTTCACGAAGACACAGGACAAACTGGTGCGTTGCCGCTTTCGAGGCACAGTAGTTGCTGCAACGAGTTATGGGAACCATGGCCAGTCCGGAGGTAACGTAGATAAGTGCGCTTTCTTTGCCTTCTTTGCCCTTTTTCTGGAACAGGGGAAGGAAAGCCTTGGTCAGCGCCAGATGAGAGATGTAGTTGGTTGTCATTTCAAGGTTGAGAGTGTCGATATCTATCGAATCGGGGTCGCTGAAGTCCGTCCTTCTCTGAATGCCCGAGTTGAAGAGGATGCAGTCGACATCCGAGTGAGTACTGGTGATGTTCTCAGCAAAGTGCGGGATGGATTCGAGCTTGGTGATGTCGAAAGGTACGGCTTGGATCTTCTCATGGCCGTATTCCTCCACCAGCTTCTGCAGGTTCTCTTTACGACGAGCGACAGCGATCACAAACGAACCATCATCGATGAGTCTCCTGACGAGAGCCTCACCAATGCCTGTGTGTGTCAGTCCTTTGGTGTAGGTAAACTCGGATCATCATACATACCGCTGCTGGCCCCTATCACAACGACTTTCTTGTACGGGAATGGCATGTTGGCTAGTCAAAGAAAAGCAGTCTGCGAGCAGGCGAATCCGATGAAGCTCGTTCCTTGAAGAGCACTGTGATTACGCGAGGGAAGTCACGCACAGCAGCTGGTGGGCGCAGCTCCCTATAACACTTACCTGGTCCCAGTCTGCCAGATACGTTGACATCATTACACGCACCAATTGGAAAATTCCAACTGGAATCCATGATGCGCCTTGGGTGCAACTGCCGAAGTGGCCTACTTACTGGTGGGACAGGGCGAATCTAACAGAATTACGATCAATAAATCTTCCTACTGCCTCGTGTCGCAATCGTGTATGTGTACAACACCCTTTGGGACGTCTTGACTCGGCCATGCGTTTCCACGCTAAGAGGAAGGTCACGTGGCAGCGGCCTTTGGCCGGGCGCAGGCAAGTACCTTCGGGGGCCAAGGCCAAATATGTGCGACGAAAGCTCCTTTAAAGTGATGCGACATCGATTGCAATGTCGCGACGGTAGAGCGATCGCTTGAACTTTGGGTCAGGGTCGGGCGGATCCAGAAGTCTCGGAACCGAGTAGGCAAGGAACGGAGTGAGCCAGGTGCTCTATGGGTGTCATTCAGTCCAGCCTTGTGGGATAGGCCTCGTGTCTGCTGCCTAGCATACTGCTCTTGATCAATGCATTGTTATTGTGGAGTGCCACACAAACCGTCGGTTTGGAATGTGTCTGCTGTTTGCGAGAATGTTCAGCGCAGGCACGCACTGCAAGCACCTCAGCTGCGCTTTTTCAGGATTCGCTTCAAGTTGACCGTGTCGATCTGCGTGCCGAGTCTCTAAACCTAATGTGGACTGGCGTCCCCTTGAACCTCGCTCACAGTGCAGACGCTTGCTTGCAAGTTCCAGTGCAGGGTGCAGGCACAGGCGCTACAACCCTCACGTACGCCTGGATTGTGTTTCTCTTCCATTGCCATCCCAGATACTGTCACCCTCAGTTCGCCTTGAAACACCTCTGTGCCAACTACTGGGAGGGTTTTCAGTGCACCAAACGCCGACTTCGTCGACTGCGCCATCTGGCCAAATCGGCCCCCTTCCGACTTGATCCCACCGACGCGTTGAAACTTCCAGCCACATCACGGTCAACACTCCCTCTGCGCTGCATGCCTACACACTTTCATACTCTCACAAACATATTGAGGAGGGTGCTTGAGAAGATGAGCGCGCAGCTGGCGTCGTAACCGAGGACATGTCGCGCCCGCAGGGCACCTCCTCTCATTCCAAACTCGCTGATTTCTTTCCTACCGCACCCAGTGTCATCCAGCAGCGAAAATCCTCAAAGCTGCCTGACCTCGACAAACCCAAATCGCGCCGTCCTGATGAGCGCGCCGAAGATGCCAACGCCAAAGAGAACCATCTTCGGCACGCGCTGAACTCGTCGTCGATCACACCGCATCCGCCCTCACCCGCTAAACAGCACCAACCGACAAAGATCGAGGACACCGAACACTACTCCGGCGACCTTCTCAATGGTGTTGGCTCCGCGAGCTCGTCCAGCACCGCTTCATCGGTCTTCAGCGCAGCTCTCGCAAATGCAGCCATGCCTGGCGCAAATCATCTCAACCTCAGCACTCTGACACCCCTCACAAGCTCCGACTCTCCTCCAAATGGTAAACTCATAAGTCCACCTGGTGATTCTGGCTCTCACACTGCAATGGATAGCAGCAAACCTGCCTCCTGCCTGCATCAAGGTTCTATGACCCCTCTCCATACTCCTCCTACCCATCGACGAACCGCCCGGGACTCCAATGCCGATGTCAAAGGGACCAAATGCACCTACGATCCGGAACTGGACAAAACACTCAGTTCGAAAGACAAGCGCAAGCTGAAGCCTCAGTTCTTAGAGTTTGGTACGAAGCCCGAAGATAACTTCCAGCCACCGGACCCCCGATTATCCATCCCAAATTATACAAAAGCTGTGGTGGGAAAGGGCAAAGCAAAATTTCGACCTGCACCATACAATCTAAAATCATGGGTCCCAGACGCTACGACTGCGGTTGCGTTGCCTCCGGCTACCACCGTCGTGGTCACTGGCTTTGACCCTATGGCCCCTCTTTCGCAGATCAACGCATTGTTTTCGAGCTTCGGTGAGATAGAAGATTTGGATAACAAGACAGACCCGGTTACCGGGAGGTTTCTGGGCATCTGCAGCATAGCATATCGAGACTGCGCCTCCTTCCAGGGCGGAGGTCCTATATCTGCCGTCCTGGCTGCCAAGACAGCATACCTGGAGGGGAAACGTGGACAAAGGATAGGGCTCAAGACGGTCCAGATCGTGATTGATAGGGATGGCTCGGTCACGGAAAGAATGGTGGAAAAGGCGATTGCGCTGCACCGGAAAGAGAGTGGCTTTACAAATCAGTCGCGCGTACAACCTTCCCCTTCTCCGGCATCGACACCAGCCGCAGTGCCATCGCCTGCTGGCTTCGCAAAATCTACGGGACCGCCACCTACTGCACCAAAAGGTCCTTCAGGCAAGCCTTCCCTACGACCGCAGTCCACGTTTTCGAGCCCGTTCCCCATTCCTGCGAAACCAGAGAGGCCTAGCAAGTTGGCAGCGGCTCCTGCGATGGGTACGGCGACCACCACATCCGCAGCTACCCTCGTCGAGACTACGCCTATCGCCGAGACACTGAAAGTACCCTACATCTTCATTGCGCATTGTTATGTACCTGTCATGACAACCACCATACCGCATCTGAAAAAGAGATTGAGGATGTACGATTGGCGGGAAGTCCGATGCGACGAAACCGGCTACTTTATTACCTTTGAGCAATCACGGAATGGACAAATGGAGGCAAAGAAGGTCTTCCACGGCTGTCACATGCAGCCGTTGTTTACCTATGTGATGAATCTAGAACTACATCTCAATGGCAACCACAAAGCAATCAGTGCGACGGACCCTGCGCCTCTGGCCACAACGGTCACACCGACCGGGCCAGTGGATTTTGTGTATTCAAAACAAGCCTACAGATTGAGAAAGGAGCACGACCTTGATCTTGAGGAAGAAAAACGCCAACGCGCCAGAGACCTCGATCCCTCAAGGGCTGTGGTGCAACTTGTCATCCAGGAGTTAAGGGATAAGCTGCTCGAAGATGTGAAAACACGGATCGCTGCTCCCATTCTGTACAATTATCTGGATCCTGGCAGGCATGCCGAGAGGCGGAAGGCGCTTGGTCTAGATGATCCTGAAGGCACGCGGAGATCGGCCTATGGTGCTGAAGGCTCTCAGACACCAGACTCGCGCATGGGCGTCGGCCGACAACCCCTTGGAAGTAAGAACCTTAACATTCTTTCTTTGCCGAAAATTGGCAAGAGGCCAGGTGCTGGTGGTTTGATTGGATATCGTGATGAGAGAAAGAAAGCTCCTCCTCGGCAGAATGTCAGGTCCCTCTTCCATCAGCTATCTCAGTTCCACGAAGAGGAAGATTCAGAGGACGAGGGCAGGACGTCTGGTACTCGAGATACCGAAGATCTCGAAAGCCGTCCTCCGAGCCGCATGAGTATGACCTCCGTATCCGACGATGACGACGAGCTTTTGCGCAAGGCGACCAAACGCCGACTCCATGCTCGAGAAGAATCGGAGATGGGTGATAGCGTCATCAAGGATGAACTTGACGCGTCAAGACAAACTGCAGAAGACCTTATCATTGCCAAGCTGGAGAGGAACATATATGAGATGTCTCCCTCCTCCAGGAAGCGGAAGAGGCTGGTCAAAGAGCTGGAAGCTCGAAAACGCCAGAAAGCAGATGACGAATTGTTTGGCGTAGGTCAGAACGAGTTCGAGCGCGAGCAGTCCGAGGATGTCAAAGTTGAGACTCCTGTTGAAGCCACGCCAGACCCTGAGCCAGATGCCATCAAAGTCAAGAAGCCGAAGCCTAAAAAGAAAACCAAGAAGCAGATTCGGGAAGAGCAAGAAGCACTTCGACAGGCACAGGCCGAAGCTGAAGCCGCCGAGGTGGTGGATAATGTCCTGGAATATGCTGAAGAGGAAGAGGCACTCGCCGAAGCGGCGGAGTGGCGGCCAGAAGTGGAATGGGGCGTATCGGCTGAAGAACCTCTGCCTACTGTGGACGACGACGAAGATATCGTTCCTGACCTTCGGGGTTGGCAGGCCAGTCTTTTCGACGCGGAAGATCTTGAGTATCTGGCAGCCGCCATGAAATCGAAGAAGCCTATGGACATTGGTGACCCAATGGCGTGGGCCTGGAAACAGGAGCGGATACGTAATCTCAGGTCCGGGGCTCAACCAGGAGCCCTTAGGACGGACCCTGTTATTGGTGGTTACTATGTTCCCAACCAATCGGGCTCGGCAAGAACGGAGCCTATCAAAAAGATCCTGGAGTCTGAAAAGTCGAAATACCTGCCTCATCGCATCAAAGTTCAGAAAGCAAGGGAGAAAAGAGAAGCCGAAGCGAAGAAAGACCCTGGCAAGGCACCTGTGGTGGAACTGCCCAAAGCTTCTTCCCGGGGTAAACGTGCCGATGATCGGCGGACGGTCAAGGATCTGGATAGACAGCGCGAGATGCTGCAGAGTATGGGTGAAGACGCCGACGTTTTGCGCTTCAATCAGCTTCAGAAGCGCAAGAAACCGGTCAAGTTTGCGCGGTCTGCCATCCACAACTGGGGACTGTACTCTCTGGAGCGCATTCAGGCCAGCGAGATGATCATTGAGTACGTCGGGGAGAAGATTCGACAAGAAATCGCCGATCTGCGCGAGATCAAGTACACCGAGAGCGGCATCGGTAGCAGTTATCTCTTCCGTATCGATGAAGGGACCGTGGTGGATGCAACCAAGAAGGGCGGTATTGCAAGGTTTATCAACCACAGCTGTTCGCCTAATTGCACCGCCAAAATCATTCGGGTTGGTGGCACGAAACGAATCGTCATTTACGCTCTGAGAGATATCGAGAAAGGTGAGGCTCAGCATCTCGCACATGAAAGGAAGGAGACTAACAAGAGTTGCAGATGAAGAACTGACGTACGACTATAAATTCGAGCGCGAGCTTGGCAGTGACGACCGTATTCCCTGTCTCTGTGGCTCGACCGTCTGCAAAGGATTCCTCAATTGACGAACAGGAGTCCAAGTATCCGTGGCGTTTTTCAGTTCCCCATGTTCCTAGCATTGCGAAGGCATATGGATGGATTCTGGGTAGGCGTTCTTGCTTTTATAGCACCATGGAGGTTGGCATGAACATTCAACAAAAAGCACGCTGCACACCGGGCAAGTCTGGAGTGGGAGAAGGCCAGCACCAGCGAACGGCTGCCGACGGTCGAATTGACGGCGACGATCTTAATGGGGTTTAACTCAACTCAGGTACCCGAGCATTACGGACAGGGAGGGGAATTGACGCCGAATTGACGAACGCTGGGGCAGCCATGTTTCTCTATTGTATAATCCGGCCATTCTACGGCGACGGCGACTGCAAGTGCAGCAGCGCAGCCCAGCGCTTTGTGGGTAGGCTTCCTGGTGAGGTCTCTTGCGTCGGGCGCTTTGCGAGGCAGCTTTGCTCTGCGTGCTTGCGCGTACATAGATATTTTATCATGTCCTACTAGATCCGGGTGGGATTTGGACGATTACATCCCATGCTCCTCCGCCAGTCAACATCCGACACACCAGAGGAGATCTCCTGCTGCCGGACTTGGTTCTCCCTCCATGTTCATTAGTCACCGCTTTGCTGATGTCGGCCACGATCCTTCCTGGTGTCCATCAGCTCTCTGAGCCAGGGACGTTCGCCTGACACCAACCCTTCTCCGTCTCGAGCTACCTCAAGCCGCCGGGTACATGCTTTGTCCGGTGATGCTCAATACCATACAATCAAGCAGTGCTCGGCCATGGATTTTTCGAGTACCGTGGCGCGGACAGGCAAGAGCCCTACTAATCCATTCATAGAGGGTGTCTTCCCGAGCATGACTGTCCAGCAGACCGACCGAGTGTCAGCCAGCGCGAACGCGCGCACTCATCTTGTCCTGTCCATTTGTTCTGTTTACCCATAGCTCGTGACAATGGGTCTTCGTTTCGTTTCCTCGTTCATGCGTTCCTAGAATCGTCCTGCGTGCCTGTGATCGTGATGTGCTCTCCCGAAGCATATGCTCGACTGCCCTCTCACACCAAGTGCGCCGGTAACAAGAAATTAGCCACCCCTTCTTTAATAGGGTATTCGAACCCGCAGTTCCCGCAGACGAGTTTGCCCTCCACGACGCCCGTCTCCAGCAGCAGAGCATGCAGTTTTCTCAGCACCTCCTCGTCGACCTCGACCTCTTTATCGACGTCCATCCCCGTTCCCTCCGCCTGTTCCGCGTTGTTGTCGTTGTCGTCGTCAAGTGGATTCCGATCGGGGAGCATGCTCGCCACACCTAGTTCCGCGACCGTCGTGGTCAAGGCTTCCCAGTTCACGCGGGGTAGGATGTTGCGGATGAAGAGGGGGTTGAAGTCTATGTCGGTGCGTTCTAGCGTGGCGTCGCGGAAATGTAAAGGGAAGGACGAGGACGAGGACTTGCACGCTTTGACGGCGCAGGTGAGGAAGTTGGTGGTTAGGAGTTTCATTTTGAGCGTTCCTGAAACGCGGTCCAGTGGTATGGCGGTCTATCGATAGGATGGCGTCTACGGGGTGAATGAGAAGCGGTGGTGAGTTGTTTATGCACAGGTGAATGGTGGCAGAGTGAAGTTTCCTTCGAAGACGGACATTAACTTCACCTCGGTCTTCGTCTTGGTCTTTCGAAAGTTCGATATGCCAAGATTTCCGCATCACAGGGCCAGACCTATCGAGTTGCGGCACGGTCTACGGAGTACGAGGCACAAGGGCCGCAGAAATACGCGAGTATGCGATACACCGACTATATACTCTGTCGGGACGTGATGACGAGCAGAGCAGACGAGACGCCCGACAGCCACGACAAGGCTACATGAATCGACTCATACTGTGTAGAGCGTACAGCAGACCTAATCGGAGACCAGAGACCACGACCATCAGCCGTCTCCTGTTTACCATATAGCGTTAAAGTCTTGAAGCTCTTCTACGGAACACTATCGTGTTCGATGACAAAAAGGGAAATGTCCGGCACGCAGGTGACTTCTCATCCACAGCAGGCCTCTCCGAAGAGATAAACCTGCATTGAAAGTGAAGTCTAAAAAGTGCCTTCGTTGCAATCGTTCTAGATCGCCAATATGACCTACCAGCCCATGGTTGCACAGAGCAAGGAATTGGCGGTTGATTAATGCGTTCATGTCATGATTTTTCATGAAGTGTGAAGAAAGAGAAAGGGAAAAAAAATTGTTGGCCGGAGTGTGAGAGGATGTGGAGGTTTTGATGGCCGGAACCGAGCTAGTGTGGATGCGGAATGGTGTGGAGGCGGGCTTGGCGCAGGCCGAACATCGTCAAGCTCGAGATTTCCGTCTTGATTTCTTTTTCTTGAGCAATTGTTCCTGCACGCACTCAGGTCTGTACCGCTGGGAAGCTGGGCTCCAGACATGGGATTTCCCTTGAATAACAGCCGCAATCTGCAACATGCATCTGCGGAATATGAGTCAAAGAAGTCATTTGCTAGGTGTCTGTTATTGTCAAAGATCTCTTGACTCGATGGCTGCAAGCCGGAGCTGAGAAATCCGGGCTACATACAAAGTACTGCCTGGTCAAGCTGATTTTGCTGCTCCCAAGCACGCAAGGTTCGGTTCTTCAGAACGAGACGAGTCCCTTGAGCAGCAACCTCCTCGGCTACCCACCAAACACTCGAAGTCTTATTCCATCAAGGTGAACACCGTACGTGACCTACGAACCAACCACACTTGGAAGCATCTTGACCCTTTATCTCCATGGACAAGAAGTGGATCCAGGGGCAACTGTCCAGGTTGTCCAACAACGCAAGTGGCACAGCGAAATTTGGCTTTTAGCAGGGCCTTGTCTACTCCACCCTGTTCCCTCTGGTCCTGGTGAGGAAGCAGGACTATTTATATGACAGACATTTTGATAGCGCTTGTTTTACTATGCTGACGGCAGAGGAGAGTGAAGCGGGTACAGTATCGTCCTTCGAGGACATAATGCCCTTAGCATGCGCGAGATCATGGTACTTCGGCCCTTCACACACGGTTATGATAGGCATTGACCAAATGCGACGTACTGTACAAGGACTACGAAGAGGGCGAAGGGCATCTTGGTACAACTTGCTTCCCATTGGATGGCTGTAGAGTCTTTCTTTTCCGGTGCTTCCCAGCCGGCTTTGTTGCCTTCACTTTCACAGCCATCCATGACTCTCGAACCTCTATGTTTTCGCGGCACCTCTCATGCTTGCCTCGTCTGAGTCTTTCCGGCTCTGCTGTTCCTCTTCTGGGGACGCTTCCTACAGCTCTATATGGGTCATGCACCAGATTGCCAGCCTCATCACGGTAAGGTATACAGACATACTGCGCTCTACACCTCGATGCCTCTTTCCAACCTCTCAGCGCACACCACAATCGCCTCCAATGCCCGCTCGATCCGGAATGTATAGCAGTGGAGTTGCGCTAGTATCTTTATTATTCCACATCTCGCCGGATATGCGCAGTTTCGAAGCGTAAGGCTGGCACCTCACCTGCCCTCATTCATGAGAGTTGGTGTCGCGCGCTACAACGTACGTGGCACAATGCTTGCAGAAAGCGAGCGATGGGACATGATAATTGGATGCCAGCAGTTGTACTGTAAAGATGTCTTTGGTGGAAGTGCCCTGGATGGTGCAAGGTCGGCTCTAGACTCCGCAAGCCACATCTCCGTCTGCTGCCCAAACACCACAAATGCCTCGTAACTGCGGGGTCGAGTATCACCTTCGCCTACCTCTGTTTTTCGAGATACGCGCGAAGCGCTCTAGCGGTATGCGCGCCCGGGTTGAACCTGCAACGAGAAGTGAAGTGCTCCAGTGGCCGTTTGCTCATGTGGTTGTTGTAGTGGGTCAGTCGTCCTTGATTGGGCTTTCAAGGGCGGGGGGGAGGGTTGTGGATCACTTTCACCGTACCTCTCTCTTTCGAGATACCCGCGCAGCGCTCTGGGACCCTCTACGCCTCGCCTGAACCTGCAAAGAGCCATAATGCTCAGCGGGCCCCTTGCCCACTTGCGTTTGCTGTAAAGGGCTGGTCGTCCGTGATTGGCCTCCCAACGGGGTTTGTGGATCACCTTTGCCTACACCTCTCTTTCGAGATTCCCGCGAAGCGCTTTGACCGCATCTGCGCCTCGCCTGAACCCTGCAAAGAACGAAATGCTCAGCGGCCCTTTTGCCCATCACGATCGTTGTATTGGCTTCGTATTCGTTGATCGGATGCTGCCCAAGGGGCTTTTACTGTTTGCCTTCCGCGGACTCATCACATTTATCGTAGCGGGGTGGTTATCCTTTATCGGACACTTCAAAGGGCGGGTGAACAGGGACGGGGGTTGTTCTGGTCGCTTGCCAGCCCATGCAAGCCTCCCTCGGGGCCCCCAGCGCATCAGACCTTATGTCCCAGAGTCTCAAGTGACACGAGGGGTGGATGAGAGCGCCAGTACAGCCTGACAGCGTGATAACCTTAGATTTGTCACCATTCGCATACGAGCACGGTATCCCTGCGTTTCTGACATCGCCGTCCCGGGGTCTGCGTCCGAAAGCAGCTCTCAAGCCGAAGCATTGACCTGGCGGTTGAGCAAAGTCAGCACATCTTCGCATGAAGGTCGACCTTATTTGGTGAGCAGCACGTTGACTTTGTCAAGGAGAGTACCATGGCCTCTGGGGATCGCCCAAAAGACTGGTGGGAGTCCGAGCACTCTATACCGGATAGAGGACCTCTTAGCCTGTAGACTTGTTATGATACTGGGGGGCTGCCGGGTTCATGGCACGCATGCATCCCGCGCACAGTCCAGTATTGTGATTCAGAATGTGTTGATGTCCAAACGCATCATATGCAATCCTAAGCGAGCATCCAGGCCGGTGTGGGTTCTATACGAGAAAAAACGCCTACGTAGCTGTGGTAGGGACTTGTGCACCTAAGGTCGGTCAGTGCCCATTGCGCCGCTTACTTAACACGCAGAGGGCCTGGGACACCCGGTCCCAGGCTCTGGTGAACGCGGAGCGCCGACACCAGCATGACGTTCCTCGTCCAGTGCGTTGCTTGCTTGTGCGGGCTCTGGAGGCCCCTGATGATGCTCAAGCAGAGCCATACAGTCGCTGTGTCTTCTTCTCCCAGCTCAAGCAGCACCTCTTCTCGGCCCTGGTGTGGTATATAAAGCGTGCGTCTCCTATCTCTCGCTCGTCTTCTCCTTCTTCTTCTCTGCTATCTCCTCACCTTCGCTGCGAAGTATCTGAACCCCTCGATCCCCTTGACCACAAGAATCTATTGTGGCGGACATATATCCCATCTCATCATGGCATGCAATGCGACAACCATGCCCGAGCTTGGTGAGTTAGCAATCGCTTTCCAATTGCTTTTCGTTCATTCCCAATCTCGATGATGCGTATGGTGCTTCTTCAACACTGTCGCTTGCTGATGCCAATCTCTCTCAGCGGCACCCCACAGCCCAGCTCACCTCGACTATCCGATGCAACAATATTTGGCCAGTCCCTCGCGCAATGACCCGTACGTACCTGGTGTAAGAAGCCGCAACCACCTCACGCACCTCATCACCACGCTTGACATCCACTTGACCGCACTGTCGGGAGAGTCCGCCGGCGGTCCTGCCACTTCGGCGAGGTTGTAAGCCACAGTAGGTGGACTGAAGGGGGTATGTCGCATTTCTCTTTGCATCCTCCAGTATTCATTCGCAATTATTCTCAGCATCGAGAAACTGATGTTCCTTGAGCCAAGACACGTTCTATGAGTGTGGTGAATGGTGTTTGTGGTGGGCATCCTCAACCATCATCCACCACGACGATGGAAGAGCCTTCCCAATGCATTTTTCCACGCTGCACTCGATCAGGCAGGCCACTTTGTGAAAGAATTATTCTCGAGCACTTAATAGGATCTAGTGCATTGCGGATATGTCGATGGTACAGTAGAATCTCGACAATGTCGAATTCAATAAATGGGTCGATGGTCGGCCTCTTGGGACGCGTGGGAAAGGAAGCTTGGTTTGTGGTGCGTGCGGAGTGCCGACTGGCTGGCGGCGAATTGTGCCACTTCGGGACTCCTCACGCCAAGCATCAGCATGCACATCACGTGATGCTCCGGCTGGTGTTGCAGTCAAAGGTAGTGGCGGCACCTCTTTATGGAAATGATGAGTTTCTTATGAGAACAATGCATCCGAATGACCGTGATGGTAGCTTTCACTTTCGGCACTTCGGAGGGTTAGGTGGTGGCTGATTATGAAGACAGTGGCCCGAATGGAACTTTTGTGAATGCCTACGAAAGGCAGCTCGGGTCCTGCAAGGCAGATTGGCGGCTGCAGCATCGTCGGATATCAATTCCGTGATGCACCACTTTCAGGGACTTTCAGAGCCTCACTGCAACTTTTGCAACTTAGCCGAAGGCCTCGGCTGCTGCACTCCGAGCAGTATCGATCACATGCAGCTCATAGGTAGTTGTGAATACTAACGGAGTATTTCGTACTCCATCGCGCGATAACATGCAACAACAATGTCGGAGCATCTTTGCCTTCATTCGACCATCCTGTCCTTCTTTTCCGCTCTCAAAGGTGAGCTTGAGCCGTTCCGCTATGCACCAATCTTGGACCAGCGCGTTCGTCATGGCAAGCGTGACGAACGTGCTGTTGATCTCGTGGTGGAAGCGTCAATATATGTGCAGCTTCTCATGTATCCTGGCTAACCGAAAACAGATCCAGGACGATTGACTCCCGTGCATCTGGGCGATTGCTGTTTCGGAGGAATTTGTTCTCGTCCTTTGCGCCCGTTACCGCTCCAGCGTCTTTCCATCGTGACGTCCGCCCTACCGTGCTCTACTCGTTCTTAACAGCGATTACCTATGGTTCGCCGTTGCGAGTGTCAATAATATCAAAATACGGTGGGTGTAATCTGTGGTGGGTTTGCCGCGGGTTCTGCGCGCAGAGTCCTGTACCGACTATAAAACCACAAGTTGTGAGATTCAGGCTTCAGGCCAGACGATGGCGAGGAAATGCGATCAGTAGCCTTTCGATGGCTTCTGGGACGCGGAGTGCGCGACTGTCAATGACGAGCAACACCTGTCTCCATCGACGATGTCATCTCAGTTTAGCATGCCCTCGTGTCATTATCCGATATCCTTCTCGAGCGTTTAATGGAGCGACACAGCCAGGTCCGACGCCTCCCCATTCCCTGCGAGACACCGATCAAATTTGGAGGAGGTCATCGGGCTTCAAGAGCAACAGGACAGATCGCTTTTCTCGGGATCTGGAAATGTTTCTTGTTGAGGGACATACAGGTGACTGCGGAGTGGCCTGCACTTCCGCGACGAACGAAGGGCGGTGGGACCCTGACCATCACGAATGCTGGGAATGTCGCTCTACAGGACAGTAAAGAGTTTAAGAAAGAACGCGAGCTGCCGCTCGGAGGAAGCCATGCACGCTTGTGGAGCATCGCGAGCTCGGCCCTTCGCATCTCTCGACCGCAACTGAATGTTGTCTCCCTCGCGCATACCTCGACTCTAGCATGAAGTGATTGATCAATGCGAATAACTGTTCGAGATCTTTTGCTATGTACGTAGTTGTTCAAACAAGTAGGAGATAGTCTCGAGCACGGACCCCGACTAAGACTTGTGCAAGAGCGGCTTCAAGCGCCCTGGTTCTGGGTCTCTTTGAGTCCATATCTTGTCTGTGCTTTTCCCTTGCTTCTTTTTGTACGGAGCCTTACTGCCATTCATCGTCCCGGGGACTCGCCATCTCGATCTCGTGTCTTATAGTCGATAAACCTTCGTGGCGGGAACCATTTTCGTATCGATCACGGCCGCGAAGGGGGCCGAAGTAATTCGTCAGTGTCTCCGTCGCGGGCCTCGTCAACGAGTAAGTTCTCGAGCCTCGTGGTTCTAGCTGAAGCGGGCGCATGCGTGTTGCAGTGCTTCCCCTCATCCTTAAACAATTCCCTGGCTCAAAGTTTATGAGTTGGGGTATCGACAACAGCCAGGCTCCGTATGTGACATTCTCTTCAACCAGCAATTCTCGTGGTTCGAGTGTAACGACTATTGGAGACTCCTTGACCCAGCAGAATCGACGCTAGAAGCAATGTATTCTTCCGCCATCACCGGCGATGACAGGGCGTAACTTCGTGAGGGGCAGTAGGAGCGTGTCATGGTTTTTTGCCCCGGGAAGGATGCCGAGAAACGATCCCTGCCTCCTGGACGTTCTCGAACCAGGTTTCTGAATGCTTGCTTTAGTTAGACTCGACAGCAGCTGAACTTTCTGTATCTTTCAGGGAATTTCGAGCCTGGCGTAACTGGACGTTAGCCGCGCAAATTCATTCTCACCTGCGCGGATGCAACTCTGGACATCTTGCACTTTCCAATGTTTTGACTCTGGAGTGTTTCGGTGGACAGTCGCATGTTGACTTGTATCAGCCCAGCAGCAATGTCTTGTCAGAGTTCGTGGGTGTGCTAGACCAGTGGCTTCAAGCGGCCATTTCGACCTGCTCGAAGTGATGTGCGGTCGAGGCATTCCGGCGATATAGTCACTGATTGTGGTCCGGATTTGCTTTTGCCCCTTCGCCAAAATCATTGATCGATGAATTTTATATTCCGCCCTCGGCCACCAAGTATGTAGGCAGACGCGAATTCCGCTGCAGAGGCATACCGGTAGCTCTAAAACCTACCGTGTCTCGGGCCTAAGAGGGAAACCAGGTCCACGTACCACGCGAAGGTCGCGAGCAATCGGAACATGAAGGGCTCATAGCAGGTAATCCGGCGCAATGGAAGTGGCGAATAATAAAGGTCGCTAGGAGTCGCCGTCTTCACAATCACCGGGCAAGTGCGCAAGGATGATGTTGGGAATTTTTTGTGGGAAGTCGAGAGTAGGTTTCGTGTTGAGTCTTCTAAATGACCGTTAGTTTCCGGGAATTAGCTGAAGTGTGGTGCTGAATTCCGATTCTGGGCATCGAGTGTGCTGGGTCTCTGGCGCCTACGGAGTATGCTGCAGAGGCATGCGGAAGTCGACGGAGCGACGGAGGGCGCAGATATGTGGCACTGCGAAGGATCCCGCGTGCCCGCTACGGAGCAGCGCAGTAGCCGGCCGGGATAAATCATCTCATGATGCTCAAAACACAAAACCACAATCTGGCGTGATACGCAAACTTTGTTCTTGTCGCGACTCACCGCCGCACGAGCACATGCAACAATGGGGTTCGAACTTCATCAATCGATGTCTCATAAGGTTCTTGTGGCTTGCTGCGGCACGAGCGCGCCAGACAAGAAAGTGATGTAAGGCTGAGCGAGACCAAGGCACCAACAACTAATCGCCGAGACAGCCAAGTGGCAGTAGACAGGGCGTAATACCACAGTATGCGAACGAAGAAAGACGTTGCTGTTCGACAGCGATGAGCAGCACTATATACACTACTAGGGCCAATCTCGATTTGACGTGTGATCACCATAAATTAACCAGGAAACCGAAGGTCAATAGAATGCGTCAGGACTGGAATATAGAAGGTATGTCGCGCGGAGCAGTCGGACTACTCGTACTCTGTAGGATCTTGGTTTTCGAGAAATCATACGGAAAACGTACGAGGTACACAGTACTCCGTGGCTTTCCAGATGGTGGAGTGAGCATGGAGATCAACTTTGTGGAGTGGCAGCAATGCTCAAGTTTAAGTTTGAGTTCGATCTGATGACAATTGCATCATGCCTTGCCTGATTCAGCCATTCAAATGGACGCGCTTGAGTCGTCGGTCATGCGGCATTTGCTCACTGGCTTTCGATTTAGCATTGATTTCCAACTTGACATTCCAGCAAGCCTGTGCTGATGCGCCCAACGGCTTGACTGTCGTGACTGTTCCCGACGGCCGTTTCCAGATTGGAAAACAACACGAGCATCGTTCTCTCCACACGAACAGCCTGCCTGCCTGGGTCCTGTCATGCAGATACACAGTACTCATAATACCAATCCGCTTTTCACGGCTAATTTCTGGACAGGGGAGGTGGACTCCTCGTAGTGCATTTCTCATCGCATCCACAGTCCATCAGTCTTCATATTCTGCTCTGTCTTCTCCTTTACTGCTTGATGTCTCGACTGCTGCTGTACCTGTCGCTCTCTTCATGAAATTACGTCAATGCCAGGACCAAGCATTGTGGCGTGACGGTTTGATGCGCGGCATTCTTGAGAACTCTTGGACCGGTATTTTGCCCTCAGCCAGGCGGCTTGCTCCAAACTGAACAGGAAGCTATTCCTCCGCTCGCCCGCCTTACTGTATACCCTGGTCAAGTGATGCCCACTTTCCGAGCAGTTAATGTGGGAACATTTGAAGCCCCTTAGTTCAGAGCTGGGATCAGTCTCTCTGTGATTCGTGGCCGACATAACAGGCTAAACAGCATAATGTGCGTCCTCCTTTCTCGGTCCACTGACATCGCTTCCAGAAAGTGTCCCTCTTCCCAAAACCGTTCAGATCTCCGTCATTGCTCTTTGGTGACAGAGGGCTACGAGTACCACAGCACGCTTTTACCGATGCAGAACACAACCGTCAGTTCCCAAGAATGAACCAACGGCGATGATCAAAGCTCATCTTGTCATCCCTCCACCCCTCCCAATACCATCTGTCCAGAGAGATCGAGATCGAGTGCCTTAGTCTTGTTTCAACGGCTCCATCATCTTGAATGTCGGTCCACCAGAATGATACTGTGAAGTAGAACGGGCAATGTTCCTCCCCACCGACTCCGCGTACTCGTAGCTCTTTTCCACTTCCCCAGAGATCCGTAGCTCTGTGCCCCAGCAATCTTGACACGGTCACAGCATACATAAACACTCACGTCCCCTGTGACATCGCCCACCCTTCTTCCGCCCTGTCGCCAGTACATAGTCCCTTTTTTTAGTGTCCGCTCAAGGCGTCTTCATTCAACTTTCACTTTGCCCTCAGTAAAGTTACTGCCTCCATCAGCATCACTGCAACCACCATGTCGACCAACGCGGCACACACGGACACCAGCAATCAAGCTGTTCTCAATGGCGACCACTCTCACGACAAAGATTTCGCGACGGCCACTCGAGGAATGAGCCACGAGGAGAAGACAGCCGCCCAACACGCTGCCCGCTTCGGATATGGCCCTCTCGCCCATATGCGCACCAACAACGATGCTACTTTGCCAGGTGAGTTGAGAGTGAGATGGCCCTTTACAAGCGGCTCAATATCTAATGATCGTGTTCAGCCTTCGGCGGTGAATTTCAACCCGGTCTCTACAAAGGCGTCGAGGGACGCAAATTCGCTAACCCTGCTCCTCTCGGTCTGTGCGCTTTCGCCTTGACGACCTTTGTACTCTCCTTGATCAACTTGGGGACTCGAAACGTCGAAGTGCCCAGCATCGTCATCTCCCTGGCCTTCGGCTACGGTGGTCTTGTTCAGCTTCTCGCTGGCATGTGGTAAGTTTCTGGTGACTGGGAAATATATTGCGCATCGCTAAGCTCAATTTGAAGGGAAATGGCCGTCGGCAACACTTTCGGTGCTACCGCCCTATCATCCTATGGTGGTTTCTGGATCTCCTTTGCAATCATCCTCACTCCTGGTGGCTTCGCAATCGAGTCGACTATCATCGAACAGCAGAACTCGAAGGCGCTGTATGACTGCTTGGGCTTCTACTTGATGGTGAGTGACCTTGTCTTACGGTAGACCCACATCGAGCTGACTGAATCTCTAGGGATGGTTCATCTTCACCTTCCTGCTCCTCATCTGCACACTGAAGTCTACCGTGGCATTCTTCCTCTTGTTCTTCACCCTGGATCTCGCCTTCCTCATGCTCGCCTGCTCCTACCTGATCCTCGAGAGCGGCGAGCCTCACGTCGGTCTTCACCGTGCCGGAGGCGCCTTCGGCATTATCGCCGCCTTCTTGGCTTGGTACAACGCCCTGGCTGGTATTGCCGATACCTCGAACAGCTTCTTCATCGTCCCCGTCCTCCACTTCCCCTGGTCGGAGAAGGGCAAGCAGAGACGCCAAGAAAACAATACCGATCACACTGCATAAGCAGCTCTTCGACAAACAGAAATCGCCATGTTCCTGGCATCGAATCGACCCACGATGTGCGCATGCATGGCGCACAGGATACCCTGGCATTAAGCCTAGGTTATTCAGGAGAAGCTGGGAGGTGTGGCTTCCATATTCCAAGAGAGAGGAGCTGTATCAGCAGGGGGTTTGGCAGAGCACACTACGTCTCCTTGGATACCCCAAACTGCGTTGCGCTTGAATTGTTTTGCTCCAAAAACTACTACTACTTCCTGCATACTTAATCTCAACCTGACATGACACTCTATTCTCTGTTCCCTTTTCATATCATCTCCTATCTTCTCATGCCATGGTGACCTGAGCGCAGTTGTGTCGTCCATCTCTACGGACTCCTTACGCTCAATAGTCCGCGGACAAACCGCTAGCTCTCTTTTCCCAAAGCTGACCGTCCGGTAGTGACCGGAAGCTCTCAGCTGCAGCGCTGGGAACCCTCGTGGAGCCACCTAGGTAAGCTTGCAGAAACGTCAAAAGACCAAATGGATCGATCGACCACGACGTCATGACAAGCCATGACATGTCGATCCCCCAGGCCCAAGAGCCTCCACCAAAGGAATACGTCGATCGACAATTTGGCGCATCCCAAAATCCCGGCACCGCTATCTAGGGACAAGAAGGAAAACAATACCATCTGCATGCGCCCATTGTCGTCATACCCAAGCCTTCGCCAATGCTGACGAGCCCTGCGCGGGCATTGGGACTAATGTGCGCCTTGTCATTGGCTTGACGCGGCTAGCTGGGCGCATTGGCGCCGGCCGGTGGCTTTGGAGGTTTCGCGGGTTGTGATCTCGATGATTGTCAGGTCGCCGAGCCGCGAGTACTGTAGCTACGACGACATGTGGAAGCCCAGGCCACGGACACGAGGAATTGGCAAGAACAACCTGTGAGTACCTCGTAGACATCAGGAGAATGGTAGGCTCGCAGCGCACAGCCAGCCCAAGCCGCGCCGAGTCTCCGGATTTGCGGGCGCGACAGGATCGAAAAGGATTGGCACTTTTCAGCACCTTTTCTTTTCCACAACCTGTGCTCACCCCGCATTTGGCGCACTTCGCTTATCAGGGCCACTTGTGCTTACCCAAGCCTTGTGCAGGGCCCGTTTTTGTGTGCCGTCATTGCCAGAATCGCAGTGAGAGCACGTACTGTAGTACCTCGTACCATAATCGGTGTGTGATGCCCGGCGGCCTGAGGAAATCGCGGCACAAGCCAGACAAAGCACATACTGTGTACTCGTACTAAGACAGTAGTACACAGAACTAAACGTACCGGTCTGCGTTGCGCGGACATCTCCTCGAGTTGATCGTGGCTGATCAGAGCCGTGGAAGCAAGCACAGCGACTAATTATGACTTGTGCATTGTGTAGATGAGTAGAATGCCATCTGCAGTACTCGCGACATAGCCAGTCCGGCTGCCGCAAGCTCACGTTCCTTCGACCGTTGCATGGGGTGCTGGAGTCTACGGAATGGAAGCATACTTCCCAGAACGGCATATCTGTATAATTACCCAGTGCTCGTATTGTCGTGTGCTCACGGAAATGCATGGTTCTCACCTTCTGGTTGGATAGTACTCCGTACATTGCTTCATTGTCCCTGCGGCATTTCCTCGCACCTGCCTTACCACGCTTGCATGTCGCGGAATCGGCACGTCATAGAAACCCGCAACGAGCGCTGGGTTTTTTCGACGTCTCAGCGTTCACTATGAGTTAGTACGAGTGCTGTACGCCTACGCCTCTGGCTTCCCCTTCAATGCTCGAGGGAACGGCATATCACTATGACTTGCAAATGGAACTTCACAGCGCTGGCCAGAAGGAGCAGGCAATACGCTTAGAAGGCGGATACCGAGTCCGATATAGACATCGGTCCTTCTCTCTACAGGCGTGCAGCGACGGCAACGCATCAACTGTATCATGTCGTTCCATGAACTTTGAAATCACTAGTTACATGGCAAACCCACTGATGCTGTACAGGAAACCAGCCTCTGCCGTGCTCTACCACGAGAGATCTGTAGTGTTGACAAGAACGCCTCTACGGGAACCATGTCGAGTAGTGGACCAGCGTTGTTCCTTCCCAATCGTTCTGTATATCTGAGCCTCTAGCCATATCGTCATTCCCGAACGTTCGATCTCGGGCATATCCCCGTATCTTGCCGGCAGCTTCGTCTGACACCCGCTGCACCAGCTAAATCCGTGATGATCGGGACCCGTCTGAAGTGGGTTGAGGATGGTAGGACGCCAATTTCTGGAATCAGAGGCTGACACTAGTGAGTCCGTCGCAACGCCTCCCGTGTGGTAGCGTGTCAGAAGTTTGAAGACGTCGTTCCTGCGACGCAGACAGGAGAAAGCAACGCTTCATCGACCAAGATGAGGCCAGTCATCCTCCGATCTTCTGAGATTCAGCTCCCTGAGCCAAACCACTTGTGCAACTCATAGCACGGCAAATGCAGAGACATAGCTGACGCTGCTATCTCTCACGCTCTCCGCGTCACTACTCCTCTCATACCGCATGAACTTGAACCGTCTGCGGTCACCCGCGTCATGACCTCGCTCCCTTTCCAAACGCTCTACTTCTTCCACGCCGGCCATAAATACCCCGATCGGATGTCGACCACACACGGTGTTCCCAGTGTCTTTGAGCACGCGGAGAAACTCGGAATGTTGACCCGTGGCGATGGCACACATACACGCCCTGTCCGCGTGTGCAATGCTCTCGAATATCTGAGGTCCGCTTCTCGGTATTTGACTTCTCGAGCTGAGATCCTGACCTTGACCCAGCGTGGGCATTTTATGGACATCTTCATTGACCGACTCTTTTGCAGTTGTGAACTGTCCCCGCACCCCGTTGGGCAGCATCAGCGGAGACATGGCCGGAGACGGGGCATCTGGTAGGTAATAGGTATAGCCGAATCTGCTCCCCCAGTGGCAGAAATCGGAAGATATGACGAACGCGTTGGTCTCGTCGGCGATGTAAGGAGCCAGCATCTTGCCCAATGCAGCTTCGGTCGCAGGGTTCGTGCCGCCGACCATGATGGGGACGAGAGGCGGGTATGATGACTCGGGCTGGCCGGGGTATAGTTTCTGCAGGAGACGGTGGATGTAGGGCAGTTGCATTTCGGCACTGTGCTCGGCCTCATCTACCGACTGCGACATGGTTGTAAACTTGACGGTCCGACCTTGGACGGTCGTGGAGAGCGGGTATAGCTGCTTGATGGTTTCATGGTCAAGAGGGAGAGGGTCCTTTGACAGGGGTGTCTCGTAGGCATCGACGACGGGGAGGGCAGCAGTACTCAAGTGATGGTGGTGAGAAGGATGGAGGATGAATATACGCTTTGCCTTGGAGAGATCCAGGCACTTGTAGGCCCATGCTGCGCAGGGACCAGAATACGCATACCCGGCGTGCGGTGAGATGACTACTCGAGCGTCTGGTAACGGCAGGCTGTCAACACCGGGTAGGACATCTTTCTCGGGGACAGCGGCTAGCCATTGATCCAGTTGAGCCGCAAGTTGGCGCCCGTTGGCAGAGTACCATGAGCCGGCATGAGAAGCTTCTCGGACGGCCATCCCCTTGGACCAAGGTCAGTCGGGCAGCGTGGTTGGTGAGGTGACGATGATCGCTCAATAAGTGAGAGCCAGCTTGAAGAGAGCGGGACGAGATGAGCCGCGCGGAGTGTCGAGTTCGCAGTCTTAGTGCGGGGAATGCCGTAGGTTACGGAGTACGGAGTATGTAATGTCGCCGACTCTCAAGCTGAACGCCCGAAAGGAGCGTGCATGACGCGCTACCCCCAGCCTCATCACTTCCGCCTACCTTTACAAATTCTTTAGCCTCATTCCTACACGACAATACTAGCATGCATGAGTTAATGCCAGAGTCTCTTGCACATATACGAGAATAGAACGATATCTTTGTTACACTCAATAACAGAACTGTACCTCGTTGGAGAGACGCGGATCCTAACTCGCTTGCAAAACCGAACACGACGCGTAGAGTGCGTGCTCCAACGCGTCTGTTCAATCAAGCGCCACTGATCGCAAATCATCCGACGCAGCAACCTACAATCCACAACCATCGGCACAATGGGCACGAAACGAAAAGCCTCCACCTTTGAGGAAGACAGCCTGGTCTACGTCTACCAACACCAACAACAATCCCGCTCAGCTACGCCGTCGCTCGCCTCGTCGTCGCCCCTATCAACGACAAGCCCGGTGACGGCGCAATCCTCAATCACTGGCGGCGACGCGAGCCCCTCCGAGTTCCACAGAGTCAAAGCCATCCCCTATCCCTACCTGTATCTGGACAGCCGAACGCGTAAGCGGCACCGCGACGGTCGACCCGACGAGGAAGCCATCCACGAAAACACGTTGAGGAAACTGTACGACGCGCAGCGGTTCCATCTGGACGAAGCGGTGCACGTGTCCGATGCGCTGGAATCGCGTGATGCGTATGAGCACAAGGAGGCGGGGGAGGATGAGGATAGGGACGCCAACATGATGGACGACCTTTTGGAAGCTGGACTGCCGCTGAAAATCGAGCGGAATCAGAGGTCGATTGAGGCGTTCTTTGGCGGGAAGGGCGTGGGACAGCCTCTGGGACAAGGAACCGGCATGCTGGAAACTCACAATCATTAGGCAGGCTTAAGGAGAGCCGAGGGGAGATGATACAAGGAACGTTCATTTGGTTCCGGTGTGCTTTTCTCATGAAACTGGCAGATGGGCTTGAACGCCCTGTCCTATCAGACTCATGTCGATGCTTTGGGAGGAAATATCTCTGGAGGCGGGCAGGAAATGCAATCTCCGAGGGATATAATTGCGAGGAGCAGTCTCTGCTGGGAACGCCTGAGAACTGTTGATCACCCGGTACGACAGGGCTTGTTAGTCACTCTCCGCGGGAGGATGAAGGTGCTAGGAAATCGCGTCCGAAGGCGTATGAAATGGCCAATGTCGGTCTGTCGCGTTGGATTTGGTTCAGGAGCTCCATAGGGTACTGTCTGATTGAGTTCTGGCAATGAGATCAGCATGTTCCGGCAAAGGTGTGACCAAGGCCTTGGAAACGGATCTGAAGTCGACAGGAGCGAGAGAGAACACTCGACGATATGCCCCGCCGTCATTCATCCTGGTCTTCGTGGAGACGATTGTCCATCGTTAAGGCAACAATTCATGACCTGCAGGATCTACGAACCACTCCCGCGAACTAGTTCTGTGTGTGGTTTCATTACTAGGTAGGTAGCTGCCCTATGTACAGTCTGTTACCACTGAATGAGCTTCGCATAATTGCAGAGGGATGCTTGAATACACATGCTGATATGATCGACCTGGAATGTCGGTGCTCGCCGGCCCTGTCCTAGCCTCTGTGAACCGGATAGCGCCCCTGGATAAAAATCAGGTGAAAAAGCAATGTTCCTCCCTCAATTATGCAGCTTCCCCCCGCCCTCATCCAAGGCATGGTGCAGAGGACAAAGCCTTGCTATGTGTATTTCGAGCCGTGCCACTAAATGCCGGTGCCCGTACCTGACCCACCCGGCTGCCCATTCAGATGCGCCTCCAGGTGATGCAAGAAGGAAAAAAAGGATGGTGGAGTCGTAAGTCATGTTGTTATTAGTCTTGTGCTGATGTGCTCGTTGAAAGGGGCCAACTTGTGCGGGTACTGTGCCGTGCTGGAGAGTATGAATGTGCTGCTGTCGTTGTCGACACGGGTAAAAAACCTGGCAAAGAGAATTCAACTTCGAGTCGAGAGCTAGCTCCACCGTTGGGAGCTTGATTTTCCTCTGCTCATGTACAAGGGTAAAGGCGAGCACTGTACGAAAATCGTTTCGAGTCAAAAGATGTTGCCCATTCTGTCCATCAGAAACCAGGAATTCAGACCAGGAGAGGAATCCTCCCGTCCTTCTCTCTTCCACTGACGCGTATTCTTAGCTGGGCCGAGAGTCGACTTTATGTTGGCGTACGTAGGATTTTCAGGGAGACACACTGCTGGGCGGATCTCCGTTGACGACCCTGAGCTGAGGTATAGGAACGGTTGCACTACGAGGGGGTTCGCCGTCCCGGTTTCTTGCCTCAAGTGCCCGCTCTCTTGCGACCTGGTAATCCTCGATCATCTCAGCCACCCGACGACTTTGAGCCCGGTGCAATGCTTCCAGCTCCAGTCGAGCTCTCTCGTATGCCTCCCTCGCCTTGTCTCTCGCCACCCTCGTTTCTTGGCATCTCTTGAGTAATGCGCTAAGTTCTTGTTGAGTTGCTCGTGTTTGCGCATCGACAAGAGCTCGATTGGCGTCGAGGTCTTGATGATTGAGTCGGCCGCTGTTTTCCATCGCGAGATTGCATCGGTTCCGCAATTCCTCCAATTCCACCAGGTGATCTTCGCGCAAATGCAGCACGGCAAGTCTTTGTTCGGCGGTCAAGTGTTCCAAAGGAAGATATGTGTGGCGTCCGGCTCTGTGGCCAGAATAACCCATCGAGATTCTGTGTCGATGAGATCCTGCACGATGTGGTCGGGCGGTCACATTGAGCTCAATCTTGGTCTCGGCCTGCAACGATTCCGGCGCGTTGAAGTCACCGCCTTCGTCCCAGTCTTTGTCCGTGACTGGCGGCAGAACTCTGTTCAACATGTACTTGGCATCAATTCCCCGGCGACATTTCATGCACACCCGACTCTTGGAGTAGCCTTGAGAATTGACATATGCCGAGAGACATCTAGCATGAATGGCCATGTTGCAACAGGTAATGATCGCCACAAAGTTGTCGGGTTCGAATTGAAGACAGCAGGTTGGGCAGTCCCTCTTGTGCTCATCCAGGGCCTTGATACTCTCCTCCGAGGCTCGACTGAGGATGAGCATTGTTGCAGGTTTCTTTGCAACCTCGGGAGTTGCTGGAATGGAGATAGGTGCAGTCCGTGTGGGAGGAGAAATGCCCTCAATCACCGGAATATGTGGCGGATAAGCGGGAGCTCTGTATGGTTGGTGACCGGAGAAATTGAACGGACTCGGTGCCGTGGCCATGTTCCCAGAGGATGCCGCCGCATTCCCGTCCACTTCTCGTCGACGCTCAGGGATTATGGGGGCTGTCGGCTGGACGAAGAAATCATTGAAGGAGACAAGTCCTGTTTGCTGTGGAATGGAAGATTGACTTGGATGGCTGGTGAGGGCCGCCGACCGCGAAGCCTGGTTTGGGGCGATATAGAAGGGAGGGTGTTGAGGCTGACTGGGATCCATGCCGCGCAAGTCCTGAGCAAAGCCTGAGCCCGAAGCGAGATACTCGAGCGCTGCGCCTTCCTCCAGAAAAGTGCCTATCGGGAGCCCCAGCGGCAATCCGGGTGGGATAGCAGCAAGGGTCGGTCCAAGAAAGTCGTAGTGAGCTGGAAACGCTGGTCGCCTAGAACTAGGAGAAGGACGTGAAGGGTCGCTCATGTTGCTTGCATGAGTGTTTTCAGCCTCAATTCTTCGACGTTTGCGGGCGTGGTCTTCGGAGGAATTTTCTCTCTCAGGTCGATCTTGAGAGGCGAGGGGGTTGTAGTCCTCGTACACAGGTGAGGAGGACGACATCGGTTGGTGATACTCCATTTACCTAAAACTCTGCGCCCAGTGACGAGTGAACTACGCCTGACTTGTGTGAGGACCGCCGCGGAATGGACTCGGAATTGCTCGGTTTCTCGAAATAGGAGGTTGGTTGTCTGTTCCGTAAAAGCTGATTGTCGGTACCTCAGGTTGGTTGACCACGGTCTGTGCCGTAAAAATCCGAGCACTAGTCTGCCGCTCCAGAGACTTTCACCGATAATGGAGCCTGCACACCACGCACAGACAACGAAAACCTATGGCTTAGCCCACTTGTCGTGGTATCTAGCGGTATTGCCAGTGGAATGTGGTCGTGGCAAGTAAGGCTGAAGCGGAATACAAATTGTCCGATGTAAAACACGGGATTGTCCGTTCGCACTGCCAGTTTGCAGCGAGACCTTGGGCAGTTGATCTCAATGTCTCTTTCACTGCCTTGTTATGTTGAAGGTAGGTTATTCCCCAGTAGTATCGATCTTATCGTTGAAATGCCGTGCTAGAAACTTGAGGTGGTCGTCAACGTATACCTTGACTGCAGTAGGGAAGTCGGTAGCAGCTGTCGTTGCCTCAGCCGTGCACATACTCACCAAACCTTAGTCAAGTAGTGCAAGGATGAGCATCAGGCAGATTCGAGAGACGTCGACGCAGTGAGCAGGAGAAGAACAGTGGTGAAAGTAAGGTTGAGACAGAATCTGGCTGGTCATGCGAGGTTGACAGGCAAAGTGCCTGGTTCGCCAGTAACGAGTGACCCCGCCGCGCCAGATCGGGTATCGGAATGGTGATGGGTGATGTCCCTGTAACAGCAACTGGTGACAGGCTTCGGTAGGCTCGGAGGTGGAGAATTATTGCTTGGAAGTTCAGGTTTAAGCCAGGCGAGGTCGCCGCCCGAGCAGCCCGAGCGTTTGTTGAACTTTGTCAATGAGTGACAGTGGCGTGGACAAGACAGTTGCAATGCAGGTCAAACGTGGCAGCAGTAACATCACAATGCCGGCATTGATTGGTCGAAAGATCGGGCACTGGCGGTCGAGGCGAGAGTGTGATTGCGAGAAAGAGGGGTTGGAACACGACAGCCTTTTGATGAGTCCGTACGAGTAATTCGGCTTCCTACTTCAGGACTTTCTGCTCGTTTCGTCGTGCGTGTCAGCTCAAACCTGGCCACCACTGAACAAGGTTACAAGGGCAGCTTCGAGTCGTTCACTCCGGCCGTCCCTGTTTTAGGCCACGCTTCCGGAGCACATTTACCGGAGATGCTCACCTGACTTGGTCTGAGACCATTAAAGACCCGGCGTCAGCTGCCGTGCCGATGATGATTCTGCTCGGGCCAATGCAAGGTTGATAGGATTATGAGGCTATGCGGACATAACAGGAAAAGCAAATAAGCTGCCCACACAAGAGGCCACGGTGAGTGACAAGTCAGCTGGGAGTAGATAACGCTCTGCACAGCCGCGGGAAAGGTCATATATCTGCCTCAGTGCTTGATGAGCATACTGTAAAAAGACCTCTAGGGGTTTTGCGTGGAAGCCATAGCCGGCAATCTATCTGTGCAGAGGCAGGTGCTGCTTAAGTTATAGTATCAGTTGCCCTCGCTTGTAGACACCGCACTGTTGCCTTGTGTTCAGACTACGGAGGGATGTGGCTCAAAGTCTTGTCACGACGTAGGAGCTTCCAGACTTCTGGAGCCGGCATCAACGTCTACCCTGATTTCGAATAAAACACAACCAGGAAGCAGCGAGTATGCCACAGATGTATCATTGGATCAAAAATGCACTTTCCACACTTTCACGGAGCAAGGCGGAATTTGGGGGAACAAATGTCAGCAACTGCCTAGTAGGCAGACGGCACCCTCGAAGTGACATTGACAGTTCGAGTCCTCGCGAGTTGCAACAGCATGGACCCTCCCACGGCGGCCGGAGGCAATGAAAAATTGGAGCTATTCTGATCTAAGAGGTCCAACGGCAGTGACGGTGGTGGTGCTACCGGTCAGTCGTAGTGTGCGAGATCGTCGGCGGTAAGAAGGATAGGAAACATGGACAGTCGTGAAGTGTTGCGAGCTGGAAATGAGGATCAGGCCAACTTGAAATGATTTGCCTCTTTCACTCGGATCTGCATGTGAACGGGTCTGGACTCAGTGGGCAATGACTCAAGACAGATTTGCTTAAGGCAATAAGACAAGCACAGACAAAAGACAATGAAAGCCAAAAATCTCTTTAATCCTTTCACGTGCATGGTCCATGATGCCCATCTCCTGGTCGCCAATGCAGACATCGAGACGTGTTCCAGATGACGAGCCACCTAGCGAGCTGTGATAACGAAAGAAGAGCAAATGCAAGCACTCGGCACACATGCCACAACATGCTCAAAAGACTGCCCATCCAAGAATAGTACGTCATTTGAAACTACGGGAGGCGAGCACTTCCCCTCGCCATCCAACGGTCTCTGCTTTCGTGATCATCTTCCGACAAAAGAGATGGTGTCGTGTGGATCTGCCACTTCTACTCTCGTTACAATGAGATAACATCGTGAACATATCGAGGCTATACCGCTGGCGCAATGAGCGGCTTCGGTTCCTCACGCAGCGATTTCCTACTTTGTCCTTAGAATGGGCTGGTTTGCAGCCGGATGTTGCACCGCCATAGCAGGTTTCATTCTTTACAGATTCCTTGTCCAGGATTTGGTGCATGGTGGTGACGGAGGCAAAGCGGCAGCGGAGCATAGCCACACGAGCGAGTCGCCGGTCAAGCTGCGAGGTCATGCTGATTCTACGTCAAAGTCGACTCACCCAGAACACCTCAACGACGACTCTCGCCTGAAAGCCTCGATCCCTCTAATGGAGGTAACCCAAACGGCCGACGCTTCTCTGAAGCCAGCGGCTGAGAAGTCCATACCAACAATTCCAGAGACGCCCAAGATATCTATGCCTCCTCCCCCTCCGCCGAAGCCGAGCAGATCGTCGAGCCCACCTCGTCTCAAGCCTCTCAATTCCGGCAAAGCTCTTGCAGCAACGCGCCCTGGACAAGACCCTATGCGACCTCGCCCATCAGGCGCCGCATCTCTACGTGTGCCGGTGACCAAGCCCCTTCTAAATGCCTCACTTGCGCCTACGTCATCCATAATGCCACCAGGAAAGCAAGTCTCTCGCAAGGTGATCCTTGAGCCCGGCCACTCCCCACTCGACTGGGCTGCTTTGACAAGCAATCCCAACCATCAGCTCCGAGGCAAAGATGCGCAAGGAGAGAATTTACTCCGGGTGACGCCTGCCCAGTTGAAAATGCAAAATGGCAGGAAAGGAAGAGATGCGTGGACGGTCTACCAGGGAAAAGTGTACAACATAACTCCTTACGTTCCCTACCATCCTGGAGGTGCTGGGGAAATCTTGCGAGGGGCTGGGAAAGACTCCGTCAAGCTGTTCATGGAAGTGCACCCTTGGGTCAATTGGGATGGCATGCTCAGCGAGTGTCTTGTGGGGATACTGGTTAGCGAAGAGCAGGAGGCAAACGACAAGATTGGGAGTCTGGACGAGATGGATTGACGTGCATCATGACTTTGCATCCACGGCGTGAAAATTGCTGGACGATACTGATATCCTCCGACAACTGAGAGTTCCTGGCCAGAGAATAGATCCAGAAGCATACGCGAAATGTTTTCGACGGAGCATGGCGCATCCCAGGAAGGCGCATTTTGTCCTTGACTGCCACAGAGCAGGTGAATACTCTGGCTTGTTATGGTTGGCCCGGGTTTTAGGGCTTGCAAAGCATTTCCCAGATACCCAGATACATCATAGATTTCACCATCAACAGCGAGTTGTTAGACAAATATCCAAATCCTGTGAACCGTCACTACTGGGCTCAGACCCTGGTGGATCTCCCTGTCCGACTTCCGGAATTGTTCCCTACCTGGGCGAAGCCAGTGTGCTTTCTTGTCATGTCATGGGCGGCCGGGAAATGCTCAACAGCGTTCATCCACAGCACGCGCCCAGGGCTAGCCTCACTGTTAAGGTGCGCCTGAGAAGTACATGAGCAGGTATTGATGGGAAGGTGCCATACTAACCTAATGTATGCCAATCGAGTGGGGGATATTGATACGAGTCAACAGGAGTTGGAGTCAAGAATCTCATGAGTCAGGCGGGGCTTCGACCTGGTGCGCTTCGCACCTTTTTCTGGACGCGCGATGTTGCGTTCAAGATTCTGCATACATCCGACTTCATGGGTAGTATCTCGACACCATTCGCGCCTATTTAGTCAGCGTCTAGGCAGTTCGAAGCCCTTTGAACTCGGCACATTTGTTACAATGTTTTAAGATGGCAGCTTTCGGCACAGTTCGCCGCCTTGTCAAAACCCCTTTGATTCGAAGCTCTCCATACAAAGCTGTGAGCATCGTAGCGGCAGCTACAAGGCGTTGCAGGAAATTTGGAGCCTCGTTCTCACGCCGGAGTCTCTACGACCTTCAAGTCAGGTGGTCATCAACCCTGCCTCCGACGCCCATATTTGAGGCAATCGCGAACCACGACCCAACCTCCTCTGCAATCATCCATGGAGCGTCGGGACGCAAATTCAGTTATGGCAGCTTGCTACATGACATCGTGGCAGGAAGGGATAGGCTGTCCGCACTGGCGGAGGGGAGGCCTCTGTCTGGGGAGAGGATAGCATTTCTTGCGGAAAATAGCTATGACTATGTAGGTGCGCGGAAAGTGGAATATTCAATACCGATACAATTGTTGACGCTGTCTTAAAAGTGACGTTCCTCTCAATCCTGTCTCACGACGCGATTGCTGTGCCTTTGGCACACTCACATCCCATTTTGGAGCTGCGGTATATCCTCGAAAACAGTGAAGCGTCACTGTTCCTCTCTACAGAGAAATTCCGGGAGAAAGCAAAGGAAGTCGTTAAAGATGGTCGCCACACGCCCAAGCTAAAGATCCTGTCGAAGGTGTATCAGGGAGCTGAAGAGCGAGAGGCTATCAGATTCAACTCGGGAACTCTTGAAAATGGTGGACTCATGCTCTATACTTCTGGAACCACCAACCGGCCGAAAGGCGTGGTCTTGTCCATGTCCAATATGACAGCCCAAGCACGGTCACTGGTCGCGGCGTGGAAATACTCCCCCTCCGACCTCCTCCTGCACGTTCTCCCTCTCCATCACATCCATGGCACAATCAATGCACTCTTCGTACCACTCATGGCGGGCAGTGCAATCGAGTTTGCATACCCTTTCAACCCAGATACCGTGTGGAAACGTCTCGCAATGCCATTCCTCCCTTCATCGTCACCCTCAGACGCACAGAGACGCCCTGTAACATTCCTCACGGCGGTCCCAACCATATACAACCGCCTACTGGCTACCCACCCCACCTTGCCACCAAAATTACAATCTGCGACACGCAAAGCAATATCCCCAAAGCACCTGCGGCTCAACATCTCGGGCTCTGCGGCCCTGCCAACTCCTATTAAACAAGCATGGACAAGCCTGTCAGGTGGAAACGTCCTGCTAGAGCGTTACGGAATGACCGAAGTCGGCATGGCTCTCTCCTGCGGCCTCGCGTTTGGGGATCGCGTTGACGGCAGCGTCGGCTGGCCCCTCCCAGGTGTGGACGTCCGGCTCGTCGACACGGAGACAAACACTATCATTCCATCAAGCGAGGAATTTCACAAAGACACTGGAAAGCCACGGGAAGGAGAAATCCAACTCCGTGGTCCCACCATTTTCAGAGAGTACTTCCGGAACCCGACCGCCACGGTCAAAGAATTTGTCGACCCGGATGATAAAGACACCAATAGAGAGAAATGGTTCAAGACAGGAGACATTGCGGTCCGTCGATCGATCCCGGGCGCGGGCCAGAGCGATCAGCCCTGGGCAAGGGGACCCATGTACTTCATCCTCGGGCGCCTCTCTGTTGACATAATCAAAGTCGGCGGTGAGAAAGTGTCTGCCCTTGAAATAGAGCGCGAGTTACTCTCCCTACCAGAAATATCGGAGGCAGCCGTGGTGGGATTGCCTGATGAAAAATGGGGCCAAAAGGTCGCGGCCGTGATAGTATTGAGCCAGAAGGGAAATCTGGGGAAAGAGGGAGGAAAGGATTGGGGAATTATGGATTTGAGAAGGGCGCTGAAGAACAGGTTGGCTATGCATAAGATGCCTGTCGAGGTTAGGGTCGTGCAGAGTATACCCAGGAATGCGATGGGAAAGATCAATAAGAAGGTATTGGTGAAGGATGTTTTTGGCTGAGGAGGAGAGCCGTCGAAAGCGGGTGAGTCCTCATGGTGGTCTGTGCCTTACGAAGAGGCAGTCACTGTCAAGGACTCAAGGGTGCATTTGGATCGGTCGTCCAAGTCGAGGAAGGTCCCGGGGATACAGTGCCCTGGCGCTAAGGACTTGTGGCAGAGGCGGACTACCTGCTACGACCCGTGATTCGGAGTCGGCACTTGAGAGTACCTCGCCGGTCGCCGTCGTCACTTCCAGCCTGGCCATCCCATCACAGTACCGCCTATTGTCTTCGGTCGATGCAGAGCGTTCAAAAGTCTCGGGACAGAAGATATGTACCCTTGATCACCTTACCTCCTGAGCCTTTTGGGATCCTGTACTTCTGTGCTTCGAATCTATCGACCGTTTCCCGCCAGCCATACGGCAAGACTGTCCACAGGTACGAAGTTGCCACAACTCGACGTTTGCTGCGATTGAAGGGGAAGACCTCGTGTGTGCGGACTTGCTCCTGAAAACGACATTCACGCTACGTCGTAGATCTCTGATCGATGATCTATCCGACCGATCGACCAATCAACCGACCAACCATTTTCGGGACTTGTTTCTTGAATCTCCATGCACACGCGCGTTCGAGGTGTGGGATTCTGCCCGGTGTTGGCTTTACTCTTGACGACGGGGCTCATTGGGACTGGACTGGACTGGACTTTTCTGGTGGGCTTGGGGATCCCGCACTGTAATAGGTAGGGGGATCACTGATTTGTTTGTGGCTTTTTTTTTGGTATAGCACTGCTCGAGGCTGAGAGGGTGAGAGGGAGAGAGGAAGGGAGGGAGGTGTGCGTGTCCGAGTCTCGAGATGGTGGTGGGATGTATTTTTGGCACTATCATTTTGGGTTGGGAGTGAGATTTCGCTGCTGGTGGTGCGTGATGAACCTAGCACTGGACCCTGGGGTTTTACTATGTATCTGTGTTCACGCAAGGTAGGATTTAGGTGAAAGTGGTAATTGACTGGAGATTCAAGAGTCAAGACGGGTCTGGGATTCTCAATCGCCGTGCAGTCCGCATCTTGCCGACGGAGAAGCACGATTGATTGCATGTAGGGGCTCCCGTAGCCATAGACTCGCATGGCGATGGGCTCGCCTGCGCGTTGTCATTGACGACTTGCTCTCAGCTTTGAGTGCCACTCTGTTCTTAAACACGTAATCACCATTCATTCGTCACCGGCATCCCATCGCGATCGTGATCGTGATCGCATTTGCAGCCCCTGCAATCTACACGTCCAAAACCTCAAACCTCACGCACAACGAACAACGCGTCTCCCGTCCTTTCAGGTCCAGCATGCGAATGAAACTCCACCCCTCCACCGCGTACGATAGCCTCACCGCCGAGACCACCAGAATGGGATTCCTCGCGAAGGCGTCATCGCTCTTGATCAACAGTCGGAGAAATACCAATTCGTTGTCGTCGTACTCCCACTCGAGAACTTCGTCCCAGATGGGATCCGTAGCCGCGGAACTCGCCCACTTGTGCACGAGACCGAGTTTGTGCTGTTTGTAGTGCCCGGTCTTGCGCTTGGGGATGTCGTCGTCGGTCAGGAAATCGGGGTGGTATAGCGTGCACGTGAGGTAGGGTTTGATGTCGTCTGCTTCGCGGCCCTCGGGCACGGGGACGTCGCACGCTCCTCCCACATGCAGGCGCAATCTTTTCCGACGGCCCGTGTTGAGGACGCCGTTCCCACCGGCCCTCAACGCGGCGGGTTTCAAAACAAAGCCGTCCGAGCCGCTGAAGAGGGCCTCGTTGAGCTGGATGCTTGCCCCGAAGGTTTGCCAGTTGAGGGCGCAGACTTGCGCGCCGATGCCCCAGAATGCGACCGGTTTAAGGTTGCGTGACGAAATGCGCGTGCCCTTAGGGTATACGCGCATCAAGTGGACGGCGTTGTGGCGGGCGATCTTGTGAGACTCGGCCGGCAGGTGCGTCAGGAGGCCCGTCTCGGACATGTTGATGAGGTGGTGGTGCGGTGCGTCTTTCAGCCCGTCTTCGGTGAACCAGGAGTTGTCGCGAGGCTTCACGGACTGAGCGTAGACGCCGAGCTCGGCGAGTTCGGGGACGATGATCGTGGGCGCTGCCTTTTTCTTCTCGTTGTAGGCTTTTCGGGCCTGTGCTGTCTCTTCGTCGTCATCGGAGGAGGTGTCGTCCTCGTTCTCGTCCTCGTCCTTTGGTTCGCTCGGGAAGTGGTACTCGACGATCACGACAATCTTAGAGCCAAGTTCTTCGAGCGTGACCTGTTCGCCTGTGCCTTGTTGCTCGTCGTGGCCTTTCTGGCGGACTGCTTTGCTTAACAGGCGGTCACCCCACACCTCTTTCATGATCTCGACGAGACGTTGCTGGCCATGTGCGTCACAGTGGTTCTCTAGTGACAATAGAACCGGAGCTGCTCGATGTCCTGGCCGAGACTTAGACTGGGCGGCTTCCTCGTCAACAACGTCACGGATCGTCTCACATACTGCGCGGAACGGGACGTTAGAGACGAGCGTGTATCCGTGCGTGACCTTCGGTTCGTCCTTGTTGTCTTCGTCGTCCCAGGCGTCAATTTCAACGCAGCGAGATCCGGTTCTCAATGCTGTCTTGTATGCATCAGCCGACGAAGTGCCGTATAGTTGGTGAGCGAGCAGGTACGTGTTATGGCTTGAACTGATGAAATACTCGGGCAGGGGATGTGATCTGTCGGTAACGTATGACGGAACATTGATGTGGTCTTTGTTGACAAGATCGTGTAGCGGTTCGGTCATTTCAGAGGGATTCTCCAGGCCGGCTTCCTTCTCAGATAGAACGTCCTTGCTCACGAGGAACTCCCTGAGCGCCGAGCTGACTCGCAGTTGGTGCTTAGTCACCTCGGTCTCAAGGGCAGCGTGCCCGCCGCCGGCGACAGTTGAGGCGTCAATCACGTCACCGGCGTCTTCATCATCAATCTTGCGCGATGGCTTCGAGGCAAATGGGTTCAGCTTCGCCATGCGCGCGTTGAGAGAAGTCATCCTGACCGGAGCTTGGGGGGCAGTATCAGAACAAAGAGTCCGAGCCTCCAGACAAAGCTGGGGAGTCTAGATGGTGTCTAATTGCAAGCTGCTACTTACCTCAGGTGTCTGAGATTTGATGAGGTCCTTTTCCAATGTGCTGTGTAGTTACTTGGTGACGCGGCAGGAAGGGCAAAGGCAGCGGGAAAGCTTGGCCTAGGTAAGCCCAGGAACTGAAGATGTTAAGGCCTCCCTTTGATATAGGCTGAAAGATTGCAGGTCTCTGTGTCCTTATCGAGCTTTTTACTTACAAAATGGAGCACACTGTTCGGTCTATTGAAGCTCAAGAAGGGATCAACGTGACGGCGAGACCGAAACACGTGGACTACCTGTCGCCAACATGTCGTACGCCCAAGCCGAGCACAGAGTACACGCGCAGTATTTGGCTCTCCATCAAACCGGCACCGTGATACCTGCAAATTCTGGCATCGACTCTTTGAACCTGGTCCTGCTTCTTGGGTGGCTACTGGCGTGTCTTTCGATGTCAGAATCGATCTACAGATGGAGTCGCGTGCCAGTCTTTGCAGGCATTGTCATCAGCTCAGCATGGAACCTCTACCACGTCCGCTCGATTGGCGTGGTGGGCAGCATCGGCGTCGGTCTAAACTCTGCGCTCTTTACGATACTCGCCGTCAACTTCGTGCTTTTGTACGACCCTAGAAAGTTCAAAAGGCTGGTTCTGCGCCCGACTGGCCAAGCCCCAAACACAGCCGAGCCTGTCGACCTGAAATCAAACCGTACTCCTGGCAGGCTAGACTCGGGTGTTCCTCTCGCCTGGGAGTCTATGCCGAAATCGCTGCCACGACGGCTCTTCTGGGTTCTTGACCTCGTTACCAGCATGCGCGGCATTCACTGGTCCTGGAATCCTTCGCCTTCACCACCATACTCTCAATCACTCAGGGTCGCACGTTCAGACCGAAGTGCTACAATCTTCCGTAGCTTGTCGCGGTTCCTCATTGACTACTTCTTCATTGACTTGGTCAAATGTCTCATGATCGCAGACCCGTACTTTTTCGGCTCTAACATGCAAGAGGTCTCACCTCGTCTGCCAGTGTTTGGCACATCTCCGCTCGCCCTTTCCTCCTACCGCTTGTTACTCGGATTGACGGGCGCATACCTCGCCATCGACCTTCAATATACCGCCACGGTCCTAGTACAAGTAAACATTCTCGGGCCGAGCGTGCTGGGCTTGAAGGCGTCCCCTGTCTTGTTTCCGCCAATCTGGGGTAGCCCGCGCGCTGTATTGCGGAAGGGACTGAGGGGCTTCTGGGGAGAAACATGGCATCAGATGTTCAGGATGCACTTCGCAAGCATTGGTAACGCTTGTGCGGATTACCTGCTGCGGCACAAAAGTCCCAAGTCGTCGAAACCGCCATCAGCCAAGCGCTGGATCCGGGTTGTGGTTGTCTTCTTGCTCAGTGGGATATTGCACGCATGCGCAAGCTATACACTTCTAGGGCCGACAAGACCTTGGAGGTCTTTCTTGTTCTTCGCACTTCAGCCGGCGGGTATGGCGGCTCAGAGTCTCTATTCTCAACTTTTCAGTCGGTCATGGCTGGAGCGCATGCTGGGAAGAGCGGGAACAGTAGTGCGTCAGACTGGGAATCTGACCTTTACGATCTTGTGGTTTTGGGCAACTGGTGGTCTGTTGTTGGAGGACTTGAGCAGCGGTGGCATGTGGATGTTCGAACCGGTGCCAATCAGTATCCTTCGCGGATTGGGTTTCAGCGAAGACAGGAGATTTTGGTGCTGGTAGCTGATTCTAAGAGAGGTTTGCTGCGTTCATCTGATGTCTGTGTTCATGAGCGCAAGGTGCGTCGTTCCTCCACTCTCGCCTTATAATGCGTGCAGCACGACACATGAAAACCGGAGTTGATGCTTCCGCAGCTTTCGAAGGGAGCATGCCAGAGTTGAAAGATTGTGCAACAACGGGTTGGGAACGTCAACTCATGCCAATCCATCGTTTTGTTAACGCGGTCAGGCACGCACAGCACAATGGGTACTCGTGGAGTCGTCCTAGGCGTCTTGCTTCTACGGTTCCCCGGCATTTGATTCACCGTGGCTTTTGCAGCTCTGGTTTAATGCGTCTTCTTACAACCGACCCGCGCCGTCGAGTCTTGATTTGCTCCCATCCTCTATCGCAGTCTTTCACCATGAACCGAACCTCTGGTTTCTCGTCTCGATGAAACCTCTTGCAAGATTGAGTAACAGCAGAAGTCGTGCTCCGAACGATGCTGGAATCAATGTTTCAGCCCCAGTTCAGCGACCGCACATGCTGCCTGGTTGCCTGCCGACAGGGATCGTCAAGCACTTCATTGGCGGATGAGATGATGCCTGAGGCTTGGAAGCCAAATATCAATTCAGTCTCACCACCACGACCTTCATCATTCCAAGACTGCAGCTCCTACCCGATGCTTGCTTGACCTTTCCTGCGAGATGGACCCCTTGTCGGCCCTTGCTTTATCCTGCAACATCCTCGACGTGGTGACAGCCGCTGGAAAGACCTGCACCTTCCTCTACGAAGTGCACAAGGCGGGCACATTCCCAAACCACGATGAATTAGTTTCAACCACGAACATGCTCGACAAAAGCGTCCAAGCTTTGACACATCAACTTTCGAATGCACATGGTACGAGCCAAACGTGCCAGGCGGATGACAAAGACCTGCTTGACGTATTGCAGAAAGCTCGAAGGCTTGCTTCTGATTTACAGAACAAACTCGACACTCTAAAGTTACAGACCACAGACTCCCGAAGCAAGCGCTTCGAAAAGCTCATAAAGACTGCGCTGCAAAAGGGCAAAATCTACGACCTTCAGCGAAGATGGGAAGAACTCCGCAAGGCTTTCGATTCCGCCTTGCTCGTACGCCTGACGTAAGTCTGGTCAGTGGTTCATTCAATATCATCTATCGGTCTACGATCATCCGAGCTTGAAATGTGATCAACAACCGCAAATGAAACAGGGTCGGAAGGCCATCATATCTACTCCGGCCAACTCGTCTTTCGCGGCCATTGTCTCTTGAACGTCGGTACCTGTGGCGACTGTAACGGGTTGCTTGAATGTCTACTGATCTGAGTGGTCTAGTATTGTATCAGAGAAGACTGCGATGACCACGAACGACAGGTTCGACGACCTGGCGCGACAGCTCACCCAGGGACTCTCCCACCTGAATACTATCAATGCCGAGGCAAAGCACGATAGCGACAAGACTCGTCTTGCAATAATTGACGCTGCAGAATCAATTCGCGCCAAGGTGGCCGTTGAGGTGGAGGCAGGTCGACACCACACAAGTCACGAAGTCGCAAAAGGTCGAGCAGTATCCAAGGCCGAGGCGCAAAAGACCAGGCAACACATTACGATTGAATCCACCTCCAATCGAGCGGAACTTCGTAACGCTCATCGATCGACCGTTGGACATGTCGGTCGCCGCATCGACCTCGCACACCAGAAAACGAGAGCTCACCTTCAAAATAGGCTAGAGTCCATGCAAAAGAAGGATTTGGACGAGAGGACAAGGTTGCACTTCATCAACAGTTTCAGAGTTCCAGAACTGAATGAGCGGCGCCACCAAATATCGGAAGCTCACACCGGCACGTATGAATGGATCTTTGCTGAAAACCTGGAGACACAATACCCGGCGACAACAGGCATCAGGAGATCCTGGGACAGCTTCACTGACTGGCTCCTGTCATCGTCACCAATGTATTGGATTCACAGCAAAGCTGGGAGCGGGAAATCAACGTTGATGCGTTTCATGTCCAAGCATGAGAAGACTCGGGAACTGTTAGACAAATGGGCGAGGCCATGGACGACGATCGTCCTGACTTGGTATTTCTGGAACTCAGGGAGTCAGGCCCAGCGAAGTCTGAAGGGCGCTCTTTGTGCACTACTATTTCAGCTCCTGTCTAGCCACCCTGACATTGCGACCGATATCCTGAGGAACGAACCTCATCTCAGTCGTCGAGATACTGTAGCAGACTGGTCTCAAGCGGACCTAATCAACCTGGCCTCCAACATGTTCTCATCTTTTAGTGGGCACATCGCTGTGTTCCTTGACGGACTCGACGAGTTTGACAGGGACGAGGATGTCAAGGCATTGTTCGATCTGCTGCACTCCCTCACCAAAACGTCTAGGGTCAAAATCTGCTTCTCAAGCCGACCAGAACGGCGATTGGAGCTCGAGCTGGGCCACCTTCCACAGCTACGACTACAAGACATGACATCTCATGATATGAGACATTACATCACCAATAGATTGCGCCCAGCATTTCCACATTGGAGCTACACAGGATTCGACAGCTTTGTTGAGAAAATAGTGCACAAGGCCGACGGAGTATTTTTGTGGGTATATCTCGTCACAAAGAACCTCCAACAAGGCTCATTACACTCAGACAGCTATGGTGTTCTGATGGAACGGTTAGAACTCCTGCCCGCGAAGATGGAGACTCTGTACGAGCATATGTGGCGATCACTCAATGGAGACGAAGACTTGCCGACCTATCGTAGGCAAGCCGCACTCTTTTTCAGCTTTCACGCCCATTTCCCCCTATCATTGCTCCATTTTGTACTTGCTACGGATGAAGATCTGTGCGCCCTGGCATCCGATATGACGCAGGCTGGTATCTTTACCATCAAGCTCCACAAGGCATGGCTCCGGATGAATTCCTTGTTGCAGACTCGGTGCGCTGGGCTACTCGAAATAGGAGGCATCAATCCACGACTAGCGCCTTGGGTTTATAGGCAAAGCGAAGCAGACTTGAACCTTTCGACAGCAGCATTCGAGACAGACTCCAACGATATTGATCAGATTTTCCGATTATCGCGGGCTCTCCAATGCCGAGGAAGGGTGCAGTTCTTTCATCGTACTGCAAGAGACTTTCTGCTGGATAAACCTGTAGGGCAAGAGCTCATGAAACGGTACACCTTGTCCACACAAGATGTGGCTGAGAGACTGTTAAAGGCCGATTTGGCAACGCGACTCTCCGGCATGTATCATCCTTCAGATTTTGAAGATACTGAATCCTGGCGCGGGTTCGAGTGGGATAAGCTGACTCAAATGCTCAGGCTGATAGGGAATCTAGATAAAAGTGGTGCAGACGAAAAAGTTGCGGAGTTTCAGTACAAGCTGTTGCAGCTTATCGACACTACATACCGCCAGGAATTGATGCCCAAATGGCACAACTTCGTTGATCCGGTCAGCCGACACAATTGGTACCTGGCGATAGTCTTCGGATTCGATTCGCCGGATCTATGGGGGTTGGTGATGTGTTGTATCTCGTCAAGCACCCTCACTACAGTGATACTACACAACGGCCCGGACGATAAAGAGTTTGCAACTTACCTTCTCCACGAGTTGTGTCGAAAGCCACAGTTTATGCAAGCAGACCTCTGGTCAGTACGAGTCTTGCTTAATACCGGTGCCTATCCAAATGCAATCGGTGGGTTCAGTCCCAAGGATTGCACCCGGAGAAGTCCATGGCAGCAGTTTGTGCTACGCTTCATGGAGCTTGAGCAAGGAAAAACTGCCGAGTCAAGAGACCAGGCCATGCAAGGGCAAACCGTCGCAACAGTCAGAAGCTTTCTGCACCACGGGGCTGATCTGACCGAGTGTTCAGTGGTTGTGAGGAGTTGGGATAGGATGAGGTATCTCGAGACTCTCAGCAGTATCCAAGGATACCCCCTAGACATATTTGCATGCGATGTCATCCGTGATGGAGATGTCCTGTCTATCGTCAACGGGGCATACCTGCTACGCCAATTACATTTGACGATTCCAGATGCCTGCAGAGAGGGGAAACTCGAAGAATTCACTGCACTGGTTGGTGTAGCCCCATTGCGTCAAAATTTGGCCATAGCGGGCTTCGGCACGACGCTCTATCGGCTCTCGTCGGATCATCCAGATCCGATCCAGGAAACGATTGCCGCTACGCGTAGTGGCAGACGGGACCAAGAGAGCGTAGCATCGACACTTGCGCCCCAGTTCTTTCAATCACACCGACAAGTGCAGTTGTCGGTTCTGCTGGGAGAGCAGGCATGTGCGCCAGTGGTCAAGGCCAAGATCGAGGATGGGCAAAGCTGGAGCGTCAGCTTGAAGTGGTCCTATCGGCATCAGGCGGCAAGGCAGACACTGCACGTCCTGTATAAATGTTCCCTAACCTGTAAGGAACAAGGTGCGTTTGCTGTGCTCCATTGCTGACGACATGCACAGTACTTAACGGTGCGGCGCTCCCACGAATCATCGATAAAGCCCTCTTGCACCTTTCGACCTTTCAAAATCATTTCGGCTTGTTGGCTGAATCTACTTTAACCAAGCACCGACTCGAGGCGGCAGAAGAATCGTTTTGGCCCAAGTTGTGCCTGATGTATGATGAACGTCGGTGTAGATATGAAGGCTCGCAATTCTTGCTCAAACAGCTCGACGCAGACTTCCATGACCTGGCCACTATGTTAAGGTCACATGGGTTCAAGAACCTGGGCTTCACAGGGACACAGTTCGCGTTGGACAACGAAGGTCGCCGGATACCTTGGTGTTCCGAAGAGCCTCTAGCGTCCGATGACTCTTCGGAGGCCACAAATCCTGAGCAAGGAAGCGTGTAAGGAGATCATTCAGGCAGGCACACATGACGCAGCAGCGGCATGGGGAAGATTCTTGCGACCGGTGATTAGGGTTCTATTTGCTGCTCAGGCGTGGCGCATCCGGTGGACGTCCTCGTCTGCGCTCAGTATTGTGTCCGGAAGGAGAGTCGTCTCTCCTGCTTAGGTAGCCCATCATCTCGGACGGAAAAGGATGAAATAGGTTCGATTGTGCTCGACGTTCAGATCTCACCAAGGTCTCATACACACGTATCCTGCTTTTTGTTTTTGACTAGCAGTTAGCTTCAGCCTTCCCTACTTTTTGGTGCCCCTTTCTTTGCTGTTCGTTTCGCCCGAATATTCCACCGAAAATCATCCGTCTCCGTGTTCCGCCGAACCACACAACTTCGTACCCTGTCTCGCCTGTCAACAGTAGACACCTACCTGTATCCTCCTTCCTACACTCTACAGCCTACGTCCCCGGTGCCTTGCTTCTCCACACCATCCAAATGAGCCGGTATGTGACCGTTGGAGTCGCAATCCGTCGCACATTCAGCCCAAGAATCAGAATGGCAAGCACATCAAGCACGCCCATAGAGGACACGATCCGGAAAAAGGTACGTCTTGATTGTCCGCATCATGAGCGCACGTCTTTTTGAGACACGAGAGCGGAAAACCTGCCTCTTCCTTTTAGAAGACGCAGCAGGTATACTTGATCTGAGGACGCACATTCGAGGACCTCTGCCCCTTCTATCAAGTGGCGTATCAGCTATGTCTGATCTGGGAGGCCAATAGTCGAGAGACCCAGCAAAGGAGTCAAGACAGAGGAGTGAAGAGTCGAAAGTCGAGAATTAATATTCGCGTCGTCCGGGATGGAGCTCTCATCGCGTCTGAAGAAACGCCTCTTGACATAGCGTTCTTCGGCATTGAGCGAGTACTCGGGGATTGGGGACGTGATTGCGAGAGAATGCTATTCTAACGCACGTCCTCAACCTAGGTCACCGACGCGCTCACCCCGACGCAACTCACGATCCGAAACGACTCACACCTCCATTCTCATCATAAAGCCATGGTGGGGTCGACGTCGAGGGAGACGCATTTCTAGTGAGTGTCTTGAGCTTTCCTTTCCAGCTCAGCCTAGCTGTCCTCCCTGACGCAACTGCCGCGTCGAAGATGGATGGGTTGATGCAAAGGGGTGGTTTCTCCGTCCCACTCGTTTCGCAACAACCCACGAGCCCAGGCCGCCGGGATTCTCGCGTCTTGCCTCTCCCCAATCACACCATGCGCGTATGCATAGCAGAGCCTTGCTCAACATACCCAACCTACCCTACACACCCACTCGTTTCCTATCGATTTTGCCTTGCCCTTCTCTGACTTCGAAATATCAAGTCTGGGTGGCGGACTAACACGGCAAACCAACATAGCCTAGACATCACGTCCCCGTCCTTCACTGCCAAGCCGCAACCCGCGCGCCATCGCATGGTCTACGCGCTCCTCAAGGACGAACTGGACCGCGAAGGCGGTATTCACGCGCTACAACTACGCACCAAGACGCCCGAGGAGGTGGAACGGGAGAGAGCGCGGAGTTCTTGAGGCTTAGGCTGGGTCGGAGCGCCGTGAAAGACCGACCGACCGGAACAGAAGCAGGCTGCCCTTGCGAAGTTCGCCTTGTATCTGTGCTGAGGTTCACACTCTATCTCTGCGGTAGCTTGCTTGGAGGAAGGGAACGCTTTATACCGAAAGGGCCACCGCTCAGCTGACACTCTATTGTGTCGGATTTGGATAACACACGTGGAGTATGCGAGAGCCGTAGAATACGGTATGTACTACTCCGTACTTCCTGCAGAAACGCATCTCTGGCCTGCGAGTTATCTGTCGACATGCCCTTTTACACCGTGCCTCTCGGATCGCCATCGTCCTCAAACTGGCTCTAAACGTTGGTGCATTCTGTTCTTTCGGTTCAGATTAGCTTGCTCGGCCTTTTACTCTGTGTGTAAACCGTCACATTTTGCTCAGCAAAGTCCTACGTGAGTCGTAAGGGAGTAATCTCAAAATGGTGCAATATTGTGAAGGATTATACGCGTATAAGTGCTTGTATCTAAAGTGGGCCTTGATGCTGTACATGGAGTCACGCAACCAACCCATGAGCCATCCCAGCCACATCTGTCCAAGAGTGAACAGTCAGTATCAAAACAAAAGGAAACGCTATGCGCCGGCTTTTCTGGACATATGAGATTTCCCCCTTCCTTGCCGCCTGTCCCAGGCGGACCGACCTCCGCGAATTTAGGGAACCCCACGGCGGGAGCGGCTGCGGCACCTGCGTCCGGAAAAGAGAAGTATGCGTAGTCTGGTCTGCTTCGCCTCACCTTTGTCTCTTGAAATCGGTCAGGGACCGCCCCACGGATACTGAAATATAACCGCCACATCCAAGGGGAGCGGAACTCGGTGGCACAGAGAGGGTGCGTTTTGTAGTTCGATTTGACGGAAGATCACTGTTGCCGCCGGATTTCTATTTCGTGACTTCGACGACCACAACGACGACCACCACAATAATGATGATGATAAGAACTAGATGGTTATTAGTATACCAACGCCGCCAGAAGGAAACCCACGACACTCACCAACTATACCCAAGCACATCCACTTCTTGCGACGAGCAGCGCGCGCCTTGACAACTGCGCCCTCGAGCTCAGTGTTGGCTTTGGCGACGTGCTCCGTGACCTCCTCTCCTCGCTGTTCGATTTGTGTGACTGCAGGCTCTTGTTGCACCACCAATGCTTCGAGGTCCTGGAACAGCTGGGCCAGCTCAATCATCTGTCGCTCAATCTTCTGGATATCTTCGTGACGTTGAGAGACGTTCCTTGCGACAGTTTGTGCTTCACCACGACGATCGCTCTGAATCAGTGCAGAAGAGAAGATTTGCTGGTTGTTAGGGTCCTCGACGGCTTCGCGGACTTCAGCATCTGACGCGTCGGGGCGGACGATTCGATACTGTCTGGCCATCTGGTCTTGGGATGCCTTTCGAAATTCTCGCTCGACTTGCTGATACTGATTGATGGCCGTCTTGAGTCTCCGGTCGACCTTGCCGACTTGAGGGGCGTTGCGAGGGTTACCGGATTCCGGTTGCTGCTTGATGTTCTTCACGCGGCTGACCAGACCCCTGTATTTTGTCATGATATTTTCACCGGTTCTGTCCACCTCCAAGCGTAGGGGCGACTGAGCGGAGGTGTTGGTGTCGGCCAGATACCGTGATTGGAGGCCCTTTAGGCGCTGGAGGTCTGCTTCGATCTCGTCAATGGCTTGGTCGACAGCTCGACATTCGTTCAGGATGCGGTTCGGGTCGGCGCCGTTCATGTTGGTCATTTCTGGAGCGGGTTAGCAGATGCGCACATCTCTGCGACGTTGTGGGTGTATGTACCATAACCGCCTTGCCGTTGGTTATCTTGAGCATAGTAACTGCTGCCCTGTGGGGTAGGCTCAGGTCGGTCGTTGTAAGCCCCTTGATTGCCATAGTTGCCGCCCTCGTAGCGTTGATCATAGGGGTTGCCCGATTCTCCGTAGGGATTGTAATTGCCGTAGCCCTGGTTGCCCTGATTGTACTGCGATGTCTGTCAGCGGCTGCTCAAAATGCGGGTGCGGCGGAATAGCTGTGGTCCTCAATGAGAACGCGTTTCAGGAGGTAGGAGGTACGCTCAACGACCGAGACGAGCTTCCTGGGGAACCGAGAGAACCTACACTCATGATGACAGCAAGCTGAGACGAATATTATAGTATGTTGATTGAAAACCGAGGGACAGGAGACAATTCCTGGAAAGGGTAACAAGGTCCAATCCACTGGGCTGGATATCGACAATGTTGACGCGCACTTCGATCGAGTGCGCGATCACAGTTGTGGAAAGAAATGCAAGAAAAGGAATTGAAGAACAGGATGGGTTCTAAGCAGCTGAAGAGAAACGGTGCTGAAAGAAGAAAGGACTTTGGCGTTTGCTAAGAAAGAAGTGAAGGCGGGCTGAGTGATCAGATCAGCTCGGGACGGAGTTGGGAAGCAGCGTAGCGTAGCGGGCGGCGGCGCTACTCGCGAGAGACGCTGTGGGCCCTATGCAGAAATCTAGGGGCCTTCCAGGCCTCACGCATAATGTCTGGGCAGCTTTTCCATGCCGCAGCTATTTCAATATACCTGGGGCAGCGCCTGAACAACGATTGGTGGCACGATTTGGAGAATAATGGCTGTGCACTTGGTTCCTCGTACACACATACATAGCAGGCACCAAACCCGCAGCAGGTCACGTCTGCAGGCAGCTTTCGAAAAGAGCAAGGTCATGTCACTGCCCAGAGACTTTATCGACGTCGTGCATAGCACCCTCACGTTCATCGAGCCAGACGCTCATGCAAGTCAGCGCTTGTCCACTTTCTGCCTTACCCTTTCCGACATGGCCGGCTGAGATAATTTAATGGAACGCTCAACAGCCTGTAACCACTCCTGACAAAACCTGTCCCGCTAGAGGCTTGGATGGGCTCCCACACCCAATCATCCACTTTCAATCTTATTTAGCACGTCTAACACCTTCACTCACCAGTGATGCCGAATATGCTTCAGCCATGCGATGATATGCTTGTGAGATCGTCACACTAGATATCGTTTCAGCAGCTGCAGTGTTTTGCCCATGTCAACCAAATGTCACGGCTCCCAGCCCCATCCCAATGTTGATGAATATACATTCATAGACACATATTATTGAGAATAGCTTCGACACGTCTGTGTTGCAAGATAGAATGCGGAGCTCGCGAGCGGCGTCGACTCGCGTGCAGCTTGAGGCTTCTGTCATAGGCACCAATGTTCTTTATCGAAGCTGGCTGAAATCGCCCTCGACACTGGATACGACCTTCGAATCAAGCAGTTCGACGGCGCGAATAATCCCCGAGCTACGACAGCCTCATCCGGCGCCTCCCCACGAAAGTCAAAGACCCTCGATTCCCCACCGACTTGCCAGGGGCTGCAAGGCTGCGACAGTCCATCAGACATGGTCGGCCCGATCTGTCACCATCTCTTCGCTTCATCACCTTCTTTCCAAACGTGTTCTGTGTAGCCAAGCCTCTGCTTGACATCTTGCACAGTTGCTGAATCCCCTGTGTTCTTTCCGATGTTGTCCGAGATTTTGATCGCCGGTCTCCCACCGGCCTTCGAGAGTTTAATGACAATATTGAGTGGTTTTGACTTGGTCTGAGGGTCGGTCCTTCTGTGGTAGTCATTCGTGAAGAATGTTCCCACGCCGAAAGAAGGCTTGAAACCATAATCTTCTGCCAGTTTCCTGTACTCTATGCACTTGTCGACGTTGAGCGCGTCTGAGAATACGATACTCTTCCCAGTCACCCCGATGGACTTGTAGAAGTCGTCGGCATCCTTGACATACTGTTTCGGATCACCAGAATCTTGCCTAATTCCTGCAAACACTTCAGCGTATGTAGGCTGCGTATCCGTCGGATCGCCTTCGTCGGTGTATCCCATTGCTGAGTCCTGCGAGGCTGAAGTTCGGGCAGGCACCTTTTTCTTGAATGCTTTGAAGAAGTCTGCTGTGCCGAATGTGTCGGTGAGAGCTATGCCCAGGACCCCCCTGCCGAAGGCGTCGAGCCAATATCGCAATCCGTTTTCATTTGCATGCTCATAGTCATTGGTAAGCGCAGCAATACCCATGTACCACTCATGGGCTACCGTTCCAACCGGTGGAATGCCATGTTTCATTGCAAAGTACACATTGCTTGTACCCGACAGCTTTCCAGGAAGGTCGTTCTCGTTTGATGCTCTTACCAGTCCCTTGATAACAAGATCCTGAGTGTGAAAGTCCCGTCTCCGTCTAGATCCGAACTCCGACACACCGCAGCCTGCGCTGAACAATTGTACACCCTTCTCATACGCTTGCTCTTCTTGTCCGTCATAATCCCAGTCTCTGTCAATGAACTTGAAGTATGCTTCGCTCGTCAAGGCAAGAAGAGGGATCTCGTATAACATGGTCTCGATCCACAGGCCAGTAACAATGATGTCCAGATCACCGGTTTCACTGTCATCGATTGGATTGAACATGAGCTGGACTTGCTCCTCGGGCCGCAATTGGAACTTCTGGAGATAGTCTAGGTAGTCCGCGCTCAGGTATGGGCAATGGTTTCGCAAAAACTGCAACTCTTGCTGCTCAAGTCTAATATTCGCCAGCTTGCGGACCTGCTCTTCCAGCCATACAAAGGCATCTCGGTTCAAGCGCATCTGAGGAGTGCGGTTCGTGAATTTGTACTCGACATCGACGGAGGGGAAGTACTTCAGGACCGCGCACTGCATAGTCAGCTTGTACAGGTCAGTGTCGAGGAACGAGGAGACACCCTCGGGCAGCTTGGGTTGTGCCATCGTAAGCACGAGATCAACTTCAGGTCAACCTGAGATCACAGTCGGAATAGGAACAAGAAGCTGCAACCAAGTCTGTGCATTCTTTTATGCTAATCCCGAGTGATTCACGCTAGCCGTCGCACAGGATCATTCACTTTGTGTACCTGAGTGACGGCGGCTATGACAGCCATGACAGCGAGTCTGTGATATCTCACTTTGCGGGCAAGACCGCCAGGCGTGAATGACATAATTTGGCACATCGCTTCATGGCTCCAACGTGGCCACCCAATGGCCGAAATTAACCCGTACTCAGTTCACCTTCTGCTCACCTTCACCACAACTTGACTTGACAAGATATCGACCACAGCCATTGTGAAATAAAATCAGCAAATATGAAAGATGGCGGGAAACCCAGCGCTCGACCAAATTGGCACGTGGCGTTCGACCCAATACACGCGGCACATAATTGGGGATTTCACAGATTGAGTCCATCCTCGCGCATACCTCTTTCAAGAGGCCCTTCGTCAGTTGGTGGCCGACTACCGTGAGTAACGTCTCTGCCGCACGCCCCCGGACCGAGGAGGCTGGGTCGAGAGCCAGGAACTTGGCCGGACGGGCTACTATCATTGTTCGCGCCTTTACCTCTCTTGCTCCCTGTTGGCCAGTGTGGTCGCCATTCGCCCTGTTGTGGAGTCGTTCAGTGAAGTGAAAGAAGCGAAACCTGGTCCGCTGCGTGCAGAACCCACAGAACGGGATACGATGTCGAACTTCCGCATTAGATGAGATCGTCACGTCGATTGTACTGCGCTGATAAGGCCCAGTGAGGCACTCAAAAAGGCGTTCTCTTTGACCACGTAAACGACAGAATCTTTAGCGTTTTGTGTAAGTGCGGTTACATTCTTTCGGCCGGTGGTAACACATGAATACGTCGTTCTGATGGAGGGCCAATCAAGCTTTGGCAGAGGCGTTTGGGTCACGCAAGGCAGTGGTATTGCCGCAGGACAAAAACACCACATGGCGTTCAGCTTCTGTCGGGGTACTTCGTACGTGCTCGTACTACAATCGACTTCCAATCTCATCCCAAGGCCACCAATGAAACGGCCGCTCCATTAGATCACAATTTTCTCACTTCCGGTTTGGGCGAGCCGGTCCTCGAGAGATGCCTTCGAATTAGCAATGTATCGACAGCAAACGAGCGGAGCCCATTTCGCACATGGGAACTGTGATAACCCTGCCTGTAAAGCTTCTACCGTCAGAGCCGCGTCCAGCACATCAGATAGACTGGCTCCTTCTGTCAAGGTGGGGCTGTGCCTGCATTCTACATGAGCGGGCAGGGTTAGTCTCCATGGCAAAGGTTGTTGACAGTCAGCAGTTGGGTTTCAGTAGCCGTGCCTGAATCCTGACTACTGTCTGCGCCTGGTGCGAGTAAGCTGCACGCCGACAATCGACCTGATGAGGATCGACATCAACTCCAGAATCAGGTGAGAATCACCGTGGTTGCGCAATGATGTCTTCTCCTCCCAAGGCCCCGCGCCCATTGCACACTGGTCGATACTTCCGGGCGGCAGGTCAGTATGCGGGATGCGAAACTTCCGTTCGGGTGGGTGCATTGGTCGTTGCACAGGCAAATGCGGTGAGAGTGGCGCGGTTGCATTTGGTGTAACAATAATTTTCAAATTGACCGGAAACCTGCATTCCCTAACTTGCTAAGTGCCAACCCCGGGGTGGTAACACGGACTCACTGCACCTGCCATATTGCATCTGTCGTGACAGATTGCCGTGGAATAGGAGGCGGCGAAGCTACAGTAGCCGGATGTAGGTTTTATCTTGCGTGCTTCCTGCGGCTGGGTAACTTTTCTGATTGAGGTGCGGAAGGCACAACACGGTGCCGACGGGGTTTTAGACTGTTTGATGTCTGCATGTAATAGAAGACACAGTAATAATCAGCCAGCTTCGTCGTCGGTGCCCCGTCAATCCAGTGAGATATGTGTCACGCCTCATTGCGCACCGACGCCCCAGAGCTCCGATCGGCGGGTTGACTGCTGATTCCACTAGTCTCGCGTACACGCCGGTAACGAGACCTGCTCAAGTGAGCGTCATTCCGCCTACTGGGTAGCCTGACAGGTGATATTAAGGACTCGGGGTAGTCTGGAAGAGTGTTCGAGGCTACGGTGGCTCGGGTTCTCTGTGCATCCCACGCTGCAGTTAAGTAAGGCGCTTCCTCATCCGCTCACCTCTCACGGCATTCGGCTATTACAGCCTAGACAGCCATTCGTATGCCCATACCCAGGCCAGAGCAGTCAATACACCGCTATAGCAAGCAGAACAGCTACACGACCAACCAGTACCACGGCGGAGGGGAGCATATACGAGACGCGGAGCGCATCTCACTCCAGCCCCCGTGCCTCTGCCTCCCTGGTGATGTGGCCGGCCTCGACGCTTCAGGGTGGTGCAAGCTCTTGTTCCTCCCCACCAGCAGAATGCTCAAACTGCTCATTGGTCTGCGACGTGTAGTGGGCGACATGTAATGGGTGACGGGGATCGCGAAAGATCCCGCGCGTTACATCTCGCCTTGTCGCTGCGGTTGCCCTGGCTCAGTCTCATCATCGTATAAAGAATTGATGCATTCGCAGTCTCCCTGCAGTCAGTGCTTCTTCTTCTCTCCTCATCCGTCCGCACCAATTAATCTGCCGTGCAACTCACTGTCTCGCCATCCTATAACTCCTGTCGAAAAGCCGTCTTTGCCTTCGTCGGTGCTCATTCACCTCACTCATGGCCTCAAACTCCAACCAAGGCGCAGGCGACGATAGTAGCAGCCACAACAGCATGGTCGTCTCGTCTACTGGTCTCGACGATCGTAATCCTGTTGTCGCAGCTGTGGCAGGTAAGCTCGACCTGGCTTCTAGGCCCCTTACCTTCAGTGAAACTGATTTGATCCCAGAGGCAGCCGCACCATCTCCCGCCCTACAGCGGTATGCCAGCTCACCTTCTCATAGTGAGGCCTGGCATCCTCAGCGAGTCGCTCGACAACACTTTACTCACCTCATTGCCAGAGTCGACACCCTGTTGTCGGCGATCGAGCGTGCCCGGGTTGCCCTCTGACTTAGGCCAGCTCGTTGAGCAGACCAGAATCCCGCGCATCGGTTTCAGCGGAACTTCCACTGGATGCCGCCGGAAGCGGTAGGAAGCACTGGAACGGTGGCATTTGACGAAAGTCTGAGGTTGCAGAATTGTTACCCGCGCGGACCTATGATGCCCCTCTTTCACCTCGAAATCTCTAATCTCGCCATAAATTATGGTGTTGATGGTTGAAGCTGTAGAGACTGTTTTCGCACCACTTAATGAGGGTTGCGACATGGTTGTTGGTGAATTTCTACTTCGTCTCGATGATTGCGATGTGAGAGTGAGATAGCTTGGTAATATGGAATTGCTGCAGTTGCTATTTTGCGATCTATAATGTCATGATGTTGTTGTTGTTGTTGTTGTTGTTGAAAATGTGTTGGAATGCGTTGTGATGATTGAGTATCTGTGCGTGTTCGGATGTTGGAGAAGGACATCGCCGGCAAGTCCCACGTAGGGGGCCCGACTGAGCGGCTAAAACTTACGAGTTACCTTATTTGAGTGGTTGCCTTATCACCAGAGGTCAGCCCTGTGGCAGTGCCGGCAGCAGCACTTTCGATTGGGCGCGCGCCGCTGTCTAATGACATTCCTCGACGTTGGTTGGAGGCCGCTTCACTAGCGCGGCTCAAGTTCTTCATGTCTTTGCGCCCCTAATCAACTGAATATCTCTACTTATTCAGCCTTGAAGTCCGCAGTTTATTTACCAGGCAGCGGCAAATCATCGCCTCTGATCTCTGCTGCACCACCTTCCTAGCATTACACCGGAATCCCGGAGAAGACCTTGACCCCCTTGAAGAGGCACAGTACAGTGACAGCCGCCCGAACCTCCTAGAGGGAGACGAGCCACATTCGACTTCACACCGTCCGATCTACTTAGAGCGTCACAACCACCTTCGACCCCGACACTCCAGCTCTCAACTTATCCACCGCCGCCTGGATATGCTCGACACCATGACCCACGACGTCCGACTTCGGCGCCGGCTTGATCCTCCCGTTCTTGAGCGCCGCTGGCAAGAAATCGCCGTATATCTCCTTGCCGAGCGCTTTATCCTGACTCAAGATGAATGCTGCGTAAACTAGCAGACACGTTGATTAGTAGTATATCGCACAGCATCAGATTTTTTCTTGTCTTCATGTGCTCCTGGTGGGTAGGTATGCGGTTGGAGGTAGGCGAGATAGGAACTGTATCGCGGTAGACTCACTCATTCTCGCATCTACTGTGGCTGGAATATCCGGCGTCACAGGCAACGTGAGCGCTATCCTCCCACCGCCAAGCTGCGCCAACACCTGCGCAACATTGAGTTGTGTGTCTCTCGTAGAAATCGCTATTCAATCGAACCCAGAGTCATAGTCAAGTCAGCAATCAGTCCGTCTCGTTGCACTTCCTGACCTTCTCGACGTGCCCGAACTCACCGTCAAAAGCCCCCGCAAACTTGTACCGCTGCATCGCACTCGTCAAATCCCCGACGATACTCAAGCTAGCTCGGTCGAACACCTCATTCGCGCCCAGACTCTTACAAAGGATGTAATTTCGCGGCGAACTCGTCGTGACGACTGCATACCCGGCCGCCACGGCCAACTGGATCGCCGCACTGCCGACGCTTGAACTGCCTCCCCAGATCAATACGGCTTCGGTATCCCCTGTAAGTGGTTCTCTTTGTTCTGCCTGCGGGAGGCGCAACCCCAGTTGCTCCTTGTGAAACAAGCCCAGCGCGGCAGTGGAGATAGCGAGCGGCAAAACGCACGCATCCTCATATTTCATGTCCTCTGGGATCGCGGCGCACCCGACCGTCGGCACGACGGTATATTCCTGGAAACCACCGTGTTTGGCCTCATCGGTATTTAGAGCTGTGCAGTGCCCGAGGACGCGGTCGCCTTTGCGGAACTGCGTTACGCCTTCGCCGACATCGATGATCTCGCCAGCGATATCATTGCCAAGGATCCGCGGAAGGGGACCTGGCGGGAAGATGCCAGACTGCTGAGCGTGGTCGACCGGATTTATAGCAATGGCGTGGTTTCTGACTAGGACCTCGTCTTTGGCTGGCTTGCCGATCTCAGCGGGCCCAATTACAAAGTTCTGCTTGGCTTCTTTGAGCCAGGCCGCTTGGTTGGTCTCAGCCATGAGATCTGACAATTGTGAGGCTGGATTATGGCGTGAAATATCCACTATCCTACCTGCTGCGCTTTAGGGTACTTCGTTTATTCAAATAAGGGAGTCAGGAACGGAAAATCTGAGGACTGAATAGAGCACTCAAGAAAACACGAAGAGTAATAGGCTATGCCATCACTTACTCGTATCGCGACGAGGCTGTCGTGTCCATGAGGTCAAAGGTGGAGTTTTGATGAAGACCCGCGATATGGATGGCTGACATCATGATGCAGGCAGGACTTTACGGAGATAAACCGAGGTACCAGAGACATGAAAGGACTGCAGTGGTCACTTTCACAAGGCCACAATCGTTGTCGCATGTACGAGATATAGTGTACCGCGAGGCGGACATGTTCAAGCACGCTTGTCGCTGTAGACCTCAGGGTGCGGGATCACCCTGGGAAGAGGTCAACCGGAGACAGTTAATACCACGACAAACTCGGCATGCCTTTCACTTACCACGACTGCTCTTGTGCGCAGATTCGGTCCTTCGTAGAACGCCTCTATGGAGTATCGTGTACGCAGTACTGGTCTAGAGTTGCACTCCTGCGCCAGATTCTGGACTCTCACAACTGCAAGTCTTGTACGGAGTACCATTCCCACTTGCTTCGAATGTCACAAAGCATATCCAAAATCTGCAACGGCAGCATGGCCTCAAAAGATTATATGATCCGGATTCCTCAGCTGCTTTACCCAGTAGATGAAGATTTACCTCCACTACCGGATACTCTCCTGTGGTTATCGTGGTGCAGAGCTTTGACAACCAATACTGTGTTTATCACTCGAGATCTACGGATCTGGTCAGAATCTTGACGAGACTCCATTGTCCGAGGTTAAATATCGACGTTCTTTTGGACTCGACATGCTTGACGCAGTATTGGACGCACAGCCACATTGGTGACATCGATTTTCATGGTGATAGGCGTGGAACAGCAGCTGGCAAATTGCCCCTTGTCGATCTGGTCACCTCGTACGGTGCTGATCTTGCTCGCCTGGTATTGCCCAACTCCGAGCGCAGTGACTCGTAGAAAGCCGGTGCATTCTAACCAGCAATCTGTCAAGAGAAAAGCCGGCTCTCTACGGAGCGATGTACTGGTAGTATGGGAGTGAGCGTGGGCGAGTTCGCAGACGCCACTGTGATGAAGCTGCAGGCTGACTGAAGGGTCCCTTATGGCTTAAACGGCGGCTGGTGAAGGGGCAAGAACGGCTGGACCAAACCAAGGCAGGTGCGGCCGCTTAGTCCTCAACGATTGGCCGATTTGCAACTTGGCGGTGCCCCTTTTCGAAATCAAACACGGATCGGGCTGGAGACGCGTTTCATGCTCCACGCCAATCACCCCTTGGCGATAGCTTTCAAACAGCTTGCTGAGAGACTCATGAAGCATCTCGCGTCCTATCCTTGACCTCCCTCTCGACGAGCACACCGTTGTGTCGCCCGTAGCCGCTCCTTCTGCCTCGCTGTCTCTCATTTCCACTGCTTGTCGCGCTGTGCTGCGACGCCATCCACGCTCATTCTCTATTGTATTTAGCACAAACAATTGCAAAGCGTCCAAGCGCCACGACATTCACTGCAACGCACGGTCATTACTGGAAGGACCTGGAGTCAGTTCCAGTCGCATCTGCAGCGAGGAACACAACCCGTTTATCTCTTGACTTACACCTCACCATCGACTACATTGAAGAGACGTAGGTCCGCATACAATCATGCATTCCTTCCAGGCGACGTCTGTCGCCCTGCTGTCCCTCCTCGCCACAGCCTATGGCCAGACCTTCACCTCATGCAATCCCTTGGAGAAGACGGATTGCCCGCCCAACACGGCGCTCGGGGTCGCGAATTACACCATCGATTTCTCCCAGAATACCATGTCCGACAAGGTATGGAACGTCACCGCCAGACCGATCAATTACGGAGACGACGGCGCGGAATTCACAATAGCCCAACAAGGCCAATCGCCCACAGTCCAGAGCAACTTCTTCATCTTCTTCGGCCAAGTCGAAATCATCATGAAGCCTGCAGCAGGACAGGGAATTGTCAGCTCGATGGTCCTGCAGTCAATGGATCTAGACGAGGTGGACTGGGAATTCATCGGAGGGAACAATTCATATGTCGAGACAAACTTCTTCAGCAAGGGCAACCAGACAGATTACGGCAACGCCATCTGGTATCCTATCGAGGATCCCCAAAACACTTGGCACAACTATACGTTGGATTGGTCACCCGAAAAGCTGGACTGGATTATCGATGGAAACGTCATCCGCACCTTGAAGTACGAGGACGCCAACAATGGTCTCAAATTCCCCCAGACCCCCTGCGACGTCAGACTCGGTATCTGGGCCGGTGGTGATCCGAAACAGCCTCAGGGCACGATCGACTGGGCTGGTGGTGAGACAAACTACGACGACGTCCCCTTCACAATGGCCGTCAAGTCCCTGCGTGTCTCGGATGCCAGTCGAGGAACCCAGTACGTGTATGGCGACACCTCCGGCAGCTGGCAGAGCATTAAGATCCTCAAGTAAGCATCTTCCTGCCCTTTTCCGTTCTTTTATATCTCTAACCCTCCCTACAGTGAGACTAAACCCATTCCCCTCGACGGCAACAACTCCGCCTCATCCTCCCAGACGGTCTCCCAGAAATGGAACGGCCTCCCGCAAACCACAAAGTACATCGTCATCGGCGTTGTCTGCGGCGTGGTCGGCCTAGCCATCTTGGTCTTCGCATTCTGCTGCATACGCCAACGCCGCGCGGGCAAGCACGAGAGACTCCTTGAAGATGCCAAGTATGAGAAGATGCAGGGCGAGGTCATGGCCTACAGAGCGGACATGAATCGCATGAGGAACGACCGGAAAATGATGACTGCTGCCAGTGTCGAGCATTTCAGCCCGGTGAGCCCGATGATGGGGAATGCGGGCGCGGCTTTCCATGGTCAGGCCAGTCCCATGATGGGAGGCGGGAGGAGTCCGAACCAGATGGGGTATGGGTATGCCGGTGGAAGGGGATATCAGAAGTACTGAGTGTGCGGATGGGACGTCGTTGATGCGGCATGATGGGGTAACACAGAGTGGCCGTCGCCAAGGCTTAGTAGAGACGGTGGGCGTGAGGAAGTGGTCGTCATCACTGTAAGATAATCGGTCCCATTGAGCAAGGTCGTTTCACTGGAACTGAAGTCATGTCAACAGAAATAGAGGGGTGCTCGTTTTCAATGGTGATTGTCATTTTTGAGCGTGCGGCTCGCGCTCTCTCTCCCCACGCACTCTGTGCTATTACGACGTCGTCGACGCCAGTAACGACGAATCACCCACCAATCTACTCATTGGTGGCCTGCTTGCCTACCCCCGATATCTGGCTGACCTTTGTCTTCAGGTCCCTGCCGCCACTAGCATCGCCAATGCCAGGCTCAGGATCAGGTAGATGGTTCTCCCCATCCCAGTCCTCCCGCTTCACCAGCTTGCCCTGACTCAGGCTCACCACCTTGGCCTCGCCGGGCTTGATAACCCTGGCGACCAGTGGCTTGGGCTTCTGGGGCCCTTCTGCCCTCACCCCGCGCCGCATCTCGTTGGGCAGATAGAAACCCGCGTCCCAACAGGTGCCCGTGAAAATCACCTCCCTGAGGCGCTCTGGGTCGAACCAGCGGAACTGCGGGAGTCAAGTTGTTAGTCCGCAAGGCCGAAAGGCAGATCGAAGGCAGAGCACGTACGAAGGGACCGGCATCCACGACGAAATTGCTTAGCGTCAGACTCTGGATGGGCAGATGACGCTTGACCGCGACTCCGACTCCGTCCTTGACTGCGGCTTGTGCCTGCCTCATGGCGGTGCGGTCGAGATACTCTCCGCTGCCGAAGTCGGGGTGCAGTTCCCCTGAGCCTTCAAGGCCCAGGTACATGTACTCTGTTGGTTCGGGGTAGCTGGGTTTGGAGCCGTCGTAGGCCCAGGTGCTGTCAATCTTTTTATACTGCGCCTTGAAGTCTGCGTGGCGGAAAAGATGCATCGTTAGGTTTGCCCAAGCAAGCAAGCAAGCAACAACAAACAAATCCGCAAAGGCCAGGGCAGGGCAGAAAGCCTTACCGTCGCTGATTTCTGGTTCCAGCGCCATTTCGAGCGTGAGTTTGGTGAGGTTGGCATTGACAAAACAGGCTTCCCAGATGACGGGCTGGTAGGATTTCCTCATGCCGCCGAGGTGGAGGACGTGGAGGTTGCGAAATGAGACAAGAGGCCTGAGGTCTCTGGGTGGGAAGGTGCCCTTCTGGTCACCTTCGGTTCTCTGTTCTTCGGCATTGTCCACGCGTTCGCATTTGATCGGCCAGAAGAGGTCAAGGTTGAGGACTGGTCGGTTTCTCTCCAGGACAGGCCAGAGTTCAGGGTGGAATTCCATTATGGGTTTGTCCCTGGCGTCGACGTCGTTGCTGGGAGTCGAAGTGTATGAGTCCATGGTTGAGAGAATTAAGGTACGTGTTATCGTAAACGGGTCAAAAGATCTGTGAGATTCAAGTGCTGGTTCAGGTGTGGGCGCAGGATCATCGCCTCTGGTCAGGGAACGCAGCTGCTTCGCTTTGTTGAGAGAGGAGAAGGCGGTGTCACTAGCGGCTTTTGGTGAAGGTGAAGGCGAAGGTGAAGTTTCAGCTTCATTTCTGTGTTCTGGTGACGAAAGGTGAGGTTGTGGTTCTCTTTTGTTTGCCAAACACAGACACTTACTTTGTGTGGTGTGCGTCCCCCTGGGGCACTGGTTCTGGGAGCGTCTCTCTGGCGGGTTCCAGAGTACGAGAGAAGTTTGGGGCTTTTGTTGAAGAAAGTGCCATGTTAGAAGGGGTTGAAGAGGGCAGGATAGCTCGCGAACACGACGGACAACAGGGAACGAATGGAGAGGGAAGACGACAGTATGAAGTCGTGGTCATCGCAGGAGAGGCCCGTTGAGCATCACTGTGCAAGGTCATCGCTGTCGAGCTCATGCACATTTGACAGCGATTACCTGACGCTAGCGATATACTTCCAGAACAGCAATATGAGTTGTACCGACTCGGCACTGGAGGGCAGACTTCTCATCGTTTGTAGCCTCCAAACAAGGCGCCTTGGGCGCTGCGATGAGGACGACGACGACCAATTCGCATTGGACGAAAACGGTGATGAGGTGGCGGTGAGAGTACGAGTAGCTGGCCATCATGCCGTATACTTGACCGATGCTGGCGGTGCTGGAGACAACGTCTAAACTATCAAGATCCCACTGACAACGCTTCCTGACGGCATTCACCGAAGCTATTCAAGTGGGACGAATATCTCAGGGGCTTCTGGTGCGAACCACCAAGGATGGGAGTCCGGCTGTTACGCCCATTGATGCGGCCGATGAGGTGGTGACGACCAGTACACTATGTCGGTTCGTCCATTGGTCTTCCGCAGACATGTTAGCATGGCTCTTTCGGAGGAGATCTACCTGAAGAAGTCTTCCACTACAATCCAGACAGGAGCGAGCATTTCATTGAGCTCGTTGGTGCTGGCAATAAAGATGACCGACATTTGATCGATGTTGTTGCTCATCGAGACACAGCAGGCTGGACACACACTTCAATGCTTCCGGCTAGGAGAAGAAACAAGTCTGACGTCCTGTCTACAGTAACAATGGCCCCTGGCGCGATGTGATGGCTAGGTCAATTATGTTGCTATTCTTTATATACCGGTGATGCCTGCCACGTCTACCAAGTGGAGCCAAGCACCAAGCTGCACTTGCGCACAACATCGCTTTGGTGTAATGATACGGACGACTGAAACTTCGAGACACATGCCAGCAACCACCCGCACGGGTTGGCTAAGAACTTTGCCGTAGCAATATAGAATGCTCCATGCATGCCTTTTCCAGCGTTGAGTATTGTCCGATTGCTAAAACGGCTTGTATCCTTCCCTCGAACTTCGTTCAATTGCAGCGCTGGCATCTCTCACATGATGGCACACGACGTCCTTGCCTTCTCTGCCATCAGAATCTTGACCGAGTTGACACACGAGGCGAATGATAACGAGTACTTCCCTGTTATGCTAGACACGCAGGTTTTCGGTTCGACCGGTAACGGTGCAGAAACATTTGATTCCTACTATTCCATTGAGCCTGGCGTTATTTGACCACTGGAGTATATTCCTATCGTCCTTGTTGAGCGGATGGCCGGGCTTCAGGCTGTGCAGATTGACTCCCAGCGGCGGAGACTCGCGCTGGGTAAGGAGACCTTTGAAGCGCACGTGGATTATACAGGAGACGGACGCCATGGTCAAAGCACCAGCGCGTACTCGTCGTCCGCAACTAGTCCGTAGATGACTTTCCTCTGTACAGGCCTGCCGGACATGCGTCTTAGACTGAGACGGCATTGGTGTCGATCGTTTTGGTGTTATTAGCAAAGGTTTGCGCATGACGACATATATGCCAACAGAGACCAGATGGGTGCCAGCTACCGACCAGTGACAGCGGTTAGGTTCAGAGACGTTTGAAAACCAAAAGTTACCCTTGCGGACTTGCCTGACAGATCAGTGTCGAATGATGTGCGGTCCATAGAGTTTGGAATGACGAAATGGTGCGCGAGGCCTTCGAGAGATGGGTATCGTACACATATTCAGCCTCGCGGCGCTGTCACCTGCCAGATGTCAGTTAGAAGGAAGTCAAACTTGCTGCCGAATAGACTTTCCAGAGGTTTAGTCCCAAGACACCATCATGGCGAGGTCGAGAGTTTCAGCTCGTGACGTTGAACGAGATGCTGGATGGTATGGTACAGTTCACGCCAGATAGAACGATGACCTACCGGGCCCATTTCTTCTGTCAAGGCATCATAAACTCAGAACACAGCCCACGAGTTGCAAAGGTTTGTGCCCGCTTCCAACAAAAGCAAGATCTGCTCATAGTTTGAGGGTGCGATGCAGTCGGTCTTCCGAGTGGGACAGAGTGCTGCATCACAGCTCCTTCCAGTCTAACGGACCCACATTACGATCAAAAACTCGTGACCCAGATAGCGATGTTTCTGCAAGTTTCCCTGGCGTTGAGACCAGCCTTGGTAAGAATACTTCCAGGGCACTGGGTCCAACTCGAGATCTGTGGTTAGGCATGCGTCACAAGTCCCGGTGAACTCAAAAGTGCTGCTGGCAATGCAATCGCATCACTCTCGAGAATCCAAGAGCGGCGTCCGTTGCTGTAGATGGTGTCGACCGGAGAAAGGCAATTGCCGACTTTGAGGGCAACGTGCCGAATTGGCGACGCCGCTATCACTGTGTCTCTCAAATTCGACTCGGTAATCTTTGTTGGATGAGAGAGTGACCCAAGTGTCGATTTTGGTGAAACTTCGGCTTATCTAATCTCTTGGCAGTAATGACGCGCCTCGCGATCTTGCCGTTCTCAGGTGTTCATGACCGTGGTCTGCACGTTGAACTTCAGCGATGGCACCGATCCGAAGGTATTTGCGCATCAGCAAGTATTCGGTCCTTGAGTGCCGGATATTCCTGGAGAATCCAGCCGACGAGCCGCGCTGGCTCTTGCATGAGAGCAACCCTGCGCTCCCCAGAATCTTCGAAGCAGTCAAACCCTATGTGCTACCAAAGCTCAGGGAGGAGACTGAACGGGCGAAGAGCAAGGGCAAGAAGAAGAAAAGTATCAAAGATGTGGTAAAACAAGGTGAGCCATCCCTATCTGCCGGCTATTTTGGGACCTCACTGACAAGTGCCTCCAGATGATTTCGAAGTCTCCATCTTCCTCACTGAAATCAACACCCGCCATTCCCTGATCATCAAGAATAAGACCTTCAGAGAAAAGGCTCCAATAAAGAGCAACAACGGTAACACGATGACTGGCGCAGTCACAATTCGAGTCGAGGATGAGGACGAAGGCGTGGATTTGGGAAATTTACCTGCGGCGGAAGACCCAGACAGCAACGACCGCACGCCAATCGCAGGTGATTTTGGTGTGCAGGACGACAAGAAAACCCTCGCTTTCGACACCACATATGAGGGTTTTAGTATCTGGGGTCGAGTATTATGCCTCTTCATTGAACGCAAAGGCCTCGTGGGCAAGAAACAGCCGGGATTCCAAGGCAATTCGCAGGCACTCATGCAAGACTGGATTCAATCAACACAGGAGTAAAAGGATGGTGACCTGTGATTTCGCTCGCCAAAGTAACACAGTATGAGCAGCCTTTCAGGTTTGATGTTGCGGCGAGCCAAGCTGCGTCATGTGCAAGATCAGAGACGATCGTCTCTGACACTCATCGTGCAGGGCAGCAACATAGCCCGGAAATCAAGCCCTTGGCCCTTGACCCTTGCTTCAGCACGAGACAACTCGCTGAATGGCAAAACCATACGAAGTACCACATTCTGCTTGCGATCAGCCCGCTACCAGATCAACCTTTCTCGATAAAGCTAATGTGATACATGCCTCGTCTCGGTTCCAGAACAATGTGACTTGCATGAGGCAGTGCCAAGCGTGGACGAAATTGGACAGCTGTGCATTCTGTGGCGTCTGGTCGCGCAATTTCCACGTGGTTGTGGCTGCTTTGCCCGCCGCTTCGGACCCTGCATAATGCATCGAGGTACGAATACGGAGTACGGAGTTCAGGGCTAGCCATGAGCCATTCTCTTCTGCGGCGAGACCGGTTCCACCTCGCATCAGGTCTCAAGAAGACGGTGAAGCAGTCGAAATATGCGACGCCTGCGAAAGACAGGTCCCGCACCATGCAGAATGACCATGTAGCTTTGTGTTACCTCTTGCCAGATTGGGGCTTTGCAGAGCTTCCCAATCCGATATCTGCGCCAAAGCGCCAGTGTCATTGGATGAGAACTCGAGGCCGGCCTCATTCTCTGGAACAGCTTCGCTACGACACTTGCGGTATCAGTGTGCTGCTTTTATTATAAGCCTCTTATGTGCGATGGACCACTTTTGAATGCAGTCAATTCCGCCGTCACCATGAGTCAGCGGGAATCTTTTTTGCTGAACAATTTTTTAAGGCCTGGCGGTCCGGAGGGCGCAGTTACACAACGACTGCTTCAAGGCTGCGGCATCATTCTTGCTGACCTTACCGTGAAACCTCTGGTGCATCCGTGCTTTGATTCGATCTCGAAATTGCACAGAGCTAGTTGCGAAACGGCAACTGCATGGAACCTGATCAGAATTCGAGAAATGAGGCACTCAGCCAGCCGAGGAGATACTTTGAACTAGCGAGTCGCAGCCACCACAAGAATCAAATGGTAAACTTTAGCACAGTCGGGATGTCCGGCAGAAGCTCCAGCTCACTTTCAGCTGACTTGGCAGCGTGCAACCTGCAAGGCAGGGTGTCAGAGCGAGAACGATGGACAAGGGGCACACGGTAGCAGTTCGAGTCGCCATCCAAAAAATAGTTCACCTGGCTAGGTAACACGGTGACCGACCGGCGCGACGTATCTCATTGACTGCTGCCGCGCCTAGTGAAGTGTGATGAGGGCCGTTGCGTATCGCCGCCCATCGTGACATCAAACGCGTCAGAGCCGAAAAAGAATTTTTCCCTTTTGTAGCGAAAAAGACAATCACAGCCGAGTGTGTGCGCAGATTCTCGTCCAGGAGCAAATCTGAAACACACCATTGAAAAGTTTCAGGCTTCAGCTATGCACTCGTGTTCGAGTCATCAAGAGCTGGGAGGTGGCGAACAGATCATGGTGATCCAGGGGCATGCTGAAGAGGGATCTTCAGGAACCCGAAGCTGACCACCATTCAGCCATTCGCGGCCTGGAAGATCAGCGCTTGAGCCGCAACTGACCGGAACACCAGGCTTCCCCTTGAAACACCCGTTAGAAGAAAGTGGATTGCTTATGACTGCATCATCCACCAGTTTTGCTGTGGTTCTGAGGATAACGGTGCCTGGTAAGTTTACATGTCCATTTTGGTCGAACGATGTTTGCCTCTGTTCCAGGCCGGTTCACTTTAGTGAGTCGTTCGCATGGGCTTGAAGACCGGTGAGCTGGTACCGAGTAGTATCCAATCCAGTCGCTGCTTCCGGCCACCATCTGAAACAGTGCCTCGGCGTGACATGTCCTAAGCGAGGGGTAGCAAAAAGACATCAGCGATCGCACGTCCGAAGGACCCCTCCTTCAAGGACTGCGAGGTGTTTTGAACCGGCAGTTCCTGAGAACAGCAGCCGGACTCCCCGAATCAGCGCGACGTCTGGAATCGCTACCTCAGGATAGGATCGGAGCAGGAACCGAAAGTCTGAGAAAACTCTCAACACGAACTCTGTTTGTTCGACGAATCAGCACATACGGATCCTCTATCCATCCGAGCAAGCCCGCGTTTGCCATGGTTCAAGAAAAGTGTTCCGGTTGCTGGAGAGCTGAAAGCGCCAATTGCAGTTCATCTGACAGGCACAAAGAGGTATGGCGGAACCCAAGGGACGACGATTTCAAGCTTGACCCCGATCACGAGGCCAACCGCTTACCAACAATACTTCAACAAGTACCTAGAGTCTTAGAATAGCGGTACACGACTTATCACTGACTGCATCATCATTGGTGGGCAGCACACCACCATGACAGCTTTCCAGGCCACGTTTATTCAGGCTACCAATGGATGCGGCTCCGGCAATGTGAAACCGGACGGAAGTACGGAGTAGAGCAAGACTAGCAACCTCATGTTCGACCTTCCCGACGACATGCAGCCAGAGAGTCGGTCGTCGCTCGTTTAATTCGGGTTTAACGGCGCCCTGCAGGCTGAATACTGTCATTCCCAGCGCTGAAGGCGATCTCTATTGGGTTCCCAGAGCGGTAGAACCATTCCTTGTTTCGGCACAGAGTTACGGGGTGCCAAGTGAGTGAGTGACAGTCTCTCGAAAGTTTGAGGCACGTCTATCTTGCTCACCGCCCTGTGGATGAATAGCTTTGAGTGGAACTGGAAAATAAAAGCTCCAATTGTGCGCTAGGAGTATCGTCACTGAAGTGGCTCCGCTGCATAGCCAAAGGAGCTGATGGGTCTCCAGAACCTGCTGATGATTGCGGTGGGTGTTCGGTGACATCGATAATCTCCTTGTTGCGAGCCGCGCCCGAGCAACCCCAGGCTGTCCCGGGTGCCCGGTCAGCTGGGAACCAAGTCTTTGTCAGTTCGCGCGCCTGAGGCCTTTAGCGCGGGAGCCTAGTCAGCGACTTGAGGAGCTATGAGGCACTAGTCCCGTTCAGGGGGTTCGAAGCCAGGGGCACGAAGGGGGCGTCTCCTGAAATCTTGCCTGTCAAACATGGAAGGATGAGAACATGCCACTACCGGCAGCCACGAAGCGGGATCCACCGCGCAGGGCAGCCTGGAAGTCAATTTGTACGAGGCACGGATGACTGTGGCCGGCGTCACCATTTCTGGAACAATTTCTCGGTCGTACCGGGGCGAGGCTGCTTGTATCAGAAAATAAATATCTGACTCGGTCCCCCTCTCCAGCAGGCAGGCTTTCAGACACCAACCATCCCATCCGATCACGCCTTCGACTCACGCATCAGGACACATAAATTACAGCTACGACTACCAGAGCCTCTCTCATTCCACCTGACCAGCACTCGATCTGTCCTCGCCGACACTCCAACATCACAATGCCTGCCGGTTCCAAATATCCTCCCTGCCCGGGTCCTCCTCCCAATCGACCACTTCCAGCTCTGCCCAAGAGGCACGCCGCATAGAACGGCTTGATCGACAACGCTTCGCAACAAGACCATACCGTTGAAGAAGTTCTCTCATCGGTACGGTTTCGTATCATGGCCAACCACCATCCGCTCAGTTGAGCCTGCACTCTTCCGTTGGATGGAGGCCACATGACACCCTGCTTCTGCCTAATGCAATACAACTGGCCTTTCTCCACCTCTCAAAGAGCCCGAGGTTCGCGGTAAACGCCTTACAAACAATGGAGATGTAGCATGGCAGCAGGGGCTTGGCGCGAAGGATTCATTCGTGCATGAAACCTGAGGTTATGCACGAAGCGATGCGCTGGCACCTCCGCTTCTCAAGCACAACACGCTTGCAGGAACACAGTCGCATGCGAGCCCAAACCGAAATCCCGAGCTTCCCTGCAGTTACGATTATGCCTAGGTCCTTCGAATACCCCTAATCAGCACGGCGACATAATCCCACCACAATTACACCGCATTAATCCGACGCCCCTTGCCGGCCCGATCATTCAGCCTACACATGTGAGACGCTCTCATCCACGCCTTGACCGGTACAATGGATTGGGTCTCGCAATAGCCCTTGTATCAGCACCTGTATCAACAACAACCATATTTGCATGCTTGTACCACCAGTCGATACCCACAATTTTCTACATTCGCTTGCGGAGGAATGGCAGCTCTCGCTCGCCTGGTCCGTCACCATTTCGGGACGACCACCGGTCTTTGTACATTACTTGAGGACATTAATGAGCCCCATGATGATGAGCAGCCCTCCGGAAGGGAAGTAAACGGTCAGAGCATTGGCCCTTTCCTTATCAGCTTCAGCTAGTGTATATAATGGATAATATTTCTTCCATCTATCTTCCGGTTCTGCTGTAAAACGTTCTAGCCGCCTTACTGCCTCCTGCAGTGGACCCGAGAGATTAGGTGGGAAAGTCCTCCAGGTCCTATCTCGATAGGTGATGAATCCAGTGACCTATTTGACGGCAGCTGGAAAAAATGGTGTGTTGCAGCCACTCCTCTGCGACTGTCCGATGTGTTGACCTGGCGAGATGACCGGACAACGATATGAGGGAGGTGTGACTCCTGGGCCCATTGGTTGAAGCGGAGTTGGCATCCGAGGACAGCCGCCAGGAACAACGCGTGGACGGCAAGAGCCTCAGCCACGGGCGTAGGTACAGTACCGGTTTGGATCGTACCTCATGACCTCGAGCTACAGTAGTCGTCGATAGCGGCTGCGCCCTTGTCCTCGCTGTGTACTATCGAAGCCGAGAGCTTGGAAGGTCTGGGAGGCGCGTGGCAGAGCCTAGGCAGCCGACCAGCCAGCTGTTGTGGCGGCTTTCACACCCCGCGTTTGGGATGGAAATAGCACTGATCACACCCACCGCCGTCTTTACCTGCAAGGAACTCCGAAAGCAGATGATGGCCGCATCATGATATCGAGGTTCAAGCCGAGGTCTCTGCACCACGCGTGTTACCTGGTATGGGTTGTTACATTTTGTCTCGCCAATTCGAAAGTATCAATCCCCTTCATCTAAGCCTCATCTCCTATCCATCCACTTTTCTCCCCTTCGCGGGTATCGTCAACATCATCGGACTTTGGCTGTGGATGAGAAGTGGCGACGCACCCGCCCGGATAATTCGAACTAGCCGGCAGAGCAGGCGGCGTGGTTGGAGGAATACATTCTCTTCATCCGCTATCTGTCTCTGCTCGGCGTGAGCTAGACCTCTTTGCCATGGGTAATCGTGCCGTCTCGATGGCATTTGTGTGTACAATGACGACATGCAACGCCCAGCCACCCACAATTTGCCCGTTTTACAGCGTTATTGCGCGGCCGTGGGGAATGCCAAATCTCGAGCTGCGAACTGCGACCTGCCACTGCTGTCACTCCCACCATCGCCCACCAACCAGCAGCGAGCTGGCGTCTCCGAGATCTGTGAGGCCGTATTGGCGGCGCGCGGCTGCCAACTTTTGAGATCTGTGCGGCGTCCTCGTAGCTGCTTCGGTTTTTCCTTTTCTGTCGGTCGAACCTCCCTCACGTACATCTGTTTGTCCTGTGAGATTCGCCGGTCGTCGTGCGGTTGCTGGCGTTGTTTGACGTTCAAGGTCGAGCGAAGGTTGGTGTTGGCCTGCTGCGTGAGACTTATAACATATACTATACTCTCGTTGAGCAATGTCTTCTCGTTATCTGCCACTCGTTGGCGCTCTCTTCGCGACCTTCGCTATAGCGCAGAACACTGTTTCTCTTGCGATTACAGCTCAACCAACCTCGGGCGCGTCCGGAATCATCAGTCCCTCGTTCGCCGGCTTCGGTATCGAATCCTCCAACCTGTTCTCCTTCACCGGGGGTAGCCAGGAAAACCAGCTTACGAAAAACCTCCTCGCGAATTTGGCGAACTACACCGGGACGCCGCCTCATCTGCGTATTGGAGGAAACACTCAAGACTACTTTATCTACCAAGATTCGCAAAATGACTATCGCTGGGAGCCAAACCCCAATGCAGTCGGACAAGGAGCCTTTGCCACTGATTCGATGATCATCGGCCCGCGGTATTTCGAGGTGATCAATCGCTTTCCGAGCAATACTCCCATCACGTTCGGACTGAACCTGGCATACTCCGAGTCGGACTATATCGAACAGATAACCACCATGGCGACCCAGGCCGTGAACCGGTTGTCCGACGTCAATCTGGTCTCGTTTGAGATTGGCAACGAGCCCGATCTGTACCTCCAAAACGGGTTCCGAACAGGATCATGGGGTGGTGAGGTCTACACACAAGAATGGTTGGACAGGGCCGATGCCGTTTATCAACAAGTCCTCAAGCCCAACAACTTGCCGAGCAACTTCTTTGAGCCTGGCGCGACTGCTTCTACTATTGGCACGTCTTTCCAAATCCAAGACCTGGAACAGTTCGGCATTACTGTCAAAGCCAATGGATCCACACAACCTTACATCTCGAGCTGGAATCAGCACGACTACTATTACTACATTGGAGTGTCGACTTATCCTATAACAGCATATTCCTTCATGACCTTATCCACGACCAATGATCAATTCGCTGCTTGGGTTTCACAGATCCAACAAGCAGAAGCGACTGGATATCCATATGCTCTACGGGAGATGGGCGTTGTTGGTCCAATCGGACTGGCTGATGTTACCGACATTTTCGGTGCGGCCCTATGGTCTCTCAATTTCTTCCTTTATGCGGCTACCCTCAATATTACTTCAGTCCAGATGCATATGACCGATAATAGCAACGCTAGTGCATGGCAGCCGATCGAGTACTATGGGAACCAGCCATATGTGCGACCAAATTATTATGCCTTTGCCGCATTCGACCAATTGATCGGACCCACTTGCCAGGCCCAAGTCGGTGGCTATATCGTCCCGAACCCTCCTGCTGCATACGCAGGACGGATTGCTGCATACTCGGTCTACCAAGCTGAAACCCTCGCCTCCATTGTTCTGATCAATTCCAATCCTGCCAATGTGTCGATGGCCAACAAGCCCAGCTTGACCTGGGATTTGTCGCTACCGACGCAATTCGCAGGACAAGACCTGTACTTGCACTATTTGACCAATGACGGCGCCGATGCAAAGCGCGGAACCACGTGGAATGGTGTCAGCTACGAGGAAAGCGGAGACGGCACGCCCACCCTCGTCAACGACACTGTCTCCTCAGTCAGGATTGGCAACGACGGCGGCGTCAGTGTTATTGTCCGAGACTCGCAGGCTGTGATTGCCAACATTGGAACACCCATTGGTCAGCTTCAAGCCAACCCCAGTGCCTGCTCAGCTCTTGCGGCCAGCACCCCTGATGCGCGGCCAGTCACGGCACCTGTGGGCACAAGTCAACCGACTCCCACCAGTACGTCGGGTGCCTCGTCGTCCGGGTCCGGCGACAGCTCAACTCAGTCAAACGCAGCGACAAGCACACGGAGCAGTGCAACAGCAAGCGCCACTAGTGGAGGTGTCTTCCGCCTCTCCACTATGATTTTGACGACTTTTGGCGCGGCAATATCGACAGCCCTGGTCTTGCTTTGCATATAGTTTGGATTTCATGCAAATAACATCTGCTTACCTCAGGATATCATGGACATACGCGACGCGATAGACGGCGTTTAATGAACACCGCTGCTCTAAAGATATTACGATAGAATGAATGGAAGTGCCTGGCAAAAAGAGCGTCATGGACATAGTATGCTGGATCTCCAGATCGGTACTGGGCCAGGCAGAAAGCGAGACAGACTGTTTTTAGATGCCGTGTTGTTGTTGGAAGTTACGGAGTAGACTACCTATATCTAACATTAATCGATAATGAAGATAATACGAGCTACAGGTTCTCCCAGTGGTTAGGATCAAGACGACAGACGCGTATCGACATTGCTTGAGAGCTAGATCTCACTTGCCTACAGAGCTCGTTGTAGGAGGTGCCACTCTCGGTAGGATGCCAGCAGAAGTATGTATCGGTACACAGACATCGCTCACCTCTGCAGCGACAACAGAGGGAGCTTGCTAGAGACCGAGAAACCGCATGTTCACATGCAACTCACCTGCCCATCCGACCCCAGAACCCACTTCCAGTATCCCATCTCGTGCTCAGTCTCGACGTCCCCTCCCGATGGACCCCAGGCACTTCCAACTGACTGACCTCCTGACTCCAATCCAGCGTGAACTTGCACCTCCTGACAATCTAATTCGAGAACCGACTTCACCTCTGCCACTGGTGCCATCATCCCCTTTCGCGCTCAGTCTCGACCTTACATCAAGTTGACCACCAGACACCTCCAAGATGTCAAAGATCGATCCCTAACTCCATCCCAGCGTGGAGTCGTACCGCACTCGCATTCTAATTATTCTACTCCGAGAACAAACTTCAGCATTGCCCAACCCGAGATCCGACACTCGAGCTCGAATGGCTGGCTAGCCGCACAAGATGGGCCCAGACAGTGGAACGTGAGATACCTTGGGAGGTACCACACCAAACTTCGATCCTTCGTTTGGACCGTCTCCGTCTACGTCTACGAGAAGGAGAAGCTCGCTTTCGTCTGAGGGAGCCCTTTCTTTAACTTTGAGGGCTGGGTTTCCGGTCCACTGTGGTGGGAGCTCTTCCCGCATGCTCGCTTGTGATCCTAATGGGTTATGACACGTCTTCTTGGGACGCAGAACTGACGCGTGGGCACTTTGGTCTTACGCCGTGTGTCTAGCGGCGAGGATTTTGCTCAGTCTCTCATCATCATCATCATCTTAGCGCGCCTCGAATTCAGGGCATATCCAATATTGTAACAACGCAAGCTACAGTACTCACAAGGACTGTGGCTCAGCCTCCGTGCAGGGCTGGCGCGAGTTGAGTATGCTCGATCTGTACGACTATCCGCGCCAATGAGCCGCTATACTTCGGCCCGGTCCCGTTCTTGGAAGGCTTTCATTCCTCTTCAGACTCACTGGCGTCGCTATCTGTATCGCCATGTCCATGTTCCTCGTTAGCATCGCTCACCTCGAAGTTCCCTATCTGCTCCAAGGACAGCGTGATTTCTTGTTCTTCGTCGTCATCAACGGGCAGCACAAACGTTAGAGGCTTATCAGCTTCGGGGCCTCCGAGGAACCTTTTCTGGTCTGGTTTCTTTGCCGTCGGATCAGGTTTGCGCGAGAACATCGAGGGCCGCCAGTACCAGCCACTCATGAACAAGGGGATGCTGCCATCCTGCGCGGTCTCGGGCGCGATCTTCCAGACCTGTTCCTTGTTGCTGGTCCACCATGCCGCCTCCGGTGCCTGTATCCCGGCGCCATGCAAGCCCAGATCGAGTCCAAAGGACACGGAAGACTCCCTGGTTTGAAGCAGAGCCACCGCGCGCCGACTGGCCGTGTATGTCTTCGTGACGACCCAAATTCCCTTCTCTTCCTCGATGCCGCGCTTCTCGAACATGGATCTCCAGATGTAGTTGAAGATGCCCTTGTCTTTGTTCTTCAAGATGCGCTCGGCGCTGTTCACAAACCATGCTTTGGCACTATCACATGCGGTCGGGGTGAGCTCGTTGTGCGTCACAGAGCCCTCCGCAACCAGGATGGCCCCGGACGACGACTTCAGCGTGTACTCGGCTTTGAGAGTGCCTCCTACTGGAGCGGTGGGGACGCTGGGAACAAAGCATCTAAGTCAGGAGATTCCTGGTTGACGTGGGGAAATGTTGCCCCGGGCGAATTCCACGTGGCACTCACTCACTCACTCACCTGACGCCACCTGCCGCTTTCAAGTTGACCTCGAAGTCGTTGCGCGATATCATTGCCCCCCAATTCTCCTTGAGCGGATCAGGCTTCAACGCAATGTCGGGTGCGGGAGGCCAGTTGCCTGCTTCAAGAGCGGTTTGATCGGTTAGGTGGATGATTGTCTGCCATTTGCCGTCGTAGTCAAAATAGCCGCACGCGCCTGGCCTCAAGTCCGAGCTTTTGACGGGAGTATACAAAGCGTGACCTTCATTGTTGTTCTTGAAGCGTGCGGCGAAGGCGACATCGTGTCTCTCCTTGTATGACATGCTGAGCAAAGTCCTCCCAGCTTGACGAAAACTTGAAGAGTCTCAAATAGATGTCATGCATGCTTTTTGAGCCAGAAGCAGGTGCGGCTGAGTTCTGGTGTGTCCACTGAAGCAAGTGTATGTACGAGAACTCGGTAGGACCTGGATATATTTCCACCTCGTATTCGACCACCACAAGAATGGTGGACAACTCATCGTCTGATTGACTGTTACACAAAAACTACAGCCAGGCTGCAGACCGGTCTCTCGCTGGTCTGCCTGGACACACCGGTCGTCGCAAGGATTGGTGAGCATCTTTCGAGAATCTGCTTGAGCCCCTGACCCCCATTTGTCCGTTCGGGACGCCCCAGTCGGACCCCGCGCCAGCTTGGAGTCTAGACTCGCTCCTTCCTGCCATTTTCCCGGCCAAGTGCGGCTGGGAAACGCTGGTCTGACCAGCACATAGGTGACCAGTACAGTGGTAAATCACCCAACACTGAGAGTTTTGATGCATTACTGTCAGCTCGGCAGTCGTACCTGAGGCTGGCGTCTTTTGACTTCACGCAGCGTTTTCACCAAGCTTTCGAGACGTGAGCCCTGCGACACTACGATGCTCCTGTCATGGTACATGGGTGCAGCTTCGTCGTTTCCTGTGCACCATAGCGAAGATGGTACTTGGAGTCATCACTTCCGCGATACGGAGTCGGTCAGGCTCCGAAGGCTCGAGGTTCTCAGTCTCGGATGCCTCCGACATCAGCACGAATGCTGAGACCAGTGCCACAGAGGCTGAGCAGAGGCCATGGCTGGAAGACTTGAAAGACCTTGCAGCCGAATGCACGGATGCGGCTACCCGCGTACTGGACAATAGGAAACCAGCATACGACAATGTAAGGGTGCTGTTGATTTATTGGTCAAAAGGAGAGTACAAAGAGATGAAGACCAACGCCGCAAAGATTGGCAACACCTTCCGAACTGTCTATGGCTTTGACGTGATGGAACCATTGGAGCTGCCGGAGGAACGTCCGGGCAACAAACTCGGAGAGAGACTTAACAACGTCGCCGCGATCTCGAGCGAAAAGGGCAAGAACGATCTGCTCATCATTTACTATTGTGGCCACGCCGAATGGAAGCCCGGGAATCCCGACGACCTGATATGGAAGCCCAGAAAGGTAGACCAACCGAGAATATCATGGAAGCAAAAACAGGCAGATCTTCATGACGCGGACTGTGACCTGCTATTCATCCTGGACTGTTGCTACGCCGGCCGTATGGTCAAGATGGAGAAGAACACCTGGAGGCGGCGCTGTGAAGTCCTGGGTGCTGTAGATGCAAATACCAAGGCTCGTGTCGAAGAACACCTATCATTCACGACGGCCTTGTGTGCGAACCTCACGACCGGCGCCTACGCTCAAGACTTGTATCTGGTACTGTCGCACTCAGACGCCATGGACAAGCACAAATTGAGGCATGCGCCGTCCTGGAGCAAATACCTCTTCAACGAGGATTACAAGTTCGGTATCTACCTTCGACCACAGAAAAAGGATGTCGCCGGCCACCAAATGCCACAAAACAATAGTCACGAAGCGATACAGGACCCTCAGATACGGGACTTAGGCGAAGTGCAAGCCAAATCGGACGCCGTCATGGTAATTGCCTGCAAGATGCAGAAACAACCGCAGCCGGAAGAATTGCGACACTGGGAGAACATAATGATCGCCAGCCCACTGAGCGTGACTGCCATGCGGTTCCAGGCCCTCTCGATGGACGAGATCCGAGAGTTCGAGGAGCAGTGTCGGCGCGCCGCCGTAGAGGTCAAGCTCGCCAGCGTCTTCCATGGATCTACTGTCGCCATCCTTTCGATGCCAATCTGGATGTGGTGCAACCTCCAGCCGAGTCCTTCGTATGAGGCGATAGCCCTGGTTCGCTCTCACGACCTTCTACACCCCGCAACTGAAGGCTCGGGGGCCGCCTTAGCCATAGAAGATGTTGCGGGTGCCGCAATAAAGGAACATGGTGGCGGCAGCTTGACAGGAAGATCTCATATGATTACACCTCCAGTGACACCACCTGAAAGGTTCAATGCACTCACGAAGCAGTCTAGTGGGCTTGTTGTGGAACCTGAGACACGTGCGAGAGCAGAAATCCCGTGGCTCCATGGTGCGCTTTCTGGCTATCGTAGCCACAGCAGGAGTCAGCCTGATCCAGCGACCCGGAAGAGGACTCGTGTGCATCACATACCCATTCGCGAAGGTCTTAGCAAGGCTCTGACATTGCCTGGAACCTGCGTGAACATGTCTAATGTGGATTTATCAGAATTCATCCCAATGGTGGACCATCTTATGAAGGGCATCAAAGTATAAGTAGATCCGCTGGAGATATCGACACGTGGACCGAGTACTGACTGTCGAAGCCTTGGCCTTGACTTTGCTGCGAAACGATACCCCTAAAATGAACTGTCATTTCAATGAGACGCAAAGCAGTGCGGCGCGGAATCGACGCCACCACAAGTACTTCTGACGTGGCGCCTCGTATTTTGCGCAAGCCTACTCCGTACCTACGGAGTACCTACTGTGGTAGGCAGGTACTGCGTACTCGGAATCCTGTACAGCGGGAGACGCAGTGCCGCCTGTTCGGCTTAGCGTAAGCGAATCGGCCTGACATCTCAACTTCTGCTGGCGTTGACCTACCTTCTCAAACCATTAAGCGCCTTATCGTGTCCAGTGCACGGTGATCTGGAGATGAATGCAGATGGAGGTCTCCCCCTACGGAAAAGATCTTATGAGGGAGAGTGAGTTCAGTTTTGTACGCGGCCGGAATGCACTCCTCACAGAGCAGCTACGATGGGTTTTACCGACCTCCACAGGAATATTCAAGGCAATTGTGTATACCAGACTTGAGTCTGAGAGCACAGATGGCAAGACTGGGTGGCAAGTCATTGAGAATGAGCTTCAATTCCACAAATCCTCGGTCCGGATTGATAAGGCGAGTGAAGTTATCTTGTAAGTGGCTGGGACCCAATTCCAGCAATGCCGGCTTTGGAAACGTTAATGTGCGAACAGAATCCTGCGGGCATCGGACAACGGACGCCTGCCCGTCTCCGAAGATTGTCTGAATGAGGTGATGGGCACATTTGAAATCCCAGTGTCCTTCCTGTCCACTCTCATCAACTTGCAGAGCTTGGGTACAGGGATGACGTTCGGTTCTCTGCCACCCTCTCCGGGTGCCGCAAGCGATGTCTGTAGGACATGGTGGAATCTAGCTGGCATCGAATGGGATGCCAAATACCCCAAAGGCACCGCTTGGTGTCGCGGAAACGTCGCAGTGTACTTGCGTAGAGGTAATGATCGTGACAGGTGGCTGATTGCCTCGACGAGCCACAACCTTGTGACTGACATTAAGAACGTCAACAAACACAAAGAGGGTCCGTCGCCGCTTCGGATGGATTCTCGTGTCACAAAGAGTCCATCAGTCTTGCTGCTCTTGTGCGCTTGGGCTACTGACGGGTGGCAATTCTACCTTGACTGGACAGAAACCGAAGATGTAGGTCGCCTGGAGCGATCCGAATGGCACTGATTGTTTGCAGCCGGCTTTTCATGATGACGGGCGCTCGGCTAACGACACTATGTGGAGACTGCAGCGGACTCTTGCCAACCTTCAGAACAATGAGCGGGTCTTGACCTCAATTCGAGTCGTCCTTGCCGAGTGTATGGACCGATGGCCGAAGGTGTCTTTGCAGCCAAAACCAGAAGATCTCACGCCCTTCATTCTCCAAGCAACGCAGGATATATTACGAACCCAGCAGTTAATCGAATTCCAACAGACCCTGCATCAGCTGGTAAGAAGCCTCCTACTCTGCCCAGTAGTCCAGTGGCAGATTAGGGGTCTGGGCTTACAACAAGCAGAATATTACGAGAATGTCCGAAGAGAGTCTCACATTGTCAAGGGAAGCGCTCGCGAAGTCTGAATTGGCACGGCAAGGCACTCTCAGTGCAGCCAAACTCGAATACCTTTCGGGAATCATTCTGAGAACCGGGCTGATAGTGCTACTGCTGTTCCTGCCCGGCATCTTCGTTTCCGTACGTGTTGTCCCCGTCTCAACGAATCATCCGCTGATAAGGCCCAGGCCTTCTTCAGCACCAATATTGTGCAATACACCGACGAACGCACGGTGTTCTCCTTCGTTGGCTTGTCGCGATGGTTGCAGGTGACGCTGCCCCTAACCTTTGTCGTCCTTGTGACGACTTGGTACATGTACCGTCGCTCTTTGTTGTTCAGGAGTGGCAGCAAAATCCTAGAACACGAGCCAAGGCTCAATCACCCCCAAGCAGAGCTTTCCCCGGCAGTCAAGGAACAGCCGCCCGAGCCGCAATTGTCCCGAATATCTGACGACCTGGAGTCCGGTCGACGGAGTTTCCAAGCGAGTTCACAAAGCTTACCTCGTCGTCTGGGCTCGTCAGCGTTTCCTGCAGGAGGAGATGTCACTAGCACCTCGTCAGCGTTTCCTGCAGCAGTGGGCACTAGCACCACACATCCGCGAATCCACGCCCACTCGCCACTCGATCCCTAGTCTCATGCCCCCTCCTAAATCCAGAAGCTACTCACAGCTGACAAGTCCTGCGAAAATTTCTGTGCGGCCGCCAGTGACGGCAGACGGTTAACGGTCTCGCTGAATTGAATAATGGGAAGCGGCTGATCCGTTTCGACGAGTTTCCCTCAGCTACGCACGGGTGGGACAAAGGTATATGGGGACTTGCGTCGCATTGGGGCGTGAGGGATGACATAACGGGCTGGTGAAGTGGCTTCCTGGCGGATAGTCAGGGAAATGAAAGTGGAGCGCTGGGGGATGATATTCCTGCAGGCAAGGCCGAGGATGGTACCGTTATGAAAAGGGGCCGTTAAGATGGCTGGCCGAGAAGGATGCTTGTGAAGCTGTTTCTTGGGATTTTGTAGGACGGAACAGCGAGGCCACGCTGGAAATTGCCGGGTGTGCGGTTGATGGCTGCTGCTGACATCGATAGGGGGTATCGGAAAAGAAGAGTCCTTGAGCGCTGTTACGAGAGCATGGTTTACTGTGAATCGTGGCGCTTGGGACGGTAGCTCTAGCGCTTGGTCGTGGTACCGTCCTCCGGATGTGAGTTACCTATAGGGGGGCTGATGCGTTCTTCTAGCCCGGTGTATCGCAAAGAGCATCTCGGATTTATTTCTTCTTTCTCGTGTCAGAACGAGGTCTCGGCAGTGGGCATCTTCAGCGTTGATGACCTCCAAATTGGAACTCCGGATGTCCAGAAGAGCGCTGCTTTTTACTGCCTGAAGTTTGCTGATGAAAGTCGAGTTGCTCAATCTCCCGGATTCAGCTGAATCAGATGTCACTACGAAATGAGCAACCACCTGGAGCGCAGAATGACCAAAACTCATGGACGCTTGTAACGGGAAGCTGTTAGAAGCGTCCTAACTTCTTGCGCAGAGTCTTTGATAACGTCGACGACGAGATTCAACTCGAAGACAACCAGTGGGATTGACATACTGCGCCATCACACAATTAGTCCTAATCATCGTAGTAAGTTTGCGAACGTGCGTCATCTGAGACGCGCTGCTGATGGCTGTGGGGATAATTTTCTTGAGTACCGAGTGCTTCCCAACATGCTTGCTCCGGGAGTCTTGGTATTCTTCTTCCGCTCTGTATCAGCTGTAAGCTCCCTAACAATGCATCTTGACAAATTCGGTTGAGTTTGTCGGTGTCGCCAGATCCTCTGTAGCGAGTCCGACACATCCCGCCGTACGGCCCCCGTGTATCATTGCCGTCCGGAAACATGGACCTTCCCAATCCCTCACGGCGGCCTCACTATCAGCTGGGCGGGCTGTCGAGCTTCATTCCGCTCAATGAAGAACCCAGCTCGCTGTCGACGCGAGGACAGCGCCTGCCCACCCTGCTCCAGAGCCGCTCGAGCGCGTCACTCTTCACTCTGCCGCGTCGGCCAACAACCAGACGGGGCTCCATCCACAGCCACCACTCCAACGAAGATGAAGAGCACGGACATGATGATGACCTGGACTTCATGTCACCGCCCAGGCGACGCGCCCTCCCTCCTTCCGAAGTCGACCCTAGACGGATGAGCCTCGGGCCGGAGATTCTGATGACACCGCAAATGCGCAGCATGCGGTTGATCGGGCAGAGCAATCCGCGGTACCACTGGCACAAGTACTTCAAGACGGAGGAGGAGCTCAAACGGATGAAGAAGCCGATCAGAAAGTACTACGAGCGCAACAACTTCCTCATCACGCAGTACATCTACATTGATAAGCTGCTGGATTCGTCCTTGCCTCACCATCTCATCCAGGAGTACAGCCACCAGCGGTCGCGGTCGAACGGATACCTGAACACCATCTCCGAGGAACGGAATTCAGTCACCAATACTCCAGAGGTGGCGCCAATGGATGATGGCGCGCCGGACAACACGCCAACTCCCACTGAGCAAAGATTGAAGAGGACGCCCAAGGACCTGTACAAGCTTCCCAGCGAACAGACACCCTTGCTCCAGGATGAAGGGGAGGAGCATGAAGACTCGGTATGGCCTGAAATCAACCTCGAAGACATCGACAAAGGAGTCGAGTCGAACGACCCCATTGTCACCGTCGCCATCTATCTCAATCTGGTCGCCAACATCATTCTACTTGCCGGCAAGATCGTCGTCATTGTCTTGACTTCGTCTCTCTCAGTGCTCGCCTCACTTGTCGACGCTGCCCTCGATTTCCTCTCCACGGCCATCGTGTGGACAACCACCAAGCTCATTTCTCGACAAGATCAATACGCCTATCCTATCGGCCGACGACGTCTCGAGCCCGTCGGCGTCCTCGTCTTCTCCGTCATCATGATAACCTCATTCTTCCAAGTCGCCCTGGAATGTTTCAACCGTCTCCTCTCGCCCGATCACAGCGTCGTGGAACTCGGCATCCCAGCCATCGCCATCATGCTGAGCACCGTTGGGATCAAGGGCTTCTGCTGGTTCTGGTGCCGGCTGGTCAAGAACAGCTCCGTGCAAGCCCTCGCGCAAGACGCCGCCACAGACGTGGTCTTCAATATCTTCTCCATCATCTTCCCCCTTGTCGGCTTCTACTTCCAGATATGGTGGCTCGATGCGCTCGGCGGTTTGTTCCTCTCCTGCTACGTCATTGTCAACTGGTCCAAGACCAGCGTCGAACATGTCCGGAATCTATGCGGTGTTTCCGCAACGGCAGACCAGCGCAACGTCTTGCTATACCTCGCCATGCGATTCGCGAAGCCCATTCGGCATATCCAGGGCCTGCAGGCCTATCATACAGGCGACAAGCTCAACGTGGAAGTCGACATTGTGCTTGATGAGAATATGAGTCTGCGGGACAGTCATGACCTTGGCGAGAGCTTGCAGTACGTCCTGGAGAGTGTGCCGACTGTGGATCGCGCTTTTGTTCACGCCGACTATGCGGACTGGAATTTGCCCAGCCATATGAATCAGCAGGCCTGAGACAGTATCCGCCAGAGAGAAAGTGCATGTGAGTGAGAGAAAGAGAAGTCGGCTACGAAGTGTGATAGAATGTGATTCTGAGAGAGGAATTCGGTTTGATTTTGCGGCGCCTTCAACTGCCCGATATACCACATAGAGCAATTTGAACAGTGTTGGGTTTCTCCGTCGCTTTATTTCTCCGCTTGCCGTCTGACGTCGCTCGCACTCCTCGTAGCGAATAAAGCTTAGTTTTATCTTGGTCGTTGTTTTGATAGAGGCGGAGTGAAGCCATGAGATTGTGCTAAGCTTTCAAGGCTATGAAGCCTAAAAGAAAAGCTCCAGCTTGTCAGATGTCAATGGATCTCCGCATTCTAGGCAATTGGTCGTGCAGTCGTCCATAAGAATGAATACGCTTGCCGGGATCACGCGACTCCTCGTCCTCAGTGGCCGACCCACAGACGATTGAGGCGTGGTATCTCCATCACACCTCGTCTGAACGATGCCGAGGCTCGCTACTAAAGAAGACAGCGGCAATTGGTTCAAAGGCTGATACAACGTGTGCCGAATATGAGCTTCCTTCTCTGGCAAGGCTGGTCCAATTTCCCCTCTTAACGTCCCTTTAGTTCCACCTCACATCAAGCGATGAGATGCACGGAAACCCTGATTTAGAATCCACGACGTGTCCTCACATCGTGACCGAGGCGTCCTCGGTGTGTTGACCCGTCGGCATGGCCCCTATTGCTGCGATGGAGCTCGTATCCAGGGTTTCCCCGGATTCTCTTCCACGTCCCCCCACAACAGGGTTGCCTGACCTTTGCTTGATTGCTGATACTGAAAGGTACAGGCCAGCGATCGGGATAGTGTCACCTACTCCAACAAACCCCTCTTCAGCATATATATGCAACAGTCAAGCCATGAAGAAGGCAGGAGCCCAAGCATCTGGGTAATCTCCTCATAGGCAAAATGAGGTTCGTCCAGGTCTTGTCTACTGTCGTCTCCCTCTTTGCGTCCGTCCTAGCACTACCACAGGCATCGCAAGGCAGCAGTGGTCCTCCAACCGTGACGATCGAGAGTGGCGTGGTACAAGGAGTGTCGACCGCTATCCCCGGCGCTTCGCACAATATAACCAAATATCTAGGTGTACCCTTTGCGGCGAAGCCACTGCGATTCGCCCCTCCAGCTGCTCCCCAAGCGTGGAAGACGCCGTTCAAGGCGACCAAGTATGGGCCAGCTTGTATCCAGGAATTCGCCTACCCGGCACACGACATTACGATTTCGTGGTTCAATACTCCTCCCCCACCAGCCGGGGAGAGTGAGGACTGCTTGAACGTCAACATCTACGCGCCAGCGACAGGGAAGAACAAGACGGTCATGGTTTGGTTCTACGGTGTAAGTATGTCAACTCTGTTAAGGACCTCGTGACACACTGACGCTTCTGGGACAGGGCTCTCTTGCATTCGGCGCCAACTCCCTGGCAGCATACGATGGCTCTTACTTCGCTGCGTTCCAGGACGTCGTCATCGTGACCGTGAACTACCGTACCAATGTCTTTGGCTTCCCTTGTTCTCCTGAATTGCCCGCTCGAGGCAACAATCTGGGGTGAGTAAATACTCCTGGACGATGGAAAGCCAAAGAGCCTCGGTGTTAACATACAACACAGCTTTCTCGACCAACGATTCGCCCTCGCTTGGATCCAGCGCAACATCGCGGCCTTCGGCGGCGATCCCGCCAAAGTGACCATCTTTGGCGAATCCGCCGGTGGACTCTCCGTCGACGCGCTGGTAACGTCCTTCGCCACCAACCCGCCTTTCCGTGGCGCGATCGAAGAGTCCGGCCAAGGGACCTATCGTGCTCTGGTCGCGGATCCGCACAAATCATGGACCACCCTCGCCGCCGCGGTCGGGTGTAACACGACGGCCACAGTTTCCCATCTGAAATGCATGCGCGGCCTGCCTGCATCGACGCTCAAAAACGCAAGCGAACACCTCGGCCTCGCATTCACACCCATGGTGGACAACTATACGTTCGTGGCGAACCGTAGCGAGGCACGTGCTGCCGGCAAGATCGCCAAAGTCCCTATCATGGCAGGGACTAATGCCGACGAAGGCACGGTCTTTACGTATGGAGACAGCAACCTGACAGAGTACCTTGCAGCTGCCCTGCCCACGGCACCAGTGAGCTACCTCAGCCAGATAACGAGTGCCTACCCGATCGGAAGTCCGGGGATTGCCAATGTTTCGCAGCAGATCGCCAAGATTTACACCGAGTTTTCATTCCAGTGCACACAGGCCCGGGTGTTGCGGGATACGAAACGAGCGGGCATCCCGACGTGGAGGTCAGTACCCTGTGTCCTGGAATACGGTGCTTCTTCGTCATCTTGGTTTGTCTGTGAAGCCACACATACACACTCTCCCTCCGTCTTTCCCTTTGTCTCTCTGTGGTTGTGTGTGTGTCTTCAGCTCTACTAACACGATCTCCTGTTCCGGTCAACTAGGTACTTCTACAACGCCACAATCCCACAACTCGAGCTCTTCCCCGGCGCGGGCGTCTACCACTCCTCGGAGATCCAACTCGTCTTCGGCACCTACCGCCACAATCCGCAGCAGACGCAGACTCCCCTTGAGCAGAAACTGAGCACCTACATGATGGGTGCGTGGGCGCGGTTCGCGAAGAACCCCACCCAAGGACCCGGGTGGCCTCAGTTGCCCGTGGTGACGGCACTGGGTGGCGATGGCGTGATTAACGCGTCGATTCAGAGTAGCGTGGTTGATAGGAGATGCGCGCTGTTTGATCCGGTGTATGATCTGCTGCAGTGAGGGACAGGGTGAGGGTGAGGGTGAGGGTGAGGGTGAGGGTGAGGGTGAGGGTGAGGGTGAGGGTGAGGGTGAGGGTGAGGGTGACGGTGACGGTGAGTGCGTCTGCGCGAACGACGACCGAGGACGCCCCATGAAGGTGAACGCAATGATAACATGATCCGTGTCTTGATGCGCGAGGGGTGGGCGGACATTACCACCCCACAGTGACGGCCCTCTCCGTACGTGTATATCTACCGAGGACTGGCTGCAATGCAGTACTCATTCTTTCACACCTGACTTACTACCCTATCGTACCCTCAACTGACCAGCATCACCAGCTCAATGTCCCCTACGCTCTGCATTGGACAGCCGCAGAAGACCATGATAGCGCGTTTCTGGCCCAGAGGGAAAAGCGCCTCCAAAAGCGGCGATAACAGCTCCCAACTCGGTATCAAATTTCCCTGCACCTTGCGTTGAACTGTAATAAATCGTAATCCTGGAAGTACTCCGTAAACGATGAAATGAAGGGCATTGCGGTGCATCCCTCTCAGCTGTCGTTGAGACGCTCGCTTGCTCTCCTCGTTCGCTACATTGCTGACATAGATCACATTGACGGTTGCCGTGGTGATGTTACGGCACCGAGTGCTTACACGGTACACACATCACCGTCGTGCCCGCTGAAAATTCTAGGGCATCCGCAGTCCGGATGCCATCGAGCATGGCGAGACTTCCATGGTATGGTGGAATTTCCATGATTACTAACTCGTCGACGGATACTACTTCGAGAGCTCAGCACCAAGGTTACTTACTTGCTCCTGGCGTGCCCTCATTGTCCTCTTGTTCGAGTGGTCTCTGTCTCGGTCGAGATCGTCGAGGACGTCGCAAGGGAACCCTCTTCAGAACATCTTGTCTGGCCTGACCCACTGCCGCTGAAGATCCATGTGAGCTGATGGTGGAAGGATCGCGTGACCAGGCACAGCAAATGGATATCTGTTGATTTCGCATATCACTTGGCATATGGTAAGTCTCGCAGCATATCTGGATGTGGTAGCCCGTGCGTGTTTCTGTTTCTGCACCAATTCAGTATTCGTATGACGCCGGTAGCGAATCCAAGACGCACATGCGATACCTGATTGTGGAACGATCACCCGGAAAATTTATCGCCGAACCTCTCGATGAGTATTCGTATCTTCGTCAACATAAGGGTCCCCGCGTGCTCGATCTCCCACGTGCTCAGCCTTGTATGCCTTGTGTCGACTTCATTCCCCCTCGTAAAGCACCCAGCCACCACTTGGGCCCAGACACAGCCTATGAGTCCTCCATGCAACAGTCAGCACAACCATATGTAACAGAGCAGCCAATCCAGCCTTCCACACGCGGAGATCTGGTACGGAGAATTCAAGCAATGCAACGGCCATGACTGGGTAGATGATCAACGCGTTCATGCCTTGCGATAGACATGGCTGTAAGGTACTTATAAGTTTGAGAGTCAGGATGGCGACTCGACTGGTACTTGAAGTTATAGGCATGTCGAGGACAGCATGGATGCGGTCGCGCAAGGGAAACGAAGGAGGCCGGTCATGTGATTGTATGTGTTCGAGCAGGAGTTGACGTCGAACCGGTGACTGCGCCGGAGACTTCTGGAGAGGTGATGTCGGAAGGGATATTGAATTCCGCTTTCCGCCGCGTAGGATCATTGAGCTGTTGAGCTTGAGTTTGCCAGGGTCCCCCGTTTTCGACCGAGAGCCGTTGTGCGGCAAATTCTCCGCATCACCTTCACTGTCGCTTGCAACGCCGGTGTCATCCGGTGTCGTTCCGGTGCGTTTTCGTTCTTGAATCATAAATTTCTGCCGCTTCGATCTGAGACCGACGTCTTGTCCTGGTCGACCTTGCGGTGAATTCCCTTTCCGTGGCGTATCCAATCTCTGAATCCGCCGGCCGGGAGTTAGCTCTTCGGGCTCCATCGAGCTTCTGCGCCGCGCCGCAGGAATATCGTCGAGCCTCCCGGAAGATACGACTTGAAGTACATCATCGGCACTAGGTCTCTGATCCGGTTCTAGGGACAAAAGTCGTTTGAGAAAGGCATACAGTGCAGCCGGCAACTCGGGGCGTAGCTTGCGCTGATCGTCAAAGCCTTCCCAGGCAGTAATTTCCTGTCTCAACACATCAATGTCTTCACGTTCCTCGTGTAGGACATTGGCAGCGCTGTAGGGGAGATTTGCAAAGCAGAGGAAGTGCAGGATCATGCCCAATGAAAAGATATCTGACTTGGACGTAAAATTCTCAAAGGGGCCCCCGGGGGAGATGCGACGCAGCACCTCCGGGGCACAGTATGATATCGTTCCTGTGGCGCCAGTGGACTTCCGCGTCGCATATTCGTATTGGACTTCACCGAAGTCGCTAACCAGTACTCTAGTCTCACCACCAACGGTGTGTAGGAGGCAATTGCTCGGTTTCAAGTCCCGGTGGATGAAGCCATTGTGATGAAGGTGCCTCAGACCAGAGGTGATGTCTCTGAAAAATGTGTAGATTTCATCAAAATGCAGCTTTTTGGGCTCATTTGCCCGGCGTGGTAGCTCTGACTCTCCTCTGGACTTCCGTCGGATGCGTTCCTTGAGTTCCTGGGTCGACGTTGACGCCTGAGCTGAGCCGAGGACATAATTCTGCATGTCTCCGCCGTTGCAGTATTGCTGGAGAATAAATGCGCAAGGGACGCTTGGCCCGAATTTGCTGATCTGGAAGTCTTCCAGCCAGACATGCCGGTACGAGACCAGATTCTGATGTGAAAGTGTCTGCAAGAGCTGAACCTCGACCAGGACCTTCTCCAACCAAGCATGATCGTCCCCGATCGGTACGCGTTTGCAAGCGAAACGTCCTAGCGTAACGCCGTCTAAAACATGTTTGACCAGCAGCACAACTCCTTTACCACCCCTTCCGAGCTCCCTTTCTTCCACGAAGAACTTCTCGAAATAATTTGGCGAGAAAGCAGTCTCGGAGATGCCGTGAGCCTGGCTAGGAGGCACTGGAGCGCTTGCAATGAATTCAGCATTGGGAGGCGGAGTTCCTGATGTCGCAGCCGACAAAGGATGGAGACGTGATCGTACTGGCTGAGCGATGCGGCGTCTCGGGGAGGGCGGTGCTGACGTTTCATTTGAGCCAGGCAGGCTCCGTGCGAGCATGTCAAAGTAGCCCTGTGTAATGAAGCTAGGTTGCTCTTCCATTGAGCTCGTCTCGGGTTCCGGTGAGGAAGAACCCGTCTGAGGATGCCAAGGTCGGCCACAGGCTGGACAATCGCTGGGCCGGCGCTCTACATCTTGGTGGAACGGCACCAATTGGTTTGTTCGCGGATCGCGATAGACGATCGTGTCTGCGTGGCGGCTGATGGGAAACGTTCAGTATGGTGTCTCTTGGTTCGCATGACGGGAGGTTGACTTACAGGACAACCTCACGATTATTGTCGTACGGAATGATGGAGAGACTCGGGATGTCGGTGTCCTCCATCTTCAGACCATCAGCGGCAATTTAGAAACAATGCATGGACACGTGAACGGTTTTGATAGGAAAGCGCAACCTACATTGGACGATGCTGCTGCTCAACTTGTTTGTGGCGGTACTGCCGGAAGGAGCTACTCAGTATCGCGTCACGTTGCAGCACGCGTTATCATGCGGTGAAGTGGCATCATCTTCCACAATTGCATCCTCAGCACGGGTACCGGATGTTTATGCGTGCCTTGAATGAAAGATGAAAGGTCATGGGAAGAGATAGAGGACGTGAGGAAGGATGAGGCCGAAAGCTCAAGACGGGAAATTGGAGTCGGATGACGGTGCCACCTTGACTGATGCTTTGCCACATTCCCTCAGAAGTTCCGGAAATGGAAGTCCGACACTGCGTGACTTGTCAAACACTAAAAAGTACAGCTCCATCAATCGGAATTCACATTAGATTATGATGCTACATGCTTAACTGTGTCCAGGCCTGGGGAAGACTGGAACGGTGTCTATGCTATTGACGTCAAAGCCTGAGAAAGTACCCTGGTTGCTGTGTTGCCATCCTTGTCCTGTTTGCTGATCCACAAACGCACTCTGACGGAACGGATTCGTGCTCCCAGTAACGTTGGTTGTGATAGGGCCACCAGGCGTGGTTGGCCGATTCTTCGCGAAGGGGTTTGTGCCTGTTCTTTGAGGCTGCAGGGCAGGGGGCGAGTTGAGAAAGGACGGATTCGGCGGGAAAGGCTGCTGTGGGGAGGCTTGAGTCGGTGAAAAGGTCGTTTGGTCATGGACCAGTCCACCGTTAGGCGCATTGGTTGTGGTAACGCCTGTGTTGTGCTTTGCAAATGGATTGGTCGACGCTCGAACAGGAGCAGTTGGGCTGACAGGAGAGAACTGCGTAACCCCGGTGTTCATTGTAGACTGGCGGAACGGGTTGGTGGATGTATGTTGTGGTTGTAACGGCGGCTGCTGTGGTGTTGCAAGCGCCTGTGGTTGGAAATTTGGCAAGCCGTTCTGAGGAATCGAAGATAGCGCCCCAGTGAACTGATATCCTCCCGGTGACTGTATCTGTTGCTGTGGTGGCTGTGGCTCGTACCCGCCAAATCCGGCTCCTGTAAAGTCTGTCTGCAGCCCCTGGAGCCCCGGTAAAGCCTGATTCTGGAAGGTCGGTTGCTGTTGGAGGAATGGATTGTAACTTTGCTGAGGCGCTGGCGCTTGCTGATAGGGCTGAGGCTGCGGCTGGAATTGCGGTTGCTGGTTGAAGTTGGCTTGCCCCATCGTTTGTTGATTCTGCTCGATAGATTCAAAGAAGTCGATAAGATCAGGGGCTGGTCCTTTTGGTTGGTCCTGGACGGGCGGTGGTTTGGAAGCAACTGACGTCGTTGCCGCTTCTCTGGTGGTTGTGGTTGGCTTGTCAAACGGTGTAGAGGTCGAGACGGAGGCCATGGGTTTTCCAGTCTTCTTTGCTTCTTGCTGTGCCAAGTATTGACGTCGATTCAGTTCAAAGTCCGCATCATGGAGGTATTCCTCGAGAGCGTTGGTTAGTGTTGTTGGTGCATGCTTTAACTTCGGAACTTCCAGCCTGGTATGCATTTCGTACTGTCTCGCCACACTGAGATACTGGACCACAAGCTCTGTCTGTCTTCCAAATGTCTTGTAGATCTGCAACGCTCGTTCGGCGTCAGGACGAGACATTTCAAAATAATGCTCTGTGTTCAATTAGCCTGGTGACTTCTGACCACCCGACGACCCCTGACGTACCTAGGACATTAATAGTGCCCTCGTTCATCACCTTGAACAGTTCTAGTAGATCAAGGGTGAGTAAGCGGAAAGCAGTCAGTGCGATCTCATTGTCGGGGTCATGGTTGCCTAAGAACTGCTACTCGTCAGCATTAATTCAGGTCGACGTCTTAAGCGGAGTGCTCACGTCGCATCGCACGAGGGCCTCTATTTGATCCTGTACCACCTCCGTCTGCCTCAGGAGCCCCTTCTCCACAGTCAATCTGCGCATTTTTCCAGCCCCAGACTTGACGAAATCCGTCTTCGTGTCCCTATAAGCTCGCACTCTTTCCAAGAGGTACTCGGAATATCTCCGAATATTGAGGCCCTGAGTTTGACCTATTCCTCGTCAGAGCCAAGAAGGCCGCTGAGGATGTCTCTTACCTTCAGTAAAGCTGCTAATTGCCAGCCTCTTGGGCGACTCAGCAATATACCTCAAAGTGACCTCGGGTTGGCCCTCTCTGATCATGAGGTGGACCACAATCAATGCCTTGAAGACGATCGTCCATGTTGAGTCTCGCAACCTAACTTGTAACGTCCGAAAGACCTCGGCGACGCCTGACTCTCCACCATTCGTGGCAGACAGGATGGGCTCGATATATTTTGACTTCGGAGCGGCCAACTAGCAAGCCGTCAGCACTGCCGATGCGCTCCACGAACCAGCCTCACCTTCACTTTTGTAGCGCCTTTCACGATCTTCTCCATGATTTCTTTCCTACCGCAACGGTCGTAGGCGCTCTGCAGAGCGAGCAGAGCTGGACGGCTTGGAGTGATGAGGTGCTTCCGATGTGTCCGCGCTTTGGGCCGGTTACGAGGAGGCTGATGTCGGGTGTAAACCTGATTATGCTAGGCCGTCATTGTTTCACAAGGGCATGTTGGACAGAGTCGCGATGCGGTACCACAGCCACAAGGAGTGCCGGCTATGCAGAGTCGGACTGCGTTAGTTTGTTGCTTGGTGGGTGCGCAGTCGCAACGCTGGCGGTGGGTTGGTCAGGCCGACGATCTACACACTCGGAAAGGTGCACAAAGGATTGACAGTGGTCGGGGATGGAAAGCTCTCGATATAAGTATTGTCATGCGCTGGACACCATAGTGAGTGTCCGATACATCTGGCACGACGGTGTAGCACCGATGTCATTCAAGCCTACGTTGCTAGATGATAGCGGAGTTGAGTGGCTGCTGAGCTGTCCGATCGTTGCCCCGAGCTTCCATCCCGCCTCTTGGCGGCTCCTGGGTCGGAGCGTCAGCCTTAGGAACTTGCAATGCCTTCTTCCAGAACCGCTGGTAAGTGATTCGGACTCCGCCCGTGGCTTCTTCCTTGGCAGGGTGAGATCGCATGTACAGTCCAAATATATAAAGATCCGTGTGCGGCGGGAAACAGTGGGCTGGAGGGAGTGGAAATCCGGGACTCAGCAGGCACAAGAGATTTCGTCATGCATTCGCTTCTATCCTCTCGCATCGTGGTCTCGTTTTTGTCAAGAGGAATAGTATACTCATTTGTCCCATGATGAGACCAAGTAGACGGACAGAGGAATTGTGCAGGACGAAGTCACCATATATTTGCTCAGTGTCTTTTCATTCAGTCTCGTAAGACCCGTATCGGGGCTGCTGTAACGTCAAGCATACGTGACAACTTGTTTGCCAATGCTGGATCTCTCCCAATGCTTAGCTTCACCCACTCCTGTGCAAATACAGAAGTCATAAACGATCGTGGGGAAAGAAACTCTGGTACTGACTCCCTCCGACGGTTCGCCCATGAATTCCCTTGTGCACTGATCCGCTTCCAAGGATGTTTTGTGGTGCCCCATTGAAAGACCATACCACCGAAAAGTAATGGTTACAGGTATTTTTCTCCCTCAGAAAAGCTCCTGTCCTGTTCGAACCAAAAGCATCACTTACACAGCAATCGAAAAGACAACATGAACAGTCTGTTTACCGTGCCGAGATCAACCCCATTCCATATCGGTATACAATCGGGAACTCAGTCCATCATGAATTCGCCACGTAGCATTCTTTCACCAAGATGATCCGGTTTCCTCAACACTCTGGCTGGAGGTGATTCAATGGGCTTTGGAATCTCTTTTGGTGGTTCGGGGTTGGAGATGCTTGCAGCACGAGGCCGAGCGGTGCCGCCCTGATGGAAGGGATTGCCCGAAGAGAAGGAAGGGGAGCGCTTGGTTCTGTCACGAATGGCTTCAGACCAATTGAAACCTTCTCCTGTTGATTATCAGTAAATAGAGACCCCACAGAGAAAGGTGGCTTTGGTTGCATGGTGACAGGAGTATGAAAGGGACCGGCCTCGACTCTTACCTGCAGTCTTGGCCGTCCCCGACGTGGCTCGACGTGATGGAATGGCATTCTCGGAATCTTCGTCTAGGGTAGTAAGAAGGGAAGACGAGGGGCGCCTACCACCGCCAGAAGCACCCGGGCTTCCTCCCAGTCTGACATCTCTTAAAGCTTGTGCGCCAAAACTGACCCGTCTCGCGAAAGATGGTGATGCTGGAGGGTTCATCACAGCTCGGGAAGTGTCATCCTCTTCGAGCACTACGGGCTCGTCTCCGAAGCTGTTCTTGAAATCTGGAGAGCTCGCAACAGAGGACGTCGCGACACTTGCCCGTCGTTGCGGTCCAAAGGCCGAGAAGTGAGGCTGGTTCGAGGGATTCGTGGTCAGACCGAGGGCGGTGATTGAGGTACCCCTCCGATGTTGTGGTACGGTAGGAGTTGTAGGGACACCGGCAGAAGGTGGCGAGGACGAGACTGCTGCGGAGGGCGATGCATTTATTCGGGGACTGAACATCTCAACTATCGAGGATCGACGGCGGTGCTGTGCAAGCGGAGGAGAAGGAGGAGAGTTTTGGTCCGACATGTTGACAAGTCGAGGACGTTGCAACTATCTGTCTCTGAGCTCCTACAGGAGTGAGATCGTAGAAGGGGAGGCAGGCGCCAGTGTAAGAGTGCCTGAAGCTCTGATATGGAAAGCGTTTAAGGGGGGTGGACAGTGAGTTGGACAAAGGGTCACGTCATTGTATGGTGACCGCGGCTGGTGGGGGATTCGTTTGATTGGGATCGTGCGAACAAGGATGGGCAAGGTGAGCGACGATCACAAAGATCTATGAGATGCACGCAGATGCCTGTTTCTGGGGTTCAGAATTGGGACGCAAGATTGGCCTAGAGAGAAGTGAATAGAAGGGAGGTAGAGTGAAGATGAGAGCAGGTAGGAGGTTAAAAACAACACGCTTTACGGAGTACATTGGTAAGAATTTGAGGAGGGTGAGCAGGCTTGAACGCAGACACGGTCATGCAGCCCAAGATGCTTCGGTTCTCTTTGCCTGGATGGAAAATCGGCCCCCAGACTCATCCCACTCCGTCAATTGGTCGATGGACTTAAGATACTGACCCGGAAGGAGTAACAAGTTTAGGGGCTTAGGAGGGCGGGCTGCATTAGCTTGGTGCACCTCCCACACCTCCCCAGGCTTTGCCGGCGCTTCCAGAGCCTGGAGCTGCCCTAGAATCGACTTTGAGCTCGCCAGGAAAACTCTAATAGGCTCTCCAGAGCCCACCGCCAGCGATCTACGCCCTATTCCCTCTTGGCACAGGTGCACAAAGTGTGGGGTACAGCATGAAAACACCTTGCTCTCGGACCGAGTCTTCTTCACTTCAACCTCACCACCATCCCTCCTCCTACTTCGAAGCCGCTTACAGGCATTCTTTACTCCAGTCGCCCATCCAGTCCCTCTTTTGGACGCTCCTCCACATCGCTCTGTTCCTGGCACGCGACTACAATTCCCTCGTATTGTTAGCAAAAGCGTGTCTAATCCTTTCGGAATCTCCTCGGCCTGCATAAAGCTCACCAATACGGCGGACATTGGTGCGGCAGACGTATGGCGAATTTACAAATGGGGTATAACGTCCTGTCCAAGGTTCGGCATCGGTGCTCTAATAATTCAGATGTCCATGACCGTGAGATCATTGTCTTCTGCCAGGATATTCTATCCGTCTCCTTCAATGGCATGCTTCAGCTTGGTTACATGCGCTTGGAAACGGTATCATCCGTGGCAGCTGAGAGCTGAGGTCCGACTGCGGAACCTCGCGGATTAGCCTGCCTATTCATATCTCCCTGGAACGTATCTGGACCCCTGCAAGCAACATGACAATCTCACCTCACTCAAAGCGAAGGTCGAGCATGGACCAACTGGAATGCACAGGAAATGCCAGCTGCAAGCAGGCTAGGCGGTTACCGGAGCGGAACAACATGTGGCCGGGATGCTATATACAAAGCAGAAATTTGGCCCTGCAGTGTCTGCGTGCGTCGACGACATACATCAATGCCTCTTTCAACATGAACAATGCTGAATGCAGCTGCCGACCGATCCGGATGCATTCGGTCGGACGAATGTATCATCCTTTGTCGAACTGGCCTCACGGTGAGTCTTGATTTATTGCGGTGCTGCTCATGCTACCTTTGGTTGTTCGCTGTCTGGTCTGCGTCTTTTTGCTCCCTTCCCCGTAAAATGGCTCCCCGTACCTATGCCGCTCAACGCAAACGACAGGCACATAGAGTTCTGAAGCCTGCTTCATCTACTGATGTACACACAAGGGTTGGTCGTTCGGCTCATCGGCCAAAGCGGAATGGGACAGTCACACAACTTGAGACCGTCGCACCCCATACCTCACCTCGACCGTGGCACTCGCCAAGCTCGAGGACCAAACTCCTCCTGACTGTGGCTGACGAGCTGAATATACCCGAGGATTCCGCAGCATTACGCCGCACCGTCAACAACCGACACACGACCGACGTGTCAAATGCACGATCTATACCGCTCCGGTGGGACAATTCGCCAGGCCTGGAGCTGGCCATAATTGACGATGCAAGTTCACTAGAGGATGTTGAAGATATGATCGAACAAATTACAGACTACTTCGATTTCTGGTCAAATAACGGCTCGAAGGAGGGACCAGCTAGTCTTTTCGCAGACATCAGACTCATCAATCGCCGTCTGGGTGTTGCACTTGGACTTTTCGGCGATCTCAACTCATCTCATATTTGCGGCAGGTCAAAGAGAGACTGCAAGGATCTGTACGCCAGATTCGTTGAAACGTGGAGCAAAGCCACTCATCAGGCCCTTGTCGACAAGCTCGATCGTCTCCAGGCGCAACTCCAGGCTCGAATCTCCCGCCGCTTTACATTGATTCACGAAATCGAATTCACCTTGTTTGTTCTGGATGTTGGTGCTGTTTCGTCGTTTTCCGCGTCGCAAGCACTGCTGGGCTCTACCTATAACACCGTTCCATTTCTTGTCTCTGAAGTTGAGGCAGAGGAGCTCTTCGACCGCGCCGAAACGTTACTCTTTGCATTCCAAGATGTGACATACAATACTGAAGCCAAGGAGCTGTGGCTTTTGATATGGCGGAGCTTGAAGACGGTGTTCACTGCCTTCGACCAAGGGGAAGCCCCGACCTCTCCAACGAACACTTTGCGTGACCGGCAATTCTTCGAGATCCCGGAAGTCCGCCGGGAGATGAAGCGTCTGATTTACGCTATGGAGGCAGCAAGTCCAACGGACATTGAAGATATAGTCGGCAAATACTGCCTCTACATTCACAGCTGTCAAATCGACCCCGGCAATCAATACGAGTCGCTTCAACGAACCCAAGACACTCCGCTAGGAAAACATACCAAGAATGCCTTGAGTGAATTCATCAAGACTGGAAAGTTCGAAACAAGCACGCTTTCCAAGCTTCATTTTGCTGTTGCACGATTCAACAAGATCAATGGCGGTCCAGTGAAAGTCACCCGATGGAGGGATCGTCACGACAATGGAGTATGGGAAATGATACCCTTGTACCTCGATTCTCCTGTCTCAACCGAGTCTCTTCCGTCAACAGAAGATCGCGCCAACGTGCAGCATACTAGCCAGCCGGGCTCGCCCTTGGCCTCAGACTCACATGCGTTCGACGTCAATGGCGGCATCAGGAATAAGCCAGCGAAGCGTGTCTTTCCCTACCCTGAAGGGATCAACCTCAAGAGCGACTTTGATTACGTATGGTATCCTTTACCAGAAACACGAGCTCACGAGGTGGTTCAGAACGAGCAGATATCTCGAGAACTAGCACAACCTAGAATCGCCTCAGAAGGCCCTCGACCCGAGTATTTGATCAACCGGCCTCCGCGTCACGTTCGAGACCCTACTCATTCCGCCAGAGGAAGTCTTGGACCTCTCTCCTTTATCCGTTATGCGGTACAACAACTGCTTGCAAAAAAGTGTGACCTCCCCGATATCAAAACTCCCGCTTTCAACCACCTTCCTATGCGCCACCAGTCGTTGCCACTGAAATCTGGATCTGCAATTCTTGACCCAAAGGCAAGAGTGCATAAGCCCCTTCCGTCCGGTCAGCTATCTGGGCTTCGCGGCGGAGAGGGGGGTCCTCCAATGAACTGGTCAACAAGGCGCAGCAGGCGACACCATTTCGACGCCGCAGCAATCCGTCGAAAAATGGTCGGCTTGAGTATACAGGAAGTAAGACGCAGATATGGTGGTGAGATACCCATTGATGTGGCCGAGATATTGAAGCTCTTGCCGCGGACTGGATACGATATTCAGGAGGTGGCCATGAGGTATACATCTCATGGCAGAAGCTCTCGGCTTAGTTCTATTTCGCCAAGTCACGGACGTCCAGGCGCAAGACCATCTGACCAGATCGGTGGTGCCGGTCGAAGCAAGCACCAGCCTTCTGTGTACGGACTCTCCGTGGATGAACATGCCGGGGTATTGGCGTACCGGGTGAACAACTCCCCTAGAGCCACAGTAGAGGGTTGGGAGGAAGCACACCTCAACGAGCATCATGAAAACGACGAAGATGGCGACCAAGAGAACCTCCCTCCTGGTCCTATAGGCGTCCGTATCCCGCTGGGTGAAATTCACCGAGGTGGATATCCGGTTGCCCCAAGTGATGGAAGTAGTCGGCGGCGAAGATCTGATAGTTCTGACCGGCCAGTGGTGCTACGCTGCCATCCATGCCCGACTTTTGAAGGGCAATACCATCATGAGTGCGCAGGGTGGCGTTCTTGTCCAGGATACGAGCCTCCGAGCCCTGGATGGATTCCGACTAGTCCGTCATACCCTCCCGACTATGACTGGGATAGCAGTGAGCCGAGACACAGTTCCGACGACGAGCAGAGGCACGAGCAAGACAACGGCAGCGGGTCCCCCGGGGACAACAGGTCAGATGACTCCTTGGTCATTTACGAGGATGATGTTCAACACGGCGGGCTGGACACCAGACATAATGGCGGCGGGTTTCTGGGGGACAACAGGTCCGAGGACTCTTTGGTCATTTACGAGGATGATCAAGAAGTCGGCGGGCTGGCCGCCGGACACAATGGCGACGAGCCCGGGCACGATGACTATAGAAGCCAGGACGAGAATGCTACACCTTCACCCCCTGGTGAGGACGACTGCACAGTGGAAAGCCTGTTTGGTGATCAAGAAGTGGGCTTTGCAACAGCCATTGGTCGCTTTGATATTCACAGCTTTGTTCTTGTTCAGCAGGAATTTGACTCGCTTGATCAAGGAGGGGTGGATTCCACCACGCGCGGCAGGGACGTCGGCAATTTGCTAGCCGGGCTGGAATCCACCGCAGAAGGGATCAATAGGCTGAGAGGAGAATACCTAGCCGCGCTCAAAGGGAAACAAAAGCCGCACCTCGAAATGATTCCCCAGGAGGAAATCAGGTCCAAATCTTGCACCAGGGCACATCCGGCCACACACAGGCTCTGCAAGAGGGCTTTCCAGGATGTCCGGTTTCATCATGGACGGGTGCTCCAATTCTTCGACTACACACATCCACGGACTCTCCTCAGCTTCCGATATGCGTTCAATGCGTTCATTGTCGCTTTCAGAGAGTTACTGTTGCTTCTACGGGAGTACCATCGGTCCCTCGTCGGACCCAGATCCGACAACGGAGACGAACGCGGAAACGACAATAGCCAACCTCCCTCTCCGCGACGATCGTCCAGCAATTTCTCAGTCGTCACGCCCCCCATCTCAAAGGTCGGTTATGTCGAAAATCTCGTTCAAAAGAACGTCCAGAAACCCTACGAAAAGGTCAAGAAAGCTTCCCCCGTGCCTAGGCCGAATCCTCTACCAGCGCGAAAGGATTACGAGAATATGTTCGTCCCTGAACTGTGCCATGAACTCGAACAGAATCGCGGCGTTGAAGATATCAAAGGCGCTCTGGGGAAGAGAAACCCCGTCAAGAAAGACTACATCGACAAACTCATGGCCCTGGACAAGGAGGGAATCGTCGGCAGAGGTGCCACGGAGTGTTACCGCAATATTACAGGGAACTGGAATGCACGCGGCACGCCGAAGAATTGGAATATCAAGACGGCACTTAAGGGGTATTATGAAAGGCTCGCCAGGGAGAAGGAAGCAATGCCGTCGCCACGATCGCGGCAGAGCACCAGCCCTCGAGGAACCTCGGGCTCGAAAAGTGTGACCGGATCGTCAGGACCTGTCCACCGTGGTCCTTTTCATTGATTGCACGCAAGAAGGTATCTAGAAAACCTTTGACGGGTTCAGACAGGGATTAGTTGTTAGTTGGAAGAACAGCCTTAATAGTTGTGTTTGGATAATTAGAAGATTGCGACTCATAGCTACTTTGTTGAGATGACTCGTTTGCCGTTTATAAGGAATGTTCTCTCCGTCGATCGTTTGCAGTTTTGCCCAGAAGGAAAAGGAACTCGTCGACGACATACCTGAGAAGCCCTCAGCAGAACTCAAGTCATACGACCGAGGCATGACTGCGTGGTGTCAGGTCGTCTCCCGCAAAGTTAACATGACGGCATGAGGAGATGAAACACGATCCGCAGTTCGGAGGCGCACAGCCTTGTTCGCTTGCGGTGCTGGTTTGATTGAGATCGCCGAGATATTCAGGGGAGACCAACGACGGACCATCGTGCCGCCAAGACATGTGGCACCTCGGCATATTCCATCTGTCCCTCGAACTGACCTTTCTCCGAACTCACTGTTCGCTCATTTCTGTACGTACACCGTATCATAGCGGAAGATGCGAGATAAAAATCAGGACCTTCTAAGCAGCTGGGCTACCAGGATCGGAGTGATTTGTGTCAACGCCACCTTATTGACATCCGAATGACACATCTACGAGTACTCCTCACTCATGTCAATCTCTCCGCAAAAAATGCGGAACCTCGTCTACCTGGGAATCACCCCTTGATGATCAAACACACTGAACCGAGACCGTTGTATCCACACCGTTCGGAGATTTCTGTCCCCGGCCTACTCCGTATTCATGCGAATACGAGGTGTTCCTTACCCAGTAGTCGACCCTGTGGAGGAGTCCGGGGTGTCTCACTGGTCTCGCAACCGTGACTGAGAGGACAAGGCCACCGCGCATCCATCCTATCCGATCGTCGTCATGAAACGGCAGAGCCTTGATCGACTCTTGCCATAACGAAATGCGGAGGAGGCGGATACAGACGCAGCACGGTGATGGTCCGCCCTTGCTTGTCGTGTTTCCTACGCCAGGTGGTTAAGTATGTGAGGTTCCTGTGTTCATGCTCACTTCACTTTCCCACAAAATCTACATCCCTCGAGTATTCACTCGACTGTCTGTCTCTACTGCTCTCCTTCAACTTGATAGAAATCGTTGACGCTCCTTAACTGTCGCTTGTGCTCTCTGACTACAACAATCAAAAGATCAGACCTCGAAGTCACAGCAATCTATCTTCTAACGACCCTCACTTGCACGTCACTCGTACCGTCGCTCGTCCGTGTTCCATCCTTGCGCGCAAACGACAAGGACTATTCAACCGTTCGACCCAATTCCACCATCTCAGCTTGATCACGACCTGACCTCACCTCGCCCTCTACGCCTCAATTCGCTTCAACACCAACTCAACTCTACCTAATCAAGGTCATCCATCTACCGATTCACCAAGAACACCGTAACCATGCGCCCCTCCATCCTCCTCGCACCCCTCGCCTCCGTCCTCCTCACCGCCCCCGTCCTCCCCGTCACAGCCCAAGACCTCCTCGGCGGCGTCCTCTCGGACGTCGCCTCCGCCGTGTCCAGTGTCGCCACCGTCATCGGCAGCCAAACCACCAACGAACCACTCATCACGTCGGTAGCCTCGGAGATCGTCTCCGCCGCGAGTTCGTTGACCAGCGACGCCAGCGTGATCAGCCAGTATAGCAGCTTGATCGACGGACTTTCCAGCCAGATCGCGAGCGTGACCTCTAGTGTTGGTTCTGTTGTTTCTACTGCTACGGAGAGTGCGGGCGCGAGTGCAAGCTCCAGTACGAGTGCCAGTGCGAATGCCAGCGGGACAGAAAGTGGGAATGCAGGAGGCAGGATGGTCGTGCCAGGCTGGGCTGCCGCGGCGATGGGCGCAGGTGTTGGAATCGGAGTCGGTGCTGGTATTGTGTTCTAAGGTCGCCCGCTACCTCTCCGTGCATCAGTACCGCATGCTGGACATGCCACTGTACGAGTACGCTATCCGACAGAATGGATAGTGACGACCTGTTGCTGCACGATATATCACCGTGCCCGTCGAGACTGCGTCGGATTCGAATCCCGGGTGTCAGGATCAGAACCAGAATGATCATCGAATTGGGAGTACTGTTCCACTTGGACGAAGGCCCATAGGCCTACTTCTACAGTCCGGAGGACGAGTACAGTACATATCGAATACCGTCTCCAACAACCAACCCAATCATCTGAACTCGATCCACTTGACTGCCCTTGGATATCAAGCTTGATTCTTTTCGGGGTTGATTTTGCTCAACCCCGCGAAATGAAAACCTCATGCACGCATTCGTCTGCCTCCTGTGCATATCTCTCTCTGTGTAAATCTGTCACTCTGTGCATATATGTCTCCGTGTATCCGTCTGTCTCATCTGTGCTTCACAGTCTGAGTCCCAGCTGCCCGCTGGAGTTGCGCGTCCCGAGCCGCCTGGCTGGATTCGCCAGAGCGAGATGAATGGACTCCGCGGCTGGGATAGATACTGAAGCGCATACACTCACACACACAGGGCTGGCCGCCGGTCAGACTGTGTATATGTGTCTGAGTCTTCCTGGTACACAGTTCACAGCAAGGACAAAACATGTATAGTCTTTGGTATTATCCCAAACCCGCGAACCAAAACTAGACGTCACGGGCGACAAGAAGCGTGCAGATAGACATGGCGGCCACGGGTAGCTGGAAGGCCTCATAAATGGCATTTAGCCCAGTCCCTGTATATAGCGGCCAGCGGGCTGGAGTCTACTTGTATATTATGTACGGAGTACTTGGTATTCTATTGATGCAGATCGAGAGGGGGGGGGGGGACACCCTAACATACTTGCTTCAAAGTAGGCGCCCAGTAGTGACGGGCTGACCTGTCAGCTTCCCATAACACAATAAGAAGGACGGCCCCCTTCCAAGCTCGAGAGTCGAGAAGTCACTACTCGATCGCGTGGCATGACCTCTCCTGCAGTGCGACTTGCCACCAGTGCATTGCAAAAGGGAACCCGATCACCTCGATCAGCCGGCCCATTCCAAGCTGAAGCTCGGGCAACGCAGTCTGGCCCTGCTCGGCGCAGAGGAGTAGGAGCCATCTCAAAAAACTCCAGACCACAGATCAGAAGGTCAGTGCATTTGCAGTCCTTGAATCATCGACCACAGATCAGAAGCCACTGGATTGCACTCCTTCGAGAAATCCGTGATCCAAGCACCTTCGCACCTTCGGTGTGTGTTGTCGCAGGATCAACGCACGGCGCATTCTTGATCCTGCGACGCACAACCCATCAATTCCAGTCGGGAATGTAAGCATGGGAAGCGCCATCACAACAAACAGTTGGCCTGCCTGCCACCTTGATTAACATGGGTTCGCTCGTGCTTGGTTCTTTCGTCCCCTTTGCGTTTGTTTCGTTCCAGTCACTCCTTTGAAGTCCAGTCACAAGTCACTCGTTTACCATTTCAGTCTCTTCTCTATCCCCCGTTGCAGGAACCATTTCTTTGCCAGATATCCTACTCCTAACCTTCCACAGCCAACCAGCATCATATCGAGTTCTGAGTAATCCGACAAATATGCCTTCTTTCACCACTGTCTTCGCCATCGGCGTCTTCGCCTACAGGGCCATGGCTCAAACCTCGAGCTTCAACCCGCCCGTCACCTTCGCCAATGTCACGGTTGGACAGGTGCAGACCATCGGGTGGACTCTCGGCGACGGGACGCCGGTCTCTCTCTTCCTGGGTAACACCAGCTGGAACATTGGAATCTTCGGTATGTTCGTCGCTCTCGAGCCATTCACGCGCTGACCAGCAACATCAGAAAACAAACCTGCCACTGACGCGACCTTTGACTGGACCGTTGCGATCCCTGCCGACTTCGTTGCAGGCAACTATGCCTTGGCTCTGGTTCAAAGCGGATCGATGGACTTCTCCCCCTTGTTCAGCGTCATTATCCCTCCTGGATACGTGCCGCCAGTGTCGACATCTTCGAGCATGCCTCCAATGACGGCGACGCCGATGCCCAATGCCACCATGACGGACGACCCGATCCTGATCTCGGCTTCTGTGACACCTGCTCCGATTGTGACTGTTACTGTCTGGGACCCAGAATGTGGCTGTCACAAGACCTCGGAGATGCCGGCTGCGGCCGTCGCGACCGGCTCAGGGGTTCCAGGCACCCAATATACCTGGTGGGACCATGAGTGCGGATGTACAAAAACAGCCATGGCTCCTGCTCCCACCACGGATATGGGCAGCAACAACTACACTGCTCCCACTGGTGGAAACGTGCCAGTCGCGCCCTCGGCTGCTCCTCCCTCGGCCCCTGCGCCCGCTGCCCCTTCGCAGTCGGTGTACATGGGTGCTGCGGGCAGACTCGCTGGATCATCGGTGGCTGTCCTGGGATTCATCGCTGCTGGATTGCTGGCATAACTTTCGTCTCGTGAGGACACTTTTGAGTTTCTTTCCTTTGTCTATCAGTGGGAGGGTATTAGCATCATGAGGCGCATTGCTGGAACATTGTTGTTATTGGCCATGTGCCGCAGGGTCGAGGAGGGGACATTAACTGTGATGTGAAACTGGTCGCGGGCTTCCACGGATGAGGTTGTATTGTATGCGACTTGGCGTAGGGAAGGGCCGACAAGCCGCAGATGGTTTCGACTGGTCGCTTACGAACCTTTTGAACACTGAACGACCATAGATAAATGACGGAGCGTTCTCGTCTCATCTCTCGCCTTTGATCTTCGCAAACGCGCTGCCGTCGCCCTTGATCTTTGCAAAAGCGGACACTTCTCCACTGCTCAACGAGAATGGACTCTTCGGACCGTCAGGAGATCTCGGGCTCAGCGCTACGGCGAACAGATCCTCTTCTCCCGGCTCCGCTGACTGATTCGGCAGGGTCATGGAGTTGAGTGAAGCAGTAGCTTGTGCATCTCCCTGCTGCTTTCTGATGTGCTCGGGCGGTGCTTGGGCGACGATTTTCTTGGCTCCGCCTGCAGATGCGGCGGACATGGGACCGTTGCGGAAAGCATTAAAAGATGAGTATGCCATATCCGACGCCTCGGGCGACAGGGGATGTGCTTCGCGTGTCGGCGTGTTCAGACCTCTCGAGCTGAGATCCTTGTCACTCGTGCCAATACTCAGTCCCTTTAATTTCTCGCTCAATCGTCTTCCTCCCGGGGACTTCGGACTTTGAATGCCTGGACTGGCAGGGCCCGTGGGAGACTTTGTAATATTGCTCAAATCCAGACTGGGCGGCTTCTGGACCAGGCCAAAGTTGTTCTCGATCCACGACCGTTCTGACTTGGCCATCTCCAGCGCAATGCCTTCGAGGTTGTGCTCTTCTTCTTGTTTGATTTCCTGCTCTAGTATTTGCAGTCTCTTCTTGGCCCATATCGTGTGTAGGACGCCCTTCTTCCCGCTGGTCTTGGCTGTGGCACCGAGCTCCGGCGTGAAGATGGCCGGCAGCGCGTTGACCGTCATTCTCAATGGTGTCACTTCCGTCGCCGGGTTCTTTGAGCCCTCTGAAGGGGGATAATATGCGAGAATAACGTGGGGAGGGATGATTGCCCCGGGCGGGAGCAGGAAGTATACACGGCGGATGTTGTCCGAGGGGTTGTCGTCTGCTGCAAAGGCCGTCTTCTTGCCCGACCACGACACTTGCCACTTCCCTGCCTTGTTTCTCGTCTCGTCGTCGTCTTGCCATTCGACCATCATCACTTTCGTGCCGTCGTTGCCCCTGCCCGGCTCGAACTCGAAGCGAGCCAGCGCAGTCACCGAAGACAGGGTGTCGGGCTGGATGGGCGACATCGGCGTCGCGGGGGTTTCGACTTCGGCCATATCTTCGGACGGGCGTGAGACGTAGCGGGCGGAAAGAGAACAGAGACGAGGGGGACACGTTCAAGCCAGCTGAGGGACGTGGTGGACGAGGCAGGTGGCGAGAGCGAGGCGTAACCCAAGACCAAACCTGGAAACCGGGAAAGCGAGTCGCTGGGTGTCTGATAGATTGCAAGGACTTTTAGTATGGACGACTAGCAATAACTAATAATTCCCCGATTATCTCGCAGCGGGGCGGCCAACGGCTGCAACCGTCGTAGAGTCGGAGTCTGTTTTTAGCTGCCTCTGCGGCCAGCGCATGCAGGGGTGGGTGTGTACATATCGGCGCAGTCCCTCGTGTTGGAGACCAGCTCGATTCATAAAGCCTGCCCATACTCTTGTCCATACCGATCGTGACCACAGCAGCCAACGCTTTCCTTGCTTGTCAGCGCATAATCGGCGTGTCAAGGACCAAGGCCAATGCTGCCTCTCGGCTAAGCGCGAAAAACCCCTGCAGACGGCGTCGTCGCCAATAGACGCTGTGTGACGCATCACCTTGATTCCTCGTCCAGCGGCTTGGAAACCAATCGCCAGCTGAATTTGTATATGCTCTGTAAAACAGGGGCTAGATATTCACGGCGACCCAACTCGGCAACGGGTGCGTTCCACAGTGTCCACATGTCCAATCCGTCAAGATCATAAGTTCCTCATGGGTATATGTACGATATCATAGTCCATCCGCGCCAACATTGCAATCAGGGAGAGCCAGATCGAATCATTAACAGAAGCCGCCTCGTAAACAACAACTGAACAAGATACGCGTAGGAAGACCGGCGCTATGCGTCGATCCCTAAGCCAACTTCTTTACCAACTGAGGCTGCCAGACCACCAAACCCTTCCTTCTTCAGCCTTTCGATGAGAATCAGGCCTTTTTCTCGTTTCTTCGCTTTGATCTGGCTCTCTAACTCGGCCACCTCGCTCGCGAGCATTTTGCGGCTATCGTCTAGGTTCAAAGCGATGAACTCTTCTTCGTACTTCTTCAGTTTGATGAGTTGGGTTTCGAGCTCTGCAATTGAAGCGTCCAGGGCGGCTGTTGGTGTCTTTGTGTCGGTAACAGGGACACTTTTGGTGGGGGACGTGGTAGGGGCTGACGATGGCGTGCTGAAAGTATCCACCGAACTGCGCGGTGGGATAGATAGACCCGTGCTGGCGGACGACGCATGTCCAAGAATTGGTGGAAGCGTGTTGTTCTGGTTGTGGTGAAGGCCCGGTATGCGACTCGTCCCCATTGTTGTGGAAGCAAGCGATGCAATCCCCGGCGACGTGCTCACTCTTGAATATCGTTCGTCCGTCGGGCTCATCGCGAAATCATGGCCATCCGTGATTGTCTTCACACCTGGCAACAGCGCCGAGAATGCGCCGTTCGCACTTGAAAAGGGCACATCCATCAAGTAGTCCGAGCTTTCACGCGAAAAGGCCAATCTGGAACTGGAGAAGTCGGGCTCTGGTGTAGGCAGCTCGATCTTGCGTAGAGGCGTCGCTGGTCCAGGCTCGGCTGATGAAGATATTGTTCGCTTCTTGCCCGAGACCTGTGCCAATCCAGGCAGCTGTTCGCTGCTGGTTCCGGTGCCGTTGGGATTGCTCTCTCGTCTTCCACCACGTCTCTGATCGAAGACGTTATCTGCAAAGCCCATAACCTTACCACGGGAATCACATGCTTTGACTCTCCTCTTACTGGCAGGTTTCTCGCTTTTCACGTATGCCGTCGCAAAATGACAACACCGACAATTGCACGTCTCGGTGCACTTGGGGCACGTCCACAATCCCTTGTGGCGAAGGACCTCGGCAGGATACTCGTCAAAATGCCGGAACAGTCCCCGGAAGCAGAAGAAGGCGGTGCACCTGTCACAACGACGACCTTTCCATTCCTGGTGGTCAATGCGACATAGATGGCACAGCCTTGTGGTGGACGACATTTTGGCCCGCATGAGATCATTAACGGCTGTCCCCAGCGCCTTTCGTTTGTCCAAAGTCCGTGGCTCTTCTGGCTGGAATCCGAGAATCTCCCGTGCCCTGTTCAGGACCCTGGTGCATTTCTCGGCGGGTATCAGCTCCGCCCATACATATGACTGAAAGTGCTCACAAGAACGTCCGTTGAGGTAACAGAGGAGGCAGAGGTCGAAGTCTGTGCATTGGGTACACCGTACATGACGGTTCCAGATGGCTGTGCTGCAGAAGTTGCACGTTGCGATGGTCCCTGTTTGTATGGAAGCCAAAGTTATTGGTGTTATAGCCGGAGGCTCGATCGTTTCGTCATGCACCATCTGCCGGAACAACCGTGAAAGCAATGGTAGATCGGGCGGCAACGGTAACAATGAATTGCTCATTGTCTGGTTGTCTTGGAGAAGTGATAGCATTGCGCATGCCAACGAGAGATTTGTCCTCGCAACGTCGGGGTGGCACAACCGGTTGAAGGGGGCTTGCACATAGTCGAAGCCGACCTCGAGTGAGAGAGGGTGGAGGATGTTCCAGACTAGCTTTGCAGACAATGTCGCCGGATTCCAGACTTGATGCGCGGTGGCAGGAGGGAAGACCACGAGGTCGCCAACCCGTTGGTCGTAGGCATAAATAGGGAAATCGGCCTTGAGGAGCTCCTCCGAGCCGAGATTGAGCCAATCTAGGTGCGGCGACGCCCCATGCGCAGACATGAAAGAGTCGTACTTCTTCTGAGAATCGAAGTCTGTGCCGATGCAGACGACAGGCCGATCATCGGACTCGACAAGCAGGTTCAGAGCCACCGTGCTGGAGAAGCATCGGTGGAAGCCTGAGCTGCTTCCTTCGCTGCCCACGTACGCCATCATGACTTCGCTCCGCGCACATAGTGGCAGCCATTGAAAGAGATCCAGACGACCACCCCATTGCACCTCGGTGGGTAAGATTCGGCGACACTGCTCCAACCATTCCTGGGGACATTGCAAATCTCGAGCATACAGATTTTGGAATTCGGGGTACGACTGTCTGGCACTGTCGGCGAACTTTTTCAGCGTGAACGACAAGTCTCGACCGGTACTGCAGTTGCGTATAGGTATGTTCTTCTTGGTGCTTAGCTCAATCAGCCTCTCAATTCCGAAGCCTGGTTGGTGTCCATCGTGCTGATCGGAGACGGGCCAAGTCTCCAACTTGTCAAAGTCGGCGATGACAAAAGGTTGGCCGGACTGAAGGCGTTTGGTAAGCCACTCAGAGAAGGGAAGGGGGTTCCCATCCTGGTCCTTTTCTTCCTGGAGCGCAAGGATGCTAAATCTCGGAAATTCGACGAACGGCTTCCCTAGGCGCAGGAGTTGTTGGGCCGAACTGTCTGGCGGGACCATTAAAGAAGGCGTCTGAGGGATCATGTCGACCTCACTGAACTGGTATGCCTCATTGCGAGGGCTGGGTGCCGAATGACAGAGGGAGCGGGCAGGATAATCTGTCAGAGGACGTGACAGTTGATACTCGAGGGCCGGGCGGTGGCCAAGAAAAAGTACGTAAAGTGATGTGAGAAGAAGCGAGACGAGGATCCGAGGAAGTCCAAATGGGAAAGACGAGATCCGATCTGCGGGAGGAGGAGTAGAGAAAGTGCGGAGTTGCGACTCACCCCTAACCGGATGACATCTAGCGGCGCCCGACCCGCCCGGTGGTGGAAGCCACCCAGGCCCAGGCGTGCCAGGGTGCCCAGGGAAGCCAAGGGGAGACAAAGCAAGGTAACTTCCGGGCGGACGTGCGCCTGTGTGATTGGGGCCGGCGCCCCCATCGCCATTGACAGGCGGTCCCTGGTCGCCCAAGGCCTCTAGTTGAAAAGTCATCTCGACACGAACTGTTAGCCTCGTCGCCTGTATGCGGCAGGTTGTATCGAAGCAAGCTGGATTCGGTCATTGCAGCAAGACCACCTACTGCCCCATTCTCCCTAGGCTCTGACACCTGCAGCCACGTCCGTAACAAAATACGGGGTCTGTGTATGAGTAGAAGCAATCCTTATCGCTGTCCGTGGTCACACTCCGCTCCCAGTTTGGTCGAAGCAAAAAGCCACACCGCAGATGTGCCGAGCAGAGAATCCTGCGCAAACTCACAGCTGCCCCTAGCCAGGACGCATACTCTATACCGTTGTAACTCTCTTGCGGGTGAATACCGTGGGACTCAGTCGCCTCAGCGGGCCGATCATGCATATCCGCTCAACCTCAATGCCGTAATAGCTGCCTGGTTCCCGAGCTTCAAAGCCCCAATGCCTCAAGGGCTACCCGTTGGCAGACCAGAGGATGGCCACGAGGGCTCGCACTCAAGGTTCCCTGGCTGAAGGGACTAATTGCCATGCGCCCAGTCCGTTACAGTTCCCTTCATGCACACCGTTCCGTCGTTGCTCACCACCCTGATATCAGCCGCCTCCTGATCCCTGGCTCCCTCATCCAACATCACCCTGTAAGCCTCTCCAGCATACACAGGGCTAGTAGCCCGGTACTCGATCTTCTGCGGGTAGTAGAGCACCTCGTCATCCTGCGCAGACCCTTCTCCAACCCCGCGGTATACACTGACCTCGTCGCGCCACAGATCCAGCATCGCAATCAAGTTCAATGGTCCATGGACGACCGCATTCCTGTGACCTTCCACCTCTGTCGCCCACGGTTTATCGTAGTGTATCCGATGCGCGTTGAACGTCAATGCTGAGAACCTGAGCAACGTGGCCTCGTTGCGATTATACTCCCGCCACAATTTCCCCTGGACACTTTCATCCAAGGCCTCGTTCGACAGCTCCTGTGGCTTGGGAACCAAAGACGCCGGCTTCGAGGGATCGAGAGCTTCTTTAAAAACCCAGTTCCTCCTATCTAGTACACATAGCTCGTCTTGACTGTTGCGGAACTCTTTCTCCACGCCCACCACGAGCATTGGCTCGCCCGTTTTGCCGATAACCTTCGGCTCGCAGCTTAGCACTCTAGTGACTTCCGTGACGGTGTCGCCAACGCGGAGCAGCGCCTGTCCACCACGCTGACGACTCTTGTTAGGATCAGCACCCGGCCAGTGGAATGATCCGCCCGCCCACATTCGTCTTGTAAACGGTGCGTCGGGATTGAAGCTGGCATCGGTCCCGTCTTGCCCCAAGATGCCCGGTAGCTGTGCGGGCGTGAAATAGCATAAATGGTATGCCGGCGGTAAAGGCGAACCCTCCTGTGGTTCCACCTCCTCGAGAGTCATCAATGGTCGCACGGAGCTCCCCGGCCATAAGTATGGTCGATTCAGGGTGAGGGAGAAAAGCCGTACTTGGTTTGCATCAAGTAGTTGCTTGCGCACAAATGTCTGGCCCTTCGAAAACTTGCTTAGGAACGCCTCTGCTACTGCTTTCGGGTCGACAGATGATGAGCGTCTCGTCCTGGTAGTTGAGAAGCTACGGGATTGGATTCCGAGACGAACGCTGGCAGCTGGTAACATGGCTACGCATCCTGGGCAGCTGCGTACAGCCGTAGCCATGTCCAGGGATGAAAGCGTCGAACACTCTGGATCTCACGTACCGGCACACTGCTAGTTCCGACTCTCTTGAGAGCTTCCAGCTGTTGCGAACGAGGGAGAGCTTAGAAGCAGATTCAAGGATTAACTCGTCTGACATCCCCGCAAAATCACCGTCTCCGAGATCGGGGTGGCTTGCGTCTCGTACCCTGGTTTTCGAGACACATGGTTCCGAGGTTGATCGGTCACCCCACACAAGCAGGGGAAGTCGTCTTACGGTTGTGGATAGATGGAGCCCAAGTCTGACAGACACTATTGCAGTGGGGAGGTCCAGTCGTCAAGACGGGTTATATTACTCTCCATATATGTATGTCACAGTCGCAGCCCATTGTCCATCCTTTCTATACACAAGAACTCCCTGGATGAGAGCATAGATACACATGGTCCAAAACGTCGTTAGGACATGCACCCATTACCCCTACTATCTCTTTTCAACAAGCAAGAAATGCATCGCAATATAGGCAATGATGATGAAGGCCCCGGCAAAGACTCCCAGGCCGATGACATCCTTCCACAATGCCAGATTGTCGAACCCGAAGGCGCTCAAGATACTGGCTCCAGGAACTTCTATGTCAAGGCCATACCGGTGGTCCTTGAGACGTAGCTTGGCAACCTCGTTGACGATAAGGGCTTCGTAGCCATAGTGGAAGATGGACAACTGTGGCGGGTTAGCACATGTCATTTGCCACAGGATCAGAATGCTCACCATTTGCAGCCACTGAGCCGCTTGCTGGACGGTGTCGTGATTGAGATTGAGAAGCAGGCCAGCAAACAACAAGCTGAACAGCATTACCAAACTACCAATCAAATTGGCCACAGCCCCGTCTTTGAACACAATGCCTATCGTCAAGCAGATGGCCGCTGCGGCCAAATTGAACAAGACCAGCACGAGTATAAAAGTAAAGAAGACGCCCCACTTTGGCAACAGCCCACACATCGGATAGAGGATCATACCCATTATGATCGGCGGGATCAACCTGAGCGGAACAATGTCGAACAGGAGCTTCGCAGCGTAGTATGTGAGAGGATGGTAGTATCCGTTAGCTCGTTCCCGGACGAATATCAGCCGCTCCGCGCTGAACACGTTTAGGCTGGTCAAAGCACTGAAGCCAAATAGTGCCAGCAGGAAGAAAAAGAGACCAAGTCGGTTCTGGAAGCCTCCAATGTCGTCGGTGATACCGTAGAATAACCAGCCTGACAACACTGCTAGCAGGATGGCAACAGCATAGTGAGTCAACATCAGGATCGGGTTTCGATATAGATTCCGCCATGTCCGCTTGGAGAGAATCAAAAACTGGCGCGGGAGGCTCACGCGCCGAAAACCTTTGATGGAGCCTGTGACCGGCTCAACAACTGCACCTCCACTACTATGGCCGTTTGCGGCTGACGCGGCTTGTATTGACGAGGCAATCTCGTCGTGAATCGTCTGGGCCACGTCGGAGTTCTTGAAATTCGTGACTAGTATGTCGAGATCCGTGTTGGCGTCTGGTGGTAGGTCATCGGGATCTTCCAGCAGTGGGGGCGGATTCGACCCGTCTCTCCTTGACATCTGCAACCAGCTTCGCATGCTGCCTGTTGCTTTGCCAATTATCGTGTCTTCATCATCGGTCTTGGGTGTCGGTGGAGTCTCATTTCCAGTAGCTTTCTTCCGAGTGAACAATTGACGGTCCTGCTTCTGTTTCAAGGAAATACGACGTTTCGGCTTTATCCGTAGTGATGGTTCCCGAGGACTTTCAACGCTGACATTTGACACGCTGGCAATTGACTTGACGGCTCTGGTGCTACTTGACTCGGTTCCCGGGCCATCTCGATCCAACAAATCTCTCGGCACATCTTCAAATACTGGAGAACGCGGGAGACTAGCATGCATTGTCAGATCCACAAGGTAGTCTGCGATGTTGAACCCCGGCGGACAAGAGTATCCGATGTGATCGAAATATGACTGACAGCTCGAGAAAGGCCCAGAGTAGACGGTCTTGCCTTTGGCGAGGAGGATCAACTGGTCGAACAGTGCGACGATGTTCGAGCGGGGTTGATGTATTGTGAAGATTACGGTTCGGTTGTACGTCTTAGCCAGAGTGACCAAGCACTCCACGACGTTGAAGGCATTGAAGGCATCCAGACCGCTGGTCGGTTCGTCCAAGAACAGAATGCTCGGGCTCGTGACGAGCTCACAGGCGATGCCCACTCTTCGCTTCTCGCCGCCAGAGACGCCTCGACCGTTCCCTTCTGCTGACCCGATTATTTGATCCTTGATATGGTAGATCCCGAGTTGCTGCATGACCTCGATGACTCGTTGTTCCTTGACTGAAATACCCATATCTGCAGGCAATCTCAAGAGCGCACTCGTCAAGATGGTTTCGTGAACTGTCAAAGTCGGCAGCAGAGTGTCTTCTTGGTCCACGTAACCAATGACATTTCGATACTCTGCGTCCAGAATCTTCTCGCCGTTGACGTACATGCTGCCCACGACTGCCCCGCGCTTGTTCTTGCGAGCCAGGATGTCAAGGAATGTGGATTTACCAGCACCTGAAGCACCCATGATGGCAGTGATTTGGCCGGGATGAGCGATTCCGGATATGCCAGAGAGAATTTCTTTCCCTTTGAGGCCGTAGGACACGTTTTCGAACTGCAAAGCCATAGGAGTATGGTTGATCATTGATGCTGCAGCATCATCTTCCGTGCCTTCGCCAAGTCGGATAGCTCCCCATCGTCTGAGGGCTCGCCTATGGGACAGGTACCATGCTACGAGCGTGATAGCAACCACGAACAAGGCGCACCCTGCAATAACGCCAGCGATCAAAGGGGTGTTAATCTCTTTAATGGGTCTTGTGAATCCAGGCACATCAGTCTCATACAAGCATTCCCCTGATCTGCATTGTAAGGAAATGTACTCGTCGCCAAAGATCATGGAAATTAGGTTGTTCATCGCAGGCTCTTCGAATCTGCTCCCATCTTTAGCGCTCCCACCATAGGTGTGCTGGGTATAGAATGAGGCAGGTCCCTTGATCTCTTCCTCGAGAAACTCGTCGATGTTGACGGAACCATCCTCGCCACAAAGAAACCGATCCGCGATGCATGAGCATTTGATGTTCTGGCAAGTGTATTTCGTGGTGTTGCGAGCATTGGTATCCTGATAGCTGGACGTACAATTGTCGAGTGCGCAATAGAATGATTCCTTCTGATCGACCCAGAACTGAAAATTGCAGGTGGCTTCCTCGGCATTGCAGGAAAAGGTGACCTGGGGTATCCTAGGGTCGATCTGGTCCAGAATGGCCTTATTGGTAACGTTGCACATCTGGAAGTTCTCTTGAACAAGGACACCCTTCTTGTAGCACACGCCGCCTTCACCCGAAGGCATCAGAGCATTGCAAGCTTGGTCCGAGGTACACACATTGCAGTTGATCCCTTCCCAGCCATCCTTGCAGTCACACTTATCGCCCTTCCGTGGTGACCGATTCTTGCCATCTGCCAAGGAACCGCATAAAGGCTCTGCGCAGTCGTCGCCACCAAACCCGGGAGGGCAGACACATTTCCCATTGACACTCCCGCAGCTGGCGAACTGTAGGCACTTGAACTCCTCGTAGTGGCAATCGAAGCATCGAGGGCAGGGAGGACACCCGTCAACTAGCTCAAGGAAAGGATCTTGCATCAAGGCCGCAGATGTGTCGTTGCGGTAAGCTGCACTCACCCATATTGGGGAGACAAGCACGAGGGCCGCCACAAGGGCATTGAGGTACATGGGTAGTGTGTTCCGTCGTCAGTGTATCGCCGACACGTGCAGAAACGGGAGGCGGCGACGTGGCAGGTACCAGAGGAAGAGGAACGAGGAGCTAAGGAAAGCAAGTGCTGGAGATCTGGATGAGCATGGGAGCAGCCGTGAGATTGCGGTTCAGAGATAGAGATCACACCATGCCAGCAGCAACATATGCAACTGAATTGGAAGGTCGAATGTCGCAGTCACCTAGTACAGTACGGTATCATAGCATCTTCCCCAGCGCAGCCAGTGCTTAAACGGCCGTCGCCCGCAAGCCGGACTTGATCCAGTTAGGCGCCAACAATTTGGAGCCAATCGTCACGACTCTCCGACTAGGTGCCAACGGATAGCCAAACAAGATACGAGATACGAGCAGACAAGCCTGGGGCTCCAGCCACATGCACCCACGCCGAGGCCTTCGATCGGACTGGCTGAACTGCGTAGGTGGGGGAATTGTCTGCTTGCTCCGCACCATCGTCAGTCCGCCAGCAAAGTTGCCCAGCAGGACTCCATACACAGTACACTGCGAATAGACAGTGCGACAGAGGGCATTGTTGGTGAGAAAGTGTAAAAGGAAGATGACAGCTGTCGGGGAACTGGAGCTGCTCGAGGTAAGTGACCAAATATGTTGTCTATCAGGGTACAGAATGGCTGACACTCATCCAAATCAAGTGGGCAGAGAAATATCTACCCTTAACTAAGCACGATCTTTTGTCCTCAGGCACTACGAGCATCTCGATTTCGGACCTTTTGGAGATATCAGAAGACAGACGAGGCTCCGAAGAACATCTGTCGTTGAATACACTAAAACTAGAGGAGAGTGCTTCTGGTGCTTCTAGCTCAGGGAGTCTCGAACTGCGCAAGAACCTAGCAGCTTTGTACTCGGCGCGGACTGGTGGAGTGACAGCAGATGACATTCTAATCACCAATGGAGGCTCTGCCGCTGACTATACAGTGCTATCAGCGGTGCTGGCACATGGAGACCATGTTATCTGCCAGCAGCCTGTCGATGAACTGTTGTCCAAGATTCCAGCTTCACTAGGTGCAGAGGTTACAATGTGGAACGCTGAGCCAGCGAAGCAGTGGAGACCTGATATTGACGAGCTTAGAACCTTGATCAGAGACAACACGAAGTTGATAATAATACAGAGCCCTTGTGACCCCACAGGGGCGATTGTTCCCAGACCAGTACTCGAGACACTCGTGGAAGTGGCTGAAGATAAAGGCATATTAATCATGGCGAACGAGGCATACCGACCGCTGTTCCACTCGATATCACCGTCCGACGACGATTTTCCACCGTCGATGATCAATCTGGGCTATAGAAAAGTTGTGGTTACCGGCACCGTCGAAAAAGCGTACAGTCTGGGTGGAACAAGAGCTGGCTGGGTTGCGACGAAGGATACGAGCATTATGGCCGCTTGCAAGAAAGCCAGACGCCTCAAGTCCACATCAGCCTCGATCCTGGACGAGCTAATCGCAGCGGAGGCTTTAAGCGACAGGTGCATCCATGCATTGTTAGCTAGAAACATCAAATTGTGTCAAACAAACCTAGGCCTGGTTCAGGCCTTCGTGGACGAACACAGCTGGGCATGCTCCTGGGTCAAGCCACAGGCCGGTACAACTGCGATGCTGAAGTTCCACAAGATGGGGAAGCCGGTCGACAGCGAGGGATTCTGCTTGAAATTGCTCGAGCAGGCTGGCATTCTTCTCTGTCCAGTGAGCAGGTGCTTCGGCGACAGTCGAACGGTTCGAGGGTATGTGAGAGTGGCGTTTGGAGCATCGACGCAAGACGTCTCAGCCGGGCTGGCCGCTTGGAAAGCGTTTATTGAGGAGGCCTTCGAATCAGTGCCCACAGCGCCGAGCAAGTCGACCCCCTGAGCCAGGCGCAGGCTCTACCAGTTAGAACGTAAAGGACTTCCTCTTCCCCACTCTTTTCCCAAAGCAAACAGTCAGTATGAGTCCATTCCAAGATTGAGAGTCAGAGATGCCTTCATCGCGTTCGTTGTATGTAACAAGAATGGGTGTGCCGAACGCCGATCTCATTGTCTCCTAATCCCGTCGACCAGCAGGCCACTTGAGCTCCGAAGAGAGAGCTTGCTGGTCTCGAGGCAGGGACAGATCATATGGTACACGCTAGGCTTTCATCATCTATGCATTAGTCAGTAAGGCGTGATGGAGGTGTTGAAGAAGGTGGGCTTACTTGTTCAAAACTTGGAAGGATGAAGAGAAGAAAAAGGAAAGAAAGAGGAGCGACGGAGAAATGAATTTGTGGTGATGGCTCTGACCACTCACGTGTCCGGAATTCAACCGGTTTCTCCAAGCAGACGCTTTGAATTTCTACAGAGTAAACAATACCTTCCCAGACACGACCCATAACACCGCGTTGGCCTTCGAGTGCCATCAGTTGATGGAGCTCCGTACCTCAGTCGCACGCTCATTACAATTGCGTCAAAGCTATATCGAAATCTCGAGGTTTCTACGTGCACGGCAATGGCACGGCCGAAGTACATCATGCACAGCACAGAGATACGTGAGCACGTCGGCCGCTCCTCGCGACGAGGCCCGGAGCACTTTCTTCACCAACCACCTTAAGAGTTTCGATCAGTCTCGCCGTCTCGGCCAAACATTTTCTGGTGAAAGCAGCTCTGGATGGGATCGACTGCGGCAGATCAACCCAGACTCCCTCGCCTCACCCACCGACCCGGAATCAGAGCAGGTACATCTGTATGGTTACGTGACCTCAATCAGACCTGTCAAAGGATTCGAATTCATCCAACTGGCGGATCCTCGTTTAGAACTTGCCGTGCAGGTCATTCTGCCCCATGCCAGAACGGAACGGCACTTAGTCGAGGATCAAGAGGCGGAAGACGGCCACAGCTCAGGGGACATAACAAATCAACCAGGGCATCTTCGTCCGCACACACCCGTCAAGATATCAGGTACCATTGTCCGTCGGTCAGTGCCGCAGAGAAAGAACAAACGTGGACGGCAGGATACGTCGGATGTGCACGGGGCGTCGAGGCACCCAAACACAGTACAGATGCTGGACCCCTACGTTGGACCTGTGGATCTCATTTCCCACGTTGAAATTCGCGCAGATAATCTAATGAAGCTCAATACATTTCCTCCTGGGCTCGTTGCAACTTGCGAGACTGTCTTCCCACCAGAATTGCGTCACGTGCAGTTTAGAACAGACTCAGAGCTTCGCCGTCGCATCCGACTGCGCTCTCGGCTTTCTGGAAAGATACGTGAGCATATGCTAAATGGCGAGTTTGACGAGATTGAGACGCCTATACTGTTCAAGTCAACGCCTGAAGGTGCTCGAGAATTCCTCGTCCCAACGAGGCGAAAAGGGCTGGCCTACGCACTCCCGCAGAGTCCGCAGCAATACAAACAGGTCCTGATGGCATCCGGAATTCCCCGCTACTTCCAGTTTGCCAGGTGCTTTCGCGACGAAGATCTCAGAGCTGACAGACAGCCCGAATTCACCCAGGTATCTAGCGCTGCCTCCATATTCTCAGGCGAAGATGCTGACTGGTGCCATAGCTCGATCTCGAAATGGCTTTCGCAGGAAGTATTGATGTCATGAAAACTGTGGAAGCTCTGCTCTTGGAAGCGGTCTGGCCCAATGTGCCTGGTATCGCATCATTACAACCACCTACTTCCACCAGGCTCTCTGACAGCGAGGAAACGATTTCAGATCCTAAGCGTCTGGCCTTTCCACAGCTCACATATGAAGATGCAATGAGCCGGTATGGTTCGGACAAGCCCGACACGCGCTTAGGCTCCGAAATCCGCAGGGTGGACAGCTGGCTGCCACCAAACGTGAAAGGCATGATCACGTCGCTTGATGACCCTGTAGTTGAGATGATGAAAATCGACATGCAAGGCAGCGAACCCGCCGAGACTCAGAAATTCTTCAAAGAATTCCTTGACGCGTCGGCAAAGGCAAGGTACAGAACCGACGAATCACGAGTACCAGGGGTGGCTGTCTACGATCCCCTCAAGCCACTGCATGGTCTGGCCACCTTTGGTCACGAAGGAGCGGCTCGAGTGGAAGAAGAGTTTGTACCCGAACCTGGCGACCTCTTGATCTTTTGGAGTCGTGAAGACAAGCCATTCGCTGGTGGTTCCACCGTCCTGGGTGACCTCCGCCGCGATGTCTATCAAAGTGCCATGTCACAGGGTTTGATCACGGCTCCCTCTGGGTTCTCGCCGTTGTGGCTCATAGATTTCCCTCTCTTCTCCCCGATAGACGAGTCAAAACCACGCCAAGATGAAACAACAGCAGTTTGCTCGACTCATCATCCTTTTACGGCTCCCAAACACGGCCGAGATCTAAATCACCAGCTCTTCAAGGACGAACCTTTATCAATCATCGGCGATCACTATGATCTCGTGATCAACGGGGTGGAGGTGGGCGGTGGCTCCTGTCGTATCCATTGTCCAACTACGCAGCGCTTCATCTTCAGCGAAGTCCTCAGAATGTCCGATCGGCAGATCAGGACGGACTTTCAACATCTGCTCGACGCACTAAGCGCTGGCTGTCCGCCGCACGCTGGATTTGCGTTAGGCTTCGATCGGCTGATGACTATGTTGACGAACAGCACCAGTGTACGAGACGTGATTGCTTTCCCCAAAACTGCCGATGGGGAAGATAAATTTGCTGGCTCCCCTTCACGACTCACACCAGAGCAGCTGGCAACCTATCACCTCACAATAGCCGACAAGGCCTCTCAGGCTTCAGGAAACAAGATTTCGAAGAAGGCATAGAATGCGCGAAACAAGCAGGAGATCCATAGAAGCAGTGTATATGTATAACAAGAATATTCCACTTTGGAAAAGTCCAACTTGTTCGGAGTACTCCGTACTGTGAGGTGATTTTGCTGACCCCGATCTCCAACCGAGGCTGAAACCCCTTTCATGGTCACGTGTTGCAACCGCGCACTTCACTTGCTCCGTCTGACACCCTGGCTTCACTACCTCACTATCTCGTCTTGTCTGCTCTCTATGCGACGAACTGCAACAACGTGCCATCACTAAGTCGCCCAGGATGGAGCAAGTTCAAAGCCTCGTCCTCGATCCTCTCAAACCCTACCTCTCCCCGTTGACCAACAGCCTCCCCGCTCCAGTCAATGACCTGGCCATCTCGCTCCTAGGCGAAAAATGCCACTCGGCCCTCCTCCTCGACCTCGACTTCTCCTCCCATCCCGAATGCGTCTCCCTCGCCATCTCCAAGGCCCTAGGCATTGGCATCATCACCGCCGCATCCGTGGTCAAAGTCCCGCAGATCATCAAGCTCGTCAAATCGCAATCGAGCGAAGGCCTCAGTTTCACCAGCTATCTCCTCGAGACCGCCAGTTTCGTCATCACCCTCGCATACAACATGCGCAAAGGCTTTGCGTTCAGCACATACGGCGAGACGGCGCTCATCGCGATCCAAGACGTTGTAATCAGCGTGCTGATCCTCGCGTATTCGGGCAAGAAACCCGCCGCGGGAGCGTTTGTCGCCGCCGTCGGAAGCGCCGTCTACGCGCTCATGGTGAGCGACACGCTCGTGTCGGAGACGCAGATGACGACCTTGCAGGCCGGCGCCGGCGGGTTGAGCATCGCGAGCAAAGTTCCCCAAATCCTGGCGATCTGGCAACAAGGCGGAACGGGCCAGCTGTCTGCCTTTGCGGTGTTTAATTACTTGTTCGGCAGCCTCAGTCGCATTTACACCACGTTGCAAGAGGTGGATGATCAGCTCATTCTATATGGCTTTATTGCCGGGTTCTTCTTGAACGCGGTGCTCGCGGCGCAGGTTCTCTACTATTGGAATAGTCCGACGACAGCGGGGCATGCCAAGGAAGTGGGTGTCGGGAAGAAGCATCAGCTGCAGGGTGTTGGTCAGAAGGGAGCGGCCGCTCTAGCGACTGAAGAGGCGACAAAGGGAAAGTTGGGTCCTAGCTCAGCGGCCACGACTACCACCGCGCGGCCCAGCAGCAGCAGTGGCAGGAGACGAGGATGATGCTGATGCTGCGAGATACGACTGGCATTCTGTTCAACCTGGCGAGGAATCACGTTGCATTTTGTTCTCTCTTATATCACTGTGACGCTCTGGGTATTCAGAACAGTGATATCATTCACAAGCTTCCTCTTTCTCGTACCTGGGTAGTTACGGCCTACCGTCCGTACTGGGGACTTCATTCGAGGACTCCCTCCGTGTAGAGCTCCTTTCTTGTTCGAGCACGGTCTTCAACACTCGCGCCAAGAATCCTATCTTCACACGAGAATCGGACCAACGAATGTACTAGCAGAGCCTTGCGTACGCGCTCCCTCCTGAACATCCGGGCTGTCTCGAGTCTTCTCGATAGTTGCCTGAAACCGGCCAGCTGAGTATTCGTGCTCAGAAGGGATTTCGCCGCCGATGTTGTCGATTATTGCAGGCACGTACGGAATACGCCTGGCTCAAGTGCATTGTGTTTAAGCGGATGTTTCAAGATTGTCCAGCGACGTGTGGCGGGTTTACTGTACGGTGCATTACCTTGCGCTAAACTGCTTGCTTGAAGTGCAAGCCCAGCGGATGAAGGGCAGTAACGTGCCCAAGGAGATTTTAACAGGCGGATTCTCCGGTGTCATATTACCGTTGAACATCAGTCTGGCGCGCTCTTGTGGGTGTCCATGCCTTCACTCCAGGTCGAACGACTAATGGTCTGCACTAGAAGTGTGATAGCTACCAGCTTGACGTGACGGTGCTACGGGAATGCCATCTAGCACGTGCCTGGATGATGTGTTCCGTACAGCTGCGTGATGTGGTGGTAGAGCAGGAACAGCGTGTTTGTCTTAGAATATAGCAGGCTGGAAAAAGGGGCTGCTTGCCAGCTGACAACACAGTATTTATGGGAGGCTTTCCTGAACCCGACATGGCAGTTTCAGCAAATGTCATAGCGCAAAGGACGTCGCAGACTCAACAAGCTGCTATCATGGTGCTAGGGTTGGAGTTTGGGTAAAGTGCTATTTGAAAATAGAATTGCAGTTTTGCTGAAGTGCTAGTGACAATAATATTGCAATTTAAGTAAAGAGCTGTCGATAATAATATTGCATCTTGAGTAAAGTGCTACTGACAATAATATTGCAGTGTTGATAAAATATGATGCGGATCAGACTGATGGTGGAGGGGGCGCGGGAAGCTACAACTCTTCAGCCTTGCAAAGTCTTGGAAAGACGACAAGGGTGGTTCCACCAATCAAATCGTATGCTTCGCGGAGTGAACGTGGAGTGACACGAGCGAGCATGGAGTTTCAGCGTGGAAACTCAAAGGTCAGACAAAGGCTTGACTTCGGGGCAAATGCTGGAGCCCTTCGAGTGCAAAGGAACTCTTCTAAAGAAGGGATCGTGATTGAAGAGGACCAGCATCTGCACGAATGGGTCTGCGCATTGGCTACAGCGCAGGACTACGCTCGGTTGTTTGCTGAATGGTCAATGTGTCTGTCACTCATGAGTTCCCCTGTCCTCTGAGACGAGTAGTTTCGTTCTCGAAAGGTGACGACACTATGTTCAAATCTTGGTGGTTGCGCTAGTCGGGAGCTATGTTCTGTGGTCGTGTTCATGTCCAAGCTGACAGTTGACTACCTCGCCATGTATCTGACTACCGGGATGAGTTGGGCTCGTACACGTTCTCGTGCAGGAGGAGGTCTGCTATGCCCCCGAAAGAGCTCGGTTTACCTTCGGTACTTCGTTCGTAGTCGTGGCCTGCTCGTCACAGCACGGGTAGAGGACAAGCTCGGCTCTGAGGATCGGTAAAGATGCATGAGGCGTAACCTGGTTTTGCAACAATAGATTGTTGATTGTTGATTGTTGATTGTTGAGCCGAGACTTCGGGCTCAGTAGGTCGCAGATGCTTCAAGAGTAGAGCTGGCTTCGGCATGTCAGTCTTGCCTTGATACAAAAGGGTCGGGCCCGACTGCTTGAATGCATTGAAGTGGATAACCGAATGCTCGATTTTTTTTTTCTGCACAGCTTCAAAGCGGAGTCATCGTGACCAAGCCCACTCACGCACCATTGACGTACCTTGAACGTAACCGATATATTTTCAGACCGCAAATTGTTGGCCAACAAACCAACCACAAATTGCGGTGCTTGAACACAAGTCCTCACCCCAAATCCTCTGTGGTGTAGTGGTTATCATTCGAGCTTGTCACGCTCGGGACCCAGGTTCGATTCCTGGCAGGGGAGACCTTCTTTTTGACCTTCGATAGAATTTTGGTTCGAGTCTCGGCCTCGTTTTGCTGTCTTTTTCAAAGACGTGATGAAGTACATCCTACAGGAGTTTCTGTGTGGCATTCGAACCAAGTTCCATTGCCTAGACCTACTGTGTACCGTTATTAGCAAAGACAGTGACGCTGTGGTGGATGTCTTCTTGCAGTCTCGTCATAACAGATCGATTCCGAAACAACACCGACGACAAGGAAAGACCTGAATAGCTTGATGCTTGACCCAAATTCTTCCTGCCTCTGCGCCATCAATATGAGCAAGGACCCATTGAAATAATTGGAAGCTCCATGCTTGCCACTGTAGCCCAAAGCGGCGTGCCCGTCGAGCATAGCTGGACACTCAGAGACTGCCCCCCAGGAGCTCGAACATCTCTAGGAGAAACAAAGTTGCATGATCTAGGAAGGGGTCATCAATACTCCATACGTATTCGGTGAGGTTATTAGACGCGAAACCAGTCCCGATCTTGAGTTCGGTGAACCTCTACTCATAGAGTTCAATGCTCATCTTGAGACATCATGCCCCAACAAATCCCACCACCATGTGTCCATAGGCTTGGCGGTTGTGACAGCGTCTGATCCCGATGTCGGATTAGTACTTTATGAGTAGTACACCCCCTACTGGGTATGGTACTGCTGTTCGAAGCCAAAGTGCACCCCTGCATGAATGCCACACAGCCATTCAAACCACCAGGTATGGCATTGCAGGTCACCGATCGATTTCAGCAGATCTGATGGGGCTTGACAGGAGTGGCGGCGCGGAACCAAATTCGATAAGTGTGAGATTGGGAAGATTGATGACCTCGACAAGAATAGGATCCCCGCCCTAGATATAACCGTGCCGATTGGGCCCGATGCAGGCGCCGACAAAGAAGCTGCTGTAGCGAAACCTTTATGCATGGCACACGTCATGCAATCAGTCTAGGCGACCTTCTCCTAATGCACGCCTCAGTATGTACGAGTCCTCGTACGTGCAATCTGCGGTCGCGTGTCCATGGCAGTCACGGTTGCGTGTCTCATGTGTCGGACTTGACGACAGCTATCTCCGCTCCTTTTGTGGGGAGAATTTCAACCTAACTGAGGGGGGTTTGTCTGGCTACTATCTCGTACGAGGGAGCAACGGAGAAATGTTTCGAGGTCAAGCCATGGCGAAGACTCGGAGCAGAGCAATTGAAGCATTAGGTCCTGTGTAAGCGTCACAGTCAGTGGACCAGAAGTCCAGAGAGGTACTTATGTTGCCGCGTGCATACTTCGTACTCGTACTGTGTATGCATCCTTCCAAGTTCCAGTCTCACTGGCCCACGAACAATTAAAGCTGCCATCTGTAAGGCACCTGTGGTCGATCATGGATGACCAGTGCTCGGTTGTCTCAGCATCATTTCCGATACACATGGCTCTTCGAACCTTTTCATTTTCGTGACAAGGTGGAGTGCTTGGATGTTTGATCGTCGCATGTAAACCTACGAGATAACAAGCTACAATTCAAATGACGCTGTGGAGATCTGGAATACTTCAGTTCAAAACTCACAGAGGGTCTGATGGTCTGTCCTTGTGATGTCAAAGGAGCCGCAACTGTGGTAACACTGCATTCTGGAGAGTAACGGTCGAGGGTTTTGATCGCTGTTACGTTGCACTGACACTGTAGCCGCTCCGACAATGTATCAGACTGCTTTTATGAAGGCGCAAAAATGCATCCAAAGTGTGTTGGACACAGATTCAATAAACATTCATCGCTTCAGATCTGCAGATGCTTCGATCTGATTACCCAAAGAGGTGAAGCTCTATCAAGTCCTCTCAGACGTCGACTCGCGTGAGAAGAGATGAGTTTTTCCCTAAGGAGCAGGACTGGCGCGTTAAAGTAGTCTAGCTCGTCCCAGAGCCTGCACGCCATAGGCTCCGTAAGCGGTGCCGAAAGTGGAATTCGCGCGGAAGGTTGGAACCATTCAGGGTGGCTGGGAAAAGTACCGCAGGCTTCGAGCCTCTAACCACTTACAGTGCTCCGTACTCCGTCACTTGTCGAGTAGGGCAGATCGCTGGATCTTAGGGATGGCCAGGCGAACCAGGGATCCCTCCAGGCTAGTTCCTGGCGCCATCGTTGCACAATCCTAGGGACATTTGGAGGCGAGGTGCAACTCGGCAGAGGGGGAGGTGGTGCAGCATAAAGCTGTGCTCGTTTTCTGCCTCAGGTCGTTTGATATACTCAGACAAGATCTGTTCTGAGTTGCTGACGATCAGCGAAATCGGTCCTTAGCAAGCAGCAATAAGACAGAACTCCGGATAAGGTGCTGAACATCTCACGTCAATTGTCGCTTCCGCAATGCCATTTTCCGGGTGATGTTCCTGCCCGAGCGATGACATTCGCTCGATTTTGCCGGTCAATGCGGCCCCGGACGTGGTCAAGAAGTGGCTCCGTCAGGCTTGCATTAGGACAGCTTCAAAACCAGGAACCTGCCTACAAACTAAACCAATGGACGCGCCTCGACGCGCTCTGTCCATATCGCCAGCCGCGCGACCAGTGCTTATGCGCTGTACGCTTTTACATACAGGATACAGGAACGGCAAACGGTAGCAAGTCAGCAGAGAAATATTAGCTACACCTGCTCGTAACCGTACCGGTATCCCGAAAACCAAGAAGGACAGGAAAGTCAATCTGATTCAGCTCCCATTTTTGAGGGAAAACTGATGTAGCTGCATGTTCATATCGCCTGTTTGAGAGATGGGAGGTGCAGCTTTGGGGGTCAGGGAAACTGTTGTCGCAGGACTCGGGATGAGAAAGTGAATTGACAGGTTGCGTAGTATCACGGCTCCCAAGTGAAAGGGTGCGCAGAAGAAAGGAGTTACTGTAACAGCGCTTTGGGGAAACCCTGGGGGGCCAACAGATAGACCCGAGTCACCATGGTTAAAGGAAATGTCAACTCTCCGGCGCTGTAGGCATGCCTGGAAACGGCCTTGTGGGAGACCAAGACAAAGGTCGGAGACCTAATGGCCATCGATAGCGATTGCACAAATGAACGACTGCCACAATACTCCGTAGCGGTCACAAGATGCTGGGGGCCCGTTCTGCGACCTGCTTGAAGGAAACAAGATCTGTATGAAGTGAGGTGGCTTTCTGATACAGCTTGAACAGTGAAATAACTAGTCAGTAAGATACCTTTGAGGTACGATACCTGTTGATTCGTGAATTTGCGGCTGGCTGGATGTCTTTTTGATAGTGAACCCGCTCTGGCTGGCTGTCGCGTCACCCGCACACCCGCAGCAGCTGCAAACTTACCTCGCCGTCGTCCCTGATTCACTGGCGGCCCTCTTCAGCATCCCTGCAAGTCGTGTCTGGGCTGCATCTGCACCCAATCATTGCTGTCAAGTCCGACCGTCTCGTACACTGGTTACTCCACTCACTGCTCTTCCTTCATCTCAGAACTTCAAAGTGCCATTTCTCCTGTTTCTTTCTTCCCATCCACTACCTCCGACTCTTCCCAAACCTCTCTCCATGAGGCCTTGACCTCGTCCTTTTATCCTCACCCTCCCTCTTCTCTCCTGTCGTTGGACAAATAAGATACATCACCGACTTGCTGAGTATCTTGCTGGTCCTCGACTCTCCGCCCACGCTCAGCCCCGATTGAACCCACCTGAGCCTCATCCCTGCTCCCCTTCCTGAGCTCGCACCAGACTGCTCTTTCCCACTGCACTCGCTTACAGCAGAACGTTCCGGATAACGTTCTGCCTTGGGTTTCTGAACAAGAGGATCACGGGTCTAATTCCACGAGGTAAGAGCTTCTCATCAGCTGCAGCCATCGAGTTGGGAGCAAATTCAAGAATGCAAAACCATGGGCCCACCTTCAGTCCTTCGATACATTGAGTACCCTACAACTACATGGTGGTCGCTATATGAGCAACCATTTCTCCAATGGATCGAAGTCCCAGCATAACATAACATCCTTAATGACGGCTGAATTTCCTCCCCATTGGTACTGCTTCTTGTGGACGCACCCTGCCTACCATTCGATCTGACGACGGAGTCTCGCCCGAGTACTGGAATCTGTGAATGGATACGAGAAAGAGGAGGAGCACTGTAAGCTTGGAGCATGCTGCAATCTCACGAAGGCAGGAGTGTCGCCGTCGGGTTGGTGTGACCACATGTGGGAGAGGGAAAGGAGTTCCATTCATCGAGTGAAGGTCGGTGTGACATAAATGAGTTAAAAGGGAGGACATGGCCCAAACGAAGATGCAAGGAAGAGGAATTCGAGATCGCTGCCATTCCCGGTCATCTATACTTTCAGACCTGGATCGAATGTCCGAGCACCCAGGAACTCCCTCGACCCAGGCACTCCTCGATGAGCTGAAAGCACTGGCTTATGATTGTCTCCTGGCATATTACCCCACATTTTCGATCGGCACTTCATCAGACTTGGACAGTTCACTGACTACAAGTTTTCGAGCAGATTCGAAAAGGTCACCGACGTCTAGAACAGGCACGGTACATCCAAGATCCCAAGGTCAGAGCCCTTTTCCTATCCCTTTCTCTTGCCTCGCTAACCCCATTTTAGACTCACTGCAAAGCTGGTATCCTTTTGTGGCCTTTCAGAAGTCCACATTCCAGCCCGGAGCACCAAGCTCACCCCAAGCGGAGGCGTTCATTCGACCTTTGCTCACCCGACGCACGAGCAATTAATCTTGCTTGCCATTCCAATCCTTGGACCAGATGAAGAGACATTCGTGGTAATCCCTAGTAACAAGGATTGGTGAGCCATAGTGCCGTCATCTCATATTTGGTATGTTCTGTCAATCCACCTCCATATCAACCGCCAATCATCTCCTTGCTAACCATCTGACGCACGCTCCAGCTTCCTCTGTCTAGAAAGACACCTTTTTTACTCCTTGGTACCTGGCCACCTCCAGCCTCGCAACACATTTTAGTTGCGTCCGATCATTCACTCTTTCAGAGATTCATCGATCTACGACTGTCACTCACTTTATCCCGTCGTTAACCTTCACCCGCGTCAAGCCTTTGTTTTATCTGCCACTACCTCAACTCTCAACTCACATTCTGCTCACCCTATCCCCAACTCAAGATGGCTTTCAACAACAGAATCTCCTCGTTCGGCTCGAACGACAGCGGCTACGAAAGTGGCATCGTTGAGGTCTTTGATGAGCCCCGTCGTCCAGCTGTGAAGAACGTCGATCACGCAAAGGAGCTTGCCAGACACACACAGCATCGTATGGCTTCCGAAATGTCGCGAAGAGACGCCGATGATTATCAGCAAGACATGCTTGAGCACATGTTGAAGATCGACGTGAGTTTCCCTCCACTAATCATCAAGCCGATCTGAGCTGACAATTCTTGTACAGGTTGAGACCGTGCCCGATGTTGATGCAATTGACATTCAAACCGAGATTCAATGGTACATGAGGCCTTATCTTCTCGACTTCTTGGTGGAAGCCCACACCGCGTTTCAATTGCTCCCGGAGACTCTCTTTCTGACGATCAACCTTCTCGACCGTTACTGCTCCAAGCGAGTTGTCTACAAGCGCCACTACCAGTTGGTCGGTTGCGCAGCGCTCCTCATTGCTGCCAAGTATGGAGACAAGAAAGAGAAGGTCCCCACTATCAAAGAGCTCAAGTCCATGTGCTGCTCGCTTTACGATGACGACATGTTCTTGCAGATGGAGTGGCATGTTCTTTCGACCCTCGGCTGGACCATCGGACACCCAACTGTTGACGCGTTCATGCGGTTGGCTGTCAAGTACAACATCTACGACCCCGAGGCGGAAAGCTTGACACTGTACATCCTGGAGATTGCCCTCTACCACAGAGACTTCGTGTCGAAGCAGTCACACACCCTTGCTCTTTCGGCTCTCGTCCTGGCAAGACACATCCTGGGTCGGCCCCAAGCTCGTTCCACTGAGTTTGCTTCTCACTTCTGCAGCACCACCGTCATGGAACTCTTGCAGAAAGTGCATGATCCATCTGGGATTTTGTCACGCAAGTATGCATCGGTCCGCTACTCAGGTGTCTCTCGAGTTCTCACCGACTTCCTTGCACGCAAGGCTGCCATGTCTACGGCCCGGGTTCCCTTGACGCCAACATATGAAGTCACTCCTCCTTCAGCAGCCATCAAAGCTTCTGGGCCTGAGTATTTCCAAACCTACGCCACCCCACAGAAGCCTCAATTCCCCGCCCTCGTCCAGCATGGTCTCTACACTCCTCCCATCACTCCTGAGGGTGACATGTTCGGCGTGACACAGAAGAACTTCAGTGCACCAAACCAGTACGCCCCGCCCACACCAACTCCCGGTCAAGTCAGTCAGCAGTACGCCTCCTATGCTCCGGGAACCCAAGCATGGAGTAGTGAATCTTATTGAATACCAGTTGGTGCGAAAAGCCGACATCACAACCAAACCAAGATAGCATGATCCTGCGGCCTGTTGCTTTGCTCGACTGATGCTATTCTGTCACGGCAACACAGAGGTGTTCCTACCATAAAGAATTTGTGAGATATTCGTGTGCATTGCAAGCGTTTCATCATGTTCCAAGCATCAATGCTATTGTCCAAAAGGTGGAGGGAGAAGAATGTTACGTAGACCACTCTTTAATTCAGATGGAAGCAAGAGGAAAGCGTGACACTATGGTCAGGAATGGAATGTTTCGGGTCTGTCTGTCAAACGGGTGGGCACGGCGCCGGCAAACATAAAAGTTGACCACACTGCTGAACTGGGATATCCATGTGTGCCTTGCTGGTTGATGGAGCTCTTTAGGACACGGAGCTGGGCGCCAGGCAATGGCCAAGGCAACAATACCTTGTGACCTTATTGTAACATGATGGAGGACAGATTGAATCGACCCCCTTGACTTTTTGTGAGAAGGTGGTTAATGGAGGGATTACGATACCCATACCCCATAATTTTATTGCCTTCGCACAGTTCGTGCTGCCCCCGGCTTACAGCATTGGGCTAAATGTATCCTCTTTGATATCGTGTACTATTACCTCGCAAATCCTGGTCCGAGATATAGCACGGCGTACCACGCGGTATCCCATTGAAACCTACAGAGCATGCATGCATCAGATGTGAAACTGGGAGCCACGTGCGATGATGTCCCATGACCCCTTGCTTGACCCCCGTCGCCCTTAGCAACATTACTGTGCTGTGGCATTCCTCATCGCTTCTCGGAATCTCGCATATAAGAGTCCGCCAGCCAATGTATCCCCAGTAGCCTGGCGAAGCTGGGAGAGCCCTGAGAAGTTGCTCCAGCCTATTTCAAGTGATTGGGCAGAAACTTCTACATGTTACATGGCAATGGGAATGTACTTGTACTGTAGCTTGAACTCACGCGCTGGAACGGCGGAGCAAAGGAGCCCCGAAGAGCGTTAATGCTTGGTTAGAGGCAGGCAGGCAGGCAGGTGGACAGGGAGAAAGCGAAGCAAGAGGGACCTCGGGAAGAGTCATCGCCATGGAAGATACGTTTCAAGAAATGTGATTCGAGTTAGTGGATTCAAAGCAATTACGAAGTACTCCGTACTTCACTAGGCAAACTCGGTAGGCAAGCTCGGAGCAGCAAACTCGAGGTACGTAGGTACAGTACGTAACGCAGAACCAAGCTGCTTCCTAGCTTGACGTCTGGAAGTCTGCCAATGCGTGGTGTCTCGCTTCAGCTCTTTACTTTCGGTGCGGGCAATGTCCTATCCACTAGTTTTCCCGTGTTGTCATGATCAATCAACGAGGATGATTCGTGAGCATTGGCCGGGACGGGCTTTTGAGTAACAAACCCGCCGTCATGTATCGGTCGATTTTCTTCGAACACCGGAAACAAAAGGAAAGGGGCAAATGAAAAGGAGTTCTGTATTGGCTGCTTGCTTGCGAGTTCACACAAGCACGTGTCTATCTGTTTTGTTTGGTGTTCGCGGTATTTCGCGGCGTTCCAGTGTTTGGGGGAGAACCTCATTTCTTCGTTTGGCGGAACGACCTTCACTTAGGGCCTTCCATGTTTGTTACTCCTGCCGCACGCGCCACGGGTGGCTCGGCTGCAGAAGGAATCGTGTCAAGGCTTCTCGGTAAAACACTCCCACCCTCCTTTTTTGGCTTACTTGGTCTGCATCTCGACTCTCACCGACATCTCCGACGATTTCGCTTGAACGGCCGCTGAGCAGGGGGGGGCTTGTTCGAGTGGGTGTTGAGACTCGTGGTTGCGGTGCTGGTGTGTTTTTTTTTTGACCTCTGCGCGAACGGCTTCGCAGATTCAGGCGAATATGTCGAGATGAAGAGAGATGGGGGACGAGATGCAGACCCCCGAGTGAATTCGAGATAATTTCCAGAGGTGGGTGGCGCTGCATTCACGTCGTTGCTGTAGAAAACAATTAGTGCTGGGGGAAGGGACAACTCAGAAATGGTGGAGGGCTTACGAAGGTCCTATTGAGTGAATGCAGTCTCAGTCTGATCTCGTAATTCTTTGCATTAACTCTCCCGGTGCACCGGTAGGCAAATTCTGCCAGATTGTCCCGAAGGACGGTTATTCAGTTGTCTTGCAAGACCCCTGCGGGTTTTCTTCCAGGGCGATGATTTGATCGCCTCGGAGCACATTCGGTGCGTGGCCGTCGTCGACGACTGTTGAGTCTGTCACAGAGGACATTGCTCGATTGGCACAAGGCCGAGTTTGTCTGCCGCCAGGGACACTGGTAAGCTGCCGCTGGACGTTGCTGAAATTGACCCCCGGGGGAGACCAAGGGGCCGGGTCTGGAATTCAATCACTCTGTCGGGTGTAATGCATAGGAGCGAGAGTACAGCATTGGTAATACTGACCCTCGCAACGGGTCAAAGTGTGCGTGGGCGAACCACGACCAACACGATGCCGAAGAGAAGAAAAAAAAAAGAAGGGAGAGAAAGAAAAAATCAGAACACGCGAGATATTTGTAGAGTACGCGGGTGCGGCAGTCGGTTGTGCGCGTCAAGAAAATTCACCACGTCGGAGGAGACTCGCGTGGACATGGTGAACTGGGTGAAGGGTCGTTGTTTCTTCTCGTCATCAGCGTTGTGGAAGTACATCATCCTCGTTGTGGGTAATTGTCCTGCTGAATGTTCTGAATTAAGAACTGATACAAGAAAGTCAATAAGCTGTAGAATCCAAGAGACCGGCAGGCAGGTATAGTCATATGGTCTAATTATGCGGCTTGCAATATGCACGGCCAAGACATCCAGCACTTGGACGTCGCTCTCACACCCTCACCCTCGTTAACTACAGAGCCAAAACAGCGAAAGCAACCGCTCCAGCACCGAGCAGCGCAACCGCGTTCATTCCCGTGCGTCCTGCAGCGCCGGTATAAGCTGCGACCCAGGCACTGGTGGGAGTACCTGCGCTGTCGTTCCCACTGTATGGCGCAACTGGCGTTGCTGAGGCTGCTGCAACCCACGCGGACGAGGCCACGGGTGCAACGGTCACGGTTGTGGCGATTGTCACGCTGGGGCTGGGGCTGGCCCATGTGCTGGAGCCGGCTGAAGCAGCAGCAACAACAACAGGGGAGGATGGCTTGCCTTCTAGAGCGCCCAAGGTGGAGGTTGCGGTCGAGATAGGTGCAATGGAGCTCTCGCTATTCCAGTCGGCCCAGGTCGCGGTCGAGGTAGGTGCAACGGAGGGATCGCTGTTCCAGTCGCTCCAGGTGAAGGCGCCTGTGGTCACCGGGTCATTGGGCTTCATCGTGGATGACTTGGATGCTTCCCAGTCAGCCCAGCTAGAGCTAGGGCTTGAGCTCGTTGTTACAGGGTCGGCAGGCTTGCTGGTCGACGAGACGGACGATTCCCAATCAGCCCAGTCGAAGCTTGAGGTTGTCAGGGGAGTTGTCACTGGATCAGCGGGCTTGGTTGAAGACTCCCAGTCAGCCCAATCAAAGCTTGAGGTTGTCAAAGAAGTCGTCACTGGGTCGGTGGGCTTAGTTGACGATTCCCAGTCTTGCCAAGCGAAGCTCGATGTGGTACCATCCCACGAGCCGTAGGGGGTTGTGGCAGGCGACTCTGAGGTGGTGGGGGTAGTGGTGGCGGAGCTGCCGCTGTGTGAATGTGCCCATGTGGTGGTCTCTGAGCCGGCTCCAGGACTGGAGGTTGTGGTATGAATGTACGGCGACGTGGTTGGAGACGACGGGCTGCTGGAGGTAGTATACCACGTGGTGGTTGTAGTTGCTGGTGCGCTCGTCGTACCTGTTGGTCCACCGAAAGAATGCGAGTGTGTATAAGGAAGGGTGGTACTCTCGGAAGTGGTTGTCTTGGTGGTGGTCGTTTGGGAAGTGGTTGTCTTGGTAGTAGTTGTTTCGGCGGTGGTTGTGTGGGGAGTCGTCCAGGTTGAGCTGCTAGAGGTTGTCATCGTACTAGTTGTCGAGGAAGAGGTGTGAGTAACTGGTTTCGATTGATATACGCGAACATAGTTCACGTCCCAGTATGCCTCTGTGAACTGCTCAGGATGATCTCCCACAAAGACTGAGCACTGGTCCCCCTCGATCGCCGCACAACCACCATTGTACCAAGTGGCTTCGCCGAAATCTCCGCAGAAGGTGGTGTCGAAGATGAATCTGTTGTCGGCGAAGTTGGCATCGATGTCGCATCCGGGACCGTTGAAAATGGAGTCCGGGAGTCCCCACCCGGATGGATCTGGATTACCAGAGGTGATATCCGAAGGGATGGAGCCCCGGGGGAAGAACCAAATCTTGATAGCATCTGATTTCCATTCCATGGCGTAGACGCCTCCCTTGTTCGAGTTGAAGCCAGCGCCGTAGCTGACAGAGCTCTTCGAGAACGCTCCACAGCCTTGAGCATTCGCACCAGTAGCGACATCGTACCTGCAATCGTTGCCGTTGGAAGTGCCAGTCATCTCCAACGGGCTCTGGGCGATCATACAACTGCCACCGGTGTGGGTGGACGTCAGATCATTGGCCTGGTTGTTGGCTCCTTCGATGATGTCGATTTCGCCATCTTTGAGGGGGAAACGAGTCAGCATCGTCCTTCTTTGAACACCCTCGACTGATCCGCTTCCGGTACTGGAAGTATCATACGGGACAATCAGATTGCTTCGGGAAATGACTCACTGTAGGGCCACGTCCCGGAACCAAGAGTCCAAAATGCAGGCCAAACACTGCAGCCACTGGAGTCCGTAGTTGTAGGCATGTGCTTGATGTCCGCGATAAAGAGACCATGTGTCCAAGAATTGATACTTTCGATCCTGACGCTAGGACGACCAACGCCATTGATGCCAGAGTATTGTACAGTGCCATCGTATGTGTGGGTGCTGTCGACCTTGATCTGAGCAGAGCCACCACGTGTGGTGATCAAGCCATCCGCCAATGCAGTGCCCTCGTCAACATAACTGATCAATGTCAATATCTTCGTTCGAAACAGGGGTCGTGTCGACGTACGTGACAAAGCCATGGGTCGGATCAGCATCCTATCAGTCGTTAGCAGCGGTCTCTCCTCGCACATGGAAACCAATGCGTACAGTGAAGAAATTGAAGCCATCAAAAAAGTCTCTGCCCGAGTAGTCGGTGTCCAACGCATAATATGTATCTGAAGTAGCGGCAGCGGAAGAAGAAAGCAATAACAAAGCAGAAACGAGTGTGGTGCTCGACCCCAGAAAGAGTGATGGGGAAGGCATATTGAATGAGCGGCACGCAAACGCGCGAGATAAAGAATGTGTTAGAGAGCGACGGCGATAAGAAGCACAGAACTGAGAAGAAGAACAAGAAGGAAAGGAAAGACATAGTCGCTATACGTAGTCGGCCATGGCGCCTTGCAAACGCCCTTGTGGAGAGCCTAACTTCCTACGAGCAGGATGTCTCCATCGACGTTGTTTGTGGCGCGCCATCTGAACGCAGTATCTCAAGCGTTTACCGACTCTGTGCCAATCGGGGCGATCATTGAAACCGCCATCAAGCCAGAATAGAGACGAGATGACATAAACGAAAGGCACGGCGCAAGCCAGCAACCGATGCCACATCACGAAACCGACGCCGCATCGAGATTCCACGCACATGGCAAGGAGCCCTGCTAGATCCACCGGAGGGGGGGTAGTCATTCATTCCGGGTCATATTCGAAGGGTCTGGGCATAGTAAGCGAGACGGACGAGGCCGGACGATGAAGCATCGGATCGCTGAAGGGGTCGAGCCGAAGTTTCTCAGCGAAATTTCTCGTGCACGCATGCCATGAGGGTCCAAGGGAAATGAAGGGTTGAATGAGGTTGAAAAGGAGGCGTGAATAGCCTCATGCTCGGCTGGAGCTTGAAAGAGACATGGCGTCGCCATGGCCAATGACACGAGGCGCCCGGCGCCTCTTCGGGCTCGAGACATGCTGAAAACGGACCCCATGTGCAATTTCCCCTGACATGATGGCGCGGCGAGGCCGACGACAGGAACCTTCTTTAGCAACTACTAGAAATAGCTGCATTTTCAGCAGCGCCTGATGATTGATCACCACCGGCCACAGTCCCAGCCAGGATTCTAGAGCTTGCCGCTGCGAAGCCAGGCCGGTCCTGTTCACTTCCTTCAGTACCAAATGCATAAGTACCCCTGGCCGAAAAAGAAAAAGGAGCCCGACCACGGAGTAGAAAAGACAGTGTTTCTTTTGTCGACAGGAATTTTGCACCGAAAACAACAACTGGGGACCTTTGTCGATGGCTCGTCAGGTCTTGACATTCATCCCAAATATCGTTCAATAAGTGCGCCAAGGGTTGGCTGCTAATTCGTGGTAAACCATGCCTAGCCGATGTGGAAAGTTTGAATTCATTTTGGACAAGATCATATCTGTAGGATTGTCATACCTTTCATAATACATAGAGATGGCCATTGCTACGAACGGCCTCGATATGAGGTGTAGGTGTAACAGGTGCGTGATGATGGTAACATGAAGAATCCCTGCTGGCTGGCGTGGTGGATCACCATGTGGCAGGACAAGCGAAATCTAAGATACTCTGGTGACCGAGGCGTGGCAACCCAAACTTCCATTACTTGATGTTCCCGAGGCGAGCTCTTTCTTATACTCGTAGGATAGAAAAGACCTCATCCCTCCCTGAGGAGTGGGCAAAGCGGAGTAGCATATTGCGACAGAGATAGGGTATATATGATTCTTCCCGGGCCCAAGTCCAAGTCTCGTGCAAACTGTGTTCATGCAGTGCTTGCCTCGAGCGTGCCTGGAGCTTGTCGGCTTATCGATAGACTAGCCCACTAACGAGTTTAGGCACCTATGTAGGCGGTACCCCGCATCTCGCGGTGTTGCCTGAGCCACTGACCCCTCCAATTGCGCACGCCCTGGGCAAGCTCTTTGAGCCTTGAATCAAGTCCAAGCCACTGCGAGGGGAATTATCAAGCCGTCAAACCATTGCCATTCCCTCCCACACTCAAGCACCTCGCCGGAGTTCTTATCCTTTAAGGCCTGTCGATCCGTGCCAATATCGATTCAACAGGCTGCTGAATGGCAGTGAGCCCAGGAAACATATGCACACGGCGGGCGAGCCAATTGTCGGCGTAGTGACAGCCGCCACATTTCCAATGCCACCCATTCGAGCATCAAGCCACTGCTAGGTTCCGGCCTTGGTTGTGTGTAGCTCGAAATCAAATCACATCACATCACAGAACCAAGAGAAAGTTGTCTTTGTGCATCGTTATTGCTGTTGGACTATTACAGTAGCTGGCGATCACACTTTACCCAACGCAAGGGCAAAAAGGACTCCCTGTCACTAGGCGTTAGTTTCAGCTTCAGTCCCCATTCATAGCTGAATCCAGTCTGTCTGCCACTTTAGACAACGTCCTTCATAACGCGCGACAGTCTATGGACGAGCACGATGCCGCGACAGAAGCCCCAGCTGATTCCCACTTCCTGGGCTTCCGTTCCGCATGATCGTTTGAGCCTGTTCAGACTCCCTCCCAAGGTAGGTGCAGTGCGGTGCTCAAAAGTCAATGACCGAGCTGAATACTTTATATAGCTGGACCTGACGCCCGCTGCCATACCTACCGAGCATGGTGAAACGGCCGACGCTGAAAAGACGGCCGGCACTCCACCAAGCATTCTCCTCGAGCAGCCTCGTCCACCCACAGCCAGTATAGCGGCACTACCTCCAGAAATCGTCCTCGAGATCGCCAGCTACCTCCACCCGGTCGACCGCATCTGCCTCGCCCTGACGTGCAAGTCCCTCCTCTCCTCGACGCTGCAGACCCTCCGCTGCACGCCCACGGACTGGGTCTTCTTCCACGACCTCGGCTACAGCTGCCACATGCCGATGCTGTACGAGCGCCTGGCCCACGGCTGGATCCCCCAGGACCGCTTCCGCTACTGCCCGCAGTGCTACAAGATCCTGCCGCGCTGCCCAGAATACTTCAAGCAACGCCTGCGCCGGACGAAGAAGCCCAAATACGACGGCCGGGTCGCGTGCACGGGCGTCACCGAGAAGCGGTGGAACAGTATGAGCAAGAAGAAGAGGTACGCCCACTTGCTGCACTATTGGTGTCACTCGGAGGGGCAGAAAGACAACACCATCGATTCCTTCTGCTTGTATTGTCGGGAGAAGATGGTCCGGGAGGGGCGGCGAGACTGCGAGTTCGAACTCGACAGCGAGCGGGGCACCTGTTCCGTGCGTTGTCCATTGTGCTTGGAGGATGCTTTGACGTACAGGCCGCCGCGGAAGCCGTGGTTCCGCAAGACAGTAGGTACCTGTTGTCGGCACTTTTGGCTGCCGCTGGAGTTGCTGGCTTATTGGACGCTGTTCTGTTGCGTGTGGGGCGTCAAGTTTGTGTGTGATCAGGGTGAACGGTGTTGGCGGACTTGCGCTGGGCTGTGTTGCTCTCCTCGGTCATAGCACGTCCGGTCGGCCATGATAGGCGTTTGGGCTTTGACGGAGCTGCGGCGGTTCTCACCCGTCTTGAATCCTTGCAGATATTGTACTGGAGGATCTATGGTGAGGACTGGCGATGAGACAACTTGTAGATCCCGTTACTGATACACGGGGAGTAAGTGACGTGTTGAGATATGGCAATTGCTATACCGCGGGTATCAGGCCCTTGTGGCCCCCGAGAACGTTCTACGTATGTTGATGTATGTACTATTCCGAATGCGAAGTCCCGTGGCACAACACGAGGGACGTGGCCCGGAGATTGAGAAGTGAGATACTATTAGAATTACGGCACGCACGAAACAACCAACAAGCTAAGACTCGGCTCACTCAACCAGCACGTTCTGCCCTACTTCCTTCCATCACAACAGGGTATCATCAATCCGCACGTTCATCCGCGTTGCGGGCTGCATCTCAGCTGTACGGGGCAATTCATTACTCTCCCGCATTCACCGCACCTCGTGAGGTGCGACAAGGTCCGGATCATGATGGTGGCCCGTCGTCACGGCATCATAAATCCTGGTGTGCTCCCCACTTCTTCCGCCTACCGGATCAATCGAATCTCTGTTCAAGGTATCATCTGACATCTGCCCACTCAGACTGCTCTCACCATGACTGCTTGTTGTGGGCGGGTCGGCCTTACTGACGATGGTCTCCAGCTTATGGCCGCCGTCGTAGCCACTGTGGGATTGGCCCGCTGCAGCTGTGGCGGCAATGGCGTCAGGAGCAACAGCAGAGCTTCGCCGACGGGTTGCAGCGGCGGAAGCACCGGTTACAGCGCCGGACACGGATTGGCGGTGACGATTGGCGAGATTGTCGAAGGGGTCGGAGGAGAGTTGGAACAGGGACTGTTTGCGCTCGCGGACTTCGTACTGTTCGGCAGGGGTCATATGGTCGTCGAGAGGAGCGACATTCTTGGTCTCGGCGGCTAGACATGATGTCAGGTGTCAGCAGGTCCGAGGTGGCCGCGATCTACGTAGGGTACAAAACACATACCCGAGACTCGCTTGCGACTGTAATAAGGGTCGGTCGAGGGTTCAAGGCTACTTTTGGTGCCTTTACTGAACTTCCTGACGTCGTGGCCTCCGACACTATACTTGCGTTCGCGGTTCCAGTATTCCTCTTCCGGTGTGAGCCCTGTTGCTCCTACGTCCGCAATCTCTGCCTCTGCAGTACATTGTCAGTCGGTCTCCAAGACTAGCTTGATCTGAGGATACTCACGGGAGACCCGCCTGCGACCGTAATATGGATCGGCAAGAGGTTCCAGCCCACCATGCAGGCTGTTGCTGAAACGTCGAACATCTGGTCCGTTGGCAGTAAACTTCTTCTCGCGACTCCAGAATTCTTCTTCTGGAGTCAGGCCGGTGGGACCGACGTCCTTGATAAGCTCATCTGTACAGCAGAGCGTGAGCGAGCAAGTTGGCAGTGTGGAAGCACTGGCTTGTCATACCAGGGACTGGTTTCCGGTTGTAATATGGATCTGCTGCTCTAGTCATCGTGGATGTTCAGAACTGTCTGCGCTGGTGGACGGAGAATCTTTGGATAGTAGGAGTGACGGGGCTACTGTGGATATATGGAAACCCAGCCGTAGGTACTAATTCCAACAAGTCGCACAGGCGGCGGTGAAATATACGCTCGACCGGGGCTTAGCAAGCCCAAGGAAGAGCTTGGGTTACGAGGCGGGGGTGCGCAGTGTCAAGCCATGACAGTCAAGAGCATATCCGTAAGAGGCTTGAGGTCTCGCCGACAACGTATCTCGATTCGAGTCTGGCGAATTGAGCGAACCTACCGTGGTGTGTGGTTGGTGGGAGCGATGTGGTGGCTCGATCGTCTGACGCTCATGCACGCTGATGTCGTCCATTGCCCTGGGAAGACCCCGCCTGGAGCGCTTGAAGGCCGAAATGGAGCCTGGGGCCCCAAGGCTGGGGAAGTACCAAGCGACGAGCTGAAGCGAGTTTGCAGCTTCTGAGAGGTGGGAAGCTGGAGATCTGTAAGCGAGCAGACCACAGACACGCGACAAGCTTGCCGAGAGTCCCGGGCGCATTGTTGACGTAACTGGGGAAATGCTGGTGATACGGATCTCAAGCTGGGCTCCATCGATTGTTGCCTTCTCTGGCAATCGCTGTGTGGGGAAACAACGGCCTCGTACGGTGTATGCGTGGTGCTGATGTTGTGATCGAGGCCAATTCCTCGCCTTCACAACCTTTAGCATAGAGATCCTGAAGGACGAAGCGACCTCCAGACTTGGCCAAATGCCCACCGATCAGTCTCGTGGCCCTCGGCGCTCTAAGACGCAGCTTGGTTTGCAACTCATCGCAGGCGAGAAAAAGCGAGAAAAGGGCCGATTTGATTTGGCCAAGACCCAAAGCTGCGGCGCAGACGAGGAGGTGTTGACGGCAACTATCAGTGAGCAGCAAAAGAACAACATCGACTGTAGCAGCTCGGTTCGTCGCGGGACCGCCACTCTTCCGTCCTTCGCGAAATGCCTCATATTTCAAGGCAGCCGCCGTGCATCAAGAAGAAAGAGGTGGTCGGTCATAACGCAGTCGCAATGGATCTCGGACAGCCAAAACAAGAGCAGGATAGATGAGTTGGGACTGACATACTGGGAGTAGTCGGTTGTTGTTGAGAATTGGCAGCTCTCGCACGATGCAATGAGTCCCAGATGGAATGATCGCCAGTGCTGAGGAAAAGTGTGACACTGGTACCTCAATGTCCGTCCCTCTGAATGCTACTGGAGATGGCGTCCGCTCTCTACCAACGCCGACATTCACTTGTGCAGGTGTCTAGGCTACTTCACTGCCAGCCCAGTCACTGCCTTGGAGTAAGTCGTTGTTTTTTCCTTCCCTTGCGCGCCTTAAGCCCGTTACCGTGTGCCCCTTCTCTGTCTGTCGGTTTCCCATGCATTGAGGCCATGACGACGTGCAAGTTCCTCGTCCGCGGCAGGTGCAATCGAGGTCAAGAGTGCAAGTTCTCCCATCTACCCTCGCCAACGCCGCAATCAGAAGCGGCGAACACCACCACCACGCTGCGCCCCAGCGCACCATATTTCCTCCCAACGTTGCCTACTATACCCACATGCAGATTCTGGCTAAATGGGTGCTGCTGGAACGGAGCCGATTGCGCGTACCTTCATCCTGCGGTCTCACAACCGCCTCCCGCTGCCCCTACCACCACTCTTCGAAAGTCTGAAGCAACCTTGGAGCGACGAATGAAGGGTGCCTGCGTGCGCTTTGGCGATGGTGCCCAAGTAGTGAACGTTCAACTTTTAGCGACCGCAGCACGATCGGGATCATCTGATAACAGCAACACGCGGAGAGGCAGAGCACAAGTTTGTACTGTCCTTTGCTCATGGTACAACCCGTCGAGAGTCGTGTGGCTCCATTACCGCAGCGACACATGGGCCAGTAGGGCAATCAAGCGATTCGATGGCAGGTTCGGCGGCCGCCAATTCAAGACGAAGTTGCAACAGCCTCCTCAACACCATGCCAATGGGAAGGGGATATGGTCGGTCCAGCTGAGCAATGTCGCTGCCGATGTCACCCAAGAGCAAATACAAGAACATCTGCAAGGGGTTGTGCCAGACAAAATCGTCATGGGAAAATCTACTTCAGAGGGCATGGAAGCGAAGCCTGAGAAATTTGTTCAAGAACTCTTCAGCCAAGCGAGCCACAAAGTGCGGTCTTTCGAGCGGGAGAAAACTGCAACCGGATCCCGCACAAAGGCTTTTGCTCAGTTTGAACGAGCCTCAGATGTTCGAGCAGTCCTTGCCTACAACGGCCTCGAATTTCCCGAGATAGGCTCCAAGCTCTATGTCGACCAGGTTGCCGCCGTGAGGGTGCCGGTCGCGGAAGAGCTCTATGCCATCATCGAGGGTAAAGTGTCAAGGCTACAAGCCAACAATAAAGATGGAGTGAGGATTTCTACACACCACCGCCCACTTTCTAAAATGGTCGATCTGCGCATTTATGGCTCCAAGTTGGAAGCTGTTGCCCGAGTCAAAGCCCAGCTGGCCCAGATTTTGGTCGGCACAGTGGTCCTGAACGATTGCGGCACTGCGTTATGGCATGAATTCTTCGCCTCAGACGCAGGCGTCACCGCTCTACAAGCTATTTCCAAGCCTGGCGAGGTCTTTCTCTACAGAGACATGCGAAAGCTTCAGCTGGGATTCTTCGGCACGCCATCCCTCTTGGAAAAGGTCCGTCGTGCTGTCATTCATATTCTCACGTCGCACATGTCGTGTTACTTGCTGTCCCTGGAAGGCGAGCTTTTTGGTGAAGCGCTCTCAGGAGGTCTACGTCGTGTCATCAGACGCTTCGGCAAGAAGAACGCCTGGTTGGATATCCTTTGTACACCGCCTGCCATGTTATTCAGAGGAAGCCCTCAGCATTTCGAAGTCGCCAAGTTACTGATCACTGATCCTTCAGTCGTCGTTCCAGCCGATGAAGAGACCGGGACAGGCAACGAATGCCCTTATTGCTTTCTAACCATTGCTGACCCGGTCGAGCTTCATTGTGGGCATTCCTACTGCCAAGGGTGTTTTGAAGCTTTATGTCGCGATATTGGGGCCAGCGAAAACGCCATCACCTGCTTTGCAAATCTAAATGGTTGTGGGCAGATGGTCTCTTTGGAGGAGATCAGAAAGGCTCTTGACAATAGCACATTCGAAGCCGTACTGGAGTCTTCCTTCGAACAATACATACGATCTAAACCAGATCATATCCAATACTGTCCGACTCCCGATTGCCCAAGTATCTACACCGTCTCCGAAGCGCCAGGGGTCTTCACCTGCGACAACTGCCTCATCTCGATTTGTTCGAAATGCCGTGCTCTGAGCCACGACGATCTCACATGTGAAGAAGCTCAAAGCCAGAGTCGAGTCGAGGAGTTTGTATCTGACGAGGACAAGAAGAAGCTGGGGATATCCAATTGCCCAAAGTGCAATGTCCTGATCGAGAAGAAGGACGGCTGCAATCACATTACTTGTATGTGTGGCATTCACATCTGCTGGTTCTGCTTGGCCACATTCGCGAGTGACGAAGAGTGCTATGGACATATGTACCAAGCCCATGGGCGCTTCGGCGAGCTTAATGCCGCAGAAGAGCAAATCCGCGAGCTGAGAGGTGATGGCCTCGAATGGGGCTTGCTGCTGCGTAGAGAAGGATGGAACATGGTAGATCCGGAAGAAGATGACTGGCCACGCCAGCGACTTGCGGGTTTGTGGCATTTTTGACTGAGCAGTCCTGGCACAGACGCAGTCGACAGACTAGGAACAAATTCGCGGAGGGCGCGGCTTCAGCGCGAAGCAATCGTCACCAGTGTTGTATCGGATTGAGCCTGAGGGCTTAACGAAGCAGAAGGTCAGGACGGGGTTAAGAAGTGTGGACTGGTGCTGCTCGTACTGTTTGGGATATGCTCTGCGAAGCTACTGGCTCGTGAAGAGTCATGTGTGAGATCAAATGGACAGGAAACCAGCCGCGCATACCCTTCCTACAGCAAAGATTAATGCTGGAGACACCAATGCCCACTCACGTCGACGCCATGTGGTTTGAACCCGTGTACCTGAGTAAACGTGCTGATACGAAGGAGAGACCATCGGACCATGTTTCAGTGTCCGGGCACACGAAGATAATTATGCCATCCATGGCTTGTCAGAGATACATATCATCTCGGACCTTGAGACTTGGAACCCTGAAATCCTCCGGACCCTGGGTAACGCCGGAGCAGGCGCCTTAGTCGGTCGTGATTGCATCCCAATGCCATAGATCTGATCACGTACAGTAGATGTACGTACGGAGTACATGTCCACCATTCATGTCTTTGGCTATGCTTCGATCACTACCAACCAGCCCCCAGCACAGAGGGATACATTCATTCCTGCTACCAATATACATGTCCGCCTTCCACTATTCAAATGGCTAGTAACCGCTCGTCATACCTCATCGCATCTTCAACCAGTCCGCCCGAGGATGTCCATCCGTACCCCGTTTTCTTTGCATACATCGTAAAGAAGATCGTTCGTCGTAAATAGGATACTAACATGGGTATACACACACTAATTACTTATGTCTCCTATCATTCCACCCGTTCATCGTGCGCCTAACACCGAGGGTCTTCCTGCCGACGCCTGGATTGGAGCCCACCACCGATGAGAATGAGAAACCAGCAGACACGGACGCCATACTTGTTTTATGCATCGTCATGGCGGGCTTCGTAGCACCGCTATCAAGCCGAGGAACTGCCTTGAGACCGCCCTGTGGAGACGGAAGCGAGAGTTTCGAGTCCTGCGTCCTGGCAACGCCCTGGTTCTCATCACCAGTAAGTCGGATGTGCGGACTTCGCTCCTCATCATCTGCGCGTGGAGGTGAGGAACTGTATAGACCGGCGTATCGTTTGGTAGAAGAGGAGGAGGAGGCGCTCGCGTCACGTAATGGGGCGGGTGGACGGTACCGTATCCCATTGCCGGCGTTTAACTTGTGTGAGGAAAGTTCTTGTGGGATGCCGGAGCCGAAGGAATAACTTTCGGGACTCTGCCATGTCTGTTTCGCCTGCTTGAGTTCGTGATCTTGCTGTCGTTGGTGATATATTTCCCGGACTGCTGGAGCGGGCGTTGCTTCGAGCGAGGGTCGAGGTGCCTGCGTGGCAGGTTTTGAGAAGAAACCGGCAATATTACCCTGCGCTGATGCTGATTTGGTGAGCTTTGGTTTCTTCAAGGGAGGTGGCGGTTCTGACGAGGCCGGAGCGCGTTCGGAGACATTTTTCAATTGATAACCTGCAGTAGTGAAGCCGAGCGACATGTTTGAGGTTGAGAAGCTGCCAGTCCTGCTGATGGTAGTGGCGACCTCGTGGCTACTGGAGCCCACCACACGGTTGGGTGCTGCCATTGTTGAGTAAGGCCGATATTGCTGCTTTTGAGCTGCGAGAACTTCCCCGAGCGGTCTCCCGAATTCTGGCAGAGCGTGACTGTCGGCAGCCAACATTGGGGTAGGCCGACGACTGCCGTCACACGGCCAGACATCATCTTCTCTGCTATCCTCGCCGTCCAAAGTTTGCACGCTCTTCGCCAAGTCCTCCTGTGAAGGAACAGACCGCTTAAGAATGCTCGCGATATCATTGATCACGCGATCATCGAACAACGGCCCTGCTCTGCAGGTACCATGGTGGAGTTCGCTCGGGAGAAACTGGGTGAGGATCGACTCGCCCTGATCTCGAGATTGGAGTACTGGGAAAGTCATAGTCAAGAGAGCCTGTGCTCTGGTCATGGCAACGTAAAGCAATCGTCGTTCTTCATCGGTGTTCTCAGCTCTTGAGTGAGGAATGGATCCTTCATAGATGGCGGGAATGAAGACAACTGGCCACTCGAGACCCTTTGCCGAGTGGATAGTCGAGATGGTGACACGAGGTTTGTCATTACCTTCTTCATTCTCAACATCTGTCGACAAGACAATGTTGGCCAGAAATTGAGCCAGGACTTCCCGGCCACCGTTTGAGACTTGTTGCTCCACACCTTCAATGCTTGCGAGTGGTTCCTCGGCAGCCGGTTGCAGCAGGACCTCGGACGCATGGGTGACGAGTTCCTTGACGTTTTCAACTCGGTCTTCATGATCATCCTTGTATTTCTTCTGGAGAAAGCTTTCGTAGTCGAGAGACTTGACAATGAAATCGATCAATTTTGAAGGGACCGTAGCCGGTGGAGACGCCGTATCCATCTTCTGTCGACCTGTCTTTATGAGGTTGAGGAGACGGCCTAGCTCTTGTTCTGCGGGTTTCGACAACTTTTTCGCTGGCTTTAGCTCGCCGACCAGGACCTGTTGCGCCACAGTCCAGAGCGAGATTTTGTTCTCCTCACTAAGCTTGACCATTTCAGCGATTGAAGTCTCCCCAATTTTCCGTGCAGGAGTATTGATGATGGCGAGGAACGCCTGATTGTTGTCAGGATGGCTTATGGTGCGAAGATAATCGATGATGACCCTGATTTCCACGCGATCAAAGAAACGTTGGCCTCCAACCATGCGATATGGAATGCCGGCGGTCGTCAAGGCTCTTTCAATGAGTAGTGACAGATATGCCGATCGAAGGAGAATTGCAAAGTCCGATTGCAGAAGCAGACCGCCGGTCATTCCCATTGTTCTCTTGATCTCGCTGGCAATCCATAGCGCTTCTTCGTTAGGATTAGGCAACCGACGGAGAACAGGTCTAGTCCCATGGCAGTGTGTTGCTTTCATCCTCTTCTGGGGCCGACTCTCGTCCTGTTCGATGACATCCTGGGCGAGCTTCAACACAGCCGACGTCGATCGGTAGTTCTCTTCCAGGTTGATGACCACTGTTTCGGGGTAGAATGCCTTCATGCGGTTGAGATTCTCAATCTCGGCTGCTCTGAATCCATAGATGCTCTGATCAGGATCCCCCACAACAGTGATCTTTCTGTTTCTCGACGCCAACAGTTTCATAAGTTCAAACTGCACGATGTTCGTGTCTTGAAACTCGTCAATCAGCAGGGCCTCGACATTGGAGACGCAGGCAGGGTACGCCCGAAGAAGGTCGACGCATCTTAGCAGCAAGTCATCGTAGTCTAACAGCTTAGAGGTCGCCAATGCCGCTTCATACTCATGAAAGACTGTGACAAACTCCTGGTCTTTAAGCTGCTTTGGCGGACTCTTCGGTAGATCTTCCAATGCTTTGCCCTTTGCTTTGTGACTCGAAATCCTTGCTCTTGCAACCTTCGGTTCGATCGAGAGGTTCATGCGCTTGCAGATTCGCTTGATGATGCTATTGCTGTCTGACGTATCTGCAATCCCAAATCCCTTGGGGATGCGAATGAGGTGACCATAGGCAACCAAATAACGACGACAGATTGAATGTATTGTTCCAAGGACCAGTTTGGACTCGAGCTGATCCCCGACCAGACCACGTAGCCGTTCTCGCATTTCCCGAGCAGCCTTGATGGTGAATGTGCAACAGATGACATTCTGAGGATTGTGACCATGGTGCGACAGAAGGTAGGCCACTCGAGAGGTCAACGTCTTCGTTTTACCAGAGCCTGGGGGCGCCAGGACTTGCAGGACCGATGCCGGTGAGGTGACTGCTGCTCGCTGGGCAGCATTGAGCCCCGCGAGGAGCTGCATGGCTCATGCCGGTGTAACGGATGGCCTGGACACGCAGGTGGGAAAGACGAACGCGTCGAGATGGAGCGAAGCGCGAGCACGTGTCTGGCGCAATCGCGAAGTCAGGTGACCAGGCTGCTGTCTGGGCATCAATCTCCCGCGCCCTTTCCTATCTCCAACCTAACCTCTACCATCAAGGCCATAGTTTGGTGAACGGTGTCTATTCGTAATCTCACAACATTTGCACGGCGTTTTCGTGTTGTCACTTCCTGTAATGGTGACCCCGGTTACAACAAACAGCTCTCTATGCGAGCCAGAATGACACATCTCGATGGGCCACGCGGTGAAGTGGTCAACACATGCGCCGACATTCAGCGAATACATGCACAATTCCCCGACCCAGTCACTGCGTGCTTGCTTCCCAGACCAAAAGGAAGTTGTGCTCGCTTTAAGCTTTCTGATGAGCATATGACCTTGGGGACAAGCGAGGACCTATTCCCAACCGCGAGGATGCGAATTGTCGCTTTCACGGTCCGCCCAATGGAAACCAGCGATCTTACAATTTGCATGGTAGAAGATGTCCGAGCTTCAACCACGCGCAGTCGGACTCATATGGCTGACTTGCCATTGGGAGTAGAAATCAGGTTTGTGTGTACTTTACACGGCTCAGACGCTCGGGCCGCCAGAACCATATGCGAGCCCTCACTCAGTCTTTTGGTACTGTCTTCTTGTCCTCTGAGTTGTCCCTGGAGGAGTCCTATTCGTAAAGCACTCTTCCCGCTAGATGATGTTCAGTAGGGCCCTACAAATATCGTCCTTCCTCCCATTCTGCTGCTGGTTTCTTTCCTCTATATCACCACCCACAACATCCCCCAGTACTGCTTGAGAACGTCGTTGTCCGCTTCAGCACTCTTCTACTAGGTACCTTCAGAGAACATTCTTGACATCCCCCCTTCACAATGGCCCCGATCAACTACGCAGCCGCGTCCAAGGCCAAATTGGCTCGGAAGAGTGAAGAGCCCAGACTCTTCTTCAAGCCTCAGAAACGGACCCCTCTTGCCTCACTCGCAGTCAACACTACCGGCAACAGGGTCGAGAAGCCGTACGATATGGTGCAGCCGACGTTCAAGTCCTACCAGACGACGCTGCCCATCAAAGTAGGTTGCAGCACCTACAACTACAAGAAGAGCGTACCAGCTCCAAAGGAGCTTATTTCCATTCGGGAGGTTGACAAGGCTGCCCTTGACAAGCCACTGCTGGACTTGATTGAGAAGGCAAAAGCCGAGAAGAAGAAAGAGGAGGAAAGATCGAGGCAGGAGGTCGACGACCTCTTTAAGGTGGACAGCGGAGACGCTCCTCCCGTAACCAACGAGCCCGACACCATGGAGGACAATAACGACAGCAAGCTCGAGATCAACGACCTCTCCTGCTTTCGATACGAGGTTGTGAGGAGGATGGTCGAGTGGAGCGACGGCAACAGCACGGCGCTGCCCCCTGCTCTTGGACAGCTGGTAGGCATCCACTTCGACGGACGTCCGCACTCGTTTACTCTCAACGTCGGCCAAGGCCTCTACTCTCTCTTCGACGAAGTTTAAGATCCTGTCTTGTCCGCGTTGTCAGCGGCGAAGACTCGCGGCTCACTCGCACGCGAATACGGACGGCGAAAGTCAAGAGCACGGACATACGACGACACCGGTAAACTACAACCTCGACGCAATTAAATACACCTGGCCTCACCAGCACGAAAATACGAACGGCGAGAGTCCCGCACAACAAATCAACAGTCATATGACGACATTTCATGGCCCCTCGGAACAAGAACCGACAATAGACAGCGCCATATGACCACGTCCCAATTCCATAAATTGGGCCAGCACCACACACACATAAGACTGGCGACGGAAGTGCGTCAAATATTCACGCAGCAGACAACGCTGTACTACACAGTACACCACAACAGAAAACGACTGAGGTCCACACTTGTACGTAGCTCCATAGGAGGAACTCGGTCGTGGAGGCGAAAGGCAACAGGGTTGAGAACAGAAGCTCGGCGCAAGAGGAGGACGCTCTGCAACGGACAGCCACCTCCACGCGGTGCAGAGTGTGAGTAGCCCGCTGGCTTTTCGTCAGCCGGTGAAACCAAGTGCTGTCTCCCCAACGCCCGAGAAGTAGATCGCATATCTGGGTATCGGTATTCTTGGTTCTAGTAGACTGATACAGTAGCGGACTCCATCTCCTTGAGTTGAGTAATCCTATATTTGGATTGGCGTAACTCGTCGATTTGTCAATGACCAAGGACACTCCCTCGCGGGCGACGTTGTGGATCTTGGACCTGCGAGAAATCGTTGTCCGGGGCTGCGCCAGATGTGGTGCCTCCTTTGGGGTACTATCGAGGTAAGCTGTGGTGATGAGGAAGTCAGACAGGTGTGGGAATGTGAACTGGAGGTACACTTGGTGCAAAGGTTCGACGACTTTCTAGCATCATTCTTTCCAGGTTGTCATTGAATGACTATGAAATACCCGAGACGGCCTTTATGCAACGTTCGCATCTCTCGTTCCTCAAACATCAATTCATCTCGGTTATGGATTTTGTGCATAGGCAGAGACGTTCAATGAAGCTGCTGTGATTGCTATTTGATTCCTGCATATTACTCTGACAGGACTACGTGAACTGGAATAGCCCATCTGTGTTGAACAGGTTGAGCTCCGACATATGAATGCCTTGCGTAGCCCCCAGGCTCTCTGCTGCACATTCTCAGCTGATAACTTGCATGCTGGTAAAGACTTTCCGACGAACTTTGTGAAGTGAAAGATCTTCGTCCAAGGTACGGAGTAGACACCTCACACTGTGCGGGCAATCAGCCCATGTACTAGTCGTCCAATCTCTCGAGTCCCTTCCTCACCACATCGACGTCCTGCGGTCTGCTGTCCTCACATTCCTTGCGCTCCTCCTCGCTCTTGTGCTCATGATAGTCGCACCAGCGGTCGCCCTTGCCATTGACAGTGCCACCAGCAGTCCTCCTAGCGACAAGAGATATCATCCGTGTGAGGAATCGAGATGGCAACTTGTAGAGGGCCTTTTCGAGCTTTGCTTCATCTGCGCGCTCTGGACAACTAAAGTCCTGACTGCCGTACCGGTCTAGTAGGTACGAGCACATCCCCGAGTCGATACCAAGGTGGTCCAGGGCATGCCGCACAATGTTCACAGCTGGGATGTCCGAATGGAATGCAGAGCGTTGGAACTCCAGCATCACGGCAACCTTGAAGCTGTCTGCCTTGTACACCTCGGCGAAGATGTAGAGGCCTAGCAAACGAGCAAGGGTGCGTGATTGTTTGCTGAAGTTGGTGTACCAAGGCTTATTGTCGATCGTTGGATCTCCACTGTCACCACCGGCAATGAAAGGGATGCGTAGGTGTTGTCCATGCCCAGTCTGACCGGTACCGCTGTCGCTGCCACCATCTCCATTTGTCTTTTCTACCTTGACGCAAAATTGCTGGTGGACTGAGCAAAGATGACCACTAGTCGCTTTGTGACCGTCATCGACACCGTCTTCTATCTCCTCCATGTCCAATGCCTTCGTGTACAGCCAACGACAGAACAACTCGAAATCTTCAGGGCGGACATCTTTGAGCCTCATCACTTTCGCATCTCGTATGTCGAAGAACTCGCGTATCACTGGCACTCTCGTATCTTGTCTGTCAAAGTGCTCGCGCAGCACCTCGGAAGATGAGCACAGCAGGTGCTTGTGGACGTGGAACTGTCGCGGAATTTGATGTCTGTCTTCAACGTGCACAGTGGCGATTTCTTGGTCCGCAAAGCTACTATCCGTGTCCAAGACACGTCTTGATTAGCCAGACGTCAAACAATGGCCTGCAGGCGTATGAGGGAGATCTCCAAGTCTGTGACTTACAGAAGTTCATCGCGCTTTCGCTTTCTCGATGTGGTGCCTAATGAAGCCATGCTGCTTGTGCGGTCGATAGGGACTTGATATCGTGGGGTGTCGCGTCCTGGATGTAGACGATGAGAGAAAAGTCTCACAAAGCTGTTGAGAGAGAGATGAGCTTTGGGAGAAACTTTCGGCGAAGGCAGTGAAGGCTTTGTGCTGGATTCACCGACTTCCAACTGCTGCCCCGTCATCAGTGGCGAACTCTTCACATCTTCGCTTCACTAACACTGCCCGATAGTTTCTTGCCGCGACCAAACAGCATCGATCACTTGGTCGTCAGAGATATCCGTCCCGCGGCAGGTGCGCATCCATCTGTTCTCTCACATTTCAACATCCACCTTCCACCGTACTTCTTACCCAAACACCCACCTCCCAAGTCAAAATGAAGGTCTCCGACATCTACTACAGCCTTGACCAGGCTCAGAATCCGTATCCCTTGACGCAGGTCGATTTCTTCCATGCCAAACATCGAGCCGTTAAGAAAGCCCGTGCAGACGCCACTGCCAAGGGTCTTCCACCGCCAAAGAGTGTTGCGTCGTACATGGATATTGCCTTGGTTCGCAATTTCGGCCACTATGATGACATTGGCAAGTTCCCCAACGATCCAGTCGCCAGGGACCTCCTCCGCCGCGAAGCAATGGAGGCTGTCAAAGCGAAGCGCCGAAGAGACGCTGCTTCGAAGGCTCACGACGAACGCGAGGAACCCCAGAAGCAGAAGTCGCAACATGCCGATACTCTGCATCTCAGATCACAACAGCAGCGTATCAGCGCTCGCGAGGAGACCAAAAGACGAGTCAGAGAAGCTTTCAGCTGGCAGCCCAGAACCTTCACCGACAGAGAACGTGCCATCCACGCTCCGAGGAAGAGAAAACATGCAGACACCGCAGACGACGGCGACGCTAACAAAATGGGCGCGGTGTCCCCGGCCAGCAATAGCAGCAAAGAGAACTCCCAAGCTGTAAGTGCAGCTAGCGCTATGTTTGCGTGGCAGATTGCTGATGACGAATAGGCATACCCTGCTCCAGGTGCTCGCAAGCAACGTGTTGTTGTCCAGTCCGATGACGAAGACAAAACGTCTTCCTTACTGGTCATTGATTCAGACTTGACGGGTTGACCACTGAACATCATGACAGGTCGACCACGGTCGAAGGATGCTGGTTCGAGCCTGTTGCAAGTTGGAATGATTGCACGCCATCGGCATGTGAGGCTCTTCGAACACACGATGCCAGGTGGATAGAGATGCGCCTTTTCTCCCAGCATCCATGGTTGTGCCATTCGACGTCGTTCCCATCTGGCCGTTCGTGGAGGTTGCGTGTCTCGAATGGTTAAGCGCCCCTAACAACCCTCCTTCGATCCACGTTCCCGCACGTCCAGATTATGAAGCACCAGCCGCTTTGTGCATGAAGTGTCCACAGAGCCATCATCGAGCCGTCCGAAGTTCTCGTCTGCATACCACCCGGTAAGGTTCACGATTCCCGCTGTGTTCAGGCCCAGTAATCCAGACACGGCCGGTTCCAACTCGAAGGCAACGTCCTCATCAAGCGACTATTCGGCCTTGTTCTTGAAGTCCTCTGCGTTTGTGAGGTGCTTGTATAGGGTCTTGAGCGGGATGATCTTACGCAGCGCCCGAAGTCCTCTATTGGGTTTTGAGGACTTCATCGACCGATTGATGGGAGATCAATGTAGAAGATAGAGCGCTGTGACGAACCTGCGGATAGTGAATACAGACAATACGATGTGCCAGCGTATTCAGCTCGCTGCGGCTGCCGCACCCCTTCACTCCGTAGCAACCTCAATAGGAAAAGGCCCTTCACTCACAATAACAACTTTGGCTCACCACTGCCTGTCAATAGAAAACTTCGCGGCGATGATATTTCCTCGCGCTCGATTTATTGTCCTCAATCTTGCCCATCGTTTTCACTCAGCAGCTCGAGAGTCTCGAACCAGACTTCGAACACTGCTCCTCCATTCTTGAGGACTTCTGTCCATTGGCTCCTGAAGCCATTCGCCCCGTGCGTCACTGCTTCCCCTTCTTCATCTTCAATATTACTCCAAAGGCCCGCTCTCTCACAAGACAAGATGCTCTCCTCGAACAAAGCAGTGTTCGAGAAGAGCTTTGAGGAGCAAAAGGCCAAGTAACTGCAAGCACTCGAGCGCGAAGAGGCAGCTCGCAACAATGCTCGCCTCACCCCAGCAAAGGCCACCTCCCCGCCAGCCACTGCCATTGGTGACGATGTCAAGACTCGTATTGTAGGTGCTTTTGTTCACAATGCCTGTCAACCGCTTGTTGATACTAACGGCGCAACAAGCCTCCTTCCCCTCGAGGGCCTGCGGCCAAAAAATGGCGTGTTTGTGAAGCTGGTGGCGTCCAGAAGCCAAAGAGTATGGCAGAGAAAGGCACTTTTCGCAACGGTCCAGTAACGAAGGTAGACCCGAAGCCGCGTGCTTGTGCGGAAGAGGAGCGCGCTACAAAGGACCAAGCAGTGCGGCAAGCCTGCGATTCAATTTTCGTTCAAGCGAATGTTGTTACCGTGAAGGAACTCATGGACGCCCAGAAGGGATCAGAGGCTTCGAAGCCGGCAGAGGTCTCATCGGTGCCGCCGCGTGCTGTTGAGAACAGCCACAAGAAGATATTACAACCTGAAGGTGTAAGTCAAGACACCAACAAGCATCTCAACGGAACTTACTTGCTGATGACGGCAGAACGTCTCAAATGTCGGTGTTGATGGGAGCCCTGACCAGGTCGTCGGTCGCAAGCGCCCCGTCGCCGACGCTTCTGAGGCCAAGCAACCCGCCCAGAAGCGACGTAAGATCCTCAACACTCGAGCGACCCCTCTTCCAGATACTGTAACCCGGAATGATGCGAGGATCAAGCCTGGCTACACTGGTATGGCGAGGCCACGGTCCGCGGCGCCAACTGCCAAGTTCGGTAACAGTCTGAACCAACAACGTGAAAGTGTGAGCGTAAGTTGATGCCATCCCAAGTGCAGCACCTATGACCCACTGACCGTACCCAGGACTCTGGTGACAGTGGCACCCGGCTTCTCGAAGTCAATGGCCGCAGAAAACGCGTCGTCATCGAGGACTCTGACGATGAAGAGGAGGCACCGGCTCCAAAACGCCATTGTCCTGAAACTGCTGGCGCCCCAGGTGGTCGATCTTGCAGCAAGTCACCCGAAGACGCGGTCCATAAGCCGAGCATCGTCCTTGAAAAGAAGGCCGACCCATGCAAGCGAAAGCGCGTTAGTACTTGTCATCGAGACAGCGGTTCATGTTAGCAGCCATTGACAAATCAACTAGGATGATGACAAAGACGAATTCGAGCACCAGGCGGACAACGATCGCTTGAGAGCCCGTAAGAGCCAAAGAAGTGATTCTGGGTCTGACAAAGAGAACAAACGCAGCCCGGCGAGTTCAACCAGTAGTCAGACAAGCATTAAGGCTCCCCAAAGACCACCGAAGACCATCTCTGCTAAGAAAGTTCCCGCCAAAGGATCTTTTGCAGAGTTGATGGCACGGGCGGAGAAGGTGAAAGCAGAGAACGCCGAACAAGTCCAGCAGATCGGCATGATCAGACACCGACCTACCGGTCGGCCAGTATTCTCCACAAGAAGCATCTATGCCGGAAGGCCAGAGGCCGTACCTAATGAATCCATCACAACCAGCAAGCGACCTCTCACCGATGCACAGTTCGAGGCTCTTCGCTCAGCTGCGGAAATGGCTCAAAAGAAATTGGACGACGCCCTGGACCTCGCCGTGGACCCCAAAACACGGAAATATGTGTTCAAAAACCTCATTGGCAAAAGTCGTGGAGAGAAAGCCAAGATAACAAAGAATCGGGAAAAGTGGCACGGGATAATCGAGGATTTTAGGGAGGCCAGGAACGCAAGGCAAAAGGCACTCGCAGCGACAGAAGCGAAAGCCCAGATCTCCGACAACGAGAAGAAGGAGCCACGGCTCACGCAGTAGGCCTCGCCAATCCCGCCACGTACTCAACCAGATCCGTGCATCCTGAGGCACTGGTCGCTACAGAGAGTCGGCGCTTTTTGTCAGTCGAGACTTAGCAGTACAGTCGGCCCTGTCCCACTCACCAGCAAGGTCGAGCCGAACGTCCCAGCAAGATTATTCAGCACTCGAGGTCTTGACATCCACTTTAGTCGGCATTCATGTTTGGCATATCCGTCATTCGAGCTCATGTCGGCGGTTCATGACTGGTATCTTCCACAAAATTTCAACACTTCGAGTCCTTGTCATCGCGTGTCAGCACCACCAGTTTCGGTACTGTCCTGGGGTTTCTATCATATTTTTCTACCAATATAACCTCTTCTCAACACGCTTTCAGCGACAACCTCGGCAGGCAAAGGTCCGACGCAGGAAGAACGGTTGGTTTGGATGTTCTTGAAGGTCTGTGGAAGATTGTCCAGTCCGAAAGGTCAGGCATAGCAGCTTGAGAGGGTTGGCAATAGGATCCGATCTTGGTATAGGGTTCCTTGGTCATTCGGGCGTCTGAGCAAATTCAGCTTAGAGCGAGTGATCGAGGTGGATTCCTCGGAGGGCTTGGGAGAGTTCGATTGCAGATATCCGATGTCGACAGCATTGCACGTTGTGCGGAAAACGTGATACTGTGTTATTTTGTCTTTTGTCGTATTCCATCAGTCAGAGAATGGGCAAATGGATGGCATGAATAGACTTGTGCTATAGAGAGGAGACTAAATGTTGAAAAGAGAAATGAAAAGCCTGTCACATCGGCGTAAAGCTACAGGAACAGTCAACGGAGGGGGAGGAGACGCGTGAGAATGACATCAAGCTGAGCGCCCAGATGAGTACGAGGTACAGTACTCCGTACGAGCTAAAGTCTGCCTCGCGCCTCACCCGTGGCTCGTATGGCGGGGCTGACGATCACCCGTGTGTGTGCCTTGTTTTTGCCAATCGTGGAAGCCGCTAAGCCCTGGGTCTGGCGCCTTGGCACGGATGGTCATAACACCGGTCTTGCTTATGCACGTTATACGATGCAGCTTGATGTGACTTGCCAAAGCAACAAGGAGCGAAGCAACACAGTGCCGTGTCGATATCTACTCTTACTCACCATCCCTCTTGCCTACGGACTGGCGTGTATAGGTCCCCCTAAAACAAGGATGAAGTGGACTCAACCTGTCTCGTTCCTGCAAGTCTACAAACCTCTTCACCGATGATCCGTGACTCCTCACTCATGCTATGGCTGGCATGCCGAACACTATCCGGTGTACCTCGTAGCCCAGGCACTCCGGGATGGCATGGTAACCCACTGGTACAGGTAATTAGTGGGGACGTCAGGGACATGTTGATAACGCGTACCAGAATCGCAGGGATACTGTTAAGCGCGTCGTCTTCTGCCTGCAATAGACGCGGATCTCCTCGAGCTTCAGCTATCTTTGCAGATCTTAGCAGTAACACGTTGGTATGGCCGCAAAACTCCGACTCAACCATTGTGGCAATTGGATCAACCCTACATCTGCTGATCGATGGATAATGCCACGCAGATACACCACGGTCGCGGGATACGATAAGATGTATCCGCCTCATGCGGCTTTATCTTCCTTTCCCTGAACGCTCCGTCGGCCGAACCCCGATACATTGGTTTGGAGAAACTGGAATAGTACTCGCGTACCAGGATAAGTACAGGCCTACTCTCTGCGAAAGTTGCTATTTTCTTGCCTCGCCTCGCCTTGCTTTCATCTTCTCCGCCTTCTGTCCCTCTCCACGAATATGGCGGATATCGAAAAGAAGCAAGCACAGATCACTGAGCCGGCTGTTGAAGCCACTCCGCCCCCTCCAAAGGCATCCTTTCTCGACCGTTTCGGAGGTCGAACAAACGATCCGAATGTCCTCGGCAAAGAGTTGTTGCAAAAGGCTCTTGAGTTTGACGAAGCTCAACTGGAACGAGATGCGATCAAAGTCCGCCGCAAACTTGACTTTATAGTCATCCCCATGGTAGGCACGAACACATTTCTCCAGCAAGGTTGAACAATGCTAAGTCTCCGACCCCTTCAGATGATGACAACCTACATGTTGAGTTTTCTGGACAAACAGACGTAAGTCCCCCATGGCACTAGAGCCTGTGTCCTATGCTGAAACCTGCAGGCTCAACTACTCCAACGCATATGGCCTTCAGGAGGACACCAACATGACAGGTGACGATTACACCTGGGTGGCTTCCGCCCTGTACTTCGGAACGCTTGTCAGCGCATACGCCTGGAACGTCGTCTTACAGCGTTATCCCATTGGTAGACTCGTTGGGGGCATGGTATTCGTCTGGGCGGGTGTCTGCATGCTTCAGGCAGCCGTGTTCAATTTCTCGGGCTTTTTTGCAGTGCGCTTCTTTTTAGGGGTTGTTGAAGGCTGCATTGCCCCGGCCTTTGTTCTTCTCACATCCATGCTTTGGACCAGAGAGGAGCAGGCCCTTCGCACTTCTTTTTGGCTGTCGACCAACGGCGTCTCATCCATTCTCGGATCCTTGCTAGCATACGGAAGTGGACATGCGACCCATCTTGCCATCGACAACTGGAAATTAATCTATCTGGTATTGCAGTACACCCTCACGGACGGGTACAGACTAACTGGTAACAGATTGTGGGCTGCATGACGTTCCTCTGGGGTTTCGTGGTTCTGCTATACCTGCCGGACGGGCCCCATAACGCCAAAATCCTCACAGAATACGAACGGATGGTGGCGGTCTGGCGGGTATCGAAGAACCAGATGGGGATCAAACACTACACTCTGGTTCCTGCGCAGATCAAGGAGGCGGCCATTGACCCGAAGACGTGGCTCGTCTTGCTCATGGGCGCTTGCACAGGGATTCTAAACGGGGCAGTCGCAAACTTTGCTTCTGCTATCATCAAGGGCTTTGGGTTTGATGCACTCAGGACGACTCTCCTGCAGACCCCTGGTGGCGCTTTCGAGTTGTTCGGGTGTATGTTCTTTGGATGGGTAGCTACGAAGCCGAACTTCCTAGGTGCTACCATTATCGGTGAGTGTGTTTCGGGTCCTGCGGCTTGTCAAACGCTGACACTTCTGCTCCCTTCAGTCTCATGCTTGCCCGGCTTTGCAGGTTTAATCGGGCTACTGACAATCAATGATAAACACCGATATGCGCTGGTGGGCTGTACGTGGCTGCAGAATATTCTGGGTTCACCGATCATCTTGGGCTGGACGGTACCGGGACTTAACGTCGCCGGACACACGAAGAGGACCACCGTGCTTGGCCTTCTTTTCGTGTAAGTTATGAACCGCAAGCTGCGAGTCGCACTAACCCCGACTCCTAGATTCTACAACGCCGGCAACATCTGCGGGCCCCATCTCTTCCTACCAGCAGAAGCGCCGCGGTACTTTACGGCCATCAGAGCATTACTCGCGACATACTGCGCCCTGATCGGCCTGCAAGTGCTGTATTCGATCTGGTGCTACTTTGACAATAAAGCCCGTGACCGGAAAGGCTATCATGCGCAGCGAACCGAGGAGCTACTGGAGGGATTCGAGGACTTGACGGACAAGCAGAACCTGCATTTCAGGTACAAGATCTGATAGCAGTTTTTCGTGGTGGGTCACTTTCACCCTCGATTTCGATCGTGGTCGAAAGCTGGTCGAAAGCTACGTGGCAATGGTATATAGATATAGAGAATGGATCGTGTTGCTTACGAAGACGCTCTCTACAGGAGCACCCTTCCTCTTCTGGCAGTCATTTGATGAGATGTTTATCCCGGTACAACCCGCATAGACTCCGACAGCTTCGTGCCTGGAGCCTTCTTGACATCCTCTCGATGGACTACTCGTACTCCGTACGGAGTACTTCCCGACTCGTTATCTTGAATTTTCGACCTCTTTGGCTCCTGTCTCGGACTTCATAGTGCACGGGACAGCAAAATCATTGTCGAAACCTCTCGGAGCTTCATGATGCGCCTCAGCAGCAGCAGTAGCGATACGCGCTAGAACAGGTCAAGACAAAAGTTGAGTGTGAAGGTGGAAAGTGAGCGCGAGGGTAAGAGGCAGAGTGCGCGGTCTGTTTGGATTGTGACAGGACGGGCAGCCAGGGGTGCGGCGTCGAGGGCGTGCGCACCGTCCACCCACCCACTGTCCCTCCGCACCATTTCCCCACCATGGCCGAAGCCTCACCGCACACACTAACGTCCCAATACTGTGTACTCCAGACTCCTACTTGTGCTGTAAGGAGACATATCATATCTTCAACCACCCTCTCTTCGTCCTCCACTTCTCTTGTACAAGTCTACCCACCTCCATACGACTCACAACTCAGCACGGTAGCAGCCCAAGTATACCTCTACCTCTCTGCACTCCGTTCCGTACCGCACCCACCAACCCACCAAGTATCATCAACTGCTACGCTACGCTCCGCACGATGAAACTCCTCCACTCCCTCCTCTTCGCCGCTTCGTTCATCCCCCTCGCGACGTGCGTGCCCGACGGTCTGGACATCGAGTACCAAACCCCCGACATCACCTGCACGCGCAAGACAGTCAAGGGCGACAAGATCGACGTGCACTACCGTGGCACGCTGCAGTCAAGTGGCAAGGAGTTCGACTCTAGCTACGGGCGGGGATCGCCTTTGGGGTTCGAGCTGGGGGCGGGAAGGGTTATCAAGGGGTATGTCACGCGACGTGTTTGCCGATTGTCGGTCGGCGCCTGCTAACCCGCGGCTGTCCGCAGATGGGACGAAGGCCTCCTCGACATGTGCATTGGGGAGAAGAGAAAGTTGACGATCGCGCCGGAGTTGGGGTATGGGGATCGAGGCGTGGGGCCGATCCCGGGGGGAAGCACGTTGGTGTTTGAGACCGAGTTGATGGGCATCAAGGGGGTCAAGAAGGATGAGCTGTGAATACGTGACTGACCGAGGACGGGCAAGTGGGGAGATGAGGATGAGTGCTGAATGCGACCTGCACTGGCGCCGGACATCTGCGATATGTATCTCGTACTGTCCTGCCTGCTGGCGGGGTCGAGCGTCGCTGTCGCCGTCGCTGCGCAAGTGTCTGCGTCGCATGACCACGAGGAGCGGCAGGCCGGTCGAACCGCCTCACACACATACATTTACAGAACGGCCCGGGACTTTCTGGGTTGTGGGCGACGGATACTCCTTACATAAAATGGATAGAGAACACGCCAGACGACACATAAAATGGGAGGGAGGTAGACATTACTACGATACGGTCGGTCTACATAACTGTGAGTACCTCGTACCCAAGAGAGAGCCCATCATGGTCATGCAGCAATGAGTACGACTGGTGCTGCTGAAGAGCCTCCTGCGTGAACAGAGGCTCGATCAGATATCAGACCTTGCCGAGGAAGGACATTTGCCTCTGCACCCACGATATTATTCCCCTCTTGACTCATGGCCAACCCCATGACCCGGCATTATCTGACTCAATCACGCGTAAGCCGTGATGGATCACACGGGAACGTTAACAGGAGCAACCTCGCACCACATGCCCAACTCAGCCATGATGCGTCCGATGTGTCCGATCCCATGTAAACAAGACCCAGAATGCCACAGCACTTGACGGTTGGGCCGCAGAGCCTCAAGCTAACTTGACCTACGTGAGATTGTCAGCCGGCTGGATTGCGCAGCCTGCCACGTTTCGCCACCTGTTCGCCTTGCAACGCGTCTCCAGGGTATAATCCTGTCTTTGAAACTTCCTCTTGCCTCCTCGTCAGCATCGGCCTCCGCGTTATCAGTTCTTCTACGTCGGGCTTCTGCCATCTTCGGGTGCCGTGTAGTCGAACAGCCAGTCAAACAGAATTGCGGAGAGTATGTAGACCGGGTGATAACGTTACTTCCCAGACAGTGCTGTGGCCTTGTGGCTTCAGAACACGTCCATTTCGAGGACTTGGACTGCCGCAACCAGGGACTTTGACACATCCGCTCGAAGGAATCTGTATCTGCACGGATCTGATGCAAAATGTTGCCACGTAGTGAAAATACTATTGATCAGTGGACGACCAGGAAAACGAAGACCAAGGTTGCGGATGATGAGCTTCCAATCGCACAAGCTCACGTATCGACTGACTGGCGAATATCACGACGTGGTCGCCCCTTCAAGGCCATCAACGCATCAGTGCCAAACAGATTCAGGCTGGCGGTAATGGGTTGCGCCCATCGGAAAGTGATATCACAGCATGCCGTGTGTAACTTCAGGACTATCGTTGGGAGTCTATTTCGATGGTGCTAAGGTAGCCAGGCAGAGAAATGACTCGTTCATCGTGCAAGCCTCGTGCACAGGAGGAATACCGTCCCCTGCACATCAGGCTGTACAGAACGCAATGGCTGGCTGAACAGTGGAGTGAACGAGCTTGACGTGAGTTGAACTGAGGTTGAGGGCAGCCCATGGGCGTTGAATGTGATTGGTTGATGGTTGCGCTTCGCCGTCGCTTCGGCTTCTCTCTGGCTTGTCTCTGCAAGCTCACTCCCTGACCATGCTGGGTGCTCGCCGGGACACAGCATGTACTCCGTACCCCCGCATTTCACTCACACCTGTGCTCGTTTGTTGTCTCATCATATACGGAGTATGCGATGATCTTTCGGCGCTGATTCGCGGCCTGTAAGATGCGGTCAGTCGTGGACTATGTTTGAGCTAGATCCGGATAGGCTATGGCCTGTGCATTTGTGCTGCAGCCTTGACTTTTGTCCTAACCGCAGTCCCAACTTTGAATGTGGTCTGCGATGTAGACGTACTTTCAAAAAGGAGAAGGAGGCCATTGGGCGGGGCTGCGTTATCAGATGAACCCACCCAATCCGGGCTCTGAGATTCTTGCTATTCTGCCCACCAATGCTCGTGGCGGTTCCACTCTTGTATCTACTGCAATCCGAGCACTGCAAATCTGTCTCCTTCTAAGTCGTGTGTTATTGTCTTGACATTACAGGAAGGCGGAGTCATCACGGCGCACCACTGCATTTTCCTCATATCCTCACTGCTAAGGGGCTGGATCCCGTGAACACTGGTGTCCCACTAGAGCATGTAGCGATAGTCGGGGTTCATGTCACCCAGCTCGGTCTTTTCGTAGTCCGTCAGTCCAACATCGTGAGTCTTCTCTCGCTGTCGGTTTTGACTCAGACAGGCGAGGAAGTAGAGGATGCAGCTTGCCGCGCTCAGGCAGATGAACGACAAGCAAATGCTGTAGCCCTTGTGGAAGAAGGTCGCCGCGTCGGTGGCTGCGAAACTGTAACTGGCAATGATCCCGCCAATGTTGCCAAACCCGATTTGCCACGCTGTGCCCACTGCTCGACGATGATGGCCACCCAGGTTCATGGAGAACCAGCACACAATCACCGGCATGGCACTGTATGTTCCAGAAGTGATCATAAACAGCGCACCATACTGTACGTGGTTGTTGTGATGCACGACCATGAGGGTCGCGAAGCCCGCAATCGCAATGCAGATGTTGAATATCACGAAGAAGAATCGGTGGCGGAAGCGATCGGATAGTGCGGCCGTGAGCATGCTCCAGCCGAACGCGGCGGCCCAGGGAGGCACGGAGTGCAGCTGTGTCTGGATAGGGCTATAGCCATAACTCTTGATGATGGTAGGCGCGAAATAGGCGTAGCCGTAAGCTTTGCCAAGGTTAGCTTCGTAGTCAGAGAATGGACCGACACGCTTACCAGGTACGATCAGGCCAAAGTACATGAAACCTCCCACGATAATCTTGTAGTCTTTGAAGCAGTTGACCACGTCTGTGAAGGTGATGCGTCGCTCAAGAGCGGATTTGCCCTGGTCATCTCGAAGCCTGGCTTTGATGTATTCTCGCTCAGGCTCTGTCACCCACTTGGCGTCCTCCGGGAAGTCGGGGATGGCGAAGTACCAGAAAAAGGAGACGAAGCAGGTCAGACAGCCCTCCAGGATGAAGACCCATCTCCAGCCAAGGTAGCCCTCCATGCCGTCCATCTTACCAATGGCAGAAGCAAGGAGACCACCGAAAGCACCAGCCAACGTTGTACTGGCAAAGAAGAAAGTGTATCTTTTCTGTGCCTCTTGTCGTTTGTACCACATGCCAATAAGATAGAACGCGCCTGATTTGTGTCAGAGCTGTCATTTGGCTATCCTCGAACACACATACCTGGAAACATGCCAGTTTCGAACAGCCCGAGAAAAAATCTCGTTGTAAGAAACCCGCCATATCCTTGAACAAGGCCTTGGCAGATTGTGACCAACCCAAAGCCAAACATGCAGATGGAAAGCCAGACGTGGGGTTTGAGTCTCTTGAGGATGATGTTTGAGGGGATTTCGAAGACCACGTACGGCACGAAAAAAATCGTCAGACACGTGCTATACTGGGTGCTGTTCAGGCCGAGATCCTTTTGGAGACCGAAGACGGCGGCATTGGCGACGTTTGTTCTGTCGAGGAAAGCCAACAGATACATGATCGAGAGGACGGGGATGATTCTCAGATCGATCTTGGTAAGCAGCCGTCGTTCCGAGACGCCTGCCGGAAGTACTGCTGTCTCGCCATCTCTGTAGCCTGCAGCAGGATGCGCCAGGTCCGGGTCATACCCCAGCTGACCCTCGCCGATGCCATTCGAGTCGTTGTAGGCATGCTGGGCCTTTTCATCTAGTGATTGGTCAGCAGCTTGACATGGAGCACTGTTACCAGGGATATTTACTGGACCCATCAATATTGAAACGCATTGTTGGAGGAATTCGGTCTCGCGCGGAGCTCAAGCGAGGCTAGTTTGAGCAATGTTGCAGAATGACAGACACATTCGAGGGAAGATCCTGACTTTATCGCGGAGGCGGGCAGCGGGGTCTTCTTGTAGCTCCAGAGGCGACAGTGCGCCAAGGGGAGTGGGTGAGAGGTTGTGCGGTTGCAGGGCCAGAGCGAACCTTGACAGGCGGGTTACAACCCGCACGGCCTCGAAAAGGATTTTTGTCCGAAGCGAGTGGCAACATGGTATTAGCGATCGCAGAGCCTGACCCATATACCGCTTTGGCCAACTCAGTGGGGATCAGCGGGGTGAAGGATTGTGGGATCCCCAGATGAAGTTTGCTCGAAGATCTCGCGATGCGACGAGCCTGGAGAACCTGGGTAATCAAAAGGCCATCGATGCGACGTCAACATCGTGTTCCAAGGCCTTTAAGCTACCTTCTAAGTGGTCCAGCTGGCCCTCGGCGCACGACAAGAGGCGGTGGCTGAACATGAACAGCTTGATAGGCGTCGAGGCACGAGCTCATTAAGCTTATTGGAGCTTAGTAGCGGTTGGGAGGCGGCTGCCCCGCCTTCGCAAACAAGCCGGGAGGCTGGGCGGAATAGTACAAGGAAGGGCGATACGAAGTACCCCGTACCCGACGGCACCAACGGTCAACGCGGAGGGATCTTGTTGCGTTTAAGCATCACTTTTGGCAAACATACTCCGTACTTAGGCTGTGGTATTCAGAGTAAGTATAAGCATATCTCCATGCCAGTACGGAGTATGGCGCGTCGTGTTGCCAACAGACGATATACCACAGTCGAGAAGCGTCTGTGCATATCATGTGGGTGGATATGTGGTCGTCTGACATGGCGAAGGCCGCCGCCGAAGAGGTTTCTGCTCCAAAAGTTGCCAGATACTGCAAAGTTCTGGAATGATCGGATGAAATACGGAGTACTTTGGACCCGGCAGCAAGCGAAGCATAAGGCCTAACAATCAGTAGCACGCGCCTGTCAAGCATGCATCTGGCCAAAAGCCGGTACTAGTCCGGTCAAACGCATGCAATAATGAGCATGCTGTTCCTTTGTGGTTCAAGTGGTTCAACCCAGTACATCCACGTGCACAGGGCCAGTAGTTCAGTGCCGCTTAGCAGCGCATTCCACTTTCGTGAGATCAATACCACACCTCGGACGTGCTTCGCAAGTACGGAGTAGCACGAGTAGGATCGTCCTGTCGGCCTTCAGTGCCGGCGAGGACGCGGTTAAAAGCTCCGGTGCGCCCGGCAATTCGGCGCTCTTGTGCGTCCTGCCATCTAAGAATCGGCTTTCGATTCCGCTAATGGTGCCCTTATGACGCCCCAGCCTCCGAGTACCTATTCCCAACCCGAGGCCTAAAAACAGCGAGCGTAAGCACCCCTTCAGGCTTAAGTCGCACCTGGGCGTCTATGCCAACTTCGGCCATCCAGCAGAGTATGTCGATGTGGCAGCCGCCTCACACGCCATGTCTCTCACTCGGTTGATTTACACAGCCAGAGACAGGTACTCCATGGCAATCCTCATGAGTGTATGCAAGAACAATGAAGTGAAAACAGCCGCATTGCTTCCTCCTGGATAGGAAACATCCTACCCCCCGCTTCATGGATGGTGACCCTTTTGCACCCAGTCGCCACGATTATTTCTTCAGCTGACACCGACTTCATTCACTTATTCGAGCGCCGTTGAGACCCAAGACGAACACTGAGAGCACCGACACGATCACTCCAGTCTAAGGCGTCGTGTCAGCGAACTTCGGTTCCCTCAGTCCCTGGCGTGGCCAGTGTTCACCCGCCTGGGATATCGATTCGTCTCGCCTACGTTCAACTCCGATCTTCCTGGGAACCGGCGGATCATGGATCCATTTCCCTCCCCTAGCCTTACCGCGCAGGCCTTAAGAAAGCGCAGATATAGGGGGGAGCCGATGATGAGGGTGCAGAGCCAGTTTCGAAATACTGGTGGCTCGTCCTCGCAAGTGTTCCACCCGAAGCCTTTGTCAGCTCCAACCACTGCCCCGTTTTCGTTCGAAACCTCAAAGTTCAGCTTGCCAGGGCCTTCCCAAACGCCGGAACAAGTGGCCCCTCGTCCGACGAAAAGAGCCCGTGTCGCCCCCGTCACGTTCTTGAATGCCACTGTTGATTGTACGAAGGATGGCCGACGCATTACGTTCAAAAGCGACACGGCCGAGTCAACCTCCGCTGAATCCTCAGGAGACAACACAACGCAGCCAGCAAAGCCCGCAGAAAAAGGGTGCCGAACCCGCCTTGGACCAAGTCATCCTGTGAAGCTCTCCAGCAAAATCTACGCCGACGTATGGATTCGTATTCTTAGCTTTTGCGAACCCAAATTTTTGTTGGAAGCCAAAACAATCGACAAGTTCCGCTACGGCCTGCTGTCGGACCATTCCGTGATCTGGAGAGAGAGTAGGTTGAACTACTACGGCTGGGATATGCCAGATTGCCCTAGAAACCTGACGGAGCAAAAATACGTTGAGCTCATGGCTGGTCGTGGGTGCCAGAACAGCAGATGTGCCAAGGCAGACACTCACAAAGTGCATTGGATCTTTCGCGTTCGCTTGTGCAGCGGATGTTTGGCCCAGAAAATCATGCGGGTGCGTTTTCCCGTTCAGGGCAGCACAGAACCAGGAGGTACTGACAGCATCGTGCTATAGGTCGAAGAGCTTCCTTCCCGGCGACAGTACTTTCTTCCTAATACTTGCTATGAATTGAATTCTGGGAATGGACTCGCGCTATGGGAATTGTTGCCGCTTGCACGACTGGACGGGTAAGAAGCGTTGCAGGTTCTCGCGCACTCCTTCATACTGACGGTCTTCGCGGAGCAGGAGAGACTTACATCCCCTCAAAATCGACGAGGACTCGAATAATTGGGCCTTCGGTCAAGGCAATCCACGTCGGTTTCGGTTTCTGATGTCCTCGTACGCCGAACTCGAATCTGAGTACAAGCAGCTCGACAATTCCGGTGCTGGGGATGAGATTATCAAGGCGTGGGCAGATATGAAACATGAGGAAACCATGGAAGTGATGACCCATGCCATCAAGCTTGAATCGTGGTGCAAACAGCACATCCTTCACAAGCACACCACAGAGGCCCAAGACTTGCGGCAGATCAGAGCCATTTACTTTGAAGCCCGTGCCCTCGAGCGGTCGCCGCCAATGGAGAGAAGGGTATTGCACAAAATGGCAGATTTCCAGAAAGCGCTCAAGATACGTGCCCAACCAACAGAGCGGTCCTGGGATGCGCTCAGACGGAAGATTGAGCCGTATCGATCCCATGCGGAGCAAGTGCTGGAGTTCGAACTACTGATGGAATCCTTCCTTGACAATCTGCCACAAGTCAAGTTGTTCAAGGAGTTGCATGAACGCCGGCATAGGAAAAGAGGCTCACAGCGCACTTACCAGCTGGAGCAGGAATATATCCTACGACTTGGCCAAGCCGAATTTGATCGGTGTATAAAGAACCATGTCGCGGACGAAGACCTACTCCTGCTGTGTCTTCAAAATGTCTTCGACACATACAGTACTTTGGACCATCAGCCTTATGGATTCAACTTCGATGGTACGTTTGGTACATACCGTCTAAGCCTCGACGATGCCAGGATGATCGTGGAGGATGTCATTGAAAAGCAGATCCCGCGCAATTCTACTCGGGGACGGGTCGTGTTCCCGAATCTCAGATGCAGGGGTTGTCGCCGGACAGACTATGTCCGATCGTTCTCTTTCGTCCAGGCCTTTGAGCACATACTCGAGAAGCATGCCAGGCATGTAGGCGAAGGTCTTGAATTTTATCAGTTCGCCCGGCCGTACCCTAAGACATACAACTCGTGGGCTTCACCAGATGATGATGCGATCGACTTCAGGTTTCCCTGGTACACGACCTTCTGGCCGCGGACCCTGCCTCTTGTCCCTCGTCATTGCGAGCCGTCAAAGATGGAACACTGGCATCCCGCAGTCCCTACCGAGTTCATACAGGCAAAGAAACCTCCTAACCAATCACCATTTGGAGGACGGCGGCCGTGCGTTACAGGCAACCCAGACGATGCATTCGCGTTGAACCTGGTTTACGCGACCGAAAAGCTCTTTGGTCTTGCGCTCGATGGGCCTTGTCAGCTGAAAATCGCTCTAAAGTTCGCCCTTGATCTCTATGCGAAGAAACATACGAGCGACCCACCTGTGTCAAATATTATAACATGTCTGGACCTCCTGCGGACTGTAAACCCCAAGATTGACCTCAGATTCGGGTGCGGAATTTGTGGAACCGAAGACAAGGTATACCGAAGCCTGAGGCAAACAAAATACCGCAAGGCCGTGGAACAACTGGAGAAACACTGGACGAGAAAGCATCACGGTGGATCGATCGGCTGGACCAAAGGGATGATACAACTTCCTTCGGAAAGCGAAGTGTGGCAGCAGATTATGGCCTCGGACAAGAAGCTCCGCTCCGAGCAAGCGGCGCTGATGCAGCGAGAAATGACCCGGCATAAGGACATCAAAAAGCGAGCGCATGCAAAGGCCAACGCCATCTTGCAACAACGGGCCGCAGAAGAGGTGTTTGATCAACTATTCCCACCAACAGCAATAAATGAACGGACGGAAACATGAAAAGTGGCCTGATAGATATTAGTATTTGGTAACGGATTATGACTAACGGAGGCGTGCATGACCGGCGTCGGATGATTGGCAATACTTTACCATGGTGTATTGATCAACAACCAATGCAGAGCACTGCGCATCTGCTGTTGTTGACTTCTTGCCGCATTTCAAACCAGCACTTCCTGGTTTGGCTACGCTTCATCAAGCGCAGTGTGGAAGGACTTGGTGCTCGGAATGGGGCGGGTACGCTTGCTAGGTGGATTACTACCGCAGCTTGTTCTGCACCATATTCATCTTCTGCAGGTAATTTGCAGATGTCCAGAGTCACTTTCACCTATCATCAAGCTATCAATGCACTATCGAGAAGTGTACGAAGGAGTCATCTAGGTAGCCGGTTATGAATACCGAAAGGAGAAAGCGAGAGCGAGAAAGGATGAAAGCCTTTCTTGTTTGGGCAAGTCCGAGCGAGGTTCGGCACCGAGCCGTAGTACGAGGATACGAGGCTCGGAGCTCGATTCCCCTGCCAAGAATCAGCAGTCATGTTTTAGTGCTTGAGCATCTTTGGCCACCTTGATTGGCCACAGGTGCCTTCAAACGAGCTAAACGGCGATCAGGTGCATCAAAGTCTCGCTAGAAAGCCGCTAGTGGCACGTGCATGTCACGTCACGTCAGTCTCAAGGCGCGTTTTTTGATAAAGAAAAATTCATGGCCGTATCTCTCCCGCGGGTTGCCTTCGACATCTCACCACCGATAACTGATGCTTTGTAGGGTCCGCCGCCTCGCGGGAGCTGCAGCCACTCATTTCGCGTGTCACTCACTTTTTATCCAGCCTCGCCGTCTCCACTGCTACCGTAACCAATTCTCGCCCTCAATAGCCTTTTCCGGAAGTTTCTTTACCATCCCTTTCAGTTCCTTATATCTTGCTCTACTTGCTTCTCCTCTTGACTTCACATTCTCTTCAGCTTTGCCTCAGACTTGCACCCGCACACACTCGTGATATTCACAAGAACACAACCAGCACAATGGCTACACCGATGGCTGTCCGCACCTTCTCCAAATCTCTTCCTCGAAGCACAGCTTCAGCGACATCCTCCCTGCGCTTGGCAGCGCGCCCTTCACGTGCCAATGCAGCCAAACAATTCTTCCAACAATCCTCCCGCCGCCACTACTCGTCCAGCCACGATGCGTCCAAGTCATCAAATACTGGCATAGTCTATGGTGGCGTCGCAGCTGCAGCCGCCCTCGCAGGAGGCTACTATTACTTTACCACCACTGGCCAGGAGAGGAAGAAGGCAGGCATCCCCGAGGGCGTGCCCGAGGTGCACCTCAAGAAAGGCTCGGCCGATCAGTCCGTCGGCATCTTCACGCCCACCGCTGAAGATTACCAGAAAGTCTACAACGCAATTGCAAAGGCACTGTGGGAGAAGGATGATTACGATGATGGAAGCTACGGTCCTGTCTTGCTACGGTTAGCATGGCACGCATCGGGAACATACGACGCCGCTACCGGGACGGGCGGCAGCAACGGCGCGACCATGCGATTCGCACCCGAGGGCGAGCACGGCGCCAACGCCGGCCTCAAGAGCGCCCGCGACTTCCTCGAACCCATCAAGCAGCAGTTCCCCTGGATCAGCTACTCCGACCTGTGGACCCTCGCGGGCGTCTGCGCCGTGCAGGAGATGCAAGGGCCTACCATTCCCTGGCGGCCGGGCCGACAAGATAAAGACGTCGCGTTTTGCACCCCGGACGGTCGACTGCCCGATGGGAGCAAAGGACACGATCACATCCGCGCCATCTTCGGCCGCATGGGCTTCAATGATCAGGAGATGGTTGCTCTCTCCGGCGCCCACGCGCTGGGCCGCTGCCATGCGGACCGCTCCGGGTTCGAGGGACCTTGGACCTTCTCCCCCACGGTTCTGACCAACGATTACTTCCGTCTTCTCATGGAAGAGAAATGGGGCTGGAAGTCGTGGAAGGGGCCCAAGCAGTATGAAGATGCGACGACCAAGAGTCTGATGATGTTACCCACGGATGTGGCCCTAATCAAGGACCCGGTGTTTAGGGGCTGGGTGGAGAAATACGCAAAGGACAACGATCTCTTCTTCCGAGACTTCGCCGGCGTGGTGAAGAAGTTGTTCGAACTCGGTGTGCCCTTCAAAGAGGACGCCAAGCCGCTCACCTTCAAGTCGACACTTGAGGAGTAAGCCCATCCGGAGTCGGATTGTTGATTTATCCATCGGGACCGCAGCTGCGGTTGCGGGATTTTTTCTCTTCTCGCCTTGTACATTCCTCAGGCATGTTTTTGTTTTCTCAACTCGGCATTTCGGCATTCCCGTTCAGCGATTCCAGCATCTTGGACACGGCGTGGCGTTTTATCACCGGTCATCTTGTGCTGGGAATTGCTGACTCATCAGATGATCTTGAGCGTTTTCAGCGGAATCTGCAACGGCCCGTCATGTTGGTCACCTCAGTCCACCAGTCACGAAAATAGACATAGACATAGACATGGCCGTGGACGTGGACATGGACATAGACAGAAGCTGCAAGAGCAGTCAAGGCGGCCAGCGCAGCGAGAGCAGCCAAAGCCTAATTCGGTTTCCATCTGCAAGTAATAGACCCAAAGGAATTGATTGTGGTGCATGTGAAATTCGCTTATCGAGACACGTCCCAGACTTCAATCCTATTGCCATCAATTCAATCTTAGTACTGTACCAGCTCCCGCAAGGCGTTACATAACACAGAACAATCCAATTTCACCCAATGCAATCACGAAGGCTCGCCGACAATGATGTCCATTCCGCCCTCGGACCTGTTCACTTTCACGTTCACGTTCAATTCCACATTCACATCCAGGTTCAAGTTCGCCGCACCCGACGAGCAGGTGCCATCTCAACCCCCATCTCCTCCTCCCACGCCAGAAAGTACTCAACCCCCTCCCCCAACGTCATCCCCGCCAGCGCCTTGAGCGTCAACTCGGCAATCACAGGCGGTGCGTACCGCGGCGTCAGACTCATCAGGATCTTCACCTTGCACTGCTCGTCCGAGTACTCTGTCCCCACTGCCCGTAGGTCCTCTCGGAGCACCTGCAGGCGGTGGAAAAAGTCGCGCATCGAGGCGCAGTGTTGGAGATGTAGGTCGTTCATGTTGCGGAGGGCGATTTCTAGGGTCATGGGAGGTGGATTTGGAGCGGGAGTGGGATTTGGAACGGGAGCAGGAGTGGGATTTGGAACGGGAGCGGGAGTGGGATTCAACGTGGGAGTCGCAACAGCAGGCGGAACTTCCCCGTCGTACAGATTGCGTATCGCACGCCATGTCTCGCTTGGGGGCCTGCCTGGGCTGGCGTGTGCGCGAGTGAGTGCCAGCCCATATGTACGTTGTTGAACCACGGCCCGGGCGCGGGGATGGATGTTCTCGAGCAGGAATGTCATGGCGTTGTCGATCTTGCGGCACTGTTCCTCCCATTCCCAGACGTCGGACTCGTATTGTTCCTGCCAGTATTTCCACCAGAATCCGGACTTTGCCTTGGCCACTTCGGCCTGGTAGAGGGACGGGTTAGGGACGTGCTTGATCTGTTCTGTGCCCGTATAGAGGTTCCAGAAGCCGTGGCGTCGGGCGGCGATCTCGAACTCTTGAGCCCAGGTCTTGTAGTTAGAACGGCCGTGAAGAGGGACAATAGGGTCAGTAGCTGCGACGGGATCGGACATCGTGGGAGGGAAACCGAGGACGGGAGAACAGACGCTAGGGATGCAGGGAGGGGGGAGATTGAAGGCGTGGTAGTTGTACGCCACGTAGAGCTAGAAGAGGTGGGAGAGAAGTACCTGTAGACTGGGCATGGTTGGTCTCCAGAGAAAAGGTAGAGATGGACGGAATGACTGGCGGTCCAAAGCAATCATTCAAACGCGTTTTCCGACAGATCAAACATGACATGCCATGTTTCGAGAAAGGAACTGTAAATACAGTTTAAAGAGGACGAGAAAGGGGAGGAAACGGCCGCGAGGCCTGGTCTTGGGTTGCGCGGTGGATGTGAACATCTTGATTGCATTGACGCACGCGTGTTTTCTGCAGTGTGTGCTGTGTGCTGTGTATGGTAGATGGTCGCGTAGTTTGAGTCTGTTCTTTGGCTCAATGAATTCGGTCTCCATGTTGACAGTTGTAGAGGTATCGACAAGACATGCTTGCCGCAACCAATATGAAAATGCTTCCAACGACAGTTCGTTCATCTGCACTCCTCCTGTGGTAACCATCAAGCTGTTGATTCGCACGGTTGCCGTTCATGTGAACAAAATGAACATGAATGATGATAAATCCTGCCCGTCCAGCAGATGGAGGCGCGAGAGCGCGAAGTCTGTGCCATACGGATGTCGTCAGAAACGCCAACAGATGGAATGGGTGCAAGAAGTCATCCTTCACGCTTGTCAACCCGGTGTGAATTCGATGGGAAAATATAAAGACGGTCGTATGGCAAACGACCAGGACTGCCTTCCCAGGTCGAAAGCAGCAGTGCTGTCCAGGAGTGAATGAGTGAGTAGTGAACAATAAACTGCAGGGCTGCTGGACCGCTAGCTGCCTCGTTGCCGCCGGCTGCTCCGTCACTACCGGCTTCCTGTCACCACCAACTGCCTCGTCACTGCCTCCTACCGCTTGGCAGCCATGGTATATAAGAGCGCAGAAAGTCGTCGGCCTATGTCTTTCTCCTCACAGCCAGCCAGACTGTCTGTTGAGATTACACCTTGTTTCATCAGAGCTCCAAGACAAGGCAACGGACAGCATGGCAACAACGAACGATACCCCGGTTTCCACGACGGAAGGTCAAGATTTGTCGGATCTTCCTCCTCAAAACTCCGCGATCATCGGCGGTGAGTTCGCGATCGCCACAAACCTTTGTTCTTGACAAGCTTCCACTAATGCGCAGCAGAAATGATTCCCCAGCCTGCTCCCCTCGCCGCCACAGTTCTCGGACAGCAGGTTCAAGAGGTCGCCCGACATGCGCGCAATGAGCTCCTGGCGCCCCTCAATGGCATTGGTACGTATTTTCCGCGAACGGTTGAGAGAAGCACCGCTGACTCCCGTCCGAGCAGACTATCGCCACCATCGTCCCCCTGTAGGCATGCACGCCGACGAGGTGACTCGCCGGCTCTGGACGCTCCATACCCGACGCGACGCGAACGAGGTGATCTCCCACATCATCCGCGTCAACATCGAGGTCCTCCATCACGTGGGAGCGCAGCTCGACAAGCTGTACCAGGCCTTGAAGAGGCAGGCGGCCGCTCTGGTCCATCATTCGACGCAGCCTTCTTCCGACGGTGTATCGCTGGAAGGCGAAGTCGCCAGACTGCGCACCGCCATGGAAGAGCACGAACGCTGGGTGCAAGTCCTACGCTTGGAGGTCCAACTCTCTGAGGTGGCGTTGCTGAGGATGGAGGCGGCGCGGAGGCTCATCAGTCTGGCGGATCGACGGGCGCGTGGGGAGATCACGCCATTCGAGATGTATCAGCTCGAGGGGAGCCCGTTTCACACGTACCAGGCAGCGAGGGCCGAGGTGGTGAGGCTGGTGAGGAGGGTCTATGAGATGACGGGGAATGCCGCCTTTCTTGAGAGGCATAAGAACGAGCTGTGGGATGTGGTGGCACAGCAGGTCGAGTAAGAAAGACTGTGTTAGAACATCTGTAGCCCAGCAGCGTCTATCCGGTATGCCGGATAGCAACGACCCGGAAAACGCGCGTCGGCAACAGCATACTTCACGGCCCTAGATAGGGCGGTCGTTGTCGTTAAGGGGGCCGCGGCACCCGATGTAATCTTCAATGAGCATCAAAATCAGAGATAAATGAGGATGAGGTTGGGATCGACGTGCTCGCGGCCAGTCACACGGCAGTCAGCGCATTACCTTCCTCGATTGTTCGGCTGGCCGAACACCCATGGCCCCAAGGCTCATCGCTGTGCGATGATCGCGCCGAACTCGCGCCATTACCAAACGGCAGGCGCCAATGAGCTACCTCTTTGCCACACCAGGTTCCCTCAGCAGCCGACAAGTCGGACAAGAATGAGCGTTGCCTTCCTCTTTGCCATTTTATGCGAATGGTTTTAGATGAGGACTGCTCTTCCCTCAGCAGCGTTTCCAATCATGGAATCTTCTCCTTGCATCAGCTCGGTGACTGCAATATATCATGATCTGAGGGGACGAGAGTTCTCTTCCAAAGGGTATCTGGCAGCACTAGTCGTAATCTCTGCAACCGTCAGGTCCCAAGATCTGAGAAAGACATCGATCCTACGTGTCAAGGACACTGACAAGGTCTCCAGCAGGTGAGAACTCTTCTGGTCCTGATTCTAGCCGGCTGAAAAAGCGGTCGGGCCACGTGGCCATGGTGGAAGAAGGTATGGAACACATTCTGCCAGTCGGATGTGAATGCGTCGTTATGGCTCGTTCACTCCGTACTGTGTATCTCCACCTCCACACAGTATTTCTGTGAATAGCACCGAGGCCCGCGTGGCACGTTGAAAGATGCCAAGAGATGGAGCTCGGAACAGAGGCGATCCTTATGCAGGGGCCCAAATCGACTCTCGGCCAACGCGCGGCGCAAGCTTATGTCTCTTCTCTTGGAGAAGCTCGAAGCTCATTTTCAGTTCTCGTGACGGGTGCAAAGTACAGCACAAGGGACGCAGTATGCCATCGATCTTGGCTCAAAGCTTTGCGTCGTACGTAATCAGCGCGACTGAGACGACAGGCAAATCTTGACTTGTGCCAAGCGGGCTGCTGCCAATGGCGGCGCCACGTAAGAGGACGAGTTTCGTACCTATGGCCGCGCCAGCCGTCGCCCAGAGGCAACATTTTTCAGACCCTTACGAGTTATAACATACCTCGTACGAGTACTGTTCACATACATTCGTCGGCCATGGTGCCTGGTGGGATTTCGGAACTGATATGCACGCGACAGCAACCCTGATCTACGCGTGCAAAACAGCGATCATCGAGAGAGCAACTGAGCAGTGAGTCTCGTTCAGCATCTGGAAGGGACGAGTTGCCGGCCGCGACAGGCCAATTAAGGCCACGCAATCGCCTCGGCCGCTCTGCGGGGCCAATCACTTGCCACCGTCAGGCCCACTGGTGCCAAGGCACTTACGCGTCGCGGTGTCCTGGGGCCAATCCAAGCCGGAGCTGACGACGCAGCAATTGCGATCCAACTTGCAGGGCAGCAGCACCCAGTGTCGGTTCTGGGGATTGGGTCGCTGCATCTGGGGGCTGCTGCTGCGCGGTCTGCCTGCTGAGGGTGCTTGTCGCTCCTTGCTGCTTTCTCCAGCACTCCCTGTACGAGTACCTCGTAACAGCCAGCGGAGGACCCAAGCCAGCGGCAACCACTTTCGCGGTGCGCAGTTTTGGAGCAAGACGCAATCCTGGGCGTCGTGCGTGTCCACGTAACTACTCACTTCCCACTCACTCTCCACGTATCGACCATCTCACTGTTGCCTCCTCTGCTCTCTTTGTGCCTACTACAATAATGACTCCAGCTTGATGAACGCTCTCTACATATCTCGACCTTACTGTTGAAACAAGTCAAACCCACGTCTTGCTCTGAATGGGCTGTGCCTGGAATAGCCTGCGGATTGTGGCGAGGGCAACTCGAGGCGGCTGTGCTCCGCGCAACTCGTCACTTGCGCTCAATCAGATCGATCAGGTCAGGTCGAGGTGACCATCACGGTTGTGTGCTCTCGTTGTCGTTCTCAACAGCCTACGAGAGTGTCTATTCACCTCATTATCCAATTTCCCTTGACTGCGACCGCAGCTCTTTGCAGCAGCCATGGCGGGCAATCCTCGCCCGCGCATACTCGACGACGAGTTCGACTTCAATGCCGGCGACCTCTCAAAACAGTTCGAGCAGTTGTTACGGACAAGAAGGCTCAATGAACTCGAGCAACAAGCCAGAAGCCCCCGATCATCTTCACCTCACCTCGCACCTCGGACATCTTCACACAACTCACACGCCCCCAACTCTCCACAACCCTCAGTCGCTCCAAGTTCACGATCATCACAACACCAACCACCAACCTACCCTAACTTCCGAAGTTACCCCATCGTCCCTTCACCTCCGCAAGATGGCCCGTCGCTGAGGTTTCGAAGCATGCTCCTGACGCTGTCCATGACCCCTGTCAAATACGAGAACCCAGGGCTACTGGACGAAGCCCTGACCCACGTGCCCATCGACAGAATCTACTCCGAGGCGGAGGAGGAGCACAATCTGTTAAAAGGACTGGCTGCCTCGAAAGGTGACAATGTCAAGCCCGAATGGGGCTATCTGGACTGCGTGATCAGATCGCTGCTCAGGTATGTAACTGCCCAAGACCACTGCTTTCGATGATTTCTGACAAGATCTGCAGGTGGTTCAAGCGCTCTTTCTTTTCATTTGTCAACAATCCTCCGTGCCAACGATGCCACGGCGCCACTGTCGCTCGCGGGCAGACTCCTCCCACCTCCGATGAAGTCGCCCGTGGGGCAACAAAGACGGAACTATACCAGTGCACAGGTCTCGGTTGCCAGGCTTTCGAGAGATTCCCCCGATACGGTGAAGTCTGGACACTACTGGAGACTCGGAGAGGACGGGCAGGCGAGTTCGCCAACTGCTTCAGTATGCTGTGTCGTGCTGCCGGTGCCAGGGTGCGCTGGGTGTGGAACAGTGAGGACCATGTCTGGACTGAGGTCTACAGCGATCATCAACGAAGGTGGATCCATGTCGACCCTTGTGAAGAGATGTGGGATAACCCTAGAGTATACACTGAAGGTGAGTCAAATGCCTGTTTCCATTGGCAAGGGCCACAGTGCTGACTTTGTTGGCTTAAGGCTGGAATCGCAAGATTGCCTATTGCATTGCCTTCTCAAATGATGGTGCGACCGACGTCACCCGACGCTATGTCCGCAGCTCTCGCTACCAGCTACCCAGGACTCGTTGTCCCGAAGAGGTCCTCCTTTGGATTATGCATGAAATACGCAAGGTTCGGAGGGAAAACATGGACAAATCCGTCAGAGCACAGTTGATGCGCGAAGACGAAAGGGAAGAGAGGGAGCTGCGCAGCTACGTTGCCCATTCCTTAGCTAACGACGTGATCAACTCTATGCCTGGCGCAGTCGATTCCCAGCATCCTGATGAGGTCAAGCGTCCCGTTGACCCACAGTCACAACAAGAGGAGGTTGGCCAGTGGCCTCAGCAACACATGGATCAGCCAGGCCGTCGGTGATGTCTCTGCAAGCAACTCGATCACCTACCACGATATCTCCAACCTTTCATATCTCCTATGAGCTTTGCACGATTACGCTGTCACGTCTGGTCTGATGATTACCTCCCCACTATTCGATGAGGAATGTTTCTTTTCGTTCAGCATGCACGGGACAGGCGCTTTGTGTTGTAGTCCGGTTTACACTGCATTTACTGGCGGGCAAAGCAAATTCAAGCCTTGAAGAGTGGGAACGGGGCGAAGTCAGGATACTCAATTTCTATGCATTTATGCGTGGTCGGTGCAGTGCGGTTGCATCTACATATATTACATGCTATTGGGTCAGCAGAAGGCTGCTGTTACGACAAAAGGAATCAACGGCGTTATGTTGTCACGAGCGAGAGGCCTTCTGAGATATTGTCTACACATCTTGTGGGGTGTTTACCTTGCCATGTGTTGGATAGGTACTGGCATCCGGGGACGACCGGCTTCGCAGGAAGAACGAAGGACAGAGGAGATATACCCGGCAGGCAAAGAAGAAATACACCAGTTTTGTGTATCGTCAAACCACAGGATCTGCTTGTGCCATCCCTTTAGTGCCCTCATCACTCCTGCCCTCCTGCGACGGTGTACGTAGGCAATGCGCCTCTTGGACGAACGACCGGTGTAGACAGCTACAAAGTCGTCGTAATCTTATCTCTTAATTGGCGGATGAGCTCCACCAGGCCGCACTTGCGAAATGGACTGGCGGCGCGAATACAGTAGCTTTCCATTCTCTAGACTATGCACACAGTACTCCGTACGGACTACTATTCACATGAAGCCTATTATAGCCTCTTGAGCAATATCTGCAGACAGATGTCGGCATGGGACGAGTGACAAGTGGCTTCTATGTCCTTTTCATCTACAGTACAGGACCAGCTTAGTCATTCCATTGCTCCATGGCTGCCTTCCTTCCTTCCTTCCTTCCTTGCTCGTTCACGAAAACGCCCAGTCGGGATGCACGCTTACTTAGACATCCCACTCTTGGCCGCCGTCGAAGCGGGGGACTCGGTCGATATCGTAGATCGGTCGCTCAACGATGATGACTTCGATGTTTGAGCTTGCGGTTGTGTCTGTATTCGTGGTCGTGGTTGTGGTCGTGCCCGTGCGTGTGGATAGGTCCCCCTCGCCTTCGCGGATCCCGTTCGTGAGCGCGGCTGAGTCGGCTGCAACTGCTGAGAGTGCCTTGGAAGTAGAGAGAGGGGTGAGAGAAGCTGTCGTGGCGACGAGTGGTGGTGCAGGGCCTATTACCGCGATGCCGAGGATGGAATGATACTCGAACGTGGTCCAGTGGGACCAGGGGCGTCGAGGCCCCGGTGTCGTCTCGAGTGCTGTGGTGGTCGCGGTCGCGGTCGCGGTCGCGGTCGTCTGCTCCGCGGGATCTGATAAGGCGGTACCGTGCTCGTGCTCGTGCTCGTGCTCACGGTCACCGCGTCGCATGAGTGCAAGGGTGTCGGCTCCTTCAGGGCCATCTAGCTCCATGTTGTCGGCTTCATCTTCGTCTTCGTCTTCGCCCCTTTCTGCGTGGTGACTGTTTGGTGCATCAAGGTCAATCATCTCCCAGTCCTCGCCTCCCGCGTTCTTGAATCTGCGCACGAATCTGCCAAGGCCAGTCTCGCGCTCTTGCGGCCGGATCTCGTCACCGGCCCCGGTGTTTCGTTTCCTCTTCCTGCTCCGGTCGTGGTCCTGGTGCTGCGACGTGGTGCGCGACGTGTGTGCATCCCCAGACTGCTTTGCGGCGGCGTTGGTCACCGGCTCGAGTACATCGTAACGCCCCAGACGGCCAATCCTCTCGGCACCACCATCAGGGACAACGCGATTTGACACGTCGTTGCCCTTCGTGATTCTCTTTTCGTGGCCTCCGTGCTGGTGTTGCGGGAAGTCCCTTGACACATCTAGCATGACGATCCAAGTGCTTCCGTATAGCCACAGCCTGGCGCCCTTCTTGGGCACGTCCCCACAATCCCAAAAACAACCGACTACTCGGTCCTTGATCCTCGTGAATGCATCAGGTAAGAATTGGGAGGAGTTGCGCCGCGACCAATCAGAAAGAGTCGAGGACAAGACGTCGAATTCCGTAATTTGATGTCTGGCCGTTACGGCGAGGAGTTTCATCGCGGCAGGAGAGGGCAGCTCCTGCGCCACGGGGTGGGGATTGTGCCGTGTGGCATGGAGACCGAGGTTATCGTGCCTAGAATGCGTCGGGACGACGGGGCAGGGCCGGAATATTAGTGCCAAGATGGCGGAGTCGAGCTGTGGGAGGGACGAGCCCGAGGGATTGCGGATCCATTTCTGCGCGTGGATGACTGGGGAAGAGGAATCGTCGTCGTCTTGGTCCGTCGAAGTTGTGGAGGATGACGACGCCGAAGACGCCGAGTCGGCAGACCGATCCGATCCTGGCGAGTCGATGAAATTGAGATCCTCGTGTCCTTCGAGGACCCAGACTTCGATCGCGCCAGACAAGTCTCCTACCGCGAACGCCCGACTGTCGCTTGAGAAGGCAGTTTGAGTGATTGTCCGGCCGTACGTGCCTAGCGCCGAAGGAGACAAGGGTCGGGATTTTCGGTAGAGTTTGACGACTTTCTCGTGGATGGTCGGGTGGTCCTTGGGATCTGGAGATGCAGTGATCTTGACGAGTGCCACGGCGTTGTCTTTCCGGATGGCAAACAGCCATTTTCCGTCAGGGGAAAACCCAACTTGTCTCGCGCCTAGACGAACGATCGAGGGCGGGAGGTCGATTTGTCGGCTACGAAGGCCGGGGTTTCCCGACGCATGGGGCTTTCGCAGCTGGAACAGCTTGACGCTGGTGAGGGTAGCGGCAACAATGAACTGGCCGTCTTCTGAGACCTGAGCGTGCTGAATACTCTCATCGCCTTGCAAGCTCAGTCTGGCCAGATTCTGATAATGCGGACCCGCGGCGCCTTCAGACCTGTCGTCGGGTGGTAAACCTCGATACTTTGCAACGTAATAAACGACAATTTCCCGATCCCACCAGGATATGCACAACCTTGAAGCAGCTGATGCTGAGACCTGAGACCTTTGCGGAAGATGCGGAAGTGTGCGATGATACTCGGTCTGTGATCGGCGGATGGGGACAACGACAGGCCGCGTATCCATCCCCCCTGAAACCAAAACGCTCAAATCCTTGCTCTCGAAGCTGGCGGCGCATTTGACGTCGTGCTGGTGGTAGCGCTTGTGAGCGACTTCGGCCCATCTCGTTCTTTGCGTGCCTGAGTGAATGGGAACTTGCTTGTAGACCACCGTTCTCCGATCGACGCCGACGGAAAAGATGGTGTCTCCAGAGGCGCTGAAAGCAATGTCGAGGATGTCGGCTTTGTGGCTGCTCAGCCGCTGAGCGAGCGAGTAGTTTTTCGAATCCCAGATCTTCAGTTCGCCTGAGGAATCGCCCGAGACAACCGTCCCATCAGGCAGACACTTGACACTCCATACCACGGAATTGTTGCTTCCTTCGGCCGGTTTCCCTAAACTCATATTCCGGATGATTCTTCTGCTTGGTACGTCGATGACCCTGATCGTGCTGTCTTCGTAGCCAGCGACAAGAGTGTCGCGGTCTCGCCAAGCCAGACTGAGAACCTTGGGCTTCTTGACAGGGGGTTGCGCTAGGACTCGAGCATATCGCAGATCGTCATCTTCAGTTGAGAAGAGAACTATCGTGCCATCCGAGCATCCTGCCGCAAGCAACTGTGAACCTGCACCAGGGAGGAGCGTGTCCGGCGCTTTGTTGGCTTTGATCTGTGGTTGTGGTGCAAAACACCAGATATCCCCGAAATTTCCCTCTGCTTTCCTCCTGGGCATCCCCGTACATAGGTCCCACTCAGTGATTGCAGTCGACCCGCCCGTGCTGAACAGCCGTAGTGGTCCGCTCGAGTACTTCTGTCCATCGGACCTTTCATCTCCGTCCACAACCAAGTCCTGCGTCCATGCAAGCTGCTCTATCGTTGTGTTCTTGCTTCCCTTGAGAATGACCTCTTGTAGCCAGAGCCCATTTGATGGGTTCCATATCTCAATGTCACCATTGTTACGACCGAGGGCGAGACGGAGGTCAGGAGGCGTTCTCTTTTTTGGGTCGGAAAGGTGTGAGAATGCAAGGGCATTAATAGGTTGTGGAGGATATTGGACAAAGCGACATCTGTGGATATCCATGGTCGAACGTCAGCAGGGTTGTTGGCAGTGAAGGAGGCTCGCTGCCATTGTTTTGGCCAGTGGAAGGGTCGTCAAATGTCTGCTGCGCCCTCAGAAAAAAAAGTTGCTGGCGCTCGGTAGTAACGAATCCCTCGGGGCTTATCGATAAGCTTAAATCGGATACTCACTCCGCACTTTCTTCAACGCTACTGGGCTCGCACCGGATGCATCTCCCATTGACGCACCACCGATACATATGCAGGGTTTGATATCTCTACCTAGGTACTCGTACTCGCCAACAGAAACCCCAGAAATCATCCAACCGAGGGTCAAGGTTTTGGTATCTTTGTCAGCCCTGTCTTACGACCGAACACTGCTCGGGGCCACGCTCGGCGCAGCTTACTCCGCTGGGGATTATATTCCAGAAGGGACGTGGTTGAGTGTCGTGAGGGCTATGATACCCTCGAGGCCGAACGACCGGCGCACCAGAATGGACCTCTGCAGGCAGCATAGCACGTAACACGCCGCCTTGGCGCGGAATAGTGACGATGTCGACGCTGATAAACTACAATCAGGCGACGTTTAAAGACCATCCGGAACCCAACAAACGCCGGCTACAGGAATTGCAACACTCAGCTGCAAGAGCGCACGCCGCAAGAGTAGCATACTGGCGGAAGAGAGGCGTTCAGTCAGTCAAGTCGAGGGCCGCCGAGCACAGGCAGCGTCAGGACGATGGCACCTCTAATGCGTCGACCGAGTCCACCATTCATGTGAAGCAGGAGTGCAACAGCGTTGTCGTCCCCAAACTAGCTCGACTTCCCGTATCCAGTCTCTTCGACCCGTTCGATGCCATCCCCATTGCACAAAATGCCGATGTTGTGGCAGCTATTGATCACTGTATCAATTCGTCCGTCCCCCTACCCTGCAGCCTGTGCTGACCAGCTACAGATATCAACAAGTGGGCCCCTTCGCAAAGACCCGGTCTGAAATATCAGACGAAGGATAACCCACTTATCAGAGATGCTTTCCCAGCAGGGCTCCAGAATGTGGAACTTTTCGAAGCAATTGTAGCCCTCTGCCTGAGTTTTAAGGCCGCAGCTCAAAATTTTGAGCCTCGCGTGTGCAGTCGGTCTCTCTACCATAAAGGCCAGGCACTCTCCGGGATCCGGAACAAACTGACCTCTGGCTGGGTCGACGAAGCAGTTATACTGGCAACAGTGTTTCTGATGATCATTGACGTAAGGCTTTGTCCGAGTGACTGCCCCTGCAACGCTGACGGCTCTAGAATGTTTTTCTGGACATTCAGGCTTACGAAACTCATCTGCATGGGCTCCGAAAGATGGCAAAAGCTTCAAGGTTGCAAGCAACAGAGAGCCGTCCGGGGGCTCTCTGCTGTCGTTCATAGCATGGTACGTGGTCAAGCTCTGAGTGAGCCCCTTCCCGAAGCTGATCCGGCTATGAAGGGCGGAATCCAATGCATTGCTGCTGTTCGGCGATCGTATTTCCTTGCACAGGTCGGTCACAAGCGGCGCTTGTCTAGAATATCCGAGCCAGCCGTTTCCCAGCACCCTTACAATCGTCATCGGCACTCTGACACCCGGCTTTCAGACTCTGGCATCCGACGGTCAACTTTCAGTGGAAGTCCTCTCCAATCTTGCGAAAACAGTTCATTGGTCTCGCTGCATAGACCCAGAACCAGGCCAAAGTCCGAGCGGGACCGACCAAGCATTCCTGATGACCTTCGATCCGCGGGCAAACAGCGCGGACCTCATGAGATTGTGCCGAATTGCTGGCAAGGACTGTGCAGTGGAGAGAGCAGTCTGCAAGGCTGTCTACGTCTACCATGCTAATCTGCTGGGATGGACGTGTCGATGTTCCGGTTACCGGCGGGTGGTCGAAGAGCTGGGGACCGCTCTCCGCCGTTGGGATTTCCACAAGACGTGGGACAAAGACTTATGGAAGTGGCTAGCTCTTGTAACAGCCAATGCCGCCCGGCGTGGGAAGCTGCAGCATTTGCAGACGGAAGTGATGACAAGCTTATTTGCTTCAAGCGGCTCGGGGCAGGACTGGAAGTCCGTGCAGACGGCAACTAAAAAGTTCTTGTACCACAGCGCGCTGAGCCAGGAATGGGAAATCTGTTGGCACATGGCTCATGCATCGACCGCATGATACTAGCTAACGATAGCGGAAGACCGGCCGTTCCAGTTTATGGCAGAGACGGGGCCGCCAGGACGTGCGCACATCCCCTCAGTGGGTATTCGCAGTGCTTTAGCCCTTGACTGTAGTAGAGTGGCAGCACCCGACAAATCAGGCTGCCAGCTGATTGTATATCTCTCGCACCTGGAGGGATGGAAAGCCGCGCTGTACACTGCGTATTTCTTCAGGATGCTGTACTCCGTACCAAGTATGCTCAACCTGTGCTCGCCGGGTTCGCCGCCTCAGGCGCGTGTCATCGGGCAACACGCGTTGCCGCTTTTGCCGTATCGTATTTGCGCTCCGGCAGCCCGCATTTAGAGTCCAAACGCTCCTCGTATCCTCATCTCTGTCATAACGTTTCAGTCCTGTAGCCTCTAGTAGCGCGGACGATGATTCTTGTTGTTCTAGCTGTTCCAGTGCACTATCGCGTCTTTCCTCGACGATCTCTATAATTGAAAAGACATCTGCAAGATGAGCGAAGTTGAGACAACCCCGTAAGACCGACTGGCTCAATCCATGGTCGAAGCGCGCTCCTAACCGACATCACAGAACTGATGGGAAAATGGTCAAGCGAGCGTGCACAGAATGTCGGCAACAAAAGGTACGGAAATGCAGATACCGACCTCTCCGCGATAGTAATTGCTCGCCCACAGGCAAAATGCGACGCATATTTGGACCCCAACAAGCCCTGCTCGAGATGTCGGAAGATGCAAAGGGAGTGTACCGTCTCAGAACCGTTCAAACGAGAACACAAGCGCAAGTACGTGTGCTAGCCTTCATTCCGACTCTGCCAGCGATGTGTACTCACGGAGGCATGTCTACAGGCGAATTTCCGAGCTTGAGCAGCAGACAGACGAGCTCCAAGAACGCCTCCGAGCTTCGAGTCAACCAGAATCTGCCAAATTGCCTGGGTCCTCCTGGGCTGCTGTCAATGACTTGCCACCCGCCAATACCGACAGCGACAGCCGCCTAGCGTCGGTTGCGCCTTTCTTCACCCAGGATACGATAGCGCCGGTGTCGTTCCGATCCTTCTCCCGAACAGCCGTAGAGTCACTCCAGACGCCTGAGAGTCTACCTCGTGATTTCCAGTCTTCGGGTGCCTTGCCGAGAACTATAGACGGACATACTGTCGATTCGAAGGACATTGAAGCCCTGTTTCAGCTGTGAGTCTTTGTAGGCAATCACGTAGGCAACTGGCTGACTCGGAACAGTTATTTTCGGGACTATGCAGGCCTTCTACCTATCCTCGATCCGTCAATCACACCCGACGGATACTATAAACTCTCCCCTTTCCTCTTCTGGGCGGTGATCGGAGCGTCTTGTCGAACATACTCGAAGAATCCTACGCTGCTTTCTGTATTGCCGCTGAAGGTCCAGACGATGGCTCTAATGTCCCTAAACTGCCCTCAAGTCACGTTGCCCATTGTGCAAGGAATGTTGCTCCTCCTTCATTGGCCGTTTCCGAAGACAAATCATGGGCACGACTTGACGTTCCCACTATCTGCTGCTGTCCTACATATGGCAATGCAAATCGGACTACACCTACCGGTTGCAAGCCAAGAATTCAGTAAGAGCCGGGTCAAACTCACCGAAGAAGACCTCAGGATACGTGCTGAGACGTGGGGATATTGCACACTTATCTATCAGCGGTACAGGTTGCAGCCGGTCCACGAGCGTTGCATTGGCTAATCTCTGGTGTTCAGGTTTTGCTGGTATAAGGGCAATCCGGCAACTCCAATGTTAGACGTCCCTCATGACCTCGAGCAACGACGAGAACTATTCCAGAGAATATCTCCAAAGTTGAAGTTCGAACTAAAATTGCAGGATGTCGTCACGAGATGCTGCATAGCCGTGGCCCAGAACGGCCTTCGCAATATGACGGCCGAGCACGAAAGATCTCTGGATACTTTGCTGAACGTTTTCCTGGCCCAGATCATCAGTGTGGGACTTGAATGCGCCTCCGAACTCCACCACCTCTACGTACAAGTCGCCACATTGGTCGTTCAAGCGTTCAACTTATGGAAGAGCCCAGCTGCGCAAGATCCTACAGCCCTTTACGATCTCTGTGTGTCGTGTTGCCGAGTTATCGAATCCTTCGAGGCTCTAGACAAGTCCGGACATATCTGCCTGTCGGCGTCGGGGATTTACTTCATATACAGCGTGATGTTGCCCAGCCACATTCTTCTGCGACTGCTCAAGACGTCCTTCGGCCGGTACATCAACGTCGAAAGAGCCAGATCTGCCCTTTTTCTCGGAATCAGTCTCCACAAGAAGATGAGCGTGCAGAATGACGATGTGCCAGCACGTAATGGTATGGCTCTCACTCAGCTCTGGAATAGTGCGCATGTTTTCAAAAGACAAAATGGGACTGAAGCGGTCGCCCTGCGCATTCGCAGTCGGCTGACGGGTAGCATTGTGCTTGATGGCGTTGTCTGGTGGCGCGAGGAGTTTGGAGGCTTCATGGGCGTCTATCCACCGCCATTGTGTGACCATCGGAACGGTATGGCCAACAATCCTCGCCCCCTGGGAATACTTTACTGACAGTTAGGGAAGAGGAAGCCCCTCGAAGTGATTCGGCTGCAGGGTCTAATGAGACTGCTATTCCCGAGAGTGCGATGACTTCGGCAATAAGGCCCGACTATTCGACATTCATGGACGACCCTATGCTGACCGAATTTGGCTGGCCTGTCTCCGACGATATCTTTTCGTCGATCTGGATCGAGGGCCAAGTACCTGCGACATGAAGGCAACGCTTACAGCCTCCCAGAACTTCAACATTGACATCTCGGCTAATATCGAGAGATGTCCCAGTCAATGTCGCCGAGCACGGCAGGCAACCAGAGCACTTTCCCGGTTCCGGTTCCCCAGTACTCCGTACGCGCAGGCGAAGACGCTACGAAATGGCGAGCCCGGTACCGGTCTCGCTTAGTCCTCCTAGACATGAGCCACCCAGTCACGGACAATAGGGAGACCGACTACTCAGAAGCTGATGCTATGATCTCCGGTACAGGGGTACCGACAAATTCTCAGGTTACGAGCCAATCCCTGCGGAGATAAGCGCGGACACATATTCGTAACCTCCTTGTCTAAAGTCAAGTACGATGTAACAGTCAACCCGACCTTTCACTCACTTCAACGAGCGAGGCAGGACCTCCAAGCGTCGGAGCAGTATTGGGCAACCGATGGCTCAGCAATATGTTCCTCTTGGCTACGAGGCAAAAAGTATATAGGTGGATGCATGGTGCAGCGGAAGGTCTGTGAGCGGGCGAGTGGGTGGTAACCTATGAGAATAGGTGGTAACAAGTTTCTTGATGGCCACCAAGGAGTGGCAGGAGTGGATAACGTTCTGATAGCAGAAGGGGCAGAACTACGGCGAAGAGCACGAAATACTCAACATATTGCCACAAATGTGTTCGTAACCAGTGATGGCGGCAACGTGGACAGCAGATCGCCGGGACTGACTAACTTTTCATGGCAAATCTGAGCAAATACCTCTTCAGGTTGCGTGCATCTGGGCCACGAGGGAAGGAAGCGTCAGCATGTGAAACTCACTACAGTACAAATTGGGTCCTGGTGGTCTCGCACTTGGCCGAGAAAGTTCCACGGCGTCCATGCATATCTTGGTCAGCCAATGGCCAGAGATGGTGGTCTCTGATAAAGGATGTTCGATAATGCCGCAAAAGTACCTGTTCTAGCATGGGTGCCATGGCCAGCGGAGTGTAAGAGAGATATTTCCACGAGACGGCCGTCAAAGGGCTCTCCGGGAGGGGTTTGGGTTGTGATTTATGCTGCTTGACTTTGCCTATACTCACCACCGGAGACGGGCACGTTGTTCGTGATAGGGGAAGAGAAGGAAGAGAAGGAGGGCCCAGTACGACGAGTACGAGGGATGCAGCAGTAATGCTCCGTAGTGGGGGATTAGTTAAATCGCCAGTGCGGCCCCCAAGCCGCCGGCCGCTAAAAGCTAAGGTACGGTCCTGTATGTCACGTGCAGAGAGTCCAGCAAGCATAAGGTTGACGTAGCGATTACACAGTAGTAAATCGTTGGGCACCCGGCTGTTTAAACAGCTCAACGCCTAAGTTACAGGTAGGGCCCGAGGGGCACCGGGGGCACCTACCCCAGTAGGTAGCCGACCTCTGAGGCCGTCCGTGCACCTGCCCTGACAATTCACTTTTAGCAGCGGATCACCAGCACAACCACAAACACGCGGGGAAGCAAAAATAACAAAACCTCAGTCACCACCGTCATCCAGCCTTCAGCCATTTCAGCCCTTTCGGCCCTCATCTCCCTCAGATATCCTTAGCCTCCAGACCGCCGACAAACAGCTGCTCGCCTACACCTGTTCTGCCACTTCCCTGCCTGCAAGATAGCAACAGGCTACGGTCGTCTTCGCTGCGTTTGCGCCCGCCGCAAGCCCGGCCTCGCACCGAGCGTGCCTATTGGTAAGTTTGCCCAATCTCTTGGTCCCTTGGAGGTTTCTTGCTCGCGACGGCCATGCCATGGACCCCGACCCCAACAGCTCTGCACCACCCACCACCGGCAAGCCCTTGCAAAAGTTGGTCACGTAAGAGGCGGCGGTATCACTCATCCCTGTCCCTCGCCCAATCCTAGCCACCGCATCATCCAGAATGAAATGAACTTCCGCTTTCTGTCTGCGAATGGCAACGGCTCCTGAGCCATGCGCCAGACGTGCTGTAACCCTTCCACAAAATACACCACTACTTGATTTTCTAGAAGTCTCGATCTCTCCCACCCGGATTGGCCATCCCCTCTCGCCCCTATATCCGTCCCATCCGCCGATGGCGAACCCACCTCGTACACTGTTGAACCCTGGCTTACTTAAACAGCGACAGCAAAACTCGCATCCTGTGTCTGCCGGTGTCCGATTTGACGTCGCTCGCTAGCCGGGTCATCCGTATTCCCGTCCTGACGACTACAAGTTTCAGCCGTGCTCCAGCCTCACTCAATTTCAACGACATCATCCTTCTCCGGCACACTGTCCGCTCACGACAAAGCCTCGAAAATCATGGAAATGGCCTGTCTTTGCGCCTGTCTTTGAACCCTCTCCACCCACTGTTCTTGAGCGTTCAACATGCGCTCTAGTAACTTGCTTAAACGGGCGCACAGCCACAATAAGCAGACACTTTCTAGTCTGCTTCACTCGAGAGGCACCTCGCCACACCCCCAGCCTGACACGATCTCCGGCCACAAGCTGATCGAGGAAGAGACTAATCCAAATTATAAACCGGAGCACTGGTACCCCGCGAGAATTGGCGAGGTCCTAAACCATCGCTATGAGCTTCTTGTCAAACTCGGCTATGGCATGACGGCGACTGTCTGGCTCGCCAAAAACATCCATGCGTGAGTGCCTGGCGAAATGCAGGTTGGACTCCTTCTGGTCTAACGCGCTTTACAGTGACGGTCAGTCCGGAAACCGGAAATATGTCACCATCAAAATCAACGTCAACACGCTCGGCGAGGACTTTCAGAAGGGCAGACGCGCAATCGCAGAGAAGCTTTTCTCGGCAAATCCTCAGCATCCGGGATATGCGCACGTCCGATTCATGCTCGACACATTCCGGGCTACTACTAAATATGGCGATCATCTGTGCATCGTCTACGACGTCCTCCGGGAACCCATTGACTTGTGCATGAAGAAGTTCCCCGGCAGTCGCTTCAGCTGTGGAAAACTTCGAGTCCTGCTACCTGCTCTCCTCAAAGGACTTGACTACATGCACTCCGAATGCCACGTGGTCCATACCGATCTGAAGCCGGACAATATCATGATGGGCTTGGGCGACCCTAACCTTCTCGACCACTTTGTTCAACACGAACATGACCATCCGTCACCGAGAAAAGCACCAGACAGCCATGGACGAATCATCTATACATCATGCAGTGACTTCGGCGAGTCACCGACGGAGGCGGTCATTGCCTCGGCCAAGATTACAGACATCGGTCTCGCAGCTTGGGGAGACGAGAAGAACACCAAGCCCATCCAATCGAATGTCTTCATGGCACCTGAGGTAATCCTTCAGGCAGGGTGGTCGTACCCAGCAGATATCTGGAATCTTGGCGTGATGCTGTGGGACTTGGTGGAAAACATTGGATTGTTTGACTCAATAAGCACAGAGCCCGATCACTATCGTCCGGAGCAGCATTTGGGCTTGATGATAGCCCTGCTGGGTCCTCCGCCGAAGGAGTTTCTGGCCCGATGTGCGAAGGCAAAGTGGTACTTCGATGCCGATGGCCAATTCAAATACCCCAAATATGTGGCCGAGGATTGCAAGTTTGAACATTCCATCCACCGGATGAATGCGGAGGAGAAGGATCTATTCATCGATATGGCGAAGAAGATGTTGACGTGGGTTCCTGAAGAGCGCTGGACTGCGAAACAGTTGCTTGAGCACCCGTTTTTGACGAAGGAACGAGAATGTTATTGGGACACACCAAGCCTCAGTAGGGCCTCAACAGCATCGGTGGGTTCTCTGATACCTTCACGTCAGGGTACACCCGGACTCGGACCAACGTCGGTACCAAATGGTTCAATCCATCATTCAAGCCTACCAGTGAGACTTCTGGAGCTGGTACCGTCGCTCGCGTCGTCCGACGCCACAGAGCCGAGACTCCAGAGACAGTCAACAAACGGGTCCTTGAAAGCGTCGGAGAACGACGAGAAGTCGACCTCTAGCTCGACTCTACCATTGAAGCCCAAGATGGAGACTCTCGCAGAGTCCAAAGGCGAAAGCAATGACGAGACGCTGCACAAGAAGCGTAGTGTCTCCGTCAACAAGTCGAATGAATCGTCCCAAGCCATGATCGATGCCATTCTCAACCGAGGCAAGAATCACGCTCCCAAAGCCCCAGCGAAGTAAAGCATAGCGTGTTGACGGGTACACCTGTACCTCGGCCATGATCAAAACCGGGGACCACTTAGTGCTTGAAAATAGTATTACACACTACAACGCGATTGTGTTACGCTCGAAAGGCGCATGACCCGAACGGGCGCGAGCAATGAAGCGGCATGACAACCGGGGTTGTATCTGCAGGCGATGCGAATGGGGCTCTCAGAGCTGGGTTATGCGAAGTCGAGTGGGCCTTTCCCGACCGTCTGTCGAATCCATTGTGCATCATAGCTAGCTTAATTGATACCCGAGCTTCAGTTCTGAACTCCTACCTTGGGCGGCGAGGTGCCTGCCACACTGCTCTTGCGAGTCGCCGAACAGTGGGTGGAGTGGATTGCTGTGCGCAATCCTTCTCAGAGGCTGCCTGATATGCCCGATCCAAGGACGAATCCGTCTTGAGTCAGTTGTCCAAGAGTCTTACCAATCCTGACATGCATCGCTGCCCCAGGACGGTAACGAACATTGTCCATTTTGGTGGCGGAGGCTGATTTCAGCAGGTGCTGGGGCATTGTGCCTACAGTAAATGAACAGTGTGGAGAGTCACTGCCAACTGACCGCGCCAAGGTTCGATCATCAGCTCGTGCAGCTAGATAACACTTCGACCTCACTCTGTCAATCTCCTCAGTACAACCATTCACACCCAGATGCTCGCGAATATGCCTCACGCCTGCAAGAAAACAGCCAGTTCGTTGACAACTTTCGAGTCGTCCTCCAACTTTCTTGAAACCCCTCGATTTGCCCGCTACCGCTGCCTTTTGACCTGCTGCGCCATGCTCATGCCAAAACTCGATGATGTGCCCCGCCATACGTCCTCCGATCCATGCCCTCTACAGTGAACTTGACTTCTTGACCACCTTGACGAATGACCCATCGTCGAAGCCCTTGTCGAGCCACTCGACTGCGCAAGTGCGCAGGATGTAATTTCCAAAAGTGGAGATATGCCTACAACGTCTCTCTTTGGCGTACGCCTGAGCTGGCAACCGGTCACGTTGTGCAAGAGACTGCAATCTGAACATCACTTTACTGGCCCTTTGAGCCCGCTCGGTGGAGAGCGAGACGGCTGTGCAGCTCGTAAAAATGGAATATATGACCCGGACGAGGCAGCCTCGGGGCGCGGACAGGCGAAAAGGCAAACACCATTTTCATCAGTTCTTTGATGCTTTAGGTTCAGGCTCGTCAGCCAATCTTGAAGAAACTACCGCAAGTCGCCTAGGCGAGGAAGTCGTCAGGTTCTGAATAGGATACTGATGATTACACACATGTGTTGCGGACTTCGTCAACGTACGGAATCTTGGGCTCATATCGCACTCGGTTGGATCAAATCAGTTGTTGCAATCGAATTTCCAGACACAATGGAGCCATCACGTCCGCTACTGGCACGCTCTGCCCTTCGAAAGGCAATAAACAACCCCATTGCCTGCGAAAGGCGCTTTTCTTCAATGGTGGACCCACGAGCGAATTTCGCTGCCATGTCTGGAGGAATTGACTTCTTGCTCTCATGCTTGCGCCACCTGCCTTCTCTGCTGGGCCGTTTTTGAGCAGGCAGATTGTGGATTTGAGCATTGTTTCTCGCATGGCATTGGGTGGACGCTTTTTGATTGTCGAAATGCTTCTCTGGATTCGCTGCCCCAGGTTATTCGCATTGCCCCTTATGGCAGGTTGATACATCGCTGAGTGAAAACGTCGCACCCGCTGCGCAAAGTTGGGTACCGGGAAAGGTAGCCCATAAATTGAGCGCGTCTCTGCTCAGAACCGAATTCCTTTCGATTTTTATATTATTTCAGAGACAGACAACAGAAGAGCCAGCGCCAGATCCAGAGCCAGAGAACTCTCGAGCGAGAGACACCAACGAGGCTAGCTTCAGCAGACAGATCTTCGTCTCGGCATCCAAGCATGTGGTGAGTAAGGCTTCTTCACCGGTCGTCTGGAAGGTCGTTAACGCCTCAACCGCAGCTTCGCCCACACCAGTCCTTTGCAAAGTTTCGCGGGTGGAAACGTGGCCCGCGCACAATTTGCACCTCACGGCCATGACGGACTACACGACCGCCGATACAACCTTGACCTGGCTGCGGACAACATGGCCCAGGAACACTGCCGGGACTTGAACCAGGCTGCATCCGACATGCCGCCCCTGACAATGCCATCAGGAGCTCCTCAAACCCACGGTCCAAGATTCGAAGTCTGGTATTGTTGCCATTGCCAGAAAGGCGGACCATTGAAAGCTGCCAACAACACGCATTGCCCTACATGTCACCGGATACGCTGCAGCAATTGCAAAAGCGAGTGGCTCCGCTGATCCATTGCAACGGGAGTACGCAGCATATCAGCCGTGCCGCGTCTCCGACAGCGATGTGAGAGCAGAGGGAGGGAGTGGTCAAGTTGCAGGGGAAACGGAGAACGCTGATCTCCCCTGTCACGACGACGGTGATGGTGGCCGTGGCGGTGGTGGGGTCCGTGCTGGGCAGGGTCCCGCTTTCAACAGGAGGCATTCTGCCCGGAACAGGGAGGGGATGGAGTTCAAGGTACTTTGGCAAAGGCGTTGTCGAATGCAGTGGTCATGATTGGTCTGTCTGTCTTGGTGCGTTGCGGTGGAGTTCAAGACTTCCGTTCGTCATGGTTATGGAATAGGGTCACGGTGCCGCAATGACATTCGTTTTCATTTTTGCTTTCTACATTACTTGCACGATGGACGCAGTAGCGGTGACTCTGGGCGCTATAAAGCATAGCCTGCTTAAATCTGTAGCCGTTGTTTGCATCTCCTCTCACTAATGATGCAACCACATACACCCCGTGATGAAGTGATGCGATGGTCCCGAGAATGCGTGCAAGGCGAAATGTGAGGCTGGTGCCCCGAGAGGCGAGGGAGTCGCGCTTCAAACCGGTGAGTCGAGCATTCAAGAGCCTAGAAGTTCGAGTTTCGAGTCTTGGGATGAGGCTGAAATAGGCCGGTCAGGCAGGCGGAGCAGCACAGAATGCGAGGTGGCGAAAGTACGGAGGACTACGGAGTACCGGGTACTTGTGGTGGTCTTGCGTCTCTGGGCTCGATCTCGGAACTTTGTAACACACCTGAAGATGACACAGCTCGACTCGACTCGACTTGACTGAGCCCTACAGAAATCACTCGACTCAGCCATTTCAAGGCTTGTCAACCCAATTACCTGAGCTCAGCTCGGTGTACAGTTCTTGTATGGCGTACACAATAGGGACTGTTCTCACAACCGTTGTATATATGTCTAATCGAGTACGGAGTACACAGTCGGAACTGCTTCTCATATTTGCTGAACGCCTTTCTGCTCGGATGGGCACGCTGGGCCAAGCTGCGATGGTCAGCAGCCCTGGGTCTACACAGATGGACGCGGCAAGAAAACCACGATCTGTCCTCCGCAAGGCCCCTATGACCGACATGAGGACACCACGACCGGCCTTGCGCAAAGCCCCTTCCACAGACCTGAAGACACCACGACCTGCCTCAGCGTAAGGCCCCTTTCACCACAGCCTTCACCCACCTCTTAATTAACCTCACGCCCCATATCCCATATACAGCGGAAGTAGTGGTCTTTGTCACTGCCTCTGCCCAGCCTGACCGGGTTCAGCTCCCCCAACCCGTCACCTTGATATCCATCAGAACCTTGCATTGTCATCAACGTCCGCTTCCGCCCTTCTCCCCCTTGACGTACAAACTATGCAGCGTCGGATTCCCCTTTGTGATGCCCAACCATTCCTTACCCTGCAGCTTCGGCCGTCCATATGCCAGCACATCCGCCGGGATCAAATGTTCGCGCTTGGCATCCAGCAACCTCGCGATGAATGTCACGGTGTGGGCATCCAAGGCCGTGGGACCGACATCGTCGCCAAAGATCCACGACGCCTGACCGCCCCCCTGCTTGGCCAGATGCTCGCTTATCTTGTCCAAAAAGCCGACCGAGTCGGCCTCGACACTCTCAACGGATTGCTTGTTGTCCGCGAATTTCTTGAGCGAGGCCGCGTGGCTGGGAACGAAAGTACACGTGTCAGTCACGCCGGCACAGCACCATCAGCAAAGTGTCCGACTCACTTGTCAAACTTCCCCTGCAGCATCTTGCGATACTTGTCGCTCGTGTCGGGTCGGTCCATGATTCCGCGCACCGAATCCATGACCCCCTCGACCCTTCGCTCCTCGGGCTTGAACGACAGCGTGACGTACGAGATCTCATGCAGTTCCGCGAGCAAGGAGTCGATGGTTTGCCTGTGCGCGTTGGGCCGCAGCGAGGGGTACCGATCCATGAGGAACGACGTGATATCGGTGCTGTCGGTCAACTGGATGCCCGCCTCGGGCGCCAACATTGCCGGGACCTGTTATCGGCCGAGCAGACGGTCAGCAGCGAGCGAGTGCAGCGGGAGCGTAGCGGAGTGAAAGCAGGGGGGTTGACGCGTTGGGCGAAACGCATCCAAAGAGACGTTCGGGGCCGAAGCGTGTCCGCCACAACCACCACAAAGCACCAGTACTAGCACCTACCGTCCCCTTGGGATGTTTCTCCAGGTACCTCTCCGTCATTTGCTCGCCCGTGTAGATGTTGATGAACCGTTCCTCGGGCTCGACCGCGTCGTCGGGCGATTTCGGCTCGCCTTTCAGGCGCAGCGTGTAGAGGACCATGAGCGAGCAGATCGAGAAGGGGTTGTAGTACAGTTCATATTTAGGTGGTGCCATTATGTTTGCCGCGTGTGGTGTACAGCGCGAGTGAGAGGAGACAAAATCCGACTACAAGAAGGACGAGTGGCCGAATGCTGGGGCGCCCAGCACGGTCTTGAGGTATGTATGTGTGTATATATATACTGGTACAGTATGTATGTGTTCGTGTTTCCGAAGATCTCTCGATCCCACCCCACCAACGAGCGACGCAGAGAACGCCCTGATGGTCAGGAATCAACTCAGCGGACCAGTCGTCAGCCAGCCAGCGAGGGATCGTGTACTGTGTAAGTATATGTAAGGCCCACCCCTTCCCTCTTCGAGTCTGACTCTTGCCAGAACACCACCACACATCGTTTAGTAGGACAGAAGAATCAAGGCCGGGATCGTCGAACGAGCGCTTGCTTGCTTATGCTGACTCCAACCGAACCGAACCGAACCAAACCGAATGGTCGCATGCAGCACTTGGCCTAAAGCCTACAGACTTCTTGAATAGATCATGCATTTCAAGTCAATCAGGCCAGACAGGAGCATGCTTTGGAGTGCTGTGCCCATGTACTCGTGCATGGTGTGTACGCTGCCTATTCCGGATCAACCTACAGTATGTATCCACCCTGGGTGCCACCTACAGTACCTCGTACTTGCGTAGTGATGCGTGCCCCGCCCACCGGCCCCCGCCAGTTCAGGCCTGGGGAGCTCGTGGGGAGATGAGGAGAGCGCGGGAGCCCGGAGGCTGGACGGGACTAATTAGTGGCCGTTGGAGCGTCGAAGTTACGATGGTGCAGGTGTGCGTATCCGTACGAGGACCAAGGACGGGTGTCGTGGTAAGTTGAGAGGACCGTGCCCTTGCATATCGTGTATCTTCATCCTCCGTACTGCCCGCGCTGGGCTGTCCACTCAGTACTGGGTACGGGTACTCGTCGAGTCGTACAGTTCTGCGTAGCGTGGTTACTGTAGGATCTCCTCATGGTCCCAGTCCATCCCATCGAGCGGCTGACAATGGCTGGACATCCCACACCAGTGCGCCGAGATACTGTAGCGGCGCTTGTGGGTGGGTGGGTACCCTTCACACAGCACATAATATGTCTGTATATGTCTATAGTAATTCAACCGGTCCTTCTTGAGTTACTCTTCCTGGCGCCCCCATGAGCAGTTCTTCCTGGCCTTCTTGAGCAATGCTTCCTGGCTTTCTTATGGCTCGCGCTTTCGTCGATACCAAAGCCGGGTGAGAGAGGACATGACGCACGGCGTACATTGGGTACATATACGGTACTGTAACACCCTGGTTACCCTCGTCCCCAATGAGCGCGTGTATTCTTTGGTGACTCAATTAGGTCCCACATCGATGCAGAGGAAACGCAGTCAACAAGTGCGGAATGCGGAAATACAAAGGACAAAAAGCGAAGAACTCGACGGCTCAAGACAATGTCAAATGTGACTCAACCCAGGAGAACACCTCGGGTAACATTCCCAGAAAGATTTTGAAGGAGTCACGTGATATATCACGTGCAAGCTTACTAAACCGGGACGCAGCTTCTCGATTAAATCTGGCTGGACAACTCAACTGGAAAAAGCTTGCAAACTTATCCTACCAAGCTCTCAATTCGATTCCTCCCTTGACGATGTTCCCAAATCACCCTCCCCATATTGCCATCTTCCCGCTAGCTCGTGCCTGTCACATATGGCCGACTTTGGTCGACCACGGCTGACGTCAAAAGGCTGATCTAACTTGCTGGAACAGACAGCTGGCATACAACTCAGCCCTTTCTAGTCACGTGGTCCACATATGTATATAGGCGTCTTTCCCTTCCATGGAATCTCTCAGCCTCAAGCATCTTCGCACCTCTGATTCTGACACGTCTCTTCCCTTCCTCCTTGATCCCTTCCAGCGGGCCAGTCCGTTGGCTATCACCAGGACGGCGTTGTTCTACTTTGCCGGTTTACGCTTTTGTGCCCACTTTCCGGATCCTCAACGGGCTCTAGGAGTTTAGAGCCTCGTGACGCGCCCCAAGGCACCTCTTGCATCAGATGTCCAAATGATACGAGCAGCCGACAAGATCCCTTTGACCTAGAGTCGGTTGTCATCCGCCAATCAGGCCGATCTACTACTCCGTCTCCGTCTCGAGGAACCTATCCATATGCGTACGATCACTTCGCACGTTCCGATATTCCGATCTACCTGGATTGCTGAAGGATACCATCAGCTATCTCAACCCACGCACGTATTGTTCTTCCACAGAAGCGAACCATAAGCCTAGCATGGCTGACGACAATGTCTATATGGTCATATTAAGGGACATCCTCGTATCCACAACGCTGCTTGCAGCCTGGGGCTCATCTCTTTATTGTTTGTCTGTGAGCCCAGACTTTGAAGAGACACCTCTGCGTCTTCGGGTAGGCTATGGCGCCGTCTTTGGAGTGCTAGGTGTGATCACCCTTTTGCTCATGATCCTGGAAAAATGCTGGATTGCCTTTGCGATAATATTCGGACCTTTTCTCGTCATTTATGATGCAGCTATTCGTACGTTTCGATATATCTGCTTTCTTCTCTCGTTAAAGGTGGTTTTCCAAGATTATACCTTCCGAGGCTCCGACATTTCGACAGAATGCTGCCGCCTTTGTGAGAGGTGCCAGCATATAATCGAGCGTTCCCCACTCTTAACTGGGGCTCGCGGGCTTTTCACTCGATCCAACGAACGCCATGCTATCCACACGAAGGAAGAGCTCAGAAAATCCGCCAAACATTGTCACTTGTGCGCCTTGCTCCTGAACTCTGTGGAAGAGTTCCGCGAATCGTCGGAGAAGCAAACGGCCACGACCAACTGCGAGCTTGTTCTTTTTATACGGGAGAGAAAGTTTGTCAAGGATGATGCAAAGCTGGAATTAGAGCTTTCTGGTCATGCTATCAGCAAGGCGCGACGACTTTGTGTCAAGAGGAGTGGGTGGTGGAGTTCGAGTAAGTGCCTGGAAATCCGTTCTCCATCAGTTGGGATAGAGCTGGTCGTCCCTGAAACATTTTCTAACTCTTGCACAAGGCTGGAGCCATCTGTGCTATCGTTCTGCACAAACGGATAGTGTGGATATTCTCAATTGGGCAAGCAATTGGATGCGTCAGTGCCAATCGGACCACGAGCGTTGCGCCAACAAGTTTATCCCTGATTCTTCCCAACGTTACCTGCCTTTGAGACTCTTGGACGTCGGAGATGATGAAGGTAGAACGATAAGCCTGAAGCTCAGCTCGCAGCTAGAGGAAATGATCCCCAGGAGTTACATTGCTCTTAGCCATTGCTGGGGAGAAACAGTAAATCTGACTCTCACAAAGTCCAACGTCGACCAGATGGCAAGCCTTCAAATAAAGAGCCTGACCAAAAACTTCCAACACGCCATTCGAATTACGCGAGCCTTGAAGGTCAGATATCTCTGGATAGACTCCTTGTGTATTGTCCAGGACGACGATGCAGAGTGGGAAGCTCAATCAGCAGATATGGGTCTCGTATATGCCAATGCAGAGTGTGTGGTCTCTGCGTCAGCGTCAAGAGATTCCGATGGAGGTTGTTTTAGGCCTCAGGATCTTTTCCGCAGTGACTGCGTTTTGCGCAAATCTTCGTTTCGATCAATCGAGGTCGAGGCTTCTGACGATAAATCCTTTGCGGCATCACTAAAACTATTCAAGGATCGAGCGGAAAATACAGTGCTGTCCACACGAGCATGGGCGTTTCAGGAGAGATACCTGGCTCGTCGGGTCTTACATTTCTGTGAAGGAGTTGTATTTTTCGAATGCAACAACCTGATTGTCAGAGATGGCATCCGTTTTTCCAGAGCAACATATCCACGAAGAGCTGGTGTTCGTTCTGATGGAACTCTCTATCCTCTAGAGGAATGCGAAGCCGTCCGTCCGCCGTCTGAGCGATCCAGAATGGCACAGACTCGAACAAGACGCGGTCGTTTCAGGATGGCTTTCAGCCAGCCGCCACCAGAAAACCCACAGGACACTGCCCGGCTGGATCTGTTGAGCAGAATGCTCGCTCTGTCGGCTCGAAGTGGCATGCGAGGCGCGTTTGAACTCTTATGGCGATTCAAAGGTACAGAAAACGCAGAAAAGGTCGAATTTCACCAGAGCTGGTACGAAATCGTGGAACAATACTCGACGCGCAAGCTCACACGGGAATCTGACAAACTGAAAGCTATGAGTGGGATAGCCTATTTTATTCAGAAAAACACGGCCTTTCGATATGCAGCCGGGTTATGGAAAGGGATGCTGGCCTTCAACCTTCTGTGGGTGGTTTCAAGTTCCCCAGAAGAGAGGCCTGCGCGGAATATCCCTAGCTGGTCATGGGGATCAGTAAATGGCCGGATCTCCCATCGCCTTCAATTCCCGGAGCCAACGGAGCAACTGGAAGGCACAAATGGTACATCGCAACCCTTTCGATTCCAAAGCACCTGGCGAGAAATCACACCCCTCATATCTGAAGGAGAAATGGAAGTCATAGAACAGAGGAGCGACTTGGTGCTCAGTGCCCGACTTTCAGTGCACGGCCACCTCCACGCTTCCACATCGCTTCAAGTCAATATCATCCACGACGCCATCTTGCCTAGTGCCTCCACCACCTCCGGCCAGCTGTTTTACTTACCTGTCCTGGCCTTCAAGAACGACAAGGTCCACCCCGTTGGGAGCGTCATGCAAATACATGGTCTTGTGGTAAGGTCCAAATTGAATGTTCGATGCACGTACGAAAGAGTCGGATATTTCTGGACCGCAAATTGTCTTGGTTTGAAGCAGGTGCTTGAGCGGCAGCGGAACCCGACCAGCCTGGTATATCTCGTTTAGCATCACAACCTCGTTCACTGCAGACGCCATGCAAACACTACTATGCTATCACTTCTGGCTATTAACCCAGTGGGATTTACGTCTATGCTCAGCGCGGACTCTGTGCTAAGTCGCTGCACGTGGCTCCATTTAAAGGGGAAGAGAAGATCCATGGAGCTCCTGCCGGAGGAGACTGTCGACATCAATGCCCAGAGAGACGCCAATATCAGTGCGTTGCAGCTAGCTTTAGCTGAACGGGACAGGCGAGATTGTGAGCCTGCTGCTTGGGTAGGGGCCGGACGGTAATCCACTGTAGTGGACCGACTGACGTCGAGGATGCAGAGGGCGGGAGGGAGGGTCAAGAGTTACTCAAGTCTAAGTCGAGGGAAGGTAAAGGGTCGTTGAAGGATGGTTAGAGGTTGAGTGAAGGCTGGATCACCGTGAGTGGGAAATGAGCGACGTTCACAAGCGACGCCGGTCGCTGAGCGCTATTTGACCTCGCCAGTAAGTCAGCTCGCTCTAAGTCAGACCACCGTGTAATGCAACAACCGCGTACTGCAACAGCCCCGCATTTACACGTCATATATGATCGCCGTCGTAACTATTTAAAGATCGGCGCCAGCGACGTTGTAAATATGAAAGACGTTGCAGAGGCTTGTGAACTCGGTCTGTTGGCACCTCTCAGAGGTTAAACGGGCCTCTTTATCTCTATCGATCCTCACCCACTCCTCTTGGCGCGCGATGGCACGGTCTTACGCCTCTTTTATCTCAACGATTAAAGTAAAGGACTTGTTCGAGTCGATGTTAACTCGTGCACGCTTGGTGGTGGTCTTTTGAGCAACTTAAACCGATAACTGCTGAATTTAGAGGGTCTGTTACGCTGATTGCAATAAAAGCTGGTCGATCTTATTGGCAGCCTTACGCATAAACAACCGAGTGCCTTTTTGAGCTGTAATATCCGGGATAAGGCCGATCGCCTGTGCCTGTAAATGACGCCCGTTACGCGGCGTTACTATATAAACCTCTCTAGATAGTTTACGCTTATAAGATCGTGGTGTTTATAGTGCTGTAGTAAGGGTTTTAGGGGTTTACACTAGCTGCGATAATTAAAGGACTTTACGGGGGTTATATAGGTATAGACTAGTGCCTTTTCATCTACCTTTTATATATTAAGGCGTTAGAGTCATCGCTCTAGCTATCTTATAAAATTCGATAAACTCGAGGCGTTATACGGGCGTAGTTTCGACGAATCTTAAGATATTAGTAATGCTTTTACGATAGTTGCTTTTAAGGACTGAAAAAACACTAATATTAAGAGGTTAAAGGACGTGCGATAAGTGTAAAGGTATATAAAGCAGCTAAATATTATAGGTAAAGCACTTGAATATAAATATAATAGTAACGTGAGAGTTATAGTTATTGTAGAGGAGTAATTAGGGTGCTGTGCTATTTACGGTTTAAGGGAGGAAGATCTCTTATAACCAGCTTAACCCGACTATATTTATTATAAAGGCGTTCTTAGTATACTTATAGTGCTAATTTAAGGGTAAGTTATACGGGAACTATATTAACTAGAGGTCTTTACCTTTTAAAAGCACCAGCGGATCGATAAAACGACCCTCCTGTTACGAACCGGCCTTTATGCGGCCTGCCGGGCCTGGCACAGAAGGGAAGGTCAAGCGAGGAAGTCAGCCTCGCTGGCAAGGCTGACTCGGGTCACGTGATACCCCAAAAAGGAAATAAGCCGTTGCATATGTTGCATCGTTGCAGGGCATGGGGCCGCAACGGAGGCAACCATGCAACGCCCAGACTTTCCTAGATAGGAAAACTACCTGTGTATATAGTCACAGCTAGATACACTTCTATAGGAGGTGTAGTCAACTTCAGTTAACATTGCGCTCAAGGAGATACAGTACAAGTGCTGTGTCCCGTCTGACGATCTGTTCGACATTGACCTCTGCTCTACCCCCGATACTCAAGAACCCCGAGGGTTACCTGTGTGCTCACGTGTCCTCATACACGCTGCGCGGAGGCAATTCTTAACACTTTGACTACCTCTTGACGGTATCATTAGACAATGTCGAAACTCGTTCGATCCCCCTCGCCGACAGGATCCGTCCGATCCTCGGCACCCAACCCAACTCCAGGACCTTCGTTATATAGCATCACTCAGGCAACAGGAGGACAAGGTGACAAGGACCATTGCAAGGTTGATGCGTATTATGGAGACCGTGCCAAGCTAGGTATGTTTATTGCCCAACTTACGGCCTTCTTTAAGCTTCAACGCACTAAGTACCCAACCCATGAGGATAAGGTCTTATACGCCGCTCTTAACATGAAGGGACCAGCGTTTCACTGGTTTAAACCTGTTATGATGGACCACCTGACCTCGCCAGACGGACAGAAGGAGGATGAGACCAAGGAGATCTTCGGGAGTTTTCCAACATTCATCGCCAAGCTCAAACAGATCTTTAGTACTCCTGGAGAGGAACAAGCAGCATCCCAAAGGATCCATTAAATTAAATAAACGGGATCCGCAGCGCAATACTTCGCCCTCTTTAAGCGGCTTTAAGTAAAGCTGGACTAGGAGGATAATGCGTTCGCGGCAGCGTTCTACAATAGGTTGAAGGACAACATTAAATATAAACTAGGAGTTAAACGACCGACCGACTACCACGAGTTGGTCGACAGAGCTATCGAGATTGACAACTGGTTGTTTGAACGACGGCTGGATAAGCAAGGCTATTGAGGAAAAGCCGGGACTACATACTACTCAGGTAGAAGTGGGTATAGAAGGCAGTCCACTTATCAGCCGCAAGGGGATCCCATGGACCTGGACATGATGACGACTCGGACCTCACGTCATAAAGGAGGGTTTAAACGTTCAGGAGGATATGGAAGGAACAACGAGAAAGAGAGACGCAGACGCGAGAACCTGTGCTACACTTGCGGAAAAGCCGGACATCGTGCACGAGATTGCAAGCAAACGGCTCACGGACTGCATATAATGATGAGCGACGATATAGCCGGTATAGGAGAAATAAAGGCCGACACTCCTATCAGGGTCACAGTGGTCGCCGAGGACTAGGACCAGACAGCACAGAAGGGCTACTAGAATTCGGACACGCAGGGCGTGGGTAAGCCAGGGAAGAAGGAGTTCCAATAACGAGGAACCGATCCTAACGAGGCAGGTCAAGCCTTGGATAAAGAAGCATATCAACAATAAGAAAAACCGATTGATTACGTAGCTGGATTTAAGTATCTAGACGCTGCGTACAAACATACAAAACTGTCTTAGACTGCTTACTACGACGACTCTTATACCATCTACCTTTCCGAAAAGGAAGGAGCTGGATAGTTCCCTCAGAGGAAGAAGTCGAAGAATCGAAGGAGCAAGAAGAGTCGGGAATTTTAGGAGATTCTCGCCTAGAATGGGGACTTGCATAACGAACCGGGATTCTAGATAATGAATGCCTAGAACGACGATAAACTACGGTTTATAGTCACTGAATATACAGCAGAAAGGATCCAACTTATCACGCCATACTGGAAAAGTGAGGGTTGTGACCCTAGCTGTCAGGAAGGAACCCAGTGCACCCATGTAGTGTTTGACGCAAACCAAGAAAGGGAAAAGACGCTACATGTCCTGACGTTCCTAATCTGTTGCAATGTGGAATGCAAAGAAACCAGGATGCATTTCCATCAAGGAAGTGACAAACGAATCGAACTTATCGAGATACCCGATACTAGCCTCAGAATGATGGGCACGGAAGAAGCCCCAGAAGAACAGAAACCGGACTAAAGGATCGAGTCCGAGGACGACGATGACGGCATACCGATGATAGACTAGGACGACTAAGCAAATCGAACAGCGGTCGTGCTGAGATAGTCGCTGTACCATCTCATAATTGTTACTAACCGGTGGTATAAGGAGTTATGCCAATAGGACGATTATAAGGAAGAAACTCAACACTACTACCTTATATTTAATCCCGAAATAGAACCACGAAAGTACATAAAGAGGATCCAGTTCAGTTACTGTATGAATCCGGACTATAAAGATAAAGAGAACTTTCATATGCACTAAAGTGTGTAGCTAATTACGGTACGGATCAAGCAACCCCCGGAGTAATTGGAACAGATCCTGGAAAGGCGCCGATAAGGAAATAGCATTAATATGATGGTAGAAACACTGGGCACTGTAGAAACCATGGTCGATGAGCGAGGCAACAACGAACATATTGCGGAATATTTTGCATGCTGCGACACCACTTACAAGCACTACTACACGGCACATGCACACTTATTCAATATTGACCCGGAATACCCACACACAGCTATACCATCACACACATATGACAAGATGATACAACGAAACCTGATGTGTGAACGACAAGAATGCACATGGAGACGACATCTACACCTCCATTTCCCTAAGCAAGAACTCAACATGGTCACGGGACTGTCATACAACCCGGATATAGTTGAAGCCGTTGTGGATGAACGATCTACCGCAGACTATATCGCCGAATACTTCACATGTAGCGATCATAGCTGCAAATATAAAGAAGAAGCGCACCTTCACATCTATAATGTTGACCCAGATTACAGCGACATCGCGCTGACACTAGATCAACACAGTTTATTACTAGACTGCGAGAATAGAGATTGTTAATAGGACCTGTGGCCCCACCGACACCTACTAAAAAACTTGTAGGCACTGACCTGAAGAGGCCAGATCAGTTGCTAAAGTTGCCTCAGACAACCACTAGATTATACCTAATCCTGTTAGATATCCGGAAAGAGCATCTCGTCTTCAAGGCACAGCTCGCTGGAGTCGACATCAGGGTTATGATCGATAGTGGCGCTAATGGTAACTATACTAGCAGAGAAATTGCTGAACGACTAGCCAGGTATCAACGGAAGAAACCACTACCCTATACCCTGTTAATGGCTGATGGCAGGACGGCTGGGATGGTACAAGAAGAGCTTCGAAACATAGCCTTTATAATCGGACAATATAAAGAGACGATTACCCTCGACATCACTAAGATCCCAACGTACGATGTCGTGTTAGGTATAATATAGCTTTATGACCACAACCCCCATATTGATTGGTAAAAAAGGAAAATCACATTCTCGTCATGCAGTACGAATAAGAAAAAGGGAGATCGATCACCTCTAAAGGCCCCTATCGAGGAAAGAGCGATAATGGTGCGACCGCAGGGAAGAAATATACTAGCTGGCTCTAGTGTTACAGAGATTCCCCCGGAATATAAAGACTTTAAAGACATCTTTAAAGAGCGCGAGGGATTGGCGGCGCTACCGGAACACAAGCTATAGGATCACGAAATACTAATCCAGAAGGGCAAGGAGCCCCGACATACCGGATGGCTAAAAAGGCTATCCTAAAAGGAAGAGGAATTCCTTAAGGATTACGTGGAAAAACTCGAGGCCAAGGGCTTTATACGCAAATCAACATCGCCCATCTCTTATGGAGTGCTTTTCGCACCCAAAAAGGATGGAGGACTACGCCCTTGTATCGACTTCCGACCACTCAACGAGATCACGATTAAAAACAGATACCCGCTTCCACGAATCGATGATACACAAGATCGACTCCTTGGAGCCAAATACTTCTCGGCGCTCGACATTAGGGACGCCTACTACCGAGTACGAATGAAGAAAGGAGAGGAATGGAAAACGGCTTTCAAAACCAGATGGGGACTCTGGGAGTATCAGGTGATGCCTTTTGGACTAACCAATGCCCCCGCCTCATTTCAAAGCTTGATCAACGACACGTTGAAGGACTTCTTGGACGACTTCGTGGTAGCATACCTCGACGACGTCCTGATCTTCTCGAAAACGTATAAAGAACATGTAGAATATGTACGAAAGGTATTACGACGATTGCAGGAGAAACAGCTCCCGATTAAACTCAGTAAATACGAGTTCTATAAAGACAGTATAGCTTTCCTGGGCTATATAGTGTTAACTAGGGGACTATAACCAGACCTAAAGAAGGTCGAGGCAGTACGAGACTGGCCCGAACCAACCAACGTCAAAGAAGTATAAGCAGCACTTGGATTTATAAACTACTACCGAAAGTTTATTAAAGACTTCTCGAAGATAGCAGCACCTTTATCAGCACTAATAAAGAAGGACACTACGTACAACTTTAACTAAGATTGCAGGAGAGCTTTTAAGGACATTAAGGACCGACTTATATCGGCACCCATCTTAGTAATCTTCGATCTAGATAAAGAAGTTATACTTAAAACAGATGCATCGGACTATGCCATTAGAGCCTGCCTCACGCAAAAGGATGACGACGGACAAGCGAGACCGATCGCATACTACTCCAGAAAGATGACTGGACTAGAAACAAATTACGACATACACGACAAAGAACTACTAGCGATAGTCGAAGCACTACGCGAATGGAGAGTTTACCTCGAAGGACCCAAGTACCCTGTACAGATCTACTCGGACCACAAAAACTTACTATACTGGACGACCACGAAGCAGTTGACCAGACGACAGGTACGATGGGCCGAAACGCTCTCGGCATACTGGTTCAAGATAAACCATGTGCGCGGGACAGAGAACGGAAGGGCAGACGCCCTAAGCAGAAGACCAGACCATGAGGAAAACTCACACCCAAAACCGGCCGCTATCCTTAAGTGGGAAGACAACCAACTCATATACCGAACATCACTCACGGATACGCTGGCAATCATGGACGTCGAGCTCACCAATGAACAAAAGAAAGAAATCATCAAAGGACGACACGAGGATAAGTCAGCAGGACACCCAGGGGTGAATAAGACTATTGAACTAGTCACGAGGGACTTCACCTAGAGGGGACTAAGGAAAGATGTCGAAGAGCACATTAGGGAATGCGATATATGCGTAAAAGCGAAACATGCACGACACAGGCCATACGGGCTACTGCAAACAGCAGGACTTAAGGACGAGTTATGGGCCCGAATCGCACTAGACTTTATCGTTAAACTACTACAGTCTAAAGAGCTACTTATAAGGACGGACTACGACAGTATTATCGTAATTACGGATACACTCACGAAATACGCTCACTTCATACCCTAGAAGGAATCAAGTACAGTAGAGGAACTGGCATACGCTTTCACGAAGACAATCGTTGCGTAACACGGAACACTAAAGGAAATTATATCCGACAGGGATAAGCTATTCACGTCGCAGTTTTAGCAATCACTAATGGATCTAACGGGAACACACCAAAAACTATCCACAGTATATCATCTACAGACAGACGGACAAACAGAACGGATCAACCAAACACTTGAACAGTACCTACGTTGCTACGTCAACTATCAACAAAATAATTGGGTGGAACTGCTACTAATCGCACAGTTCGCATATAACAACTTAAAGACTGCAACGGGAATATCACCATTCTACGCAAACTACGGAAAACACCTAAACATTGAAAAAGACGCAAGAGGACTACGACTAATAGCGGAAAAAGCGAAAATCTCGGTTAAGAAGTTATAATCACTGCATAAAATGATGAAATTGGAACTATATAAAATATCATAAAAAGCAACAAAACACGCGAACAAGAAAAGATCTGAGGGACTAGATTTTCAGGAAGGGGAGAAAGTCTACATCCTACGAAAAAACATTAAAACATAAAGACTAAGTGACAAGCTGGATCACACTAAGATCGGACCATATAAAATCAAAAAGAAACTGGGACCAGTAACATTTGAGATGGAATTGCCAGCGGGCATGAACATCTACCCAGTGTTCCACAAATCACTACTTGAAAAAGCACCCTAAAACGCTACGCCAGGACCAGTCCTAATCCACGAGGAGACATAAGAGCCACTGTACGACGTGGAACGAATCGTGAATCACCGAGGAACCAAACGCCGACAACAATACCTAATCAAATGGTTAGGGTATGAGGATAGTGAAAACACGTGGGAACCTAAGGAAAACCTACCCGCGGACCTCATTAAACAATACCACCAGAATAGGGGCATGAGAAGCTAGCCAGCCGCTGGCTGGCTGCTACCTTCGAAATTCAGGATCTTATTCCAGTCGACTGACTCGGTCAGGGGCGCATCCTGCCAGACGAAGTTAGGCTCGGCTAGAGCCACCTCAGCCCGGGCTGGTGCCTTGTCGAAGGCACCCAGCGCCATCATCTCTCGTTTCAACATATTACTAGATACCTCGTCTAGCTTCGTAATGGAGTCCTGTAAGGAGGAGTCTTCCTCCTCCACCTTGGCCATCTCACACTCCAACGCCGCTAGGGATCGGCGGGCATCCACCAGTGTTTTTCGAAGACGCGCGATCTCGCGCCTCTTAGCCCTCGACTTAGCCGACAGTTGTTTCTTTTGCTCTCCTATCTTCCGGAGTTCCTCCACGGAAAATGTTCCGTCACACTCTCTCCGATGCCGAAGACACGCCGCGCACTTCACACTCTGCTCTCTCGAGTAGAAACACACTTCACTATGGTTCATATACTCGGTATAAGACACCATGGCTTCGGTCTTTTCAACAAATTCGATATAATCAGCGATCTCGTTTTAACGCTGCTGCCAGGGAACGACAGGTTTAGAAGACTTAGGAGGTTTAGGGTTCGACTTGTGCACCCTAAAGGCCTGTATGGTTAGCCATAAGAGAAGAGGAGACAACAGACAATGATAGAGGAGGGCTGTGGCCTACCTTAAGTACGTTGCGGATAACGAACAGGCTAAGGAGGGGAGAGTGTTACGAACCGGCCTTCATGCGGCCTGCCGGGCCTGGCACAGAAGGGAAGGTCAAGCGAGGAAGTCAGCCTCGCTGGCAAGGCTGACTCGGGTCACGTGATACCCCAAAAAGGAAATAAGCCGTTGCATATGTTGAATCGTTGCAGGGCATGGGGCCGCAACGGAAGCAACCATGCAACGCCCAGACTTTCCTAGATAGGAAAACTACCTGTGTATATAGTCACAGCTAGATACACTTCTATAGGAGGTGTAGTCAACTTCAGTTAACATTGCGCTCAAGGAGATACAGTACAAGTGCTGTGTCCCGTCTGACGATCTGTTCGACATTGACCTCTGCTCTACCCCCGATACTCAAGAACCCCGAGGGTTACCTGTGTGCTCACGTGTCCTTATACACGCTGCGCGGAGGCAATTCTTAACACCTCCGCCGAGTAGGCCTCGATGTTAGGAATGGCGGTACTCGAGATGTAAAAAGGGGTGTATAAGCTAATATCTATCTAGCTATCGACGAAGACTTAAAGCATGCGGAACGAGGAGGGTTCGCATGCGAGGAGTAAGCTATATAGGCCTAGAGCGCTAAGCCCATCTAGGCGTTCCTAACACTCGATTATAGTGACCTAGTTACGATTTTCAGGCGTCTTATAATATAAACGTCTCTTATTAGTTGTACTAATAACTCTTTAGTTAGTATAGACCCCTATAACTAGTCCGGATTTATTAAAGTTCTATATATTAGCTGGTTTAATCTAATAACGGGTAATAATAGCGCGGAAGAGGGTAAAGAAGGTCTAGAGGGTATCTAGACTAGTATTTTCAATACGCAGATACTCGATCTTCCTTCCTACCTTTAATTTTATCTCTAGATAACGATTAAGAAAGCGTATTACCTAGTTTATACCGACTAAAGTTAGGCTATCCGAGGTCTTTAAGATAAGGCTAGTAAACTCGCGTACTTAAGAGAAGGTTAGGGGGGCGCTAGCGTAGTTAAGATCGATAATCCATTAAATAAGAAGATCCTCTTATATAGAGGACAGCAGCTGTTAGTCTTCTCTTACTAATTATCGAGTTTAGCCTCCTTTCAGTCGACGACTTATAGTACTTAAGTTAACACGGTATGCTGTCGCTGCAGATCGAATCGAGGGGTAATCGCCGCGTTCGAAGGCCCGGATTGCCTCCTGGAGGGTTTCTTCGGTATAGGAGGGCATGCTGACTAAGTATGAACAAGATAAGAGAGGTTTGTGGTGTGCTGGTGTGATATGAAAGAGAGAGGGTTGTTAAGAACGCGATTTGACGCGTAAATGCGGGGCTGTTGCAGTACGCGGTTGTTGCATTACACGGTGGTCTGACTTATGCACCGCCTGCCAAACACGCTTGCGGTCAATGGTCACAGCTATATATACGGACGGACTTGGTAATGATCGTACTCATCCGCCTCTTAGACTCCTGAGGGCCGAAGCGGTGTAAAGTGAGAAATGAGGACAAAGTCAGGACTAAGGAAGAAATGGACGTGAGTGCCCTCACCCAGGCCCTCAAGAGACGATTTCCAGACACGAACGCTCATTGTGATTTCATACGCAGTACTCCTACAATCTACAGTCCGCGCCCCATGGTGACTTGACCTGATACTCCGTGCATCTACCGCATCTACCGTACCTTCCTGACCAGAAATGATTCATTCGCGATCCACGGCCCATGATCCCTCCTGACCACCACACAGCACTACACTGCACTGTGCAACGGAGCCAGCACATCTTGATCACGCGACCGACACTGGCGCCGATTCCACCGCCTCTGGTCCAACAGGCGGCCTGCTCGCCGCCAGATTGCATTGCCTAAACAACCGGACCTCATCCCTGTCGAAAGCCCCGACCACGCTATGCAGGACGCCGTGGTTGTTGAACAGCACCAGGTCGCCCTCCCGCCAATCATGCGCGTAGACCAGCTCCGGCGCGATACCGGGCCTTTGCAAGTCGTGCACAATGTCCCTCACCTCTGCGAGGTCGTCGACCACGCGCCCGTCACGCAGGTGGATCTTGCGCACGACGGCCGGGTGGATCTGCAGCGCGAACCGGCCCGTCACGGGGTTCCGCCACACCATGGGCAGGATCTGGATGTCCGTGGCGCGGTCCACGGGCGGGAGTCCGTTCAAGGGCACCTCTTTACCCTCGGAGACCATGCCGAGGCCGTCGGACCGTGACTTGGCCGTCGAGATCCACACGTACGGATGGGGCGCGTACTCGACGCGCGACGTCATCGCGAGGGCCCTTTGCTCGGGGCTCAGCTTGTCGAACATGGCGTACCCGGAGACAAAGGCCGTGGTGCCGAGCGGGACGTCGAGCCTGTCGTCGCTGCCGTCGTCGTAGAGCACCGTCTGCGTGCGGCCGCGGGGGACCTGCACGGCGAGCAGCGACGTCACGAGCGGCGGGTGCAGGTCCCCGTAGAGCGCGGCGTCGATGTGCCAGCGGTAGAAGCGCGTGAAGGCCAGGTCCTGCGCCTCGGGGATGGCCGTCCGGTGGAACGTGCGGTGGTGAGGGTGCTTGAGCGTGACGTTCTGCAGGCCCTCGTATGCAGGAATGAAGCCGTTGCCGATGACCTGCACCTCGGGCTGGTGCGGGATGGTCTTGAGGTCCGGGTGCAGGATCGAGCGCTTGGCGTCGATGGTCTTGCCGTGTCCGTAGGATCGGGCGGTTGGGTCGAACCGGCGCGTCAGCTCGGCTTGCGCTTTGGGTGTGCACTTGGATTGGTTGCGGATGCAGATGACATTGTAGGTGTAGAGCGCCGTGCTGAGGGCGTCGAAGTCCGTGTCGCTGAGGTTGTCCAGGTTGATGTTGTCGACCAGGGCCCCGAGGTCGGGTTTGGCAGGGTTGATGGGCGAGACCGTGATCGCCGACATTGTGGTTGTGATTCGTTCCGAGTGGTAAGATAGATACTCCGAGTGGATGAGTTGGGTGAGTTGTCGTGTCTGATCCTGGATGATTTTGAACTCATCCTGTGGGGGTCAAGCCCCTTTATATATTTGCACCTCGTCAAGCTTCTGACGTGCGTGTGTGCCTCTCATTTGCAGCACATACCTCCACAGCCTCGTACAATGCGGGAGTGCCATCGGCGGCCACCTATCACTCGGGCCAAGCATTGCAGGCAAGGCTGCGAGTCCTGATTGGACACGCTTTATCGCACGACGAGTGGCCGAGACGGTGGCTACCGAGGAAGGGCAAAATCTTCCTGCAATTGCCAAGGCTGATGTGCGAGGTTGTACGACGTCGTGGCGGATCCCGGCCGTCAAGATCGTCCAGCGGGCAGCATCAATCAGGTAGGTGCTGATTCTGTGTTTAGATCAGTCACTCTCACGCACCCATGTTCCGCTCCTCTTGCACAGTCTTGGTCTTGCGCAAGCCCAGCTTCGACGACCATTTCCGGGTGCTGCGCGAGAAAATGCTCTCGCTCTTCGTATCCGACTCTGACAACGGTGAGACCGTTGACTGCCGCGTGGCCATTAGGCCCAGGTCGCTGCGGGTCGGCGATATTGTCGTCCTCTCCTCGAGACTGAGGAGATCCTCAGCCGTGGTGTTCGTGTCCGTGTTCGTATTCGTTCCACTGGTAGATCCATATCCTGACGACAAGACACTTTGCGTAATGGTCCATGGGACCTTGACGTCTTCGGCCGGCAGCTCGGAGGGTTGCCTCTTGGCGCCAGGTAGTTCCGCTGGACTTTGTAACCCCTCGAGCTCGACAAGTTGCGTGCCACCTATCTCCGGGACCGATGGCCTACTCTCCCGCTCTGTCTTCAGGAATCGGTTCTTGTAGATGATGTCCTCGAGCCCGGGTCTAAGCCTGCTGAACCGGATGGCCGCAGTGAATTTCGTCAAGGGGATGAGCCGATCGACTTCGTCGTGGACGTGCTTTTGAAGGAGCAGCTCTTTCCCCGCGAAGGTTGTGGTCATGGCGGTGGTGTAGTAGACGGCGGCGTCCTCGATCTGCTTGACGGAGACGTATTTGCCCTGGTACCGGAACGACCGCTCGAGGATGAGGATTATGTCGCAGGCGCATTTGAACAACATCCTCGCGGTCGGAGGCACGGCCAAGGCGCACGAGGCCAACGCTACCACGCCGCCAGCACCCATCTGTGAGGTCGTCACGTTAGCGTCGGGCCACTACAAGGTGTATACAGAGCCGATGGTGGCTTCTTACCGTCCCCGCAACCAGCCCTGCAGTGGTGACCCCCACGGCCAAGAACTCTGTGAGCGTGACGACCATGAACTTCTTCAAATGGCCCAGCACGACGCGCGTCATGATTTCTTCCACCTGCTCCGGCAGCGCCTTGGGGAACCCGAAACACTGGAGGACGTTCTGGCAGAGGATGCGCGCTACGGTGGGCGTGCCGATCGCGCTCGAGAAGGGCAAGGGGACCATCGCCGTGCGAATGGCGTGCGTGCCGAGACGCATGCATTCTGTGATCGCCGAGTCAATCTTCTGTTCGACATCGACGACTTGCGCCGCCACCGCGAAGAGACGAACTCTGTCATCGGTAATGAGCTCGAGAGTCTGTCCCAGAAGCTTCTTGACACCTTGATCGTCGTCTGTGCCACACAGCACGTCAGCACTGGCGGGCACTCAGGCTTCTGCCCGCGGGGCTTCTTCTGAATCTCACCTTTAGAAAGACAGCAGTACCCATCAGCCTTGTAGTGTTTGATCCGCGAGAGCTCCTCGCGAAGGGACAGGAATTGCTCGTCCGCCAGCTTGTCGGCTTCCTCGTTCGCGAGGCGCTGCGACTCGGGGTAGTTGCCCGTCTGCTCCATGTATTTCTCGAGGAGCTGGATCTTGCGAAACGCGATCAATTTGTCCTTCTTCGTGCCCACGACAAAAACAGGCACGTGGTTGGAGAACTGTGCGATCGTTTCGAAGGTCCGTTTGTCGGCCGCCTCGATCCGGCTGACGTCTGAATCGACGCAGAACCTAGGATTCCCCCCTGTGAGTGACCACAAACATGTTTGATCCCCACGGTCTGGGAAAGGTGGCGTTCTTACCAAATGACGTGCAGCGCTTCCGCAGGGTTCTTCTGGTACGCTCTATGCCGCAAGAACTTGGCGATCAAGTCCAGTTCCTTGTCGCTCCCTGCTTGCCAGCCCCTGGAATCATGAATAAGTAGGCCAGGATGATTGGTGGACTCGAATGCCTGGTTGATATCGTGATCGCCCTGTTTATAGCTGTCGGACTCTTCGGTCTGGGCGGCAGGTGTCAGCACCTTGCGAGCGGCTGAGGGTGAAATCCTACCATTTCGACTCCAAAGACCTTATTGATCAAGGTGCTCTTCCCGACACCCGTTTTGCCACACACCAATATCCTGAAGGCCTTCACTCCACTGGCCTGGAGCTCGAGTCCTTCCAGCCACGGGGGAATTGCGCCGTCGCCTTCCTCCAGACATCGATCTCGATAGTCGGCAAGCTCCTTCTTCATTGATTTGAAGCGATATTGTTCATAAAAGCGTGGAGTTCTGTCGAGCAGGCAGAATACCGACGGGTGGACGATCGTGCCGTAGCTCCCTGCAGAACCGTAAGTACCGCATGCCACTCAGACTGCTTACTTGAGGACTTCTCACCAGCGTCGCACCACCCGATCAGTCCTTTCGGATTGAAAACTTTGGGAGGGTTGCTATACAACGGACTTGACGTGTTGATCTGCACACTGTGCGCTTGATCCGCATCGGAGGATGTGCCATGCAAGCTTTGAAGGTCGTAGAAGCTGACTTGAATGCCATTGGAGTACCGCATCTGCCACTCAATCTTTTCGCTGTCGTCCAGTTTCGGAAGCCCGCCGGCGTACTGTGGGAAGGCGAGAGTCAGGACTTTCGCTCCCTGCGCCGTCTCGTCTTGGACCTGCAACACAAGCCCGGCTCGGATGCTCTCGATGAGTAACCACTGGAGCGGGTACAAGGAAAGGCCGTCCTCAAACGCCCCGCCGCCGAGATCCTGGTGCGAGCCCACGAACCACGCCTGCACAGAACTCCGGCCTCCTTCCATATCCTTTGCGGGCGGCGTCTCGAACACTTCGGCACCCAACTGTGCCCTCATCTCGTTAATGGCCAGCGCGTGCCGCAGGTGCTGGATGGACGAGACGAACGAAATATCATGCATAGTCTCCTCCACGCTATACTTGACCGTGTTGATAACCCCCATGAACTGGATCCGTGGCGGACGCGTCGTGTGCGAGCGGAGAAACTCGATGATTTTCGGCCCGTTCCTATTATCGTCCTCCCTGCGCGCCTTGTACACGTCCAGCGCGCTCTGGTACAGTCTGTCAAAGTACCGCATCGAGGCCGCTTTGGGGAGCCACATGGTCGTCAGAAGACCGGCCACCGCCCGCACAAGGAACGCGCCCCGTCCGAACCCGTACAGGAACAGCTCATCCTGCGGCTCGTCCAGCGTCTCGCTCACTTCCCGGCATATCAGTTTGATCTGCTCGTCGTGGTACAGCGTCGTGCGTCTGCTTTTCAGCCGCTCGATCCGGCTCGGCCCATCCGCGGCGGCGCGGTAATACCGCACAGCTTGCTCGATGGTGCGCCCCTGCGCATCGTAGCAGAAGCCATTTTGTATGATGCTTTTGATTCGGAAGATGTTGCTGCTGTTAACGTTACCTTTCGGATGCTGGTCAGCATGAGTGGGCGACATGTGGAAGGGTGTTTTGTCACCTAGTGTTCCGTCTTCGGGCCTGTACTCTTCCGCATCAATGCACACGATCAGCCGCTTGACGTGGGTCCTTGCGGACATTGCCGCGGTGGGAGGGGGGTTGTAGACAATGTCAAGCCTCAGATCGTATTGCCGAACAACTTGTAGAAGTGTCGTGGTTATGAGACCGGAGCAGACCGAACATGTAGAAATGTCATGGTTAATTATGAGACTGCAGCAGACACCGTCTGCCCGCCGGTCGACACAGAAGCCGAGTCGAACAAAAGACAAGATTCTGTTAACACAGTTCGTTCTATATCGGTCGAGGGGTGAAGGAAAAGCGATTTGAGTTACAGTAGTCGTTACAATAGACGTTCAGGAGGCGGCTCTCGAATCGGCCTCGGGGATTCGGGGCGCAAAACTGTCTAACAGCTCAGGCGCCGGTGGATGCCTGAAGGACACCGTGATAGGCTGATCGGCGGTTGTTCCAGGCACGCACCACACGCATCGTCGGCCATGACGCACCAAAAGGCATGGCGAAATAGGTCCCCACTTGTGCATTGGCTTGCCGTGCTCGCCCTCGTCTAAGGCCCCCCGTGAGCGCCGGTCCGTCTCTGCAGATAGTTCAAATTCGTGGGAGATGCTTTGGGAATGGAGTCCGAGGTACGGAGAACATAGCTAAATATTACACTGCATGATAGCACGGAGTACGGCGTAATCTGTATTATCTATCAATCCTCAGCACGTCTGACCTTGTACCAGCGTAGGCATGCACCTAGCATGGCCAGAACTAAAGATCGACTCTGAAACGGGGCTGTACGGGATTGGCTTGGCCACGGCAGCTTGTTCAAGCCCGTTCAAGCCTTCTCAACCTCGTGCACGCCGAGACCGCCTTTCCCGGCGGATGCGCCGACCTCGATCACCTCAACCTTGGCTTTGTCGCCCTCCATGACAACAGCAACCTCTTCCAAACTTGGCCCCTTCGTTTCCGGGTAGACGAAGAAGATTGTCGTGGTCTCGATCGCGAGCCATACCACATACACGAGGTAGTATTTCCACTCAATGTCTTCGAGGCCGATTGGGTTGACGAATTGGTTGAACGAGCTGCCGCCCCGGGAGAAGAATTGCGTGATGGCCACGCCCTTGCTTCGGTGGATGAAGGGGAATACCTCGCATATAAAGATATATGTCAAAGGCATCATCAAGTTATAGAAAGAATAGTAGATGAAGATAAGTGCGACAACCGCAATCGCCGCGTGGTGGTTGGTATGGTCTTTCGCGTAGGTGGCTGAGGCTGCCGTCCAGCACGCGAACATGACCGTCATGCCGATGTAAGATGTCAGATACTGGCGTCGTCGCGGAAGGATATGGGCAAGTAGTGCGCCGGTGATGCCAGTGATCAGGTTCCAGCACGACAGACCGAGATTGATCTCGTTTTGAGTTCGCTTCGCGGTGATGCCGACAGTCGCCAGAACTCTGCTGAGATAGTAGCTGACAAGGCCGTTTCCGGACCACTGGGAGAACAACCCTACGCAGGCCGCGATGAAGACACGACGTCGGTTGACGCGGGAGGTGACGAGCTCCTTCCACGGAGTTTTGGTTCCCTCGAGCTCCATGCGGATGGTTTCGCGGATCTGTTGGTATTCCGCTGCGACGAATGCATTCTCTCGATCACCCTCGGCATGGTACTTGATCAGGATCTCCAGCGCTTCCTCGTGGCGATCTCTTGATACCAAGAAACGCGGTGATTCGGGAATGAACCTGTGTATGTCAGAACGTGCGGCTTGTGGGAAGGGAAATTTGCCTACCAGATGAAGGTGAGCTGTAACGTCGAAGGCAGGAGCTGTAGGAGTGAGGGCAGGCGCCATGCCCAGTTGCTGTCCCAAGAGTACGTTCCGAGAGTGATACCTGCTGCCAGGATTGCACCTGCGTACCAGCTCTCATTGAACAGTCCGACAATGACAGATCGTTCTTTGGGATATGCCAGTTCGGCGATCAGCTGGGATGCTCCGCTGATCGCGTATACAATGCCCATTCCGAGAATTATCCTGGCAACAATGAACATAGCGACTAAGAGGGATCATCAGTATGAAGGAACGGTCCGGACGGGGCTTACATACTGTTGACTGATGCAGTTTGCAAGATGGCCCCAATAGTGATGATCACACTACCGACAATGATGCAAATCCTGCGGCCGAATCGGTCGTTGATATATGGCACCAATGGCACCGCACACGCCGCACCGATGGAAAAGGCTGCCGTCAAGACCCCAAGAAGAGCCCCGCTAGGACTGCCGAAATCTGCGAGCAGTCAATAAGCTGTAATATGTGAATCGTCTCTTCGACTTACAGTCTTGCCAGTGTTGAACGGCTTGGAGGCCATTGAGAACGCTCCCATCGTAGCCTGAAGTCATCTCGACACCGAGCCTAACCAAGATATGTCAGATCTGAAGAACGAGTTATAGCATTGGAGAATGGAGGAACATAAGATCCCTGGGTTGGCGTTTGGTTGAGCAAAGATATACTTACGCCGCAGGCACCAGGCACAAATACAACTGTCGGAGATTCTTCTTCTTGTACCATGGCACTGTATCTTGTTCAATCAGGTGGGCGATTTCAGACACCTTTGCGACATCTGTGGCGGCGACATCATGAGCCGCTATAGCCTTCGACATGTTTGCTGGAGTTGGTCGAGAGACCGGTGGACTTTTGGAGGAGGTCTTCGCACGAGTTGCAGATGGGACGACCAGGATATGTCTGCAATGGATTCGCAGGGACCTTTATGTAGAAATCCACGAAATTGGTCCCATACTGTCATCATGTGCCGAGCCCGAAGGCCCCATTACCATGTGGCAGCACCGCAGCCTTGCACGCCGGCCGTCCCCCCGCACAAAACCCCGGTATACTCCCCATGACGAGAGTTTGGTGTCCACCGGGTGCCCAGAAATGAATTTAGGCGAGAAAACTGATTGAGGCAGAAAGGGAATCGGTCCAAGACGGAGAACGGCCGTGGACACGGTAATCTCCAGGCACCTCATACTCATAGTGGAAAGGAGCAGTTTATGCTAACAGCCTCCGCGTGGATAAGAGCATCGCCAGAGTCGCTACTGCAGGCTGATATTGTATTGCTAAATCTATTTTCCGGCGGAGCTTGTGGCGATCGCGGCATAGTCGGACATGATCTTGTTCAGGCCGTCGCGCTGAACGCAGTTGTCAAAGCTGAAGCTCTTTGCCAATTCCTCCAAGGCGTCTTGGTCCTTGGCGCGAAACAGTTCGGCAAATTCTTGACAGAACGTCTCCGCAAGGAACGTCTGCAGGACTTGACGCTCAATATGCCTTGCAGTGTTCCAGGTGGACGGGTAGACGTCCTTAGCCGTAGGCGAGACGGAATCAATCCAGCTGACGAGCGGCTGGATGAGGTCTTCCACTTCTTTGGACGGATACTTTCCCCATGCGTCAAGCTGCAGGCGCTTCTTCTTCTCCAGGATTGGATCGATCAGCTTGTTCCAGGCCGAATCGGGAGCAGTGTAGACCATGCCTTGCAAACCGACATCCTTCCACAGCCAGATAGACCAGGGAATCTGGAATTTGTCGTAGATCCGTAGCTGCTCGCCTAACATGTTATAGCGTTTTTGGTTCACTTCCTCCGCATTCTCGTCCCATTTCGGGTTGGCATAGACCGGACCAAACTCGCCATTCCAAATTGCAGTGTTATGCTCTCTCTGGAACTCCGACTTGCGCAGAAACTGTCGCTCGAGTCTCTCCTTTTGCTCAGCGGTGCCTTCGTACGGCCGGCCGGTAGGAAAGCCCATCATGCTGTAGTCATGAAGGGCATAGACGCAATTCGGGAGGACAGTATCGAACCCTTTCCATTCTGCTGCAAACGTGTTTCCATCCAGCCACAAGATATGGTCCGGATCGATCGCCCTGATTGCCTTCTCAAATCGAGCATAGAAGGCAGGCAGACGGACATGTTTCGGGTCGCAGGGCTCGTTGATCGGGTTGTATCCAGCAATCCAGGGGTGACCCTTGTAACGCTTTGCAAGCTGCTCCCAAAGCCAGACGGTCCGATCCTGATGGTCCTTATAGTCCCAAAACGCGGCGTAACTCGTCGTGTTATCAGAGTGCCACCCTGGGCTCTGGCCTCCGGGGACGGTGTGCATATCCAAGATGGTGTAAATGCCTTCCTTTGCGCAAAGGTCGATTACACGGTCCAAATGCTTGAATCCGCTTTCCTTGAGCACTCGCGGATTCATGTCATCCTCAAAATGGCGGTAGTTGAAAGGGATGCGAATGCAATTCAGGCCCAATGACTTGAAGAACTTCGCATCAGTTTCCGTGAAGAAGTAGTAAAGCCACCGGTCAAAGAAGAAGTCGTATTTCTCCTGGCCCATGACCTCCAGCATCGCGGCGCGGATACTCGACTCATGGCCTGGGTAACCAACGATGAAGTTCTCCATGCTGTTCAACGTCAGCATATTCGCGTGCTGGGGCAGGAAATCGCATTACTTGAGCCATCCTCCTATTGCACAGCCTCGTAGGATGACCGGCTTGTCATCGTTGCCAACGACTTGGGTTCCTTTGACCTTCAGTATACCTGTCGCCATTCTTGACTGATTTCACCAAGTGTTTTTAGTGCACTCTCGCGGTTGCTTGTAACGTCCGATGATAGAGTTCGGATGACTTGGACAACTTGGCTGATACGGCCTTGCCATCAGCACATGCCTTACACGTTTTCTCCAAACGTCTGCAAGGCTTGGGGGCAGGAGTATTTAGCCTGAATTGGACCCGACCTCGAAGCGTCGAAGCCACTTGTGGAGCAGCAGGCTCTTGCACGCCTTGGCATTGCCTTCATTTTGGGTAAATCGGCACGCAAACCGGAGGATGAGGAATTGCATCGGCGTCGACTCGGGCTCGACTCGGCCTCGGAGAGTTGGTGTCAGAGAAGTCGAGTCAAACGAAGACGAGAGCGTTCAGAATGGGTGGAAATCTGAGGTGGACGCGACAATTGAATTTGTGCAACGATCAAGTAATACTCCCCCGTAGCCAAGACTACGGTAGGCATTCTTTAGCCCACCCGCTTTCTCTGCGTCGCCTCTCGCGCACTGCGCTGTCTGCCGTAGTCTGACGCAGCCACCACGGCTTCATCGGCTGTGAGCGCCCGAGATAAGCCAAGCGCCGTGACAGCCTCACGTTCGTCCTCGGGACCTCTTGTCCGATGCCTGTCCACTTGCCTATCTCGAGCCGTCTGTTACCTCGGACCCTGATCGCCTTTGGACATCCATCTGACCGCGTCCGCTCAGCCTCATCAGTTGGCATACAGAGACCCCGTGGCTGCCCATCATACGCAGGAGTGCGGCCGTACGTTTGGTCAGGCTGGTGCTCCCTGGCCTGTGTCCACGGTAGTCCGCGGCCGTGGGCGGATTAGGTCTCCGATCGCACTTGTACATCCCACTGTGGTAGGTAGGGAGCACAGCCGACCGGTCACAATGCATGATGGATAGTTCGAACTACAGGGTCGCTTATGCCAAATTTCCTAGCTGAATGACACTACAGACAATGTAGGCAAGCTAGGCGCCGACTGAAATTGGTATAAATGCGCACCGAGATAGCGTCAGAAGCAGGGAAATCAGAAGCGCTCTGTGCTTCACTGTTTGCGTTTGAAATGGTTCTGCAGGACAACAAGACATCCTAAGCACATACAAGGAATCCAGTCGGCAGGCATCTGCTTTCGACTCCTCTCTATACTAAGCTTTCAGCTCTGCCCACTGAGTTGACGACAGAATGCAATCTGCGGATGCCGCCGCCTATAATGGCAAGCCACCCTCATACGACTCATCCAGACGGTCGGCCTTGGCGTGCAATCGCTGCAGGGGACGCAAGACAAAGTGCTCTGGCTCCCCTCCTGATCCATGCCCGACGTGTAAGGATGCGGGGGCAGAATGTGTCTACACCGAGTCTGAAAGGAGAGTCTCTGTCCCAGAGAGGTAAGCCTAGGTTGGTCACCTCGCAAGGCCGGTATTGACAGCAGCAGTTATTTGCAGGACCTTCAGGCTCGAGCTCGAGCTGCCGATGAGTGTAGGTGTCTCTGTAGTTGCTCAATGCCATTGCTGTACTGCCCCCCACGAGCGGAATAAAGGTATTGACGTCCTCAGCAGTGAGATCAAGCAATACCAGTCTTGCGACGCCTAGCATTCTCGAAGAAGAACCGGCGAAAGATGATGACGACGACTGGTGGTACAAGGGCATGGAGACGCTCCTTTTGACCCGCTCAGGAGAGAGACGATACGTCGGCAAAGCGGCTGCAACGTACTTGGCTCAGAAGCTCAGCTCAACGCCCGAAACGAGTCTCGCTTGGGATGTGAACCCCATGTACAAGTCGTCTCTGAAGCGGCCAGCTTCTCTAACCTTGCCACAACTTCCGCCTTACGAGTTCGCCAGGCGACTTTTTTTTGCTCAGTACATCTATATCGGGACTATCTTCTCCTTTCTGCAGCCGCATGTCTTCGAATCACGCCTCCAGAAGGTCTATAGTAACACCCTGGATCTCGCCAAACAAGACGATTGTCTTGCTTTCTGCCAGGTACTGCTCATTTTTGCTTATGGACAGATGTACTCGGTCAATCAGTGGTCGGGAAGTGACGGACCGCCTGGATTCACTTTCTTCAAGCATGCTCTATGGCTTCTTCCTGACCTTTATCAGGAGGGCTCGGTCATGTTTGTCGAGGTCCTGGGACTGCTGGCACCATACATGCAGAACGTGAATCGCAAGGACGCAGCGTTCCAGTACATCGGCTTGGCATTGCGTATGGCGATTTCCCTCGGACTTCACCAAGAAGTGGACGACTCTGCTATGGATGTGGTGGAGAGGGAACATCGAAGGAGAGTATGGTGGTCTGTGTACAGCATGGACAGAATCATCTCCGTCAAATCCGGCAATCCCATATCCATCCACGATGAAGATATCGACGTGGCCTTGCCGAGCCCCATACCAGGCGTTGATCCAGATCTGTCCCCTCCGCGGGTGCTAGCTCATTATACACAAATGTCAAGGATCCTGGGACGGATCGGCAGCGAAATCTACCGAAAGAAGCTCAAGTCTGGTACCGGCCTGCTTGCTTCTATCCAAAGCATCATGAATGATTTGGCCAACTGGCTCAAAAGCGTCCCGGAGGAGTTGAGAATCGATTTCTCGGCATTGGATCGTCCAATATCGCGCGAGGCTGTATCGACGTTTCTTCACTACTACCAATGCATCAACATGACGGCTAGACCTTTACTCCTTTCCGTGAGTCAGCGAAGGCTGCAAGCACTCGCTACCGGGACGGCTCCTTCTGACTGGAGGGATGGACTTTCCCCGAACGTTGTTTCGGTCATCGACTCGGCGATCTCTGCAGCCTGTGCCAGTACTATGATTATGGCAGCCGCAGCTAAGCAGGGCCTGTATGGTAAGTGCCACGATCTTTGGAGAGGTCCATAAGCCTAATCGTTTGCAGCAACATACGGCTTTATGGACGGAGAGCATGCCTTCTCAGCCTCGCTTACGCTGGTCATGGTCAATGTCGCATTCCCTTACAACAGGAGAGATGCGAAGGCGATGGAAACAGCACTCTCCGTCCTCCGTGGTATGGCGGAGAAAGGAAACGAATACATCCAAAGAAGACTATCGCTTCTAACGAACCTTCGTGCAACCATTGGACGGAGATCGCCAGTGATGCAGCCACATCAGGCTGAGATGGTGGCGATTCCAGAAGACCAAGCACCGGAAGATCATGACTTCAATCTACCACAAAACTTGCCCTACATGGCGCCCTTACCGCACCAAGACCCCTTAATGGACTTGACCAATAACTTTTACCCTTTCCAGGATGTCTCTCTAGATTTCGAGGTCGACGATGATCCGAAGTTCTGGGAGGAAATTTACGGAGATATAGATATCGATATGGAGACAGGCTGGATCGAGAATGCTTTGCGGAACGAAGTACAGCAAGGTCAAGGGACGATTGGATAGGCATGACGGACTGGCATAGGAGGTTGATAGAGCCAAGCCTCGAGGGTCACCATTCGATCATTTGAAGCGTCTCAAGGCATCTATACATAACATCATCACGAGGATCTCTCAGGCAGAATATCCCAATCTCTGATATCTAGCACAATCATATGTCCCGGAGCGTGGCCTAGGACAGTGCCGTGCAACGCCGCTCGCCGAACTGCTTCCTGCGGAGTCACGCCACATCCCCAGAACACAGGGATGACATCCTCTCCGTTTGTGCTGACGTCTCTCAAAAGGAGGGCACCGTCAGACAGAACTGGACTATCACCAAATTCCGGCTGAGTGACATCCTTGATGCCGAGCCGAGTCACGGCATCCCAGCCCCAATCGATGGGCTCTCCATGAGTGGCGACATAGGGACGAGTGATGTCCCTTATCCGCTCAATGTCTTGTTCCCGGTACAGCCTCATGGAGACCACGTAGGTCGAATTCCTGAAAACGCCAGCTGGACACAGCGGGAGGCTCGTTCGATACATCGGAACGTTTCTTCCGTGAGCCGTATGTGGAGGAACCAGTCCTGCTGCAGCGAGTGCGGACTCAAAACTGAAGGAACACCCGATCAAGAAGCCGACGTGCTCTTCCGTCCATTCTGCCTCGATGCTCAAGCACTGAGATTTCGTGAGCACGCCACTCTCGTACACCATGTACCTTGGGAAATCGTGGCGAAGGTCCACGTTTTCGGCAATCTGTCTGCCAGTCACGCCGGCTACGTGTGACTTTAGTGCACTCCAGCTGCCAATGGCTTCGGATTCAGCGAGTAATGGACAGGGCACGGGATTTCTTTGGCAGAGAAGGCGAAAGTCGCCGGCGTATCGTGCCGGCATGGCGATGAGGTTCGCTTGCACGTACGTCGGTGCGGATCCGGAAGTTTGTCCAGTGAAGATGCCTGAGCGGGCTGCGAGGCGAATGCTTTCCCCGGTTTCTTCTGTCGCTGGCTGGGCCGCTCTGGGTTTGTTGAATGTCGCCTCGTTCATTGTGCCGTTCAATGCGATTGGAGCCATGTTGTCTGGTCAAGAGTCCGAAGGTCTGAGTAAGTACTTAGATATGATCTGTTCTAGGAGATTGCTTGCAACGTTCAAGACACAGCTCTTCACAACGTGACGTCGGTCGTTCATTCTTTGAAAGCAGCAGCTTAGATCTATACTCTGCCTCACGGGTTATGCGCCATCGCTCTTCTCCGGCTGTAGTCCGTGGCGGAGGTCAATTGCCAATGATCGACGACCACGCTAGGGAGGGCTTCCCGATCTGCTGCTCCAATGTCGGTATGATGTTCCTATCGTCCTGGCACATTCAGGCGGACGACCAGAGACATGTGGGACAAGGCAGAGCTCACCACACAAATTGTGGGTCCGTTACGGGCCGGACAGTTCAGCATGGACGAGGTTGCAACTTCTTACGTGCCTCATGTACGAGTGTCTGCAAAAGAAAGCAATGACAGACCAGCAAGCGAATGTGGTCATGAAAATGCGATGGTCAAATATAATTTGCCTGTGCACAATCGGCGTATTTATTGAACTAATTTTCTGAAAGGGTCTGCCCTGCCACTCGCGGCACATAAACCTCTGCCCCTCCCTCTGTTGGTCTGTAACTTTCGTCGCCTGATGGCCAATTCAAGACGTCGCGACAAGCTCTCCAGGGAGGAAGATTGGCCCCTTGTTGCTGAAGTTCTTGACATCGTCAAAGACGGGGCCCGCGTCCTCCGAACCCATTGCCGCGCGCAGTTGATCGGGGGTGTCGAATATCAAGGTCGCGCCAACGCTAAATTTGGGCTTCTGCCCGTCCGCTTCCTTGTACTGGAGCACTTCCCATCTCTTGAGACCGTGCTTGCCGAACCGCTCCATCACCAAGGGCATGTGTGTCTTGAGGTAGTAGCCCATGTCGAAGGTTGCATCGTCGTCGTTAGGGTAGAGGACTGTTGCGTGGAAAGGCATGTTGGTACGAAGATGTGGACTGTGGACTCGGTTGGGACAGGATTCTTGCGTCTAATTACTGGGCGAAGACGAGGAGCCTCGAGATTTTGATGCTAATGTCTTTTTAGAGAGGATGAATCTACTTACAACTCATCCAGCGTTAGGCCCGATCTTTATACCCCCCTCATCTGGCCAGCACCGGGATGTGCGGGGCACGACCAAACCCCGGCACGCCCCGGGCGAGGGGCTGCCTGTCAAGGGCTGGCTGAACGAAACGACCACTCAACGTACAGTAGCATTTCACGCGCCGAGGTAGTCAAGGATACAATGTGCAGAGTACGAGTACCGGTGGGCACCGCGTCGCTCGCCCTTTCGACGTCGTACTATGCCGGTAGAGATGAGCTGACTCCTGGGCGTCGAATCAGGGGGTCTGCCGCTTTTGACAGGACCTGAGTCAATCTTGCTGTCCAATCTGAATGTTTCCTCTCAAAAGTACGGTGTAAGCAGTTGTCTTCGTCTTGCCGGGAAATCACGCGGTGAACAGAAATAAGCCCTCTGACAGCTGTGCAAAAGCCGGTCTTTGCCTTAGCGTGGTCTGGCTCGGTGAGGAGGGAAGGAACGTCGAGGGTACGATAGTGTCCGAGTAGAGCAGCCGACTTTGTATTGCTTTGCAACCACTTTGCCAGTCGATAATAACACAAGCACGTAGGCGAAGGTCCGATTTGTCTACGAGGTCAACGAGAACGGTTGCTTAAAGGAGCAGGACGACGCGGAGCAGGCGTCGGCGCCGGGTTAGGCGGGACCTCGGGATGTCCGTAAAGCGGCACACTAAGCCATCACGCCAAGGCTGTGGCTCCTGTTGTGGCTGCTGTTGTGGCGGGCCTTATCGATAAGGCTTCAAAAGGATTCTCGACGGATTGGTGACTTGTAGAGAGGATCGAGGTCGTCAATTCAGGCCCTTCTTACCAGCATTTTCAGAGATATATTGATTGTCCGCGCCCAAGAATGGTCCGTGAACTATGAACTCTGGTCGCATGTGGACCGACTGACTCTTCCAGGCACCTCTACGCCAGCCACCTTCGCCTAATGCGCAACCCACAAAATTGATTCTCAAGAAATCCTCAAACCTGGGCTCGCAGAATGCTGCAGCTACGTCTGGCTCGCTCTTCCCCTCCTCGAAGAAGGACAAGCGTCGAATTAAGCACTCGCAACTCATAAACAAGGTTACGAAATCCAGTGAAAGGAACCCCAAGCGAAGAAGACCGAACAAGAAACTGGTCACAACACTCGATGCATTGGCGGACGCCCTGCCGCGAAGTGAAGAAACTGGCGACGACGTGGGTGGGACCAAGATTGTTACCACAGGGGAAAGACCGCAAGATCAAGTGAACATTATCAAGCGGAAGAGCATCAAATCTCGACCTGGAGCACTGAAGCGACGAGAGAATGTCGACAGAGGTGAGAGAGATAGGTTCGCCAAGAACATGGCGCAGCTAGCGAGTGCTACGTCCACTTCTGCGGCTACCGAGAAACGAGATAGCAAAGACAACGAGGAATCTTCCCCGAACACAGCTGCCATTCCATCGACGAGTGAGCGGTGGGCAGCTCTGAGAAGGTTTATCTCTCAGACCCTGGAGACGAAACCTGAGTTAAAAGCGCTGAAGACTTGAAGAGCCAGAGATTCTGTCTTTGCCACAACAAGCATTACCGGACCGCCTGCTTCAATATCCGGAGGACAGCGTTGGACTTCTCAACATTGGGCTTCGATGTGGGCAAAATCTCGTCTATGCAAGGTCACATCCAGAACAAACACGCCCCAGGACTTCTCATCCTAGGACTGCGTCAGCAGCCCCTTCTCGAGATCACCTCCATGGTGTTGCCAGTGGTTGACAACTAAGCCTGAGGTTGTTGGGAAGAGCTCAATCCCAACTCATTGAGGTTGACCTGCCACCTGATGTCAGTTCATTGTCGCGCCTACTGCCGTTCTCGAGCACATTGGAGCTAGAACTCCTGCTAGCTCGAGACGTTCATGCTACTACCATTTCAAAGGTCCTGAAACGGTCGCTGTATCAGATCTGGAGGAACAAGCCTGGCAGCACTGTCTTCAGGCTATCCTCTTGCCGCGGTGCTCCGCAGCTAGACTGCTGTAGCTGTCCACTCACAGCCAAACCACTAACGTGGTTTCCATGCTACACTTCGCTCTGCGCAGCCTGGGACACTTTGAAAATTCACTGCCGGAATACCGTCCGCTTCAGGCCTCCTATGACGCGAGCTGGTCGGGGTTAAACGGAGTTAAAAAGGGCCGACAATTCATCCGACACTTCATCACAAGATGTCTTAATGACGACCAATACTTAGCAATTTCTAGATTACTTCACCCTTGTACATGGACAAGACTCTTCGATAACCTCCTACAGCAACATGGCACCCACGGGCTGGCTTGACGTTCACACACATTTCTTTCCGCCTATGACAGATGAGCAAGCTGAAGAGATTGCCCACAATTTGCGGAAGGGAAACTTTATGGTCTCGGCACCCTCGCTACATTGGACAGCAGAGAAAGTCATCGAGTATAACAACAGTGCTGGAGTGCAAATGTCCTTGCTTAGTTACATTCCGACGCAGCACGAAAAGCTCCGAGCAGCAAACGACCTGGGTCATGAAATTGTAAAGAAATATCCCGATCGTTTTGGACAGCTGCTTTCTCTTCCTACCGATGACGCGGATGCTTGCCTCGAAGAGATCGGGAAGGCTTCACATTGGGACGTAAGACCTGATGGCTACTCCACAAGCACCGTGTACAACGGGGTACCTCTCAGCGATCCGAGGCTTGACAAGGTCTGGGAGCTTCTTGATCAGGAGAAGGCTGTGGTACACGTCCATCCGAATGCATATGCGCCTGGGACACATGGTAGACCCAGTCCACTCATCGAAGTAGCATTCGACACGGCGAGGATTGCCACCGACATGCTCTACAAGGGCGTCTTTCGACGGTTTGCAAATATCAACTTCATCTTTGGTCATTGCGGAGGGGCGCTTCCTGCTCTTTCTGGGCGGATCAATCTTCTGGGCACGGAATCATGGGTGCCGAACCCACTAAACCTGACTCGTGATGAGATTGAGGAGCAGCTATCCAGTCTATATGTCGACACAGCCGCAACCGCGAAGACAGGCTTGGCTCCTGCAGCCAACATGGTTGGAGTCAGCCATTGCGTGTACGGCTCGGACTGCGGTGTGCCTTGTTCAACTTCCAACACGATGAATGAGAATAAGGCGGATGTTGAGGCTTTTGAGAGGAAACATGGTCTTGAACCAGGCACTATTGCGAATAACACCTGGAACCTCTTTCCAGCGGCAGCAAAGCGAGCCGAGCGAGACGATCACCTTGCTGACAGGATTCCATGAGCCATTTGACCTGAATGCAATGACCGGGTTGACACTTAGCCTATCTTTGCCATAGAAGACATGAGTATGCTCGCCATGGCCCGAGTACTTGTGCCAACGCGCTAAGAGTCACACAATCAACTTCAGCTTTAGCAGATCCTTTTCCACGATCTCGTCCTTTCTCGACTCCAGCTCTTCCATATCCCAGGGAGCGTTGACGTATCTGCCAGCGAGCCTACATTAAGCACAGTTAGTCAGTCAGTCAATTGAGTCTTGAGTAGTACACGGGCCATTCGCCCGCTCGATTGTCGTTCCAGATCCGATACGCAGACTCACCATTCTCTCCTCTCCCTCGTGAGCCAAACGAGTGTATCAGCCGGCAAATCCGCCTCCGCCGTAAGTATATGATGCATCCACTCAGGCATGACGCTCGCGACGTCAGTCTTGACGCTTCCCGGATGGACAGCATACGCAATCAATCCCTGCTCGCCATACTCTCTCATCAGGAAGTCGTTGAATCTGATCTGCGCAGTCTTGCTGCCCTGATACGCACTGCAGCCGGGGCTAGTCACGCACGGTATATGCAAGCACGTCAGTCCATCTCGGGCCTGTTGTGGCTGGTACCGCAGAAAACCAAGCAACGAGACAAGTGCAGTGATTTAAGACTCACGCAGCACTGAATCCCCCCGCACTCGTAATCACCACCATGGTCTTGAGGCCCTTCTCGCTCTTCAAGACCAAAGGCAACGTCGCGCGACTCACGAGAAAGGTGCCCTTGAGATTGACCTCCCACGTGTCCCACCAGTCGTGGACGTCCGCGTCCGCCAAGGACCGCCACACCTCCATCCTCGACGCATTGTTGACGACAACATCTAGAAATCCGAACTCGCGCTCGACGGTGGCGATCGCGCGCTCCACGCCCGCCGCGTCAGTCGTGCTGATCTGGAGCTTGAGGATCTTGGGCCCTGGGTCCCCGTGGCCTGCTTGGCGCGCTGCGGCGGCTACCTCACTTGCTACGGCGTCGAGGTCCGAGCGGGCGAGGAGCGCGATGGCCGAGGCGCCGGATCGAGCGAACGAGAGGGCGGTCTGGCGGCCTATGCCTTTGGAAGAGCCTGTCACTAGGACTTTGAGGCCGGTGGGTGGGCCGCGGAGGGGGTCGATGAATGGGTAGCTCGTGTCGTGGGTTTGAGTGGTGAAGGTGAGTGCTGCGGGGTCGGTTGTGGGGGTCGGTCGAGGAGATGTGGGTGTAGAGGTTGACATGGATGTGGATACGGGGTGTAGGTCCATGTGTGGTGTAGTGTGGGTCAGGGTGAGGATGGACGTGGTCTGGCCCGATGTGGTGTACCTACCGATTCGATGGAGTTGCAGTCTCTACGAGTCCTTAATTAGTCCAGTACCTTAATGGCCGGCAGGGGGAGATTATTAGGGACCGACTCCGAGCGACCCTGGAATCCATGACCCAAGGCTCCGCGAGGCTGAGGAAATGACGTTGTGGAAATGGTCCGATTGTGCTTTACCTACCCAGGGTACATTTTTTGGAAATGGCCTCGTTAGAGGTAGCGACTTACTCCGTCTGCTATGTCTTGTATGTGATCCACCGTCGGGCCTGCCTGCGACTTGCTTCTCAGAAATGTATAGCACTCCAACACGCGGCGTGCTCGGTTGCTTGCCAGACGCGACACAGTAAGATATGATGACAATGCAATGGAGACGTTCGGTCGAATCGACACACAAGCTTCATACAAGCACCTTTCCCCTCTGCCTTAAATGCGATGGGTAAATTCAAGACATGGCTCCATCTCGCCTATTGATCCTCCATTCATGATCGCAGGATCCTTCTGCGCCGCCTCGCGCTAATCCAGCCCGGCTGAAGTGAGAGCAGCAGCGACGACCTGACCCCTCCGTCGTGCCTCCTCGTGTCTTATTCTGACTACGACCAGCAAGGCGAGTGGGCAAGTGAGCAAGGGATCTGGACCACATTCACCTATCTAAGATGACCCGTCAGCGTTATCGAGGAATTTCTCAGGCCTGCCGCCGGGTCGCGGTCAGTGACCATGCTCACTGGAGGCCTTGGTACAACTCACCAAGTATCATTGTTGACCAGTTGGTTGCAAGATACGCTGCATGCTGCACGAACTGTGCTTGCAGCGGCCCCATCAAGGAAATGGATATGGTGCGTCCGGCAGTGTTCAGGAGAGTCGGTCCCTCGGGCAGAAAACCATTCCCGAGCTGCCGCTGCTCCAATGGTTTATCATGTCAGTGGACGGCATACCAGCAAACGCTTCTCCAGTAATTGGTTCATCGTAAGGTGCAGCTGACATGGCGGCACGACAAGAAGAGGCCCGAAGAGCCGACTGATCCTCGATTACGTTGAACACTTGTCTCTGGACACGAAACACAACGGCAGGCAAGACACCGAGATATGGCCGCGCTCAGTCGGTTATAAGTAAGGACCTGTTGCTTACGTTCAGCGCCAGTGGAAGAGTCTTTCATGCGAATATATCCCGAACATCGTCAGAGCACACCATGTTCCTGCTCATCCTCGTCGTCTTCATTCTCGTGGTTCTATACTCACGTTCCGGACGGGGTTCCCAATGGCCAGATGGTCCTCGCGGCATCCCATTCATCGGCATTCTGCCCGACAAGAAACTGAAGCTATACGAACAGCTTGCTAACCTGGTGCCTCAATACGGCGACTTCTTTTCTCTGCAACAGGGCCTGTCCAAGGTGATTGTGTTGAGCAGCCCAGCTGCTGTCGACGAACTCATGGTCAAGCGTGGAGGGAAGTACGGCTCCCGCCCTACTCCATCAGCGCAAGCCAAGATCGTCGGCCAGGGCAGGCTGGTTGCGATGGAATATGGCGACGATTTCAGGGTACGCGCTGATTAGCACCCTGACCTGAGCTGACCTGGGCTAACGTTGTGGTCCGCCTCCAGAAACACCGCAAGCTCATGCACAATCTTCTCGGCATGCAGAATGCAAAGATCTTCCTGCCGTATCAGGAGTACGAGAGCCGTCAGACGCTGAAAAATCTGCTGGAAGGTCCGGACTCCTTCCTCACTGAGGTGGCCCGCTACTCGGCCAGCGTGACTTTCAGCCTGTTGTGAGTGTCTGGCCCATATTGTCGGATTATCACTCATCGTGCCTCGCTTCCCTCCAGGCTCGGCGCCCGGTTCGACAGCAACGATGCAAAGACACCGGAGGCGATACGGTGTATGTTTCAGGACATGTTCAACAGTGAGTCAATCTGAAGCTGACCTCAAATCCCGTACTTACAAATCCATCAAAAGAGCTGCGTCCAGGCTACTGGTTGGCGGACTGGATCCCCTTGCTGAACTACCTCCCCGACAGTCTTGCACCATGGCGAGCCGAAGCACGCCGGACGCACGAGACCATGATGGATTTCTGGTCCGTCCCCTTTGACGCCATCGTGGACCGCATGCAGAACGGAACCCCGCCCGACTGCTTCCTCACCCGCTTCCTGGCGAGCCCGGAGGCCGTCAACTTCTCCTTCGTCGAAAGACGCTCCATCCTAGCAACCATACTCACCGCGGGCTCGGAGACGACGGCCACCACGCTGCAATGGTTCTTCAAAGCCGCCGTGGTATATCCCGACTTCGTCAAGGCCGCGCGAGAAGAACTAGACCGGGTCGTCGGCCCGGCGCGTTTCCCGAGCTGGCAAGACCGCCCGAACCTGCCCTACATCGCAGCCATCCTGGATGAGCTCCATCGCTGGGCGTCCGTCGCCCCAGTGGCCGCCTTCCACGCCACCAGCGAAAGCGACAGCTACCGAGGCAAGACCATCCCTGCGGGCACCACCGTCATCAACAATGTCTATCATGTCCATCACACCGACGAATACTACGGCCACCACGAGCGGTTCATGCCCGAACGATACCTCTCAGAAAAAGACCCTAGGTACAGGCCATGCATGGCACACGCGCCCATCCACTATGGCTTCGGCGTCGGGAGGAGAGAATGCCCCGGCAAACATGTCGCCGATGCCTCGCTCTTCATCATCATCAGCCGCATGCTGTGGGCGTTCGATATCCAACAGGGCCCGCATCCGCCTCCCAGTGACGAAGTCGGTAAGTGAAAAGACTTCATTCCGAATGTGCAACACGCGGGTATGTACTGACTCTGACCTGCGTGCGTGCGTTCTAGTGGGCGGTTTTCCAGTCATCTTGCCGGCAAAGTTCGCGTGCAGCATCAGGCCCCGGAGCGCCAAGGTTGCGGAGATTATTCGTGCAGAAGCGGCCGTCCAGGATGCATCGGCGCAGCTGGAAGATGCGTCGCAGTACGAGGAGCAGCTTTTGGAGGTTCTGGAGCAGAAGCACCGAAGCGGGAAACGGTCTGCGGGCAAAGTAACCTCTTAGCATTGACGAGTAATTGTGCACGTCTGCGCAGTTGGTGGTGAGGGCTCTGACTAGCGTGTGTTGCGGGTATGGAAAAGTGACGGGACCGCATGTCTTACGGTCAAGATGGGCTCGATGGTCCAAGTAAGCTATGACAACCACGAATGCGCCGTGGGAGGTGGGATGTTCGCCAAAGGCCGGCAAGGACACTCTTACATACACTCTCGTGACCCTCAGGCCAGCTGCTGACACGGAGGTAAGACGACAGGGTCGACTGTCTGCGGTCAATCGTCATTCCGCAGGGTTGTGCTGCCTGAATTCGCGACTCTTTTGCTGACATTCGGGCCTCGGGGCCTCGCATCTATTCTACGTATTATGTAGGACGTAGCATGTATCCGTCAAGGCCGTTACGCGTCGGGAAGTAAGCACATACTTTGTCGGATCGGATCAAAACATCGCATGATATATTATCTATATCTATATAGACATACATACGTGGATACACTCTAGGTCAGTCCCTCGAGAGTCCCAAATACCCAGTTGGTGCACCCCATCTCATTGGAATAACCATCAACCCAACCAAGCAAGCAATTATGGCTCCTGTCTGGGAAGACATCGACGTATCTACTCTAGTGTCGCATCTAGGATCCATCTAACTTGCTCGCAGTCTCGGGCTCTCGAATCTCGCTTCTTCCAAAACTCATACATATATGCAACGGCCAAGAAGATAAGTGACAACCGCTCCGAACTATATTGACAAAAGCCAGAGAAGAGCCAAAGCACGCTCACGCATGGATCTACTCCCTACTCCTGCTTCTTCGGCGCAACACCCTCGCGCTCGGGACTTGCACTCCCACTCCCACTCTCGCTGCCGGGGCCGGACCCGGAGAAGGGCACGCCCTGGTGCACGCCATGGGGCACAAACCCGCCGAAGCTACCACCGCCGCGCTCAAAATCCTCCCACGGCGCATCGCTCAGGTACTTGAAGTCCAGGCCCTTCTGCTCGTCCTCCTCGTTGACGCGCAAATGGCAGCCGGGGATCTTGTTGATGATGAACAGTAAAATGCAGCTGACGACGAAGCTCCACGCCGCGCACGTCGTCGCCGCGGCGAGCTGGTAGCCGAGCTGGATCCAGTTGTGTTCCCACCAGCCGCCGGCGTAGGTCGTGCCGGAGACGCCGTCCAGGGCCGGAACCCAGCTGGCGGCGAAGAAGCCCGTGAGGATGTCCCCCACGAAGCCGCCGACGCCGTGGAGCGCGAAGATGTCGAGGCCCTCGTCAATCGAGATGAGGTATTTGTACTTGTTGGTGTAGAAGCAGCAGATGGACGTGAGGAGGCCGACGAGGGCGGCGACGTAGACGGGCACTGCGTGTGGGGAATGTGTTAGTCAGGCGTGGGTCCAACCTATGGCAAAGGCCCAAGGGATCTTTTAAAGCCGAACTCACCGAAACCGGCGGCAGGAGTGATTCCCACGAGCCCAGAAATGATGCCAGAGCAGAAGCCGATGATGCTGAACTTCTTGGTGTAGAAGTATTCGAGGAGGGTCCAGCCGATACCGCCTCCACAGGCGGCCAGGTTGGTGTTGATGACGACGTAGATGGATCGCATGGATAGGTTGGCCGTGCTGGCGCCTGGCAGACGGAGTCAGTACGGACAGCTGATTGATATCATGCCTTTGAACGGTAGTGGGGTTCGACGTGGTAAAAACTGACCGTTGAACGCAAACCAGCCGAACCAAATGAAACAGGTGCCAATGCCCACGAGGAATGGATTGTGCGGCTTGAAATGGATGATCTTCTGCCTCTCACCGGCAGAATGGTCGCTTAGCCTAGGACCGAGCATCAGGCTCCACGCCAGAGCACTGAAGCCGCTGGCGATGTGCACGGGACCCGAGCCAGCGAAATCATAGACGCCAAGCTGATATAGCCAGCCGTTGGGATTCCACTCAAAATACGCGAGGATGTAGTAGACGAACGTCGTCCAGCACAGAAGGAAAAGCATGGATGGCCAGAGGCGACCACGCTCAAGCATGGCACCCGCCAAGATCATGGCCGTCGCGGTGACGAACGTGAATCCGAAGCATGCGTACAGAAGGTCGGGAATGTCCGAGTTGGCGAGCGACGGCTGGGCGAGCACGTTGTGCAGACCCGCCAGGCTAACATTGCCGAGCATCGGGTTGGTCGTGTGCGATTGATACAGTGAGTACCCGTAGATCCAGAATTGAATGCCGCATGCAGAGGCGCAGAACAGAGATTGGAAGATCATGGTCAAGGCAGCTTTGCGGCGATGCATGCCTGCATAAAGGTAGCCACTGGGTGGCATGTTAGACAAACCGCGCGTGCAAATTGACGGTGTGGCGGCCTTACATGGCGGGCGTGATCTGCCAGCATAGGATTGTGCAGACAAGGATCCAACACAAGTCGCCCTGGATGCGTGGGAAGCACAAGGTTAGCAAGGAGAAACGTGTCGGCCGGCTGTCGTTCTTCGCTGCCACATACCTTGTCATATGGGGCGTTGAGGTCCTGCGTGATGGGGTTACCACCCTGTGGGTCGACACTGTACTCGGGCCATTCTGTGATGGGCACAGGCGCGTCTGCCATGGCGAGGCGTTGGGTTATCGAGCAGTATTCTAATTGCTGAAAGATGCCTTTTGGTGACAAAGGCAGCGGTGCCCAAGACCAAATAGCTAGAACAAGCAAGGAGAGGGGAGACAAGAGAAAGAAAAGACTCGACAGAAAGAAGATAGCCAGGAACCCTTGCCGCCTATTTACATGCAGCAGATCGGGAGTACCTACCTCTCCCTTGTCGGGTACCATTACGTCGGACCGTTCGCCAAGTGATAGACGGAGGTTTTAATCCCAGAGAGGCAACCAAACCCTGAAGCTGTGGTGTGAAGGTGGGAGGTCCCAACGACCACGGTACTGCGCGACACCAGGATAGCCATGGTGCTAGCACCCGCGGCGCATAATTGACGGTCGCATGGCGTGAACAGGCATGAAGAACGACGGTGGGGGACGTGGCTAGGTAGTAGGCTGAAGGTTCCTGGATTCCAATCCGTGCCGGGGCGGATAACAAGTCTGCCAGCAATCTGTTACCCATGACCGGGGACTAGCTTATCTCTATGTTTAGCTTGCAGAGCCACCTCGTGGCAGACAAGACCCGCAGGCGTTCTGCTGGGCTGGACTCCGACTTCCGACACAAACTGGTAGACAGGCGATTCCGCTGAGCAAGTGAAGGGTAAAATTGAAACGTGATGGGTTGACGAGGAAGGATTCCCTTATCTGTGGAGCCGCTCCAAGCTCTGGGCATGTTCCGCTCCCACGAGGCTGAGGCACAATCGAGGGTGGAACTGGGTGGAGCGTGGTGCAGGTGGCCTCGGCGGCATTCGCCCATGAGAGGTCCAAGCCTTGGCCTGAACCTTGGCATCGGCAGCGTACCGGATGGATCTTATCGGGCTTGCGTGGCAGGTAGGACAGACCCTCCCACAGGAGCGTGTGTAAGGAGTATGTACTGGATATCCGGTGCGAGGCTGAAGAAGAGACGCTGCTGCATCTGACATCGGCATAAATTGGGCCGTCAAATATCATGTCGCCATTCACTCGGGCCTCATCACAGGACAGGACTGTCAGTATACTATGAGGAAAACCACCACAGGATATAGAGACTTTGACGGCGTTAGATGTACGGAGGAGAAGGGGGAGAGCTCGCGGAGCGGCCCTTGTGTAGGGTCCAAGAGTCGCGGCTGCCGATAGAATACCTCGGGTTCGGTGGTGGGAAAGACGCGGGAAGAGACTACTTGTATTCTTCTTTCTGCCGGAGGTGTCCTTCTGCATGGAGTGGCGTGCCATGGTCATGTTCTTGACGGTGTAGCCATCAATGGTGGAATTCCTCAGAGTAATTAAGCAACAGAGGAACAGTCGTTGCGTGGAAGATGTGAGCAACGGTGGTTTCTAATTCAGGGTCCTGTGGTAGAGGACTGGAGCATGATGTCGAGGTTCAATTGTCCCAATGCCATCGTGAGGGAACTCGTTGTATGTCATTTCGGTTCGTGTCATACATCACGGTGCCGCCATCAAAATAAACTTCTCCTGACTCCTTCCCCATGTTGGAGTGTCAATGACCATGATGCTTCCCAGACCAGCCGCGAATCCCGCATTCCATCATCCGGTCGATCGCCGAGGACAGTGGATGCCTGACACGCTGAGCTAGCAGTGCTCGAGGCCAGCCGCGTCTCATAACAGGCTCTGTTCAGCAGCGTGATCTCGTAGTCGAAAATCAGGGCCATGAATAAATGGACAGAAATGGGATTTGGAGTCATTTACTCCGCCGTATGTTTAGGCAGTGTTCGGTTCACGTATAGGGTCTTGTTGCGCAATTTCGTTTGACCATGACCTTGAGCCCACGTGAAATGCCGGTTTTTGCGTGACGGGCAACACATGCAACCCATCCTTGTGCGGCGACTTCTCCTGAAGATTGAAATGGAAGTGCCGCGAGAATGTTGGATCAGTCATATCAAAAGCCGCTTCTCCTCGCATTAGCTGGAGCGGTCGCGCTGACTGCGGCCCTCTACACGTACCAGCAATATGCGAACCAGCCGACAAGCACCTCCCTCCACCGAAGCAATGCCATCCGCCGTCCTAGAAGGAGAAGCAGTTGGCGCAGTGATTACCAGCCAATCCTTGACTATGATCCTATCGATGAAGCCATCAAACATTTACATCACCGAAACGAAGCCAGGCAGGGTTACGGACAATATAACAATCCTTTCTTCTTTCCGTCGATTGAACCCACCGAGTTGACCTTGATCCCCTGCAACCTCACCTCCATATACGTATTCCTGGTGGAATGTTGCGAGCACAGTCTATCGGGCATGCAGCAAGAATGCCTCCTCTTCCACATCCATGCCATGTTCGTCCAGAACTTCGTCAAGGAAGAGTTCCCTGAAGGTTTCGTGTTCGGAGAGGATGCTTCAATATTGGCCAGGGCTCTGGAGAATCTTGGAGTCAAACCTGAGATTGTCTATGTCGTGGCGAAAGCCTTTGACCAAGCACAAGTTGCCTTCAAAACCAAGCACGATCCGTTCAGCGTCGCTGAGCATAGTCCCAGAGTCAACCCGACCGAGATCGATGGCGCCGTGGAGACCATCGGCATAGCAGCCCGTGATGTCCTGCAGGCGTTGGCTGACGCGAACGACAACAGCGACGACGACTCTGATAGTGAGATCTCGTTTGGTAACCATGAGGAAGATCCTGGAGGAAGCCAGAACATGCTGGATCTTCTCTATCACATTGCTGGCGAGCAGGCACGCCGGGAAGGCTACATACACCGTGGCGTTGAGTGCAATAGCTGTGGAGTTCACCCTATAGCAGGCATCCGTTACCACTGCGCAAACTGTTTCGACTTCGATCTCTGCGAGAGCTGCGAGGCTAGCTCTTCGCACGTGAAAAGCCACGTTTTCTACAAGATTCGGATCCCGGCTCCTTCGAGAGGAAATGTGAAGCAGGTCACTCCGAAATGGTACCCAGGAAACCCGGATGCGTTTGCCACGTCGTTACCGTCAAGCGCGTCGAAGCCGCTGTTGGAAAAGACCGGCATGGAACGCACAGAGATGGATGCGCTCTACGAGCAGTTCAAATGCGTTGCAAGTCAGTATTGTACGACCGATCCTACTGGCCTCGGAGTTGCCATTGATCGCAAGGACTTCGACGCGTACTTCATCTCTTCGAATGGTGACCGGGGCTCTCCAGCAAATCTGATCTACGACAGGATTTTTGCGTTCTATGATACGAATAGGGATGGCCTCATTACCTTTGACGAATACATCCGCGGCCTCTCTCGCCTGCAAGACAAGGGCCGATATGCCAGACTGATGCGTATTTTTGAAGGGTACGATCTGGACGGAGACGGATACGTGGACCGCAAAGATTTTCTTCGCATGCTGCGTGCATATTACGCGTTGAGCAAGGAGCTGAGCCGCGAAATGATCAACACCCAAGGTGATTTTGGCTTCAATGAGGAAGAGCTCCGTGAGGTCGCTCAGGGCAGCCAGCCGATCAGCGCCGTTTTCGGCGGGGGTCATCTGCACGGCCACGAGTCAAGGACAGGGCAGGATAAAGAACGTCAACCCAATGGAGATCTTCAACCCGTCAACGATTCGGCAGGTGTACTGCAGAATGATACCGATATGCGGGGGGATCGTGCTCGGGCTATTGGAAACGCCGCACTTGGCGATCGCAGTCGAGCTCACCCTTTCAGATCGTTTAGAAGAGAGGCTCCCGAGGATGAAGCCGTCATGATGGTGCCGAACTACGGTGACTATACAGGCTCCGGCATGGAGCAAGATGAGGTACCCGAAGAAGAAATGACTGGTCCCGATGCACCTCTCCAAACCTATCCTTGGCCCCCGCTTTTGCCCCCTACGCCCGATGATATCACCAATGCACTGGGACACCAAGTGCCCCTGGAGGATATAACAGACCCGGTCGATAGGACAAGAGTGCTCTACGCCCAGTCACAGCGTCTTGATGCTGCAGCAGACCACGTCGAGGAAGCCGCACGGGCACATGCGGTCGAAGAAAGATGGCGGCGACGCCGATTTTATCTCGACGACGAAGAAGGAATGACAAAACCTCCAGGGTACACTGAGCCGGATAGTTCAGAGGAAGAGGATGATCCAACGGCGGCCAAGAAACACAGACGGAACGGCGCAAGCCCGAGAAGAGCATCCATGGCGTCGCGGTCTTCGTCGAAAGTCCGTTTCGACGATAGTGCTATCGACACGGACTATGAGACGCGTTCCAACGCTTCGTCCCGAAGTATACCGGTGAATGAGAGATGGGGCGGATATGAGCTCAGCCAGGCTGAAGCAGATATCGGCAAGGACATCCTTTACCAGGCTGTCCAACAAGGCTTCAACCAGCTTCTGGATGCCTTGTTCAAGGACAAGGAGGACGAGTACATGGCGGCACAGGAGACACGCAACGATCGTCGTCTTGCTAGAAAGGAAATAAACCAGTTTGGCCGAATCCTCGATCTCAACAAAGATAGGGACGATCCGCTGCAAGCAGCGGAGCTTGAGGCCCTGAGGCGGAAAAATGACAAGGAAGAAGCGCGGCATATGGCTATTGGCAATACAGATCACCTTCGAAACCCTATTGCCATGATGCTGGCAGAGGAAGGTTTGGCGGAAGAAGGTCTTGAAGAACCTCATGAATTTACAGGTGGCTCCCTCGATCAACCGCGCGAGGCAGTATCCGCGACTCTCCCGATGCAAGACGTTGCGGAAGAGGAGGTATACCGCGACCCTACGCTGCCACAGTTTCGACCCGACGAAGCGGCACTTGTCACTGCCACTCCGAGCTCAACGGAGGATTCCAAGTACGAAGAGCATCCGCACACTCCGCTTGAAAGCCCCAGTGGAGCTGAAGATGATGGACCAGGACCAGCGATCTCAACTCGGCCCCGCACGCAAACTGGATCTGGAAAGCCACCCGAGCGAACCAGTCTGCTCGGGGGTAATCTCGTCGAAGCACGAGATTTGTACTATCTGTGGCAGAAACACGACCTGATTGACGCGGAAGCGAATCGCCGCGGTGGAGGTGGCAAGCTCAGCTTCTCGGAGTTTCGACGCAAGATGGTGCCGGAGTGTGAAGTGAGCAAGGCCTTGGGTGACAAGAACAAGGGGAAAGAGGCCAAGGAGCCGGAGACGTGGGAGAGCAGTGCTGACATGGGCAACCTGGCGTTCGTGGGCACTTGGTTGGAGATGGCCAGTTTTTAGTGAAGCGACCACTCCGACCATCTGAGAGCACGAGCGGCTTTGGCCTGGCTTCAGTTCGGACTTGTACTACTATTCAAGGCATGAGGTTATGACACGACACAGCATGATACCCGGTTCAGGAAAAGGCGCTTAGTAATGGCCAATAGGTTGTACAACTAGACGGCACGGATATATCACTGCAAGGCTGTGGGAGGTTGTTCTGTCCACTGTGAACTTTCAAACATCACGTCTTGTCTCTATGGAGTAATCCGGCTGTTGATAAGATCATCGGCTTCTCTTCGGCTAAACCTCCACTCCTCGGTTAAGTTGCCACGCCTCGGCTGAGTTGCCCGACTGGAGTATTTTCACCAACAGCGCATATACTGTACGTCAAACTGCAACTCACTGTATGAGGCATGAGTGACAGAATCCCAATCAATGACCTCTCCGTGCCTCTTCAATCCCATTGCGCGCCGTAACTGAGTCAACGCCATGTATCTCGCGCCGCTCTGGGCATAGTACAGACGCATGTCAGCACGCTGACCAGGCGTCTTGCGCTTGAAACCAGGGGATGCAAAAATGTGAAACACTCAGATCGGTGCTCGAGTGTTTCAGGATGCTAGATGGACTTCAACGCCCAGTCTTCCGTATCAGCTTCGATCGTTGATGTTCAGTGCTTTTCAGCGTTGCGTTCCTTTGCGTCCTGGTAAAATGATAATGAAGCTCAGTGCTGTCTCGTTAGGTGTGCTTTCTCTGTGTGTTTCACTTGTTGCTTCGAGCCAGCAGGATGAATTCCACCCATCAAGCGAGACCTTCGCAGAGCCTGAGCACCATCATCTTGAACTTCCCGCATCAAATGAGGCCCCTAAGCACGATCATGTTCAGCTACCGTCCGGCCAAGCGCAGGAGGACCCGACCTCATATTTCCCATGGACGCACAAACCAATCTGCACAAAGGACGCCGATGATGACCCCGAAGACCAATTCTGCGTCTACACCAACGCATCCTTCAGCAACGGACGAGGCATCTCCATTTTCACGCGACCGGCAATCGCACGGGAATTCGCATCGCTGCCACCATTCCAGGACCCTACAGCACTGTCCTCAAACGGGATCAACCTCGACTCTAACGCGAAAGATCTGCCATGGTACACGGCGTTCGTCCCAGGCAAGGGAATGGGCATGTTTGCCTCGCGACCGCTCCACCGTGGCGATCTAATTACCGCGTACACGCCCTGTCTCGTCACGCATATCGGGGACCTCCGCTTCACCGACGATCGCGAGCGAATGCTCAGGCTAGCGATTAATCAACTCCCGCCAGCAACCACGGATGCTTATCTCGCTCTGGCCAAGGTGTACGACGAGCCGGAAGTCGTGGCGCAGGATATCCTGAAAGCGAACGGCTTTGAGATGAAACTCGGCGACTTGATGCATCCGGCCGTGTTTCCAGAGGCCTCGAGGTATAACCATGCCTGCGCGCCAAAGTACGCCTCACCCTCTTCATCCCCATCCTGCCAGCTTTCTTTCCCAGCGGTCTCTCATCCAGACACGACTAACACCGTGTTTACTGCAGCGCGCAATACTTCCTCTCCGCCAGCATGTTGACACACTACGTGCACGCCGTGCGCCCCATCGCAAAGGACGAGGAAATCACCATCTCGTACGCGCCGCCCCTGCGTCTGCGCGCCGACCGGCAGAACCACATGCAGTCGATCTTCCAGTTCACGTGTACCTGCGAGCGCTGCTCCTCTGGCTCCCACACGGCCCGGGAATCCGACAAGGCGACCCAAGACATCGTCAATTTACAGTGGGAGCTTGACCGTTCTCAACGAGGGGACAGGGACGCGCCTGGGCCCGGCGGCGTCAGTGTCAAGAAAGCCGAACAGCTCGTCGCCTTGTACAAGGCCGAAGGGCTGGATGGGTTCCTCGACACCGCGTACGGCTACGCCGCGCTGGCGTATAACACCGTGGGCGGCACGAGGGGGGCCATGAAGTACGCCAGGTTGGCGGCCGAGGCTACGCGGCTCAGGTACCCCGTTGACGAAGAAGGGGTGGGGCTGCAGAAAGTCAGGGAGTGGGAAGGCATGGCGCGCGATCCGATGGGCCATCCGAGTTGGAGGAATAGCAATAGGAATAGGCAGAAGCGGTCGACATGAAATCGTGATACGCGGCTTTTGAAATGAATGAATGGATGGATGGATAGGACGGCACTAATAATCTATGTGGTGTGGAGTGGAGCACGTCTTCCTCCTTTGCCTTTCCTTCCCTGTCCGACAAGCTGAGATGAGATGGGGTGTGAGATTGTGGAATTGCCCGTGTCTTGAACCAGGTGTCTTTCCTGGAATCAAGATAGATGACAAAGTGAAGACAGCTTGCTAGCTCCATGCCTCTGCAGCGATCTAGTGTAAATCTAGGGAAGCCATGGTTGGTCGAAGCAGATGAAGCAAGAAGCCGACCGTGTCGGAGGATGATAGATGGACAGAGAAGTCACGTAGCCACAAAAACCTGACTTGTGAATCAGATCTTGGCGAGGAGACGTCCCTCCGAGGTCTCTTCCCCGGTACTGTGCTCCGCCTGATGCTCCGTGCCGCCCTGGTTGATGATCCACCGCCTGAGGCATTCGACGAACTTGTCTACCTGGGCCATTGTGTTGCCTGCGTGCAGACAGACTCTGACGCGCTCAGTACCGGCGGGGACGGTCGGCGCGACCACCGGACGCACGATGAACCCGGCCGACTGGCAGTGCGAGGCCAGCGAGCGGGGCTGCGGACTGAGGATGGCGAAGATGGGCGATTCCGGGCATGTCGTCGGCAGTGTCGCCACAGGCTTGCCGTTGCCAGTTGGGTCGGCAATACTCGAGGCTAGAGCCGTCAGGGACTGCAAGCGGGCGTAGAGATGGTCTATCAGATGGTATAGATTGGCGGCGAGCTGTGGGGGAGGACAACGTCAGTTGAGAGGCACAGATGGTGGCGTAACCTGCTTACGAAGTTGGCTTTCCCCATTCTGAGCCAGTCATAGGCGTTCTGTATGGCTAGAAGATTAGGGTGCGACATGAAGGTCGTGTAGATTAGCGGTCGAGCATAGTTGATCAGGTAGAGGCGGATGATGGGGGAGCTGAGGATGATCGCTTGAGCATCGTCCCGTCAGTCAATAGCTTGCTTCAGAGCACCAAAGCACAAGACACTCACCGCCATTGGACGCAAGAGCTTTGCCAAACGTATGCAACCGGATGGAGACTCGCTTTTCCAGCCCGAGTTCGCAGACGCGTCCAGACCCGTTGGGGCCGTATATGCCCGTCGCGTGTGCCTCGTCGACCACAAGATGTGCGTTGTTGTGGGGCAGTACTGCTTCCACCAAGTCGACGATCTCCGTCAGGGGCGCGAGGTCACCCTCCATGCTATAGACCGTCTCTAGAGCCACGAATATCGTCTGATTGGCGTGGGAGGAGGAGGAGGAGGAGGAGGAAAATCGCTGCAGTATGCGACCCAAGTCCTGGACATCGTTGTGTTTGAATGGAATCTGCTGTTTAGCCCTACACTGCCTCATCCCATCATGCACACTGGCGTGGATGAGCTCGTCGTAGATGATGACATCGCCCTGCTGAGGGAGAAAGGCAAAAATGCTGACGTTGGCGTCAAACCCAGAGTTCGTCAGGAGCCCGGCTTCAGCCCCATGAAAAGCCGCGATGTCGCGCTCGAGGGTCTCTGCCAATTCAGAGTTGCCATCAAGAAGCCTCGAGCCAGTCGATCCCAATGGCGTTCTGCGTTTGTTCAGCAGAGCCAAGTAGTCATTCTGGAACTCCTCATTGCTCGACAGCGACAGGAAATCATTGGAAGAGAAGTCCACTGAGCCTGGCGGACTGGATTTCAAGCTTCGAAGCTTTGACTGGGCGTGGCGCTTTTCCAAGAGAGCAGAAAGACGCCGTTCCAAGGGTGAAGGTGGTGGTGACATGGTCGACCCGGGCATTATTAATTAGGCGCTCATCGATGTCGAAATGTCCCACTCATAATAGCTCGACTCATCCACCGGACTGGGCACGAACAGGTAGCATTGGCAGCCACAATCCTTCTACCAAATGCTTCAACTTCGGTCAAAAGGCAGCACAACCGCGGTTCAGGGAAAGTGTTGAGCCACCAAGCTCGACGCTCGTCGCCGCCCTAGCGAGAAAACTCTCCAATGCGGAAGTCAAAACGAAAATAAGCTCGCCGGCGGCCAATCGCAAACTGGCGATTTCCTCGGAAGTGCAAAAGCGGGTCTTTGCTTCCTTGGCAGGCACGAAAACGCTTCGGCGTGCGAGCACGAGTCGGCATACTCTTCTTATCGCTTTGCTTCACCCTCCCTTCATACCCTGGGTGAGCACGCGTGATGCTGTGGCGCGACTTGCGGGCATGGCAGGTCTTTGGTGCCAACACGAATGTCGGCAAGACCATTGTCTCGACGTTATTGTGCCGGGCTCTACAGAACCGTCCCGAGAGCCGTGTGCCGACGCTTTATTTGAAGCCCGTGTCGACAGGCCCTGAGAACGAGGCCGATGTCGGGTAAGTCTATCGAGCGCTGACGGGAAGCATCTGCTGAGTTGACCGGCGAGTGCTCTAGACACATTGGTACTTTTGTGCCCGGCGTTGTGTCCAAGAACATCTCACAGTTTTCGCGGCCACTAAGCCCTCATCTGGCGGCTGAATTGGACAAGGATTCGTCGGTACCTAGAACAGATGCATCGATCCTTTCCAGGGTGAAGGCTCTCCTCACGGACCACGCTACAGCAGGAGGCAGGTATGCGCTTGTGGAAACTGCAGGAGGCGTCCTGTCCCCAGGCCCATCTGGCACCGTTCAAGCAGACCTCTATCGACCGTTAAGGCTGCCGACGATCCTTGTCGGAGACAGTAAGCTTGGGGGCATAGCGACAACAATATCCGCATTCGAGTCCTTGCACATTCGTGGTTATGATGTCGACTCGATCGTCCTGTTCCACGACCCGGACTGGGGAAACTTTGAATACCTCGAGAAGTATTTCCACAACCACGACATCCCGACATTTGCTCTGCCCCAACCCCCACCAAAGCATGAGAGTCCCTTGGCAGACAAAGACCAGCTCCGCAGCTACTATGCTGAGACCGCCAATGGGCGTCCCATTAGCGCCCTCTTCGACCACCTGAGAAACAAACACTACCGTCGCGTCGCGCAGGTGATATCCATGCTCAGCCACGCCGAGCAGGTCATCTGGCATCCATTCCGCCAGCATGGCATTTCGCACAACATCACTGCCATCGACTCTGCATACGATGATCACTTCCAGACGTACATTGCCAAGGATACACCAGAGCAGGACTTCGCCCCAGGCTTAACGTCACTCGAAGCCGAAAACAAGCTGCCGCAGTCTCTTCTCACGCCTCTTTTTGATGCATCAGCCTCGTGGTGGACTCAGGGTCTAGGGCACGGCAATCCCAATATCGCGTTAACGGCCGCCCACGCAGCGGGTCGTTACGGCCACGTCATGTTCGCGCACTCGGTCCATCAACCGGCCCTCGATATCTCGTACAGTCTCCTCGAAACCTTGCAGAACCCCCGTCTCAGCCGAATTTTTTTCACCGACAACGGCAGCACCGGCATGGAAGTAGCTGTCAAGATGGCCCTGCGCGCTTCCTGCGCACGATACGGCTGGACCAAGGACGACGTGGCCGACAAGCCTGTGGAGATCCTAGGCCTAAAAGGCAGTTACCACGGTGACACGATTGGCGTCATGAACTGCAGCGAACCGTCCGTCTTCAATGAGAAAGTCGACTGGCATCGTCCCTGGGGCCACTGGTTCGACCCGCCGTCCTTGCTCGTCAAGAAGGGGAAATGGGTACTCACAGTCCCGGCGGAGACGTCGCCCTCAGGCACGAATGAGACGCAAACATTTGATTCAATACACTCCATCTTCGACTTTGACGCCCGTGCAGACGATGCCATCCGCTACAGAGACTACATCACGCGCACCCTCGAAACACTGGTGCGCGACCAACACCGCCGCTTTGGCGCGCTGGTCCTGGAGCCACTCCTCATGGGCGCGGGCGGCATGATCTTCGTGGACCCGCTATTTCAACGCACCTTGATCAAGACCATCCGCGAAAATCCCGGCTTGATCCACCCCGACGAGACACGCGACACTAGTGTCCTTGAATCCCAGCGCGACAACTCTACAGACTGGTCCGGCGTGCCCGTCATCGCCGACGAAGTCTTCACAGGCCTGTACCGCCTCGGGCGCGCGAGTTCCAGTTCCTTCCTGTCCAACTCCAAGCACGTAGACGAAACACAAACAGTACTCAACGCCTCGCAGCCGTCCGTCCACATGTCCATCGCGCCCGACATCTCCGTGCACGCCAAACTCCTAACAGCCGGTCTGTTACCACTGGCCATCACCACGGCCTCGGACCCCATCTTCCAGACTTTTCTATCTGCAGACAAAACCGACGCCCTGCTCCACGGCCACAGCTACACCGCCCACCCCGTAGGCTGCAGCGTCGCGACCAAGGCGCTGGCCGAATATCGCAGGCTGGACGCCCCGCCATCATCAAACCCAGCTCCATCGTCTTCGTCATGGCAACCCTTCAAGGAAGCTTGGTCCCAAGTGGACTCTCGCTCTCCCTCTCACTCTGACTCTGCACCGGCACAACCACAACCCACAGATCAAACCACATCGTCCTTACCAACACATGCACCACCGCAGATATATTCCTTCTTCCCACCGACCTTGGTCGATACCCTCTCCCACCACCCCCGCCTCTCAGGCTGTTTCGCCCTCGGCACGGTGCTTGTCCTGAAGATGGCCCCGAGAGATGGCCAGGCAGGGTATACCTCCACCGCGGCCGCCGCGCTGCAAGAGCGGCTCTTGACGCTGCTGGACGAGGAAGGGTGCGGAATCCACTCGCGCGTGCTTGGGGATGTGATTTACTTTATGGCGAGTTTGACGACGAGTCCGGAGCAGATTGCGAGGGTGGGGCGGATGATTTTGAGGGGCTTGGAAATGGAGGTCGGGAAGTAAGGGTAGATGGAGATGATTGCAATGGAGGGCTGGGGCTGGAAGTGTCCAGACGAATGGAGGGTGATCTATCGGACGGATAATGTTGTAGAACTGGGTCGACCTGTACAGTGCGCATCCTTGGCAACCCAGTTGAACGCATCAGAGCTGTAGACAAATCGCCAAGTGGACCAAAGGTGTGTCGACGACCAAGATAGATGCTGGACCGTCAACTCACGCATAAAAACCTTGATACAGTCTACCTTCGGTCTAACAGTCGTCTGTTTGATCCTGTGGTGGTATCAATACGGTAAAAATACTCGGTCTAGCTACCTCTGCCAAACGAGCCCGCAATTCTTCCGTCTTTGGCTCTGCGCATGGACCCCCAAGAACCTATTCGACAAGCAGAGCGACAGTAGCCACATCCGGAGTATCCATATCCAGTCCGGGGTAGACGCACGTTCAATCAAGAAATTCCTTGGCCTGCCCACTTGACGTGTCTGTCATCTTCCTCCTTCTCTTTGTGCTTCGAAGTTTGGCTACTGGGCTCGTCATGCTTTTGCTCTGCTCCTGCGTCATCGTAGACGAGACCATTGTCGCCAACATACCGTCTCTGGACTTGATAACCACGCGGAGCATAGATATTGTAGAGTTCGGCCATGCCGCTTCGATAGAAAATCCACACAGCAAGTCCACCATTCTCGCTCTGAACTGCAAGATCGTCAACGACCCGACCATCAACGGTGCTAATGATACACCCCTCCAGTTGCAACGGTTGATTAGCGACTCCGCCATACGTGTCTGTCTCTTCGTCAGTTGACGCGTCGCCCACTGTGTCATCCTCATGACTGGCCATCAGCGAGTCCATGATCAGGTCACTCTGCCCCAGAACCCCAGAGTTCTCGTCCCACGCATCAGTGGTGCCCTTCTGGTCCCGGATTTGGTTGAAAATATCCGCCGGGACAGTGTACAGAACAACCCGGTCGTCATCGTACACCACGACAAGCCTCAGCCCCCAGTCGAGTGCCTTGCCAACGGCATAGCGGAGAGGAGAAGACTTTCGTTGGCCTCTTTCTCGCTCGGGTGGAATGAACATAATCTTCCGGACAAGTCTGGTCGGACCTCCTAGTGGTGCATCGCTACCGAGACAGACTAGTCCGCTGCCAGGGTCAGTGAAAATCAGGTGGTATCCATCGCTAACGGGGAGGGCACAGAAGTGATCACAATCGACAGTCCGTAAGACTCCTTGAACCTCGTCCGTCCTCAAAGAACCCTCGACGCTAGAAGCTCTGTCCGGATCACCCGCTGGCGAGGGAAATGAGAGGTTACCGAAGAACAGTCTCGTCAAGCTCTGCCGTCGGCCAAAAGCAGCCGGCGTGGGCCAGTACTTCCACTTTGCTGGGGTACTGTCACTCCTTGCCAGCTGTGGAGCGATCGGACCAGTCGCACTGGAAATCAGCCGCAGCTTCTTCCTTGAGTCAACCCCTGCACGCTGAGGCAGGAAGTAGAGATAATCGCTCGGCGCAGCGAGTGGGAACCAACGGTTCAAATCGCCTCCGGTCAAGGCGTCGACCCAGTAAAGCTCCAAGCCCATTCTGCACCCGTAGGCAACGCATTTCCGATTGGGACAGATTGCCACACTCCTTGGCTGGTCGTCCATGCTACCCAGATTGGTATAAATGGCAGTTGCCCGTGCCTCGATGGGTATGCCTAACCGGCGAGTAAGTTGCTCAGCTTGCACCCCTGCATTGATCTCTGCATTGATCTCTCCAGGACTTTCCGCAGTGCGGACATGCTCGTCCTACAAGAATGGAGTATTCGGCATAGCGTCGGGAGGAGAGGTGGTGCTGGGCATTGTGACTGACGCGAGACTGTAGTCCGACGACTCAATAGCCACCATCTCTGGAGATTGTACTGGTAGGCTGATACCGGATGAGCTGAGGTCCTGGAAGCTGACTGAGCTTTGGACATGCGCCTGCATACCCAGATTCATTGGTTCGCCCGAGTTGTTGCGGTATCGTTCCTGGATGTATCTGCCACGCAGGTCCCAGAGCATGCCGATTCGACCAGCGAGAAGAGCAGCCACTGAGTAGCGTTCGGAACTGGTGTCCATACTGACTTTAAGGACATCAAGACCAGTCGCGAGCCTGACAAGTGGATCCGGTGAATGATCTGGATCTGACAGATTGTAGACAGAGATATCACCACCACATACTACAAGAACAAATTTGCCACAGGCTGATACTGTGAATCTTGACTTCGTGGACGAGGAACTCGTAGTCAGGATCTTGGAAAAGTCAATTGTTTCAATAATTGACAGTCTCCGCGATAGATCGAGGTTTTCTGAAAAGAAATCACCTCGCCAATGGGGCGAAAGTCGAGATTCTGTCGCAAGCCTTTTGGAGCAAAGCCACTCTTTGTCAATGGCTCTGTTAGCGTCGGAATCCATTGGACCGAGCTGACTCTCCCAGCTGCGTCTCTTCGCGACCATGCTGCCTTGCATACGCCCGATATCCGCGTCCAAAGTAGATCGACAGCCGCAGCCTCTCAGCATGGGCTCCAAAACTTTGCAGTCCAGGCCTGCTAAGAACCACGGCTTGCAGGTGTGTCGGGCGGCATCAAAATCCCAAGGCGCTAGGTAGGAGAAGATCTGTTTGAGTACTTCTCTCGGAACCCGGTAGGCTCCGGGAAAATTGGGCTGTGGGAGGGTTGCGTGCCATTGACGGCAGACTGATCGCAAATTTTTGTAGTCGTTGAACGACAAGTAGCTGAGCACAGATTCGACGACCTGTTGAGGGAGGAAGATGTCCAGGTTCGCTCCAACAAGGCTGTATCTCCGTGAGGGAGCAGATGTTGATGGCTGGCGAGTCCACGCAGTCATATAAGTCTCGTCATCACTGTCTGTGAGTGCCTGGACGTCTTCGTCGGACCTGGCGAAATATTGAAGTCTTGCCAATGTGTCACGGTGTCCTGCAAAGGCATTCGGTCGCAGGTAGACGGTACCTTCAGAAGCGCTGGACGTCTTTCTCGATGGAGATTCTTCGACGTGAAAGGGATTTGTGAAGTCGTCACGTTCTCTGCGACGAGCAGCCTCTCTCCAATTCAGGTGTTCGTCGGACAAGAAGTGGACCACTGAAGGTCGAAACGGCCGGAGGGAGGGGACCTTAAGATCAGAAACGCTCGCAGACCGGCTGATTGTTGCCGCCAGTGTTTCATCCGGTTCGTCATGAGCACCGTCAAAGCTGTACAGAGTGCTCGGGCGGACCTGCTCTGGCTGATAGAACAAGCGGAGAGACGATCTCGTGGATGAACTAGCGATGCACGGCCAGATGCCAACAATGACGCCAGGTGGGATGCTAGTAACGCCGGGATGAGAGGGAGATTGGGACGAGACCAAGGCGAGAGAAGATCCCTTCAATTGCTGACTCTGTTGGGTCATTGACATGCTGCCCGCACGGTCAAATGTCAGAGCTGCATGAACAGCAGAAGTCTCCAGCATGTACATGGTCGAGAAGGACTTTTGCGTCGGAACAACAACCTGCTCTCCATCTTGCCATTCAGGTGTACAACCGCTGTCCTCCTCTGGTTGGCGTTTGCGATCCGAGCGTGGCAGGGTGGTTTCGGAACAGGCGAGGCCGGGGCGAAGGTGGTACGACTCTTGCTTTACACTCTCTGGAAGGGGTCTCGAGCCCAGCTGTGCTCCTTCCCTTTGCCAAACATCCATTCGAGCTCGATATCCGGCGAAAGGAGGCTTGTGTGTGACACCGGCGATCATCTGTGGTTGGTTGGTCGGGAAGTAGTGATCGCCGGGATAGATCATTCTCAGTTGGTATCCGTCGACAGATGCAATTCCTCGAGAGACGAGGATTTCGTAAGCCAGGTCGGCGAACAGCTAGGCTGTGTAGTTAACAATGGGACTGTAAGAGGATGGGGTAGAATGCATAAGATTATGAGTAGGGATAGGATTGAAACTGAGGAAGAAGAAAGGAGCGAGATGCCGTCGTCTAGCCAGGGAGATGGACAGGTCGTAACTCCCATATCGTCCACATCCGTAATTGCATACGTTGTGATGGCAAGCCTCGGTCGGAATGACGGTGCGAAGGGCATGACAGGCGTGACCGAGCGTGGTCAGGTTGGGAAACGTGCAGCGTAGCAGATCGACCATCATGTAATGGTGAAGCACCGGTTTTCGAAATGGACAAAGTGAGGATATGTGCGCTTGGTCAGCTGTTTAGAAGCAGTTACATCAAGCTCACACATGTTACTGGGGCTATTAAGAGTCGTGTACATGGGTATCTCTGAAGAAGGACACTAATCAATCGCCCGCTTGCTATGCGTCAAAAAGTCTTGCTAGACGAATTAGTGCTCAAGTCTGACTGTGCTCCGGGCGTCCGTGACCAGGTTTCCGTATCCACAAAGTCTCCAGTGGCCGGACAAGGCTAGGGTTGATATACCGGAGACCGGTGTCGCGGCTTGTGTCGACGTCTTGGCCGTAGTCGGTATCTCTATCCCAAGCAGACTCCGGCGGCGTGGGAAGCTGGGGCGAGCTGGCACGATCAATGCTCTTAAGAGCGATGAAACGCATGAGAGGGACGTATGTGCGCTGGAAATACACAGTAAACCAAATGGTCCCAGCCAGCAATGGGGCCAAGAACACTGAGGCCGTCAAAGCTCCTCGTAACGCAAGAATGCCGGTCATGGCAACCTGGAAGAGGATCAGTCCTGTGATGATGCGGTTGCATATCATGGGCCAAGCCCGCCCGGTCGAGTGCTGACGATGTTCCATGGCGTAGAGTAGCTGGTACTTGTAGATGAAACCACCGATGAGGAAGTACACCAAGCCGAAAAGGGTGATCATCCAGGAGGCTGGAAGAACGCTGTAGACAACACAGATGATGAATATAAGCATGGTCTGAGGTAAATAGAAGCCGTAACTGAAGATTGGCGGTTGAGACAATTCCGCATAGTCCCGGGGTGTTTTTGCCGCAATGAGATAGAAAGGGTACAATGCGACTGAGCCAAACTCGAGTAATCTGAATGGAAGGAGTCCCAAGCCCTGGAGGACAATGAGGTTGACGTAGAAGGGCGAAAGCTGTTCGAGAGCTTTAGCAACTGCGTAGGCTATTCCGGCCGTGTCGCGGAAGATGTCTCGCAAGTCCTGCCAGAAGTCGTAGAATGTGGTGGCGGAGCCCCATATCGTGAAGACGATGAACAGGTTGAAAAAGATGAAGAAGAAATTCTTGGATATCACCGACATTTCCACGTCGCCCTGAGATGTCATTCCCTGCTGATTGGCAAGCCAGTCGTATAAGTACGGAACGGCCAGAGCCAATAGCGAGAACAACAGGGTAGGGAGACCCGTTTGAACGAGGGATCGAATGATCTCGTGGTCCTCTAGTGCTTGAGCCAAGCCAGGCAGCACTTTGTCAATGACTTCGATACTGAGCAGACCAGCCAAAGGGGCGACAATGGCAGCCCACAGGATGGTTAGGAAGCCAATGAAGATCATAATGCTCCAGGACCGGGCCATGCGAATGTTGCGAGAGATATACGTGTTCTTCCAGACAACATCGGCCGGTGGAGGGGCTAGGCTGGCAAGGAGTTCTCCTGGCTTAGGGCTTAGAATGGCTTGCACAGCCATTTGACTGGCTGCGGTAGATTCCATGGTGACAAAGGCTAATGGAGTCGGCTTGAACTCGGTCGACCTCAATGCATGTATCTTTTCGTCCATGACCCGTAGCTTTTCCTCGAAATAATCGATAGCATCAACCTTCCTGCCGTAAAGCTTGAGCGGACCGTATCGGATAGTGTGGGTCGGCCGCGGTCTGTCGGCGGGCGTTGCATGAGCCTGTTCCATTTCCGATCTTGACAGCAGAGCTCCACTTTCTTCATCGCCGTCAATACCATTCCCCTGTCTGTGGGTGCGTCGGGAATGGCGCATTGAATGGTGATGGCCTAAGTACGACGCCCAAGACTCTTCCAATTTCCGCAGGCACGTCATGCGCTTGGCCATCAATTCATCCAGAGCCTTCCAGTTTTTGCACAGCATGACACTATCAACCTTCCCAATCTGCAGGTCTTCAATGAAGTGCTTGATTGCTTCCTCAGATCTCATCTCACTCGGTATTCCCGAAAGACGGAGGGTTCGATCGGTTATGGTAGCCTGGCTGCCGAGATAGGCTTGTCGTATGCGAATGATATTTGTTGTCTCTCTGACCAGGAGGTAGATGGCCACTCCGGTGAAAAAATACGCGAACGCCACGTACATCCATAGGTAACTGTCGTCCTTCTCGATCTTCGGCTTCTTTGGCCTTTTCGTATCGTCTTCAAAGAGGAACGTAGGGGCGATAAAGGGTGCGGTGGCATTGATGGGAGGGTAGGGTAGTTCGCCGGTAAATTTGTAGTTGACGGGCAAGATGATGGTGAGAGAGAAGAAGAGGGTCACGGAGAGGAACTTGACTGCATATCGGAAGAAGGACAGGAAAGCGTAGGCGTCAAGGCCAGCAGAGGCGAGCACTTCGGCTTCGTTGATTCTGAGCAGCACGGGAATCCATCCGAACAGCGACTTTGGTAATTCGGGAAGACGCGATGCCGCGCCCGATTGTTTCTTGCGCGCATGATATAAACTCGTCCATTTGGGTCGGAGAACCTGCAGATGTCAGCATCCACCGAGGGTATCGTAGAGTGAGGTGGGTGCATACACAGAACGAGAGGAAAGCACTCAGCCCAAAGACAACCGAGATAATCACTTGCAGGTTGAAATCGCGTTGGTTGGTGCTCTTGAACTGGTCATTCCAAGATGGGTTCTTGGAATCCCTGGCTGACATTAGGAGTCGCAGCGACCGTCACCATGAGGGAGGTTGGTAATTCTAGTTCCAGTTCCAATGCACAGACAGAACTACAACCAGCAACGAAGAGGAAGGTCTGCAAGAAGTGTCGATGTCATGATCACGTGCAGATTCTCGGCTCTTCCCGTCGTTGACTGATTCGATGCTGCATAGATCCTGGTCTGGCCAATCAACGCTCGGCTAATGACCCCGAAAATGTAGCTTCAAAGCTTTGGATTGAGAACCTCCTGCGCCAGCACCTCACCACCCGGTCACCCTTTACCACCAGCGCAAACGATCCTTGCCCTCCCCTCTGCCGCCGTCTATCGAGGGTGATACGGTTTCAAGACAAGATGTTGGCCACGTCGGCCGTCCGCAGTACCCCATTGAGGGCCGCCGCACGAACCATCGTCCGGAAGACCACAACTGTCAGTCCACATCCTCAGATCGATCATGAATTGGCCTATCTGCTGCAAGAATCGGGTCCTGTACTGACCGCCTCCCTAGCGTGCTGCGTCCTCGAGCTCAAGTGAATCCGCGTCACCTCCCTTCTGGCTCACAGCTGGTGCTTCAACGGCAACAGTAGCTGCGGTTGGCTCGGTCGCCTGGTATTATCATCTGTTTGGTCAGGATGTCTATGCCATGACTCCGGCGGAAGAAGGGTGAGCCTGGGAAGTCATCGAGGAGGAACTGGAAGCTGACAAGGCGCTCAGTCTACACCCGACGCAGTACCCGTGGGAGCACACAAAGTGGATCAAGACTTTCGATCACGCAACGTGAGAACCACCGAAGAACAGAGGGAGACAACCAACTGACTTTCTACAGCCTGCGAAGAGGTTTCCAAGTGTACCGCGAAGTTTGCGCCGCCTGCCACTCCCTGAAGCGAATCCCTTACCGGTCACTGGTCGGCACAATGATGACTGTCGATGAAGCCAAAGCAATGGCCGAGGAGAACGAATACGATACTGAGCCCAACGATGAAGGCGAGATTGAAAAACGGCCGGGGAAGCTCTCAGATTACATCCCATCACCATACAAGAACGATGAAGCCGCTCGTGCCGCCAACAATGGTGCTCTGCCTCCTGACCTATCACTTATGGTCAAGGCCCGCCATGGTGGTTGCAACTACATCTTCAGCTTGCTCACTGGCTATCCCGAGGAACCTCCTGCTGGCGCTTCCGTTCAGTCTGGCTTGAACTTCAACCCTTATTTCCCCGGTACCGGTATCGCTATGGCTCGTGTTCTCTACGACGGTCTGGTCGAATACGAGGATGGCACACCCGCAAACTCGTCGCAGATGGCCAAGGATGTGGTTGAATTTTTGAACTGGGCCGCCGAACCCGAGATGGATGATCGCAAGAAGATGGGAATCAAGGTGTTGATTATCGGTACGGCTCTGCTGGCCTTGAGCGGTTGGGTTAAGAGATACAAGTGGGCGCCTATCAAGACGAGGAAGATCGTGTACAATCCTCCTTCCCAAAAGCCCGGCTTCAGACAAGGTTGGTAAGTATAACAGAGAAGAAGAAGCGCTGAGGGAAAGATAGTGTTTATTAAGTGAAGATCAGAGGCCATCCATCGTCCGAAGAGCGGAAGACCGATCGGATGAGAGGGTTGATGTTTTGTACCACTGAAGAACCATGCAAAATTCATCCAGTCGAAAGAACAACGTACATATTCTCCGTTGAACCTCAGATTCTATCCCATTTTGTCGTACCGTCATTTCTGGGTATCAGTTTATCATGAAGCACAGACTCCGGTACAACTCGTAGCGCAGTGAAAAGCCTCCTTAATGCCTCCAAACCTTCACGACCTTATCCTTCCCACCACTTGCTACCCCGGTCCCATCACCACTCCAATCCAATGCAAATACCTCATCCTTATGCCCCGGCAGATCCATCTTTAATTTCCCCGTCCGCACATCCCACACCTTCACCGTCGTATCTTTACTGCAACTCGCGAGGAGTCTACTGTCCGCAGACCACGAAGCCATATACACGGCGCCAACGTGCCCCCGCAACGTGGCGATGAACTTTCCATCCCGCGCACTCCAGAGTTTGACGCTATTGTCGAAACTGGTGCTCGCGATGTACAGGCCATCCGGGGAGAACGACACGTGCAGGACTTGCTTTTGGTGGCCCAGTAATCGCGCCACCGGCTTTGGAGTGGCGCTGGAGTTGTCGTCAAATGAAGACGGATCCCAGAGGAAGATCGTGTTGTCGTCGCTCGCGGAGATGAGCCGTTCAACCAATTTTCCTTCGTGACGCGCCGCCGTTTCGAAACGCTCTTTGGCCTTTATGGTTTTCGCGTCCGTGGCTAAGGGCGGTTTTCCCGTGTGGTCGTGATACGCGGTTCTCAGCGCGAAGTCGGTCGATAAAGCGAGATGATTCACCCAGTGGGTATGCGCGGATAGCGTGTGTAGGCAAATCCAAGTCCTGTCATTCCAGACTTTGATGGTTTTGTCTTGCGACGAGGTGAACAGTCGGTGAAGGCCACCCCAGCGCACGCAGGTTACTGACCCTTTATGCCCGGAGAGGGTCTGCTCTATGCGGCGGAGGGGAACGTCCCAGATTCGGACGGTACCGTCCTTTGAGGCGGACGCGAGGCGCGGCTTCCCCGGGGTTTGAGTGTGGTACGGTTCCCAGGTGAGGGACGTTATCCATTTTGTGTGACCCTTTAGTGGACTGCCGAGAGGTTCGCCGGTTTTGGGATCCCACAGGCGGACTGTGTTGTCCATGCTTCCTGTTGCGAGTAGTTTGCCGTCAGGTGACCAGGAGACCGCCAGGACCCAGCTCGTATGGCCCTTCAATGTGTGCAATGGCGTGCCTGTATCGCAGTCCCATATTCTTGCGGTGTTATCTCCACTTCCTGTCGCCATTCTTGAGGATGTCTCCGGTGAGAAAGCTGTTGCTAGAATGGCCTCCCCATGGCCCGCTATCGAGGCTGAACATCTTGAGACTGCGCGCACACGGAAGACCGCTTGGGGTGTGAATTGAAGGATGATGTTGTCTTCTGTGGTCTTGAGACCAGGTTTGAGGATGGAGTTGTATATGTCATTTGGTACGTCGAGGATGTTGGAGTCTTCCTCCTTTGTTGAAGGTCGGTCGTTGCGGAAGAAGAATCGATAGGGGAGGCGCTCGCCCGGTTCATTGCCTTGGATTGTGTTCAGCAGTGTTTCGAGGTTCTTGACCGTCGCATCTTTGACAGGAACCGCGATGGCAGGCCCAGTTATCTTTCCAGTGCTCTGGTCGACGAATTGTAGCCGCACACTGCCTAGGTCGTCTGGTATTCGCAGCTCTTCTGCTGCCCTTTCCGCCTTTTCCGCCGCAGCAGTCTTCTGCCGTTTACTCGGCGGCGGTACTATGGTCGCCATGGTCCGATTCTTCTCTCGCCCGCACCGAGCGGTTCAGAAATTGCAGCCTCGAGAAAAAAATATCTGGGGTAGGACGTTAATTCTCAGCCTCGTGCGGGGAGATGATCGGCAGACCTTCCTTTTGGCATTGCTTCTCACTCTTCTGAGACTCACTCTTCACTTCCGTCTCACTTTGTCCTCACTTCTCACCTCTTACCTATTCACGAGAGCATGAGAACTTGGCCTGCAAGGAGAAACTCATGTTTTCCCCTACATGGTCGACCACGACCGCCGGTTCCAGGGCCACACGACCGACGGCTACGACGGCAAGGCCACCGTCTGGCTGCCGGTGGAATCCAAAACCCGTAGGGACTTCAACTGGTTACAGCAACGCTGAAATTATCTGTGCAATTTGCGAATCTCGAGGCATATCTCCCACCATTGGTCTTTCCTTCGTCGGTCTTTCTACTTCTGAAGCTATTCTCTGTCAATTCACGGATACCCAAACGTATGCTCGTACCTGCCACAAGATCAAAGTTTTTGCTCCATCTGAGATTCTTTATGTGTCTACTGCGGAAGATTCGAAACTCATTTCTGTTGTTGCCGAGAATCTTGAGGTTGAGGCGGCTGGTATCGCCATGACTAGTCTTGATCGCAACTATTGGTCTGAACTCAATGGTCAGGATTATGTTCAACGTCTAGCTTTTCCAGACGATCTAGAGGTATTGAAATTGTCAATTGCTGGAAGTTACTTTGCAACATGCTGTTTCTCAGCTGTAGGTTTGATACTGTTGGAGGCAAGTACTTCTGGCTCTGACCAAAATAGGTCCTGAAGCATATCGACATTTCGATGGGATTGACCTTCGCTCCGCAAACCCTGAGGATCAAATTCGAGCCCTCAGAAGGGTCAATGATGATCGATCTCTCAACAATGGCGTCGCTCGAGTTAATCCAGAACCTGCAGAATGCAAAATCTCGGGAATGCTTGTTTGGGCTGTTGAACCAAACCATGACCCCAATGGGCGCCCGTTTCCTCCGCAGCAATGTCTTGCAACCATCAATCGATGCTGAAAAGATCAAGAAGCGGCACGAGGCCGTCGCCGAACTCACATCTAAAGGGGACATGTTATTTGCCATTCGATCTGGTACTGGCTCTTTTCCGCTAGAAGAACTTGCTAACATATTGCAGCTCTCAAGTCCTTTGTCGATGCTGATCGTGTACTTGCGGCGGTTGGTCTCCGCGAGCTAGCATCCTACAGAAATATATTTTATACTGAATCTTTCTAGCTCGTGGTCATTTCTGCAAGACAAGACTTCCATTTCATGGAGCAATCCGCGAATCATGTGCTTATGCTGAAAAAGTTTGTCGACTCGATCAAGCCAATTTGGGAAGCTCTCACTGGTGCCGGCAGCGAAGAGCTACAGATGATACGCCAAGTTTGGCCACTTCTGGCTTGTTACAGGCTCTTCGCTGACTCTGTTCCCAGCTTTGTGAGCCGACGAGATACGTCAACATCGAAAATCTTATCAAATACTGCATCAACGAGGATGTATCATGTTCGACGAAACCTCTTGAGCTGCGAAGCCAGAGAGTCTTCGCTATCAAGGCATGCTTGCGGCGTCCCTATTCTTACCTCATAACTCTATTGACCTGCATTAGGCGGGTGTCAACTCCTTCCTCGACGTAGCCCGTCAAGCCTACAAAGAGCTGAACGACGACGTGAATGCATACTTCAATGAGCTCAAAGGTTCAGTGACTCGGCCATGACGCACCTTTCCTACTCTAACGTGTATCAGAGCAATTTGAACTGAACCTGGATCTCAAATTCGAACACGCACGCCAATATTACCTCCGCTTCCCAATGGCTGATCTGGAATCCCCAGGGACGCTCCCCGTCAGCTTCATCAACGCCTACCAAAAGAACAAATACCTGGAATGCCAGACCCTCGACCTCATCAAAATGAACCAAAAGCTCAAAGACGCGCACAGCGAAGTCATCACCCTCTCGGACAGCACAATCCAAGAACTGATTCAACAAGTGCGGAGTCAAATCCACCAGCTCTTCAAGATCAGCGAGTCAGTCGCTACGCTCGACATGTTGGCGGCGTTCGCTCACTTGACCACAGCATGCATTAGCGGCGACTATACGCGGCCCGAGCTCAGCACTGACTCCCTCATGATCAAGAGCGGCCGCCACCCCATCCGCGCCAAATTAATGTCCACGACAAGCGAGAAATTCATCCCCAACGACGTCTACGCTACGCCTCAGAACCGCTTCCACATCATCACCGGTGCGAACATGAGTGGCAAATCGACGTACATTCGCTCCATTGCTCTGATGAGCATAATGGCGCAGATAGGTTGCTTCGTCCCTGCTGAGTACGCCTCTTTCCCGCTGTCCCACGAGTTATTCGCAAGAGTCAGCACAGACGACAACCTCGAAGCCAATGTTTCCACTTTCGCGAGCGAAATGCGCGAGATTGCCTTCATTATCCGTAACATCAGTCACACAAGCCTAGTCATCATCGACGAGTTGGGCAGAGGGACAAGCACGACGGACGGACTTGCCATCGCCATCGCCATTGCTGAAACGCTCATCAACAGCAAAGCGTACGTCTGGTTCGTCACGCATTTCCGCGATCTGCCACGCATTCTGGCTGATCGGGCCGGTGTATCGAATCTGCACCTCAGTGTAGACATCTCGAAGGACTACGCAAAGATGACAATGCGGTATAAGATCTTGGAAGGGTATGAGGAGGAGAAGTTCTACGGCTTAGCTCTCGCTCGTGTGATCGGCCTTCCGCCCGACGTCCTGGACACGGCAACGCGCGTGAGCAAGGCATTGCACGAGAGGAATGAAGCGAAGAAACGGAATTCTAGGGCCACCGCCGCGGCGAGGCGGACCAAGCTGATCCTAAACCTTAGAGAACAATTGGTCCAGGCCAGAGCGAGCGTACTGCTCGGTGGGAGTAGAAACGACGGATCGCCGGGTAGTCGTAGTAGCGAAGAAGGGGTCAGCGCCGAAGCCTTGAGGGATTGGTTGAAGAAGCTGCAGGTTGAGTTCCTGGTCCGTTTGAGGGCGATTGAGGTGGATGCTGAGGCGACGGCGGCACAGGCCAATAAAACTGGCGAAGAGATGAGTGATCTCTTTGAGGGAGAGGATGGCGCGGAGAAACTTACGGAAAGGGATTTCTTCGAGGCTGGCGATGTGACGCTTGAAAAGAATGGGTGACACACGGTCAGCGTGGACCTCTCCTTCTGGCAGAACAGCAACATGGTACATTTGTGCAGAGGGCCACAGCAATGAGTTGTTCATGATACATAGTAAATATGTTTGTTATGCTATGCGAATCGAGTTCGAGAGCGGGCTACGAGCTTGAAGCTGGTCGAATCCTTCAGCAGTTGTTGTGATAGAAACTGCTGGACGAACGGTCCATGGCAGCAAACCGGCGTGTAGACACTGTATGCGGTGTCTTGTCTATCGCGATGTTGCTCCATCTCATCTCAACCCACTCGATCCGTTGCTTTGTTCCCAGATGGTTCGGCCTCCTCAGACCGTCCAGATGACCACCCGACCATCCACACCACTGGTGCTAAATTTCTTCACGCTGCTAGCACTACCCTCATACACACGGATCGTGTTGATGGTATTCTGATGGGTCGTGCTCAACTGCGTATCGTCCTTGACCTTGCCCTTGAGATCCATCTGGCGGAACATATTCAGCGCGCTCTCCTCCCTCGCGGCACCCATCCCCGGCCTTGCCTTCGCCTCGACGCTGCCGACCATTTCCCACCCTTCTTCTGACCCGCGAAAGCGGAACGCCTCACAGTCATACCCGGCGGCAACGATCTCGGCCTCGCCGTTCCAGATGAGGCTCGTGAACGGGAGGATGTGGGTCGAGATGTTGAGCATCGCGCGCGGCGCCTGCTCCGGCCCACTGGGGTACACGACCGTGATGGAACTGTCGTGTCCCGCAAACGCGAGCGCGTCGCCGGAGGGCGAGAAACTCACGGCGTGGATCCACCCGGCCGCGTCGTTGAGGTATTCGCCGCACACGGTGTTGAAGGGGAGGCGCTCCCCCCAGACGCTGGCCTCGGGCCGTTCGTCCACGCCCTTGATGAACCCGCTAAACACCCTCGCGTGGGAGTCCGTGCTCCCGGCGGCCAGGAGCACGCTGTTGGGATGCCATGCCAGTGTGGTGATTGTGGACCGGATGGGTTTCTTCAGGTGCTTGGACACCCACCAGTCGTTTTCCTCCTCGAAGTAGCACACGGCGATGACGCGGGCGCCAGATCCCACGGCGAATTTCTTTTCCGAGGGCGACCACCGCACAAAGGTCGCGGCGCGGTTGATGCGCAGGAGGACGAGCGTGGGCGTCCAGCCCTGAGGGGTTGGCTGCCAGACGTAGGCGTTGCGGTCTTCACACAGTCAGTCTCGTGAACCATAACGCTCCACTACTTCAATTAGATGTAGACGCAAACACTTCTCAAGCCACATGGGCGTACATGTCTGCTTGTGTTGTGGACCGCTTGCTTACCCTGCGAACATGTGACGATCATGCCACTGTCCGGTGCAATATCCACGCCTGTCACGGTCTTGTCATGGCCCTTCAGCTCGTCTTTGAGGGTAAATTTGTTGCCCGAGCGGTGGTACAGCTCGACGTTGTTCTCGCGTGCGACCGCGAGTGTCTGGCGGTCAGCGGAGAAGGAGTGGTCGGCGATAGGGTGGTGGAAGAGGTGGTGCACTTCGGGGCCGGACATGCTGGCGAGAGGTGCGATAGGAGTGTAGCTCTCCACTATCGCTCTGTGGGTGTGAGGGTAGAGTAAGAAATGCGGTGATTTTGCGGAGAGTCGAAAGTCAAGGTGGGATGACGACGAGCTGGGCGGCTGATTGTCGGATGCACAGCCTCGTCGCCTACAGAAACGTGAGCATTTTCCAAGGGCGCCTACAGAAATGGCGGGGACAATTTATATGACTGAGTGATCTATTCTATCGGATCTGGAACTTGTGTATGCTGAGTCTCCATCATGGACACAGCAATGCAGCTGTGCGTGCTATACCCACTCTATACCACGATCTCGACCGCCCAATGCAGAGATTATTCAATAGCTCATCTCTTCAGCCAGCTGCTTCCTAAACAACTCGGCGTGCCTCGTCAGCGCCTTTCTCCGGATGAAACTCGTCTTGACGATAAACGAGTACCGATATCTGGCCCACTCCCACTCCTTGACCTTGCCTCCGAACTGCTCATGCATGACCTCGAGAACAGTTTCCGCGTACCACCAGCACATCTCCCTCCTGAACTTGTACGCCGGGTTCTTCTCCGTCGTGGCAGCGAGCACATGAGCCAGTGTCCCTAGGCTGGGCTTCTTGCTCGGATCGTCGAATGTTACTGAAAGAAGTGGCAGTGGCAGCTTGTAGTGGTCGGACGGTGTGTCGCCAGACGCCCAGTCCCAGCCCACCAGGACCCAATCGCCGGTTTCTTCCCGTCCAGCGGCAACCCTTGTCTTCTGACCACTTACACAATCCTCGACGATGAACTGTGTGAACTCATGAGAGAACGGCGAGGCGAGGGCTTTGATCCATGTGATCGAGTTGACTTTGAGGTTCTTGAACTTGTCGGGATTCTCTAGCATTGTGGCCAGCCATTCCCGCGTGGAGAAGCGTTTGAAGTTCTTGAAAATGCCGGGAAGACCTTCGTTGGCGGACTCGATCATGGACCCTTCACTTGACACCCCTTCGGATGCACCCGCCCTGATGATGGTCTCCTGTAACAGCGGCACCGGCGCCGGCAGGTACAGCTTCGAAGGATGCCCGATACTCGCGACTTCGAACGACGATGCATGGTAGAACAACCGGAACAGCAGCAGAAAGACGGTGTTGAAGCGGCTGGATCCGAATCTGTGCCGTGGGAATAGCACACAGAGATCAAAATGCCGAACTGGCGAGTGAGATTTGCCACAGCTACCATGATGTCGTATGCCGCTCGTACAGCCCACACCTGCCATCCATCTGTGCTGCTTGAGACCTGTAGGTCTGCGTATCGCTATCAGAGAGTGGGTGAGCTGGGCCATCTTCGAAATGTCCAAGATACTGTGGTTTGGGTCGTAGGAAACTTGCAAGAGACATATTGGCGTTAGACAGGAATATTAATGAAAGTCAGCGCAAAACATGCAGGCGGTATACGCCAGTGGCCCTCATTGCTGGAGTGGTGCACGGGATTCTGATACTCAACCTAAGGGGCCTGCTCGTTCTGGCCACTCATATTCCAGAACGAAGTCTCGTGGAGGAGCCTCATGCGCTCGCATTGCACCGCAGTCGAACACCACGCGCAGTATGGCTTGCCTGTCATATTCACACAATCCCACACTGCTATTAAAGCCTACTAGACTTCGTAGATCAATCTGTATGTCAGCTGGAGAACCTATGGGCTGGAGCGCTCTCAGTGCAGTATTCGGGCACGCGTTGTGGTGGGCAACCTGAGGGGTACCGTCCTTTTGGCGGTGAGATCTACTCGAGATTCCATCAGGAACATAGCAATGACCACTGGCAGAGCCTTTTTCCCGGCGATGTATCATTGTACTCGTGCAGACCTGGTATTTGTAAACTGTTTAAGACTGTACGAGTTATTTGCAAAACGTCGCGTTGGGCAAGCGCCAAGCCGAAAAAGGAACATCGTCCCTCCGCTGCCGCGTGATCCCCCGAGCACACTGGACAAAGTCCAAACTCCTCGACTTCGAGAACACAAAAAAGATTCTAGTGATTTGATCATGCGACCAAGCTTCAAAGCACCGAGAAATCGAGCCGGGAAAAACGACAAAAAAACTTTTAGCACTCTTTGAGAAGCGTGTCATCCTTAGTGCAGGGGCCATGCTAATCTTCTCTGTATCGTTTCAAATTGACCAAATGCCCGAAGGCACCTCAATTTTGGAGTTTGCAAAATATATCAATCAATATTTTGACGCACATGTGACTTGGACCTCGGTACTTTCCCAACCCGTTCACCCTCACCACAACCTCCACCTTCCAGTTTCCGCTTTCACATCAAGCTCTAAAACCCAAGCATGTATTTGCGAAAGCCGAAAGGGACCTTCATCGGCTGCTAATGCCTGATCATTGTCTCTACTGGTGCTGCACAACTTTATTCACACCTTACGCAGTCGATGGACCCGAAGTGGCTGCCTAGGGATTGAGAAACGGTGATTGTTTCTTTCGTCGCTGTCACTCGCGCCCTACATGACCTAAGACATCAAAGTACCTAGGCTATTGAAAATACATACTGAACATACACACTCCTTCGCAGCAGGGCACATCAATACCCCTTCGCCGCCAACTCGGTCTCAGTCCACTCCCATAGTTTCTTCGCCAGCTCTACGTCGCGACTCCTCTTCGACCCAGGATTCTCCTTGCCAACCGGTACGTAGTACGCTCCATTCTTGACCTCCGTCCGCTTCCAGGTCGCTGCCCATATTTGAGTCAGCGCACCCTGTTGAACGGTCAGCGCACCCGCAAGGGAGTCGAAGACCCTCTGGAACCGGCCGTTAATGCCATTCGCGTCGAACATGACGTTTGTCAAGTTCGTCTCGACACGGCCAGGGTGGACAGATGTCGAGAGAATATCAGGATAGCGCTTGGCCAGTTCACTAGCGTGCAGCACGTTGGCCAGCTTCGATTGCCCGTAGATCACGCCAGGGTTGTGTGCTTCCATCGGAGTCTTGAGCTTCTCGAAATATATACCCGGGCCGGTGGTCATCAGGTGGGCGGCGGCAGACGACACGTTCACAATGCGCACATCGGAGCCAGGTTGCGATGCGGTACGTCGCATAAGCGGAAGCAGAAGACGGGTGAACAGCGCGTGTCCCATATGGTTCGTCGCGAATTGAATCTCGAATCCGTCCTTGGACAGGCCGTGCGGATGCGCCATGATGCCGGCGTTGTTTACCAATATATCGACCCTGTCACTATCCGCGATGACTTGGTCCGCAGCCTGTTTGACGGACGCCAGCGAGGAGAGGTCCATTTTCAGGAACCGGACGTTGGCGTTCGGTGCTGCGGCGGAAATGTCCTTCATGGCGTCGTCGTACTTTGCTGGACTCCGTGCGGCGAGGTAGATGCATCCTGGGTTATGCTTTGCCAGTTGCAGGACTGTCTCTTTCCCGCACCCAGAATTTCCGCCCGTCACTATAATGACTTTTCCTGCAAGGTCCGGGACGTCCTTGTCCGGGTCAAACTTGTGGACGTTGTCCAAGGGATTCAGAAAACCGAGAAGAGGCATATTGCGTTTTGCATGCTTGCATTCGCAGTCCTTCTGAGGTAGCTAGCCCTCGGAGTGTTTACGGTTATCCTTATATCTACACAGAACCTGGAACCTCGCAGGCAGCACTGATTCACTGCACTATATTCGCATTGTGAGGTTCGACCGAGTTTGTGCGGATCGGATATCTATTCCTCCTAGCGCATTCTGCACCCGTTGCCCGGTGACAGCGCCACACAAACGCGGGGGACGTGTTCATTCGACCACCAGGCCCAGGCGTGTCCGGACACGCCTCGGGTCTGCTCTGAACCCATGTCGTGACGGCTGCTTCCCTAGCTGTACAAGAAAACGATTGAATGACGCCCTATCGTCAAGGTGTACTCTGCATGAGCTGAGGGCTTTCAGTAAACTGCGGAAGTCTGGACCAAGATCCCCTGACACGATGGGACCCAGACAGAAAAGGCGGGACGTCCGTATAGCGCTTCATGGTTAGTGTTCCACCGAAGAAAGCGGCTGCTTTTATACGTGGGAGCATTACGGCACGGGCCATAGCCCTGCTGAACACGTCGAGCATGTCTCTTCCACATTCCTTGTTGTCCTTTGTTTTCATTGTGCCAAATGCTCGTCCTGCTACCAGTTTCTGCCCAACCGTGCTCATACTTCTGAGAAGGGAGCGTCCTGAGTTTCCAATATGCGGAAGAGGATCTAAGACAGCCTAAAATTGGCTTGAGTCCTCCCAGTAGGTTGTCTGGCCGGAGGTTTGCTATTTGAACATTCCATCCCTTCTGCCGCTGCACTCACGTTCCATCCCATTTCCACATGTTCTCATAGTTCAGTGCCTCACGTTCAACAGTAGCTCCATAGCTGAAAACTATCAATCCCTCAACGTCGTTACGGCGGGTTTCTGGTTCGCAGGAAAGCCTGCCTGTTTGCCAACAACCATGCAAAAACGAGGTCGCAGTCTGCGAAACGGTCGTGACAGATCGAGCTCCTCGAAACGCGCTGTTGACCCAGATTCTGTGCTCAGAGCTCCTGCCTCCGACCCTGTACCTGAGGCAGAGGTCGTTCCTTCATGTTCTGCCACCTCTCATTCGACGGCTCTCTCACAGGATCATGGGGCACTTTCCGATTCTACAAGCAACCGAAAGCCTGGCACGTGCTCCTTCGCCGATCCACGCAACGCCCCTGCCTCCCCAAAAGACAGAAGAACAAACTCAGTCGCATCTCCATCCGCAAACCAGCACCACCTTTCCCCTAGGCTCGATTCATCTGCAAAGGTCAAGCCTACTACCAACCAAGGTTCTGCCGGTCCCGACAAGTCTCTATTGGCCTTCTGCTCCAATGCATTGTCCCGCGGTGGCCTTCTTTACAATGCACTCCTCGCCCCTCTCAAAACATGCTTAGGGGCCATAGGCAAGTCCACCAGGATCAGTATCCAGGTAGCCAACAATCTTGCGACAAGCTCATTCCTCGGCTTCGTCGTTGCGAGTATTGTTGTGCTGTTGGTCTGCTCCGTCGTACTAACATTCGTTCTGGTCAACAATCGAGGTGCCAGAGATGGCTACGCGGAGACAAAAGACTGGTACGGCGCACGCCTTAATGCACGGTGGGTCCGAGAACTCAGCGTACTTCGCCAAGTAGCTTGCCGTCATCCATCACACCGGCTTTGGGTTTTGTGCAATGCAACAGTTGAAGGAGACATCATCCTTGACACGCTCAACATGGCTGCAATGACGGTAGGCCAGTGGGCCAACTCGTCGAGCCTCCTTCTACCACATTCGGACTATCTCGACACCGCAAATCTAGAACTTGGTCAGCAGTAAAAGTCCATCAGCTTGAATACTGTGGGATTCCTGGAGAAGGACGCACTCGACCTTACAATGACCAAGTACCGCAAACTTCTTCTCAATGGTGGAGAACTTATGCACCATACCGTACTTGACACGGAAAAGACTCTGGGCCTCATACTCGACCACTTTGTCCAGGCCGAACACCAGACGCGTCGTATTTCCAGTTCATCTCGGCTCTGGTCATGGCATAGAACCAGGGAAGTCGACCGGATGCTTCAGGGGCTTCTTGAACGACTGAAGACCAGGCTTGACGATTTGGTCAAGTCGGTTGACGCTATGGAGGATCTCTACTTCGCGATCTCGAATCAAAACTGGGAATATATTAGACAGCTCGCCGTGGCGCAAGCTCATGTCGTTCAACAGATCCGTGACCGGGGCATGCTTGATGTCTTCAGATACTGGCAACGGGACGGGCCACTAGACAAGATGGTACAGTTGCTTGATCCCCTCCATTTCCCTCTCGAGGAGATTCGCATACGGCTCGCAGAATCAAGATTCACCCTTCGCGACTCCCGGACGCGGGTCAGACTAGCCAGAGAAGAAATCGATCGCATGGCAAACAGCGGGAAACCCGGACCTTGGCCCAAGATGACTTCGGTCATGAGAAGACTGCAGCAGATTATCGAGCAGCTGGAAAGCACGAAGGCAAACATGGAGTCTCAATGGGACAGAGCGACCAGCTGATGGCAACTCGAGAGGGAGAAGGGGATGTATACTTAGCCAAGTGCAATCTTGGAGGGAGCATCGGCAAAAAGCGTGCGAGGTCGATCGTCTACTTACTATAGCCGAACGACTTGTGGGTTTACGAGGCACAGTTTCGCACACAGACACAGACAATCTAGATTACGCGACAGAGACGGACAGGCAGCACGGCAAGCAAATGAGACGGGTTTCCAGCGCTGTTCTGTCCCTTGGTCAACGACATGTACGGACGAGCAAGCGAAACTCTCGAACTCCCAGAATCGAAAAGCTGGCCGGGGCAAGAGACGGCTCTCGCGCGTATGAAGTATTGTGTACATCAAGACTCAATCTGAATAAATATGGCTTCTACGGGACGACTGTCACGGTGCACTGCCATAAACCCGTCTCTGCACGCCAGCCTCGCCATAGGGAAGTCACCGCAAACGCTGCGCTCTGATTGACTGGATCGTGACCCTGCACATCACGCCAGAACCGTGCAGCCAGGCACTCTTTCGGAGTTCTCTCTTTGGCTTAGAATTCATATCATAATACAACGTCAACAGTTGCCTCGTTCAGCTATGCTGACGCGGTGATAACGACGACCGCTGTGATAATTATGAATATAGATATAGATACAAATGTAGACACAACTGCGTAATTACCAGACAAGATTATCGTACGGAGTACAGATCCATAATGAGGTACGTAGCCGTTCGGATAGCCGAGCAAGCACCACGAGAGCCAGTACCCGTTCCATGTGCTTGTCCCAGTACAGTACCTAGATAACGCCGAGTACATACCTTACCTACCTAGGTTGCCACTATGGATGTGGCCGAGTCAAGAAGTTGAGTCAGTGACTCGCCCTAACCGACTGGTGGTGGGGACTCGCCGGCGGAGGCGAAAGACGCTGAACTTTGCCCTCTGGACACTGAACTCTCTGCACACTAGTTAAGTACATACATACTCCGTACAAACTCCTCCACATCTACATCCACTTCCACCTAGACATGCACTTCCGAGGAGGATGGATCGAGGTGTCGATGGAACCCATCCGACTAGGTACCTAGCCTATCGAGCGCCTTTCCGAGCCGAGGCTGTTCAAGCACGAGGGTCAGGTCAGGGATCAGGACGAAGGACAATGACACGGGATCGGGATTGTTACCATAGACGTATCTTCATACACACACACACACACACACACAGACAGTACGTGCCTAGGTAGGTACTTTCTGTATCACATGTCGCATACGACAAGTCCTCACACAAGGCATTGCATAATCACTACCCGTGGACATAATTATCGCGTGTCGTATAACACGTAACCGTAACTATTGCGCCTGGTATGTAGAACACCCGACAACGCCATACCCCCTGTACACAGCACATAATTAGGGTTAGGGTACAGCCCATAAGACAACTACTGGTATTCGTGCAATCCGAGATCAAGGTCCGAAGTTACATATCCGATCCTTCTGGACTCGGAGCTTGTGCTTTAGTTATGCTATGCGCTAGTGTCTGTTGGTGTACAGTACGCTGTGGGTTCTGCCGAGTGTGTATCCCTCCACCGCACACCACCGCCGCGTTTGAGAGTACGGGTACTGTACTTGTGAAAGAGAGTTTGCGCCTTACTCTAGCCTACCGCAGCTAACCTAGCAGCTACAGTAGCTGACCTACACATAGGTAGCTAAAGTTCGGACGGTCGATTTCCAACCAAGTCAGACTTTGTGCGTGTGGCGTATGGGTGGCCGCTGCCTCTTGAAGCTTACAGGCTGATGGAGAAGAGCCCGACCATGCAGGTCTCGGACATACACTGATGATCGCGTATCGAGAAATTCGTAGGACGTTACGAATACATATCACCAGGAAATACCTGTCGCCCAACGTTGCTCATTCCACTTCAGATTAGGCATGGGCGGGATCTCTCATCAAACGTATCGTCGTACGGAGTACATATCAAGTCAGAATGCTCCGTTAAGCCAGAGCACATTCCCACCAGCTCGCTTCGCCAAGCGTGACCGGGTCAGAGCCCGAAATTCACCACCATTAGGTTTCTCTCGGCCATGACTTCCATCCAGTCGACGTCCAAACTCTGGCCCGTGTTCATGAACCGCTCGTTCTGTTTCTCATAAACCGCCGCTAGAGCCTTTCGAGTGGCCGTAGTGTTTCGCCCAATGCTGTCCTTCTCCAGCGCCCGAAGCAAATCCAGGGCGCTCATCCTTTGCGCGCCGTCCGTGGCAACAAAGCCCGCCATGAAAAGTGGAAAGACCAAATACCGACAGTCCGAGCGATCCTCTGCGAGCGCCTTCCGCGTCATCTGCAGGATTTGGTTCGACGCCACGGCAATCTCGGTGTCGTAGTCCGGTGACGTTTCGAGGCGCTGGCCCGGCCACATCGAAGCGTGGGAGTAGATGATGCAGGCTCGATAGAGCGTGGCGGCGTGTTCGTACACCTGTCTTGGACGGGGCCGGAGTTCGTCGACCTTCAGGTTGATCATGACCACCGCTTGCGTGACCCACAACTGACGCAATGATTCCTGTAACTCAAAAATACGACTTTGCCGGATCCTGATCGCTTGCTCTTTCCGGCTGGCATCCGCACCGCTAAACGCGCTATCATGTCGAAACTCATGGGCGAGGAGAGCAAGCCGCATCGCAAGAATGGTAACCTCAAAATCAAGCTGCAAAATGGTTGGCAAAACGTCCACCTCGTCGGCATAAACAACGCTCGAACCGTCAAGGCCAAGGGGGTATAAATGGAAACTAGGAGGTGGTATCAGATCGTTGTTCAGCATGGAGCCGACGTATTCGCCACTTCCGGCTCCGCTGAAAAGGGCGTCCAGATCGATGTTGCAAATCCACCAGACAACATATGGAAAGGGTTCGCCGCCGAAGACTTCGCGTCGGAGGAGCGAAATGCGAAGAAGGGTTGACAGATGTTGCGACCACAGATTGGTGTGTCCAGGCTCGGCGGCGGCGATCTGCTAGCGAGTTAGATTGAACGCATGGACTCGCAGTTGAGACTGACCTCGTAAACAAGCAGAAGAAAATGTGTTAGGAAAGCACCATCCGATGACAGGTCATCGGAACTCCTCAAAGTCGACTGTAGTGCAGGCAAAACTTGCTGATAATGTTGCAGAGCATCGAGCCTCTCTTTTCCCTCCTGTACGGCGACACTCAAGGCAGCGACCGCCATAATAGCATGGTGTAACTGTGGAAAAGGGTCAGCAGAGCTCCATAAGGAACAAGAAGCACGCACAGGTGGGAAGACGGCGGCCGCAGCTTCTAGAATATTGGCGCTTGACCGCACCATGCCGTCGCGCTGGTCCAGCTCGGCAGGGACAAGCTGCCTCCAGACCACCTGCCGGAATTGTCGAAGATATCTGGCTTCCTGGCCCACTCGACTCGATTCAGCCATCGCTTCGGGCACTTCGGTGATGACCGCTTCCTCCACGTCCTCGGTTTTGATGTTTTCGTGCTTTATTAGGGGAGATATCGGCGATCGAGCCCGGTTGGAGCTAAAAGTCCCGCGCCGTGTAACATCTTCAAATCTGGGTAACACGACGACGTTGGGGTCACCTGAGACCGGAATAGCTTCGACGACGGCTTCGCGACTCAAACTGCTTCCCTGCGATGTGGCGAGGGAGCCGCGCCGGATCGGTGATAACATCTCTCGTTTGATCTCGGGATCATCGTTATATTCGGGTAAATGTTGAAAGCTGCTTTGATTAACCACGACATGGTAAGTCCCAGGGCTGGACTTTTCTGCTTTCTTTTCTCGTTCTTCGTCTGTTGTTAAGCTAGCAAAAGGCGGAAGGTCGTCCAGTGGCGCAGATCCAGCGCTGTTCTCGGTCAGCGCTGGGGAGTTTGCTGTTGCTAAATGTCAATATTTACTTCGAATTAGCTGAGTAGGAGCGCCAACTCACGATCCCATATTGAACTTGCGACATTCGTCACATCTTGCATGCGCTCCACGACCCGTGGTGTATCATCTCGGAAGGCGTGGCGTGGGACGTAGTCGCAGTTGTGACCCAGCCGAGAACACTGACCACAAACAGGTCGCCCTTCGTCGCATTTCACCTTGCGCGTGCTTCCTCCCAGTCAACAGAATATCCCATGAGACGGGAGCGGGCAACTCACCGACAGGTCCAGCATCCGGTTCTTGATCGTGGAGGTAAACGGGAGCGTAGAGGAACGGACGGGCCACTGCGGCTGGAACTAGCCGAGGACGAATGGTCGTCTTTGGGCGCAATCACGGGCAAGCGCAGCGGCGGTCTCCTCGGTGCTTCCCCTCTCTTGTCGTCTTGCATTACCAATGTGATCGTGGTGCTCATGAGAAAAGACGTCGGGAAACACAGTCAAGGGACCAGCAGCCCGAAGAGCTCAAAGGCGCATGTCAGGGCGCATGCATTAGTGGCCTCAGCCCCAAGCGTCAAGGTCCCATGTGGCAACCGGGTATGGACAAAGTGTGGGCAGAGATTGGAGGATAGATAGGAAGGTCATAGATATTCCGAGTTCAATCAAATGCCACGCGACGGGGACTCAACAACCGCAGGAATCTTCAACGCAAGGAATTCAGGCTTCCAACCAGGCCGGTCTCGATGCTCGAGGAGGAGGAGAGAAATTTGAAAGTGGTTCAGAGAAGTGGAGGACGTTGGGAGAATGAAGAACTAACCGACACTCATGGTCTTCCAGAAACTCAATCAGGATAAGGCATCGCCGGATTAACGAGCTGGAGGCAAGCCCGATGTCATCGTGCGCGAAGCAAGAACAAGCCGGGCCCGAGGGATTGGAGTCCCGCAGCCAGGCAAAGGGGAGCTTCCGGCATCAAGGGGAAGATCCATCCGCAGCTAAGGGGAGTGGAAGAAATCTTGGGCTTTGCAGCATCCATGCAAGCCATGCAATCTTGTGTTGCGGCTACCGCTAGGGAAGGGACCATGGAAGTAAAGCATGGGTTGACCGACAGAGGAAAGGGTATGCGCGGCGACATGGGGGGACCAAGGGCAAAGGCTCCTCTCGAAAGCAGGGGCCTTCGACGGTGCAGGCGAGACTAGGAGGGTGCGCCAACACCCGGAACGGAAAATCAATTTAGCCGAGAAAAGCAGCGATTGGCCCTTTCAATGGCCGACCGGAGAACAAGCAGTTGCCCAGCTGCCTTCGTTCTGAGGCTTCTGGGGCCCTGCATGCCTCCTTCATCTTTCCATGACCAACTCGCTGCGTTAGATTCGTCAAGCGTCGGATTAGGGTCTCTGACCGCTTCCACTTTCTTTGGCGGTGCGCTCCATGGCCCACCACCACTGACGCGCTTAGAGCTGGTGGAAGTCCATGGCCTGTTCCGGAACTTCTGTTTTTCCGGAACATGCCCCTCTTTCGGCTGCGACCGGTGGAGCTGATCCTGCCGGGGTCCACGAGGAAGCCTCGACAATTCAATTCACGCACTTCTCAGTTCGCTCGACTCGAAACCTATGATAGTGACACTTCTATCTCACTCATGCCTCAGTCACACGAGTACCTTAGTGGCAGAAATTTCGAACATGATAATCACTCTCCTGCCTCTCCTGACCAGCTCGTCTATCGGTCGGGTACAATATCACAGTTAGAAATTTTAGCGCGACCCCAAACGACGACCTAGCTGAACACCCTGGCCTTTCGAGTTCGAGATTTAGGCTGTGGAGAGCCGGCTAAGACACAAGAAGAAGCCCGCACATCCCAAAACCAAGGGCAGTGGGTTCCTGGTCCGCGTGCGTGCAGATGCCGAGGGTGGAATTCAAACAGCCGTAAGGCCCCATCGCCACATGGCACAGGGATTCTTGCCCGGGATGATGGAAATGTGGTCAGAGCCAAAGTCTAAACACAGATTCCGCCATTATGGTGATCCCCAACTTTTTCCGTACGTAGAGGAATCTCACGCTATCATATCCTCGTATCTGTCGGCAGCTGAAACCGGGAAGACAAAAGCGCTCCCAGCGGTTTCGTTCATCCGTGGCCGTTTCCCCAGGCCTGAGTGTGCAGGGGTCTCAGAAACAATGGCCCGTGCGACCCTGGTCGGCAGCTCCAAGTATTACCCTCTCCACCGGGTGAATGGCGATCTACACATTCTGACAGGCTGCACATGGGGCCATGGAAAATTGCCATGCATCACAGTTCGGATTTGAGACCCGCGGCCCAGTACTCCGTACTGGGTGCACAATTGGGTGTCCCCTGAAGCCAGATCCCACTCAGAGATTCCGCTTACAAGCCTGGCAAGCTCGCTGGAGGTCTTCACGTAAAGGTCTCGACCGTTCTTCAGCGAGCCAGGGGTCGAGGATCGCCGCTAAGGCTGCCGGTTCTTGCATGCCTCGCTGAACCAGTGCCAGGGCAAGATCGACACGTGATATTCGAGTTCGTTCCGGCTGTCGCCAAGGCTCCTGCGGCCAGGCGAACACCGCCATGACCAGTGGCTGAAATGGCTCAAATTCCCGTCGGTCGCTCACCTCCGAAGTATCACTTGTGCGCAAAGGTGCTGCTGTGGCTAGTGCACTATCCACACCAACTGAGGCTCCTGAGGTATTTTGGTCCCCTGAACGATTAGCTCCAACATCAACTTCTTTGGTCGTTGATCCATTCACAACGAAAAATTTTGCACTCTTGTAGAGTGCGACATCCAGCGCATTTGATCGCACACTCTGTGCGTGTTTGACGATTCGGGTGGACAGGTCCAGAACATCCGCCGATGAATTGGGATGGGTTGACAAGATTTTGAACATGCACCAAACAATCGCGCAGACCGTGGCGTCAACAGCGGGTTGCTCACTATATTCATTCTGTCAGGGATAAGGTATACGCAAGAGTGGAGCTGTCTTACCGGTTCTTTCGTGGGCCGCCACTAGCCTCGTCAACGTCCATCGCATCCTGGTCCATCAGCTCCATCATCAGCTCATCAAGATAGGGCATCATTTCCGTTGTCAGGTCTAGATCCTTTCGCGCAACGGCGAAGTCGCCAAGTGCCCCAATGGCGTCGGGTCGGTACATGACATTAGTACGCTTCGCTTCACGGATTGCGATCTTCCGCATTTGCTGGCTGGTTTTGCTGTCGGCCCACAGCGATTGAGCTTGCTGTACAAACTTCGGATACACCTTGATGATTGCTTCTTTTCCATCCCACGTCTTTCCATCCAATGCCGATTGCATCAGCGGCCAGATAAGAGAGGCCTCTGTGTCAGAATACTTTTCCTGTACCTCCATGGAGGAGATAAGCTCGGCGACCGCGGAACAACATGCATGTCTAACGGGCCAAAGAGAAGATCCTATGTGCGTCGAGATCAAGCCCACAATCTCCGTCAGGTACAGGTTGATTGAGCGAGAGCCTCCAATGTTCTCTTTCCATGGGACGTCGAACCGATCTCGCACTTCTTCGTCTGTGTCGCGCCGCCCGATGAAAGCGAAAGGAAGAAAGACCGCTGCGGAGTTCATGAAGACATCGTTGGCAGCCTTGGAAATCGCCTGAACGATCTCGCCCGCGACCGCACGATGACTCAACTCTTGTGACTCGAAGTACAATTTCTGTGCATACTTGCTTGTTGCCTGAATTTCCTTCTCCGAAGTCAGGCGCATCAGGTATCCCAGAGAGGTACTGAAGGCAACGCTAATGGTAGCGTTGCGATCGAGTAGGTGCTTTCTGATCAGTTGAGCGAACTTGTCTGCGTATGGCCTAAAGGCGGTCGGGTGACGGACGACCAGGGTTGTCATTACCCTGCTCAGACCGACCTTGGACGGTAGCCCGATTGCAGCACGGAACGCGCCTGCGAGTCGTTGCATGGCATCTTCCATAGGTGTTACGCTAGCCTTCGGCTGCGAGGTCGGCTCGACTCCTTGCATAGCATTTGGGTCTTCGTTGGGTTCGAACTTCATAGTAATACTCTCCAAACAGTCCTCGATCGCTTCTGTGACTGGAGATGCATTGATACTCGAGACTCTCATCTTGTCCAGCTTCTCGGCCGTCAGGCCATATTTGTCTGCGTTCAGGTGCAGGTAGTTGATACCTTCATGTTCGAGAGAGCTCAGCGACAAAATGAGCGTCTCCAGTATTGTCGGTGCATAAGGCCCAAGGGATTTGGGAGGTGTCTTCTTGATCACCTCCAGCAACGTTACAATGGCATACTGTTGCACTTCCTTGGCTCCACCACTGTCCATTTGTTGCAGCAAAAACGGCATCGCGTGGTTCAGCATCGTTGTAGAACGTTTCGTGTTGCCCTCGCCAACCTCCAAGTTGCGTATCAGCATGCTCGTGAGAGTCCTGCACAGCTTCATAGCAGCTGCTCGGACGGTTTCCTTGACATCGTCCATGACTTTGAAGGCCACTTTCCAGATGTTATCCAGGTATTTCTCGAACTTCTCGACTTCTCGTCCTTGTACCAGATCAGATATCGCGGCGCAGCTAGCTTCGCGGGCTCGCCAGTCCTTGCCTGAGACCACGCTCTGCAGCAGATCCTCCATAATGAGATCAAAGTTTTCATTGATGACCGCGTTCGGATCTTTGACCAATGCACGCCAGATTTCGTTCATGGATCGCTGCACGTTGGGATTGGGGTCAAACCTGTATCGGTACAGCTTAGGGTAGAACCTTTTGTTTTCGGTCAAGTATGTGGAATCAGCCAGCACACTACCAAGCCCGAATCTTCCGAACGCTGCGCGGCTGTTCCAGATGGCGTTATTAGAAGCCAGATTCATGAAGCGATAAACGAGGCTGGGATCTCCCATCTCCGTGGCCAGGCTGACGATGTCCTTGTAAGTTGTGACGGACTGGCCATTCTCGGTGGGCAAAGCACCAGCCTCGAAGAGCTGGGTATCCTCGCTCACAGTTCCAGACATTTTGGCTTTGCTGCCAGTGAAGCTCTGCACCAGGTCCCTAACCAAGTCGTCCCGAAGCTGCTTGTCACCTTGCTCGTATACCAGACTCAGACCTCGTGAGCCTGTCTCTTGAACGATTTCGTCACGATCGTTCAGGAGCCTAGCAAACGCGGTCTGGCAGTCACGCAGTCTCGCTCGGACTCCTGGCAATTCGCCGCAGTATTGGATCAGACACAAAAGCCAGAGGGCGGCCGCCTTCTTGAGTGACGGTTTTGTGGTTTTACAGTCCTCGATGACCCTGTAGAGGATGTTTGCCAAGAGGCCGTCATTCACACTGGAACTGGAGACATCCACGTCAACATCAAGTTCTGTAATGGTAGACGAGGATCTGAATCCGGCGCATGCCACAGCAAGGGCCTCGCCCAATGTAAAGTGGAACTCTGCTCGCTTAACCTCGTAAAGACTTAGCAGCCGATCCAAGAATGATTTGAAGAGCGCACCATCGGCGTTCTTCGCATGCAATATTCCGAGCATCGGTCCTGCAGCCGAGATGGCGGTTTCGCTCTCTTTCTTCCCGTCGGAGATGAGATGATCCGCCAATGCTTCATCTTCTGATGCGAAGACACTGGGCGTGCATAGCGCGAATTGACGGAGGCACCTATAAGCGGTATCTTTGAGCGCTCGATCGGAGGACGTCTTGATTATATCGAGGACCATATGGAGGCAGTCCGAGCCCACGTCTTTGGAGATCTGGGGAGGAACTCTGAGCCCTTTTCTGGTGAAGCAAAAGCAACACCGCAGTAGATGGCCCTGCACCTTGACCGACTCCTCTCCAATAGCTGTCTTCCAGCGCCCAACCTGGTCAAACTCGGCTTTCGCAAGGGCTTCTGCATCGTGTTTCAACGAGGCAAGAATTCCAAAAATGCGAGCGGCCCGAAGTTGCAAGCCTGCATTTGCTGAAACGCGCTGAACGGCATCTAGGCCCACCGGACCAACTTCAGACAGGAGATTGTTCGGGGCCAGTGAGAGTATCTCCAAAGACAAGTCCAAACAATCCCCGGATGATTTCGAGACACCATGCATTGCAGCTTGAATCAACGGCAATAGCACGTCGTGGGCGTCCACGGTTTGGAGATAGACTCGGATCCGGTGCCGAGCATCTTTGTCGTTGTGCACCAATGCGTCGATGCTTTGTTTCCAATCTGCGGATTCTTCAGGCGCCAGTTTCGTATCACAGAGAGCTTCACAGACAAGGATATTCCGGCAAAATGCTACCGCAGTGGCTAACACGACGGGGTCATTGTAGTGGTCCATCGCGTCCCCTTTCCCGGCGAAAAATCTTTTCGCTAAAGCATCGAGTTTAGGAAATTCCATTTTCCTGCCGTGTGAAGATGAGGAGAGTCGCACGTTGGAGGAATGCCAATATGGATCCAAGCCTCTTGCTGCTTCTTCAGCTACTTCTCTTTTAATATCTGTCGAAGTCAGAGCTAGCACGTCGATAAAACGTGCACCCACGTCATGAAACGGGAAACATTTGTTGACAAATCGCACAGCTGGGTAGGTCGTGCTGTTGACAGTGGGATGGAAGTATATGGGGTCCTCCTGACCGGGTCTTGCGAGGACATTCCACAAGAGAAGGTCCCTCAGACGGGAGGTCACGGACGAGTCCTCGCGGAATGAAGTTGGGAGAGCATTCATAATCCGACCGATTGATTCTTCGATACTCGATCTGATATCGCGTGTCGTGTCGCAACGAAGACTCGTGAACAGCCATGTAATCAAATCCAGCGTCCGGGCGTCATTAGTTGATTCGGTCTTCAACGCGGCCAAGGATCCGATGCTCTCATATGCCTTCGAGCGCAACTCAATCTCTGCAGGTGAGGACTGCTCGCTACTCATGACTGGCCAGCCCTGCATCTCAATGTATTCTTTAAGCAAGTCCTGAATGCGAATGTTGATGTCACCAGCAAGATGATGCCCGCCAACCCTCACCGTCCATGCAAGATACGAGAACAATGCAGCTCGCAACTTTGAGGCCTCCAGGCCTGTATTGCCCACGTTCATAAGCTGCGCTTGCACCATTTTCATAATCTCGTCGGTGCGACTGGTTGAGGCCTGACTCTTGCACAACAGTGCCAAGATTTTCGTTCGAAGTTTCGGCCTCGACCGTTGATACAGTGCAAAGAGCGCATCGACTGTGTGTTCAGATTCGAGGTCAAAAGTGCATTGCTTGAACATCAGGTCGGAGGTATTCGACGCCGAGGCGTTGGCGTCGACGGAAAGTATCACGGCGGGAACAAGGCGTTGCGCGTCGCTGAAGAGAGCTGTGAATAGAAAGTTGGCGATGGGAAGGATGATTTCCGACCGGCGTTTATGGTTCTTTTCCAGGATTGGTTGGAAATCCCCATCGAGGGTTTGCGCTGTTGTAGCGTCTTTGGGATCATAGAGTAGGAAATCGCATAGCCGAGAGACGAGAAGATCTGTCTGTGTAGTCGAAAGACAAAAGGACTCCTTCAAGGCTAGATCTTCCTTGCTACTTCGCTGGGGGACTTTCCATTTTCGAAGCACATCGAGAAGGAAATCGAATGCAATGGCCCACATCTTCCGATCGGTGGCGTCGTAGCTTGCGATCCTTGGGACGGCGAATTGCAAGACGCCAGGTAGTGTCTCGATGGCCTGGCCTGTCTCCAACCTCGGAAGACCTTGCTCAATGAAGATGAGGCAGAATCGTCGAACGAAAGCATTCTCATTCTCGCGGAATGTTTTGACGAGTGTACCCACGGGGAGTTTGATGCTCGAGTTGATCTTGAGGCGTTGGCTGACATACTGGCAGATCTTGATTGTGAGGTTACGGTTCCTCTCTGTCGGAGAGGCAAGCTTGAGAAGGAGGGCCGGTAAGAATTTGTTTAAAATCTCCTCCAATTTCTCATCTGTCGCGGCGGAGGCGATGCGTAGTTCGAGTTTGGAGATGAGAGTGTATTCCCGCTCAAAGTCGGGAGGCGTTTGTTGGGTTGCCATGATCGGTTTCAGTGTATTGATCTCCGTATTTCCATCGCCGCCAGTCTTTCGAAGGTAGCTCTGGATAGAGAGGCTCCCCGATAGCAGTCCAGATTCTGAGCTTCAATCTGCTACGGAGAGTGAGAGAAGCCAATGAATGAGTGAAGCAGAAAGTGATCGAGCTGTCACCTTAAAGCCACGCCGCTGTAGAATTTTAGAATTTATAAACACATTTATACTTCGAAAATGAGGCACCAAATTCGTCGTCAGCGATTCTGAACCCCAAGTGTTCTATGATTCTAATAAAGTCTATCACCTTTGCCACGTCTTCGAGTGAAGCCTTCGGGAGCCTGGCAAGGCTGGTCAGAGCGGCAACAGCGCCAAGAACGAGTCTGATTGGCTTGGAGGCATTCATGAAGCATATGCAAGGCTGGGGGTTACCACGTTCTGTGTGATGTGCGACAGGGCTGGCCCATGTCCTCGACATGTTCGATTTCCGGACTACGCCACGGGATGGGCCCAGGTCTGCATGCGAAAAGAAGCCATGCATATATGCAAGTAGTAATAGGGTATGTCACAACTTGATTTCGGGCCAGTCTCAAGGAGTTTGAAACAATATCACCCGCCGAACCGCAGCGTCAACACATAGGTCGGTCGAGTCCTTTCAAAGACAGGGCAAACAATCGAAGGCTTTTCGAAGAGCTCTTGTTGATAAAAAGTGGTAATCTTTCTACGCCTTGTCGGTGTACATTCCTCCCACGTGAAATGCTCGCTGGCCCACGACTTCCTCAGCCTAGCCGGTGGCCATGGCAGGTCGCCTCATCGTAGTTCGCTCGTTCCTCTGCGAGGTCTACTCTGCAAAAACTGTGCAGCATCCTCGTTGGGACCATCATACGAGTCTTGACCACCAAGTCACCTTAAAAAACCGCATTTCCATCATGACACCACTCCAAGCGATTATCTCAGTCTCCTTGCTTCTCTCTCGGACTCGAGCAAGCATAGAATGTCATCGACTTTGACTGTATCAGAGCACACCCTGTCAGTAATCTCCCTGCGAATCCCCGTTGCTTATGTTTCTGCTCTTTTGGATATTGCATACCTGGTCCCTTGACGTTTCGGATAATGCTTCGGCTCGTGTCGTCCATAAACTCGACTCGGACTTGCGTTACACCACCTCGCGAACCTACAAATATAGCATGTGGTTAGCGCGCAGTTCATGGAGTTCAGTGCTCTACAATATCTGAAGGCGCATTTTCCATACCTGTTCGGCCGAGCACTCTGGTGACTTTGACGAGCTTGACGGGAACTTTGCCTGCCGCATCCATCTTGGCTGATTGGGAAGGGTGTTTCGGGAAGAAAGCGAGAACGATGGACTGGGAGATGCGCGCTGGCTTGATCGATTGTCGTGCTGGTGTTGCGGCGAAGTTGTCAAGCACAGGCTCGCAATTGCGGTTGTGGGCACAAACTTGCCAAGATTTTCACACGGATAAACTCCGGAGTAAATTTTCCGACAACCATTGACTCAATTGACGTGGGGGCTCGAGATTGATGTTAGAATGCTAGAGGTAGGTGGACAGGCTCCTGTGACTCTTGAATATAGATACGGACAGACGTGCATAGAATTTTCAAGATCATTCTGCGCTCTGAGTTTTATATCCTTGGAGTCAATCCCTTGGACCTGTGGCGTCCATCAAGTTCTTTCATTGTGTTGGCTGTGTCCAGGCTCAAAAACGGGCTAATTACCATTTGAGGACGCAGAGTAATTTGAAAGGAACCAGTTCTGAGACATCGACGAGGGAGACGAGGGTAGCCGTCTAATTCACCTTGCACAGACCATCGAACTCTCAAGATGGATCTGGTCAACCATCTCTCCGACCGACTGCTTTTTGCGGTCCCCAAAAAAGGACGACTCCAGTCGGCGACGCTCGACCTCCTCTCGGGCTCCGATATACAATTCCGGCGCGAAAACCGCCTCGACATAGCACTGGTGAAGAACCTTCCGCTGGCACTCATTTTCCTTCCAGCAGCAGACATCCCCACCTTCGTAGGCGAAGGTCGCGTCGATCTGGGGATCACAGGCCGCGACCAAGTCGCCGAGCATGACGCGCATCTAGTGCTCGGCGAAGCATCCGGCGTCGAGGAGATCATGGATTTAGGCTTCGGAGCATGCAAACTACAGGTGCAGGTCCCGGAGAAGGGACCGATCCAAGACGTCAAGGATCTAGTCGGTAAGAACATTGTCACCAGCTTCACGGGCCTCGCAGAAGATTACTTTGCGCGGCTGGAAGGCATGGGATCACGAAAAGAGAGCATCAACGGCACAGCCTCGCCAATTCCAAAGTTAAAAACGAAGATTAAATTCGTGGGCGGTAGCGTTGAAGCTGCATGCGCACTAGGTGTGGCCGACGGGATCGTTGACCTCGTCGAGTCCGGCGAAACCATGCGCGCCGCGGGGCTTAAAGCCATCGACACAGTCGTCGCCTCCACCGCTGTACTCATTAAATCCAAATCAGTCAGCAACGAACAACTCGTCGACAAGATCGCCGCCCGGATACGTGGCGTAATCACCGCGCAGAAGTATGTCCTGTGCCAGTATAACGTGCCGAGAGGGAAGTTAGGCGACGCATCGAAGATCACTCCTGGCAAGAGGGCGCCGACGGTGACGGCGCTGGAGGAGCCGGACTGGGTGGCAGTGAGTTCGATGGTGGAGAAGAGTAAGATCGCAACAGTTATGGATGAGTTGACAGGAGTTGGAGCGACGGATATCTTGGTGTTGGACATTGCGAATTCGAGAACAGGGTGAGCATGGATATGAGTACGAGGTCGTCGCTTTGATAGAGGCTCAGGGTACCAGATAAGTGCTGAGCTGAGCAGATTGTAGCAGCAAAGATGTCTGCCTAATCAGGCATAAATCTTGAAGGATACGTCGGGATGCATCACCACAAACCACAGTATCGATGCATAGACTTTGTAGAAGCGAACAAAAACGGCTTAGAATACGCGTATCACATAGGTAGATTCTATGGTTATTTGAGGTTCTTGGAAAGAGGCTTGGGTCCAGGTTCCGCGTAAACACCTCCAGCCGCCCGCCCAGAGCCTACTCCGCCCACATCCGATCCGAGACAAAGGACATTTCGGTAACTTGGGTGCCTGAGCGGTCCGAACATCCCCAACTCTGTCCGGTAGGCTATCGTGACATATAAACCCCTCAACCATCTGACTGAGTCGGTGGTAAGAGCACGATTATGTACTTCTTTGATGAACGAGCGGACCCTACGACAAGATCCCCCTGACATCACATATCACGCATTCTAGTTGACTAAGCCAACGACTCCGCTTCCCTCTTAGATGCTATCTATCGTGGCCGACGACACGACATTGCTCCATCTCATTTGAGATCTTTGAAGGCCGCCATATCGTCAACAGTGGCCTACGCCGATCTCCAGCTCAGGCACAAAAAGACTTTGTCTTTGGAAACATCACGACTTCTTGAAACAGAGAATCTTGTGCTCTGCGATCAGCATGTCGACCAAAAAAGGTCCTCCGAGCATCGCCGAAGGATCTCCCATCCCCGAGCCCCTTCTTAGCCGACTCATTGTGGCTCCAGTCCTCTTCGTATCATTTCTGATATCGCTGGTTCTCATTGACCGCCAGACCTACGGGACGGTCTTCGGCAAATCCGGCAGCAAAGATGGCTACTATCACTCTCACCAGAAGAAGCTGGCCAGACGGGAAATGGACGATGCTTTCCAGATGAGAAGCAAGGTCATTGCTGTGATGGTTTTGGTGGTTGCAGTGACTCTGGCTTTGTTTGCTTGGACGGTAGAGTCGATATGGCAGGTTTGGAGAGGAGGCACATCGCTGCCGTGACAAGCAGTGGTCCGACTTTGACCGGTTTCACTGAAAGCCTCTCTGCAGGTGTTTGTTGGATATTGCAATGACCGAGGTTTTCACTTCTCAGGTGCATCTAAGCGCGAAATCTGGTCAGCCACGGCTCCAGAAATCAAGCAATGTCGCCGCATATGGCCCTTCGACAGGAAGGAAACAGTGTCGTGGCATGTACTGCACATACCTGGAAGTCTTTCAATAACATACTTACCACGAGCCACACTCATGATGGGAACACCGGGCACTTTGCGGATCCGTCTCTTCAGATCCCTATCGTTCGTAGCCACGATGTAGATCTTATGTCTCATGACTCTATCGACGATGCAGTCATCGGCGTATGTTCCCTTGTGGCCACACTTGAGTCTTTCCCATCGTTCGTCTCTTGCGATCCGTAAAGCTATCCTGTATTTCTGTCCTAATTTCTCGAGTTCGGCCATAACACACTCTGTGATGATAGGGATACATTTCGCGTAGAGACAATCCATCATGGTCGATAGTAGTTCGAGTTTTTTCTGCACAGTGTGGGAGAGAAAGTTGGTATCGACCAGGACGTTGTACGGAGGTACCAGTGCGGTGTTGTATTGGAAGAATAGCGCGGAAGACACCTGAGGCCTGTTATCTCGTCAGCGGATGCCCGTAAGTGAGGGTTCGTGACCATCGCTCACGCTTCTCTTATCACATCGTCGTCCTTTCTCTGCTTTGAGTCGGTGGTCTTCCCAGTCTCTTGATTTTTCTTGAGCCGAGCATCTCGCTGGCCGATGATTTTCTTGACCTGAAACTTGCGCGTCTTCTTGTGAGTGCCCATCTTGACGGATTGCGGCAGGTAGGCGCTTCCCGCACAAGATGACTTGGTTTGTCGTTGCTCAAACCGACTCTTGAAAGAAAATTGGTTAAATCCACGGGCATAACGACAAGCCCCAAAAATTAAGGCCGGGACTAAGCGAGGCTGCCTGAGAACTTCTGGAAAGAAAGGCCAGTTGCACTTGGACCCCCATGACCCCGCAGGGACTCTCAGCCACAAACCAGCCACATTTTCGCCTAACCTTGTGTGCTTAGGCGCATGCCAGAGCCCCCAAAATAACGCAGGCAGGGACCACGGACATGGGCCGCGACTGACTTGGAAAAGCAACCTCAAGCCCGCTGATCATTCTGGCACTCGCCACCTCTTCACCTCGTAACCTTTCATCCCTGGCTCACGATCAAATCATCCCTTTTTGTCAACTATACATTCCTTCAGAAGCATAGATACAATCACTTACCGAACATACGACATGCCCACCAACAGCGCGCTTCCCACCCTCCCTGGCGGCTTCAATTATCCCCCTCCGACTGTTCCTCCCAAAGCCGGCGCCCCTTACCTGGCCACCTCTAAACTACCAGAAAACTTCGTTTTTATAGTTGTCGGTGCCGCCCTTGGGTTTTTCCTCGTCCTCATCATCGCATGGAGGCTCCTCATGTCATGGTCCATAAATCGATCTTTCCGCCGCGATGCCAACAATAGCGCGTCGATTGGTACCGCCTACACGCCGCTTGCCGACATGAAGAAGAACCCTGCTATACAATCATCACACGACATGGCGGATCTGAGTAAACTACCAAGGTCGTTTTCGAGCGTCCCATCGCTATTTTTCTCTCCTACGGCCGAGGTCGCGAAGCAGAGTCAACGACCACCGAGCAGTCACCACACACACCTGCCGGCAGGACATTACCGCGACGCATCCGATACTTACAGAAGATGAATCTACATTGGAATCATAAGATTATAACAAGATTCGGCCGTCTAATTCACCCTCGAAGGACATCATAGACTGTGGCTAGAACTTGGGCGTGAGAACAATTGCCGGTATCATCTACATTCATCTTAAACCGAAACACTGAGTCTGGGAGATACCAAAGCGCTACACTCACGGCCAAATCGGGGCTCGAGGCTGATGATACCCATACAACTCTCGAAGTCATGCCTCCCTCGGGAAAACCTGGGATTGACGTCTCCTCGTCTCCTCGCTCCATTTGTACGTGGGCAGCGGTCGATGCTGCCATTCCCAATCACTGGATTGTACTCAGTTGGAGATTCTGCATTTAGCGAAGCATCTGCATGGGCGGCTTGGGTTGGTCTGGGTTGGTTTAGGTAAACGGGATGAACTGTACTCATAAGGGTGAATAGATCAGGGTTTCTCTCAGGTTAACGCGAATTTCTTAGCCCTCTGCGTGCTGTCCAGCCTCCCTCGCATACTTCCTCATCTCATCTTCCCGTATACGTCGTTTCTGTTTCGAGCCGTGGTCAATCTTCCACACATGTCCTGTCCAACAGGGAAGCCACAACCACCTGTGTTCCAAGTCTTTCAGTGTCCCCCAAGGATGGGTAGGACAGGCCCTTTAAAAGCACTCCCTCCCATCTCTACTCTTACCTCAATACTCGACCCGAACCCGACAATGTCAAGGTCTACCGTTCCAGACGAGTTTGGCTGACCAAAGTCTCTAACCAGACAAGAGGTCCATTCTCTTACCCATCTCCCTCCACTTCTCAATGGCAGTCATTTTCTATTTCTCAGATGTTCGCCGCTCAACCACTCCAGAGCCGAAGAACACAAAGTCGATCAAGGAACAGGACGGCTTGAAATGCCATGAGTCTGAAAATTGGAACGTCAGATCCTCTCTCTCCTGTACCATCAAGGCTCGCATCGGCAGCATGGTTGGAAGATCCAGCCAACCCTGCCCTATTCACAGCGTTCCCCGACAACGACCTTACGGGGAGGTACAAACCTGGGGCCAGGTGTCTCTAGAGAAGAACGAGTATGCAATGTCGATCCGCTATTGCCGCGAGCGCTGCCGTGCTTGTAGTACTGTACGTTCCCAGTGACGCAGAGGTGAACAGTGTTTCGCACGGAACTTGGTGCTGTACTCCATACCATTAGAAAATATCCGCATGCCACTGGTATATCCATCCGTGACTTGCTACTGGAACCGGGCTGGTTTCTGTACGCAGTACTCGTGGCGAAAGCACGTACTCATATATGGACCCAGGGAGGCTTCGAGCAGCTCGTGATTCCCGTCAGCGTTCTGCTATCTGAGCATGAACGAAAGTTGCAGGCCGCGATAGTAGCTAATATGTGGTTAGAATGCGTGTCTAGCCATCAACTACTTGTAGTCGTCCTGACGTTATTGATTACTTCTTAGGTACGGAGTAGAGAGCTGGAAGAGGCCTCACACAGTATGGAGTAAAGGCGTACTACGTGTTATATACTCCGCCGGACGATGACAATCCGTTACCACCAATCGGTGCCGTCCAGCTGCATCCGCCGTCAATCCCGTCCTCGCCGTCCATGGATTCATCTTTCCCTCTGGTTCGAAAGAGCTGTGAGAAGTTGAACAATCGCCTCTCCATCACGATCGCTCCTTCTCGCCCTGCTGTCCTCCCTTTCGCTACCGCTCCTCTGTACTCAAGCTGCCTCGATCCACCTTCAAAATGTCGTCAACGCTATCCTTCGCTCTGCGCCGTTCCATCGGTCTCTTCTCACACCACAACTCGGTTCTCCGCACGCAGAGACGGTTTGCCCGCGTGCATGACGTCCGCTTCGTTGCGACTCAGAACAAAAAAGAGCAGATACTTGATAGGTATAGGGAGAAGTTGGAACAAAAGGCGAAGTCGGAGGGACATGATTCGATCTCATCACTGAAGGAAGCGTATAAGGATAAGGTTGAGAGTTACAAGAGCGCGAATCCTGTACCTTTACCGACTGCAGCAAGTCAACCCCAGGCGACGAACCACTCGCCCTTCCAGCAGCCTCCGCCACCACCGCCTGCACCCCAGTCTACATCTCCGTCACAAGCTGGAAATGCCCCTGCGACGCAGTCCTCCGGCGCGCCGGGCATAAGACCTCTTTCCTCATACCTCGACCTCGGAAAGGTCTCCTCTCTACCAAACAAAGAGGTAGAATACATTTGGCGGCTCCGTCATGCCAACGACCCCTTGTCTCTCTGCGCTGTCATTCCTCTTGAAATATACAACCGTATCTACCGCACCGCGCGGCGACACCCGCAGTTCGTCCTGCCCCTACCGCGACCTGTGGCTGAGGATGGAAGCGGCGATGTGAAACAAGCAGACCAAGGCTTTGAAAGCGGCGCGGCAAGATCCGCGGCGGACATCCACTTTTTGCAATGGGGATTCCATCCTCCCGCAGCTACCCGGTCGAACCCAGTCGCCAACACTGCCAACACGCATACGAGCACTGTGCTATTCACGCATTTGGCGGCATTCAAGGTGCATGGCACATATGCACAGCCACATACGACCATTACACACCATCTTGACCTTGCTGACTCCCACGGCCTAGTCCTGCTGAACGGGTCGGTTGTCAAAGGGCGCGGTGTAAGCGTTGAAGAAGGCCGGTGGCTGTTGATGTGCCTGCAAAAGTTTTATGACTATGAAGGCCATGGTGGAGGTATCGGGCGCGAGAAGCGGCAGGGACTGTTGGAGAAATTCAGCAAGGGCGACCAGGGCTTCGACCTGGAAGAATTGGTCGACGAAGCTGAAAGAGTCTCGTGAATGACTTCGTTGAGTTAGCCAACCGGCTCACTTCGTAAGTCGTCTCGGCTGACGTCAACATCCTTCTTCTCGAGATCTTGCTTCTCTCGTCGGGCTCCGAGCACTTCATGAACCAGGAATTCCCATATCGCATCAAAATATCCCGGTTCAGCCACGGTTGAGTTGTGGTCACCATTCGGGAAGTCCTTCCACACTTTGCGAGTAGGACATTGGTTGTATAGGTCCTTCATCATCGATGGCGGCACAATCTCGTCGCGGAGGCCAGACAGGAAGAGGACTGGGATGTCTTTGTCTCCAACTTTCGAGATGCTCTGCTCCGAATCCCAGCGCTGGTGACAAAGATATGCGAGATACTTGGCTGGGGGCATAACCGAGGGAATCAACTTGCGGATCGACAAAAAAGTGTTTTCCAGGATGACCGCTGCAATATCGCCAGCCTGGTAGTTCGTCTGCAAGAGTTTAACGGCGACGGCACCACCCAAACTCTGTCCGTACAGCACGATGTGGGTCTTCCTCAGCTCTTCATGGTTTCGCACATAGTCCAGCGCCGTTTGTCCATCAACTGACAATCCATCTTCACTGGGTGAACCAGTCGACGAGCCGTATCCTCGATACTCGACCATGAAGACATGGCACCCTAGGCTCTCGGACAAAACCTTGCCGATAGGGAGTCTGTGGCCAACGTTTCCGGCGTTGCCATGGAACATTAACAATGTGATGTTCTTCCTCAGAGAGGGAGTGGGAGGTCGCAGCAGGTACGCATGAAGTGTTTCGCCGTCTGGCGTGGGAAAGTTTATAGACTCTGCACTCTTGAGGTGAAACTGTTCAGGTCTAGGGACGTTCGTCCTAGAGCCCGCAGGTAGACTCGCGGGATAGATGATGTCGTTCTGCTTGAAATAGAGTAGACTGCTGCCTAGGGCCGCAAGCCCGGAGGTAGCAAAGACAGGAATCCGCAGCCAGGATAGATATGAAGACATGGTGGATGGGCGACCAAGGCGCAGATTGCACGGTCGAAGTACGACAGGGGCAATTTTAGGGCGGCGCATGCATTATACAAAGTGACAGGATGTAGTGTCTTAAGAATGGACAGCACGATCAATAGCGATGTACTACCACAATAAGGAAGTCAACTGTGTTTCGTTGCGAGATAGGTGCAAGGAGAGCTGGCGGTGCATTGCGTGGGGAAGTTGCGAACTAGGCAGCTTAGGCGAGCATTTAAGCGCCTGAGCCGCCGGAGGTGCCAATGCAGGCGTGTTTAATTAGTCAGGTTGGCGGAACGAGTATTTCTTGCCGCGCAGCTTCCACTCGCCTGGGACCCAGATTTGGAGACGCGTTTACTGGTGTGCCTTACTCCGTACTGCGCTGCGCAATTCAGCATACCTTCAATTTCACTTCGCTGCGATCTCATCGGCTGCTTGACACTCCAATCCTATTCAACCTGACTCGCAAGCCTTATCACCAGCCTCCACTGTCTGCAGGTTGTTCGATATCCCTGAACCCACGGTACTCTGCCAAAATGATCGGTCCAGGAACGGGCATGCTTGGAGAGGATGGCATCCACGTCGACATGAACCATTTGAAGTCTGGTGAAGTCAACCTGGGAACATCAATCATGGCGATCAACTTCAAAGACGGGGTCATTCTAGGGGCCGATAGTCGGACAACTACAGGGGCCTACATCGCTAATCGAGTAACGGACAAGCTCACCCAAGTACACGATACGATCTGGTGCTGTCGGTCGGGATCAGCAGCCGACACTCAAGCTGTAGCGGATATTGTGCAGTACCACCTGGGGATGTACGGCATCATGAACAACGAGTCTCCGACTACTCAAACTGCTGCTGCCCTATTCCAGGAGTTGTGCTATGACAACAAAGACCAGCTAAGGTGAGCCAATGCTTGTTGCTGGCACATTGACATTTGTACTTACTCCTACTAGTGCTGGCATGATCATTGCTGGGTGGGACAAGCGGAATGGCGGACAAGTCTACTCGATACCTCTGGGTGGCTCTCTGCACAAGGGACCATACGCAATCGGCGGCTCGGGTTCAACATACATCTATGGTTTCTGCGACGCACATTGGAAAGAAGAAATGACGGAAGAAGAAGGCATCAGTTTTGTCAAGCAGGCGTTGAGCGAGGCGATCAAGTGGGACGGCAGTTCAGGAGGCGTCATTCGGATGGTTGTGTTAACCGCGAAAGGTGCGCAGCGACATCTGTACCTCCCAGACCAAGGGTATAAGGGACCAGGAAGAGACTGAGGGCAAGTGGCAGTGGGAGGGCGTCATGGATGCATCGGCGCACACGGTTAAACACGTTAGACATCAGCATGTCAACAGCGAGATGTGGTTTGGCGTAGAACCTTCTTGGGTGACCTGCTTGTCGGCCGCCAGAGAGTCGCGCAACAGCCACCTAATAGTGGCCTTTTATGCAAAATGACGTCTTGCAAGCAGCGCATCTTGGGGAGTGTCTGGCAACTGCGCCTCACGTCTTCAAAGCCCAACCCAATTCATCCCGAAATAATGCCCGTCTTCCCATGCTTTCTTGTTACATTCTGTTCACCTTTCCATTATCCCCCGCCACTCGCATCGATCGGGTCTACCGTTGGAGACGGGACCATACACAAGCTCGACAGGCAGCAATAACCTCTTCCTTCACAAACGACCTGCGGCATGTCTTTGGTAAGTAATCGCATGTTTCCGTCCCCCACCGCCTCGTTACCGGCTGCGCTTGTGCAGCACATGCTAGCTCTCCCCCGACTACACAATGCACAACTCCCCTTAAAGCCCACTCATCGTCTGCAGCAGTATCACTTCGGCGCTCGAGTAACAACTAGTCGTCTGCAATCGCGAAATTGACACGCTTTTGCCCGTCCTAGCCCGCCGTTGGCGCCTGCACACCCCACTTGTTCCTGTTAGTTGCGCGACTTCAGCTTTCAGAACGGCTATTGAAGATCAGGCTGTACACTTTGTCGCGTCAGGCTGAGATTGGTGCATACATGCGTTTAACCAACTATCATTTGCGGAGACCTTTACCTAGAAAGAGGCTAACAGTGCCGGCCACAGACATTCTACGGAGAAGGTTGAGATGGGCTCATTGGTGATGAGCCAAGTGGCGCCGGGACTCGGTCAGCATCCCTATCACCACATGATGGTCGACAGCAATCCTCATCGGGACGACTCCTCCAGAGGATACACCGCGTCGTCTGCACATATCCCTCCAGCCCAGGAGCCGTCCGAAGACCGGGCGACCTCCAAGTCGAATCCCCACCACGATGAAGCCGATAGTGATCTTCCCTCCTCCCAGCGATACTACCCCCAAAATGTGAACCAACACTCCCGTGGGTTTGATCAGTCAGGCTTCCCCTTGACTGCGGATTCTCGGGCTGTTGTTGCAGAATCCCCACCATCGCCGCGGCTTCAACCTACATATCGTTCCACCAGATCTTTGGGCGCGTCAGAAGCGAGTTCTCCGAGTCGCATCAAGTTAAGAGATTTGTCACACATCCGAAGCCTTGCCAGTGATGAATACCTAGCCCGCCCTCGACTGGGTGGAAGGTCAGCCAGTGCCTTCTCCGATGCGGGAAAACAATATGAAATCAGCGCCATGCCAGTTACCGACATCATTGAGATGGTCGCAGGCCTTCTCACAAAGATAACCACCACAAACGATCGACAACACGAGCATCATCGCCCCATTCCACTCACAGAGGAACAGAGCCACCTCAATCCGCACGCATCTTGTGTGCTGGCTTTCCACGGCAAGAACGTTCCGGGAATAACAATCCTGAGCTATCTGAGTAGAATTCATAAGTATTGCCCTACCACATATGAAGTTTTCCTGAGCTTGTTGGTCTACTTCGACCGTATGACTGAGATGGTCAACCGGGGCCTGCTACGGGATGGGCAGAGGCGACCCACAGATTCACCTGCCACCGCCCCGGAGTCTTCTACTCCCACTCCCCGGTCTCCTGTATCGATGCATGTGGACAGTCCCCAGGAGCATCATGACATTACCAACCCGGCGTCTCCAGCCGACTCACGACCTCAGTCTCAACAAACACCCACTTCGCCTCCTCAGCCAGGCAGCGCACAAGACTTATGCCAGTTCTTCGTCGTTGACAGCTACAACATACACCGTCTTGTAATCGCCGGAGTCACGTGCGCCAGCAAGTTCTTCTCGGATGTCTTTTACACCAACTCGAGATATGCAAAGGTACGTCTAAAGCTTAGACAAAATCTTACCTTTCTGCCTCTGTCTGTCTGTCTTCTAATGCTGACACACATGACCTGCAGGTTGGAGGTCTGCCCCTAGCCGAGCTCAATAACCTCGAGCTCCAGTTCCTCCTTTTGAATGACTTCAGGCTTTCCGTGCCGGTAGAGGAACTCGAAGCTTATGGTACGATGCTTGTCGAGTTCTATGCTCGAGAGCTACTTGCACAACAACAAATTATCGAACAGCAGCAACAAGGTGGCTCCGCTGTTTCATCACCTCCTTCGGCTGGGGGGGGAGAGGGCATGTACATTCGCGGCGGATCGTCCTCGCAGGCTGATGCACCGTAAGCTCCACCTACTTCCTGAAGATACCGGCATCAAAGAAGAGCTGCTTCTCCATGGTCAAATTGACGAAGATGAAGAGGTTTTTAAGATCAGCCGCTTCTGTTGTGTCATGCGGGGAACTTGCGGGTTATGACCAGGACACAATACCTATTAGACCAGATGTTTTGTTACAATTGTTCAGTTTTGCGTCGGTTCACCTTGGCGAGTACTTGGAGGTGCTTGTGCAGGGTACGTTGAACGTGAAATGAGCTAGATGACCAACGAAGACGCGCTTTCAGGGGTCGCCATGAGAGTTTTGCGTTCGTTCTCCTACCTCGGCTGATATATGAAGAGGCCATCTGTGCCCCAGTTCAGACAGGACAATGCCATGAAAGTGATGATGAGAATATGTTGATTTCGAGTGGCCCTTGATGTGAGTGATGGTTGAGCCTCTCTGGTTCCTAAGAGAACGCTTTCAGTCACGTCGTGTGTCAAGCCAAACAACTTCGATTCGAGCTGTGGCACTGAACAGCTGTGGTGCTGGACCTTCCGTCTTTCCGCTGCTGTTCCTTTCGATGTTGGCGCGCAATGTGATGCACCTAGCAGAGATCTCAAAACGCCGTATGAGGGCTCTCAAGGCTCATCCATCCGCACCGACGCCGGCCATTAACCTGCCACTCGAGACAATTGCAACAGCGCCCAAAGAATAAGCGACAGCCGGTCCAGTCAAATCCGCCGCAGATTACTCAACTGGGGCCTGAATGTGCGTCCAACAGTCGACAGCTCGTCGCACAGTACTGCTTATCTGGTCGACAGGACGTGTCCGACCCCCGTCCGAGGCGACCATGTTCATAACCTACATAATTATCTCTGCTTTGATTGCAAAGCGTCTTGCATAATCGCGGTCTACACGAAATGAAGGGTTGGGACTGATACTCGGCCGATTCGAAGATTGTCCTAATTAGGTCCTCCGATCGAATCGCTCGTAGATGGCTTGAACTCTGGCCTGCTCTGGAATTAGGTCTCGCGTATGTAGTAGATGCCCAAGTACACGTACATCTACCGTGGACAAAAGACTCGGTGTAGCGATGTAGATCGGACCCGACGACCGCAAGGGGGCTGGTACAGTATTCAGGATGCAATGGTGGAACGATCTCGTGCAGTTGGTATATACATGATAACTGCGGTCCACAGAGTGATTAATTACAGTAGTCGTCCAGTCCATCTCAGCACTGCTGATCCCACTCAGCTCCACTGGGTTAAAATAGGGCGCGCACTCGACTCGAGTTCGCTTCTAACCGTTGCCTATGCATCATTATGTATTTGTGTACGGAGTACGAGGTGCGGGGACGCGTCGATGTGACGACTGACGAGACGGCACGCCGGAGGCCAGGTGCCCTACCTAGGTAATTAGGTATGGTGGATAATGACGGACGATGACAACCGTCAAGCATGTTAGTACAGGGTGAGTCAAGGCCAATGAACATGGTGCACTGGATTCATACTCCTTCACGGACTCGGGTTTGTGAGCGGTTATGTAGGCCAGTTCAGCGTTCCAACACCGGCGCTTCATGAAGTGGCGTCATGGCTTCCCCTATGTCGGATGCAGCCTCGCGCAGCCTTGTGCGTCATGTCATGGTGGTGTGGCTGCCGCTTTTGAGGCGTCGGGGTTTGCATCTCATGTCGAGACAAGTCAGGAACAGGGGAGGTGAAGTATGGAAAGTCGAGGAAACGAAAGGGGAGGGAAGGAAAGTCAGGGAAGAGGACGCGATTGGCTTATTGTGAAGGACCTGAGCAAGGCCGAGTACATGTTCATTCGTCTCTGAAACGCAACCCGACTCATAAGATACACCTATCTTACTGTATCCTATCCTATTCTACCTATCTTGTCATATTCCCAAGTCATCCAAGGAATGTGACGGAAAGCAGATCATCAAATTGCAAAGCTCCAGACTCCAAATGCACAGTAAGAACTCCCCCGCATGCAATGCCTCGTGGTGAATGACAGTCTAAACAACACGACACGGGGCATTCATCTGCCAGCCAAACAACACAGAGTCCACCTCATCACCAAGCCAATTGCGCCTTACTGCCCGAGGAGTCGCAGGCCAGGCCGGAACAAAAGTCGAGATCCTTGCCCGTGACCATGGCGCTGCCATCGCCCGGTAGACGCTGCCTCGCGGGCCAGATCTCCCTCTTCTCCGCGGTTTCCTTCCTCCAATGCTCCTGCACGATCTCGCGACAGCGCTGTTGGAAATATAACGGGCCTTTCTCCATCTTGGGGTGCATTTCGCCGTTGACGAACACGCCCGCCCGTAGATTCCGCTGGGTCAAATCGCAGAGGTACTTGTCCTCTTTCATGACACGCTTGTAGATGGCGTCGATGTTCTTGAAGTCTTCAACGGCCGACTTGGTGTTGCGGTAGACTTCGTACTGCATTAATGTTTTGCTGGGGGAGATGGGCACAAAGCGCTGTGTGTAGAAAAAATGTGGTCTGAGAGGGCGCATGTTAGTTGATGCTTAGTGTCAGAATGTTGCAGATACTTACGTGATGGTCATGGAGTTGTTTGGGAAGAAATATGTCGGTGCGACAGTCAGGCCGGCGGCCGCTTGTTCCGGCTTCGTCGCTGGATTGTGTAAGATGGCGCCGGCTTCGGTATCCACCGAGTAGGAGGTCAGGTCGGCGATGGCGGGGATGTCTGGGTGGACTGTCTTGCAGTGGTAGCACTCGTTGTAGTTGTCGGCTGCGATCTTCCAGTTATAAGCTCCTTCCATTTCCCAGGTGTGGTCGTACTCGAAGTCGTCCCAGTTGACGCCGTCGTAGCGTGGCAGGTTTTCAATGCCTTGGAATTCGTCGGACCAGGGGATTTCCGGCTCCGATTTGGCATCGAGATTCACCCAGATGAAGCCGTTGCCGTCGATATGGATGTGTATGGGGAACAGACTATTCTTGGTCTTGTCGAAATCGGGAAGGTCCTGGTAGCCTGGTGCTTTGGCGAGCTTGCCATTGAGCCCATATGACCAGCCGTGGTAGAGGCAAGAGAAGATTTTGGCCTGGCCCGAATTCTGCGTCACCACGGGGAAAGCGCGATGCCGGCAGACATTGTGGAAGCCATTGATTTTACCTTCCCGATCTTTGCACAGCACGAACTGGAAGCCTGCTACATCGTAGCGTAGGTAGTCACCGGGCTCCCTGAGTCTGAGCTGGTGTGTGATCATCATCCACTTCCGGGAGAATATTGCTCGTCGTTCGAGCTCGTACATCTCTTCTGAGGTATACCATGAGGCCGGCAGCGCCCTGACGGATGAAGCCGACTCATTCTTGTTGCTTGCGGATGAACCACCGAGGCCAAGGTATCCTAAAAAGGGCAGCATCGTGGAAGAAACAATGATTTCAGAAATGTTGTATAGGAGGTATCACACGCAGTCTTCAAGAGCAGTATGACTGTGAGGGTGAAGCACTGGGTAAGAATCAGGCGTCTGGTAGCCTGCCCCTTTATCTTTCCCAACCTTATCGTGATCGGTGACATCGCATGTGGGAGGGCGGTCCCTTGGTGCATTGGGCACCTCGCACATTGATTCACGGCTCGTACTGCTCCATGGGGGGAGCCTGTCCTCCGACCAACATGGACGGCTTGGGCAAAAGGGGTCTCTCAACCCGGTAGTGTCTCCTACCTAGTCTAGACCTCGTCATGAGCAAGCGATGGGTGCTTCGGAGCGAGTATGTCGACGCTGCGGACATTCCTCTGACTAATTCCCGCTCCGCTGCGGCAAGTAATCGAGTGCTGCAATGGCCTGCTGGTTCCATGGTGTGAGGTCAACAGGAAGGCCGTGTGGCGCACCGCTATTGCGATAACCAAGCGGTGACTCGAGGATGCTGAGTGGTCGTGACCTGTCACATTCCAAAGGGTCAAGGAAAGGATTGATAGCACATGAGCGGTCCGCTGTCTAAATTCGGTATCCCAGACCATTGACTAGCCTATCTTCGACTGACAGGCCATCCAACGTCCAACCTCGTCTCGGATTGACCCGAGACAACGAGAGCGAGTTGAACCATGAAACCCTTATCTGGCGACCTCTTCGCTTAGTGGAGCGGATCGCGGAAGTGGCAATTGAAGCTTTAGTAAGATCTGCGAACCGGGGGAGTTGGGAATGGTCGACTTTGCCCTTAACCATGAATAGAAAAAATTCACGGAGTCCCGGCAATAAGCTCTCGGCTCCAGCTACCCTGGATCACCTGTGGAAGCGGGATCGCCTTCACCCATGGGGTGATAGAGTACATGAGAACGAGCATTGTGCACGCAATCTGCCATGATGTCGTCACGAGAACCGCGCAGGAGATGCTGTGAGATGCGAAAGTGATAACTGCGTCGTCGTGGTAAGAGTCTTCGAAATAATCAATTAACGAAATGCAGGTGAAAAAGAGGGGAAGCGGGGCACATCGCCGTCACGCATGATTGGCCAGCACAGCAAATGCCAAGACTCTACGTCGCGTCAGCTGCGCGCACAACACAATCACCCGCTCACCTCAACTTTCACCCCTCCACCAGCGCTGTCAAGGATCGTGTATCCAGTCATGCATGATCCAGACCTCGTATTATCAGTCCGCTTGTCGGAAGCCGATAGTCCCTTGCGCAGCTAACCCTCTTTCGTTAGGACTTCCATACAGGCAGGTAGGACCACACTTCCAGTTCCAGGGCATCGATTCCATGAGCAGCTAACGGTATAATCACCTGGTGCTGTTACGGTTGTTTTTATTTTGTTGTCGACTTTGGCTCTGGCGTTATTTGGAGACTTGATATTGTCGCCCATGCTGTGATCCCCAAAGTCTGGCGTGTCAGTCTTGCTCACTTTACTAAGCCGACCAAGCCTGGAGATCTCTATTACACAATGGGTTCAATCGCACCAGCAACTCAACCCCGCGTTGTGATTATCGGAGCAGGCATTGTCGGTACCAACCTCGCCGACGAGCTGGTGTCGCGAGGATGGAGCGACATCACGGTCATCGACCAAGGGCCCCTGGACCTGCCGGGCGGGTCAACGTCACATGCTCCTGGTCTGGTTTTTCAAACGAATCCGTCGAAAACCATGACCCTGTTTGCAAAATATACCGTCGAGAAGTTATTGTCACTGGAGTCTGAAGGTCAAAACTGCTTCAATCAGGTTGGCGGCCTCGAGGTAGCAACTACCCCTGCTCGACTGGAGGAGCTAAAGCGGAAGCATGGCTATGCCTCGTCATGGGGTGTCGAAGCGCGTTTGGTCACCGCTGATGATTGCCTCGGACTCTACCCTCATCTGAACAAGGACATGGTTCTTGGCGGTCTGCATATCCCTAGCGACGGTCTGGCTTTGGCAGCACGCGCAGTACAGCTGCTCATCTCCCGGACGCGGGAGGCCGGCGTTCGCTATCTTGGCTCAACTCCTGTCATTGGCATTGAGCGATCGAAAAACCAAGTCACCGGCGTGACGACTCCCAATGGATCGATTCCTGCCGATATTGTCGTCTCTTGTGCAGGCTTCTGGGGCGTCGAGGTCGGAGCCATGATCGGGTTACCCATCCCTTTACTGCCACTCGCTCACCAATATGCCAAGACCACTCCCGTGCCTGCCTTGGCCGGCAAGAACCCACAACCAAACGGCGCAAGCCTGCCCATTCTGCGCCACCAAGACCAAGACCTCTACTACCGCGAACACGGCGACCGATACGGTATTGGCTATTACGGGCACAAGCCAATGCCCGTCGTAGCCTCCTCGCTGGGCTTAACACCGGAGCACGTCGACGAAAGGAATATGCCCTCTCGCCTCGACTTCACCCCCGAGGACTTTGAGCCGGCTTGGAAGGAGACTCAGAACTTGCTCCCCACCCTGAAGGATGCCGAAGTTGCTGACGGCTTCAATGGCATCTTCTCTTTTACCCCCGATGGCGGACCATTGGTTGGACAAGCTCCCCACTTAGACGGATTCTATGTGGCAGAGGCAGTGTGGGTGACACATTCCGCGGGCGTGGCCCGTGCTGTGGCCGAAGTCCTGACAGAAGGACGGTCCCGAATCGATCTTGCGGACTGTGAGCTTACGCGCTTCGAGGAGGTACAACTTACACCGCAATACATCAAGGAGACGTCACAGCAGAATTTTGTCGAAGTCTATGATATCCTACACCCACTTCAGCCAAAGGAATCGCCCCGCAACCTACGCGTCAGTCCTTTCTACGCCCGACAGCGTGAGCTGGGCGCTTACTTCCTCGAAGGCGGGGCTTGGGAGCGCCCATACTGGTTCGAAGCAAACGAGAAGCTGATCGAGGTTCTGCCAGAGGAGTGGAAGCCTGTCGAACGTGATGCCTGGTCTTCCAGATACTATTCACCCATTGCCGCAGCAGAAGCCTGGAAGACGCGCACCGCTGTGGCAATGTATGATATGACGCCTCTCCGACGGCTGGAGGTATCGGGACCTGGAGCCGCCGAGTTGCTGCAAAAGCTGTGCACGGGTAACGTTACCCTGAAACCAGGTGCTGTTACATACACGTTGTTTCTCAATGAATTCGGTGGGGTCCGGAGTGATCTCACCGTTGCCAGAATTGAGGAAGAGCTCTTCCAAGTCGGCGTCAACGGACCTGTCGACACCGCCTATGTCACCCGAGCAGCGCGCTTGCAGAGTCGAGAAACACCCGAGAAATGGGTGCACGTCAGCGATATCACTGGGGGCACCTGCTGCATTGGCCTCTGGGGACCTCTTGCACGGGAGGTGATCAGTATTGTCAGCAGTGACGACTGGTCGAACAAGGGACTGCGATATTTCCGGTGCAAGAAAGCAAACATTGCCGGCATACCGGTTAGGATTATGCGGCTGTCCTATGTCGGTGAACTCGGCTGGGAGATCTACACTAGCGCAGACCGAGGCCAAGCACTGTGGGATGCCCTATGGAGGGCTGGACAGCCTCATGGAGTCATTGCCGCAGGCCGCAGCGCTTTCAACGCCCTGCGGTTAGAGAAAGGCTATCGATCCTGGGGTACTGATATGACCACTGAACATGACCCGTATGAGAGTGGACTCGGATTCGCAGTCAAGTCGGGCAAAGAAGGCTATGTTGGTAGCGTTGCACTCAAAGGACGCTCCGTGGAGACCGTTACCAAACGCCTCCGCTGCCTAACCATCAACAACGGGAAGTCCATGGTTCTGGGCAAGGAACCCGTTTTCGTCGATGGCAAGCCAACTGGGTACGTTACCAGCGCTGCGTTCGGCTATACGATCCGCAAACCTATCGCCTATGCTTGGTTGCCCAGCACGGTCGGCGAGGGCGAGTCTGTCGAGATTGAGTATTTTGGAAAGAGAATTCCTGCCACCGTTACCCCTGAGCCGTTGTTCGATCCAGATATGAGCCGGTTGCGCGGATGATCCTGCTGTCAGGAACGACGTCGGTTACTGAATGGTAGAAAACGTGCAAGAGATGCGGTGTTGACAGGCTTGTGGGTTTCTTGGTTTGGCAAAGAGTTAACATGCTCGAAGACTCGCTTCTGACTTAGCTAATCATTTCCATAGTTTGCAAATTTGCAACTTACCGCCTCTAGGGATTTTACAGTCGCATGGATCTTCATGGACTCGGAGACATCCTTCATTCGTGGCAATCAGCTCGCCGCCCATAGCAACACCACCTCCGATATAAGATTTCCAGCGCGACAAAATCAATTGACGAAGCCAATGCGACTGTTCAGCTCAACGACACCTAAGCCAATTGCTCACGGCCGGTAGCAACAAGCGCCGCCTACATCTCGTCTCTCCGTCCTAAGCATCATTACCAATGCGACATCATCAACCCGTTATATCCAATGCGACATTTGCAGATCGAAAAACCAGGGATATAGCTCATTCCAGACAACCGACGAAACCTAAGCAGTTGTACCTCGATACGACTTGAGACATCCAAGTCGAAATATTCGAGCTCCCTAGCGCGACATTTTCAGCTCGACATTGATAGATGCAATGTGTTAGCACACCTATTCGTGCAGCACGTCTGATATACCTTCGAGATCAACGCCATCCCGAGCGCGCCATACGCGAAGAACTGTAGCCAAATCACTGCAGGCGACATCTTGTTCCATCCTCTCTGTCGGTCCATCCATAGCGGCATCCCAACCCCACGGAAGCAAGAAAAATGTCCTCCCCAACGGGGCAGTCTTAACACCACTGTCACACTCACGACTCATACGAGTACGTTCGACCACTGTAAAGCAACGTGGGAATATCTTGATTTTCGAAATATAGCTTTGAGGGATGCGATCAGGTGAGATTCGAGTTCCGCGAAACCTTCTTTCCTAAAATCGAAGATGTTTGGGGAGGCACGGCAGAGAGAGCCAGGTCAGCCGCAACCGGAAGGACTATCGCTATGGATATTGTTGGCCCTTCTCCGGTGCAACCACACGGTACCTGAATGAAGTACACGCCCGAACGAGCTCGTACGCGTTATTTCAGGGTTATATTGTTGCCTTTGGTATTCGCACTACACCGCGCGCAAGCAGGACATTCGGAGATTCATGCAGCACCTTGAACGAGCGTTATGGTTGGAGATGGCGATCGTGACTGAGACCGAACGCAAATCTGCGAAAGACGACACTTACACCTACGATCGGAATCGGTGCTACAACATAATAACAAAAGGAAGGTAAGAAGGAGCGATTCAGCGAACAAGTCGACTGGGAAGGGCACGGGGAGAGATGTCGCCAGGGATATCTTGCTGTACCCGACGAGGCCATATCCGCTGACCATACCGCTTCGCCAGGATTGAGGTTGAAGGGCACGACTCCGACGAACGCGTTACTTCCGGGCCTGCTAGACGAGAAGTCGCATTGTTTGACCTTCTCGGCACTTTTGCGAGCGAGGAGAATAGCAAGGGAAATGCCAGGTGACGACAGTTCGAATCCCGTTGCGACGGACACGGCATCCGGAGCAACGATTGATCGCTGCTGTTTCCATCACGAAGAAAAAATTGACGTGGCAGGCGCAAGGTAGGTCTACCCCTTCGAGCAGTCTCGATATCTTGACCAAGAGGGTCACCGGTATCGATTGCTTCACGGTAGGATTTCATTCACAGTACGTTGCAGGCAGGCATGTCGCACTCTACAATTCCCGCATGCATCATCCCCCAAGGGATACAGCATCACACAACCAGAGCAGGGAAACCGATCCTCGTCTTGACGATGCAATGCATCCATGCCTGCATACGAGTACATGCGATGCGTGGCAAACCGAGGGACAGGCGGGCCGACATCCTACTGTGGAAGTGTAGTGGTTGACTTTGAACAGCCTTTATCGCGCCTCGTTAAGTGGTGTGTGTCTTACTCAATTTAGCCTTCTTGTCTAACTTGGGAGGCACCCATGGAGCATATATGAAAGCGCTTGTCATGCGTCAGCGGCATGTGCATGTGCTCCCTCAAACGCTCACCGTCATGTAAGTCCAAAGTGTGGGCGTATGTTACCCCAGTCTGGTCCGGGCTGGCTGATCAATGCAGGTGGCAGGCATGCGGGCGGGTGGAGCATCGCTTCTGGATGCATGGTCTAGGCCGCAAGGGGTAACGAGATCCATTAGCGCCGGTGAGTACTTATCTGTGGCGCGCACGACTTGCATCCCGCCCTCACAATACCTTTCCTGGCGCAGAGTTCGCGGTTGCAGTAGGTGTCATGGAGAGGCTCGTTTCCCCGGTCGAGGATCGATGCATCGGGACAGACACGACGAGGCTCACCAGCGAGCGGGCCGAGTGTTCATCCTGGTCGCTTACACTGGATTGGGTGAACGGAGGACATGGCATTCGAGACTCGGGCTTGCCACTGCGGCCAGCCCGACGATGACCTGAGACTGACCCATCCTGGGCGGTGAGGAGTGAGCCTACAGTGTTATGAGGTGATGCAAGTATGGCCTCCAGAGAATGCGGCTTCAGGTACTTCGAAGGAGAATGTCGAATACCACCGTTCGTTAGCCGTGAACTGGCGTCCAGAGCCACCGGGACGAACGCAGGTATGTCAGTAGATAGATGGTAGATTCCCCGTAGTTTTCAGAGGCTGTAGGGACACGGACAACGACTGCGGTGTCGACGACTCAACCAATCTGCGGTTCGACATAGGCGTCTTGAGGGCTGAATGAGTCTCTTCTCGGATTTGTCTACGATAATACCATAGAATCGACCGCCTGAAAAGGGTTCTATCCTCGCTATTAACTATTGAGCTAACCATGTAGACACGATATGTACTTCGAACCGCCATACATTCATTTTGTCTTCCTGAGATACCGCTGGCACAGGTACAGTAGCATCGCGAGATTCCCCAACAGAAATGCCAATGCAGTGCAGTTGCAATACGCCATGATTAATTCTGCCCTACGGTCATTACAGCTTCGCCCTCAACTGTGGTTGCCCCTGCCACTGCCCCAGGCTCTGCCCCTGCGTCGTCTCCTTCCCATCAATCAAATCCCTCATCTCGAACCTCGGAAAATCCGCAAACAGCGCCGGATCCGGCCGGTCGCGATCCCAGGCCCACTTCTCCCTCAGCTCGGGCGCCAGCTCGCCCTCGAGCATCTGCACCACGTACTTGCCCAGCACGGGGAAGAACTTGAAGCCGTGAAACGATCCGCAGGCCGCGACGTACAGGCCCTGCGCCGCGGCGTGGGGGGAGATGATGAAGTCGCCGGACGAGGTGAATGCGTCCCTAGTAAGACGCGGGAGCGCGAATGTTAGCGGATGTCACCAGGAGTATGTTCAGACTTTATTATTAGGGGCGCGGGGCGTTCGCGCACACACAAAAGGCGGCACTTAATTGACTCACCAGCAAATCCGATGCTTCTCCATCTTCCAGGTCGCGCCCTTGCGGCCGTAAAAGACGGTGTTGGCGTGGTTGATGTCCTCCTTCAGCCGTCCGGAGACGTCCCACTGCGCGTAGTCCCTTTGGGCGGGCGGCGCCGAGATGTAACGGCCGGGGACTACTTCGTGGGTGTTTTTGAAGATGGTCTGGCCCCACCATTTGAGCTCGCGGTCCGCGGTGGGCGGGAGGCTGCCGATAAAGGGGCCTACAAGTGTGTCAGCACGGTACCGCGTGGCCAAAAAGACAGATTCAGGGGATGGAAGCGAGGTGAGAAACCAAGCAGAGGGAAGCGAAGTGTCCATACCTGCCGTAGGAGTATACCCCTGGACGCCGACGGGCATGTTGGCGAACCGGCCGTAACTTGCGTCATCCAGCTTCGTCATGCCCGTCGTGATCCCCCCAGCCACGATCCTGTCGTCGGCTCGAAGATCTGGTTTCCCTGTGCCCTCAGCACTCAACTCGAGCAATTTGGGCGTGTATGCCCCCGTGCTGAGGATGACGTGGGCCGCTCGTAGACTCTGGCCCGTCGAGGTTCTGACGCCGACACACCGGCGGCCACCACCGTCTAACAGTAAGCTCGTGACCTCGGCGGTAACGTACTTGACGCCCAAGTCGATGCACTTCTTCGTGACAGCGCGCAAACAGTCGCCGGCCGCGCCCCATCCGCTGGTCTTGTTGACCAGCACCTCCTTGACGTCCGTGTAGTCGGCGTCCTCGAACAGGCCGCCGTACAGTTTGCGGGCCTCCTCGATAGGTAGAGCCTTGAGGTCGGCTTTGCGCCCCAGCTTCTTGTAGTTGTCGATGACTTCCTGGGCGTAGTCGCTGCGGCAGATCCAGAAGATGCCCGTCTTGTGGAAATAGGGTTTCCACAGCGGGTCGGTCTCGAAAACGTCTTGCGCCTCGAGCCCCAGTTGGCAGTAGATGATGTCGTCGTAGTCGGCGCGCACGACTTTGTTCCAGTCCCACGAGGCGGCGACGCGGCTGTCCGCATCGTAGGCGTCTCGGTCGACGATCGTGACTGAGGCGTGGGGATATTTCTGGATTAAGTGATAGGCGGTCGACACGCCGAAGACGCCAGCCCCTACAATGAGGTACGACTTGTCGGAGCCCATGGTGGCAATCAGTCGTCAATATGTGGCCTCAACGGTCGCCCCGGGTGCGTGAGGGATCACAGCAAGTTTATCGTGTCTTTCATATTTCTATCGGTGAGCCTGTGAGTAAGGAAGGGCTATACATATGGGCCGTTCTCGGCCATACGCGCCGTGGTGGGACGTCCGAAGTGCTTCCCATTCGGTGGAGAAACTGATCAAGTCGGGCATTATAACCATGAAAAGAAAAGCCTTCCAGTAGCGGATGACACGTGAGGCGGTCCGGCCTGATTACGGAGTACGCACGGTACGAGAACACCAACAGCCATGTTGCCATCTGTATTATTACACACTTCCATTTAATGCCGAGCGTCACTTCTTCAATATCTACACTTGCTGATTTCTCGGTCTGGGGTCCTGACGCACGAGTAACAACAGCATACAAATCCCACAATCAGGTGTCCTCTTGACGCTTCTGATCTTCAGAACATGGAAACTCCGGTGGCGGCAGTCTGCCAGCGACTCAACCCCAGCAGCAACGGAAATACCAACTTGCGAGCGAGACCTGGATATGGTCCCTTGGTGTAAGGCGACGGACTGTCTGCCATTTTTTCAGCTGCCACCCAGTGAAGAACTCGGACTTGCCCCCACGCATCATGGTAAGGGTTGACACTCATCTAGGTGCACTAGGCAAAGCATGGAATAAACGCATCTGATTTCAGTGCTGCGTATTCGGGACTTTTTGTTGTACAAGACCTCGCACTGAAGGCACAGTTCTCCTTTACCACTGAAAGAAGGCATCGACCAGCTCCACGAGCTCACCAGAAACAGACGTAAGGCTGATCGCCCGTCACTGTCCGCTTACTCACTAAATATACATGCCTCGTAAGATTGATCGTCATGCCAGACATGATCAATCGTCCTCATCCAGGACCTGCTGGAGAAATAGCCTGGCTGATGCACCGCACGTAACCCCTTAGCAATGAAACTTTTGTCTTCTGTCATGTCACAACATACACCGGCTTCCAGATGCATGCTTCCGACGCTGACTCAAGTTCCACGGAACAAAAACTGCATGTCCTCGGGAGTCAACTTGTCCAAAGCGACTTGGTCGTTGTTGACTGTGCCATTGATCATGTTCGCCTTCTTCTCCTGGAGCATCACCATTCTGGACTCGACCGAGTCTTCGATGCAAAGACGGGTGATCTTGCAAGGCCGACGTTGCCCGATACGGTGGCATCGATCTGCGGATTGCCATTCGGCAGCTGGGTTCCACCACCTGTGAAGAATCCAAGGTTAGCAGGGGGGTTGCCAAAGGGGGGGAAAAGGGGCTGCCGGCAGAACTTACGGATCAATAATGAACACCCTGCTGGCCTCCGTCAGGTTCAACGCAACACCACCAGCCTTGAGCGAAACAAGGAACACCTCCACGTCGACGTTGTTCATGAAATGTTCGATCGACTTCTGTCTCTGCGCCGGAGTCATGCTGCCGTCCAGCAGAACAGTCGAGAAACCGGATTTCTGCAACCGCCACTGTACAAGCTGCAACATCGAGGTGAACTGTGAGAAGACAATACTCTTGTGGGTCTGCTTCTTGCTGCGCAACTTGTACAAGTCATAAACCAACATCTCAATCTTGGTAGAGCTAGTCCAGTCCTCCATCTTAATGCGGTTGATGATGGATGATTTCTTGACGTTGTCTTCATCCTGCTCGATCTCGGGCTGGTCCCAGTCTATCACGAGAGGGATATGGCAGCGTGGACAGTCTGCGTCGGCCTCGGAACCTCCGTTGATACTACCAGCGAAGGACTGGACGTAGGACTTGGCACATTGCCGACAGAACTCGTGGCGACAGCGAGAGCGGATGGCTTCTTCGGCGGGTTCGTCGCAGATGCAGCACACGAGGACGTTCTGGCCACCTTCGGCGTTCTTGCGAAGGATCAGATCAGGATGGTTGGCGACCTGTCGCATTTGCATGATCAGGCCAAAGATGTTGGCGTAGTTGTTGAGCATGACACCTTGGCTAACGTAAGTGTCGAATTTGCGGGTTGAGTTGGACATGATGCTCTGAGAGAAGTCGCGTTCGATCTCTCCAAAGAATTCATTGTGGATGACGATCTCTTTGGGGGGTAGTTCCATGGACGAGGTGTGATCCTTCTTCATGCGCCGAAGCATGATGCGGTCGGTGATGAGGCGTAGTTTGTCCAGGCCAGCCTTTCGTAGCTCCTTGTTCTCCGCTTGCGTGATCGGATTGAGAATCTCCTGGTTGAAAACCGAGACATGGTTAAAGCCACTGTGTTTGCACGAAGTGCATCGCTTGGTTTCATCCTGGGACCAGTGGAGTTGGTGACAGTTACATGCCTTGCAGAAGTAGCAAGCAAATGGTTTGATTTCCAGGAACCGCAGAAGCGAGAAGAACTCGCCAATGCGGTTCTGGACCGGCGTACCGGACAGGCACCACTTGTAGTTGGCTTTCAAGGCGAAGCAGGCTCTGGCAACACCTGTAGTGCGAGATTTAATGCTGTGAGCCTCATCCAGAATCAAACGGTGAAACTTGATGGAATGCAGCACACTGTCCTCTTTGACGAGCCCGCCCCCACGGTTCCAGCCTTTCTCTTCTTTGCGGTACATGGACTCCAGGCCGGAATAGGAGACCATGATGACATCGTACTGCTTCAAGTCCTTGACCTTCATACTTTTGCACTTGGGATTGGCGGAGATATGGTAGATGAGGACCTTCAGTTTCCCATCGGTATACTCATTCATCTCAGATTGCCATTGCATCAGTGCAACGGGTGGGACGACAACGAGACTGGGAGCCTTGGCGGGATAATCGGACATGATCAAGCTGACCGCCTGGATGGTCTTGCCCATCCCCATCTCGTCACCGAGTAGGCCACCTGCCCACTTGGACTTTTCTTGCTTCATCATCCAGTCTAGACCTTCAAGCTGGAAAGGTTTGAGCTTGCGGTTGATACCAGAAGGCTGAGGCGCTTGGACGGGAACAATCCGAGGTTCCTTTTCGAGCTCAGTCCACATGGTCTTGATCTCGGGGTGAGCCTTCTCCAATTTCTTGCGTTCCTTGAGCTGGCGTCGCTTCTGGGGATGAAAGTAGTCTCGTCTCTCCTCCTCCGTCAGGGTGTCCCATTGGAGAGAAGTGATACCTCGCCGGCGGGGCGGCTTGAATCCCGATCTGCGACGAGCATATCCCGATTCCGGTGCAGAAAGGCCGTCATCAACAGCATCGTCACTAACTTCTGCTGAAAAATCTGACATGGAGGAATCAATCAAGCTTTGCATTTCGGAGTCGGGAAGGGATGAGAGCTCCGAGTCTTCGAGTGAAGCACCGGCAAGAGGAGCGTGCGGAGCAGGATTGGTCGAATGGATAGGAAGCCTGGTGTATGGCCGACGGGTGGTTGCAAGCGGTACGTCGTCGTCACTATCGACTGTGTCATCACTCGCAACATATCTAGGAGCAGTCCGGGCAGTCCGGGGTCGTTTGAGCAGGGGCAGCTCATCGGTATCGTCGGATTCAACAACCATATTGTACTCTTCTTCCTGCAGTTTAGCAGCAATCTTTGCATCAGCGTCTTCGTAGTCTTCGTCGGCCATATTCTTGCGTTTTCGAGAAGCCCGACCTCGTCCGCCTAGAGCAAACTCCGACGACTGCAACTGGAGAGCCCGGGCGGTCGCACTGATCTTGGCCTTCGAGGTGGTAGGGTCTGGAGTAGGGACGGTGCTTGTGCCAGGGGTCTCGTAACTGGAGAGAGAGTCCATAGAGTCGGCGACTGACGAGGGGACAGTAGACTCGGACTGTACTCCTCGGCTGGTTATGGAAGTCATATCCTTCTTAGGGATAAAGACTCCTTGAAAGGTACTTTCCGAGAATGAGCGAGACTCGACAACCTCCTCCTCGTCGTCATCAGAGTCAGGAATCTCCAGGACTTTGGATACGGCAGGACGACCTCGAGTTCGTGTGTTGGGTCTCTTCGTTGCGGGTTTGCTATGTGCAGGTGATGACATTCGAGTGGCGACTTTTGGGGGGCCTGGCTATGTTAGCAAGATGTCAAGCATGAAAGAGGGGATGGTGAGAACCCTTGGAAGAAGTCGCAGACCTCGAAGAGCGCCGAGTAGCCCCCATCTTGTCTGTCAAGCGCAAAGGTAAGACGGTGGTGAGGTGCACTCGAGGCAAAGGTGAGGGTGAGGATGAGGCTTGATTGATTTATCGATTGTAGAAATCGAGACCCCGGCTCTTGAATACCAATCCGGCAGTAGCGCGTTTCTGCCTGGGGAAGCGACGAATGAGCGCGCGTTCTCTCACGTGGACACGCGCCATCTGCACGCTCTTTGAGGTTTTTTCTGGCGTGTCCGGGCCGTTGAACCCCTCACTGCCCCTGGAGTGCCCCATTAGTGCCACTGCTTTCCTTTGTTACAGGCAGTGAATAGTTGGTTCAATGCCTACTCTCTACCGAAACTGCATGATTTTTGATGACTTCATGCCAGACTCCTTTTAATGACTTCACGCAAGAGTTCTTTAGTGACATGATTTCCTCGATTCCTTGTGCTTGTTGAGATCCAGATCCGCTCACCCACCAACGGCCGTATCGTTTGCCACCCGTGCTCTCAAGATGTAAGCGGGCATTCATGAACCAGAGGACTGTCAACTGACTCTATTCTCAGGTCGAGGCGCAATGCTAGCAATCGCATACGCGGTCCGCAGTCCGCCCTTACCGACTTTCTGGCGTCCCACAACATCTCCGCGCAACAGATTCAACAGGACTACCAGCAGCGCCTAGCAGACGCGGAGAGACGCCGGACAGAGGGAACCGAGAATGCTGATGCGGAGAAGGAGAATGAGAATGAGGTCGACGACGATAGTGAAGATCCCGTCGAAAAGAAGAAACGCAAGAGAAAAGAGGAGAAGGCCCTGCTGAAGATCAAGCAGAGCAAAGAGTTCAAGCGCCGGAAAGCGGTGCAAGAATTAGAAGAAGGCTCTGACGTTGAGCTGGACGACGATGCTCTCGCTCGAGATATGATGCGCAAAGCAGCACCACTTCCTGGCCAGCTTGATAATTGTGAGATCTGTGAGAAGAGATTTACGGTCACACCATACAGCAAGACTGGTCCCGAGGGTGGTCTCCTCTGCGGCAAGTGTTCGAAGGAGCTCAAAGATGACGAAAAGAGAGAGGCTGCAGCCAAGAAGAAGCGAGTTTCTGCCCCGAAAGCCCGCAAACGACAAACCGAGAGTGATAGGCTCATGGGCGACGTCAAGCCCGGTTGCAAAAGTCTGGTCGACATGTGCGTGCGGAAAGTCACCAACGTCGTCAATGACATCGAAGAGTTTGGCGACATGCCACAAGACATCCTCGACCGCCTCAGCCAAATCTTGTCCAAGCAGAGAGTCCTGACCCCTCGTGTCCTGGACCTCTTTCTACGCACAGATGTTGACCGTATCATTGTTTACGACTGTGGCAAACTAGAAACCGAGGATTTCCAGAGGATTTTTGGTACCATGCCTCATGTCGAAAATGTCAATTTGCGCTTTGCTGGCCAGATGAAGGATGGGCCGCTTTTGTACATGGCAGAGAAGTGCAAGAAAATCCGTCATCTCCAGCTTGGTGCAACCAATCTTGTCACTGATGACGCATGGGTTGAACTGTTCGACAAGCTCGGTCCTCAACTGGAAAGTCTGAAATTGTCTGAACTTAATGATTCCATGAGGGACGAAACGGTCGAAGTGCTCGCAAAGCAGTGTCACAATCTCAAGCGCCTCAAACTGCGCTCTTGTTCACACATGTCCGAAGCTTCGATTAATTCACTCCGCGCTCTAAAGAGTCTTGAACACCTTACCCTGGCCGTCGCACCAGAGACTTCGTCGTCGACGCTGGTCGAACTGGTCAGCAGCTTGGGTCCCAATTTGCAGACTCTCTGTCTGGAAAACTTCCAAGATCTCGACGACACGGTTCTTGAGGCGATCAAACAGCATTGCTCTAAACTGTCCAAGCTACGCATCACAGGAAGCTGTCTTTGTCACGACAATGTCTTCGCTTCGTTGTTCGACAACGACTCCCCGTTTCCGCCACTCATCTACGCTGATGTAAGCGAGAACAGAGACATCGACAGCATGAAACCAGACGGTAGCGATGCGGACGCCATCGGATTCGGCAGTCTTGCGCTTCCAGCACTTCTCGACCACTCTGGCGCCCGCCTGGAACACCTCAACCTGAAATCAGACAGACATATCTCCCACGCCACGCTCTTGGAGTATTTTGATGGAGTCAAGCAATATCCTGCGCTGAAAGATATCGACTTGTCTTTTGTGAGTGCCGTGGACGACGTGGTTGTGGCCGGTATCTTCAAAAGCTGTCCCGAACTGTCTAAGTTGGCAGTATTTGCGTGTTTTAATGCAAGAGGTGCACGGATCCCCCGGGGCATCGCCGTTGTAGGGTTGCCGAACGCTGGTGACAATATTCTGCAGGGCGATTACGATGGAATATAGGATGAAGGAGCAGGCGTCTTGGTACGGACAGCATCTTGATGGTGGTGATAACCGAGCATGCAAGGGCAATGGCTGTTCTATCAAGAAGTTGTCACGAACACCCAGCACGCATTTATGAGCTCTTTGCTACTGTACTTTAGTGTCTCAGTCGGATGGCGCGGCGACTCGAAGTACGGTCGGGTAAAATACTTATGCAGGCATGAAGTGAATTAATTCTCCCGGTCGAGTACATAGATAGTGCAGCGCTGCCATGCTCAATTTCCACAGCTCTGCCGGACCACAGGTCGCTATTCAAAGCATCTCGATGGCCTCGACCATCGCATCCAGAGCCTTTGCATCGACATCTCTCCCACTCCTGACACCCACACCTTTGACCAACGCCTGCGCCACCGCGCCGAGTTGTCTCCTTTTCGTGGCCTGTTCAAGCTCTTGACTCTTCTCCCTCGCCACCTCAATCACTTTGTCCCCCAAGTTAGCCAATCTCGCCACGTTGAGACCATAGCTCCGGTGCGCCACGCCTTCACCCACTTCGTACAGAAATGTGACATTCTCGTCGTCCGTCTCCGTGAAGCGCATGTGCACGTTTTTGAGTTCCCCGGCGGGAAAGCCGTCGGCCATGCGCGCCAGCATCTGATAGTGCGTGATGAAGAGGGTGAGGCATTTCTTGTCGCGTACCAGATAGTCCAGGACGCTGGCCGCGATGGCGACGCCGTCGTGGGTGCTCGTTCCGCGGCCGAGCTCGTCGAGGACGACGAGGCTGCGCTCCGTGGCGAGCTTGAGGATGTCGCTTGTCTCGCTGAGTTCGACCATGAAGGTCGATTCGCCGGACATCATGTTGTCGAAGGCGCCCATGCGGGTGAAGACGGCGTCGAGGATGCCCAGCTTCGCGGACGTGGCGGGGACGAAGCAGCCGATTTGGGCCATGATGGCGATCAGGGCCACGGAGCGGACGTAGGACGACTTGCCCCCCATGTTGGGCCCCGTGACGAGGAGGGCGTGCGTGTCGGCTTGCGAAAGGAAGACGTCATTCGGAACGTAGCTGTCGAGTAGCAGTTGCTCGACCATGGGATGGCGAGCACCTTCGAGGTCAATGCGCGTGTCTTGCGTGAATTTCGGACGCACGTAGTTTGGCTGGGATGCCACATTTGCGAGGGAGAGGAGGCAGTCCAGAGTCGCCAGGTTCTGAATCGTGTCGCGGAACAGCTGGTACTTGGCGCTGACGTCGGCGAGGAGATCCTTGTATGCCTCGTCACACGCGGCGGCGAGAGACTCCTTGTGCTGATCTCTCTCGCGCAGAAGCTTGACGACTTCTGGGGCGTGGAACCTGGACACCTTCTTTGTGCCTGAAATCTTGATCCACGATGCCGGGACCTTCTTGATAGTTGCCGAGTTGTTGTCGACCTCAATCAGATACTCAATCTGTGCGACGGTAGCATAATCTACGGGTCGTGTCTTGCCCAGCTTTTCCGCGGCCGTCTTTCGGAACTCTTCTAAGTCGTGTTCGACACTAGCGATACCAAACTTGTGCTCAGAAATGGCCTCGGTCTCCGAAGCGTCGGTGAAGAAGGCATATTTATCGTTGGACTTGGCGGCCTGAAAATTGATTCTGTCTAGATACCCTACCACCTCTTTCAGAATGGTGGGCAGAGAGATCAAAGGGGTGGAGATGAGCTCCGAGTCAAACCCCGTTGATGCCGCATCTGTTGCGTAGGCAAACTCGGTAGCCAACATCTGCAACGATTGTAGAACGGTGAGTAATTCTGGCCGTGTGCACTTGCCGTAGTAGATCCGAATCAGGCTTTTCTCCAGATCAGTCCTGACTTTTGACAACACTCGCCGCATCTTCTCGGTTTGAACGGCTTTCTCGGGGTCAAGGAGTTCTTCGATAGCATTCAGTCGAGTCTCAATGCCTTTCACGTCGAGGAGTGGACGTCCAACCCATTTGCGGAGCAAACGACCACCAAACTTCGTCTGGGTCCTGTCGAGCATCCAATAAAGACTACCTTTCGTAGTATGATCTGTTTGGTTGAGGTATATTTCAAGGCTTGTGAGCGTGTTGCCATTGAGAAGCATATGAGACCTGGCGGAGAATGGTTGAAAGTATTTCGTCAGTTGAAAGACGTGTTCAAGTCCGTATTCGGACAAGTGATTGATCATGGACGACAAGCAGACAGAGACGTGCTCCGGTAAACCCATGATCTTATCAAAAATTTTCGTGGCCTTGTCTCCGTCCGAGTCCGGGAGATCCTTGAGTCTCTCAGCATAGAATGTCGAAATGAGGCTATGGGCTTGTGCTGCCATGGTTTTCTGCTTTGCAACACGCTCGACTCGGATCTTGTCACCAAACACATTGGTCTTGCTCCCTGAGAGATGAAGCACAAGCTTCTCGGTAGCCTTTGAAAGTTCTCCGACAATCAGAAACTCGCAGGGAGCGATGTGGAGAAGTCTTGTCTCGATCTCGCTCCGCATGAAGCCATCCTCAAAGTCGTCGTAGACGATATCGCCTGTGGCAGGTTGAACCGCGACGAAACCAACATGTACTTTTTCATCATTGTCTTGACCTTTGACATTGGTTTCTGTCATGCAAAGCAGGAATCCGGTCGAGGGCGACTGAGGTGCAGGACTTCCCCGGCTGGTCTCCTCGACGCCTTCTATGTCGTCGATGTAGGTACCCTTGGTGTAGAGGTTGGTAAGTTTCCTGACGAAGGGCGCGTTCCTGTTATCTCCAACCGCTTTTAGCGCTGCCGTTTCCAGTTGTCTGACGACCCCAACCTTGTGACCTGCCGTGACAAGTCTCTTAACATGGACATGGAGTCGATGGACGGGTATGCTCGCAGAAGCGAAGCGATCGATGTGAGCTTCCGACGGGTGTTCGTCGTAGCGGTATTTGCCTGGTATGCAGACGATACCGAGCTCTTTAGCAGCAATTCTTGCGTCTTCTCCAAAGAATCTGAATTTGTAACCAACTTCCACGACGAGCAGCGTGTCCAGATGTTTCCGCTTGATGTCCAATACTTGTTTTTCCATGGGTGTCAATTTGCTTCCTCCTTTCTTTGAGCGACCGGTTGGTCTCGGAGAGTCTTCAGCGGCCTCTTCGTCACCGTCTTCGTTCTCGTCAGCACCAGCTTCGTCTTCGAGCACATGATTCCGCCGTTTGATGTCGGCAATGCTGTCCGGCTTTCCCAGCTTTCTGACAAACTTCCGGTGCAACTCATCCTTCCATCTCTTGTCAGTGCCATCCCGGTCATCCAGATCCTGGTTCTCCTGCTGCGCTGAAGAGGAGTAAAGGTACTTGGCGGTCCGTGACGCCCCAGGCTCGATCGTGGAGGCGGCAAGGTTCTGGCCGTTAGCGACAACAGGCCGTAGCGTTCTCAGATTTGCTCCATCTTCCAAGATGTCCTGGCCTCCGATGCCACCGGCTTCCCGGTCCACGGGGGCAAGGCGTCGTCTTTTCGTTGGCGGCACGGGCAGATCGTCATCGCCGCTGTCCTCAGACGTCCGTAGTTGAGGTTTGGGGGCCGGAGTTGATGAGGGTTTCTTGAAAAATGCAGAGAGCGTCTGCTGTTTCTTCTGCGCAGAGGCCATCATTCTCCTGCCGTATCCTTCAACGGCAGCGGAAGAATTGACTCAGTTGTCGCCTTGAATCCCCAACGACGAGTGTTTGCGCCAATCAGATTTCCTGGATAGCATACGGTGGAGGAAAACTACTTGAAGTGGACGCGTCGTGCGCCAGCGTAGCGCGTCGCGTTCGCGCAGATTAAAAGGATCAATTACAGTCAGCAGGCAGAACATCACCAAAAGCCTTCTGCGCTATGTCCCCGAGCCCCCATACCTTGATGATGTAGGTAGTGATGCTTGATGCTCATGCTTTTATTGTTACCATATCTACGAAACAAGGGCGGTGTCCCAACTGCCCGACGGTCTCACAGGAAGTTATCGAAATGATCTCTGGCGTGAAAATTTCTCACAATCACACGAACTAGTTAGTATCCTTTGCTCTCCAGCTGATCTTCGGTCCACTCCCAGAGTGCCTTGCCCCATGTTTTCTCGTTCGCCCATTTATTGTTGTTGTTGAGAACGCCCACTGGGGTATAGAATCCCCCATTCCTCAATTGCTCTTTCTTGGCTCCGCTGGCGAGATACAGCTGGGTCAATGCACCAAACTGTGGGGAATGAAACAACAAGTTTCCAAATATCGCCATAAACCAACGGAGAACGAAGCTAGTCCGCTTGTTAGGTAAGTACAAATCTGTTTGGATGGCGCCTGTGGAGATTGTCAGAGACGACGCAGATCAGTCAACCATCGAAGAAGAGCAGACCTGGATGCAACGAGACCGATGTCAGCGAAGGATATCTTCGCGCTAGTTCCGCGGCGAAGAGAATATTTGCAGCCTTGGAAGCGCCATATCGCGTCCAGGGACCTGTCTCACATAATTTCTCGGTGGAGAGAATGGTATCGATGGTGGGGGCGAAGGTGTAACCATTGGATGCAACGACCACGATCCTCACATCTGGGTTCTGCTCAGCAGCTGTCTTCTCCAATGTCGGCAAAAGCAACTTGGTCAAGAGAGCGTGGCCGACGTGATTTGTGCCGACCTGAATCTCGAAGCCCTCGCTTGTTTTGCCAGGAGGCACTGCCATGATGCCAGCATTCAAAATCAGGATATCCAGCCTTGCACTGCGCTCCTTGACTCGCTCAGCCGCCGCTTTGACAGAAGCAAGGGAAGACAGGTCAAGCTGCAGGTATTCGATGTCGACTGTTTTCGGAGAGATGGCAGATCTGATCTCGGCGATAGCATCCTGGGCCTTGGACTGAGTCCTTGCCGCCAGGAAAAGCTTTCTTGGCCTGTGCTTCGCTAACTGTAAGATCGTCTCTTTCCCGATCCCAGTATTTCTAAACAGCGTCAGCTTATGCTTGGCAGACTTCTTATAGTATGTTGGCGTCGGACCCTCCTGTCACAAGTATCACCTTCCCCGTCAGGTCTTCGATGTTCTTGTCCGGCACAAACTCAACATTGGAACTGAAAGGCCACATTCCGGGGGCTGACAAATGGCAGTGGAGAAAAGAGTTGCGGCTTGCTCAAGGAGGATACAACCTATGCTCAGCACAAAGTGTCGGTTTCTCCTTGATGAAGAGCAGCTGCTAAAGGAATTGCAGCTTGTTCAAGAAGGATTCCAGTCTATGCTCAGCACCAAGTGGCAACTTTCTTCTGCTGCCAGGCTGCCAGGTTGCCTTGACCTTTTTATGTCATCTCGTCCAACCCTGAGCATACTTGCAGGACACCGAAACCCGACCGAGTTCGTCCTGTTGAGGGATCCGCCAGGCGGCGACGCAACGTCGATGTTGAATTGCTGCTTGCGGGTACAGTGGAATTTGTCCCCATACCATGGACTTTGTAGTAAGCCTTGGCACAGGCGCTATTTGTTAAGCAGATGAGCCTAGTCTCATGTTGCAGCAGATGGACGAATGAGCTCTCATGGCATACGGAGCAACCAATGGGGATAGAAGACCGAGCGGATATTGACCGACTGGGAGGCTACTAAGCCACCTGGCCCCGGATACAAAACACGTTCCCAGGCCTGCCACAGGGCGCATCTTGATATCCCAAACTACCAATGGTCAATCTCCCTTTACGGCTTCCTGCCCTCAGCAATCACAATCTCAAAGGAGTGTGAGTGGCCGGATGGAATGGCCAAATCATGGCCAATGCCGCTCGCCAGCGAAAGCGCCAGTTTGCCCCAAAAAGTAAAACAGGGTGTCGGACGTGCAAGAGGAGACATCTGAAATGTGGAGAGGAGCGGCCTGAATGCTCGAACTGCCTGTCCGCGAGGCTCTTCTGCGACGGCTATGGAATCTGGGGCGGAGGCACATTAGCAGTCGAACACGGCCGTAACAACGGCGTTGCGACTCGACCAGCAGAAGAATCCACGCCAACCCTGCCCGTCACGGTACCAGCCTTGTCCAGACACCACACGCCGATACCATTCAAGGACATCACACTTGCTGAGCAAGTCTGTTTCGACTACTTTGTCAACAAAACGGTGGCGAAAATACCTGGGGTGTTCCCGTCCAACTTTTGGACTGAGTTGGTTCTTCAAGCCAGTGCTTCCGAACTCCTGATTCTACATGCGGCTGTCGCCCTTGGCTCGGCACACAGGAGTGCAGACCTTAATCAGTACGGCAGTGCGGTTCCCTCTTCCTTCTCATGTTATAGAGAGAATGGCAAATTCGATCCACATGAAGCATTTGCCCTGGAGCAGTACAACAAAAGCATCTCTCAATTGCGGAAGAACAAATTCGAGGAGGAGAATATGGAAGAAGTACGCACCGCACTGGTTGCCTGCATATTATATGTCTCGCTCGAACTTCTGCGGGGCGACTACACGACAGCTGTCACACATACACGACATGGTTTGAATCTGCTGATTAGACTGAAGAGAGGTTTCGATCCACAGGCATTTTATCCTCGGAGGCTGCATGATTCGGTGGATGACTACCTGATCGAAGCTTTCACACGGCTAAGCCTTCAATCAGCGCATGCTGGATCTATCCAAGCCCTCTGCGACGTGGCTCATCCGCAAAGCCTTTCTTCAGCATGGGATCTGCCTTATGTGTTTGCCGATATGTTCGAGGCAAGACGGGCATTCGACTCGCTCAGGCATTCGATATTGACTTTGACTGAACAATGCCGCCGCCTCGAGGCCGGTGGGCAACAACCCTCCCAAGAGATCTTCGCGCAGCATCATCTTCTCCAGAGAGCGATGTCGACCTGGCTGCAGACGTTCACGGCCAGCGTCCCAACCCTGCAGAGGGTCACCAGTCCCCGGCACTCGCTAGGTATCCCGCTACTTCGCCTCCTCCACACCATGGCATCCATTCAGGTCGCAACCATGTTCAGCACTTCAGAAGCGTGTTACGATGACTTCACCTCTGACTTCACTTTCATCCTCTCAGAAATAGTCGCAGTCTACCGCAGGGCTAGCGAGTTCCACCACCGCCCATTCACCAACGATGTCCGACTTACAGGGTTCAGCTTCACATTGGACGTCGGCACCATCCCGCTGCTGTCATACGTGGCGCTGAAATGCAGGGTACCCTGGCTGAGGAGGCAGGCCATCGCGATCCTGCTGGCAGCACCACATCGGGAGGGCATCTGGGATGGCGTGGTGATCGCACACAACGCTGAAAGAGTCATGATACTGGAGGAGAACGGCCTCTTTGACCAGTTTGCCTTGGACCTCGATACACGGCCCTTTGACCCCCTCGCGGAGAAGAACGAGCGTTTGTCCCACATCCCCAGTCTACCAGCCGTGTCTCGTTTCCGCCACGTCAAAATTATCCCCAGTCGGGCAAGCACAGCGAGGGGCAAGCTGGTATGCTGGCGCCAGAAGCCTGATTGCAGTCAGGGATGGGAGGAAGTGGTGGAGGATTTTGATCTGACTGACCTTCACCGGGGCGAGTCCGAGGGTGTCGATTTCCCTTGCTGAACATGCCTGCCTGATTAGCATTTCCCCTGTCAATGACTGTGTATCTCAACCTGGTCATCAATCAGCTTGTCCGTGCGCGGCTGGTACAACCACCTCATGTCATCGAAATTCTCGGCATCGGTGGCGTCCAACACTTTTCCCTCACGAACCAGTGTCTCTCTTGCCGCCAGCGGCGTTCGTTGCACTTTGGTTCTGCTTGTCGCCTAGTCGAACACGGCATCTATCCGTTTCTGTCGAAGAGATTGCCAGAATCCGACCGCATCCTTCAGCTGTATCTGCGGCTTGGACGTGGGCAGAACAAGCAATCTATTCAGGGCCTAAATGTTTGCCATCACCTGTTTGACGCCCTGTCCGCTACTTGGGGGCAACGCATGAGCGGCATCATCAATGATGATCACTCTGCCTGGGTTCTCCAAAATCACCTCTCTAACACGCCCATCATGTAGGGCCACATACAGAGCGTTTCCTCATGCCCACAGACTGCGTCGATTATGCCTTGCCGTCTGACTCGGCAAATGAGGTCGAATTCTTGGCGAAGATATCTAGCAAGAAAGCCTTATCCCGCCCCAGCGCCTCCTAATCCTCACGTCTGCGGTCCTCCAGCTTCGTCTGCATATCCATCCTAATGACCCACTCCTCACGGTCTTCCAGCATGGGGACCAAGGGCCCGGGATCTCTTTGTATCGTACACGTGCGCTCATCATCGTTGTAGGGCCCCGTCACGCTCTTCCCAGAGATATGGCCCATCGCGCCCGCGACACCAGTAACTCAGCCCCTTGTCGCGCGGAGTCACATACCCCCTGACCGAGCGGCATCTTTCCTCCTTACTAATTTGTTTGCGAATTTGTCGTGCCAGCCCCTCCATAACAGCGGGCTGATGCCTCAACAAACAGTGTGATCGAAGCCTGCTCTCATGCCGAGAAAGTTGTGGTCCATGGCGCTGCGCTTTGCCGCAAAAGCTGCATTTGGAGTCGCGAGATCCGCTGGATTCGTCCAGGTTTTTTTCAATGCCAATTAAATTAAACCGTAACGCCGTCAGACGGCCCTGCTTGCACACTGCCGCTCTCGATGCTTGTTGTTCTGGCGCCTTGCTTCGAGCAAGTGTGTCGCGCTCATAGCAGTCTGTGGCAGAACTGCTTTTCTCCATTCGATCGGTGCATCAGCCTCAGACTGGTGCCTACTATGTAGCTACCAATGACAAAGCTGCTGCAAGGCTGCCTCCTCAGCCTGATTCTCATGGATTGACCCTGGTCTGAACCTGTTCTGTTTCCTTCCCTTGAACGCCTTCCAGATCAGATATTTTCCTTCTGCAGCCTACACTTTGTCCTCAATGTAGGTGAATGTATTCTCAATATTGTTCACCAATTGTCTAATTGAGCAACTATTGCCATGTGGCTTCTCAATACCACAACCCTCGAGCTCCACGAGTTCCCATCCAACCCTCCGCCTTACGCCATTCTCTCGCACACATGGGGCAAAGAAGAGGTTCTATATCAAGAACTGGGAACTCCAGGCTGCAAGAGGAAGGAGGGTTACCGAAAAATCGAAGGCTGCTGTGCTCAGGCCAAAGCAGACGGTCTTGAGTACGCCTGGGTGGACACATGTTGTATCGATAAGCGGAGCAGTTCTGAGTTATCTGAAGCCATCAATTCTATGTTCCGGTGGTACAGTGAAGCTCATGTTTGCTATGTGCATCTCTCCGATGTCGACAACGTCCACTTGTCAAGGTCTTTCCGAGATAGCCGTTGGTGGACTCGAGGCTGGACGCTGCAAGAACTCCTTGCGCCTATGCATGTGGTGTTCTACGACAGATCATGGCGCGAGATGGGGACCAAGATGAGTATGCTTGACCAAATCGTCGTGATCACGGGTATATCGCGCAGACAATTGTCGCTCCCAGCATCTGTGATGTACGTATGCGCGGCTGAGAAAATGCTCTGGGCATCACGAAGAGAGACTGCAAGAACCGAAGACGTTGCTTACTGCCTAATGGGTATTTTCGACATCAATATGCCTCTACTATATGGAGAAGGCCCGCGTGCGTTTCAAAGACTGCAATCAGAAATTCTGACGAAAACAGGCGACCAGTCCATCCTAGCATGGACGTCGAAGGATACTGCTCGAGCTGGACCGGACCTTTCCATCCCTTTCGCGAGCTCTCCGGCTAGCTTCTCAAATACCTCTTTCGAACGAGTGGCATGGGACGCAACTCCCGTATCGATAGACAATATCGGTATCTCTATCTCGCTGCCATTAATCACAACGACAGGTATTCCTGCACCTCCTGGCTATCCCTCCATGATCGGCATCCTCAATTGCTGTTCCGATGGCAGAAGAATAGGTATACATCTTCGTTTGGCCCCTGACGCCACGACCTACATGCGGCAGTGGCCAAGCAGATTGTCTCCTGTATTGACAAAGAGGCCAATTCCTCCCCCTCAGAGGATATATCTTTCCATGCTCGATTACTTCGCAGTGTCGCAAAAGCCCCCGAACTTTAAAGAGATTTCAATTCATTGCGCAGCAGAGAGCAAGCAGTGCTACCAGATATTACACGTATACAGTTATTCAGAACAGCCGATCTCGTCCTGCGACCAATTTCCAAAACAGCGGTCCCTCTGGCGTGTCAACTTGGCCATCGAGGATTGGTGTCTAGTAGTGCTCCAGAACAACCGCAACTCTTATTTTTCCTTGATCCTGGGCAACTATGGCCATAGACTTTGGAGCCATGGTGTTAAGGGAGACTTGACGCAAGATGCTTCCCGCAAGCTTTGGCCGATCTGGAAAGATATCAAGGGATGCATTTCTACGGAAGGTTACACCCCGGAGTACTTCAACGATCGGGCAAAATACAACGTCGATGACTCGACACTCACGGTAAAGATCCACCAGTTGCCTCGTCTCAGAGAGCCGTCCGACATCACGTACTTCAAGGTGGAGATTACACAAGCCAAAGGATGAGTCCAAGCTGACTCCGGATAAGAGGCCCAGGTTGGAAATCACACAGACAGAGCGTGAGTCCAACCTGTCTCGCCATAAGAGCCGCAGGTCCGGGAATTGCAGACTGAAGATAGGCAAGGGCTTACCTGTTAAATTATTGAGGCTCTGGCTAGCCTAGGCATGAAATTGCTGGCCCTCTCGTGGATGTAAGGACCCTGCCCGGCGCAATATTCCTGAAACGCAAGACTCTCGCGCCCAGAAGATCTCGAAAATGTATCAGTACGACGGTTACTGGCGCTTTCCCTTCGCTAGCACGTTTTTTGGGGGCAACCTCGCGGGAGCAAGCGAAATTTTGTACGCATTTCGACACGGTAAATCAACCTGCGTTCACTCGGCGGACGCCCGGTACCATTTGTTTACCAGTTGCAAACGTTGTCACCACATTTCATACATGGGATTCAAATCATACCATTATGCTGGGACTAGCGGCTCTTTGTCGGCGGTTTTGACGGCCACCATTACAGTCGCGCCATAACAGGGCGTTAGGCCCAGGCACCCAATCCCGGGGTAGGTAAGGGCAAATCGACTCGAAACCAGTTAAGACGATCCGAACCTTCAGCCAACTCTGTCGATGACAGTCCGTCGCCTCTCGAACCTCCAGGGCTGTGATGTTCTGTTCACAGGCGGCACCACTGCTCAGACAGCGCTCCACGAAAGGGCTCAAGCAAACGCCGCTGAGAATATCTTGGATCTGGTTCTGCGTTGCTCCCGAACTTTGGAGCTTGGAAAGCTTGGGAAAGGACTCGCGAAATCCAACCTTCGTGGGCAAGGGACAGACTCCTCGAGGCACATCCTTGCGGATGCGGCGTAGTCTCCGCTGAAATGCCGCGAACCGACAGAAGGAGTGAGGGGCCCCCAAGCTGGATTTGTTGCTGCGTTGTGTCTTCCAGGGCGTACCAGCGGTGATTTGCAATAGGTTACGGTGTACTGTGGGCAGGAGTTGAGACGTCCAGCCGTGCGTACCGTTGCGTCCATTACGAAATGGTAGTGTTAACGTTCCCTGATGGAGGTATTCTACAGCAGCCGCCAGGCGCCATTGTACATCTGTTTCTTCGCTAAGCAGTGGAAAACAGAGTAGCCATCATGGGTATTCCCATGATCGCGCATGCACACATACATCGACTTGCCGGCTAGCAATGCAGGGAGCCCGGTAGACCGTCCCGATTGGTTGGCCTGTGGGGTCATGCTGCTGTTAAGTTACAGCCTGACTTGGGCACGTCCAGCCTCCCCAAACCACTTGCTGCAGCCCCGAAGCCTGCGAATGGGGCACCCTGCCTGAGGCATAGCGCACCCAGCAGTACGGAGTAGCACCGCTCTCCAAAGCCACACGATTCACGATGAGATCATCACGTTCTCGTACCTACTGTGTACAAACAAACAGTGCAGCACGCAACTCCCCATTCAATTTTTGAGAGTCAACGGGACAATCATAACCTTTCGCCTTCTGACCGCCAGTCCCGTGATCAGCCTCAACCATGAGCTCGTCTTCAGGGACCACTTCCATCAACACGCCCAGCCATGGAACGGTAACGCTGCTCATCCTCGGCGCCGGCTGGACATATCAATTCCTCCAACCACTTCTGGACAGGGAATCACGCATTACATACGCGGCAACCACGTCAACGGGCCATGACAATACCATTGAATTCAGATTCGACCCAGAGTCCGATGATCTTGAGCCATTCCAGAGGCTACCATTGGCCGAGTATGTGCTGGTTACGTTTCCGCTGAAAGGTAAAGGACCCAGCAAGAAGTTAGTAGACATGTACGAGGCCACGCATGCGCGATCATTGAGCCACGACGGAGACCGCGGTGCTAAGACAACGAGCGAGACGAAATGGATCCAACTAGGCAGCACGGGCGTCTACACCGCCGTCGACTGGGTGGATTGCAACACGCCAATTGACGGTTCGAACGAACGAGGGATCGCGGAGGACGAACTCATCGCGCTGAGCGGCTGCGTGTTGAACCTTGCGGGTCTCTATGGCGCGCAGAGGCAACCTTCGAATTGGATCCCTCGAGTGGCGAAGACGCAAGAGCAGCTCAGCGAGAAAGGGGCACTACATCTGATCCATGGCATCGATGTTGCCAGGGCAGTCGTCGCGGTGGTGAAGGAGGATCAGCAAAGTATCAGTGTGTCGGAGCCGGATGTGCCGCCACTCTTTGGCAGAAGATGGATTCTGACCGATTGCGTCAGCTACGACTGGTGGCAGATCGTGTGGGACTTCAACGGCGAGTCTGATGAAGCGGCCTCCTCAGAAGGGGGTGATGCTGAAAAGGCGACAGAGGCGGACACGAAGAGCAAGTATCGCGGCTGGGTCATGGAGTTGATGGACAAGAAAGGCGTGCGAGCTTTGCCGAGACCGCCCGAGATGCTGGGCAGGAAGCTGGACGGGAGGGAGTTCTGGTCCAGACTTCAGCTGAGACCGGAAAGGGCGTTGAAGAGGTGAACAGCGGACGGGCGAGGAAGAATCCATCGCATAGTGAAAACCACGGGATGAGCACAGAACAGGAGACTCTCGGTGCACATGAGCTATACGCAGCATCGCCGGCCAAGGCGGTCATGCCTTCAACCTCTACCGTTTCGCTGACGATGGCGTTGCGACGATCGCGTTGCCCCCGATGCTAGCGAGTCTGGCGTCAAATTTGCCAACGTCGATCATGATGGCTCCCAACTCGAAATCTGCCGGGCTCTGCCTGACCCAAACACGGCATTGATACCCCAAAGTACAGCTCCGTGAGACGTCACTTTGGCGGCCTCATCAGTTTGACAATTGTCCAGAACGCCGAGTTCTATCTACATACAATCCGGGAACCTGGCTCGCACACACTCCACCATCTCATTGTCTCGCACTAGAAACAAGATGACTGTCCGCGATGCTGGAAAGGACGACGGGATGGCATTGCTCGAGTATCACACGGGAGGGCTGAGGAAGCCGTTCAAGTTGCTGAGTGGCGGACCGCGAGCTGAGCTGGCCCAAACTTCTGCAGAATGCTGGATTGGAGGTTGTCAGTTCGTAGCGCGGCTCAAAATCTTCCAGGGCTGTTGCTGGTACAAATTTCTTCCAAGGCGCATGCCAATTACAACGCAACCCTTGATGGCGCTCACGACAGCAGGAGATGAAACTTCTGTTTTTTGGAAATGTGCTCCCATGTCCAGGCTTGGTCCCGGGTTTTGCTGCCCACGGTAGTGGCGGGTTCGTCGCGACGCCTCCACACTTCTTCTATACAGGCTTTGGCTGGAAGCTGGAACGGTATGAGTCGAGGGTAAGCAACTGGTGACGGCTGCGTATGTAGTGGTAGGGTCAAGCAGAGTAAGCGACGTTTGCGAGGACTCGACGAGGTTCGGATCAAGGCTATCCACGTCAAACTTGGGTGATATTTCCGAGCTGCGGTTTCCAGAAGAGAAGGTCAATCCGGCCCAATAAGACAGCGGCGAGCTTGTTGAGCGAGGCTCAAACCACACGGCCGGATTCCCCTGCGACTACGGAGTACAGAGTACAGAGTATGATGTTCTTCATATTCGTGACCCTTGCAGCTAATCTCGAGATATCACTTGCAATCACCAAGCTGTTGGCAGCTTTCATTCCACATCCTGCGATTCCACGGCCAAGGCGTTCGTTCCTCAAGTGGCAATAAGTCGGGCATCTTATGAGTCGCTACTACCATCAGTGCAGTGTTCTACGTCTTGCTTGCCTTGGACTCCCAACCGCTAGGGGTGCATGGGTGGAGAAATCCGGGCCATCTGTGGTCGAGAAGCGGAATGTACATAGTGGTGACTAGGACTTGAAACTATGAATTGGGATAGCCCAGCAACCATGAAGCATGAAGCAATGGCTGTGAATAAGTTGCAGGGTGCGCTACTTTCGGCTATTTGACGTGTCGTTGTCATTGTACTGGCGGAGCTTTTTGATCAGTCCAGTCCAGTAGTTCCAGGGTGGTCTCCTTGCAGTATCCAATTCCGTAAATGCGCAACATCCGCTCTGAGATGCAATACTGCACCGCCCTCAGCCTGCACTCCCAGCTTCCTCAGAAACATTCGTTCCATTCACGTCCTTGGCGAAGCACGTGTAACACGGATCGCAGCATCGCCTGGAAATCATCCAGCTTGAGTATGTCGCCCGTCATGTCAGCACTGATCAGGTTCTCATCACCTGACTGTTCATCATCAGAATTTTCGCGTCGTCGCGTTGTGCCATTCTGCCTGCCATCTGACCGCTATTTGGCGCCTTCGGAAAGTCCTGTCGTAGATGCAGCAGCACGCGTCCTCTTCCTGGGAGACTGGATCGTCTCTTGGCTGTCCTCAAGACCTCGTTTGGTGGCTGGCGGCTTGTTCAGCTCAAAGACATGGATCTGATCTTCCTCCTGAAAGCCGTTTTCCGCTATTGTACCTTTAGCTTCCTCTGCGCCAAAGAGCCGATTCCGATCTGGCAACCAAGATCCCTTTTTTTCACTCCCGAATGAGGGATGGCGACGGATCTGGAAGAGTAGATTTCCAAGGTCTCGCCCATCGTTCTTGGCGAAGGATTGCAGTACATGGTACAGCGGAGTATTTTGGGACGTGAGAACCCGGATCCACCATGTATTCACCATGAAGTGAAGCGCAACATCGGCGGTGAGCGTGACAGTGAAGCCTTCCCTAATTCCTTTCGCAAGGAGGTGGTCCTCTGGTAACAGGTTCCAGCCTGGAAAGTGCAGTTTGTGAAAAGGAGCATTGAATCCAGTGCGTTCCTCTACCAATTCCTTCAGTTTGGCGACAGTGTCCTCGCACGATACGTTGACCGTACACCTAAAGAACTTGCAGGAGAGATCTCCGTAGCAATTGTGCCAGATATGGACGTCAAATCTTTCGGGTGGACGTGGTGTAATGGTGAGTGCTGGGAACCGTGTTTTAGAACAGTCCTTGCCGGTGAGTCCTAGCTCTTCGCAAGTGAACGGAGTTCCGTCCGCAAGACGAGTGTAGTGTATGTCACTAAAGACTTTAGCATCGTAAGACTCAAACTCTGGTTGGCTTCTAACTGCTTTGTCGACATCTTCCAGAGTTTGACACGTCGTCAAGTCGACAGAGACAACGATCGGTTTGTAGAAGACGACGAGAGTCTTGTTCGCTTGTGGATTTGGCAATGACAGGGTTACGTCACTCTTGACCTCCTTTCCAAGATCAGATTGATGGGGCGCGTCCATCGCGGGATTGTGTCTCGCGGAATGACAGATCGACTAGGTTGATGGTGACTGAGGTGGTGAGGTCGCGAACTAGTAAGGTGGTAAGGTACTAAGGTCGTGAACTGGTAAGGTGGTAAGGTAGTAAGCTCGCGAGGTAGTAAGGTTATAAGGTGATGAGCTCGCGACGTCGCGAGGCAGTGAGGTGGTGAATTAGTGAGATCGCGAGGTGGTGACATAGAATGGCGGTGTGGTGACAGATAAGTGAATCCAGTAGTGGTAGAGTCGAGGAAGAAGGTGAAGTGATCACTGATGGATCGACCCCAGAGCCACCTCGATGGGGGATCTCAAATGATTGACAGAATGTCGAGCCTTTTTTGAAGACACTTCGTGAAGTGATATTGTTGTGTCCATTTAACAGCTCGATCAGTGTCTGATCCTAGCGGTGTAACATTAGAACTTCCCGGTCGTTGGCTAGATCATAGATGATCCCTAAGGCTTGTCGTGATGCCTTTCATGTAAATGACCATCATCAGGCCCATGGATAGTGCGGTCTTTGACAGAGTCAGTCTGGGTTATCGTGCAGCGCCGAAATCGAGTTTCTTCGCCACACCCTTGAATTTACTCTCATCAACTACAAACCCAGGAGCAGCCGCCTCGGAAGCACCCATTTTCGAATCACCACCACCTTGTTTGGGCAAATTCTCTTTGCTGGTGGGGCGTGGATCGATCGTCCACCATACGTGTTCCAATGCTCCTCTAGCGGTGACTCTCTTTCTTGGGTCAAGCTTCAACATGGCCATGAGTAAGTCGACACCCACAGACCCTGCTGTAGGGAACATCTGCATGTAGAACGTCTTGTCCCGGACGGGTATTTTCTTGTCCAGATCGAAGTAGTCTTTCAGCTTGGAGACGCCAGGCCAGTTCTCCTCGTTGGGCGTCCCTACCGCCTCGCAGATCTTGTCGAGCTGAGCAACAGTTCCACCACCGGTTGCTAGGACTTCCTGGTTGGCTACGTCGGCGGCAGCGTAAGGTCGGCGTATCAGCAGCTCTGCGAAGACCATACCGATACTCCAGATGTCAATTGCACCACTATACTGCCTCGCGCCGAACAGCAGCTCAGGAGGCCGGTACCAAAGTGTGATTACTGCGGACGTCATCTGGTACCGTGGGTCTCCAAATGAACGCGCGAGACCGAAGTCGGCAAGCTTGACTTCTCCGTCAGCCGCAATGAGTAAGTTGTTTGGCTTGATGTCTCGATGAAGGATGAAATTGGAATGGCAATAGTAGATTGCCCGACACAACATCCCCATCCACGCTTTCACATCAGCAGCACCGTAACTCACAGACTTGTCTCGAATCAGCTCTTCGAGGTTGCCATTGGGGAAGTATTCAATGACCATGTTGATGTTCTGGTCTTTTGAGGAGAAGACGTCGAGCAGGGCGACAATGCTCGGATGCGAGATCTCCTGCAGATACTTGATTTCACGGATCGTGTCGACATTGAGTCCCTCCCTCTGCTGCGAAGGATCGACCTTGAACTTCTTGATCGCTACAAGTTTCGTCGGATCTGATCTTAGGTGGCCTTTGTATACAATGGCGTAGGTACCTTCACCCAACTTTTTCCCTGAGACACAACATCAGTCCTTTGCTACCAAAAGCTCGGTAACTCGAACAGACCTTTGACGTACTTGCTGCTGATTTCTTCGTTCATTTTCTCCGCCATATCAACGTCAGCCGGTTGTCTGTGGGAAGGTGAAGGTGCTGGTGGTAGTGGAGGTTTCGGGATTGATTTTCTCATGGCGAGGGACTTCGCTTTTGATGGTGACAAATTGGCATTCATATTTGAAGGGGACCGCGGCATCAGCGGTGACACCGCATTTGATGATGGCGCCATGCTGACCGTCGCTCGTGAAGTTGACGGCCCCTTAGACTATTCAGGTTCGAGTATTGGAGCAGCCATGCAAGGGCGCTTCTTGGTACGCGTTCTCGACCGGCCAGAGGTGCAGAACCTGTAGCCACTATAGCTGGGAGCTGCAATTGCCTCCTTTGGGGATGTGCCTTTGGCCCAGATAGTGGTTGAGTAGACTTAGACTGTGTTGATGAGCGTTGCACGAAACACGACGAGGACGCCCGTTTGAAGTGGGCTTCTCAACGAGGCTGAAAGGCTTGGCACAAAGTGATCTTCAATTATTACCAATAGCACGCATGTACTCCGCCGTACCTCGCAACGTGAACATGCAGCTTCAGTCAGCGACATCTCCGATGAATTTTGTGCCATCAACAACACGAACACGCTGGTTCCGTGCCAGCCACGGTACTTCTTCCGAATCCTAGTGCCATGTCAAGAGACACCAGACTATAGCTCTTCATACTCCTCGGTTGTCAGAATGAATACGCGCCAACCCAGAGCTGCGTTCTCCCTCTTTTCCCTGCTCCGGCCATCTTCGACAGGAGCGACAAAAGCCCTCCTCACAGACAACCACCTCTGCATACCATGTCGACACCAGCAGAAACGACTGCTTCACCGGGAACTGCCCATGAACGGCTACGTCCCTTCCCCTACGCCCTTCGTCCCTGACGTTCCCACGTTCCTGAAACTGATCGGCCGCGAACTCTCCAAACACGCCGGCAAAATAGAATCGTGGGAGGAACTCTTTACGCTGACATCTAATCAACTGAAATCACGGGGCATCGATCCGCCTCGGACAAGGAGGTATCTACTGAGGTGGAGAGAGAAGTTCCGGAGAGGGGAGTTTGGGATCGGAGGTGATTTTCAACATGTCAAGGACGGCGTGGCCGAACTGAGGGTTGTGGAGGTGCCCAGTCTGAAGAAAGATCCCACCACGGGAGCGCCGGTAGCAGGAACAGTCGCGATCGGAAGAAGTCCTGGGATGCAAAAGCTGATTGTGAATGTGCCGAATGGCTCAAATACATACGAACTATTGCCAGGACAAACGACTGGAGATTTGAAGAAGCCGCATGGCTTCACGCTGAAAAACGGCTATATCATCAAGGGCAAGCAGGTGAAACCTATGGCAGGAACGAATGGGAGTGGTGCTACAATACGGGCTGTCGAGGGTCTCTGGGAACACACGCGAGGGCGAAAGATCTACGGCGGTGAAAGGCGGCGGGCGGAGACGTTGCATAAGATGCGAGTGGAGGAGAACAAGAAGAACGCAAGATAGATGAGGGAACCGTCCCAGATCGGAAAGATCATTGCTGTCACTTTTGTACCGACCATGCGCGGATCATGAGGTACACCTGTACATTAACATCGGCTCCTGTACGCCTTGGCATGGGTTAGGCATTGACTGTTGATGTTCTGTAAGTGAGTTGGACCCCCCTGGCGCTCAGGGCGGAAGAACTGTTGAAGCACGTTGAATCCTCCACGATGGCCATGTGCGACGAATACATGATGCCCTGAAGCGCTTTGTGAAGTTGACACTCTTGCAGACCGCAAACGGATAGCGTTCCAGTCGCGCAAGCTTCATCTTCCATGCAGAGCGCTCCCCTTCACCGACACTTCGTAACACATGGACAAGGCGCCCCTCCATCGTGCAGAAACGTGGGAGTAGGCCAGCGATCGAGTGCAGATTATATGAAGGATGACCCCCAGGCACACAGCCGACAGGGTCAAGCATGGGTGGTCTAAACTCACTGCGAGGTCCAGCGCTGTTTGACCATCTTGTAGGCCCTCCCTTGCATCGGCATGGATTCCCGAGGATGTCAGGCGGACCCTGCCCAAGAGCTTTTCGAGGCGAGCATACTGTGTACCCACATATGAGATCTCGGGCGTTTCGGCTTGGTCTCAACTGAGTATGATCTGCGCCATGAAAATGCTAAGTGATACGTCGAGGACTGAGACAGTGGCAGTCGTCCACTGACCCAACACTCGCTGGCGGCGTCGAATTATTGCCTGTGCTGCTACTGTGTACTAGACATGGACGCCTCTTTGGCGTTTTCCTGGCGTAGGCTGACATGTGTGGGCTGAATTAAAAACGAGCATACCATCCCCAGCTTCGTCGACATGGCTGCGCCCGAGGCAACAAAGCAGCTGATGGCCCTTTCACTTCTGTGTACAAATGTCGAGCATTTATGTACTCTGTACCAGTATGGGTGTTGGTGGTCTCCAGGATTTGATGACGCGCCTTTGGGCAACGAATAGCCCTTCTGAGCTTGTTGTCAAGGGGTCGGCAAGTGTGGAGAAGCAAGCTCGATCTGAAGAAGCCTCTTTCCCTTTGTAGAACGCTACGTCCTGGGAGCCGCGCTTCTGACCTTTGGATAACCGCGTCAACTTGCTGCGATATACTCCGTAAGATTCCCTTCGGTCGGACACTCTACACAGTAATCAAAGAGGATCATGAAGATCCGTTTTGCAGATCCTACTACATTGGTCACGATTGATATCCCTTGGTGGACCTCGAGGGGGTTGTATCTCGCTCTGACGGTCCTTTTAGGTCAACGGCTGAGGCACGATGCTCATAATTGCACCATGCAAAACAGTTCGGTTGCTTGACATAAAATGCTACTTTAGAATTGAATCGTGGTGATTTGAACGTGGCGTACTCCGTGCGGAGTACGAATATGACGCTTGTCCTGTCGAAGGGAGCGAGGGCGCCTCGCCAGTGTCTGACTATATCAGACAACTCAAACCTAGAGGATGAACATTGTACCTCGTAACAGCAGTCTTGTTATCTCTCTGGATGGGGCGATGAGCATCTATCGGGGAGCATGTCATGCATGCTCTCATCATGTCCCAAGGGCAGAGATGAAGAGGTCCTCGCTTCATACTAAAGCGAGATCGTGCAGTGCTGCTCACAGAGAGCACCAGGGCTAAAACTCGCCAAGTGCGCTTGATCCAGGGGCACACGCCGGGGGAAGCTTTCAGAGAAGCCACCGTTAGAGATTGGCGTCCCTTGGGGTGGGGAAAATTCTCCTTGGTGCGTGCCACTGGTGGTTGGAATGTCGCTTCGACTCTGCACGATCTCGAAAGCAGTTTCTACTCATGCACCAAGCTCTATCGGAATAATGCCGGGTACGGAGTCCCTGGCAGGCTTTGGCGGTTGCACATAAGAATCCCGAGAAACACAAATCGCTAGTATTGATATAGTAGAGACAATGTTCGACGGAACAAACTGTTTGCAAACAAGGCGGCATAAGTCGCGCCTATTCGGCTACACAGCTGGGCTTATCGAAGTCGCAGCACGGCGACCTGTTCGGAGACGAGGGAAAGGCCGAGAGCAAAAACGCGTTGGGTGGGCAAACTGGCGGCTGTCACAGGTCCCCGAAAGCTGCAACTGCTTGTGGCCGGCAGAGAACAACAACTTGTGATGATCACGACTCACGTAGATGAATTCCAGGTGATAAAACAGAGCCGTGACCAATAAGGATCAGAATTGGGAATGATGCTGGCCCTTGACGAGAGTGGTTGCAGTGATGCCGCTTCCCAACCAGAGAATTGGCTGTGGCCGCGGCAGGAGTTGCTCGTGAAGAGCGACTCCGGAAGCACGATTCATTGGCCAACAAGGGATAGCAATTTGACAGGCCCTTGGGACACTGGAGGCTGACAGTTGAATGCCGGAGCAGCTAGCAGAGGGGCTTGGGCATTGACGGGCGGACGCCCGAAATATGGGCCGTGTTTAGCTGCAGCTTAGCCGCAAGTTGCTTGACCATGCCTGCACAACCTTGCGCCCAAAGCAGCCTTCGGGGCCGGTGCCTGCATACCTCCAATCTGCAGCCAAGCCTGCACCTTCAAGCGCGCTTGAACATATCGATGCTAGCTCGTAGTATCTCGCTCGAGGGCCAACGACGAAGACGGACTGGGTGTGTGACCAGGGGGAAAATCCTTAGCATCGACACCGGCACGGCCCTCTCTGAAAGGTGAATGCCTCCTTACTCTACGCCTGGCCGGTCCCTCGCCGCCCGTCTTTCTGTCAATTCGGTCAACATCACACACCTTGTTGACCACCACCAGTGACCGCCGTGTCCAATTGCGTGTCAAAGGTGCTCCAAGACTCGACCTGTTCATACCGCACGCACATCAACCAGGGCCCATGCTCTGGGAAACAGACTGATCGCCCTCCACATTATTGCGTTGCACATGCCATCAGCTCGTTCTCACCCTCCTCTCGCTCACCAGAGCTACGACGTCCTCCCACGCGATCTAGGTACACAGTACTCCGTACGGCGCAGGATACGGCCTGCTGTATTCTCGGATCTCTAGAAGAGCAAGCGAATCGAGGCGAGAAGGCATCCATTGATTCTGTCCTTGAAGAGTCGACTAAGCACGACGTGAAGACGTCGGCCATCGTTTTACGCACACGCCCACCAATTGTTCGCTCCAGAAACGTGGTGTCCTAGGACGAATACCCCGCGAGTTGAGGGATACCGCATGAGCTTGTTGTAGCTGCCTGAATTCATTCGATTGTCCTACGATCCTCCGCTGGAAGACATGTCTCTACCCGTGCTCTCACGGCCTGTAGCCGACCCGCCCACGGGCGCACTGCCGCCTATTCCGATGAACAAACCTCCCAGAAAGAGCTTGGGTCAAACGCCCTCACGACTGAAGCTACCTTCCAGACCTTCCGCACTTCAGACATCACAACCTGTTCAGTCAGCTCCCAACTTGTCACCCGAGAGAGCTTCGGGAGCATCTGTAACCAGGGGAGTACGGAAGGTTGTCAGCATTGGCTCATTCCCACAACCACCGACTGTGAACTCGCGGCCACCAACCTCGGCCTCAATGGCCTCCAGTACATCTATCAAGAAGAGGACTTCAGACGGCGGGCATAGCATACAAGCACCCTCCGGAAGGTCGAAAAAGTCCCCCAGGAACAGCACAGCCCCGAGTTTCCGCACATCTCAAACGCCCAGTCTCCTAAATTCAGCTGGCGACGGAATGACAGTGTCCGCTCGATACAACAAGAGGACATCCGACGCGCAGTCTAGCGTCCACTCTCCCCCTCAGAGTCGCAGCTCTTCCGCCAACGGCTCTTATTCGACGAGTGCCACCACATTCGAAGAAGGTGACGAGGATAGCCGAGGCCGGACGAAAGAGCTGGAGGATGGCAGCGCCGACCCAAAGACTCTCTCCAAGGGGAAAGAAGTCAAAGGCAACGTTATTGTCAGTGTCCGGGTCCGTCCTGACGTCGGTAATCAGAACAACACTCAAACGGAAGGAGAGTGGATGGTCGATGGACGAAGAGGACTGGTAGCATTCCGTGGAAAGGAGGGCGGCGATTACCACCTTGACAACGTCTTCACCACGCACGATGACAACGCCAAAGTTTATGATTCCGCAGCGAAACGGTTGGTTCGTCGAGTGATGGAAGGCTATCATGGAACAGTTTTCGCCTACGGCATGACAGGAACGGGAAAGACGTTTTCTATGCAGGGAACCATGAGCAGCCCTGGTGTGATTCCGCTTGCCATTACCGATATCTTCTCCTACATCAGGGAAACCCCACACCGGGAATTCCTCCTGAGAGTCAGCTACCTCGAGATCTATAACGAGAAGATCCACGACTTGCTGGCTTTGCCCGCAGGTGGAGTGGTTGGGCAGCAGCAAGAGGAAATCAAATTGCGTGAAGACAGCAAACGAGGGGTCTACGCTTCTCCGCTAAAGGAGGAGATCGTTCAGAGTCCCACACAGCTGTTGCGGGTCATACACCGCGGCGATCAAGCTCGTCGCACTGGTAGCACTCAATTCAACTCACGGAGCTCCCGAAGTCATGCTGTTGTGCAGATCGTGGTCGAAAGCCGTGAGCGCATCCCCGGATCTGGCTCACTGCAGGAGAATGGGAAGCGAGTAGCCATGCTTCCCGGTGGTGTTCGTGTTTCAACCTTGAGTCTGATCGACTTGGCTGGATCGGAAAGAGCCGCCGAGGACAAGGAACGTCGTGCCGAAGGTGCTCACATCAACAAATCTCTTCTCACTTTGGGCACCGTTATTGCCAAGTTGTCGGGAACCCGCGATAAGAATGGCAACCTGTTGGACAAGGATGGGAAGCACTTGCCTTACAGAGACAGCAAGCTTACTCGCTTGCTGCAGCCAGCATTGTCCGGGAACTCGCTGGTCTCGATCCTGTGCACAATCCAAATTGGAGCCGGTCTTGCCTCTGCCGGGAGTAATCACATTGGTGAGACCTTGAATACCCTAAAATTCGCTGCTCGAGCGAAAAACAACATTGTGAGTCATGCAAAGAAGGCCGTGGAGGAGCTCGGCAGTGTCAATTCAGGCCTGCTTGAGCGTTATCGGTCGGAGATCGCAAGCCTGCGAGCACAGTTAGAAGGGCAACAGAAGTCGGCAGCGGAAAAAGAGGAACGGCAGTTGGAGAGAGAAGCCGAGCAACGTCATGAAGAGCAGATGCTGGAGATGCAACTAGCGCGGACGGCTCTCAAGGAGCGCATTGAACACCTCAACCGGCTCATTTTGTGTTCCAAGTCGACTGGAGTCAACAGCGGAACAGTGTCAGCCATGGGTATGCACTCACGACTCTCGAACGGGACCGAGTTTGGGGCTCCCCGGTCTGTGCGGTCATCAGCGAGTCAATCCACGCTCGGCGTGGGACCCAGCCTTGGACGACATCCTTCTGTTGCCTCGCTCAGTGGTGCAGCATCTGCGTCGGCACATCTCTCATTCCAGGGCATCCCTGATGAGGATGAAGAAGCTGGCGGAGATTTTGGGGACGGTAGAGCCTCACTCCAAGCCCAGGTTCGAGCACTTCAGGCAGATCTACAGGACAAGACGCGATATATCTCGACTCTGGAGAAGAGACTCCTCCAAGCAAGGCGATCAAGCCACTCGCGAGTCTCCATGGCGTTTAACAAACCCACCGGCGACGACACGGAAATGCAGAGACGGTTGGAAGAGAAGGATGCCATGATTTCAGATTTGCAGAAGACCGTCTCGGCGCTCCGATCAGCTGTGCGGAAGCGTGAAATTGCCGAGCTTACTCCGGAGATGTCATCCTCCGAGTTCAAACAAAACCGAGCGCAAGGGCATCAAAGCAATAGCAGCAACGGCAGTTCCCATACGGGCTCGCAACTCAGTGGGCCGACACACCAAATATTGCCTGGAGGACCACGCTCGCCGCTGACAGCCAGCCCGTTAACGATCCTTTCGCCTCAAAAGGCGATGGACAAAAAGCGCAAGACGGTGGACGAAATGTCCAGAATGCTTGACGAGATGATTCAGGACAAGGTCGCGAGCGGCAAGCTGAACAACAGACGCTCTTCGTCGGTACGAGTGGCGTCGAGGGGATCATCAGCGCCCCGAAGACACTCTAGGAGGATGTCCGTGGCCGCCAACAGTCCCACAACAGGTCCGGGGCTTGGGACTATGGTGGCTTCCTTGCGGGAGCGCGACTCCGTGGTCGAGCCGAGTAGTCCCAGCTGACCCAAAGATTCCATCACGAGTACTTTCCACCATTACGAATGACGACACGACCAGGTTTTCTTGTGATGTTGTTGATGCCGCTGAAGGCATGTTTGCTTGGGCTCTCTGGGGGACAAACCGACGGAGGCCGGATTGGACGAGGTGCACGGAGTACGATTCCATTCTAACATTGAGCCGTCTTCTCTCTTTGACAGATTTTGAGCTGGAGGACTTTTACAGTTGCGAGCTTTGACAGCTAGAGTCGTTCTTTCACCCCAGTCGATGGGCTCGACGGCACTTTTCATTTGTACACGATATCCAGAGGAGAACAGGAAGAACTTCTCCAGGAAGCGATTCCGAGCAAGAATCCGCAGTCAGATACCCCATAGCATTTGTACAGTAGTTATATTTTGGCCGGCGAATGGGCCTTCTTTTGATGTGTATTGTGTATGTATTTTGGACTATGAGCTTCTCTGCAAAAGACTGGGTGATATGCTCTGAGTCGAACTTTGAAGAGTTTCCGTAGCACCTGGACCACCTTGTAGTGCCCAGTATGACCTCATTCGTCTCCATTGCGGCTGGATGCTTCATGCAGTGTTTCAGGGGTCGGACGGTTGGCGAGCTGCGCTGCCGGTTGTTTCAGAAATCGACCAACGGGCAGCCGGTAACATGCTGGGCGCGCATCAAACCTTCTCTTCCTTCCATCGTCCACCCTGATCACTGGTGTCGATGGTCTACTCCGTACCCTTCCGAACACGGAGTAGCTGGCACCTGCCGTTTCGTCGGCGGAACCTCGACTTGGTCTGTCTCCCCGTCGGCGCTTCTGGCTTCGCCCTAGCGCTGTCCCTTTCAGTAGTAAATCTGCAGTGAAGTTTACGGTCTCTGGAGATGTTTGGATAACTCACCTCAGGTTTGACAGATGGTTCGCGGGGAACGTGATCTGGCGTGCGTCCCGGGTATCCGCGGTTGGTACGACGTCGTCTCCATCGCCTCCATCGCCTCCCTCGTGCTGTGGACCAGACATACAATTCTCTGCACATCTTTACCTCAGCCTCCCGGGCTCATTTTCTTCTCACCCAGTTTTGTGCTACGTACACACAACGGAGCTGGATCTCTGCATTCGAGGGCGATCAGCATTGGACTCCGGGCTTGTTTTCGTGTCATCTGCAGCATCTTTGTCGTCGAGCCTTTCCTTTATTTTCTCTGTTGCCATTACGGACACTTACGACTCGATTTCTTTGTTTCTAGGCAAGCCGTCGCGTTGAATTTCCGCAATTTTGTACTTGAAGGGACACCACGAATCTGGCAGAGACCGTGGATAGGGCTCTTTTGCGACCCGTCAGCCACGACAGCACCACATTTCTAAGGCCCTTACCTCTCAACATCCGACAACTCCATCCGCACCGTTGTGCTGCAGGACACAGCTCAAGGCAGCTTGGATAGCCTCTTTCCCAGTGCATGCATGAGGGCTCGATCTCCCAGACCCGATCATGCAGAACAGCAGCGCAAGAAGATGCTCCTTTCTAGCCGCTCCAATCCACCCAAGCCGTTGAAATTTGGCACCACAAAATCAGACCGCTATCTATCCATCAAACACCTGTTGCCTTCGACACCAATACCGTCGCCCTCGCTGCCGTCAATCCTTCCACGCCATGGCAAGAAACCGCCCAAGCTCAACTCACGCAAAATCGTCCGCAGCATCCTGTGGCTCTCATTCTTGATCGGCGTTTACTATCTCGTCTCATTCGGCAAGCGCACATCGCGCCAACTCGCGGAGCTGACCTTTCTCACGTCGTTGGGCAAGACATACGAGATCATCGAGGCCTCGGAACTGCCCGATTATCCCACGCCTCTGGCCGTGACGGACGCCACAGGGAAGCACTACTGGACGATCTCCATACCTCAAAATCTACCCTTCCCGCTTCCTCCCACCGACTACGCCGACATCTGTTCCCAGGCCCTGGAAGTCGGGAGGCACGTTGTGGCCAAGCCCTCCAAACCGAAACCCGAACACACCGCCACCTACTATCACGAGGATGCGAGTTTCATCGACGTGGCCGAAGCGCAAGCTCGGAATTTCCTGCCTCCCGAACCGTCCTCGATAGCGCAACACAGCTCCAAAGACGGCCCCCTTCCTGTATGCGACCGATCGTTGACCTACATCCTCGACGCCACGGACGCGGGCCTCGGCTCCGCCCTCCTGGGCATCTGGCTCTCGTACAGCCTCGCGCAACGCGAGGGTCGCGCCTTCTTCATCGACGACACGCACTTTCCCTACGGGAACTATTCCACATTCTTCACCAGCATGCCGCAACCTGATCCTCCATGTCGCCTACCACCGGTCTCCCACCGTGTGCCCTGCCCTCACCAAGCCAATCATCTGGTCGTCTCCGCCGCGACAACGCCCTGGGTTTTTGGACAGGCCTTCCACGCGCACTTTTCGCGACGCGAAATCTTCGACCTCGCCCACGAGGGCTACGAAGCCCTCTTCCACCTTCGGCCCGAGGACGCCGCCTACGCGCTTAATCGGGCCAGTAAGCTCCGCGCGGCAGCTAACGACAACGGCAGTGATGGCGACACCGACACCGACAGCGACGCGGCCGTCGAGAACGGCCTCGTGGGGATCCACATCCGGCGCGGCGACCGCCACCCCTTCAGCCTGGCGTACTCGCAGAACTACATCCCGCCAGAGCAGTACATGAGCACGGCGCGCCGGCTGGTGGGCCAGTCGCCGCACTGGCGGTTCCTGGTGGCCAGCGACGACGCCGACATGTACGAGCACGTGGATCTCGGGGGCGCGCGGCGGGCGCAGGAGAAGATCTCGCTCGCGAGCAAGAAGTCGTTGGAGCGCATGGGGCACAAAGGCGGCGAGGTGCATGGCGGACGCGGCGGCCGGGGAGCCCTGGGCTGGGAGGGCGGCTTCTTCAAGGACGTCTTTTGGGGATTGGGCCTGCCGGAGGAGTTGAAGTGGGAGACCAAGAAGGTGGGGAGTCCCATGCCCATGAAGGAGAAGCATCGGTTCGGGGAAAAGGGCGCGGACGGGCGCGAGAAGAGGGTCCATCATCATGAAGCTGCGCATCGGGGGAGAAATAAGGTGGCTGCGAGAGAGGCGGAGACCCTCGCCAATGAAAACACAAAGGAATCGGTGCGACAGGATGGGGATGTGGCACAAAGGGATTATCGCACCGACCCTACGAAAGAGGCGCTGCAGTTGAGAGAACTGCTGGGGAGGGCCTACTTGCTGGATCTGGCCATGTTGGCGCAGAGCGACAAGGTCGTGTGTGGCGTGTCGGCCAACGCGTGTCGCATCCTGGCCGTCATGCTGGGGTGGGAACGCGCGTTTGAGAAGAAAGACTGGAACAATGTGGATGGCGGGTACGAATGGAGAATCATGGACTACTGAGGCTTTGAGGCTTCTCAGATCGCGCTTCGGGCGCAATGGAAATGCTATTGCATCCCCTGCTAGCCAGGGAGAAAAGCGCTACAGACCTCAAAGGACGAATTGAGGAAAGAAAGCGTTTTATTTGCATCCGGAAACAATCATGTCCTTGTGGCCCTCATATGGATCGAGGCGTGGCGAGAGCTCAAAGCTGAAATGCTCGTCCGGTTACATACAAGAGACCCCCCCCCCCCCCGAGCTGCGGCGTTGCCTCGCGGTGTTTGAGCCCTAGATACCCTCTGAAGTACATTAAGAACAGTACTTCATACGGAGGCAAATTGAGGCCTCGTCCCAGCACAATTGAATGTTAGACGCCATTGCATCAGAATTGGTGACTTTCCTGCGCTTGTCGCATATGCGAACTCTAATCGTCGTACACTGGAAGGCCGTGCCCCCCCCTGATATCCTGCTTCGGACGTGCGCGTCACGGTAGGCGGGCACTTCAAGCGCCACTCATGTATGCGTGTCGTGGTTGGACCTCAAGAGTTCTGAACTCCTCCGACTTTGCTCATCAGAAAATGTTTGGATGGCCGCAGTACATGGTTTCGTAGCACACGCTCAGCGCGAATGCAGGTGTGGTCGACCAGACATCTCCCTGTGTAGTGGATGGGAACTTGGTTTGTTCGAGGACGCTTGAGGAACAATATGGACCGGTCCGCAGCAGTGTCGTGAGATGGAGAAAATTCCGAACAGCTAGATGGTGTCGATACCATCAGAGACGGACGGTATCGTCGACCTCAACTCGCTGCCGCTGCTGCACGACGGCTGGATCTCTTGGCCAGCTTCGCCGATCTTCGTGCGCGCTTCTTGCGGAGATGATGGTGGCTACAAGTGTGGCAGCGTCGCCGTTCATAGTCCGTATTTGGTCCAGGTCGATGCTTCCTGCTTGGTTTTAGCGTCCATGGCTCTGCAGTATCCTCGACTGCTGAGCAGTGCAAAAGGGAGTACTTACAGCTTCCAGTTGAAAGAGCGGTTGCAGTGGCCTGTTTCTGATGGGCTGTTAGCGTGCTGTAAAATTGGGCAGGAAAGTCTCTGGGTGGGGGAACACTCACCCTCGTAATGGGCGCAGCGACGTGTCTGCACGATGACCTCGTGGACGCAGCGGCAGAGTCCGCACTTCTCGTAGACGTACTGGGTGTAGCACATGTTGGCGATGATTTTCAAGGGTCTTTGAGATGTGGTCTGGGTGTTGAGAATATCCGATCAAGGTGATCGAAGGTCGAAGTTATTGAGGGTGAGGACTACAGTTCAAAGAACAGGAAAGTGCCTCCAAGAGGCACCGGTTTCCCTCGCATCGACGTGTGAAGAATTCCTATCACTTTCGTCTACGCAGTGCAGTGACTGCCGAACCTCAAACTGGAATGTACGAGTACGACGCCGTCGTGGTGGCAGTGACACTGACAGCCAACTGCGCCCACTGCGCCCACTGCGTCATCATGTCAAGGCGAAAGTTACTTTTCAGGTGTCTTCCCTTCGCTGCTTCCCGAAGTCACTGTGTCAGATAGATTTAGCGACTGTGTACGAGTATGCATTCCACTCCGCGACAGTGATAGAATCGAGCGAGTGATTCTGGATCTGGACGTCCACCTCTCTGACCATTCACTGAAAACGCTCATGACAGGCTCGCTTCGTGCGCAGACGACTGCCTCGGCAGATCCGTGGCCCTCGTCGAGCTAAGGTGCAAACCGCAGTTCCTCCGCAAGCGATTCTTGGAATTCTCCTCTCCAAGGCGGTCTACGCTCTGGAGGTGCCTGGTCGGCTAAACGCATCGTGCATAGATTATGTAGCGGGTTGCCTGCCAGCGTGCCGTGCCCATGGCGCGAAACATTCTTCTCTCGTTCCTTCTCACCGATCCAACTCCGTTGTAAATACCGACGATGGCTCGTAAGTGTCCTTGCCCTCGTGTCGGTCTCGAGGCTTCAGCGATTGGCTAATGCTCGTACTGTACTCCAGCGTCGGTCTCCACGGTAGCTCTGGCCACCCCGGCCGTTCTGGCAGGACTGGCCTATCTGAATGCTCGCTGGCGAGTCTCGGTCGACCTCGAACTCATCCTCAGTCTCGTGGCGTCCCAGAGAGCCTTTGCGAAGCGCGAGGCAGCGGACCGGGCCAATTCCTTCTACCTCATCGAAGAGCATGCGCGGAATTCAAAGGTCGCGGACAAGATCTTTATCATCTACCAGGGGAAGACATGGACATTCAAACAATGTTATACCATGGTGCTGCGGTATGCAGGATACCTGCACAGCACTCACTCCGTTGCGCCCGGTGAGGTCGTTGCGATAGATTTTATGAACTCGCCGCAATTCCTCTTCCTTGCCATGGCGATCTGGTCCTTGGGTGCGCTGCCAGCGTTCATTAATTACAATTTGGCGGGGAATCCTTTTGTTCACAGCGTCAAAACGTCGTCAGCAAGGGTAAGGGTCCCCGTCTTCCAAGCCATACATCGTGACCATCCAATGTCTGCCCAGCGGGGCATGGCGTCGTCCCTCAACTTCTGGTGCTATCAAGACAAGTGCTGACAAACCCCAGATATTGATTGTTGACCCCGAAGTCGCTCCAAAAGTGCTCAGTGAAGAGACAAAAGCTGTGTTCGCAGCCCCAGATTTCCGAAATCAAGCTTTTCCACTGGAAGTGGTCGTCTTGGGCACCGGTCTTCAGTCATCCCTCGAATACTTCCCACCATATCGGGCCCCGGACACTGCTCGGAGTGGTGCCATCGGTCGATCGCCATGCGTCTTGATATCCACTTCAGGGACGACTGGCCTCCCCAAAGCGGCCATTGTTCCCTGGGATCGCACCGCAGTCGCCTCGGGTCTCATCTACCGGTGGATTGGTTTACGCAACGTGACCAAGAAGAACCCCGACCGTTACTATACGGCAATGCCACTTTACCACGCCTCTGCATTTCAGCTGGGTTTCCACTGCTGTCTTATAGGGGCGTGTACTCTGGTCTTAGGCCGGAAATTCTCCGTCTCCAACTTCTGGGACGAAGTCATTGCAGCTGATGCTACCGCTATTCAGTATGTGGGAGAGACGCTGCGATATCTACTCGCCGTCCCTCCGCAACCCAGTGATTGCACAAAGCACAGGGTCCGTCTCGCATTCGGCAATGGCCTTCGGCCAGATGTATGGGACAAATTCCGCTCCCGCTTTGGCGTGGAAACCGTCGCCGAGTTCTATGGCGCCACCGAGTCCATAGGGGCATGCTTTAACAAGTCTCGAAACACTTTCTCATCAGGTGCAATCGGTCAAGTGGGTCTCCTGGGCAGTCTGCTTTCCAAGCTCAGGCAAACGGTCGTCAAGGTCGATTGGTCGACCGAGGCACCGTACCGGGACCCAAAGACAGGATTTTGTATCGAACTTCCGCGAGGCGAACCCGGCGAGGTATTGTACCGGATCGACGCTGCAGACATTGGGGCCAAATATCAAGGCTACTTTGGCAACAAAAAGGCCAGCGACTCGAAGATTTTGAGGGATGTGCTTCAAAAGGGTGACGCCTGGTTCCGTTCCGGCGACGTCATCAAGATCGATAAGGAAGGCCGCACCTGGTTCCTCGACCGGATAGGCGACACGTTCCGCTGGCGGAGCGAGAATGTCTCCACCGCCGAAGTGGCGCAGGTGCTCGGCCAACATCCCGCCGTGCTAGAGGCGAACGTGTACGGCGTAGCGATACCGAACCACGAAGGCCGCGCGGGATGTGCTGCTGTGCTTTTACGCAATGTGGATGCGAACACGACGCCCGTGCCGGACTCCTTGCTCGAAAGCCTCGCCACGTTCTCGCGGAACAGTCTGCCGAGATACGCTGTGCCTGTGTTCCTCAGGGTCGTCACGCAGGTTATGGCTACAGGGAACAACAAGCAGCAGAAGCACGTGTTGAGGCAGGAAGGCGTCGACCCGGAGAATGTGGGCGAGGAGAGAATATTTTACCTGAGACCCGACAGCGAGCGGTACGAGCCGTTCGGCAGGGCTGAGTGGGAAACCGTCAAGGCTGGGAAGGTGAGATTGTGAAGGCGAGCACGGAAGCCACTGAAATATACCGCTCGACTCGACCGCAAGAAGGAAGTCCAGAGGTATCAGCGAAAAATACCCGAGACGATGCCTTGGAGAGAATGGAGAGCCTTCCGAGATTTAGGTGTCAGCTTTCTTGCTGATATGTCTACCTACGATACGTATGTCATGTGTCGATTATCGAATTGGAGACATTACATTATGGTCGAAGATTACGGACCGTGAGCACCGCACCATCTTTGTATTTCGTACCAGGTAGTTCTTGTTCTTGTACGGATTCGTTCCTACATTCCCTGGTGGCAGTAGTATATGTGGGAAGGTAAGAGAGGGAGCGATAATAGCGGATTGGAGCCCAAGCCGAGACTCGCAGAAGCAGGCGTGAATTCTGAAGTTGGCCTCGACATAAGATTGACGGTTACAGCATGAACAACATGAACAAGAGGACATCGCGGCTACGTCTACTGAGACTGTGACTGAGGCCGAAATTGCGTAACAAAGGAGACTAATGTGCCGTGAGTATCCCAATTCACATGGCCCTTTCAATTCCATTCGCTTTGCCAAGATTCCTTCGCGGCATGCGAGTGTAAGTTTGACTGTGACTGGGAGTGAGGTTGAGTTGATGAAAAGCAATTTTCTCCAGTAAATCCTCGGTATGCCCCCTCAACTCATCCCATTCTGCTCTCTGTGGTATTCTGATTCATATGTTCGCCGTCACTCATCACGGTGTCCTTCTCTTAGATTGTCCCCCTTTTTCTCCATCTCCACGCGTGATAGCTCTTCAGCAAACCGTGATGGCTCGCCAATTGGTCGTCATGGCTCTTCAGTAAACCTTGATCCCTTGGCGCTTGGTCGTCAGAGCTCTTCAGTAAACCGTGATCCCTCGCCACTTGGTCGCCCCTTCGCACCGGTCGAGGTCATAGGGCTGTTTACGTCGACGATCCTGGCGGACCCGCTGTCTACTTTCGACGCACTGACCAGGCGGCCCTCGTCGAAAGTGTCTCTGGCTTCCTCGAAGTCTTCGTCGTCGTCACCATTTGTTTGGGCGTGCGTGAGCGCAGGAGTTGTTGTTCCAGTGACGGTGGAGTGGCCGGTCGCTTCCGTCGAGGTAGCCGATGGTTCCTGGACTTTGTCTTGTGGCTCTTCCTCCGGGTGCGCTTGAGATACGCCGCTGCCTGATACAGGGTCGGTGGTTTGAGGCTCCGGGCCGGTCGCTCGAGCGCTTGAAGCTGAAGCCGCCCCTGTTTGTGCAGCAGCGGAACTACCGACAGCAGACGAAGTGAACGCTCCGGGTTGACGCTTGTCTTTATCTCGTCCTGGGATGACCTTCTTCAAGAACCGCTCACGGAAGCCTTTCCTTCCTCTGGGCTCTTCCTCTTCGTCGGTCAAAGTCGCTACTTGATCGTACCCGGAATTTCGTTTCGAGCCTGTGCCGTGCTCAGTCGAGTAGCGAGAGGAGGCCACGTCTGCGGCGATGACGTAGGGTTCTTCGCTCAGCGACGAGGTATCCGAGGGAGGACTGATGTCCCGTTCTTTGGCACCTCCTTCCTCCACCCCCGGACCAGGTCCACTGGTACTAGTCGCTACTCCCGGTGCGGGATCGTCTTGGACGGGCGAGACTCGTCCGTATGGCTCTGCCGACCCGCCGTACATGTCTTCAGTCTCGTTGTCGCTACGGCCGGCAAACGCGACGTCACGGATTGAGTCAGTGGCAGCCGGCTCCTCTTCTTTGATGGGCTCAGCTGTTTGAGGACGACTGGAAAGTGGCTCATTTGGTGCCGTCTCAGTGGTCGCAGCTTGGTCACGACTGAAGTCATCCTCTGCCTTGCTTCCTGACCTGAAGCGCTTAAAGAAGGACTTCACTCGTGAATTGCGCTTCGAAGGCGAAGCTGGTGAGGTCTGAGATACCGGGGATGTTGACTCCTGAGGTGGACCGCTGCTTGAGTATGGTCGTGCACCAATATTGTCTTTAGGTTTCTCGTCTTCCTGTGATACGACGGGAGCTGCCACGGGCTTGACTTCGTCCTCAGCATCTGCCGCGGCAACTGCATGGGCGGCTTCACCCGGATCCATTGTGACTTGGCCATGTATGGCCTCGCCGGTGTCGAGGGTGACTTTGTCGTGGAAAGTCTCGCCGGCGAGCTCATCAGGTTCAAGCGCTGCGACTGCTGGACCTTCGGAGCCGGCGGTGACAGGCCTCGCTCCTCCTTCGGCTACAGCCACCGCACCTTCACCAGCGGCAGCGCCACCAGCACCTGCTGCTGTTCCTCCTGCAACGCCGCCTCTTCCCAGGAAAGATGGAAGGAAACGAGGTTTGCCAGACTCCGGGTGTCCTTTTTCTGCTTTCTCTGCTCGCCGACGCTCTTTGTCAGCTTGATTTGCCTCCTCCCGAGCTTTCTTCTCTGTGCTTTTTTGCTCGGTTCGTACTCGTCTCTCTTCATGTTTCTGTTCTTCCAATATGCGTTTCTCTTCCATCCTTTGAGCCCTTTGTTCGGCCTTTTCACGGTCTATGGTTGTCAGTGACACTTGTACACCAGCACCGCGGGTAGACTTACCAAGTGCAGCTTTCTGCTCAGCTTTGATCTCAGCTTGGCGCTTCCTCTCGGTCTCCTGCTCAGCCTTGAGTCGCTCTTGCTCTAGCCGGAGCTCCTCATCTCGTGCTCTTTGCTCTTCAGCCTTTTGGCTAATCTCGTCCAACGTTGGCTGCAAGCGGGCTTTCGCGATCGCCTCAATTTCTTCCTGTTCAAGGTACTTTCCACCTCCTATGTGAACTTTCCCGACATTCATTAGCCTTTCGTCACTATCCCTTTGAGCTCTCTCTCGAGCTTGACGTTCCCAAAGCTCGCGCTGGTGGGGACTTGTCTTGCCCGTCTCTGAAAATACCTTCTCGTCCATCGCATTCATCCGAGCCGTTACGTTCTTGTGTGCGGCTGCAAGTAGTGCGTCTCTATCGGCCTGTCGCTTCTTACTGTCAACCTCAGCGAGCTTGCCTTGGAACAGTGACATTTGTTGGCGGATCTTCCGCGACTCCTCTAGGTCGGAATCATCGTCGTTCTCGGGAATGTCCGACCGCCGCCGACCACGCCTTAAGAAGGTTCGTGACCTCTGTGGCGTAGTATTCTGCCCATAATACTGCCGGTACTCGGCGTGCTCGTCATGTAGCTTGGCGAGACGGTCTTGAGCAAGCTTCCGGGCCTGTTCTTCCAGATTCTCATATCGTGGCACTTCACCAGTCCGTGCTGGCTGATTTGCAGCATCTGATTGAGCCCGCCGACGGGCCGTGTGCGCTGCATAATGGCTCTGCGAACGATGGATACCCCTGGCCTCGTCAATCTGTTCTTGTTGTATAGCAAACATCTTTTTAGCCATAGCCACGGCAGAAGCTCGCAGCATGTCTTGCCGCCTCCTTTCTTCGACCTCGATTGCGACCGGGGGGTTAGAAGTATACATTTGTCTGGAGACGTTGTTTTTGGCCATATTCTGTATCCTGGCCGCATCGGTACTCGACATCTCGCTCTTGGATGATTGGGGAGTGGGCCCATTGAGTGGTTTGGAGTTATGAGATTGGGTCGCTGCTTTCAACGCCCAAGCAGAGGGACCATTCGATGGCACGGGGTGTACAGGTGCCGACCCTGCGCGCCTCCGTCCCCCTTTCACTGATGCAGTGGCCGCCAGCAGTGCTTTCTGGCGGTCGTCGCCTGAGACATGTCTTTCGGTTATCGCAGGTGGTGACTTCGGGTTCTGCAGGGCTGACGACGCTGCAGAGTGACCGTGTTCTGTTTCTGGGGCTGTCCAAATGTCTACCGATCCAGCATCTCGATGCGCAGCTATCGCGGCCTGGGAGCCGGCGCGACTCAACTCTGGCTCCCACAGAGGCTCCATCTTGTAATCTCGAGCCTTTTCCGCGGCTGTGTTCGCGTGAGGTAGCTCGCCCGGCGTCCAGTGCTCGAATGCTTTCTTGTTGGAGTCGGCTAAGCTCGCTGCAGCACCAGCCGATGCTAGTTTGACGCCGCCGGAAGACGGAAATGAAGGCAAGTCTTGAGCTCGAGCGTATTTGAGGGATTGGGCGGCACCTGTATTAGCGATTAACAGGCGGTCCATTGGGAATATGATTTGGAGATGGAGGGCAAGGGCGGGGTTGACATACTTGCGGCAGAGAGCCGACCCTCCTCGTCCAGAATGGAGGATGCGCTGTGCTTTGTTGTCGTGGAAGAGTCGCGATGAGAAGATAAGGCTGCAGAAGCAGCTACAGAGTGGTCAGTCGTTGTGACGCTCAACATTGGACGCATACTCACCTTGGTCTTCGAGCTTGTCGGATGGTGTGAAGGCACTGCGATGGGAATGGGGATCGGGATGGGCATGGGCTGCGACGCTGGTAGACATGCTTGGCCCTGCTGCGGAACTGGTTCGTCCGCGTATGTGCTGAGTGCAGATTGACGGTTGCGCGAATACCGGTCAGTCAGTTTACCACAACATGGGCTCGATAAATCTGTGCGAAACCTGGTTGTGAGAAGAGCTCCAGCTTCATCCAGATTATCCAGGTAGTACAAGAGAAAGGACTGAAAGAGCTGCAGTACTAACATGGAGCCCTAGTGGCGTGCCGCTCGCTCATCAAGGTAGAGCTGCGACTTGTCTATGTCATCCAAGCGCAAGCGAACCGTTTACCACCTACGTCATGCCAATAGGAGCTCAAAGAACAACCAAAGAGCCTGGGGCTCGGTTGCCTCGGTGCTCCAGGTTTCGTCAGGCCTGAAAGAGGACCCTTAATTACATTGTACATACACCACAGAATCTTGCATCACGTTCTGTCAAGAAGGTCTCCTATACCTCGTCTTTTGTTGTAAATTTGTCTGATTGCGACAGCATACTGTCTACGGAGCGTGTCCGTGCATGGAGGGGTAGATAAGTGGTGCGTTACCCGTTCTGGACCGGACTTAAGCGGTACCACCTTCGATTCTCGACACGAGGTAGCCCGGGGGACCTAAAAGGCCTCAGACAGAGGGTACCAAGTACGGAGTACTCGTACGAGCTCCACGAGCCAGAGAGCTCACCCCAGAGCCGTCCTCCTGTGCCCCACAATGACATGCAGCTGGCAACGGTGCCAGTGTCAGATCTGACATGCGTTTCTCCAGTACGAGTTGCGAGTACCACTTCTTCATGTAAAAGCTCAATTCTTTGATTCCATATTTCTTCGCTCCACAAATGATGGGTACTACCGCCGCAGCGCACCCGGCGATAACCTACCATTTCGATAACTTGCTGAACTTTCGTGATGTTGGGACCCATGTCAACACACTCATGGAACGCACCGTGCTGCGGACTGGACTTCTGTTCAGAAGTGCTCGACCCGATGAAGCCAGCCAATCTGACCGTGACCAGCTGGTAAACAAGTACCATGTCAAGACCATCATTGATCTCCGCTCGAAAACGGAGCACATAAACGCAGCGAAGAAGCGGTCAGGGGTCGATCCCAGTGTGAACTCAGCGGCATTGTCCACAACCAACAAGGCTTTTGACAACGAAGTGAGACACCCCGTTGAGATACCGGGCATTCGATACAAATACATCAATCTTAACGGCAAGGGGTTTGAGCGACACCTCATCTGGCAACTGAGATATACCAGCCTAGCCAAGCTGGTTTTCTTGATGGCTCTTGGTTACCGAACAGAAGGTATCTCGGTACTCGGGAAGGAGTTGATGCTCCCACGCGGCCTGATAGGTCTCGGCATAGACACTCTCGATTGCAGTGGTCCAGAAATTAAAGAGGTATTTGACGTCCTGGCCGACGCGGATGCTTGGCCAGTCATGATCAACTGCACCCAAGGCAAAGATAGAACTGGGATAACAATCCTTTTGGTGCTTGTGCTCTGCGGCGTCGACCTCGGGGCTATTACCCAAGATTACGTGAAGTCTGAAGAAGAGCTTGAGCCAGAGAAGGCTGAAAGAATGACGGAGATTCAGAGCATCGGCTTGGACGAGTCGTTTGCGACATGCCCCCCAGACTTTTGTGGGAAGGTTGTCCAGCATCTCGAATCTAAATACGGCGGTATCGACAGTTACCTTGCCAAAATCAGTGTTGACACCACTCATTCCGAACGTGTCCGCCAGATCCTCAAGGCCAATGGTTGACGGATGTGGTCACTGTCTCCTGCATTTCAGGAGCGGACCATCATTCTAAACTGACTATACCGTTAGAAGACCTATCGATTGGAGGTTGGGAAATGGTACCACGACTGAGCAACATATCAGCTATTCTTTGGGAAGGAATTCGGACATTCTGTACGCCAACTCCAGATCTCAAGTTCAAGCTTCGTCTGAGCCCGGCCTTGGAGCTTTATACAAGATACCTTCAGTCTTGTACTTCCAGACTCCAGACGTACCCGAGCTTTCGGAGTCACCCCATACAGGCAATGGGGTATCATGCATGATCAAGGCTTTGTCAGCACACTATCTGCAGGTCAACACGAGCCAAGATAGACTGCTGACACCGATGGTCGCTGTGAAGTGGGGAGAATATTGGGGTACCACTGGGGGAAGTCCACCAAAGAAGGAGCATAGCCCGAAGCTACACAGTCACTTAGATGCCGCCCAGTACAGAGTAGAAATTTAGACATTGTGAGCGGCTAGCATGCGGGAGGTCTACCCGGTACAGCAAGCCCTCTCAACATTGGGAAAGGATTGCAACGCGTATCTAGCAATTGAGATATGACCAATGCTCGAATAAGTCACGAACTAGCCGCATCACACCGCAGTACCGTGTATGGGGTCATGCTTTCTCGTCACAACCACTTACTGCACCTCTGTACTTGAGGCAAGCTCGAAGCCGATGCATTGTTTTCTGCTAAGAAATCGGCAATAGAAATTACAATTCAGGGTGTCCGAACTGGCGGCTGAGCACGAGGCAGGCACTGCTGTGTAGGATTCGGGAAAGCAAAAGAGAGGTCGTTGCGAGAAATGGAGCAGTGTCGTCATTCCTGGGAGTCCGGGAAGCCGCGGATGTTTCAACTAACGGCCATTGATGATTGGTTCTGGAAAATTCCGTCTTTCTCGGGCGAATGACGTTACAAGGTCTCTGACGAAGAGCAGCAAGAAACAGCTCCTTCTGGCGCCCAACTGATTGTACTCGTACAAAGTGTGAGCAATTATGTATTTGTCTCTTCCAGGTCAAGCGACAGTTGCGAGCAGGCTTTGTTAGGGCAGTGCCTGTCCTTGCCTACTATCTCCCGGTTTTTAAGTCCGCAAAACAAACAGCGCATGCTGGATCTCTTGTTACTCACTGCGCATCTGTCGTGAAGACCCGCAAGTCTGCATCCACCAGTCGCTGTCGTGAAAGCACCCTACCTCCCCGACCGAAATGGTGAATAGGTGTGGGCCTCCTTTGTCATTCAGTCGCAGCCACGCAAACGCCAATGCGACGGCGACATATTTCCGGAACGTGCATTGCCTCACGACTTCCCAGAATGATGTAGTGTGCTTGGTGTTTGTTGCCAGTGACTTACCTAACAGCTGTACAGTGGTTGCAGTTCTTGATGGATACGTCATGTTCCAGTCGGCGGTTACAGTGATATGCATAACTCGCCTCTACTCATATTCCCTTCGTCTGCTCCCGTTCCAGCCAGCGTCTTGATTGCTGTCTCTGGTTTCGTCCTCGCCTCGCCCACACAGCCAGTCGCTTTGCCGCCGACGCAGGCCTGTTCCCTCTGCTCAATCACATTCTCGTTCTCGCAGGCATACTCTCGACACCATGCAGTGGTCCAGATATGACCGGTGGTGGCTCTCCGCCTGGATCTTTCCACTTATCTCAGCTCTCATGTAGGTCTTGTTTACCTTGGTTGTCTATTAGGCACGGACTCGCAGCTGACATGTTCCTCAGGTGGCTCGGGATGTTGCTCGCCATGTTCTGTACTTGGGAAGTCCAAGGATCACCTCATTATCCATCCATGGCACGCAACCAACGCATTGCCTACATCTCCGACGTAGGCGCATTCGGGCTGAAACCACTCTTTATTACCGGTGCCGTCATCACCACAGTCTTCCTCGATCTGGCATTCGTGTCCGAGCGGTGGCTCCGGCACTTCGGCCGCCTGGCACCCAACACCTCACGCGTCCAATCGGCCCTGTCGGCGATTAGTATATTCTTCGCTATTGCGGGTACCTGCGGTCTCATTCTCCTCTCCATCTTCGACACGTACCATCACTCGCGCGTTCACAACGGCTGCCTCTTCATCTTCCTTGCTGGTTACATCATCTCGGCCATCTTCCTGTGCGCAGAGTATCAACGTCTCGGCATACACTACCGCCAGCATCGTGTGTTGCGGTTGTCCTTCTGGATTAAATTAGCTTTCATCTTCGTCGAGGTTGCATTGGCTATCGTCTTCGCCGTCACATCTTGGAGAGATCAAGAAGACGTTGCCGCTATCTTCGAATGGATCGTCGCTCTGATATTCACGTTTTATGTGCTTTCATTCTTGCTGGATCTATGGCCCTCGGTGCGCTCAAGGCATCATGTCCCTCAAGGCTGGCAGGAGAGGGAAGCCCAGCTGGAGAAGGAGGCACAAAGAAATGGGGGGCTGCCACCTCTTGATCAGGGACCTGCACCCATCACATCCGAGCCCAACCAAGGAACATATCAAAACCAGGAGGGTGAGCTGTACTACGATCGTGTTACGGGACAGTATCGGGGTACCAACATGACTGCTGGTCAAGGCGCACATCATCAAGCGGCAAATTCGACACATCGGCCCGACCACAGCGACCTCGGCCGTCAGAAGAAGTCGGGCATCGGAAGAACGAGGTTCTAACCGCCCGTCGCCTGTCACTCATCGCTCCGCCATCTGTACAGATTGAGCGATGAGTGAGAACAAGGGTTGCTAAAGCCGCATGCCACAAATTCACTTCAGAAGGATGTATTCGAAAACCGACGAATTTCACGACCGCGAAAGATGCAGAGACATCATGTTAAACATTAGACTGGGTCAAAGAACATCATGCATGGCGTTGGTGGTTGGGTGGCCTAATTCGGTCAATGGGCATTTTTGATTTCAGACATGGCTTGAGTATACAGGTTGGGCAGCCATCGGCGGTGGTCCGCGGCCGCCTGGACACGACTGAAGAACAGTCGACAGACATGGAAAGCACAAGTGACCTGAATATTCGTAGATATCACTAATTCTTGATGAGTGCTCCGTGCAATTCGTTTCCTGTAAACCGTAGGCTGTCTTCAGATCCAGCCAAACGCACTCCATCGTGAAGTCCCAGGTCTGCCAGGCTCTTCTTCAGGAGGCCCAGAGACGAGACATTCCGTCTCCATCTCCGTCTCTTCGTGTACGAAGGTTTGCCGCTTTGCCAGCCTTATCCTCATTGCCAACAGCAAGCATCGCCAGGCCATCAGTAGTGGATGGTGTCTTTCAACCAAGAGACCTCTGGGAGCATGAGCATTGTCATGACATAACAAGCAGAAAGAAGGAGCACGCCAGGAACACCCGACGCTACTGTACAACTCTTCAAGACGCTCTTCCAGCGTTCAGAACGACCCTGCCTCCCACTTCTTCAACTGATCGCCCCACTAAACAGCTTCGCCGCCAGCTCACTCAAAATCCTTGCCTTCTGCCCCTGATCAAGGGATTGAAACACTTTATACACCGACTTGCCCTTGGCGTCGCGTATAGCACCGGCCTTGCTCCCCGCAATAGCCCCGGGCACCATCCCCACGACGTCACCGAAGATGAACCCCATCGCGCCACCCGAAATGCCCCCCACGATCGTCCAGAACCGCTTCGTGGGCGCGTGGTTATCGTCCGCCAGATCATCCTCGTGCATCATCTCCTCGAACGCGCTCTCAAACTGTTGATCGGCGAATTGGCTGTGCTGGCCGTCTCCGCCACCGCCGCCGCCGCGCCCGAAGCCGAACATGTTGAACCACGAGGGCGTGGACCCGGCACCGGCCTGTTGTCCAGGCGGTCGGGGCACTTCTTCGTCCGCGGAGTCGTCGGAGGTGAAGGTACTGCCCGTGTGGAACTTGCGGGCTTCGTCATAGTCGCGCCGGCGCGTCTTATCCGAGAGGGTATAGTATGCATCGTTGCTGCACACCGTTAGATGCCACGCCGCGCATCACATAGCGCCAGATTGTAGAGGGCCCTGGTGCGCGGGGCCATCAAAAGGTACGCAACTCACATTGCTTGAAAGCGCTTCGTGCGCTTCGGTCGTTCAGGAGAGTCAACTGAGACGCGGTCGGGATGCCACTTAAGGGCTGCCTTCTTGTACGCCCTCTTGACTTCTTCTTCTGTGGCGCTGGGCGCGATTTCGAGGATGGAGTCTGTGCGTTCGGGTCAGCGATTGAGGATGTATGGACTAGGTATGTGGCACCGACAGTAATCTGGGAGGTCCGACATTGTTTCGGGGACTGGAGCGTCCAAAGAACTCCTCGAACGCTTGCGTGAGGCTGCGAGTCTTGTCCGTTGAGAGGGGAGGAGTGGGTAGATTTGCAACCGCCTCTGGGTTAGGGCAATGAAGGCACAGAAGGACAATGATACGTAGGCCGAATTTGTCTAGGAAAGGAACCTCAATGTACTCAGGAGGCTAAGTTTTACAGTGAAGGGCGAGTCCTTCGCAGCGGCAGGCCTGCCTGCGCCTGGCATATGATGCATGTCATTGTCCCTGGTGTCTCTGGTGCCTCCTCGTCCCTGTGACGTCAACGGATCACTCCATCAAGCCACTGTGGCTTGAAAAGGCTGCTCGGCTGACTCATCCCTGAGCATGTGGTCCATGTGGGTGACATGTGTCGAGCTTTCACGGATTCACTCGCCTGCGCAATTCCTAGGACTCCATTCGGCTGCCACAGCTCCTCAAGGCCCTTTGTCTTTGATGGTCGATCCAGGTCACGACCGAATCGTATGAGGACCTCTAGAGTGTATGTCTGGCATAAAAGATGCATCGGTGAAACAATCACATGCCCCGGCCTGACGGTTGCTAGCTAGTAGGAGACGCAACACCCAGATACGAGTAGAATGCGCTGGATTTTAAGGGTGAGGTGAGCCTGAGCAGCGCACGGTAGCATTAACGGTACGGAGTAAACCGCAGCCAGATCCCTCAAGTGCAGCCTCGTCAAGCCTTGCACTGCCACACAGCAGCTCCAGCTAGCTGCATCGGCCGACTGTGGTCGCACCGTTTGTCCCAGCCACTCAACGCCAGCCACTCGCATTGCGGTGTGGTGAGCACTCAGCAACGTCCAGTTCTGTACTCTGTATTTGTGTACTACACACTCAATTTGTCGGTTCAGTTGTACAAACACCACTCAGCAGAGCTCCGCGATCGAGCCGAACCCAGAAAGGGACCGCGACAACCAGCATTCAAGAAGAGGGGGTCCGAACAGGGTCTGGAAGTACGCTGATGCACCAGCGTGGGCATATTTCGCAAGGAAGCTGAACATAGCCACTACCAAAGAGGAGTGCCCCGTCTGCGTTACTGGCGCAGACACAAGGCGCCTGTTACCGTACACTGAGGGTGATCGCTCTCTCGCCCGGCGTCTCAGCCATTGTCCACCTCAAATCACATCCTCATGGGCTTCTGGAACCAGGGAGTGCGAAGCTCGCGCTCGAGAAGCCGCAGTCGATCTCCCTCTAGACGCTCGTACGTGTCGCGACCCTCATATAATCGAAGCGCTTCCTCGATCTTCTCGGGGTGGGGAGGCCGCGCCTCGTCGTCGAGAGGCTATGGCTACGGGCATGGCCATTCCTCCCGCGCCAGGCCTCGGTCGGGCTTCATCAACCGCATCCGCCGGTTCCTCCACCAGATATATGAAAAGTTCAAGAGGCACCCCTTTCGCATGTTCATGCTCGTCATCATGCCGCTGCTCACCTCCGGGGTTCTGGTCAAGTTGTTCTCCAGCATCGGGATAAGGTTGCCAACGGGCATGCAAAGGATGATGGGAGGACAACAACAGACGAGGCAGACGACAGAGAGGTTTTACTCCCGAGGAGGCGCACGGGACGTTGGGGCCGGTACCTCCCTGCCTGGGATGGCCGGTCCTAGTTGGGGAGACAGTTTAGGCACGGTTATGGGCATTGCAAAGACGTTCATGTGAAAGATTTGAATGTTATCCCGGGCGGATCAGCTGCAACTGTAATGACGATGACTTGAAAAATATCCCTTGGCAGAAAGGAACAAGGAACAAGGAACAGCAAGGTGTTTGGAGCTAGTATCCTCTCTTTCAAAAGTCGTGGACCATCTATTGCTGAGGCACCAAAGCCTGGTCCACGGCCGAGTCGCTTTATTTGTTACGAGGAGAGACAAAAGTCACAACGGGAGAGAACGCTCAAAATGTGTTTCGATGCCTAGAAATGCGTCACCCATTTCTCGTGTTCGTGGTATCTATCAAAGTGAGCGTGGCAGTCTATGCCAGCTCCTACGCCATAGCGCTCCTTCCTTGGTTCTATGGCAAAAATTACTTTTTGCCCTTCTTGCTCCGTTTCTTTATGCCTGAGGTGTCGGCCGCCTTTTCTAACTCCTTCTCGATGCCCGTCGAGTCAACTATCTCAAACCCAGAATCGGATATCTGACTTGAGCTCATGTCGGTTCCAGCTGGTTTGTCTGGAACCACAATGCTGGGCATAGAGTCTTGCCCTGCCTCGCCTTCGGTCGTTTCGAGACCTTCGAATTCAGGTATAGGTTTGGTGTCTTTCAGAAAGGGGTCGGCGCACTTGCGATAAAGCCAAATAGGTAGTCGTACAACAGCGGTATCCCAGACCGTGGGCTTTGGTATTTCAGCCGGGTCGAGAAGGAACTCTTCCATGTCGCCGTCCTCGTTCTCCTCCTCTAAATAAACATCCCCGACTGAATCGACAACAAACACTTTGCCGTTGTCAGCAGTCACACGGCGTCTCTGGCCTGTCGAAGTTGCCGCGGCCGAAGGCGCTGGCTTAACTGCTTTGTTCGCTCCTGTCTTGTCTTTCTTCGTTTGCCTCTCATACTCCCGCCGCTGTCTTCTATTCAGGTTGGCCAGAGGATCTGGTTCTTCAGTGGTCGGAGGAACTTCAGCTGGCGCTCCGAGCCCAGGAATCCCGCCAATTCCAGATTCGTCCCCCCACGCGGCCCTCCTAGCAAATTTCTGGTATGATTCCAGGAGCTTGACTCGGTTTCGGTATGTGATGACCAATGCAAAGTAGTGAGCTGCGCCTCCACCAGAGAGAAACAGCCCGAGGAGGACCGTGCCCAGCCCGGGACGGTATCGAGAATAGTAGTAGCCTGTCCCGCGCCAGCGAGGGAAGCCGTGGCTCAAATAATGATCATAGCGTGTCCTCGTAGCGGGGTTCTTCAGTATGTCACTGATGACTGCTAGGCGACTGTATCGCTCCGTTGCCTGCTTCATGAACCGAGCAATCTCCTTTTCCGTCGGGCCCCGGACCACGTTGGTTCCCTTTTTCTTATTGCCCTTGGACCCTTTGGAAGTCGGCATCGATCTGCTCGCCAGCCAGGAATGTCGAGCTTTATCTGGGTGTAGTGATCGACTCTTCTTTTTGAGGGCCTTCGTGATTTCATCGCCATTCGCGGACGACGAGACACCGAGGACATCGTAGAAGGTAACGCCTGGTCCTTCAGAGGACGTGACCTCGTCGCGCAGTTTGAAGATCTGATGATCCTGCGGGTCAAACGCCGCAACAAAGAGAAAGAGGGCGCATAGGAGGCCGAATTGCAGGATTCGCTGCCTCATCTTCACATCCCACCTCCCCTTCGAAGTTGGCTGTCGCCCAACACGCCAAGTAGCAGGCAGCTAAATGCAGGTCTTTGAGGTCGAATGGAGGTAAGTCCTGAAATAAGGCAGGGAATCGAATGTGATGGGCACTCTGCCCGACAACACGTGGTCGAATCACAGTGAGGACTGAGGTCTGGGAAGGCTGCCGCAGCGGGACATGCAGTAGCTTGCAGTATGAGCGAGAAGTGAAAAAGTGTATATATCGGAAGTCCGTCCCACTTCACTTCTGGTTCCGTCTTCTACTTCCAAGCTTCGCTTCTGGAGCCCAGAGCGATGGCACCTTGAGCCTGCGGTAGGCGGGTCAAGGAAGAAAGAGAAGAGACCTCGAAGTGAGGTGAGTTCTGTTTTCCGGCGCAGTCACTTTTTGGCCACTTGTTGCCCTGACCGATAGTCGGGCTGTGTGTGTGGCTTGGTTGTGCTGTTTTCTGGGGCTGATGGGTTGCTGACTGATTACCCGAGACTCCAGTTGGTGCCAGGGTCAAACCGCACCAAACCCCTTCCACCCCTGCGCTCCCCCTCCAGATTATTCTCATCCCAAATCTCCCGCGCAGGGGAAATTTGGGAATCCGGGACCGCCACAGCTCAGCACAGTCAGGCACTTCTCAAAAGTCGCTCATCAAACCGCCCCTTTGTTCTCTTTCTGTTCCTTTCACCACAGACCACCACATTCATTCAACTGAACCACGCGTGTTTCGACCACTCATTCCATCTTCTCTGAACCGCTGACACGACGCACTTCAAGCGACGAATGTAGGTCCGACTGCAGCTGACCCTCCCTTCACCGGCGCTGTACAACCTCAAACTGCATTTGGGAGATTTCAAACTGACGTCTCTGCAGTCAATCTAAAGTCTTTCACAGTCTTCCTTCTGCAACTCGACTGGGTCCTTCTTTCGCGTCGCGTCGACCGCCATCATGTCTGTCCGAATCCCGCTCGACGCGTTGACGTCTCGTCTCAATTTCTCAGACCGCTTCAGCAGTGTTCGCTCGCAATCCCTTGCCCAGCGCTTTGCCAACATCAAACCCATCTCCGAGTTCCTAGACTTGAAGAGACTGTCAAAACCAGCCAACTTCGGCGAGGTACAGGCCAGAGTCAACTACAACCTGAGCTATTTCTCCAGCAACTATGCCGTCGTGTTCTGTATGCTTTCGGTATACTCCTTGCTCACAAACTTGTGGCTGCTCTTCGACATCATTTTGGTTGTTGGTGGCATGTGGGCTATAGGGAAACTTGGTGGTTCGGATCTTGAAATCGGTACATTCAGAGCTACAAGCTCCCAGCTTTACACTGGCCTGGCATGTATTGCTGTCCCCGTTGCGTTCATTTCTTCGCCTATTGCAACCTTCCTGTGGCTCATTGGAGCTACTGGTGTCACAATTCTGGGCCATGCCTCACTCATGGATAGGTGAGCTCTCCCTCTTTGCATTTACTCACGATCTTCTGCCAGTACCCCATAAGCTAACGCACGCGTACAGACCAATTGAGAATGCTTTTTCCGAGGAGGCGGTCTAGGTGGTCGGCCGCGAACTCCATACGATATGCCCCCTGGGGGAAGACCACCAAGGGGACGACCGGGGCGGAACAACGACAGATTATGGGAATTACAACAACAACAACAACGCTCATGGGATTACGATGCTCGTGTGGAGGAGCTGGACACTGATGATGATTACTCGCCGCAAGGTGTCGAGCTGGACCAAAGTTATGGTCAAGGGAGGTATCGTTCAGACGAACTCCGTTTTACTGGTATAGATCTAGGTGGCGGAATGGTCCGTCGAAGGCGTTCAGGTGACGTTTACCCTGACGACTTTACCCCTTCTGATGACGAGGAGGAGTTCGACTACGATTTGCAATCAGGTCTCATACGGCGACCGGATATACAAGTCGCTTTCAAGGAGAAGGAGGAATTGCTTGTACAGCGAGCTGAGGAGAGAATTGCGCGTGCCCGGGCTCTGGGTAAGCCCAACGTCAAGTTGAGTCGAGCTGAAATTGATGCTTTGGAACGATCAGCGCGGCACCAAAATCCTCCACATCTCTCCGCGGCTCCAAAAGCAGTCCCCAAAAGCAAAAAGGAGGCGCCAGTGGTTAAACGCAAACCCGTCGAAGTCCGCAAGAACTCGAGCGGGGCCAACGCTAGATCCGTCAATGATTCTCCTAACAAAGGAAAATCGGGCGACGGCCGCAGCCGTGGAAAGAACACCGCTGGCAATGACTCTGCACGGGCGAGTCGTGAGAACTCGGTCGCCGCACAAGCATTACCACCAGCTGATTCCGAATACGATCGACGACTCCCTTATCCGCAAGGAAACAACGTGGTTGGAGCCCGTCAGATTGACCCATCCTGGCGCGGCCCTCGTACAAACTCCAACCAGTCTATGCGGCAGTCACAAATTATGCCACCTCTGCAACATCCTTATTACACAAATCGTTACTCTTCGAACCCGGATGTGGTATACAGCAACAGACCAGGCTCCAACTCGTCGCGATCTTCCCGGCCTGACCCTTCCGAAGTGGACTGGGAGCCTCGCGCCCGCTCAACCTCCAGCCTTGTCAATGTCCCTCTGGACCAATTGCCGTACCAAACAAATGTCGGAAGAGCGCCACGTTTTGACCCATCGGACCCGCGATTCGCTTCACCTCAAAGACGGGTTGTATCTGGTCCGACGGCTGGGCAGAATCAGGCTGCTCGTTATCGTCGCCCACAGGACGAACTGTTCCTCCCTCCTGACGGGCAACCCGAGGTGTACACTTACCTAACACCCGGCACAGAGGATGACAACGATGACGATGATGACGATAGCGACTACGATGCGGGCGTGCAAGTCAACGTTACTGAGACACCAGGAGGTAGTTACGCAATACAAACGAGGAGTGCGACTGCAGCTGCATCGTCGTCGTCACATAAGCAAAAGGGTAATGGTAAAAGTACAGGTGGGAGAAACAAAAAGGGTAGATAAGCTTCTCTTGCGGATCAGGCCTCTCGCATATGCATAGCTAGTTGATGTTTTGTCGCTTTCATGACGCTTGGAGTTCTTCGGTACCCGCACTGAATGGATGATCCAGGCAAATGAAGGTTCCAATCTGCGTTCAAAGGACATTCCTTCTTTCTATTTCCATATCTGCACCTGCCCGCATACGGGTGAATACACGACGTGTAGCGAAAATCGAATCACGGAGACCTTAACAATGCGGTCCTCCAAAGTTCCTCCTAACATGAGAGTGATGGCAGTTCCGGCTTCATTTGACAAAATTACGCCAGTCCCGCGTGGATATGCCAGAGTCGACACCATCCCGGTGTCATCAGAGAGCATGCGGAGTGAACCAAAGGATACATCAAGGGCAAAGGGTCTCGAACCTACTGTGTTCGGATACCATTGCCGGAAGTGACCAGAACACCAGTCTTCAGCCGTGCTTGTGTTAACGATCCGAAGATGCTTCACTATGGGTTTCGTTCAGTTCTAGATGCAGATGGAGTGGTGAGGCACGAATCTCGCATAGTCTTCGACCACGTGGAGCAGCCGACAGGTGGTCAGGACCGCAATTGCTCGAGCCGAATTATGCTCCCATCATTCGTTGATGGTGGGAATGTCAAATTCAGCCATCGCCGTTGGTATTCAGTTCCAAAGCTACTTTGCAAACGCTCAACAACAGCTTGAGCTGCATATAAAGTGCCATGCATGATAGGAAATCCTGGTTGTTGGTAGTTTTGTCCTCTCTCTCATATACTTATGACCTACTATCAAACAGAATGTCCAGTGCCGGCTACCAAATACTTGATTTTGTTCAGCACCATACCATCAGAGGACTATGTAAGTAGGTGGTGAGGTCGGCTACCTTTCCGGTGAACATGGGACTCGGTGCCAACTCCATCTCAAGGCGACAAGCGAAGGGATGTCGGATCGCCATTAGTTTGGTGCATGCTTCTAGAAGCTTTCTGCAATCAGTTAACATCAAAGCGCTTCCATCGTTTCATGTCGCTGAATGTACCACAGTATGTCCAGTCGCCGAGTCTAGAGGCCGTAGGCTTCCGCAAACCTACGGGGTCATGTTCCCGCTCTCTGGTCTGGGCTGGAGTTGCCTTGGGTGGAAAATTTCTCCGTCGAAGCACATCTACCCGAGCCACCTCTGCTAAATCAGTACTCCGCAGACTTGGGCAAAGGTTGAATTTAGGTTGTGCCGGGTCACTGTGTACACAGAATCGTGGTGCAAGGTCCCATTTTTGCGAGCTTCGGTGGAACATGCCTGTGTAGCCGAGGTTATGGACAGCTGTCAACACCCTGCTTTGTACTGTGATAAGACGGCGCCACAGCTAGAGGGTTATGACAGCAAGCATGGAGAGACGGTGGCAATTCGGGCCCGAAAAAAGGCCTTACTTCTACCAAGTACTGTGTACACCGCAGTCACGACGTGGCAGGACACAGTTGATCACATGGGCATCAGAAGCGGCACAGTTGTGATTCATAATACGAAGGTTGGAGCCTTGCGCAGATCGAACATGCCAGGACGTTCGAGAAAACTGAAAGGTGGCGCAGGGTCCTGCGCGCGTCTCCGTATTTTAGATCTAATGGAAGCCAACTTCAGAAGGTCTTTGATAAGGGCAACCCAGCCGGTCGATCGAACCATGAAGGTGGCAAAGTTGACCCCAAGGCCCGGTAGGGCTTGCCTCCAGGGGAATGCCATGGCCGCCCAGGGCCGCATCTGAGGTTCCGAGAAACTCGGGACCGGCAGCCCGCCAATTCAAAGGGGTATGTACCTACACCTACCAATCAGTGCATGCCTATCTCGAAACCCCACCTGTTATAGCAGTTGTACTCGTACGAGCACATATCAAACGAAGCATTCGAGATCGTCTGCATTCTGGGACCTCTGCGAACCAACGTGAATCTTCCAGTCCCCGCTCTGGCGCGCCCTCCGCGCCTCCACTATCATGCAGCAGAACATGCAAGGCAGAGACGTCTCTCGAGCGGCAAAGCAGTCCGTCACGAATCCTAGGTCAGTTTGCATAAGTCGCTAGTGTGGCGCACAAATTTCTCAAGAGGTGCGGCTTTCGACCTGACCAACTCCAGACAAATCGTTGTGCAATGTTACAATGTGGTTGGACCGTTCTACATTGGCGTGCCCCATGCGGCGAGTTCTGGGTCTTTCCAAGACTATAAGAGCTTGTCGTAGCCCCGTCGGTATCAGCACCGTTCTGGCCATCTGGTCTCGTGGCTTCCTGTCTACACAGTATTGCATAGCCAACGCACCCGTGCCCAACCGAACATGGGACCGATATCCTAACACCGTGACCAGAACCGCTGCGCGTCCGTTCTTTGCAAATTTTCACGCCTCTCGCGGTCCTGCTGAGCGTCCTGGACTCGTCCTGCTGCCTGCAACCTGTTTGCTGTCATACCAAGCAGAGATTGAACACATTCGAGCACAGGCTGGAATTGTGCTGCTATCTTTGTGGGAAAAGTACTCTCCAATTCATCTCCTGAGTCTAGCGACTGCATAAATCTGAGGTAGGATATTGATCATTGGCATCAGTCATCCTTTTCATTCATTTTCGCTGTCGCTTTAGCACACCCAGACGTGCCTATCTTATTTTCAATTCATGTCGTCAAATGACAATCTCCAGCAAGATGATGCTCCCAGCGGCAGTGGACGAGGGGACTCGGGCAGACTGCAGACTTCGAATGTCATAGAGTTCGTCAACAGCGAGGACCCTAATGTCAGAAGTGCTATCCAAAGGCATACGGCATATCATTCAGCGGCACAGCGTCGGGAAGCAAGGTCACGGCTACTCCGCCGTTCAAGTCAAGCCAGGTACCTAGAATGGACCAGACGTCCTACGACAGACACCGACATCGCGACTTCATCAGCGAGCAGTGCCAGTTCAGTCTCCATTTCGCCCGCACCCTCACAGCGTGAGCGATCTGAACATCCTACTCGACCATCAAGCCTTGAACGAAGATCTAGCTCGAATACAGACCAAGCGGTCGCGGAACCCGCTAGTGGAACAATATCTCCAGCAACCCAAGCAGGGATTTCTGCTGACAACACAGTGCTGGATTTCTGTAAGTACAACTTCCGCGAGACGCGGTTCAAGCACGAAACAGACCAGTCGATTCATGGGCGTTCAGACACAACTAACCTTGCGCCTACAGTGACCTCAACTTTCTGCGAGCATTATCAGTCCAGAGATTTTCTCGAGTCTTCGATAGCATACATGCTGGAGCATGATACTTCACGACATCTACTCTTAGCCTACGCCTACGCGAGGAGGAGAGCGCATCCTGCTGCCGACGGAAATCCTCAAGATCAAGTGGATGCCGAAAGAAATCTTGGTCGTGGGACGAACATATTGTGGAATCGGCTTCAGATGGCAGGCCATGCTAGCTCGGATGCAAATGTCCAGGCCGTCCTTTTGCTGGTGGCATACGCAGCAGACTTCGGTCAGGAAAACGAAGTTCGCCTGCACACAGATGCGCTGAGGACGATGGTTGATCAGCGCGGCGGTACTGATGCCTTCACCGACAATCCGCCGCTGCAACATCAATTGTTGGTGATAGGAAGCTCGCGCCGGTTTCATTTAACGCTGGATTGCGAGGCTGGTTGCGCGGAACTGCTGCGGTTCCCAGACGGGCTTCGACTGGCTCAAGGGGCAAACCAGAGTCGAATGTATACCTAGGCAGTCTGGAGACCGGCACAAGGTACACTATGGTCGGACGTTGGCGAATGCGTACCCAAAGGAATTAAACTCTACTTTCCTGGGTTACGAGACTGACATTGCCTGGAGAAGGGAGCTCTACACCAGTACCTCGCCGAGACTGGTTCTGGGCGAGATGCGGAGCTGCTCGATTGTGACGACTATTAATGCCACTAAGATGTATGATTCATTATAGACGCTCGATCAGAGAATCCGCTGAGCGGTTGTCCTACTATGGTCTACAGTGTGAGACCGTCCTTTGAATGCCCGTATGAGGTCTCGAGGCTGGGACTGAGGCTTGATGCAGCCTCGGCTACATGGCCTGCCTGACCTTCACGCCGCGCCCGAAAGGTCGCGAAGGGCACTCTAATCCATGTTTAGTTGTACATAAGAGGCTTCTGGCCGCCAAAGAAGAACACGACGGTCATGAAACACTTTGCGATTACAGTAATAGAGGTTGACATAATTGTAGCTGAGGTTGAGAAAAAGTATTTCAAGGTACGGTCGATCGTGCACAACATCTAGGCAGATACTACGGAGACCCATAGTCGCAGGCACCTTCAGTACCTGTACAGCGGCGGCAGAAAATCTGAGAAGGCAGAGCCGAATCTACGCATTTTCTATCGCCTCTTTAGAGTATGCGCTCGTCTGCCAACAATTCCCGTGTCTCCCCCCACGACTGATCTCATCGCATTTGATGCCTGCATTTGCTCCCAACTCCAGTGCCCACATTCGCAGATAGGCAACGCTCCCAGCTCAGGACAGACTGTTTAATCTCCTCCCCGGCCTCCTCCGACCTCGTCGCAAGGATTTTGACTTATTCTGCATTGTGTCGCGAAACCTCGATCCTCCGCAAATCTTTCCAATTGCACCCCGCCCTGCGCAAGCCATTCCGGTACAGCCTATTGCTTGACTACTCCAAAGAAGTTGAAGTTCAAAGGTCCGTGGAGATCGTGCTTGAGCTGCGGTACTTTCTCAGACTTCTCTTAGCATAGGGTCTTCGCAAGTCGTCGCTCAGGAGGCAAGATGTCGGGCGAGGCGTGGCTCTACCTGCTGGCCGTGCTTATCAATGCCGTCAACCTGTTCCTCCAAGTCTTCTTCACCATCATGTACAGCGATCTCGAATGGTATGCAACAGATCCTCGCTTTTGCCCGTCCACCAGATACAAAGCTAATCCAACGCTGTTACAGCGACTACATCAACCCAATCGACCTTTGCAACCGCCTCAACACATACATCGTTCCCGAAGCCGCTGTCCACGCATTCCTCACCTTCCTCTTCCTGATCAATGGGTACTGGCTGGCGTTGATTCTTAATCTGCCTCTTGCCGCATACAATGCGAAGAAGTACGTCGGCGAAATTGCCAAAAAGGAGCTGCGCGAGGACAAGTATTGACAACCCGTTCGGCAGGATTTTCGACGGCCAACACCTTCTCGACGCAACCGAAATATTCCGCAAACTCAACGTACACAAAAAGGTTCGCAACATTCTGAAGGTCACGTAGGGTTGCTCGCGTTACTGACATGAGCTTTAACCAGGAATCATTTATCAAGCTTGGCTTCCACTTGATCATGTTCTTCTTCTATCTCTACAGCATGATCGTTGCCTTGATCAGAGATGAATCCAATTGACTTACACAATGATCTTGCAACCGCGATGCACCACGGGAGTTGCTCATGATCTTCAGATACGACAAGAGGCGGCAATGGGGTAATGCGCTGAAAAGGAAAATCGCTCGCATGGCCACGAAGATGAGACGGGCGTCACCCATAAGAGCCGAATCATCAGAACGAAGGTCGCTACAGCACCAAGAGGAGGTGTGCTATGAAGGAGGCACATGGAAACGAAGAAAGTGCTGGGTGTATATAGACGCCTACGGCACAGTGCTTCTGGCGATGGGAGAGGCAACGCAATGCCGTTGAAGTTGAGACAAACCCCGGTTCCCATACGCCCTAGCGCAAGAATATCAGCTCGTCCAGTACCAGGTCCTCTTCGCGTTCAAACAACTAGCAAGGGCGTACTGAGGCCTGATATCGCCCTAGTCCCACGGCGAACATGGACCCGGATAAGTCCTACATCAACTCTCCGGCGACTCTATGCTGGTATTTGTAGCTTCGGTTCCCATCTACACCAATCACATATACCAGTCCGCATGTCTGTCAGATGCTCTCAGCTTACCTTCCCTTGACGAAAAGGGAATACGAGTGACCCATGCCTTGTAATGTGTCTGCTTGGACATAGCACCATCTAGCATGCAGCAAAGCCCATGACGATTCGGGCAGCAACCGAATAAAGCGCCATTAGCATTCTCACATCTTTCAAGCTTCTCAGGTATTTCAAGTGGCTCCGGCGAGGCTGCCACCCCTTCACTAAGGCCGGTATGTCGCAATATGGGAAGGTGGCCCGAATAGCTTGGCAGATGATGCGGCGCCGTGATCTTTCTCCTGTGCCTATTGTCAATTTTATGCTCCGTCTGGTTGCAGTCACACGTTAGTACCAGGCAAAATGTCTGGTCTACTAGGCGGAGCTTATGACTCGAGCGATGATGAGGCGCCCGCGGCGCCGGTGAAGGTGTCTCCGGTTGCGCGCAGGACATTGGTGAATGCGGCGCCGGATGTTTCTACAGAGGTTTGGTCTTTATTGTCCTAGCAGGCTGCCGGTCAGTCTAACAGGGAGCAGGATACCGCACAAATGCAAATCATGCTTGCGAACCCGACGAGTAATGCGCTCACGTACAATGTCACCTATGACAACCTCGCACGCCCAGTAGAAGGTCCTACAAACCCATTCAAGTCCACGGCGGGAAACGCCCTAAAGCGCAAGAACGTGCTCACCGGGAACGCGGAGGAGACGACCATATCGGAGAACACGTTCAGGACCGCGCACAGGACATACCAGAGTCTGGGCTACACGCAGGATCCCAGTGTCAATGGTGCATTCGTCGGCAATCAGACAGCCGTCGCAAAATATGGCGGGAAGGATGTGGTGCAGCTACGGCATTCGAAGGAAGACAGTGCAATCATAAGGGCAAAGAGGCAGAAAAAGGGCAACAGCAGTATTGTCGACGGGGAAGGCGCATACCTGGGACCCTGGGCGAAATACCAAAGCGACGACGTTGCCTATGAGCAGGCAGAAGCTGCAGCCGACCAGGAACTTGGCTCGGACGAGGAATGGGTCGAAGAGGGTATCGCCCCGGCACCGCTTCCTGCGCCACCAAAAGAGGCAACGGCATACGCTGAAGATCTGGCTGGGGCGGAAACGACCGAATTCCACCTGGAGTCGGAATTCGACTACCAGGGTCGGACTTACATGCATGTCCCCCAAGATCTGGACATCGACCTACGGAAAGAACCCGGCTCGATCCAGAACTACGTGCCCAAGAAACTCATACACGTGTACAAGTACCACACGAAACCCATCACCTCGTTACGCTTCATTCCGAAATCATCACACCTATTACTCTCTTCGTCGGCAGACTCCAAGATTGCACTCTGGGATGCACATCACGATCGATCTCTGCTCCGCACGTTCTCCGGGCACAACAAAGCCATCACAGACACCGATTTCCACCCTACAGGACGTTCATTCCTGTCGGCATCGTACGACCGCCAGATGAAGCTCTGGGATACAGAGACAGGAAAATGCATATCTCGGTTCACGACAGGGAAGACTCCGCATACACTGCGCTTCCATCCGGAGGGCAACGAATTCATCGCCGGGATGAACGACAAGAAGATTGTCCAGTTCGACACTCGCTCAGGCGAGTTGACTCAGGAATATGACCACCATCTCGGTCCGATCAACACACTTACATTCGTGGACGAAGGTCGCCGTTTCATTTCCACCTCGGACGACAAGTCCCTTCGCGCATGGGAGTACGGGATCCCCGTGCCGATCAAATTCATTGCCGATCCGTCCATGTATGCTCTTGTCCGCGCAGCACCGCATCCCTCAGGGAAATACGTTGCATTCCAGTCAGCGGACAACCAGATCGTCGTCTATGCTGCGGGGGACAAGTTTCGCCAGAATCGCAAGAAGGGCTTCCGCGGCATGAACACCAGCGGTTACGCAATCGATGTGGCCATTTCCCCGGACGGCGGTATCATCGCCAGCGGCGATTCCGGGGGATTTGTATGCTTCTGGGACTGGAAGACCGGCAAAATGTGGCATAAGATCCAAGCGGGAGGGGAGGGGTTAGGCGCCGTTACGTGCGTGGCATGGCACCAGCAGGAGAGCAGCAAGGTGGCCACTGGCGGGCTGGACGGCGTCATCAGGTATTGGGATTGAGAAGTCGTGGCGGTGTGAGGATGCGGCGAGGGAATGCTGCTACAATCGGCGCATGAGGCCCAAGGGGGGTGGCGAAGGAGCGGGACATAGGGGAGAGGAGAGAGAGGTTCTTGCATGAACAGTGCGGAGACTCAGGTCTACTACCTCTACGCATGTGATACCCCAAAATACACAATAGAGTATTCACGACGCACTTGTCAAGCTCCGGCCGAACAGTCTTGGATGGGATGCATCCCAAGGGCGCCAGGACAATGATTCCTGATACAGTCCCGAAGCCAGAAAATTCCTGCCAGTCTGCCAGAAACCTCGAACACGCGGTATCTTCATTAGGATAAGAAACTGTCATGGAAAGGCGGGTGTAGAGTTTAGGAGAATAGCAAAGAAGACGGATAGTCTTTGTTCGGTGAATCTACAACTTTCGAACCTTTTGTCTCCTGTTTCCCCGTGTACACTGGGTATGGTATTCGTACAATGCCTTACAGCCACGTCAAGCCCTGCCGTGTCTACCCTAGCTACCTTGCTATCCTGCTATCTGGGGAAGATGTCCATGGCGCTCTCGTACCGATGTGCCGAGTAGGCGGGCTGCTTTCTCTGCCAGGACGACAGATTCTCCGTCGTGATCAGGTTATGAGCGTTCTCGACCTTTTGCCAATCAATCCGGTCCCACCACGCCGTCAAATACTGTCTCTTGCCCAGCAGGCCGTAGTCCCTCATCCATTGGTGCTCCCACACGTTGACGCAGAGGATGGGTTGCATGAGCAGCAGGCCCGCGTGGTATCTGTTCCTGTTGGGGCTGAAGTCGCCGAAGGAACCGGCCGTGGAGCTGCCGACGGCGATGTCGCGTTCTTCGGGGCCGGAGAACCCCAGGCCCGAGCGGCCGGATAGTTGATCTGATATTGACGAGCCGGGCCCGAATGTCGCCATGTCGGTGTCGTCGCGGCGTGGAGCGGCGTCCGGGTATGGACTGCCGGCGTTGTATGTCCGCAGGATCTTCAGATCCTGGCCGGACTCGCCCTTCATCAACCACACGAAGCCGTTTCCAAACATGGCGTCGGCGGTCTCGAGCATCTCCTCTCTCAGCGTCTCCACGTTGCCAAACGTGTGCTCGATGCTCTTCATGGTCAGCAGCCCCGGTTTGCGCGCCGCCGGATCCTCCGTCTCGGTAAGGCACTCCTCCCAGAAGAAGCGTGTGAATGTGAGCATGGCGGAGATGTTGTACAGATACGCTTTGTCCGACCGGTGCGCATACTTGACGTGCAGTGCGTGTGTGCCTGTGTCTTCGTCGACGGTGCCGAGCGTGAGCTCGTTGAGCTGGTCGGCCAGGTGTTGGCTGTACTGGACGTATGTTTCTTGGTAGGTTTCAGCGCTGAGGAAGCCGGGGACGCCGTGCCGGGCGAATAGTTCCTGTCGGGCCTGGTTCGGCCATATCGGTACGCCGTGTTTACATCGTCGTTGGAAGGGCGTTAAGGTGAAGGAGGGGGAGGCGTGTTTCTGGGAACAAGCATGTCAGTCAATCGCCCGCCGCGTCTGGTAGATCGATCAAAACGTACGGGTTGCGTTTGCTTGACGAAGGCGCGCAGCAGCGACTGCGGCCTCGTCGCAGGTCTTGTGATCATCGAAGCAGGGTGATTAGAAAGCGGTCTCGCCTCGCTGCCCGATGGAAGGAACTGACTCGAGCGACTCTCTCAATGCTCTGGGCCAAATTTCTCGAGACGATGGCTGCGGTTGTCGAAAAGGGAATAGTGTCTAGGGCCCATCCAATCCCTGAGCTTAGACAGTTCCACCAATCGGAGAGCTCGTTCGGTTTGCTGAGCCTCGCGTCTGAAACTCGTCCGCCACCTCCACGTCGACGCCTTCTGTCCATGCCAGACACCATCTTCGTCGACAACCTATCGTTTCATATCACTCCGAGCCTTTCGCGCGCTATCGCGACCTGCATTGCAGCTCATGGTTGCGCATGATCTCCATACGCGGCAAGCCACTGGCTCTCCTGGAAGCTTCTCTCGAGTACACTTCGTACAGACTGCATATTCATAGTACCGCGAAATCGTATGGACAATCGAGGGCCAGAGCTCTACACATCCATTTCGCCGCCTGATGGATGGGCACACGAGCAGCTTCGGGCAGCTTTTGTTCTATAATCGGCGACATCTCTTTGTAAGTCTTGTGGTGGATGAGTACTTTCCTTTCCCTTTGTCACTCGCCCATCGACTCTACTACCAAAGCTGTTTGTTTCTTCATTCTTCGTCCACGACACCTATTCTTGGGGCCTTCTTGGTGACCGTTTAGTCCTGGTGACTATATTCTTTATATCCTGTGACCTCTGGCCACGAAGGCTTCTTGCATAGACCCCGTTTGCTTGCTTATTTGCTCCTTTTGCGGGTATCAAAGCCCAGTACATACCACTCCGCCATGCATATCTCAAGCCATTGTACGATGGCTACGATGATGATTGCTACGGCAATCATCTCGCCCACACTCGCTTTTGACAGCACATTACCTCCACGATTACCGGGTCTGTTACGGAGAGAAGACAACTCCTGCTCGGCAGTCGATCCGAAATTGCCCGGTAGCTTTTCCTGCCCGACAGGCAGCAACTGCGTATCTCTGGACACCTCATCCTCAGCACTCTGCTGCCCTGAATCAAGCTCATGCGACAACATCCAAACGATTTCGTGCGACGTTGCGGCACAAAATGCTACGGCGCACCCAACGGCTGGGATTTTTACAACAAGACTGGGCGATAAACTGCCGACATGTGGCACCAAGTGTTGCCCGTTCGGATACAATTGCGTGACGGACGGGGTTGGAAATTCAGTGTGCAACATCATCAAGAACACCAGCATCGTCGGAAAGACGGACCCTTCATCCGGCAATGCGTCAAGCTCGTCAACAACCACCTCGTCCGCAGCGAAGACAGCCACTTCGACAGCTTCGACAACAAGTTCGACAGCCAGCCCTAGTGCAATCAGTGCCTCAGCTGCTCAAGCCACCCCACGATGCAACAAATTCCCGATTGGCGTGTTCTTGGCAGGTCTGTTTCCCGGCATGTTCGTGGGGGCGTTCCTGATGCTTGGCTGGGTGATTTGTAGTGGAAGACACCGCAAACCCAGCTCTCGAAGCTCCACCGGCTCGTCCATCTCCTACAAACCCACCATATCAGACCCTATCCCAATGGCTGGTGGTGGCGGGTTAAGAACAGACTTTCTGCGCAAGACCACTGACCGAGCCAAGTCCATGTTCTCTACCCATGGCAACCGCAACAGCGAGCAGTATGTCAACAACTGGAAAATGCCAACACCACCAGTTCCAAACAACGTCCCAGTCGCCGCGACTGGCGTACCTGTGACGCCGGAGCGAAGACTTCCGCTCGATTCAGACACGGAAAGCATCAAAGTCTTCTCCCCACCTAGCACAACCATGCGACCACCCAACCCTGCGCACATCGCACCTTTGAGAGGCATGGCTACTCAGCGACTACCGTTCCAGAATACCACCAACAACATGGGCAGTCCGTTCCAGACCCCTCCTACCAATAGTGCCACCACTAATCCCAACAGAATGAGCGCTACACTGCGGAATGAGCGCGGCGTCAGCGTCTTCTCCGAAGTGTCGGCGGAGAACGACGGCCCGACACTGACGCCGGCGCGGTATGACGGTGGTGGTGGCGGTGGCTTCAATCCCTCAAAGAGAACAGAAGTCAGCCGGCCCAATACCACTTTCACGGAAATGCTGCACGAGGCAGGATTCCCTGATCCCATGAACGGCACGCCGGCCGTGCCGAAGGTCCCTGAGGGATATACCGGGAAGAATCGTTTCTGATTTGTCCACTTTGACGAGTTTCATTCCTTCTTCGCTACGATAGAGCAAGCGTGTGGCGCCAGCGTCCTTCGTTGAACTTGAGTTTGGGCGACGTGCATTGCTGGCATGAATGATTGATACCTAGGTACTATCGCTACTCTGGCTGAACGGGTAGCGTCAGAGATAATGCAGACTAATACATATTACAAAAGCCACAGATTCCGTCTACTATCCTCTTCTCTTGTCATCTAAACTGGTTTTTAGCCATGAGCTCGCGTGGTTGGGTGTATGCCACCATACATTCTGGCGTGTGCACCATTCTAAAGGGCCAGATGCTCAGCCTCGTCCTTTCCGCGGTGTACAGCCTCGTCACTTCCCCGCATGAGGCTCTGCCAAACTCGTAATTTCTAGAACCAAATGTCCACATCTGTGGGACTCTTCCTCTCTGCAAGCGACACCGGCCTATTCACCCTCGCCACGCATCCCCCTACCTACCGTACGCATTACTGCGCAAGACGTTATACATGATGACCGACCGGGCCCCCTCACCCACCCCCTCTGAACGCGCCCGCCAGGACGCCGAAGACCGCAAGCGCGAAGAAGCAGAACAGGCCACCCTGCCGTACAAGTGGACGCAGACGCTCGAGGAGGCCGAAGTCAGCGTGCCCATCCCAGGCAACCTCAAGGCTAGGGACCTGGTCGTGGACTTGAAGAAGAATCACATCAAAGTCGGAGTGAAGGGGCAGGATGCCATTATTGATGTAAGTGTGTCAGAGCGCCGTCGCTGTCTGGGATGGTCGGAGTGCGTCTGCATATGCATGGGACTCAATTACGGAGTCGGACTCGGAGTCGGACTCTAGGATCTCACACTTGCATTCGCACTCACACTCGCTCTCGCACTCTTGATGCATAACTGCTACGCTACGCTCCGCAGGATGATCTAACATTTCCGCACGCAGGGCGACTTCCCGCACCCGATCCAAGTTGACGACTCGACGTGGGTACTGTCCACGAGACCCGACGGCGGCAAGGAAATCCTCATCACGCTCGCAAAGGCGCGCGGCTCCAACTGGTGGGCGCACATCGTCACGTCCGCGCCCAAGATCGACACCACCAAAATCGTGCCGGAGAATTCCAAGCTGAGCGAGCTGGACGGCGAGACGAGGGGCATGGTGGAGAAGTACGTTTTATTCTTCGTTCCCTCCCCACGCTTGGGATCTTTTGTTCGCGCGGCGCAACCACTAACATCATGACTAGGATGATGTACGACCAGAACCAGAAGGCCATGGGTAAACCGACGAGCGACGACCAGAAAAAGGACGAGATACTCAAGAAGTTCATGAAGGAGCACCCTGAGATGGACTTTTCGAAGGCGAAGATCGGGTGATTGGATGAAAACGAACGGGCGAACGGGCGACAGTTTAGGGAAGGCGAGGAAAGGCCGAAGTAATGGCGATACTGGGAGGCCACATGAGACGAACGAGATGAGACGTCACGGGACGGGATCACGGAGGTGTCTATCCTAACCGTGTGTTCCCTGTGGCTGCGTCTGCTGGGTTAGAGGCACGATTACTCGGCGGGTACGCGGTACAGGAATGGCGTCCTACGAATGATGAGGAACGATGGCACCAATGCATAGCATAGCGAATGGAGTTGACGCCATTTCTTCAGGATGCGGACTGCACCATGGTTTGGGTCTTCAATTGGATTGTGAAAATGGGAATTCCTCTTCGGGTTACGGTCCATCATATTCGGTAGTGGGATACTGGCCCCCTCTTCAGCCGTCAACTGGACAATAGATGGGCCCTCTCTCATGCTTGGTGCTTAGACGACCCGGCGAACATGCTGTCGATGTGCTGCCTCGAAAACCCCAGCAAGGCACATTTCACCTCTAGAGACTGGGAAATGCCATCTCCTGCGCACAAACAACATATAATACCCGCCACGCTATGGAGTACGCTCCGCAGGATCAGAGCTCATCTCTCTTCTGCGACCTGCCGGCTTCCCTCAACCGCCACATCATGATACCATGTCTGGGTACCTCGGCACTCAGTAACCCTCCACCCTGCACGCTACCAACTGGAGTGCCCATGAGTAGCGGATTACTCTGATTCAGACCCAACGCCCAGCTTGTCTCGCTAGCATTGTAGTACCCCGTCGCATTGGCCACGGCAAGCGTCCCGTTCAAGACTCGGGCGGCCACGTCATTTGGCATGACCGTCTGATTCCCCCAGACGTCGAACAGATCCCAGCTCCTTTGCGCGTTTTCGTTGGTGCGAATCCCGCCAAAGACTTCGACCAGGCTGTAACTTATGGTCCGGCTGTTGTTGCCAGCATTGATGAAGGCTACCACTTGATCGCCTCCGGTGAGGGAACCCTGCCAGACTTGGACGTCCCCTAGGCCCCACTCATCCTTGTCATCCACTTGTTGTCTTACAGTTCTCGAAACGGCGCTCACGCTCGGATCCTGGCTGATCGCCAACACGGCTGGATTTGTCAAGATCGCATAATCTTCTGGGGACAGCTGGTCCAATTTATTTCCCCTGAAGTATACTGTTGTTAGTACACGACAGCTTCGAGCGCGAGGAGACGAGCCGGCCGCGACGATTCCCAGGATCTTAGGAGTACTCACATGATCAGCGGGGATTTGATGGCGGCCCACATGCTAAAATGGACTTTGTATTCGTCGTAGGTCATTCCTCCATTACCCACTTCCAGCATGTCGAGGTCGTTGTAATACCCGGCTTGGTTCTTGCTGCGGATGAAGGACGCCTTTCCCAGGATATTCATGACTGAGCAACCGTAACCGGGTACCTGACAGTAGTAGTCGTCCGGACCGCAGGGGCAGGTTGTGGTGGGCATACTGAAGCTATCCATGATGTCTCCCGAAATACGGGCGCTGTTGGCAATGGTGCTTGCCCATTCCCTAGTCGGTTCCACAACGTTTAGTAGAGAGTAATAGGGATAACAAGGGGTAGCCATACCAAGGCTTATCATCTCCCCAGTTGCACAGGGAATATACAAAGTCCCTTCCTGTGCTGTTCAGGGCATTCGACATAGCCGCGTATCGGTCCTGACTTAGCTTCGGCGTCCCTGACAGACCCTCGTTGTAACAATTATCGTATTTCAGATAGTCGGCCCCCATGGATGCCCACCATGCTGCATCTTGGCTCTCATATCCTAGACTACCAGGATAGCCACCACAGGTAAACCGACCCGCGGAGCTGTACACGCCAAAATCCAGACCGTAATCGTGCAATTGGCTTGCTATATTTTGAAGTCCAGAGGGAAATTTGGCCGCGTTAGCAACAAGTGTGCCGTTGGAGCTGCGCTTGAGCTCCCTCATCGCATCATCGAATATCACTACACGGTAACCCAGGTCCCGGAATCCAAGAGACACGAGCCGCTCCGCATTGGTGAGGATGGTGCTCTCGTTGTAAGCTAAGCCATAGGCATTGTATGTGTCCTAGAGTATGTCAATGAGACCTCATTCGAGTCAGGACATGCAGAAGCGCAAAGCGCGTGAGGCTGGAGTCAGGAGTGGAGTATACGATGGGCGGCGTAGCATTATATTGCATGGCCATAGGATCCCTTACCCAGCCCATTTGAGGTGTTTGAGCGAGGCCGTTGTAACTGAGGCTTGCTGCAGCAACAGTCTCGAGTAGAATAGCAACCAGAAGCCATTTGACCCTGGGTGATGGCACTTTGAATTTGGCTCCCATGATGTCTCGAACTGGTGTGCGGACGCAAGAGAAAGTAGGAGTGAAAAGGCACCGCAGAAAGCAGGAAAAGAGAGAGACTTGAGTAGTGATGACCTGCATTTATCATCCATAGTGTAACTTGAATGCATGGGCAGGTTACATTCAGGGTTCCATGCTGTAGATTGTTGGAGCTCTCCATTGAATCTCCATCTAGATGAATCTCCTGTCGAAGCACAGCGTCCGGTCCCCCGCAATCCTGGAGAATCTTCATAAAGCTAAACAGCCGATCTACGTTTCAGTGATGCCATGGCTGCATAGGACGCATGCGCTTAAAGCTTATCTAATGCCAATCTTGGGCAAAAGAGCGGTGGTGGGTCGGTGCATTGCCCGGCATAAGTACGGCAATGTAGGGTTTGTGGGTAGAGCCTGCCGTGGCTACCACTCAGAAGACATATTTACGCCCTCGGCGGAAAACCATGCGGAAATGCCATTGTCTTCTCTGCTGAGGCTGAGACGTTGCCGAGATGATGTTACAGCGGCTCATTGCAGGTCAATAGCCAAGGTATTGCCTTGATCGAAGTATAGCCACAGTACGCACGCCGCGTGACTCGGAATTTGCATAGGCGGCCCTGTCCCCACGAATATCGATCTCGTTCAAGGTGGTGGGTACCCTGGTGGCACTGAGTGGCCGGCTGCTGGTGCACTGAGACCATGTCCCCAGACATCGGCTGGTCATTTGTAATGATGCCGCAAGGGTCGCAGCAGTTTAACATGGTTGATAATTGTGCTCGGAGCGCTCAGGTCGGCCTTTTGAACCCGATCATAGCCAGGTTGATGTCAGGTGGCGGCTTCCTTTGCAGCGATATGGGGGTCTCCATTCCAAGAGAGCCACCGTCTGCCGTGAGCTCCTGGTCTCCGTAGATACTGGTTGACTCGTTTGTGCCCAAGAAACCGTCCCACAAGCCTCGTTTACAGACCAGAGCTCCAACTAATACAAGTGGCAGTTGCCACACGCTGGCCCAAAATAGGCCTCGAGCACTGCCCCCCGCGCCCTGCTGCTTCCAGAAGCGCACTGCTTCTCGAGCCATCCACACATTGCACGCTGTGCTGACGAGGAGAAAGCCCGAGTCGACATAGCCTCCCCAATATAGGGCGCCACATATTGGGAACATGGCAATGGAATAGCGAAGGGCCACCCGAGCATTTCGAGCAGGATTGGTCCAGGCCAGCATTTGGTGACCAGCATTCTGATAGTCGGCTCGGATGGTGTGTGATAAAGACATGAAATGTGGAAACTGCCAGGCGAACAATAGGGCAGCCAGGGCCCAGCCTCCGAGCGAGCCCTCGGAAAACAGGAGATCTTGCCATGAATGGTGCTCCGACGTCGCTACCTCACCAGCTGCCGCGCACCAACCCATCAAGGGAGGAATGCCACCAACAATGGCGCCAATCCAGGTATTTGCCGCAGATATCCGTTTCATCGGAGTGTATACCCCGGCGTACAAAAAGATGTTGAGAGCGCTCAAACTGGCGACTGTAGGATTCGTACCGAGACCCAGGAGTAGCAGTCCAGAAGCGCCGCAGAGGAGGGCAAAGACTGCTGCGGCTCGCGGCGAGATTAATTGTCGTACCAAAGGTCTGTTTCTCGTCCGAGACATCAATGCGTCATAACGTTGCTCGAAGAGCATGTTCAGAGTGTTCGCACACGCCGATGACAAAAAGGTGCCGGAGGTCAGGAAGAGCAAAGTCAGTGTCGAGGTCGAGAAGGTCGACGTCGCAGGCGATGCCATGGAAGATAAGATGTCCGGTATGGGATACAGACTGTAAGCACTTGTGGTTGTGAGGACCACGAGCAGTGAGAGACGTGGCTTTGAGAGCGAGAGGTAGGTAGCCATTCTCCGTCGAATAAAGGCAGATGTGGGCATCGCAGTTGCAGCAGTCGCCAGCTGAGACGAGGCATCTAGAGGGAGCGGTTCGTCTGAAGAGCTCAAAGCAGATTTCCGCCTCTTCCTCTTCCTGTGTGGGAGTTCATGTTCTCCTTGGGCCTGTTGGACGGCTTCGACAGTATCTATAACGGCAATCTGCCTGCGCTCTGACTGGGTCGCGTTCGGGGACTCTTCTTCGAGAGAAAGAGCTTTGACCGGAGCTTCTTGCTCCCCAGTCTGTATAGTCTTGTGAGCCACCTCGTGTTGTCCGCTTCCTGATGATTGCGCAATGGTGCGAACCGCAGCCAGCATTCCACTTTTGATCCATCCCCTGTCGATTGATGTGTTTTCTGAGAAATAGTCTTGTACAAAGTTCTGAGAGTGGGCAACGTTTCTTGCTGCTTTGTCGGTTGGTACGAAGCCACCGTGAAGCTTTCTGGTTGGTTGCCACGCAGTTCGCAGGAGTCCGCTTGTCGTGGATGGTTGACGAATCGACCGCGTGAGGCAAGCCGAACAGACACGAAGGCTAGGTCCAGACAGTCGCCCAGCTGCCGGAGCAGCGGCCATAACGGCGGTGATTCAAATAGGTGCAGCGAGCGAGACGCGCATCGAGTTCGTGGTGGGACAAAGTGAAGTCGGAGTGAAAGTAATGTGAAATCGTGTCGGGGCTTCAAATGCGGAGACGATTGCAGACCTCGATGTCTTTGCCCTTTTCCCCATCCACCATACACAATACGACTACGCGATGAGGTCTGAGTATGGCCGAGCTCACACCAGACCAAGTGAGATCTCTTGACCTGACCAGACAGAGACTGCTAGCACTTCACCAATCACTTGTCTCCCTTAGAGACAGCCTTGGAAACGCGAATCCAGTGCCTTCCTTGTACACAATGAGTCCCGATCAGAAGCAGCTGCAAATAGCTAACGAGTGCCAGGCCAGAGTTGCAGACCCACGCACAACTTATATCCAATAATCTCCAGACCATCACCTCGCAGCTGGCGGAGGCGGGTGATCTGTTGCGATCCACCGTCGCCTTCCCCACGCCACGATTTCCCGGCATGAAAAGCCAGAATATCTTGGACGCGTTACTGAGGAGCAAGTTCGAGCCGAACATAGAGGACTGGGTCAAGGAAGGAGAAGAAATTGCTGCTCAACAGCGAAAGACTAGTTCTCGTGGACTTTCAGAAAGCGATCGGAACGAATTGTGGCAGTGGGCTCCTGGTGCAGCAAACTCCGCTGCAAGAAAACAAACCTGGGGTGGAGACTACACACGGGCTGAAGTGCAAGCGGGCATTGAGAGTGTGGTGACTGGTCTACGAAGGCAGCTGGTTGAGCCTCCAGAAGGCGAAGACGATGAGGAAGCCGAAGATGACGAAGATGAGTACGAGGTGACCGATGAAGAAGACGAAGGAGGAGCCGCGATGGACGTCGAAAAACAGCAACTGAAGACCGAATCCAAGTCGATTCCAGAAACTCAGACAGCTCCGCCTACAGCTGGTTTGATGCCTCTGGCGAGCATTCACAAATTCATGACGACAGGACGATGAGACGAACGCCCTCTACGACGGGATTACTGCTGGATACTTCCCCAACTGGACCATCCAACTCTCCTGTTCATCCCTCTGCCCTCGTGGTCCTCATTGACTGAGACCTGTCCTGCATCAGAAGCCATCAAGTCGCTACCCCCGAGGAAGGAGACCCACTCATCATCGTCTGGGGATAGGATCATGTTCTTCTGTGTAATCCACTCAACTTCAACAACGGCCCTCGGTAACACCGATTTGACAAAGTTCGAGAAGCCTGTTTTGTTGTGGGTGGTCAGTTGGCTGGCAACAGAGACACTGGCTTCTATGACAATCCTCAATCTTCGAAGCGATCTGAGATAAACAAGCCCTTCGGTAACCCATGAAGCTGTGCAAGCGAACGGTGTACAAGGCTTCGCATACGCGTGCGCCGCAGGAGGAACGGTCAAGATGTGCAGCAGTCCAACTAAAGAGTCTGCTTGTGCTAGGAGCAGGTCTCTTGTGCTGATGAAGATGATCAACTCTCGAAGGTCGCTCCCGCCAGAGATACTTGTGCCATATGCCTTCTCTTCCGATTGCGATCTAGAACAACTAATATCGAACTCTCCGTGCCAGCTGTCTGGCACGGACTTTTGGTGGTCGGTCGAGTCGGAGACGCCAGCTATCGATCTTAATATCGACCTCAGCGACCATGCTTCCGTCACACTTGCGAGAAGATGGAGCTCGAGCTTTCTGACGGCGCGTCGCTGAAATGGTTCCAGTCCTTCGAGAAACTGCTTCGTTGTCGAAGTTGAGGAACCCATGACGGCCTGACAATTCAAAGGATTGAGCTGGAGAGGCATCAGACGGGTTTCATGATGCAGTTGCCGACATAAGAGGAGAGCTTGTACATTGGTGCTGCTCGTTCCGGGGCCGGCCAAAGCTGGTCTAGGCAATTTGTACCTGTAACCCTACCAGTACCGTCAGTTGCAACGCTCGCAGGACTTGGACACAGCGAGAACCTTACAACAAGCCCGCAGAGATTGATTGAAGCGGACGGCTTCTGTGGCGGAAACACGGAAGAGGCGGAGCTCGTTAAGACATGCTTAAATATCCTTTGTCGCAGCTCGAATGGCAAACTGAGGAGCGGTGACACCTGGGAATCCATCTTGTCGGCGAGCAAAAGGGCTGCCATTGAAGGGCAAAGGACGGGCGAAAATCGAGCAAAGAAATCTACTATCCCTCAATTGTGGTGGGTGAATGGTACGGGGAGCTCGGTGTGGTGTGGTGTGGTGTGCTGTGTGACAGCTGCCATTCAACTCTGGATTCAGCTGTGCTCGACAACAGTAGGAGCACGCCCAGTACGGTCGGAGTCGCACAATGGCAACCCAAGGGCGGTCCGTCTATCGACGACGCAATAAGTCGGAGCAAGCCCAGTGCAGTGGGGTCACGCAATCAGTATTAACCAAATGGCGTCCCAACCGACAAGGAAGGACAAAGGTCTCCCTCGCTCCACTATACAACTGTATGTGACCCTCTTCCGTGGCTCCTCAGCTATGTCAGCTTGTCATTCATACCGATGTGTCCATTTATGTGTCAGTGTCAGTCCCCGTGTCATTCATACCCATACCCACAGCGCCGACGTCTCTGCGTGAGCGCCTCTCCCAAGCGAGCCCACAATAATACCAATCCCTCTGCAGTATTGAACCAATGGGTCAACAGGATGGATCAACAAGCGTGACTGGGGAGTTAAGGTGGAGAAACCAATAACATAGTACTACCCAGAGCCGCCGATGTTTGACATGACCAATCCTCTGCAGAGATTATATCCTGTGTGGTCTGTCTGCAAGCCTCCTGCTTTCGGTGCCATACGCAGTACACCAGTACACTGGGGAAAGCGATTACAAGTAGGTTTACCAACCGATCCGTCAGAGCGAGTGAGCGCTTATGTCAGTTTCAATGGAGAAGGATCAAGCGAGTAACATACCTTCCGAGCAGCTGATGATTTGAATTCTCCGTACTCCGTTCAAGCTCGCGGTAAGTCCTCGAGCCAATGCACCACGTCGCGAATGCGGTCGCCTTAGCACCCTTGCACCCTTATTCAAGCACCGCCTTACCTCAGCTTACTTCCCACGCAGCTGCTTGCGGCGTCGACGGTCTAGGTGTCCTGTGGACGGTGTACAGTCCTGCGGAGTACTTATGCACCGAAGTACCGAATACTACACGGGGATTTAGTAAGCCGCGGCCCCCCAATCTCCACCGTCCACCTCCATCTACACAAGCAGTGACAGTGAGTCAGTCATGCCAGGTTCGTTCTTTAGTGCCCTTTCGCCTCGCTCATGCGCTTAGGATGGTCAAAAAGGGGTTATGATCGGGATGTTCGTGCCTGTGCTCCACCGGAGACAAATGCTACAGATTACAGGGGAACTCGTATGTACTGTATGGGCTAATGACGGGCCAAAGCTTGCGCCGAGCTACATCGGCACTGTACCCATAGCTGTACCCGTTTGGCCACCCAGGCTTGAGTAGACATCGAAGTGGCCGAGTCACCCTGAACATGGCACGAATGTAGGGCCGACCAATGCACTCCAAAGGGGACCAGACACGTTGGCTCAATATGCTTATGCTTACAGACACTGTACAGATCCCGCGAGCTGTATCTCCACAGACACGGATGGTCGTGCACTCCTCGGTACAGAGTACAGGCTATAGCATGGCTTTGGGCATGAATTTCATGGCCTGCCGTACGCCGAGGTCCTAAGAATCCGTCACGTTAGTATCATCGTCTGAGCGAGACTGGAGCCAAAGGGCCACTCGCCCGGGGATCGTCGGAGCGAGACTTCAGACAAAGAGGCACAAGTTGTGGCTGGACCTCGCTGGAACGGACCCGCCCCCCAATCTCGAGGCAAAACTCTCATGCAACTCCAGATAGAAACCACCGACACCAAGCAGACGATGGAGAAATCACATACCGCAAGGATCTCCTCGGTCCCACCGAGGATGGCATCAAACTTGTACGTCCTGTGAAACTGCTCCACGAACCGGCCCATGCCCGTCTGCGTGAGACCCCGTCCACCAAAGATATTGACCGCATCATCCGCGACATCATGGGCACACCGCGTGGCATAGCTCTTCAACAACCCAATCGGCCCACCCAGGAGCTTGTTCTGCTGCGCGTAGGTCATGTTGGTCATTTGGTAGGTGATACTCTCCAGCCACGACTGGCACGCCTCCGTCAGCGAGATCATCTTGGCGAGTTTCTGGCGGATCACCGGCTGGCTCACCAGCGGCTTCCCGAAGACGATGCGCTGGTTCGACCACTTCAGGCATTCCTCGACGATGGTGCGCATCCAGCGGATGACGGAGCAGGCCATGGCCCAGCGCTCGTGGTTGAAGTTGGACATGATCACGATGAAGCCCTGGTCTTCTTTGCCGAGGAGGTGGTTGACGGGCACCTTGACGTTGTCGAACTGGATAAACGTCGTGGCCGCGGCGGTCGAGTAGGCCGTCTTGATCCGTTTCGTCTCGACGTTGTCGTCGCGCGGCACGAGGATCACGCTGAAGCCCTTTTCCGTCTTGCACCCGGTGACGAAGTAGTCGGCGAACATGCCGTTGGTGATCCATTTCTTCGTGCCGTTGATGCTGGACACACGTCAGTGAGGAGTCACACGTACTGGCAGCCACCCACATGTAATGTTTCCCGTCTGGGGTCTTGGTGGCCGTGGTCCTCAAACCCGCCACGTCGGACCCGGCAAAAGCCTCCGTAACGGCCAAGCACATGAACTTCTTCCCGCTCAGACACTCCTCCGTCACCCTCTCCATCAGCTCCCGGTCGTTGGCCCAGTTCCGCACGGCCGTCAATGAAATCATCATGCCCGCCATGTTCCCGTCCTGGAACCCCCGCGCCAGCGCACGGGATAACTCCTGCGCGACGATCAGGTCGTGGAAGTAGTCGAACTCGTCGGGCTTGACGCCGCCAATCAGTGGCCCGCGGTTTTGCAGGTGCTTGCCCGGGCCCAGGCGCATGGCGAGTAAGTTGTTGGCGGCCATCTTGTCGGTAAGTTCCTGCGAGATGTACGTCCCGTCGGCCTCCTTCTGCTGCGCCTCCGGGTAGATGTCGCGGTCGACGAACTCGCGGACTGCCCGTTGCAAGGAGCGATGCGAGTCCTTGTAATACGGCGATTTGAACTGCGGTGTCAGCCACACAGGCTCGGCGTACGGTACGAGTGACAGGTCGCCGGGCTGGTGGTCGATGACTTCGGGTTTCTCGCCTTCGATCTGGCCAATGCATAACTCGGAATACTTCTGAAGGACTTCATGTCTGTGGAGGTTGTAGAATGCCGTGCTGGCGTCCTGCCCGGCGACTTGCTCGAGGACGTAATTCCCGCCAGGGTGAGCGTCGAGGAAGTCGCTCAAGTCGTAGACTTTGTGATCGATCTTAGGGTCGAACTGTTAGCGACAGGCTCTTCCACGTCGATGCGCGAACGATACTTGCTCAGCTTAGAAAGGCGATTTCTGGTAAAAGAAAAGGACAGGTGAGAGGAAAGAGCCTTGCTTACAATGCACCATAGATCATCGGCAGAGTTGTGCTTTGCGACGTCCGCACGCGTGTGGATTTTGCTTGGAATCGTCTGGGATGATTTTTGCGCCATGCTTGCTCTGCGATGCAAAGTGTTACTCCGGGGCTTCAGAACAGAACTACCGTATGAGCGCGAGAGAAACACCGGGTATCAGGCTGGCTGTCCTAACGAAATCAAAAGCTTCTAGTTACATATGCTCTGGCCGAACCATCAAGTGCCCCCGGATTTTGTCGTGGCGATGCTCAGCCGAGGTTCGAAGCTGATCATCAAGCAGCCATGCGGCTCATCCTGACCAATCGCCTACGAGCGGCTTACCGTCAATTGCACGGCCGTCGATTGGACAGCTTAATTAACCGTGCGAACACTGCTGCTGAGTCTTGGGCCATCGGACATGGTTCGGCATTGGCACCCAGGGCTGGTTGTGGTCCTGCACATGATTTCCGCGTGGCGCTCAGCGGCTGGCGAGAGCGGTCTTGAGAATGAAGCATGAAGCAAAGCGAAGAACTAGATTGCGGCTTTCTGGAGACGAGGTGCCAGTAGAAAGCTTGGGTGAGTGTCTTAGTTAGAGTCATTGATGATTTCATGGCGCAGTTATCTACATCGCTTGAAGACCGAAGATGAGACTCTTCACACCCCATCACGTCGAACTTGCACCGCATTCAGGCCTTTGCTCGCTTTAACCTCGCCGTAACCACGTCCACCAGCTCGACCGTCGGCTGAACGTATGGAGTAATAGTGTTCCGCACCAGTGTCCGCTGTTCGAATGCATAAGCCAGCCCAACAAGAAGTTCTTCGCTGAAATGAGGTCCCATGAAACTGATGCCAAAAGGTAAGTTGGGCGCCGTGGCGTTCAGATTTCCGAATCCATTGGGCGTGATCTCGGTATCAGCCGGGAATGCACCTAGCGGAACTGTAATAACTGGCGAGCCGATCAACGCAGGGAAGTTGGGACTGAATTCTGTCGGCACCACCAATGCATCCAACGAATAATTTGCAAGCGCGCCAGTGACTCCCAAGGGACCGGCAAGATATCTATTCATGGTATAGTTGGACCAGAACTCCGGCGAGGTATTGTCATATCCAAGCTCCAACGCAGAATCCCAGATGAGCGTATCCCGCTCAGGCCAGTCCTCGAGGGGAAACATATGAGTGAAATTACGGACGTCTTCCAAATCATACACCTTGTTGGGGTTGTACGACAGCTGCGAAAGGTACTTTGGCAGGTCGGTCACAAAATCAGCTTCGAGGACGATGCTGGAGTAGTCGCCTTCGTTGAGAGCGTCGTATCCGGTAAAGTTGGTATTGTCGACGATGATGGCTCCCGCGGCGCGAAGCACGTCGAGAGCTGCATTGAAGGCGGGGACGATAGGTGCAGCGCTGGAGTCATAGGAGAGATCAATCAGGTTGCGCGGCACGCCGATACGCTTGCCGGACAGAGCACTGAAGTTGCAGGCTGCGACGTAGTCGGGAATGGTGTCGAATGGGATTGCATCAGTATAATTGTCGTAAGGCGATTTCCCAGCAATGGCGGCGAGAACGTACGCAGCGTCTTTCACTGTGCGAGCCATAGGCCCAATGGTATCCTGGTGCTCAGAGATGGGAATAACAAGGTCGCGTGAGGTAAGGCCGACAGTGGGCTTGATGCCGACCAGGTTGTTGACATCCGATGGACTCAAAATGCTGCCATCTGTCTCGGTGCCCAGGGCGGCGAGAGCCAGTCCCAAAGAAGATGAGACGCCACTACCGGAGCTGCTCCCGGAGGGATCTTGACCGGGAAAGTAAGCACCGACGGTCTGGCCTGCAATTGCCGACCATCCATTACTGGTGTTGTACGATCTAATACACAATTAGCATTAAGTTGCTGTAATGACGGGGAGAACTTACCGGTAATTCGCCCATTGACTCAGGTTTGTTTTCCCCAATATGACCGCGCCGGCCTTCCTGAGCTTTGCCGCTATGGTGCTGTCGCGCGGGACTTTAGCACCAGCGAGAGCGTAGGAGCCCGCCGTGTTGTCCATGGCATCAGCAGTAGCAATGTTGTTCTTGATCAAGATGGGTATGCCATGGAGCGGACCAAGAACATTCCCTCTTGCTCGTTGCGAGTCAAGTTGAGCAGCAATGGAGAGCGCGTCTGGGTTGAGTTGAGTGACCATATGAAGCGTTGAGTTGACCTCCATGATGCGCGAAATATAGGCCTCAACCAGATCGACGCTTGTGAACAAACCTGACTCGAGACCACGAACAAGGTCCTCTGTCGTCGCTTCAATCAACGGAGGGAACGCCGTCCCGTTGATGGCTGTACTTTGGTTGTAGCATGGTCGTGCTGCAACCAAGATGTTGAGCGACAGCGAGACAAGGAGGAGACCTTGCATGCGGCGAAAGAGTCCAGGAGCCATCTCGGCGGACCCGGTGAACGAAGAGGATTGAGGATGAGAAAGGCACCATCAATATCCTACTTCTTGCTTTCTATATGAGGTTCGATTTGCGTATCGCCCGGAAAAGATCGACGTCAGTAGCTTGATTGGACGCGCCAGCGTGCATACCGGCGATCAGCGGCCGGCTTGTCGATAAGCTACTGCGTAGAAGGCTGGTATAATGGCCCTTGGTGATTGGTGGGATTGCAAGCTCGACTGGTACAGAGATGCTGATGTGTACCTGCAGCCAGTCGCTTTCGGGTTCCGGTGTGGCAACATCTGTTGGAGCATGTGCAGCTTCCCCACATGAGACAGACCAGCAGCTTATCGAGCTGCCAAAGTAGGAAGCTCAAAGACGCGCCTGTCCATGAAAACCCTGCTGAACAGCAGCTGGCCAACTGAAAAGTCCTTTCGGTCTGTAATAGATTCCAGCGTGGTGAGAAAGACGTCGATTATGCAACCCGTATCGCGTCGTCGGCTAAAATCCAGTATTCGTTTGCTCGAGAAATCCTCGGGATTCTGAATTCGCATCATGCTCTTCCTGCTTGCTTGCTCGAGACGAATCGTTTAATTTCTCTCAGAAGACCGATGACCAGAGGGACCCCGACCGGGCCCAGGAGAGGCAAGTACACAGCAACCTAGTTCGAGATTAGCAACTAGAATGCCGACTGGGAAGCAAGTGATTGCTATACGTGCTTCCTCAGCTCCGGGATACTCTCGGTATTGACGTACCTTGTGTTCATCGGGAAAATAGACCTGGCCGACCATCGACTTGTCGAAGAAGGCCTTTTCGCTGTCTTTAGATGCTACTTTGGCATGGGCTAGAGCTTCAGTCCACCTGCTCCCTAAGAACGCGCGACACGAGGCGGAAAGATGGGCAATGGCGTCGTCAACAAGTTGAGCAACGTTCCTCGGAATGGGAATGTTGCTCAACCTTTGAGCTAGCCGAGCAAGTGATCCCAGACTGGATCCCGCTTTCAGGTGGAGCGTCAAGGCCGAGTACCTTTTGTAAGCATCGAGACGCAATTGCAAAGGCTTGCCTTTAGCGTCATGGTCGGATTGCAAGACGCCCAAAAGTGACAGCAGCTGCGAGGCAAATTTTTCAAAAGGCCGGCGCAACACCTCTTTGTCCAAATGATCTCGAAGCATTGGAGTACCGTGGACAGGATGCGGATACAGTGGCGGGTTCAGGATCTGAATGCCACCCCACTGAGGGATGACCCATGAGAGCTCCTTGATGCCTTCAATCGTCAGCGGTATCTGATCCTTAGCTGGGATGTAGAGAATGAAGTTGAGTGTAGGCCCATCTCCAAGTGATGGAGCTAGAGGCCACTCTGCAGCATTCACAAACGCCGTGAGGTCGTTTTGGTGTAGGTACGTCCCATTCTGACCTGCTATGTGATGAGGTTGTACGGTGGGTGGAAGAGTCGCATATAGCTGCACTTGTGTGGTGACCTCAAAACCGGCAACGGCTGACAATGCGTACACAAGCGGCTGGACGTGCTCTTGAAGCGCATGCTGTATATCCCAACTAGAAGGAGCGCCAGTGGCTGTCAGAAGAGAAAAGGTCAGGTGGAATTCAGGGGACGACTTGTAAGCGCGGTTGATCTGCTTCTCTATCCCAGAGACCATGTTGTAGGGCTGTGATTGCAGAAATGTCTGGGCATTCTGGCTGTGGCTTGCAAGCGAGACGGTCTGGAGCGCTGCAGCAATCTGCTCTTCCCTGAAGAGGTCATAAAGGGCTTCGGCCAGTGCTTTTGCATAACCGGCTTCGGCACTAGGAGGTATGCGAGCTCGAGCTTCCGTAGCGACAGCGCTCAGACTAAAAGCAAAGCTATCGGATGTTGGCTCAAGATATAGTCTCAGTGCAGGTTCTTCATGATTCAGGTTTGTGAGATCCTCGCCACAGCTCTTTTCCCCTCCATGACCTCCGCGTTCTTCAAGGTCTACGAGGTGAAGCTTCTGGTGGAGGATAGGATACTCGGTGAGGTGATCCAAGGCTTGTTGTGTGTCTCGTACAATCGTCTGGGCGTCCGAGCAGGGTAGAGCTGGTGCCGAGACCCAGATGTGCAAAGGAATCGTGGCCGGGGTGTTCTGGAGAGCATCATCAGCAATGGGAAGTGCCGTCAGGGTCCTTCACTGCTCACCTGGCCGTCCGCCCAGTCGAGCATATCTTGTAGGGGGAGGTTGGCCCGGTAAATTGATGTCGTCTTCAGCCATGTCGGAATACCTAGCAGAATAATCACAGCCCAGAAAAACAACACTATCTTGGTGCGCAGCTTGATGGCTTCGGCTTTCTCTGGCGGTGGCTGTTTCCCCACGGACGCTGCATCAGGGGCAGCGACGGATGACGCCTCCATAGCTAGGTTGGAAGCACCTGCATGGACCACACCATTTACAGAGAGAAATCCATCGTGAGCGACGGGTAGCAAGCGCCAGAACAGGTTGAGCGCGTTCGTGGTTTGGCCGCAAAGATGGGGAAACGGTGGTCGCACAGGCTCGTAAATTCTGCGCGAGTCGGAAACGACTTTGCGGGAGATTTCAATGACTCGCAAAATGGTGGACAAAATTCTTGACCCTCTCGTCAACCGTAAGCTATGTACACATCCACACCAATCCCGATCTCGATGATATCGATATAGTACGCTCCTGGACCTTCGCTTCCATTCTGGCTTGGCCTAGCCCGACCATCGGCAGCATGGCAACTCGGTGGGCGGCTGGCGTGCTACTGGCATGTCCAACTCAATTACCCCCTTCAATATCAAGATATGCATCATCACCGACCCAGACGAGAACAATCTTTGATTCGCTGCTCAGTTCAGCTCTCGGTCCTTGTGAGCCTCGATCGATGAGCCATACCAAGGTGTTGCCGTATTCATCTGCGGCGGTCTTTAAAGCCGTGTCTGATGTTGCGGGCTACCCTAATTTCCTGCCGTTCACGATTTCCTCAAACGTGAAATCACGAGATCCAGCAGGCTATCCCACACGAGCGAATTTAAAGGTCGGCTACGCCAAGCTGGGGGTGGAGGAGGACTGGGAGAGTATCGTGCGCTGCGATCCGGCCAACGGAACCATCGAGGCGAAGAGCAGCGAAGAGCACAGTAACGGGCTCTTCGAAGCTCTGTCTACGAAATGGCATATTGCGCCTTCAGAGTCGGCAGGTGGAAGCACTGCCGTCAAGCTGGACGTGGTTGTCAAGTTCCGAAACCCGGTTTACGATCAAATGTTTGCTCAAGTTGAAGGCAAGGTGGCAAGCACCATGATCTCTGCTTTTGAGAAGAGGGTGGAAGAGCTTGATCAGAAGCACAGACTCTGATTCAGATGCATTTCTTTCACTACCTCATATCATACAGGGCGAATCGTATTCTGATGATACAATTTGGCTCTAAGCACTCTTCTCAACCTGCGGTCTCAAGCCAATGTGCACTCTGAATTGTCTCTTCTTCATCGCCAGACTCGTAGCAGCTAGAGCATCTTGTAGACCCATTTGCTGTAGGATAGCATCCACATCATGCTCCGCCATCCGCCCAACATCTGCAGATGTAAGAGGAAAAGTAAGAATGATAGCGCCGGTCAATGGGTTGAGAAAAGGCGAAAGCTGGTCCAAAGGACCTGAAAGATAGGTGTTTTTGACTCTCGCGGCATTGTTGATATCGCTATACAAAATCGGTATGGTAATTCTGAATGACTTGAGGGCGATACATACCTTATACGCAGTGCGGTGAGAAGAACATGATGAGAAGCTGTGATGCTCCAGTCAAGACGGCGAACTGTTCTCTACTTTGTTCTTCAAGACGGGCGAATTTTTCTCTGGTTTCGTTCCTCATTTGTTCAATTTCGGCAAGGATTTTGTCGCCACCCGCGATCGCAGAAAGGTTTGGTAATTTCTCGATCTCCTCGGCAGCAGTAAGAAATGAGCCTCTGAGCAACCTGGAGTCCGCCTGTGGAGCGGAGCCATTGCTTCAGCCATGATTGTGATGGGCTGCTGATGAGATGGTGTTGATATACAAGAAGGTGAGGGAGAACAAGTCCAAAAGTGGCGGCTCTTACCGCCCCAGATTCGGCAGGAAGTCTCCCAGCAACTTCCTTAATGTTGTAATTAGAGCTCTTGACGTTGTCGTCGTAGCGAGTATCAACGGCGGCTGTCAGTGTCTCAACGTCTACCCGATCGCATCTTGTCTGCGTCACAGCAATATCACAAACCAGCGCCGTGTGCCAGTTTGTACCGGCGGCTCGAGGAGAAACAAACCGTGGCACGTTGACTGCACCTGAAGCATTCGCAGTGCATCCACAGCTTTACGCTGCAGGATGATAAGTAACATTTCGGGAACCATCGCTAATGGCGCGACGGCTTTGTGATTATCTGGAATGGTCACGACCAAGCTCGATGGCGACAGGCCGACCTGCAATGTGACACAGTTGAGATTCGAGAAGCTTGTCCAGGCCCACGTCGCCCATGTCGCCCAGGTCCCTCGGCAGGGAGCCCGAGGAGCCCTTCCGGTTAGTGCTCACTAGGCCCTCATGCTTTCCAGCCATTCAGGTGCACGAACACGGGCTTCATCACACCCTGCACGCTCCAAGCCACCAATCATCCCCTCCTCAGGCGAACCTCATCCTCTTGCAGGCTCACCATCCCCGCTGCTGACTGGAAGATCAGCTTCAGTAACCGCCCATCGACCTGCAAGCCACCAAAGCATGGCAGCAACCTCTCACGGACGAGGAAATCGATTTCTCCTCCCTCAGCTTGTCTTGACCTCGCAATAAAGGAATCGAAGCGCCTGCGCCTGCGCGCAATCTCTCTCGTCCGACGGCCTCGACGGTTCCTGCCTTGCGCTACCCTCTTGTTTCATATGTCGCTGTCCTCACCGTCAATGTCATGGCCTACTGGCATGACCGATCTGCGACCGGCGCTCTCTCCCCTCGTCCTCCACGGTTCAGACAGATAACCCTGCTATACCTGGTGTTGACTGCCTTCGTGAACGTCGCCTCGGCTTTGCAGTCTGTGCCCAGGTCGCCTTGCGAATCGGTCTGCTCCGACGCAGGCACCCTCGAGAACGATGTCGTCTGCCTCGATGCGAATTACCAGTCCCTGTCGTCCGGTCGAGGGTTCCAGAAATGCGTGGCATGTCAGCTGAATAGCACGGCAGTGGACACAGTAAACAAGTACACAGATGTAGAATATGGCCTGCGTATGATACACCCTTTCTACTCTCCGAGGTGGCAGAAATGCCTGACTGTCACTAGTGGCCCTGCGGTACACATTGGCTGGATGCATGTTTGCCATCCCTGAGGACCACATCTCGATCAGCAGTCCCTGTCAAGTCAGCTGTGCGCCGCTTAACGACTCGGTCGGCTACCAGGTCACGAACGACAGCACACGGACCAAACCGGGCGGTGAATTTTGTACGGCTGCTCAATTCGACGACGTGACCATCAACAAGTGCGCTCAGTGTTACAGTTTCATCCCGCAGCAGTTGTTCCTGGCAAATTGTAAGTAAGCGAGGACAGCGCAAAAATGCTTGCCCGTGCATTCTTGTTCCCTCCTTCCTTCCTGATTGACTCTTTGATTCTTTGGTCGCTTGCACTGACACACCCCGAATGAAGTCCTTCAAGCCCTACACATCGCCTGCCGTGACCCTCCCGAGCCAGGCAAACCATTCTTCCCCGACGCCGAGGCCATCTTCAATGAAACGCTCATCGCTGGCCCGGCACCCCCGTCAAGCGGCACAAACGGCGACGGAGGCCTCCAGGGCTATAAGCTCGCCCTGGCGATCGCTCTCCCCGTCGTCGGCGGCATTCTCCTCGTCGGCGGCTTCTGCTGGTGTTGTTTCGCCTTCACGCGCAAGCGACGGTACAAGATGGCGCAGAGTGGGCGGATGAGCCGCGTGCACGACGCCCACGCCGACACCAGCAGCAGCTTGTACCAGTCGCCCATGTCGGCGAAGGGCGAGGCCTGGAAGAAGGAGAACCTCCCCTGGGGCGTCGTGGAGCCGGCGCGCGAAATGCATGCCATCTCGCCGACGCTGCTGCACGCGGGCAAGCATAGTCCCGGGGCCGCCCAGGGGAGATGGTCGCACCAAATGGCCGGAACGGGGAACGCCTCGGAGCAGAACACGCCATTGAGAAGTAGTTTTCAGAGAGACGACGTGGGGCCCGGTCCCGCCCAGGTCAAGGATCCCAATCTTCATGAGCAGTATTTCGGCGTAGGCGGGGACTCTGAGGATGAGAGGGGGGACCACGAGCATCACGTGCCGTTACCTGGTCCCAGCGCTGTCGGTGTCGCGATTGGGGGCGAGGAAGGGTATTATCCTCATACAGAAGGTCAGTATGGGTACGCACAAGGCTACCGTCCTGGGCATGGACACGGTCAAGAGTTTGGACACGGACAGCACCGGGTACATGACGACGAGAGAGGCCACTTCATTTAATCTGGTCTGATCCCATCTGATCTGGTCTGATCTGATGCGTGGTCGAGAACCACCAGCACAGGTGACGACGAGACGAGACAAGACAAGACGAGACGAAGAGAGACACAAACCTACAATTCAACGATACGACCACGTCACGCACGCGCGCACGACCCGCGACGACCTTACACTTAACTCTACGCACTTTCCACCACATACTTTACTCTTCCCAGACACTGAGCGTTATGATTTCCCACGCGTTCTAGCGTGGCGTGGGGTAGCATGGCACGGCAAGCGACGGCGGAGGGGAGCCATTTGCAGTGATTTCCTGGATCATCCAGGCACTGGGGTCGTTGACTTGCATGGCGGACGGGTTACGGCTCGCGGGCGGTAGGAGTAGCGGCGGCAGCGCTGGCGGCGATCACGAGACCAGATGCAGAGCAGTGCAGTACAGTACGAACAGTCATACATCATCCGCTCATTCCGAGCGAGGTTGCATACACTGCTGTGGTTGTCCAAAGCTCGACACTGGGGGCCGGATTCGCCAAACGGAATTCAAGAACCAGACCAGCCAGCTACTGTACATTGGTAGATGGGTGTTTTTCCAGTCATTGAGAGAAGGCACGGCTCGAACGAATGCCATCTCTGCGCCAGAGTTGTCTGACTACAGTACAGTGGTCTGCTCAGGTCGGCCCCCAAGCGCACTGTAAAAGTATCATATCTACAGTATCTACCTATATCTAAGGAATCCGCATATGTCTATCCATTATCTACTGTGTACTGTACTATACGATGGGTATATACTACGTCCTCATTCTTGTATATGGCTGGCGTTTTGTGTTCCGTCTCTCTTTTTCTTTCCTTCCCACGAAGTGTCTCGGCATGTTACCGGTCAAAGTACCTGTCTGGCTTACCTGGCCCCCAGTATCGTAGGGGACTTACTGACCCACGGTGAGTGGCTTCGACTCACCAGGTCCAATACCCTGCACGTCCACATTCACTACAGTGCTATATCTCTGGGCTTACGAAAGTATACATGACCCGTATCCTCCCCCGTACTCGTACAACGGCGGTCATTTAGTGTGTGCCATGCAAAGGGAGCCGGAATTACATGTGAGAGAAGCAGCGCAGAAGGGCAACGATCGCTTGGCTTGCAGTACGAGCTACGGAGTACAGCAATTGGAGATAGGTTCCGTTCTCCGGGCTGAGTCTCCGAATGAAATGAGGGACAAATGCAGGGCAGGGCAAGGTAGGGCAAACCAGAGCAAAGTAGGGCAAGGCAAGGCGACAGCAGGGCGGGCAACCAGGGCAAAACTAACACAAGAATGGTCGGAGGAAACTTCCATGGCGTGGCATGGCTGGGCCGCTCCGACGGGTGCAGATCAGCCAGCGAGCGAGCGAGCGAGCCCCTTTTAGGGTCCAGCCTTGCTTGCTTGCACGGCGACGCCCGTCAGCTGCATGTGTACTCAAGACACTCACTCCCTCTCACTCAATCACTCACGCACACCCGTCAAAGTTGTGTGGGCAGCGGCTTCCTTGCCCATCGGTCTAGACCGTAATTGGATCAGGGTGAAGGATATGGCATGTAGGCGCTGCCGTGGAGAGACAGGTTGGTCGTTGTGACTTCAGCGCTTGGGCCAGGCTGAGATACATTTGCAGGGCACTATGAGGCTTGCTTAACTCCGCGCTTTCGACACGAGAATTCATGTACTTCCTTTGCTTACGACTCATGACGAAGAATGAGAGGTACAGTCGAGTGCAGCGAACGAGTCCTAACCCACGTCCAAGAATGAGAGGTACGGAGTACATTCGAGTGAAACGATTCTTCGGATTTCAGGACTTCCAAAGTCTCGTGTGCGTGTCGGATGAGTAGCGCAAGCCCAAAGTTCTCTCCTCCTCGAGAGTCCAGGCCGGTGTATATCAGCATTGGATTCTCACCTTCGACATCAATGGCTGGTATGCACAGGAGAGGCCAACGCCCAACAGGCAGGACAGGACAGGCTGCTCGAGTAGATGAGTTGCAAGTGTGGAGAGGTTGTAGGCGGAGTGACCCAAGCAGACGGCTTTTCTGGTCACTGGCGTGGCACGACCCACTTGCTTGGTAGTATTCCGTACGCTGACCCCGAGGGTAGGAATTGAGTATTATTCCGTTCTCTTCTCTAGTGTGGTGTGAGGTGACAGTTCTGGACCTCATCTGTGAGCATTATTTCCTGCTGATATCAGTAGAACCACCCCCCATCTGTCTCGAGCCTGTGGTTGTGTCTCCCGCGAGTTGAGGTGAGTTCCGAGCCACACGCACTGGTGAGATGGTGGCCAAATCGGATACACCGCCCCACCTGTCCCTAGGACGGCCGATCTGCTGAACGACAGCTTCTGTATCCAAGAGAGCGTATGAATCGCAGAACGCGGACGGGCCATCGAATCGGAACTTTTAACGCGATTCGCTTGCAAGATCGATGATGATCATGTATGCGTCCCTGATGTTGCCTGCCGGATGACCATCTCTCCAGCCTCTTTTTGAACAGCTTTTAAGCGGCAGAACGGTGCGGACGTCAAAATCTCCTCCTTGCGACATGGGTTAAGGCTGATTGAGGTTTGAGGCTAGGTGAGCGCTGAGGAGTAGAGAGGTTCCCTACCAACGACAAAGGATAAGCTTGGCAGCCAGTAGGACGTTGCTCCTGTCAGACACGCTTGAGAGAGGGTTGCGGAGGGTTAATTTTCTGTGCTGGTCAGGAATTCAGCCGGTCTTCAGAGCCACTCGCAGGGACAACGGCCTTGGTTGCATTGTCCGAGAGCTGGGGCTTCTGTACTGTACCCCTCTCGGCCGCGCAATCAGAGTCTGCGGCCGAGAACGAGTGCCCTGACGGGCCCCTTCAATGGCGTGGTGATTGCCACATTGGCGTTGCGAAGTGCCTGGGGAGTCGACCAGAAGTCGAGGTAGGCGGCTAGCAACAACGACGGTCGGCGCAAAGAATGCTACACAACGCATGACAGGTTTTGGTACAGGCGAGGTCCGAAGGGCAATGCGTCCACTGTACAGTGATTAGGGTGCCTCCTTCCGCCTCACTCCTGCAAAGGGCCAATATCAGAGACAAAATCTGGCAGGAGCAGCCGAGGCGAGCTTGCATTCGACGCAGATGCCACAAGGGCTCAAATTCAGGACAACACAGAGTATTAGACATTCGCTTGGAATGCTTTCCAGCACTGCCGGGAGTCATGCTTGCTTGGCCCACGAATAGCGACGACCTGTATCGAGAAGAGAGGATCCGATTATCCGTTCGGTAAAGCCAGACTGCAGCACAGGGAAGGACTGTACCGTTTGACCAGTCATGGTGCAGAGTTTCGAGAAAAATCGCAGGATAATCCGCCTGAATTGACCAACAAGGACGACGCTAGCTTCACCGAGACAGACCACTTTGCCAGGTGTGTGCGTCGTGATTGCATTCCGCTTCGTTTAGAAGAGACTCTCTCACTCGAGATGTCGGTTGTAGTCGACTCGCAAGCGGTCTTCTGGGGTCTAGAATCTGCTTATTGTGGAAGCGTGCGATTCAGGACTACCGAGTAATCGTTGCTGGATCACCCCGTGTTTCAGATCTGGAACGAACCTTTTTGAAACCATTGCTAAGGCTGGTTCGCAGGGCTCCACCGCCTCGAGTTTGAGGTTGGGGGAATTGCTGTTCCAAAAGGTCAGAGTTTGACTTTGAGGCGTAACTCTGGTGCTTGCCCTCGCCTTCGGGAGCGAGGTCGGATATGGATAGTGAACTTTATCTCGCACTGACACGCACATCCGGGGATCTGCTATTCGCCAGCCCAGTGGGATGGCCCCGGGGGATGAGGTGAAGCTGCTTGCCCACATCTCTGCTCTGTTCGAATGCCGCAGTACGTAAAGGAGCGGTGCAGAACGTTCTTCACATCATCAGCTGTCAAGGACCCCACGCAGTACGTCCTCTTCCAGGACTTAAATCGTGCCAATCATTTCGTTGCTGCCCAAGATATTCACCGTCTCTAGAGCGTTCGACCGAAAGTACATGCTCGCCACCCTGGGGCGAACGCTGCGGTCTGTCGCGGCCCAATCGGTCGCTGCCTGCACGAGGTCCTTGCCGTATTCGCCCGATCTCGTGAGATAACCTCTCTGCTGTTAGGCACACTATCGCGTTGGGTAGCCATTACATTAAGTGGCAAAGGCTTGTTCCTCGGGGACTAGATTGATCTACACCGGTCTTCGCCGCCACAATGCAGAGCCAGGACAAGTTCTCAGGCTTGGCAGTGAGAAGCAAGTGCGAAGCGCAAAAGACAAACAATGAGCAGTGTCAGGGCTGAAGATGGACGCCCTTTGCTGGGGCAATAGCACGAGTCTGGAGTCCGTCTGGAACTGGCACTTGGGGCCCGAATGTGGTCTTCAGCGTCAGCTCGTGGACTCGAACGATCCCTGGTACAGTGGCTTCAAATCCGCTCCGTTGCCAACGGTAAGAAGCTGAATCGCTGTGATCATCTAAACCGGTGTGCACGTCCTCTTTCCCATGCAAAGCCGCCGCTGCTCCCTGCGTAGCTAGAACGCGGGCCTTCTCTCCTTGTAAAGCAGCGCTCCTTTCAGGTTAGCAGTACCTTTCGTTTCCCGGAGAGTTGCGCCCCTACGGGCATTGCATACAATACTCGGTAGGGACTTCTACGCTGTCAAGCTGATGCAGAAGTTCTCGCCTGGCAGACTAAGGGACTGCGACTCTTCTCAGCTCCGTCAAGATGAAGCTGGGGTGCCGTATTCTCATGGCATCTTCCCTTGTTTCGGGAGCCTCTGTCTTGCGCCGCAGCAGCAACTCCGCAGCCTCCGTTCCATTCGTGTTTGACAAGCGTATCTTGATTAGCAGAATGTCCTCCGTCTTTGATAAGATACAGCTTCAACTCTGCACGAAAGCAGCTGGATTGAAGCGCAAGTTTTTTGATCGGTTTGTTCTGACTCGTGAACGTAATCGTGATTGAGCGAGCAGGCAGGGACAATGGGATGACGCTTCCTGGTCTCTCCGTGCTCCCTCTTGTAACAATAGGAGAGTTGCCTAGCTGAACGCATCCCGAGGCAACCTGGGACAGGGCTTCGTCGTTCGAAGGTCGCTGGATCTGGTTGTCAGCGAATAGTCTCCCCTAATATCCATTTTTCATTCACAGCCGAAGGACGACGTACCTCAAGAAAAGGAGGGCCTTTCTCCTGGCCGGATCCTCCAACGTTGGGGCAGGCCAGCTAACAGTCTCTCCGCGGGTGTTGCAGTCTGAACCCTCGGTTCAACGTGGTTTCGGCCCAGTACCGGTAGGAAGGCAGAAGGAAGGGAAACAACGCCGTGATCCCTTTCGACCGAAATGGAAGGCAGCACCATGCTGCAATCCTTCCGCAACTTCTGATCGGCCGCTTCAAATCTGCTTGCTGATAGCGAGATCGTGGGAGGTCCAGCGGTCTGTCCCAAGACGTCTTCTTTGTGCGTTTGGGAAGCGTGCTAGGGACAATGCACGATCCTGCGTAGGAGCACCGTCGTATTGCACGAGTGTGTATCCCTCATGGTCAGGGGAGTTGGATCGCTGTCTGCCTCATCGATTAGAGTCTCTGAGCGAGATGCGGTGTGCAAAGTGAGGCTTGCATCTCGTCTCGGCGGATGCACCATGCAATTGGCCTGGCCTGCAGGTCCAGAGGTCCCCATATGGCCAAGTATCCCAAGGTTATAGGGTGGCAGAACACCGACTCAGCTGGGAGTGTCCTAATCATGTGCCAGCATGATCTCCCTTGCTATCGAGAACAGTGATCGTCAGCGAAGACGCTGCGCAAGAAGCAAAGACCTGTGTCTAAGATGAAGTATCTGACGCCTGCATCGTCGAAGAAAATAGTGTGTTTGTCCTCATAAGCTTGGGGCATAAAAATATCATTGCGGGGCAGTTCATTGAAATCCCAATCCTCTAAGCCTGGCTCTTCTTTCGAGGATTACGCTCTCCGTCTGCCTATATAGAGCGTCGAGTTGTTCCATTGACAACGAGTCCATCAGAATTCTGGCAACTTGTGTAGCTGCACTGACAAGCTGTAACATGTAGCGATCGTCCTTGGGGGTCCTGGGCTGTTGGTCTCTGTTGTTCTGTCTGACCGCAATGGAATTTTCCAGGGTTGTCACAAATTGTTTTATCTGGTTGTCGTAGAGCACCCGCGCTGGGATTCTGCGCTTGGTCGCAAGCCTTTTCAGCAGATAAGCCCACTCGGTCCACTCCCGGTCGGCTGGTGTTCGAACCCGGGGTTTATCCCGCTCCAGCGGTATGGGAAACTGATATTTCGCCACGAAATGGAAGGCACATCGTGATAGTATGTCGTTCACATGTAGAATGATCTCGTCTTGCTCGTCGAGTTCGAGGTGGACAGGCAGTGACGGCAGAGCTTGGGACCGTGCGTGTTCCTGCTGAGGCACAGGCAGTGGCAGCAGCTGTGAAGGACCATCAAACTCGTCCTGATTAAATGGGCGCCTTCGGGTGTGGTAGCGAGTAGCCGTCCTGCCGAGTTCAGACGCCCGTCGATTCTGGGTTTCCAAGTCAAACTCTGCATACCCTTGACTGGTAGGCGATCCCGTCTGGAGGACGAAGCTGTCCTGGCTTTGCCGTCGAAGCGCAACGTTCTGGTCGTCCGGATTCGACCTGGGTGGCGGGCCAAGCTGCTGGTAGGAGCCCGGGTCCGAAGTAAAGGCGGACGATTGCGACATGTACGACAGCGGGCGGAAAGGATCGCCCACGGCGGTTGTCGGGGGCATGCGAGTTGCGCCATGTATCTCGGGGGGCAGCCGTTGCCGCAGCCTTTCCGTACGATCGGGAGAGACACGTCCGCCGGGCTCTCCAGCGAAAGGATCGTAGTTGGACGAAGGCCATTGTGTAAACCTGCTGCAAGCACGTGTTAACAAGACTGATTTGAGCAGCCCTATCGAGCTGGCACCTACCTCTGGAAACCAAACGGGGCCGAAGCGTCCGCCGGTGGTCTCAGTGTGGCCGTGTCTTGCGGCCCAGAGAAGAGGAAATCTTCCTTCCCAGACATGCCCGCGCTGTTATCTGTCAAGTCGAGGGCAAACCGAACCCCAGGAGCGAGACCGGAAGAGTATGTCGGATGTAGACTACTGATCGGGCTCAAGGCCAACATGATCAGAGCGGGCAGAAGATGTGCAACCCGGGAGGGAGGCAGAACAAATGGAGGTCGAAACTGGGGTGTGTACTGCTTCCCACTCTGATAGGAGCGTGTCGGGTGATCTGTTGGCCGGGGGTTCGCATCGGGCACTCGTGAAGCAATTGGGCATTAGTTTCGAGGCCGCACCGTTTGCGAGTGAAGGACGGCAGAATGAAAACACGATGAAGATATTGAATTCGTCATGGGCACGTGAAGAGAGGAGGACCCAGGCAGTACTCCGTAGCGTTTGTGGGCTCGCAGGCACATGGGACCACCATTGATCACTGATTCCCGCCGATTCCCGCAACCCCCGGAGCAGCCTAGTTCTTACAGACGGCCCACCTAGTAGGGGCTGAAACAAAAGTGCCCGACCCTGCGCGACGGATACTTGCCGGTACCTGGGATGAGGCGTTGAGGCGCTCCTGTCCATTGCGCACCATTTTAGCACCTAGGACCTGGTCTGGTGTGAGCGCCACTTAGTCGTGCCTGCGAGCAAAAGTTGGAACTCGGTTCATGGAGGCTCGGGTTCCCGGGGGTTTCTGGAAGGGTTCTAATTTCTTCACGAGCACCGGCGCCGAGGGGTTACCAAGGACGGCAGCACCCGATATGACACTGACTAGAAGTCTCGCTGCTTTGATGCGCGAGGCATGTCGAGGGCGACCAATAACTAATATCTGGGCTCGATGTGAACGCGAGCTGCATCACCTGGCAGTCACGCGTTTCCACATGATCGGCGAAACGTTGAACGCTTGCAAAGGCGCGAGTTCGTGGCACGATCCCCCAGAGCACCAATCTGGAGTAGCACGCCGCCCAAAGTTGGAGACGAAGCTGGTCCGGTGCGTTGGAGTCGGCCGTTTCGAGCATAAGCGGCGGATCACAGTGGCAGTGGAGATGCACGGGTGATGAGCGTATGAGGCGCTGGCTAGCGAGGCCGCATGGCATGATTATTACACAGGACGGAGTAGACCTCGTTGACTCGATACCTGGGCTATTGCTCGTGGAGAAATTGGCAGGATAGGCCTGGGACCGCATCGCTGTTGCTAGACGCACACGCGAAGACAGCAACGACCCTCAGGACGATCCTGCTGTCTCGGTCCGGTGCCCAAACGTCGAGGAAGGCCCAAGGCGATTCTCCGCGAGTGAGTCCAAGACCGACTGGAGAAGCCCCATCTTGCTGCCCAAGCGTCATTGTAATGGCTGCCCTGCTGCCGATCAGGGGAGTGATCTGCGACCGCCTTGGTGAGGCTACCGAATTTTCGAGAAAGTTGGATGCGAGATTAGAGGACCTGGACACACGACATTTACTGTGTACATCCACAATAGCCATTACTCGTAGGATGAAGCAGCGAGGCCAGAATGGGAAGCAGATACGTGACAAGCGAGACGAAATGCCCTATCCTGGCGGCCGCCTGTAAGAAGCCCGACAAGACAGGGACTGGCGTATGTAGCTCGTGCACAGCACCCGGAAACTCAAATGTCGATAAAGCGCCAGACGAGTTTCGGCAGTGAGGTCTAGACCCAACTCCAAGAGGCCAGGGTACCGTCACTATTGGCTTGAGCGGGGGTATCGAGGCCCAACCAAGCTGGATATAAAGAGCATTTTGCTCACTTCGATCCAGGATCAAGGCACCGTGGAAGCGGGAAGTCGGTGGACGCGCAATAATGCTCCAAGGTTGATTCTTCCTCTGTACTCCGTAGCAAGGTCAAAAGCAGAAATGGACCAAATGGTAACTAGCTAAACCAGAGAAGTAGCATTATTAGGCCATCAACTCGCAAGCGGGAAGTGGGTTTCAATGGTGAAAGTGGTCGCCGGGGAAAGGGAAAAGGGGGCTCATGTCGGCGAGAGCCTCGCTGCAGAATTGCTCCCCTTGAACCACCCCCCTGTTCCCGTGTCCCCAAAAACGTCGTTGGCCTGCCGAGCGTTGCGCAACGTCATCTTCGGGCTTCGAGTCGGACGCATGGGTGAGTGGGTGGCCGTTGAACGAGTACCATCCAACTTCCAACTTGAGACAGCGACCTCGCAAGGCTATCATAGTAAGCTCGTAAACAGATTAGTCTATTGAAGTACCTCGTAGTGGTCCCCATTGCATCTCCTCCTTGACCGATAAAGAGAGCTGAAGCCACTGACCCCGGACGTGATAGTACCGTGTACTATGCTACTGTGTATCCATCTCTGCTCCTGATGGTACAAGTCGAAAGGGCCACACTGCCTCTCATCACCGGCACTCAGGTACCGGGATGAGTTTCCACCTTCGCGAGTATTTGGCCCCGTTGCTAACGTCTACATCCACGATCCTGGCTCCTGGGACGGCGGACGTCAAGGGCCTGGATTCGACCTGCCGGACTCGGCGACGACGTAAGCACTGTCAAAGTTGGCGCTTGATCAAAAGTTCCACAGATCACAACGGCATTGTGTATATGCCACTGCGGTCCGGCCGGGAATCATGAATGCTGACACGATGCCGACTGTACGCTCGGGGCCGGGACGGATGATTTGACACTTCGTCATGCTACAGACATGGCGGCGCAGCCCTCGGCAAGTACTATACTATGTAGTCATGGCAGTCGTCGTCTCGTTAAGCGTCTCGCATACTCCTGATCGGCATCACCTCTGTTAGCGTGGCTATTCGTAGCACCTGGCTTGCACGACTCACCTGGCAACTCCACCGGATTCCGTCCTCAAGCCCTACTCGAGGCTGGTAGCCGAGGATGCTTTTGGCCTTGTCACCGCTGGCATAGCGCATCGCGCAGGCGTCCATCACGCTTCCACGCGAGAGGGTCGTTGGCGTCCCCGAAACTCGCGTAAAGACTTCCGCAAGCAAGCCCAGTACCCACCCCAGTCCTGCCGGGATTGGAATCTCCCAGGCCGGGGGAAAGTGCCCGAACTCTTTCCAAACGGCGAGGCTGAAGTCTCGAAAGGACACGGGCTCGTTGTTCTGGATGAAAAAGGTCTCTCCTGCTGCGGTTTCTGACTGTAACAGATTTTCGACAGCAAGGACATGCGCATCAGCCACATTGCCTACGTAGACCGTGTCCCAGAGATTCGTGGCGCTTCCGATGACCCAGCGAGTTTCGCCCTTTGCGATGCAAGCATGAATCGGCGGTATTAGCTGGTCGTCTCCTTCTCCGAAGACGACGCAAGGTCGCAACACGCACGTGGCCATGGGATTGGGATCTTTGTTTGCTGCAATGACAATTCTTTCGGCTGCGGCCTTGCTCTCGCCGTACACGGACGACCGCTCGGCGACGGGCCACGTCTCGTCGATGTTCGCGTACGATTTGCTCATGTCGTCGGTCACGGCGCAGCAGCTACTCGTGTATACAAATGCCCTGCACCCGCACTTGCTGGCCGCATCAACCATATGGCGCGTGCCTTCCACGTTTGTGTTGTGGACCAAGGCCTCGAGACGTCGTGCATACCTGCCGAAATAGCCATCAGCTATTTCATTCATCGACCGTCGGTGACGAAAGAAGGTGTGGGCTCGAGGCTGTCAACACACAAACACATCTGTCCGACCTTGGGGAAGCACCTAGTTACGTACCTTTCACTCAGTGAGGGCACAATCCCTGCCGTGTGAACAACAGCATCGGGTTCAATGAGGGAAAGCGCTCTCATGACGCTGTCACCATCTGTGATATTTGCTTGTACATACTCATACTTGCAGCCGCGCAATAGGTCCAGCTCACCTGGCGCATGGTTGCATTTATCCAGAATCCAGACATGCCAATCGGGGTGGAATTCGTGCAATGCTCGAACGACAGCCGAGCCCACGAACCCCAATCCTCCCGTGACGACAACTTTGACGCGCGGTGCCTTGATGTCCGTGTTTGGCTGCACAGGAACACCTTCCGCATCCTCCTCCATTACGGGGTACTCGTGCTGCGTATGTATGTCCAGCAAGAACGCCGGTACAAGAATACACGCCAGTCAAGAAGAGCGAAGGTCCTGGGGCCAGTTCATCGCAATCACCGTCTATACTGCGAAACAGTCCACGTCTCGACTGCATCAAACATCACAAAGGAATGGTGATGCCGCCAGATGCGAATGAGGTGACATGCCCCTCCTGCGAATCACATCACACCGGCGCTTGCACGCTCCGTGTGTCCACCGTCCACACCACCAAAGATCGCCTCCGCCGTCCTGCCACTTGCCCACCCTGAACACAGCCGGAAACGTACGAGGCTTGACCCAACCGAGCCCCCGGGACCGGACATGTTCCCCCATTCGTCATCGGTAAACAACTCCATCCTGAAGTTAGATCACCATCTTATCTCGCTTAACAGGCTTCCATGCCTTCCAAATTTCTTCCATGGCTTCCACCTCGTATTTGTGACGCCGTCGACGCCGTCCGGGAGATAGCGTCCTCCCGCACATGCTTCCATGGTCCTTCTATCTTACGGTGCACACATTCGACATGTAGGTAATTACGGAGTACGTAGTGCCCGTTCAGGGACGCGTACACGAGTCGTACTCGCACCCGTAGCCGAGCGATGGGATTAAATGACTACGACATCCCAGCCTGATTAGCAAAGCCAAGCAGACAAGCTCATATACCATCGATGCGGCCAGCAATAATTACTCCGGAATTAGGTCTGCTTACAAAATCGAACAACCACAGCACCATTAGGTGAGTGTGGCTGCAGCTTCAGCTTCGTTTCCCGTTCGGACCAAGATTTGATTCGTTTCTCACTTCATTCTCGCTCCCCCAGCAAGCAAGCACCCACACCGAACTTCAATACATTGCAGGACCATGCGGCGCGCCCACTTCCGCAAGCCGTGCCGACCACGGTCATCAGACGGAGCACCCGGTACTCCGTACACGGTACGCGCACATGTGGTATGGCACTGCGATGCCCCTCCTGTATGTAGACTCAGGGTGAGAGAGTCAAGTCAGGAAGGGCAGTGGAGCAGGTGCGAATGACAGTTCCAGGCCAGAGAAACGCGCCTTCTGCGACACGTGCATAGATAGGTACTGTAGCTACAGCATCGAGAACGCGCCGCTCCATGCTTGCCACCACACACTACGTACCACATGTATGTTCGATCCAAGCAGGACCAAAGGCAGACTGAGCTGAAAGGCCACCAAGATACTGTGGCTGGAGCAACGCTAGATACTGGATCATGGATAGCACACACACACACACACACACACACACACACACACACACACACACACACACACACACACACACACACACACACACACACACACACACACA